GATAGATCATTTGTCTCAAATGAGAGGTAACCATGTGTCATCAACAATTCTCTCCATATAATTATCACTGATTTTCTTCTGCTGATGTCAAGTGATGTGCTTCATGCGTGTAATTATAGCTTGTTATTCCTATTGCTCTTCGAGTTGCTCTTGTTGGCGTCAAATTTTCGTGAGTTTGCCAATCGAAGATGAATATCCAAACGCGAATGAAAATGTCATTAATTGTAAACAGGTTATGGAGTAAGAAGAAAAACTTAATTATGACGCCACAATGGAAATCAAATGAAATGAATTGATTATGATAAGCGTCCATGTCAACAGAAAAATGAAGATTAAATATTTAATCAGAAAAAAAACGGATTCGTTTGTTCATTTCTTGTCTAATGAAGCATCAGTTTGAGCATAATTGAAAAACTGTTGATGCCACGCTGATAACAAATGCATGAAGTACATGCGTGACGAAGCCAATCAGATTACCTTCTTTACTAATGTCTATCCATACGTCGATGTGTTGTTGTCTAGTCAACTTCTCACCTATGAAAGCGAATGCGACTCATGCATCTCTTCATAGGAGAATTAAATTAGAGAAAAACACACGATGCACAGCAGAAAACTACACTTAAACACGCTTCGTTGATTTAATAATAAGAGAGACTCAAATCTTACTTTTATGCAGATCAAACGTTTATTGAATACTCGAATGTTGTTTTATCTATGCTAACTTGTATAGAGAAGAAATGCAGTGTTATGAATGTATTGTTGCTTCGTCGTTGGTGGTCGAAAAGAAAAGAAGTCGACCGAAGGCATATACTTTGTTAATCAAATTCGTCTCCATGTCGATGATTCTATCTTTATCTGCGATTATCAGATATTATGTCAAAGATTGACTTGCCTGTTAATTCTAATGTTTGATTGACATGAAACGAAGTTTATTTTTATTAGATAATGACAAATAAGATAACTTCAAACAGAAGACTTCGAACTTGGACTGATATAAAAGAAATCTGCAAACAACAACGAAGAAATACGTCATTTTTTGATTGTCATCATGCGTGTCCAACGAAATGCTTGTAATTGCACACCCAATTTCATCTTCTGCAATATTTGACATCCATTTCGGATACACTTTACAAGCGTTGTATGTCAATTTAGCATAGAATGGAATACCAGACGAATGGAAGAAGTTATTCGATAGATAACAATTTCATTGACAAAGATAAACCTTTGTTGTCCAACTCCAGAGATCATTCGGAACACTACCGCGTGAATCTTTACAATACAAACAACTCGCTAAAAATGAGAAAGAATCATAAATGGTAATAATAAGTATTATTCAGAAAAGACATTTTAAATCATTGGCATCATTCGAACAAATTAATGTTTGGGATTGACAAATTTCGATTTGGGCGGCTTTTTTCCTCCGAGGTTCATTGACAAATTGTTCACTCCCAGTGAAAAATGCAAATAGAAATGTCGATCGTGAATATCATACTCGCCATGTTTTTAAAATAAACGTGCACGAAAAATTGCGATTGTTAATCAATAGTTTCATTAAATAAGAAAAAGCGTTTTACATCTCGATTGTTCATAAACAATGGTAGAACAACTTGCCAATATACGCCATGTTTATTATCATCGTTAATTTTCCGTGCTTCTACAAGTAAACTAACTTGATATTTGATTTCTCGAGACAACAAATCGTAAAGATTATAACCTTTGAGATATTTATCTCATACTAATCGATATTCAATATATCGATTGCAACGTTATATGATACTTCTGGTGATATATCGACAAAAATAGAGTAACATTTATAATAAAACAAGTTATTGACAAGATTCCCTTCGTTATATGCTTAGTTAGAAATGAGATCAACCTTGATGGAATCGTCGGTAAACGATCACTCTTGGACTTTGAGAAAATAGCTTCCAGCCATTGAAACTTGCCGCATTGAATTCTTGAATGAGTTCTTCGATACTCAAAGACGCGTCCATATTTTCACATTTTCATATAGATGAAGAAAGATACATCTATTGTTCTTATCTTCTTGTTTATTCCCATGTTTTTCGAACGTATATCTTGGAATAGCTCACATTCCATTGAAGAAAAATTGTCTATTGAGAGACATTAGTTTCACATTTATTATTCAAATGAAAATATTCATTAATATGAGCTTCACGTATTTATCTACATCATTTATTTTCCAATCGATAATAAAAAGAACCGTTTAACTATTTAAAGATTCACAGAAGTTCACGGTCAAGCTTTGCATCATTACATTTGGTTTTTCTCCTCCCATTTTCATCTCACAATGAGCTCGATTGCGAGTATTCAGGATGAAATTTTTTTGCTAAAACATGTCAGTTATAATCTAAATAAAGATCATCTAGTTAATGTATTTAATGTCATTTTGATGACACTCATTCAGTGAAGTCTTGAAGAGAACTAATGGAATATCTTTCATGGATGGAAACAAATGACTTTTCATCCTATGATTTGCTATCCTTAGACTGCATTTCTATATGTCAGAAGTCTAATCATGGGTTTGTTTCATTACCTAGTTTACTTAATTGAATGGTTATGAATGATTGAAATCAATAGTCTTGCAAGACAATCAAATGTCGGATGTATCAGTTTCTTGCCATTTGACATCACTCTTCCTCTTCCTTTTACCCTTGATCTCTTGGTATATATATGCACATACATCTTCATAGAAACGTATACATAGAACTCTGGAGAGACAGACGATTCATTTAGTTGACGAAAAACTGACGTTATACAAACGTCAATAAAATAGCTGAAGTTGTTTCATATTCTCTCTCTCTGTCTCTATTTACTTCGATTTACAAATCAATCAAAAGGAAGGTGAGGAAATTTATTGACTTATATTGACAACGACAAACTTCACTTCTTTTCTTTTTCTATAAGTATTTGATTAAGAAACTTGTGCAAAATTTTATCGTTAAATTTTATTTTTCTTCATATCTAATATGTAATACATATGTATACATCCATGTAATAAAAAAAAGAGGAGAAAAGTGTAACTCAAGAGTGCCTTTCACTTTGAATACATATGATTGTCATGGTTATTCTATTTAGAATAATCAAGACTTGACACTCGTGACTATTGCTTGATAAAATCAAACGAAGTGCAAGGCACCAGCGTCACGCTTATCCTATTAGCAGTCATAAAGATATTTCTTGTTAACCGCATCGACGTGAGTGTCTTCTATTTTGTATTCTTTTGGCTTCATCTATTGATTACAATGAACTGTCGAAGTAAAGTGGAATTAAATGTCTGTCAAATTACTTTTTTAACATCTCTATGTATTACTGCTATCTTTCTGGCTGTCTTTGGTTGGTTCCGTACAATTGAACCAGCAGGATATATCTCAGCAACAGCTAAATCACAACAGAAAGTCACGTCAGTTGTTCACACACGTTTACGACCTATTCCATTCCTTGATGATATTGGTTCACCTCCTGTGTTGAATAACCCGGAATCATATGTACAATGGACATTTCTACAAATGAATGATGTTTATGAAATGATACCATTAGGTGGTGGCAAGAAAGGGGGTCTAGCACGTGTCGCAACGATTCGCAAATTACTTTTACAAGAAAATTCCCAAACATTCACTGTCATAGCGGGTGATATCGTCAGTCCATCAGCATTAGGTAGGAAATACTTGAATACTTCTCTCCCTCTGTCTTAACATATTAGATCATAGGAAACGAGGATAGACAAGATGTTTGTACTCATTCGAAAGATAATATTGTTTTTATAAAGATCTTCTACATTTTCCCCAGAGGAAATACACATCACAATTCTTGTTTTTAGGTAATAGTATCGTAAATGGTTCGATGTTAAATGGTAAACAGATGATTGCAACATTTAACGTTCTCGGTGTTGATTATGCCACTTTGGGTAATCATGAATTCGATTTGAAAGAACTCTCCTTACGTCGTCGTTTGAACGAATCTCGTTTCGAATGGATTGCATCGAATGTCTACGAACGTAATACCACCAAACCATTTCACAATGTTTTACCTCATAAAATCATCACGATAGCTAATGTGAAAATTCTACTTATTGGATTAACGATTGATGATAATTTTGGACCAGCAACAAGTCCACCGTATGTGGATATTACACCACAACGAACACTACCGGAATTTACAGGTGATTATATAAAACATCTTCGGGACAACTTAGGATTAAAATGGGATGTCTTGATTTGCTTAACACATGTAAATATGCAAAATGATATTGAAATTGTTGAGCATAATCCAGCCATTGATGTTATCTTAGGTGGCCATGAACATGAGAATTATTATTTAAAACGTGGAAGCAAATATGCATCGATTTATAAAGCAGATGACAATGCTTTCTCAGTTTTTATCCACCGGTTCGCTTATCAACCACAAACAAAACAATTGATGATATTTTCGAAACTTACTCAAGTGAGCCCTCGCTTTCCTGACGAACCCGAAACAGCTAAAGTTGCCAATTATTTCTATGAAACCGGTTTACAAGCTTATCGCAATCAAGGTAAAGCAATCGTCATGCTATTCATCAAAAACAACTTTTTGTTTTTCTAGGCTATATACCTGATCGTATTGTATGTGTTCTTCCAGTTGGTTTCAATTTCGACGGACGTTCAGCTATTATACGTTCCCAACAAACACATTTAACTCGTGCTTTATGTTATTCCATGATGAATGCAACGAAGACTAATGTTTGCGTACTTAATTCAGGTGCTATTCGTGTTGATGACCAACTGATGGGTACCATAACTCAATATGATATCTTACGTTGTTTACCATTTGCAACAAATCTTATTACCGTAAATATTAATGGTTCATCGTTAGTTAAAGTCTTAAATCGTGGCTTGAATCAAATCAATACTGGTATGTTTGTATCTTATGCTGGTATAGAATACAATTCTACGACAGAGAAATGGTATTTGGAATCTACAAAACAACTGCTCGATGACGAACACTTACAACTAAATATTGTTTCTATTCCATATTTTTATCATAATACCGATTTCAAATCAACATCGGTAATTTCAAAAAATTTTACATCAATGACAAAAGCTTTCATTGATTATCTGGAAAGAACGTATGGTAAAGGTACAAATAATTACCGATCTTGATAGACCATTTTCATTGATTGACAAACAATGATATTGGCCTGAGATATCGACATATATTACTTTGATTTTACTAGTCAATCTCGACAATCGTATTGATCTAAACGAACAACTCTATCCAAACACATATACACTATATTAGTTGCTCTTCTCAAGATATATCGTAGACTTCTAACTTATTTTCTATGTTGTACTTCATCCAGTGTGGTTGTCCTCAATAAAGATTCGCTTGATAGAAATAACAAATCTTTTCCACTGCATGGATGACAATAACCGTTTATTCGATCATCTAAAGCATCTATATCATATTATCGAATGCATTGCTATACATCACTGAAAATGACAGTGAAAGACTAACGTTTCTTGCGCATTTCTGAAAGCCTGAACGGAGAGACATGTCCTAACTAGTCAAGATCTCTCTTTTTCCATATGTCAACAGTTCAGTTTAGACATATTCGAACCAATTATCACATTATTCATAGCATCAGTGTCACACAAAACAAACGCGTTATTTTTTTTAAACATAACTTTATTTCACAAAAAGATCCTGTATAATATATTAGATATACTAAGAATAACTAACAGAATAAATACAATCTAATTCTTTTTCATTGCTAATTCAATTTCACGTAGTCGTCGATTGGCTTTCGTTTCAGCTTTGATTGGACAATACTTCATGGTGTGCGCTTGATCACCGGATAAATGACAACGTGGACATTTGTGAGCACGAAGAATTGGACATAATGTTATCATTTTTTCATTATCACGAAGACGATGTGAAGAGTAGATATCGTAAGATTCACCATTTGCTTTACAAAAAGCGCATTCGAGGTATTCGCCGAATTGTTCGCGACGCCAGCGAGCTTTTGCAACCAATGATGATAAATCAAACGACGATGAACGAAGAGGCAAACAATACGATGAACGATTCTCAACATTCGATAGCGATGATGTTGGAGACAATGAAATCTAAATCAATGCAAAGTTATATTAAATGTATTCAATTGGGAAAAGAAATTACCAATGATGGGACAGGACTTGGTGCGATAACCAGAGGTATTTCCGAAGGGTATGTTGTTGAAAACTGAAGTAAATGAAGAAGCTCTTTTGTGAAAAATGGTAATCATTCACTTACTAATGTTGGAGATACGGGGAGAATTGAAGTTGGTGAACAACAGTTACATAATGTTTGGATTGCCGACGAAGACGAAGGTGGAAACTAAATATAAATCAGATAGAAGTCATTGGAAATTCTATGTGAATGACATACCAATGGAAGAAATGTCGAATGATTGAAATTCATCATGATGGCTGAATGTGTGCTGATCGATACGATGTAAAATGTTTAATGGCAGTGACAAAAATCACTCTCGAGATATTATTTATTCCACTAGTGATTAGATTACATTTTCAATTACAATTAAAGAAAACGTGTCAATTAGGAATACACAAATTGGTACATAACATGTATCCTTTTATTGTTAATTAACAAGAAAGGGAAAAGAAACGCACATGACGCACTGATTGTCGAAAGAGAAAAAGGAAAAGAGGTGAGATGTTATGGTTAAGAAGCAAATCGAATAGTAAAAATCTATGAATAGTTCAAAGATGAATAATAGATAGTGCCTTCTTTCGATGAAAATATCGACTCATATAGTCGTAGGCTTCTAAAATAATCGTACCAAAAATACAAAAAGTGAAAAATCCACCGACGATACAACCAAACACAATTAAGAATATGACACCTGCACTACGCTCTGTTCTTTGTTGTCTTCCTCGAATCTGTCCGTAAAATGCATCTGCATATGTTTCACCATGAATTTCATTGACTAATAAATGGAAAACAAAGCAATTGAAAGTTCCTCCAGATAACAACACACTTACTTTGGATTAAAACCAGTAAAATATTGATCCAGGAGATTGATTTATCAAACATGATGATTATTTTGCTGGAATCACATAGGAAGAAAGATTGATATTAAACTGAAGGTTTCCATCATAGACGTGCTATTTTGACAAACTGTTTCTGAACGTGATGCTTGTTTGTTGATATAGAAGTTTACTAGATAAATAGAAAATGATGGTTTCTAATGAATAATCAAAACGAATTATCTATAGCGACAAGAGCATTTCTCTAATTTTTGATTTTCTTGTACTATCAAATAGTAATGACTCGCCGAAATCAGAATAACTTAAAAAAGAAAAGACTTCATCGTTCGTTTGCATTGAATACGAATGCATCAAGTAATGTTTTTGCTTCATATACTCAGAAGGGTAAAATTTTGGTCTTTGCAGTTGTTAATCCAACATCTCGTCTTGAATCAATGGCAAATGTGATGATTGAAGAATTGAGAGGAATACAACGGAATGATTTAAAAGAAGAATTACTGAAAACGTATGCGACTAAGACAGTAGTATCACCGAATCATTCAACGTTTTCGTCTTCAAAAAGAAACTTCGAAAAGCTGTTATCGAATTTACACACATTCGATCATTACGTCAACACTCGGGATGAAAATAAGCAGGGACAACGTAAGCATACAGAAATCTCTCAGAACGAGTCTTCGCCAGTAATAGTGCCAAAGTGCAAAACACGCCGAAAAAAACATTCGAATTTTGCATCGTCAATGAATGAGATGACCAGAACTATATGCACACGAAGCACGAAATTGAATAGTTCAAATGATCAGAATAATCCGAGTGAGTGAGACAAGGTTCAAAGCATTTTAAAACTTAGTTTCTTTAGTCATTTCAAGCCCAGTACGGAAACGGTCATCATCGTTAGCGGTGAAAGACGATGACGTCAAAGAAACTTCAACTACTGATAAGAAAAAACATGTTTTAACAGAAAAGCTGACTGAGCATTGTCATCCGAAAGCCATCGGTACCGATAATTCTAACTTTTCATGCGATTTAATACTAATTTTCCTAGGAGACGATGTATCCAGTGTGAAAGTATCTCGTCGGAGACTACGATCAGTCCTTCCATCATCATCCGAACATGCTAAACTAAGCAATGACTTTTAAAACTTTAGTGTGATAATAAATTCAAAGGCGCTTTTGACGAATAAATGACTGGCGCGTTTCTCAAGCAATAATTTGCCTTTTTGTCTCAAATATTGATTTGTGTTTTCTATTTTAACGTATTTTTTCGGTATCGAATCAGTTGTTCATGTCTTCCAATACGATAGCGAGTGCCGCCGAATTTGAGCGGATGACAAAAGAAGAAAAATTACGTTTCTGTCAAGATCTCATAAGACAAGCTGCTAATTTGAAGAAATCATCACGTACGGATGGTAGTGTACGATCCAAAAGTAAATCTAATAAACGATCAACTTCGAAAAGAGCAAAAAGTCCAACGTCAACATATCACAGGCATTCAAAATCATCAGCATTACAACCTGTCTGTTTGTTTAATAGTCTTTTCTTTCTGTGAACAAATGAACATTCTTTATCCAGTCTGAGCATACTCCGATACAAGCCAAGAGTAAAATGTCTCCTTCGCAATCAAGTGTGAAAAGCGGTACCCGTTCAAATTCAAAAATAGGTAAAGTTTATTTCAAATCGATCAGTTCTTTTAATCAAACATGTGTTATCGTTTGTTTTCAGGCGGTACGCATACTTCAAAAACTAATCAGTCCGAAGCAGAACATAGACCGACATCGAAATCTGTATGCTTGTTTCTTAGTTTTATCATGCATAAACTTTCATCGAATCTCATTTAGTCAATTCATAGTCATAAGTCAACGAGTAAACATCATCCGGATGGATCAAGTCTTATGCGATCTGTTTCGCATACTGCTGGTTTGTGATTATTCTAAAATGCATGTAAACTAAATATATCATCGATTATTTTCAGATCATAAATTCGGCGTAAAAAAATCGGCTTCAAAGAAAAGATCAAAGGTCTGTAAACCAAATGACGTTTTCTCGTTTTTAAACTAGTATTTTCACGTAGCGTTTCTCATCATCTATGCATAGAACAGCCGGTATTGCAATTTTCCTCTCTTTTAAGAAAAAGTCTTTCTCGATTAGGTGTACATGCTAAATCACGAACGAAATCGAAACCTAAAGCACGTAGCCATAGTCGACTGAGACGCGGCACCTCAAGAGTTCGTTCTGCTAGTAAACATAAACAATCAACGAAATCAGCCATCGCGAAAAAAGTAGGAAAGATACTCAAGCAACGAAATAAGTACCTTTCAGTTCAGCGAAGAACATCAACTGTTCGTTCGTCATCAAAACCAGCCGGAAATAGTAATAAACATGCTAGTAAAACTCGCTCAACTGCCACGAAAGGTCACATCAGATCTAAAAGCAAACATTCACGTACGCCAAGAAAAAATCATACTGAGATATGTGATGTCCAGTTCGTACCAAAATTTGATCCAAGTTCAAGTAAAAACCATGTACCGGTTTATCATCTCATACGTCATGCGTTCGGTAACATGGTTCGTGAAGCGATTTGTCAATTGGATAAGGATAAAACTGGCGTTAGCTCTCAACAAATTCTCGATCATATCCTCAAACATTACTCATTTCCAAATAACATATCGAAAGGCGCCATACGTAATCGAACGTTGTTCACCATTAACGCAGGTTTACGTGCTGGCACTCTTCTCAGTGTTGGTTCAAACAAAAACATTCGCATCGGACGTATGCGACGTGTCTATCCACATAAACTTCGTTAAGATAAATCTTGATAACGGTAATTTCATTCTTTTCAAATAAAAAATAAACACAAAGCAGCTTTTCAGTCAAGTACACTCCACTGTAGATGAATGAACTTGAGTCAATGCGGACAAATCAACTTAGTATCTTTTACTGGCATAGAAGATATATGATTTGGCACGAATAAGTTCTTGTAACGTAGAGAGTCTTTTGAGCCTCTGAAACTTCCAGGGCTTCTATTTTTATTTAATTGATGAATTGAGGACAATTGTTTACGGTATGACTACTGACAGATAATGTCTACAGACGTGATTTTAATATTTTCCATTTTTGTTCCGATAGACACGATGTTAATATTGATCTTATTTCGTAATCATCAACAGATCATCCATGTCATTCAGAAAATATGAATAAACAGAGTTATGCACACAAAAATGTTAATGTATTCTAACCTCTGAGCAAATCAAACTTTGAAAACATGCCATACGCCTGGATGTAATATGAAAATTTAATTCATCACTTGTCTCCAATGTTAAACTCCACTCCATAGCAGCAGAAATGGAATAACTGCATGCGAGAATTTCTTTTCACATTTAACCTATATTTCCGGTAAAACGAAGTTCATTATGACGTAGTAATGCCACAGTAGAATCAAAGCGACTCAACCAGCTGTATACAACTTTCACTCTGAGACGAGCTTCTACTCGCTTGTCAGTATTCCGTCTAGAACGAACAATTCTATTATTTATTATGTTCCACTCTGTAACATAATCTGTTCATTCTCCGTAAAAGCTCGTTTAATTACTTTTCAATCGAACGATATCCAGTGGAAGAAGAAAGAGGCTAGTGAAAGAAAACAAAATCGTCAAAAGACTTATCATATACCATTTCGGATATCGTCTGTCATACTTCTTCTTCTGTCTTTTCTGATTTCATCAATATTTGTAAGCAAAAAAAAACAAGCCAGGTCATATATTTTCAGTTACATGCTTTCATAGGCACGTTATTATTGAACCATAAAAATCTTCAAGACGACTATTGAAAAGAGTAGTGGATGCACTTTGTTTTTCTGATATTCATATTATCGCAACTTAGAAAAACACGAGAATTACCAGCTCAGCTGAGAGGAACATGTAAAAAACAAGTTTGAAAAAACTAGTCATAAAATTTCTAGTCGTCATTAGTATTTTGTTTTCTCGTTCTTTCCCCCTCTCTCTCTCTTGCTTCCCGTTCTTCAATTAGTCGCCATAAAACAAGCTTTGAACTTGAGACATATATGCTTTTAGCAATTGAAATATCACCAAATCTCGAAAGCAGTCCACGATGATCAACAACGAACAGCGTTTTGCTTTGCACACCATATCCAATTCGACGAATTTAACATTCGATCGATATGCCTATTCACGGTACAAGTACGGCGATAGCATTCAAGCAGAAAAGTTCGGTGATGAACTCTTTACTGGCTTTCTTGATAAATATCGCGATTTTCTTCTTTCGTTAAATCAACAACTTGTCGCCATGTCATCACCACGTGGAGTTATTCCACCAGCTGTGTATTACATTTTTCAAACGTTCTTTAAAAAGCTTAACCGATTTCTTCAGTCGAATGGACGAGAACCTGCGGTAGAACATACGATTCATCGAATTGGAACAATTGCTGAAGATTATTCCATATTATCCAAGCGCGAACGACTTGATCGTCTAATTGATGAGCGCTATTCTATAGATCGTCATGCGCTAACAAATAAATTCCTGTTATTTGTCGATGATATTCGTATTACAGGTAAGGCAGATTATCCTATCCAAGTTGTAGGATATATTTTCACGCCCCGATCATTCTTCCTCTTCACAGGTATCCACGAAATGAATATAATTCGTTTATTACAAACATCAAATATTCATAATTCACGATTATTTATTTATTATGCACAATTAATTAATGATCAAATACCGACATCATTCGAATATGAACTGAATCGCTGTGCAATCTATAATCTTGATCAATTGTTAAAAATAATTCACAATCCATTGACAACATTTCAGATCAATACGCGGATATTGAAAGAAATCCTCCGGTCTAATTCGTCTGAACTGGATCACTTCTTACAATCAATTAGTACTGATCTCATGTCACAACTTTATCATGCGTGTTTTGCTTGTAATTATCAAACGATTGAAATCTTTGCTGATACTTTAGAATATTTACATCGTTGTCTAGAACAACGACAGAATGCAAAGTAAAGCGAATCTTTTTCTGTACTGGAAATCGCGTGTTTAGTCATTCTTTTTATTTTGTAATAATCTTGTATATAACTAAAGAGAACTTGTGCAATTAAATTTGTTTATTCGTTGAGCAGAGAGAAAGAAACAAGAATATAAATGACAAGTGATTCATATTCTCTAACGACGTCGCCCAAAAAATGCATCCCAATGGTTTTTTCGTCCAAATGATTGTCGTTTATTTGGAAAAATATCTCGAAAATCATTTGCTCGATTAAATGATGAGGATGACACGAGAGCCGCTGGTGGAAAGATAAAATGAGCAGCGCGTCGTGCAACAATGGTTCGATCATCATTTAAACCATAATTTTGTATTGCATACACATCCAAGTCGTTCAATGGTACATATTGTCTGTCCATATAGGCATGGGTAATTAAGAGACATGATGCTAAATGAGAAGAAGATTAACTTTACTCTCTCGATGAAGATAACAATTTACCAATAATGAGAACTAGATGAAAAGATGAGATCATTATATGATGGCGATGAAATACGACTGTTGATATGTGTGGTGATGTTCTTCTGAACAGAAAAAATACTGAATAGTTAGTTAGATGTTGGCGTAGAGTTGTCACACACATCTTTTTTCTCTTCGTCTTTGTTTCTCATCCCAGCAGAAGTTAAAAAAAAACAAATTTTCGCTCTTAGATGTCACGTCATGCACGTACATTCTTGTTAATCATTACTTCTTGATTTGTTCCTCAATTTATAATGATGAAAGGCAAATCCTAAGAAGATTAGTCCTCCAGTTTTCAATAAACGATCCAATTGATTATGGACAAAACACGCCAGATTGTCTGCATCATTCCCGTAACCTTGTTAGAGTATCATGTAGATCGTAATTAGACAGATGTAGAGAACAGCGGACATATAGGCAAGGCATGCATATATATTAAATTACAAAAAAAAAGAGAAAAAAAAAGCCATGAACAAACAAACAAACAAACAAAAAATTTTGTCGTTTATGCATATTTATATATATATTGTCTTCTCATTCCTATGTACAATAATGCCACTGTATGAGCAAATTGACTACTGAGAAAAGAAAAGAAAAAAACAAACAAAACAGAAACCGTTCGTTTTTTCTTTTGTCTTGATCGATGAACACCATCACAAATAAAGGCAAATCTTCTTTCGCGATTATTGGATACCAAATGTATTTGTTTCTTCGATAGCTAATAACAATTTGTTATATAGAATATCATAGGATGTATAAGACGGCAAATCTAAACGATTGAAACATGTATGTGCACGTGGTAACGCTCCTGCCACTCCCCATCGTTCGATACAAAATCGTCGTGGACCATTGGAACCACGCAATGCGGAAAAGCCTTCATACGGGATCGACGATGTACCAGTAACGAATTGTAACAATTTCAAACGTTGTTCATTATCAAAACGTTTCTCAACACAAAACCAAAACCATTCGATAACATGATGTTGACTATGGTAACCACCACGGTACTCGGTATTTGCACGCCAATCGTTCAGATCAATTTCCATCGTACCACACAAGGCTAGTTCTAATTCTCGTGCATCAAACATAGAAGAAATGAGTTTATTATCACCAATGATTTCATAAAAGCCTCGTACGAAACAATCGATTTGTTCTTGTACACCGCGTTCTATGCGCCACTTGATAATCAAATCGAGAAATTCACGTTTGTTACGTTCAGTCACTTGACAATTCTTTCCGTCGGGTTTTAATTCTTTTTCGATTATCTTACCACATTGATCTTCGTTGACATAGAAATACAAATCTTGATTTTCAACATTGTTTTCTTTAATCCACAGCAATGATTGATAAAATTCCGGATCGAGTGATTCTAAATCAGCCAATGTGAATGTTTGATGTTCGCGCAGTAACGCTTTATACAATGGACGGACAAGAAATGCATCAACAAGATATTGGTTTATTAATGCCACAGCTAGAAAAACAAAACATTTAAAAATCGAACGTTTTGGCTTCTTTGATGTTAAGTACAATGTCATTTCAAAGGACAAACTTCAATTATCATTTACGATGAAAGATATGACACAGATTTTGATCAGTAGACATACTCTGTCACGTATTGTAGGAAGGAAACGATGATAATTCCATTTTACCATTAGTAGTGTCTGTTGACCTTTTGCATTCGGTCATATTAGCAGGCACCACTCTTTTTTCAAAGTTCGATTTATCGATAGATAAGGAAGCAGCGAAAAACTCATTTATTACTGATTAGGAGTTACTACAAGTCATTTAGAGATAGACGACACGAAATTCGATTTTGTATGAGATGAAATACTTGAATTAGATTGACTAAGATTATTCTAACAATGCAATCCTCATCAATGCTTTTTTTATTGCATGAGAAGTTGTCTTCTGTATTCATTCGCACCTGTTGTCACGACATTGTCACTCATCTAAATATGCAATCTAGCCGATCTCGTTTGCATGGGAGAGCTGGATCTAACTAAATTCTCATTTATACGTACCGAGCATTCGTCCACCGAAACGCATCCATTCCGTATAGTTTTCATTAAATTTCGACATAGGACTAATTTGTAATGTGTATTGATCACTTGCTGAATATTCGAAAAAACCGTAGTATGGATTGAAGAATTGTCTCGACATTAATAGAAAAAATTCTCGTGATGGACCTCCATAATCCAAACCTTCCTCGCCGGCGAACGTGATAAATAATTTATTTCGTTGTAAGTCTTTTTTTGGTATTTGATTCATGAATTTTTCAAATGCATCCGAAAGAAGATTATTTCGTGAGATGGAAACTTTGGTCTTTGCCGGACCTGTTGCATAACCTTTGGAATCGAGTTTTTTATAGAAAGCACGAAGTTTCTGCTGAAAACATGGCCGACGCGATGAGGAAGATGACTGTTGACTTGATGAACGACGCGACGATGATGCCGATGACGATTTACCTTGTTCGACGATGAATGTTGTCGAAGTTGATGGCGAGATAAACGATGAGACAGATTGAGATGTTGTCACACTTGTCGATTGAGTTAATGGCGGAATATAAGACACGATATCTTCATGAAAGACACTAATGAGAAGACTTAAATCTACAGAATTTGACAGCGTATCCAACGCTCGAACACCTTCAGCTCGAATCAATTGAATTTTTTCACGTAGTTTGCTCGTCAATGGCACAAGCTAGAATAGAAGATACATCCGAGTTAATTATTTTGGAAGTCAATAGAGAATTTTACTTGATTTGCTTTGAGTAAATCAAATATCTGAGACTGTCGCATAAATGCCACGACTTTTTCGTTATATGTTAAACTAATGAGTTCTTGTTGTTTTCGATTAGTTCGCGATGTGACTGATGAGTTTTCATCAAAGCCACTCGTTGGTGGTAAGGCAATAGCTGCAGTTGGTTGCTGTTCATCATCGATTGGCAAACGCGGATCGATGTAAGTTGTCGAACGTGTATTATGATCAACGAAAAATAATTTTCCACTATCGTCATGTTTGACATCCCACCGCGCGGGTAAAACTCGCGTTGGATCAGCAAACAGATTGAGAAAACGTACGAGCTCTTTGTTATGTTGATATCGCTTGAAGAGCGTGGGATCATGGCGAATACGTTGAAGAATACCGGCTAATGAATCTGATTTAGTCATATGACGTGCTTCACGATGTGTTTTGAAGAATTGATAAAAATCAGTTCGACAAATGAATCTTAAAGCTGGAGTTGCTCGTATACACTCGTCGAGGGTTTGAACTGATGAAGAAGCTGTTGACGACGATGATGACGATGACGAGACGTCATTATTCGTAGTAGTTGAGTTACTATTATCAGTCGAGAGAATACTGGACGTGTCAACTACTGATGAACTTGTTGTACGAGTTGCTGCTGTGCGTCGAATACTTTGATACCGTTTATCCATACGTTCACGATCAATAGTGGGCGATGAACTAACAGGAGCAGCAGTTGTAGCAGGTACAGGAGTCACAATAGTGATAGCATTGGTAGCAGCAACTGCGCTAGCAACTGGAAGGCGAGGAGTCGAAACAGTCGATTGTGACTGTATCGTTGGACGTTGCCATGTTGTTGTTTTATTATTGTGATCGATAAAATACGGACGACCGAATTGATCAATGCGTGTTTCCCACCCAGATGGCAACGGTGGTGAAGCATTAATTACAGGTGAAGACGGAGGATCAGTATTTACATTCGGAGCTGACGGTGGTGGTGGTGATGTTCGAGTATCGACCGTGACTGATTTACGTGGCAATGTAACCATAAATGCAGAGTTATTCATTCTAAAGCGGACATTTAAAGAAAAAAAGAAGTCAGTTTTTGATAAAAGGCAGGAAATTAATAAGACGAAAGAGTCTCGAGGATTAGGGAGCATTTTCCATTTTCTCTAAAGACAATATTGACCTTGTATAGGAAAAAAACATACAACAGTATCTATTGGGGATTTAGCGTTGTCGTTTGCCATATTGTGTCATTCACAATGAATAAGCATATGTCGCTTATACCTCTGTTAAATGTAGAGAAAACAACACATTCTTCTCGGAACTCACCGTGGAATATCTTGTTGCGTGGACATATCATTCGTGTTAGGCATCGACATTGATGTACTCATTACTGGTGGGTGTTCAGCAACAATGAAAGAGGAGGACGAGCATATCAGTCGGGCGTTTTCAACTGGTGGGAGTATACTAGCAAGCATATTATCTGTTTCTTGTGACTGTGATGTCGGAGATGGAGGACGAGAATTGATTGTTTGTGACTCAGTCGTTAAGTTTTTATATTTCGATACTTGTTGTTTATGCCATTCTTGTAGTTCACGTGTAATTAGTTTTCTAAACAAACTCAAATACATAAATAAGAATTTCAAGTCAATAAACATACCGCGTTTGTTCTGCTGAGGGACAGTCAGTATGATTGTGGTTATTTGAACGAGCTGTATCCGCTGTTGTGATCGTTTGATATTTTGATTGAACACGATGTAAATCTTGAGCAGCTTGTCGCAATTCTATTAAAGTAAGATTGAAAACTTTCAAATAAAATAGACACAAAATTAACAAACCATTAGCATAGTCTAAAATTTGTTGAGACAGCACAATCATTCTCTCATTTCATTCAATCGAAAACGCCTACTAACAATAATGATTTTTACTCATCCGATGTCTGTGCGTTTGAACATCTTTCTCTTTCGTTCTTTATTTGATGAATCGTGTAAGCAGAAAAGAAAAAAGGAAAGAGAATCTACAAACAAAGATGACCCACCATTGCAAAAGTAAGCGAAGGAGAGAGAGAAGAAAAAGAGATCGGTCAATGAGACTCGCACATGTCATCAGATTGTTGAACTCTATAAAAATACTAGTAGTGGTAATAATAGAATGATTCGGAAAGAGGACAAACATTGATGCACGAGTTTCTTTTGTTTCTTTTCTCTATCGAGTAAAAAAAACTTGGTCAAGGATCAATTTATTGATCAACAAATGTCTGAGTGCATATATATTTCTTACAAATTGTTCATTTGAGACAAGAAGTAATCGAAAAAGATCGTTAGCAGAGAGAACATTACCGTCTTTTCAACTGAATTTGGTATTATTACATAATACAAATAAGAATGAGAAGGAGAGAAGAAAAAAGGGAAAATCATACTTCACTACGTTTGATTTGTGTTTAATCATCGAGCGGTCGGTTGACTGACAAACGTATCCATTCGAAAGTGCACAATAGAAAGATCATTTTCCTCTTAGAAAATAAAAGAGGCAATAAGGGAAAACCAAAGCGAGCGAGCAAGAACAATAGGTACCATTTTTCTATGAACGACGTAATACCGTTCACTCGCACTATACAATGAAGACACTGATTGATCTAAGAGCTAATCAAGAAATGGATACATCAAAGAATTTCTCTCGGAAATAGATTAAAATAAGATCTCATTAGTTATTTCCGAGTATGGTGAAAATTTGATAACCAGAAAATGTCGAAAATCAGCGAATTTGATTTAGTCTAGGACCTATTCGAACAATATGCTTATGTACTATTCAAGGTCATATAAGAAATATCAAGAGTGACGAAGATCGATTTACCTCGTGATAATGTTCGAACACTTTCTTCGTTAAAGCAGCTGTTACTATTATGATGATGATGATTGTAGACTGAAGAATGAAGACGATTTCCAGTTGTTTGTAAATTATTTTCTGAGCCTGTTGTTGTCGATTGATGTTGACCATTTGGCTTAATAATTAACAGTTTATTCGTTGAATTGACAGGTAATTGTAATGTTCGATAAGCATCGTGATGTGAGTGATGATGATGTTGTTGTTGAAGCATTGGTGTTGTTGTTACTATACTTGATGATCGTGGGATACGTGGAGGGAGTAAGGTCGATGATGAATAGCAATGCTTCAGTTTCTTCTCTGTCGATGAAAGAACAACGATATTAGTTGATCCGACATCGCAATTATGCGACGACGACGACGACGACGGCGCGTCTTCTCTCTCTTCTTCTTCTTCTTGTCGTTGTTGATTGTCATCAATGTTGTTCTCGTTTAATACTACTACTACTTCTTCTTCATTTGCTTCGTGTTCTTCATTATGTCCTTGGTATGATGATGTTACAGAACAATGTGTCGGTACAGTCGTAGTTATTCGAGGTTGATTGGAAGGATTATCCAACAACATCTGATTAGCATCATTCGTTATTCCATCGTCTAGAGATAAATATGAAAGAAAATGAACAACTATCCGTATTGTCAATGACAAGAATGTCGTATTGAGAAGAACAGACAGAAGATCAATCTGATTCCTAACATTCTCTGCTTTCTTTTCCATTAAATGGCATCATCATATCTAATGTATGTTCACGTCTGAGCATCGATATATATATATATATACAACATGTAAAGAGAGATAAATAACCTCGTCTACGACGACTGTCAACACCTCATTCATCCTTCCCTCCCTCTTCATCATTATCTTGCATAATCATAAGTAGAGTAATATCAGTCTCCCAAGGCGAGTAGACGATGGCAGCACGAGCAACAAAAAATGAAGGTCTCTACAGGAGGTCCAAATCACAACTGTTTATACCTATGATAGTGTTATCCGATGATGGTGTTAATGATTCATCTATGGATTGCGTTGATGAACGATTCACGAGTGAATCGTCAGTTGAAGAAGAAGAAGAAGAAGATATTTGATTATCTCGTTGATCATCCGTATTCTAAATGAGCATAAAAAGTAGTAAATTAACAGCTAAGATGCAAACTAGATTTACAGATGAATATTGAGATACGTTTTCTTCTTCGACAGCTTCATTTGTTGTTTGTTCGTTGACAGGAGGCGATGAAAGATTATTATCTAGACAAAGGAATTTTCGATATGATCATCGAATTATGCAAATTATGTCTTAAATCCTATCAAATCTCTCGTCTTACCATAACCATCTGTATTCGTCACAGAACTTTCCAATGTAGATTCAACGTTTTCTACAATTGGAGTTGAATCCATTAAAGGTCTTGACAATGTTGGTGATTCACCTAAAATTGATTGTATATTTTCAAGAAAAATAATTATGAACACGATACAAACTTCTAATAAATGCAGCATTGAACATTAAACAACCACTAACATGATCGGAGTAATTCCGTCGTTGAAGATTGAATACAAACGTTGATGAACTAAATGAAAAACTCGTTCGAACAATATCGTGATATTTTCAAGGAAAGAAAGTACTTTTTATTTAGTTTATCTAATAAAAATCCAATTTGAACCGTTATTTTCCCGAGAAATCGATTCATCGTAGGTCTCGTTTTCACAAATTTGTCCTTTACTTCGAACTCCAACAAATCTGTATGAAATGTTTGAAAAGTAAACGATTGATTGTACCATTTGGGATGACACTAAACAGACAAACGTGCATTTTCTTTTCTCGCCTTTGCACTACTTTTTATTACCGTATTCGGTATCACATTCGTTCGTTTTTCTTGATTGTAAAAATGCGATGATATGCGAAATTGCTTGTGTAAACGGCCAGCAATCAACGAAACTTTGATGTATGGATCAGGTTTGAAAAAGACTCCACGTTGTAAATTCGTAGCATGAAGATCTAATCATCAATAAAAGGAGTCTATTGAAATATAAAACAATGATTTTTACCATAAATTTTTATGGATATAGGTCGAGTCATGTTGTCGATTGATGGTATGTGATTATTACCATGAATCAATGGTATCAGTGATGATTGAGCTTTAATTTCTCCATTGATTGAATTGTAATATTGGAAACAAACAGTATCAACTAGATGAGTATATAACGAAAACGAGAAATTCTCATGAAATGATTACCATTCACTAGCTTATTGATTATTGTTTGTGTACAATGCCAATGGTACTGGCCGATTTTGAGAGCGTTTAAATTATTATAAATATTTTCGACAACATCATTCGGCGTTAATTTATCTAGAAAAATTTCGAAAAGTCAATTTTTTCTTCAATGTTTGTCGTTTGTTACCTGGCAGAAAGATTCCAATAGAATCATGTGAAGTGATGACATTATCATAAATATTCCAGGCGAGTGTCACAATCGTCGAAGTTGATAAACAGATTTGTTCAGGCGAGATAGTCAAAAGTGATTTATGCAAATTCGAAGGAAATAAAGGCGATGGTGTAGATATTAAATCGTGATGAAAGGTTTGATGAGATTGTGCTCGTTGTTGTTGTTGTGATTCAGATGCTGGCATGATAAATGTCAATTGAATTGAAACAATTCAATCGCTATGTTAATGAGAAATCGACATTAAATCGAGGGGAATACAAGGTCAATAAGGCTATGGAACTTGTATATGTACATTTTCAGACTAAAGGCAGATGGAAGTGCGATAATAGAAATGAAACATGATCCGATTATGTGAGACGAGTTGAAGAAGAATGCTCGTAAAATTTAAATTCAACCTGCTTGTCTATCTGTTCTGTTTCTTCTCGATCGTCCAACCTTGAAAGGCAAACCTCGATGAAGTAATACAAAACGGACAAGTAACCAGAGTAATGAATCATAGAGGGCGTTGCGAATCGGTCGCCCATTCTTTGTTTCAAATTGGACATCAATTGAAGCAATTCTTCATTTCCATATCAAACTGGTTGACTAACGATGAACCATTTTGAAATTCGCATTTAGCAATTCGAACGAGTTCTATTGATTCGATGAGCACAATTCATACGTTGTCAGATATCATTGACTGCTAGGAAAGTTGAGAGGATATTTTGGGAAACAAGAATCAATGTTTTTCTTCAATGGTTATCGAATCTTTTGTTTATAATCATTGGAAGAGTATCTTAGCGTTCGAACAAAATACGATCATATATCCTTGGGATTTCAATTTTCGTCTACAATATTCACTTTGATTTTCTTTCTCTGTTCTGTCGAAATGTAATCCGACCTATTCTTTGATCGATGATAAAAGATGAATGGTAGATTTTGTTGTAATAGTCTGCATTCAAACTGAGAGTTAAGTGCACAGATGACATAACTCACACACACATACACATATCGAAGTATTCGACTTCATTCATCTCAATGATTGTCATCAGTGTCAATAGACTCAGTATGAACTCGAACATCAATCAATTATCAAACACTTTCATCACGAGTTTTCTGATAGTTATCATTCGTTACGCGAATGATCAAATGCATATTTCTTCTTCTAATGACACACTGTATTAGTCGTTTACAAACATATACTAATCGTATTGCTAATCAGAGTCGTATATACTTCTAACATTGTTGATATTTCTCTTGAAACAAATGGTTTTTCTTAAATACAAAATCAAGCCATCGACGTGTCATATCTTCAAGCCTAAAACGTTGATTTGTTTATATGAGTGTGACGTACAAAGAAATAGTAATATGTTCCATTTGAAAATGTCTCTGAGTCCTACTAACCGTTGCGTCAAAGTTTAACAAGTTCTTGTTTTGATAAAATCTTTTCGAATCGAAATTAATCAATCAGAAAATATACAAGAAAATCGACAATCTTCAATTGGCGAAAGCTCTTCTTATAAAAAAAAAGCAGAACTATATCTGTAACCTTCGAGCAATGACTGATACCATATATCGATGTTTGATTAGCAATGCCAGACATGTACATCTTAATTGTTAAGTACAGAAGTAAACTGTACTTGTAAGAGTTAGTTCTAAATAGTTTTGGTCATGATCAATCGATCGTGTTGTTTTTGCGAACAATTCGAGAGAAGTGATGAAAAGTGTAGAAATCATCATTGCTTTTCTATTGTCAAAACAAAAGAGAGAAAAGTTTATATTCAAGCATAGTTTCATGTCAATCACTTGTTCAATGGCGAGAAAAGTCAAACAGAGCAAGAATATGAAAAAAAAAGAAAGAGAAAACGAGGCAATTCATGTGAAATTCATATTGCTTTCATACACAGATAAGAGATACACTAAAGTAGAATAGTTTTCATAAAATAAAAGACAAATGTATGCATAAGATTGTTAACATGAGATGTGTTCTGTAAGAGATTAGTAAAACAAAATAAAGGAAAAGATGAGAAAGTGAAAGGAAGTTTTGTATATTGTTGTCGTTTTGGTTTATATGTATACGTGGAATCGATTTCGGCATTTCAAGTGTATTGTGAAAGAGGACGTTTATTTTTCTAACTCTTTTCGAACTCGATAGCCACGATAAGCAGCCTGATATAATAGAAGAAATCATTTTCAAGACAACCGACACATGAGAATATGATGGGTTTTACCTGAATTCTAACAGCAGCTGCATTATCTTCTTCTTCTTCTTCTTCGCCGGCTGGAACTTTATTGCCTTCAGCTGATGGTGATAAAACTAGATGAAACTAATACAGTCACATATGTTGATTATAATAGACATACTGTTCTTATTTCGTGCATTATCGTGTTCTTCATGCGCTTGGGAAGAAGTTGATGATGATAGATGATCTTGTTCATGGCCAGATGATGGAACTCCTGGATGAGAGCCTAAATCTTTTCGAGTTTTGTAACCCCGATAGGATGCTTGGATGCGTGTTGCTGCTTTTTCAAGATTTGGATCGCTCATATCGTCGATTTCAAAGTCGTCGTAGTGTTCTTGGATAGGTTCAGAATTCGAAGTAGATTCAGTTCGATGATGTACCTGCTCACTATGTCCGTTTTTGTCTAAAGGGTACAAAATACTAATTAAAAGACAAAAACAACGTTTCCTATCTGTTAATAATCACAAACATCGATTAGTCTTTATGTCTATTTCTTTCCTTTTTTTCTTTCTACATATGTTTGTCAAAGAATTATTTTGTGTTTATTTCCTCGTGTAATGATGGTTGATTAATATTTTTTTTTGTACGAAAGATAGTGACCTTTTTAGTCCTACTTGTAGAGATATAATTTGATTTGTGACGACGTCATTTCTAACCTCTTAGAACTTTCTTATCGAAGATAGATAGATCGATCGATCGATCGAACTCATCTGATCAATCATTAACTATCGAGATCCGCTAAAACTAATACCACCAAATGCCAATGATATCTTTTACATTACATGCACATTTTCTTCGAAAATAACGCGAATGTCAAATCTAGTCGAGTATAGTCTAATACCATTCATCTGACGTCGATGGTTAAAGCTGGAAAACCATTTCTTCGATAGATATTTCTCTTAACAAAGAAACTACGTATAATGTTCTTTTTCTCTGATCTTGTACGAGTGCAACTAATGATGTCTCAACATTACTGGAAAGAATGAAAACATTTCTGCATCAGATGTAATTGCCTTGATGACAAAAGATTAGCGTAATACAAAACGGGTGTACACTATGTTCTAAACATTCAGGTGGAAAGAAATCGAATAAGAAAGAACATTAGATCAAGAGTCAAACAAACAAATCTCTCCCAAACGAGAGAGTGGGGAAAACAAATATATACTACGGTTACTCATGCTCTCAAAAACAATCTCTGTCTCCTTATTCTTATCTCATTTCAAGTATTCCGATGGATTCGTCTTTCTCGAAGAAGGTTTTGTATATTTACCTATACAATTCGATTTGGTCTTTGCAATGTGAACAGAAGTATTTATATGAATATCGATAGTTACTTGCGTGATAAATTCTTCGAAGAAACGATTCGGTTTTTTACGTCTGTCTATCTATCTGTCTATTGAATGTAAAGAATACAAACAACATTCGTTGGAGTTATATCGTGCTGATATTCTTCTTCCCTTCTTTTTCTCTCCTTTTCTTCTATCGATAAGCAATGATGCTATGTTGCTTAAGACGGTTCCCTATCCATATATCGTCGGTGGGCGAAGTTTTTCTCCGGCATCATTCTTCTTCCACGACAACAACAGCAGCAGGAGGAAAAATTATACCCACGCACTTGGTAGTAATGAACTGTTTTTTGACATATATAGATCTGATCTGTCACAATGATCGTACCAAAACATGAGAATGATGTTGTCATCAACTATCACTTCATTTCTCCAATAAGATTAGTATAAACGTATTCGACTTACCGGTTTTCATCTCATCGATTGATGTTATATTATGATGATGATCATTGAAATGAGATGATGGTTTGTCATCATCAGCAGAAAGTACCTGAAAAGAAATAAGTCTGTGATTATTCTCTAAATACGAGAACTGATTAATCAAGTAGGAAATAGGATTAGTTTTGTTTCCTTTCTCTTTCCAACAGCTTACCATTAAGTGTTTAGTAAAATGCTTTTATCAGAGCGGTTACTAATATTGAGACGATTATCGTATTACTTCTACTTAGAGATGCATGACATGTGCAAATATGTACCTTTTCTTGTTTGTCATCGGATGTTTCTCGGAGATGCTTTCGAATTTTATAACCACGAAATTGTGCCTATACGTACATAAGCGAATATGGAGCAGATTAAGGTGAGAATATCGGCGATTTACTTGAATGGATACTGCGGCACGCTCTTGTTCGCGTTTTTCCTCTTCGCTGATGTTTTCATTGTCGAAAATCTAAAGGAAGAATGGCGTTTTTCAGACTTCTATCGGAAACATTGTTTATTTACGGCATCCTGATGTGCATTTGATATGTCCGATGGTTTCTAAATCGAATATATAATTTGTTTCATTGGCATCTTACAAAAGAAATTACTTGGTATTCATCGCTGGGTGTTCGGGATTGTTCATCATCATAATTTGATTCGTCTTGATTAGAATGAGTAATTCCGTCCGACTAGAGGATAAAAGTTTATCTTTTGCAAAGAAGAGAAGATTACGCTTCTTTCACCCACTTTTTCTTTCATTTTTTCTAATTCTCGTCTGGTTTTGAATCCACGAAATTGCGCTTGAATTTTTGTTGCTGCATGTTGAACGTTCGGATCGTCCACGGGAAACTCTTCCTGAATAATATTACAAAGCAGAATAAATTTCGCTCTGTACTCAATCATCAATGATACAAACTTCAAATGTATGATTATGTTCATGTGTCTCGTCTGCGGCTCTCTGATTGTGCGATGCATACGATTCTTCGCCATGTTCTAAATGAGAATATCATTCAAAGATGATTGATTTTTTTTTCATCTTTGGAAAAGTTACTATTTCATCAATCATAGGAGCGGAATTCTCGCTATAGTGATATCGCTGAACGATCAACAGAAAGAAACTTTTCAAACACTCATATTCGTTTTCGCGAACCGATATGTATGCATAGCTTTGTGTTCGATTATTAACGGAAATAGAATTTACGTGTATTTTGCCTTTAACGTGTCATAACACTTTTCCTCATTTATATAAATGTCACATTCATATACGCACAACTAGACAAGACGAACAACAACAATAAGAATAACAAATTGCCCTAGATAGAAAAATTAATAATTATAGTGATGAGAATTGAAGAAAGGAACACAAGAAGCCAGAAGACGAAGAAAACGAGAATTTGTTCGATTTAAGTTTGTTTCGGATGAATAACATCATTAAAACTATTCAATACTTGTTCAGCCTTGCGCCGGATATCATCGGGTAAATCAGCAGGAATGTGATGTTCATTATTTTCCAAATGAATAACACTATTCGGTACGTCGGTCGTTGTTTCACTTGCGGAATTGACGACTAACGCCGATGAGCCATCGACAAAAATTTGTCGTACTGTTTTGGTTACTGTTACATTAACAACTTCATGTTCATTGGTTTCAGCATTCAATGAATTCAAATCCAATGATGGTCCCATTTTATCGTAGAGTGCTTTCAAGAACGAATTATCGGAGGATTGAGATGCGACATAGATAGTTACAATATTCATGAGACGCCGTTTGATTTTGTCGTCATTATCATTGTCGGGATGTTTGTGTTGTTGAATATCATTGAAACATTGCTCGAGGCTTTGATCAATCAATGTATTATCGTTTGTACCGCCAATAATTCTTTTATGAACATAATCAACGAGTTTTTGTTTCTCTTCGGCAATGGGAAAGATTTTCTCGCGAAGGAACGTGTACACTTCTTGTTTGAGTTTGTCAATGGTCTCGGCACTCGAATAAGATACATTTGTTTCGAAATTTGTTTTGACGGTTGTACGCTCGTCGTTATCGTTATCTTGATTAGATGGTATTGCTTGTTCCGTTGATGAGGGTGGTGCTTGTGACGAAGTTGTTGTATTTAACTTATCTTCGGAATCAATAAACGGAACATTAGCAAATTGATCGGCATTATTGGCCGATGTTTGGTCAATAGGCGAATCCTTTTTATTGTTATGATCTGCATTTGTTTGATCAGCTTTCAAATGTTTCTCTTTGTTCTTTCTTGATTTTGATGTGCATGCACCCATTTGTCTGCCGTTAATGTCTTTTCACTTTGTTCCTTGTTTTTTTTTTCGAAGATTGCTTCACTTAGTATTGATCAACGTAAGAAAGGAACAGAAGATGAAAATGGCAGTCGTACTGGTAATAAAAGAGTGTTTTGTCATTAAGGCTGTTCTCGCTCTTCTTCTTTTCTTTTTCTTTCTTTCTTGTTGTCTCTTTATGTTTCTCTTTCCTTTTTTTTTTCGCTGTGAATTTCTATACTCGCAAAAAAAGAACGAGAAAAGAAGAGAAATTACTTCTCTTGTATCAGATTGATGAACTTTTTCATCAACACGCAAGCTGTTGCTTGCATGGCATCCATAAGTCGAGGGGCCGTTCGCGGGTCGAGAGAGAAGGAGAGCGCACACGAGGAAAAGAAAAAGTAGCAACAGAAGCTTCTTTTTTCATTTCAAAATAAATTACATGTACGCCTCGGGTCGAGCAATTCCAATTTCTCTTCACTCCTCTTCTTTTCCTGTCGCATATTTTGCTCGTTTCGCCTATGACTTTGATCCTCAATATGTTATAATTCTCGTGAGGCATTACTCATTCTCATTTCTTCGTACACTCATCTACGTTTTTTCTTTATCTCTCACTATCTAACATATAAACAAAGGAATAGAAGTTTCATTTTCAACTTACATATACGAAGAGAATTTGTACGCAGATACTTTGGAGAATCTTCATAATTGTTCCCTTTTTATCATATGAATAATCGATCGGAAAAAACACAAGGCGAATAGCATCCTGTTGAATAATACGAACAAAGCATCCCTGCACCCGATGTGTCTCTTTACTTACAATGCATGTCAGAAGAAATTACTTGATTAGAAATATTATCATTCGAAATATCAACATAAACAGACGACTTGAACTTAAGATGTTTGTACGAGTAACGCTTATATATAGGCAAACACGGAACTCTCAATAAAGAGGAAATTCTATCTGAATAAGATAGAATTTGTAAGACGAAGAGAAAGAAAACGATCGAAGGGTCATCATCAATCGATAGTTGTTCATATTGATGATGCTTGCGTGCATACATCCGCCAGTGGTGATGATGATGATGATGATCGACGATCCATTAGCACTATTCATTATTCTTCTTCTCTTCGCTGAGCAGAGAGCCTACTCAAGCGAATACTGTTGCGTGTCCAATAAGAACAAATGTTTTTTTTACTACATTACATCAAACTCTATTGTGAAGATCATCAAGACTGTCATTAACTTTCTCTTTTTTGTTTAACACTTCGTTCAAGTATTTGACTTATTATCATCGTTAGTAAAGTAACGAAAAATACATCAGCGTAAACCATTGACACGCGATTCAACCAAGCGAAGAAATCAGATATTTTTTCACCTAAACGCTTTGATGCGATGGTGATCGATAGTTAAATATTATTCAAGGTTATACGAAAGAAAATATCAATATGAAGAAGAGAAAGAATACCACACACACACACACACACACACACAAATAATGATACAATCCTACCTCTGCGTTGGAGTAATTTCTCGAAATAATCAGCTGCAAATTCAGGAATGTTTTTTGGTTGATTGCGAAGAATTTCGGTTGAAAGACCGACAAGGAGGCTTTGAAAACCTTTCGGTAGACGTAATTTTGCTGTTGAAAATCGATTAACCATCGTAATGTTTTTTCAAAAAGAAGATGTGCAAAACAAATCTCGAAAGATTCCTCTACAAATACAGAAACTCCATCAAAAACTAATAAAGAAGTGATCTCCACGACAAGTAAAACCACTTGAGATTAGAAAATGACAATGACACAAGAAAGAGAAAAGAGTGCGATATTACATACATGTATATTTGTATTTATATAAAAATAAGCAGCGGAAACGATAGCGTGCATTGACAAACCGTAGGCGGCGAACATCAATGCAAATGGCTCAATGACAAAATCCAATGGTGAGAAAGAACAAACAGAGGTCGCAATTTCGATGAAATCATCCAGTTTTCCTATTAAATATACCTTTCGGGAATAGAAGTATTCTCCAATGACACGAATAATTCAATTCGTTTATTTATCACGAAATACATTTGCACTCGCATTTCATTCGTCTATATTTTGAAATAAGATATATTTATTTACTTTCGTTCGTTTTACGTTTCCATGCGATTAATATGACATTCGTGTAACTACGCCATACATTACGTCGAGAAATTCTTTTTCAGACAGAAACATTCCGTTGTCTTTTGAAATGACTGATAAATCTGCTGCAACTTCCTGTAATGAGTAAATTTTCTCTCGTGCGCATGAAAAAGACTGACGACAAATTTTAATGTTTCATAGCAACAACTGATAATTGGAATGTCAATTACTCCAAAGCACAAAAGATACCCTCGCCTAATTACACACCAAGCCGAACAAAGCCTATCACTGTCAGACAAGAAAGAAAAAAAGACAGATTTTTAACAGTAACTTGCATTTTAAAAACTTTCTTATTTATAGTGTCTTGTTCTTCATGGAACAGCTGGTGGTGGCACAATCGAATGGTTCTTAAATCCTGCAAGTAAAGTTTCAAGTCATTACGTTGTCGGACAAGATGGTCGAGTGACTCAAATGGTGCATGAAAGTGACATTGCATGGCACGCTGGTGTTGTTTCACCAACATCAGTCTTCGCTAACAAAGGCAATCCGAATCAATTCAGTATCGGAATTGAATTTTCTCGGAATAAAACGAATGATAATATCATGCCCGACGTACAAATCTCATCCGGATTGGACTTAGTAGAAAATATTCGCACACGTTATCCAAATATTGTCATTTACTTTCACGATGAGATTTCCATTGGACGGATTTGTCCAGGACCAAATTTTCCCAAAGAAATTTTTCGATCATAAACCGATTATGTGTGAGTTTGTTCTTGTCAAAGTGATGAATTTTGCTGAGATAGTGTCTGAATAGGACAAGATGTGTGACATAACTTCATGCGAGTAAATGTTATTGATTAGAAGAACTATTCTCTTGTCGTTTGACACATTTGTTCACTGTGTTAAATTTGCAGTCGACTACTATTAGAGGAAAAAAGAACAATTGCCAGATCTTTCATTACGTGGATAATTATCTGGAGGGTATGGAAAGAGACATGTAAAGAAGGTCGAACGAGGAGATAAGTCTTTGAACAAAAAAAATCCTATTCATATGTCAGCACTTTATATGGGGAGAAGTGCCAGGAAAGAAGTAAAATGAGTATAGAGAAGAGAGCTTGACGGTGCTCATTTGGAATTTGATGAACAACGGACTTGCTTATTAATAACACTTCCTTCTTTTTCCTTACTCTACGAGTTGATCATGATTGTAGAGTCAAGATTATAAAATCTCCCATAATAGACAAATAATAGAATTTGATTAATAGATTCTCAGTGAACATTTTTTATTCTCTTTTCAACAGAACAAAAACTTGGATTCTATTCGTAAAATCGGGTAGATCTGACTTGAGAAAAATCGGGTTACATTTCTAACGATCACCTCGTCCACGTCCGCCAGCTACACCACCACGATCATAACCTGGTGGACCAGCACCACGACCGCCTGGTTGTCCACCGAATGAATTCATAGGTGGTCGACCACGTGCTCCTCGTCCACGAGCAATTTGCGCACGTAAAATAGCTGATTTACCTCGGCCTGCACCACCTTTAACACCACGCATATTTTTGAACATTGGTGCATTCTTTAAAAAGAAATCAAAAGAAAAAAAAAGATGTCCAGTAAATCGTTAAGAATGTTTACTTTTAACATATCAGGAAAAATCATAAATCGAATTTTCGATCCACGAACGTAGATGTATTCAAGTTGTGCTTGTCGACCATCTCGATAGGTAACAGTAACATTCGACAATTGACAATTCATATTGTCTTCAGCTTCAATTAGTTTACCACGATAGACTTCTGAAGTTACAGATTCGATCGTTACCACATGTCCTTCAGCTTCATGAAGAATTTTAATCGGAACACCAATCGACATTTTTTAGCTCTGAAATCTAAAACCAAAGGAACAATTGACTCAATCAATTCTTATTCTCTTGAAATCGATAAAGCACTTGTACAGACAGGCAGACAAATGTGTTTTTTATCTGCTACAGATATGACTGATTGATTCATCTGGCCTGTAAAAACCAAAATGAAGAATCCATAAATTATCTTTCACCGTATTGTAGATGTCGTTGGTAGGTGTATACATCCCACATATATGAATCAATCACTTTTTTACGTATATCTCAGCTATTTATAGATTCTACTCGAAAAACATAAGGAATGTTATTGACAAAGCAACTGATGTATATCTGATGTGATTTATTGAACGTCGTTTCATGGACCAATGTTGTACAATCCATATATGTCTTTTGAAAGCGGATGCTCAATCTGAACAATAAGTCGGTCGATGAAGATCTTCCGGTTCAATGATTTTTAGTAGATAGATCAAGAGGAACAAATTTTATGACTTTTCAATGAGCTCGAATTATCATAATTGATTTTTCTTCTCCCACTTTCATTTCCTAGATGAATTTTGTTAATGAAGCGGAAGAACTATATGATAATCATAAAGACCGAGAAAACAAACAACAATTCTTGATATTTAGAAAACATGGTTTTTTTTTCTCCTATTGCTTAGAAGAATTGAGCAGAAAAATAAATGAGTTCCTTCGAGATTTTGTTCTTTTTACAAAATGAATCCGCGGAGAGATATTTTTTTATAATGCAATTCATTCGACAAGGAGAATGAACTTAAAAGAGTAATGATTCCTTTTTCTCATCGAGAGAGAGACGTATTTTATTTCAAACTTGTTGGTTTCTTGAGCGATAGAAGAAGATTTATGATTATCTATCTCTTGTATGACAATTCACATCATTCTTCAATCTCAATTTCGAATCAAATTGATTGATGAGAAGATATTCTTTTCTGAAAAGATCGTTTCTTTGAAAACACACGTTCATTACACAAAACTAGTCAATAAAAAAATAAATTATGCGACAAAATCACGTTATCCCGAGCCAATTATTTTGGAAGATTGGTTTTCGAATGCTAATGCATCACTGGAAAGATCCATTCTGCTATTATCAGCCGGAGCCTTTTTCTTAATGCATGAACTTGTCTTTCGAATCGTTGATGATATTCTCAGTACCGGCGAACGAATTCGAAGTGATTCGCTTTCATCGAAAAGCACGAGTAAACATAGAATGCAGATAATCCAAAATCGGATATTGAAGAGACCCATCGTATCTGGTCAAAGTCGTTAACTTTTTTATAGTATATATTTTCGATGTCTATCGTTTAAATACATTTCGCTCTAATTAACGTCTCTCTCTCTCTCTCCCACGAAAAAAAGCACGTGGAATTACTTTTACACATATTTGCTCAATAGAGAAGCTACCTTTTTCTTCTCGCTTGATTTACTTCAGTTTTTTGAATACATCTAGTGTGTTGTCATATGGTCATCACGTAAACACACTGTTTTCTTTCGTATAAATCTTTATTGTGAAAATCTTGTCATTTGATTTACGTTAACGATTAATTAACAGACTGTCAAAAGCGCACATGTCAAACTTACTGAAACACAGAAAAAAAAAACAAACCAGTGGGTGTAGGAATATTGTACAACAAAGAACTAACGGAATAGAGAAATATATTCTTGATTTTATACTGAGTGGATTAAAACACGAATCAAAAAGGAGAGTAATCTACATGTATGCATACATATTCAATGAAAACAGAAGAAATTCAAATAAAAATAGCTAACACCGAGTTATCTACTGTGGTCAATAACCATAATGATAATCTTTACAATTAGATCCTGTCGTTGTTGGATTATCAAGCTAGAGATGAACAGAGAGAAAAGATTTCAAATTTTACGATGTGATCGAATGAGAAAACGACTTCCCGGTTTACCTGTGATATCGCTGTGGAAGGTGATTGTTCTTTTTTTATACCAGCTGTCAAACCTGTACGAATACAATAGCAATGCAATGAAACGTTGGAGGCGGCGGGGCGGTCAAGCGAGAATGAGTTACCTGAGGAAAATTTTGTTTGCCATTTTGGATTGGTTGGTGCACCATGTGGGGCGAGAAGTGGGGAATTGCCCATAAATTGATGTGGATCATCTACATTTAAACTTTGTCCATAGTCACTAGGAGCTTGTTGTTGAAAACGTTGATTGAGATAAATGAATAGACCCATGAATATCAAACAAATAAAACCATATGCACGAAATGTGATATCAGTACCGAAATAGGATGCGAAAAAGCCGCCGAACAATGCACCACATCCTCTTCCAAAGCCAAAATGAAAACCTTGCAAAACTCCTTGACATGATAAACGTAAACTTTCCGGTGCAGCTTGAGACAAGTACGAACATGCCGTCGCCCAAACAGCAGCATGAGTCAATCCTTAACAAATATGATTTTTCCTCTTCCTTTAAATGCATGTAAATATCTTTACCTTGAATAAATTCAAATGGTAGCACCCACCATGGATTTGTAATGATAGATATATAAACAAAGCGAACAAAATTGCCTAGTAAACCCAAATAGAGAATTTTAATATGACCAAACCGATGAATAAGTTCGTGGAGAAAGAAGTAAGCGAATAGTTCACTCGTGTGATTAATTACCGAAGCCACACCTAAAATCAATCGAAGGAAATATGATACAATGAAGAATTATTTTTCTTTTTCTCAACGTTTCGTTGTGTTTTATCATTTTGATTAGTTCCTGTAAGAGTGCGTGATGAAATTTTCTTTGTTACTATTATTTCCTGCTATTATACGTGGAAGAAAATAACGAGCATGTCTCAAAATAACTTCCAGAAGTCTAGTCGAATGAGCTTGCTCAATGAGACAAGGAATTTTCTTTGATTAATTTCTCATTACCAAAGAGAGTGGGCGAACCGCCTAGATCTTGTAAATGCCAAAATAAAAATGTAAATACCAGGCCAACACCACAACCCATCCACCTAGATAAAAAACAAGAACCCTTGTTCATTCTAATTTTTCTTTTTGAAGTATACCATGCAATGAATAAAAACGTTCCATTTTTCAATGTCGTAAAAACTTGAATAAGTTGCATTAGCTTCATTGCACTCGATGCTTGATAGGATTGTTTGATGTTCACATGTACTTGTTGGTCATCGTTGATGATACTATGAATGTTACGTTCGTTTGTACTCAATCTCGAAGTTGGATATACTGAGCGTTTCAAATCTTTATTCAGTGTGTTTAATGGTACTTCTTCAGATGATTCGTATGAAAATTGGAAACGTGTCGCCGTGATTAATGCAAATGTCATACAAATACTGAATGCAGCAAAACAAACGGTGTAATTTTTTTCAAGAGGTCCACTTGTTCCACAAGCGTAAAATGTCAATGATTTTGATTGATCTAAATAACATTGTCAAAAGAAAAAGAAAAAAGCTTGGTACTTTCTTTCTTGTACTACTCCTCTTTTGAACTTACCGAGTATCATAGCGACGATGAAGATTGCTAGACCCCATCCTAAACTTCCAAACATTCGTTGCCGTCCATACAACTCGGTATCTTGTCCCAGATGAGTCAAAGTGCAGGCATCCTAAACAAAAGAAAATTTCATTATGTCCGAAGATGGGAATGACTTCCTACCGCTAATGTAATAGCCGGTGCGCTGAAGAATTCGCCAATTATGATGAGTAATAAGAAAACCATGAAGACGTTGCGCACATCCTTTTGGTCGTATAGAACAGGCGATGCAAGTGGCTTGACAAGTGAAAGATTGGTTAGGGTGATTTCAATAGGGTTTCCCATGGTCTTTTGTGGCGTATTGACGTGTAATAGATTACTTGAACCAACTGGTTTTTTATCAGATTTGGATTTGGATTTAGGTTTGGAGGTGGTTGTTGTTGTTGTTCGCCGTGCTGTTGGTTTACGACCTTCATTAATTGCATCGTCTTCTTCACCACTTTCCACATCGTCATCCTCCTCGTCGTCATTATCAATTGGCGCTTTAGTTGTCGGTTTTTTCGTTACAGTTGTAGCAGCAGTTGTGGTCGTCGTTGTTTTGCGTCGGCGGGATGATGACTTAGTTGTATTAGTCACACGATTCAGAGTTGAGCTGAGAACATTCTTAACAAGTGGGTTCGTTTGATTTAAAACCAACTCTTTTCCTTGTTCAATTAAATCGTTTGTTTTCTCAATATTTTTCAATGAAATCATGGGCGTCGTTACAACTTGTCTTTTCATTTGATGTTTCGTCAGATATTTCTGTGTAGTTGTTGCATATCCTACACGTTCGATGCCTTGATGTGTAGCATTCATTTCTCGCCAACATGAATGTGGCGGAGGTTTGATGAGACCGATGGCAACAGTGAATACAATCCACGATAGAAGTGCCATGAGAAGGATATTTTTTGCTTGTCGAAAGCGTGTCGACACGACGCTCCAAAATGGTGCCGAGAAGAACTCCACAAACGGCCTGCCGAAGAGATGAGTCAATGCTAATCAGTTTTTCGACGAAAATAAAATTTCCGATAGGATGGAATTTTCATATTTCACTGGAAACGACTTTCAGAGAGTCACTTAGTGAAAGAATTCTAATTAACGTGTAAGTATCTGAACTTTATGAGCAATTCTTTTTAACTGAGTAGATGTTTCAAGTGCTATTTACTGTAAAAGAGAAGGAGATTGAGACAGTGTAATTACATAAAAAAGTACTTTACATTAGACAAGACTCTTTTCTGTTCCGTTCTCTTTCTCTTTCTCTTTCTCTCTCTCTATCGGCAGCATTCTTCAAAAACAAAATCATATGCTCAATTGAAATTTTCTATTTACCGAAAACCCATGAGAATACCACAATAGGATGGACCCATGCCCATTTGTTTGAAATAGATTGAAAGCAATGGGAAAAGTGAACCGAATGCAGCAAAGTACCAGAAATAAAATAGTTTTGCGTACAATAATGTTCGATTCACATTGGCTGGGAGAGAATCGATCAAGTTCGGTGCATTGCGTAAGATTTTCGGTGGATTGTGCAATATCTTCGTACCGAACAGATTTCCAAGACGTGAAGCTGCCGAGCTTCGTTCATTATCGTATTCATACAATTCAGTCTGATCGTGGTCTTGCTGTTGTCGATAAGGATCACGCATGTTCTGATAATATCCAGTCGTATCCATGATATTTCGTTGAAAATCAGTATCTTCAAGGCAAATCAAATGTTCGATATCAGTTCATCGCCGATTTCATCTAATTACTTATTTAACTTGCGATTATATGAACAAAGAAGATGAAAAAAAAAGATAAAGAAGAAGAAAGAAGCACTAAATACATTAAAGAACAAGTCGAAGAAATGACTTGAATGCAACTCGCTCGAGAGTTGCACTCTTACTAACAATTACAACTGCGATAGTTGACGATAGCATGATGTTAATTGTAACTCGTTCAGCTTTTGTCGTTTATCTCATACATGCAATGCGCAAACTAGAAAAGAAGATCTTTCTTTTCTTCTTCGTCTTCTTCTTCTTCTTCTTCTTCTTTGCTTTCTCGATTCAGTTCAACGATAAGAGACGACAGTCACTAGCAACTATGAAATACGAAGAAAACAAAGAACGTTTCCCTAAAAGAAACGATGACAACATGCAATAGAATGTAACGTCGTTTTCTATTATAATATGTTGTTAGAATGCAGGAAAGCTCGCTCTATATGACGTCGAATCATCTCCGTTTCTCGATTCTTTTTTTTTCTCTTTTTCTTTCTCTTTCTTCTTTTATATGACAACAGTTCATTATTTTGAGTAACGCCAAAAGGGATGAAATGGAACAAGATCATACTCTTAGCTTTCTTCTATCGTATTTTCTTCTCACTGATGAACATCATTATTACTCGAATAAGCAAAGCAATACGTTTCGAACATCGCGCTAAGAAGAATGGAAATCGCGTCAGATTCTTTTAATAAACATCACTTTTTCTCGTTGTTGACATCGTACAAGATGATAGACAAGAACTATTCAACTCGTCCTCTATTCACATGTGAAGTGACAGACGACACGCATTTACGCTTCTAAGGAACTGATTTTGACGGATGTCACTTGTCATCAATTGAAAGAAAAAGAAAGTCCTATTTATGATGAAAAGAGAGTTCTTTTTCACTAAGAACAAATACATTGTCTTTGATCGGATAGTATTTATTTAATTGACAAATCGGAAGCGAACATGTATTGCAAAAGGAAAGTTTAAAAGAAGGAAGAAAATCACCATCCTATTTGTTCGAAGTAAATGTTGAGTAAGAAGAAAAACTAACAACAAGGAAATCATGTCATAAGCGACGTCGATGAAGAAAGATTAAATTAATATTTTAGCATATAAGACAGTTTCTTCCTTACTTAACGCTTATTGAATATATCAATCATGCAAACAAACGTGTCGATTCCGATGTTTTTTGCTGGCAAAGACAAGAAAAGTCGCTCGGTTTTGATTTAATCTCGAAGAGAAAAGTTTTAATTAGTCTTTTTTCTTCTTTGCTACTCAAGTAGATCGTTTCTACTGATTCTATTAATTGAAAATTCACTTAATAAACTTTCGGAATGTCGCAACGCTTAAAACAAGAGATGTCCTGCTGATGAAATCGAGAAAAAAGAAGGAAGGAAAGCGTCCTATTCAAATACGTTTAGCAAAGCAAGTCGCAGTTTTTTTTTCTTTTCCCTCTTTTTCTAACAGTTAAATCTCCGAACATATTTATTCTCGAGAGAAAAGAAAAAACCGAAGACAGAGACTTGATAAACATGCAAATTCATTACAGAATATCGATTATTGAGTACAATGAACGCCATTGAATACAAGATAAATGACGCAAATCTCATCAATCGAAGCAGAGAAACAAAACACACGCACGACTATTCACATATTTATGTAAAACCGGAAATGAGATCAGGTGTATCCGGTGCAAGGTGTCAATTTAGAATTCTTTGTCCTAAAAATGCTTTTTTCTCTCGTCGTCAAAACCGGTCGGAACAATTGTATTTCAGTTCATCTTCCGTTGCTCGAGCTAGTTAATCGAAATTCAAATAAAATCTCTTCAAGAGATATCTTCAATTAGAACACCAATAATAGACATATTCCTCAGGGCATTATCGACGAAGATTTCTGATTAATAATGCACAAGTCTCAGCTGCTGCTTGGTAATATTTATTAGCAAATAAGTCCGCATTGTCTGCTTGCTTTGCACGAGAAAGAAAAAGGAAAGAATTTGCGAAATACTTCAATTCGAAGCAAAAGAAAAGAAATACATGATAATCTGCTTACAAAACATGTCATTAAGGATGTTTTAGTTTCACTGTTGGATTAGTTTAATCGTCTTACAAATTCTTTCGTTCTGAAAGAAGAAGAAGATCTAATGAATTGAAACGATTTCCATCGAAGCGTCGATGACATCACTTTTCATTTGGAAAAATATGTACAGAAACGAAAAAAACAACAAACTGTTTCGTTTATCCATGTTCTTCATTCACTCATTCTATGCACATATATATCTCTTTATGTATTCTTCTGCTTTTCTACGATATTATTCGCTGTAAACTATTTTTTCAAATACACATCGATATCGACGACAGCGCCGTTTATCATTAATTCAACGAAAATGCCATCGATGGCGACTGGCAGATTTTATCCCCTATATCCATCGCTAACATTCATGTTACGCAATATTTCTAGTGAAATATTACCCGAAGTTCCAACATTGGATGATGATCAGGCAATTATCTTAACATCGCCAACGATCAATTTAATCTATCGAGTGTTTTTCCCAGGTTTAATTTTGATTGGTACATGTGGATCGATAATGAGTTTGAAATGTCTTTACGCTCAACGATTTCGCAAAAACAACTCGACATATGTCTTCTTCTTCTTTATTGCTCTGGTCGATCTGGCGATTTTATACACCGGTGCACTTCGACTATTAATCTTGGCATTAACAGGTTTCGATGTACGTTCTACATCCTTATTCATCTGTCGTGCTCATCGATTTACAACGTATTTCCTTTTACAATTGTCATCATGTTTATTAGCCTTGATGACCTTGGATCGTGCGAGGAAAACTTTATCAATGTTACCTCCGTTCAAAACAACGATGACTACCTTTCGAAAAACACAGTTAATTCCAGCGGAACATCACACGTTGTTTCGAACACGTGCTAAACAAAGTAAAATGTTGTGGATCACATGTCTAGTTACGTTAGTTTTAATCCTTTTGGACTCACATTTCTTCTATTGTACTGGTTATCAACGAAAGAAAAACAACAAGTTAATCAGTTGTCAATCCATTGGACATAATGAACACTGCCGTCGTTATTGGCTCATTTATCTTTGGTTTGATGCCTTTATCTATTCGTATTTACCATTTTTCATTATTACAATTTGTAATATACGCTTAATAATTTATCTAAAACAACAACGCACAAGACGCATGGCGTTAACATCGTCAACAATAGCACTATCTCATAATTATCGTATAACATGTTCAGTTGTACTCATGTCAATATTATTTTTAATCTTCTCTGTTCCAGTATCATTTTTAGAACAATTCGAATACAAATTTAATCAACATAAATATTATTATCATGGTCTCGCGCTAGCATATCTAGCAATGTATTTTAATCACACGATATCATTCTTTTTATTCCTATTCGGAACGCAATTTCGTCAGTCTGTGAAAGAACTTATCTGGGCACAAGCAACAGAACAACCTCGAACGAATACAACATTAATTGCTCTTGTTCCTAGATGAATCATCGATGGTGAACAAACGAATGTTTTCAATTAGATCTTTTTTTTAATTTTTATATATGAATTTCAATAAGAGAGACAGAAAAAAAAGAAAAAAAAATATTTTTATAATTATGATATTGTGCAGTTGTTTTCCTTTTTCTAGAAAAGTAAAAAATCAATGATAACAAATCTAATTCCATTCTATTTACCGTTTTGTTAGTTACACTTTGAGATTTACTGTGATTGACGTCCGAAGATGGAGCGGCAATTACACCATATTCATTGTCATGTACAGTGCCCAAATTTTGATCTCCAAGCGGTTGGTCGAACCATCGACGATTAGCAACCACACTTGAACGCTGTTCGAAATTAGGCGTCGGATCATTATTAATAAATGTTGGTTTAGTACTCTAAAGACAGCCAAAGTAGATACGACTTTTCTGTGTAGCAATTCAACCTGTTGCATGGACATTTGAACAGTTTTCCAACCTCCTGTTGAGTTTGCTCCTGTTGTACGTTGTGAAGGGAGTGTTTCGCCATCAGCATTTGAAAATTTCGCTAGTGTAAATTCAGCTGGTTGATGTTCATTTGAATTATCGTAATGTGACTGTCTTCCTGATGATTGTATAGTTGGTAGTTTTAGTACAGGAATGCCATTTGGACCACCGTTTTGTGCTGGTGTGTATTCTGGATCTGCATATGCTTGACCTCGATAAACTGAACCTGGATTAGAGAGAACAAGTGATCTGGACATGGGGCGGTCGACATCTACATTGAATAATCAGAAAGAGAAGAGAGCTGGAAAAGGAAATGGCGAGAAAGACGAACTTCGTCGCCGACGCGGTATTTCTTCTTCAGGCATGTACCCATTTTTCGTGGTATAATAGATTTGTTCTCTGTTTGAATGTGGAGCACGTTGATTACGAGTAACAGCAGCAAGTGCGTCGTCGTACGTAAAAGAACTGGTTATTTCGGGTTTGATCTAGAGAGAAAAATGATCACAAATCGACTCTACACTATCTGATAGGATCAATTTACCAATCGTCCGGAAGACGTTCGATAATATATAGCTTCTTGAATAACTTCATAGTCAACAGCTGATGGATCATAGGCAAGAGCAAGTTCAGTTGATGAAGGTTCTCTGGCATCCACTGCAACAGTTCTCGTCAGTGTCCCCCGTCGTTTTTGATACGATCGAGATTGTATTGGGGATGACTGAATAGATTCGTCACGTTGCGAAATAGATGACGCAGTATGTTTTGATTCATCGCGACGTCCTCGCTGAACCACACGAGTGACTGCCGGTGGTGGAGTAACTTGAACGGATTCATTACGCTGTGTAACAGTTACATTTGTATATTTATTTTCTCCACGTTGTCTTGCACGACCTCTCTGTTTTCCTTGCTGAAACTTCGGACTTGAACGTATTGGCTCGGTATGTTGTTCAGCCGTCAATAATGTTTGATTTTTTTCACCTTGTGACGGAGGTGATGTCATTTTATGTTGATGTACTTTAACTTTAACTTTATATTGAGGATCTTGACAATCACACTGATGTAACGATTCGTGATCATTGACAGAGTGTGTTTCACGTTGAGATAAGGATGGTAGTGTAACTGATTTGCGTCGATCACTTGTTTTTCCATGTCGATGAGTCGAACACTTGCACCAATCATAAGCAACTTGATCAAGTTTGAGACGAACTTCGCGTGGTGAAGGTTCTCCAGTGGCACTTATCGACTGTCGTCTGTCCATTAAATTCTTGTGATTATGGTCTCTACACCGACACCAATCATAGACTAATTGATCTCCTTCGACACGTGATACATGATGTCGACAGTTACATGTTTGGACATTTGATTGTTGTAGTGCTAAGATTTCCCAATGTTTCAGTTTGGTTTTCTTTCGTTTTGTACTATTTTGCTTTGTCGTGCCATCTGATTTCGATGGTTTTATAGAGACGTGGTTGTTATCACTATCATAATTATAAGTATCTTCATATACATCAAAGCCACTGTCATTTTTGTGATTGGAACTAACAGATTGGGATCTCTTCTTTTTTTCAAAACGGCTCACCTAGAACAAAAATGCGGATGAAATAATTTATCGTGTAGATGAAGAATTTCCATACTTGTTTCAGTAACATATCAGCTAACGGTTCGGGTAAAGCTGCTGGACCAAGAAATCTCGTTGGTATACCTTTTGTGGGTTCAATTTTAATTCTACACCGAAAAAAAGTAGTAGATCTCACATACATATCCAAATTCAATATAGATTACCGAACAAAACTAACTCTATTCTGTTTATTAGGATCAGTACTATTATCACTATCTCCTTCATTTCCATGATAGTGACCCGGATGTTGTTCCCGTTCGTTTTGTAATGCAGTGATATGATTTTTACATAGATTTAAATGTTTGGGATTATAACAACATGAATGGTATCTATGGAGTTGAAAGTATTTCACATCTTTTATTTCAGGAAAATAACATTGTAATAGTTTTCTAACTTCTTTCTTTGATAATTCTTTCTTCTGACTTAATTCTTCAATTTCTTCACGCGTTAAAGGCGGCGGTTGGTTCGCACCAACACGAAGTTCTTGTTGCATACCGATTGGTTTGACATAAACATGAGCTTGACGACACATGAAACAATCTGCTTCGGGATCACGTTCCGGTTCCTTTTCAAAAGGAACGGATGACCCCAGTCCGCGAGGTGTAGTACTGGTGGGATAAGTACGATAACGAAGAGTTGTTGGTAACGCCTAATTTGAAGCATTAGAAAATCTATTTGTCCTTTACTTTTCATTACTTACTGGCATCGTCCAAAATCTTCTCTGTCTAGAAACGCTTTGACTAACAACAAACTAAAAAAATGCGTTTCGAAGCTTCGCACACATAAAGGTAAAAACAATAAACAGACACTTAACGAATAAAATGTGACGCGCAAGAATCGTTTAGAAGGCGTCCGATCGCATAATCATCGAGCAACTTTTCTATTTGCATTAACGACGAAAAAAAAACTAGTGATTGTTTTCTTTGGATGTGTACTGCTGTTTTCTTTTTCGTTCTATTATGGCATTCTAAAGAAAACAACAAAATCTGAGTGATTTACAATCATTAAAATACAATTGTCTTTACGTCTTCCGTTAAATAAACTTATTCATTGACTGACAATTATTTTTGTAAAACTATTCCTGTACTTCCAACTTTAGAAACTTTGTCTTTCATTCAATCTTTTGCCGAGGTCATGTTTGATGGGATTAAGTTTGAAGTTGCTCGCAATGGAGATCAAATTGGGTGGGTGTTTGCTTAAATAAAAAACTTTTGTATTCTCTATTCGATCAATGGTTGACTTATTTTGACTAAAAATATTCTTCAGTTGTTTGCTATTCGTGATAATTCGATCGTGGCGACGTTGAAATCTGTGTAAAATCGTATTCGTACTGGTGATTTCACTGGCTCATAGGCATCCATGTGCGCCAGCAACGCTAACCATCAGGTTTGAATCCATTGATTGAGTACAGATATTTTGGCGACATATAACGTCTGAACCATTTTGGAAATTATTATCTCCATTAAATCTTGGAAAAGGATTGATTGTATTGTCTTTGTTGCAAAAGTGAGTTTTCGTTAGAGTAGAAGTCTTTGTCCTAGAACAAATGGAATGTTACTTTTGGCTGTTTCGTAAGAAGTCATTCTATGTACGGGTCATGCTGCACCTTTCGGAGAACGGATGACAATGGGTGAAGCTCAGTTTCTAATATGTGACGAAATAGAACGGAAAAAAGTTCTATCCCTTCCGCGTAGACAGATCTGATGAGAAAGAAATAAAAAAACATCGCATACAGATGAGCAGCAACTAGAACCGCCTACATGATGATAATGAGAATTCACACAGATTATTGCCCCAGTGAAATTGAACCATGTATTTTTGATTGTGTTCATATCCAATAAATTTTATAGTAGAAAGAGTGACAGATAATAGTTTCATGTTTTCATTGCCTCAGTGCGACCTATCGAATGACGTATAAATATACGCATGTAATCGAAACGTCTCAAAGAAAAAGTGCTCCTCGTAAGTAATCAGCCGTTTATATCAATATTACTTAATATAAAAAAACTATTTTATTTTGACCAATAAGCAGAGGTGAGCTCATTATTCATACCGTATATGACCTTACTCTTTCGTTTTTATGAGACATTTAAAGAACTAGAAATAGATATAAGTGTATATAACTTCAACTGTCATGATTTTTTCTAACATAGACACGTACCAGTGGGATGGAATATCATATTGTTTGCAAGTCTGATTAATCATCGCTAAAACGCATCATGACATTCACGATTTCTGCGTGAATAAAAATACGAACTTGGGTAGGATGACTTTTGTCAGAATAGACAAATACGTCATGAAAATCACACAATTATCTATAATATTTCTAACTACAGCCAAGTATCGTCGAACACTCTGATATATTTTTAACAGCTTTTATGAGTGTTTAGAAGACAAAACATAGAAATATCTACTTTCGTTAACAATATGAAGATCATCGGGACATTCATCGAGCTGGAACAAGAATAGAGGGAATCAAATTTGTTAATAGTATGAGTTTATGCACGATTTATTGAGAATAAGTAGAATTAGTAATAAACATTTGTTTTCCATTTCTTCATTTGCTCATTATAATATATACTTCTTTTAGATATAAATAGCAAAATGTCTTGATATTATTGCCCTCATTCACGAACGGCACTGATGTTTTCATAATTGCTCGAGAGAGAATGATCATAGATTTATAACTTCTAATGAATGACTCACTTCTATCGTCTCTATTTCTCGTCTTTTTTTATTGAAGTTCGAACTGAATAGAAGACACGGAAATAAAAAGTGCACTAATCGGAGAGAGAGATAGAGAGCAATGCTGTAAAGCACTTAGAGAAATAGACAACGAACAGCACATATATTAAACCGTATTCTATTTGGATGTAAGTGTTGAGGAAGGTCACATCATTGAACGAATCAGTTTTTATGATAAGATCCAAAGTATGCTTAATCGAACAGTATGAGTTCTGATAAAATACAAATAAATTCTAAATGAAAAAAAAAGAGAAAGAAAGAAAAACGTCCCTTTATTTCTTCTCTTGTTCTGCAATTCTTCTTTTTCCCTTTTTTTTCTGTCTGCCTTCATCAATTCTTCGACATTTAGAAAAAGTATTCCAATAGCTGATCCAGTTAACTTGCGCAGCATTCAACCTTTGAATACTCATCGATTCGTTCTCTCTTGATTTGTTTTCTCTCAACGCAATGATTTCGAAAGAACTATCTCGTTTGGGTAAGTTCAATCGATCATTAATCAATTTGAATTTTTTTGACTTTCATCTAGCAACAATCGGCGTTTTCATGTCTTTTCTCATTCAATACATGGCCAGCGAGCGCCTACCAGCAAGTACATTAGAAATGAATGTTAATCGCAAAGACGGTGATGCTATTGGTCGTTATCTTTGGTTTCGGCCCACATTATATTCAGATTCAGATGAGAATATCTTCGAAGACAATGGTTTAAGAGAAATGTCTCCATTATTATCTAAACTTGTTTCCATTTACAACGAACATGACCGTAACAATCGACCAAATTTGCTTTCATCGCCTATTCGTCGATCAAACTTTTGGAAACGCGCAAATTTCTGGCGTAAGCGCGCCAATTTCTGGCGACGAGATTTAAGTTCCCAAGAAAATGAACAAGTGATGTAAAAGTTGAAAAATTAATAAATAAATAAAAATTCGCATCGACGTTTTTCGTTTACATTCACATCATTCCATTCTCAACATCTCAAACAGTCATAATCGACAGACTCGTGTTATTACTGTTTCATGAGAATATTCAAATGTAGAACAATATACACACATAATTCCAGCTTATTTTCAACAGATTTAGACTGATTGGTGTCGACTGAGTGTTTAGTTCTCTGACAGTTAAGTCAAATTCAACTAATTCAGAATTCTTTTCAAATATTTCAATTACGGTAACTTTGAAAAATACATTGGTGTCAGATTATTAGCAAAGGATATAATAACATATTATTTGACACCTAAGCAAATTTTGATTAGCATGATATTATAACAGAAAATCATGGTTTTGGGACGTTTGCAGTAATCATATGCACGGCCGATAGACCAATCGCATGTTATTGAACTCTTTGTTCACTTCTCGTCTTGAAAAGAAATCAATCATTGAAGTTATTGAGTAGAACGATTTTGTATTTTACAGATAAAACACTTAGAAAAGATTGGGATCATGACGATCACTAAACGAAATGTAAATAAAGGAAATGCGCAGTATTTACGTCTTCTTTTTGGTCTAGCGGATATTCGCAAATGCAGAAACTAACTTTTCACTGAAATCAATCTGTCAGAAAAGTTGTCTTGATACAAAAGTGCATTTGACACCTGTATTGTTTACATACAAAGAAGTTTCTTCAGTGCGAAAACTATAGGCAAGGTGGCTACGACTTTTCAACACTTTTTTTTTGTTTACGTACGACAATGAGAATACTTTCCAGGTTACTCGTCAAGTTTCAATTACAACGTTTGAGTTATTCAAAAAAATATTTGCACTTGAATACGAGAATAGCTTAACGGATTTCCTAGACAGATTTCTATGTCACTTAATTTGCTCACATAGAAATGAAAAATTTCAAACGAGGGATCACTCTGGCAGTATTGCTGATTAATAATATATTTGTTTAGTCTTGTTTTGCAACATACAAATGACTATTTCTTTATATTTGTCTGGGTATGCCTGATGGTACATAATTATTTATAATATAAATTACAGAAATAACTCTCAGTTAAAGATAGCTGAGTATGCAGTTACGCTCATTTGATCTCAAAATGTCATTCATCTAATTATGCACAACAGGCGGCACTCACAGTCGATAGTGTCATTATCTTTTGATTTACCATTGTTCGTGAGCATAATGAATATCAATAACGGATTGATTTCGAAAGAAATATTGATTATACTTTCCTGTTCCCGAGAAAGGCTTTCACTGTTTTAATGTAGATTAAATGGAGAAACAAGAAACAATGCTAATGACATACAACATCTAGAATTTGATCTATACAAGACTAGACATGATTTATTCTAGGTTAAACGTGTTGACAGTTGACAAAACCGTCTCGGGTGAAAACTTATTTGACAACGCTCGTCGAATGCCGTGTTTGCGTTGAATTTTTACGAGTACTCGACGATGGTGATAGCGGTACAACTCGAGCAGCTTTTCGCAATAGATGCCAACAGGCAGCTCGTTGTCCACCATTAATAACTTCACACCAATGTATGATTTCACTATGTTGTGCAATATTTGCACTGCCGATAGGTGTTGTATTTTCAAAACGTAAGAACCCTAATGGTTCATCGGGAGCGATGAGATCGTGGTGATAAACACCGATTTCAAGACATGATTCATTTAAGGAGATGCCGGGAACATTGAATGAGATTTCTTCATTCCATTTCGGATTTAAAGTATTTCGTTTGACACTGGTTTTCTTTCGTTTAACTTTATCTGTTTGACCTAGTTGAAGTGTCAGACGAACAACTGGATCTAGAAAGACGAAAGTTTTTGTTGTGGAAATTCTATGGGGAAGAAAAACAACGGTTAAACACTCGATCAAACCTGCTTCAATATGCATTGAAAGCGCTTTGAGATTTCGTGCTTCGATAATTCCAACATTGAGTCGTTCAGCTTGCGCCAAATACGTTAATGAAACGAGTAATTCCCCAAGATACTCATCTTCCTTGAAAGTAGAAAAACGCAACGGATAGAAGCATGAATGACATAAGAAGAAATCAAATTTCCTCCAGATAGACATGTATAGATACGTATAAAACACGGTTGTGTTCAGCTATGATTAGTAATTTTCTTTTGATATATTTAGAAGGTAACAAAATCATTTTCTCATACCGCTCGTTGTTTATTTATGGTACACCAGAGGTCACAACCATGAATGGTTTGGGGTGTTAGACGCACTTGTGCTTCTCCAATGCATTCCGGTCGACTTGAGTGTGCGTAATTATAAATATAGAAGAAGAGCGTTTTGTTTGTTTTAAAGACAGTTTCATTTGCGACGCCGAATTTGAAATATTCGTTCCAAATTGGATTGATCGTCTGAGGTTGCACAGATGTTTGACGAAGTTTTTGATCAACCGGCGGACGTAGATAGAGTTTCACATAGGGATTAACAAATTCGGCATCATCAAACGGCAAATATTGTGCTGTGAAAATATGAACGTAGAATGAAAAGAAAGAAAGTCTGGATTTGCTTTTACCTTCAATAATATTAACGAGAAGATCATTTCGATGATCATCAAATTGAATCCTAATGTGTAATCGATGTAGATCTTCTTCGACTATCGACAGATCTTCATTGGTTCGATCGGTAAAAGCAGCCAATGCAGAAGTGGCATTTAAACTCTTGCAAGTACTATTTCCAGAGCATGCCGTGTCCACAAAGTAAAGATTAGGCATAATTGCACCCAAAGCGCCACGTAAACTTTTGTGTTTCATAAGACGAGAAGTTGATTGGAGGGAAATTGGTGGTGACAGCAGACTTTGCTCTGACGGTGGCATCGAAGCTCGGGTTATACTACTTGATTGTTTGCTTAACATTTTATATTTACACGATGATGGCGAACGACTTGGAGAATGAGATGGATTCATTGTGGAACTTTGTATTGAATCAGCTTTGGTTAACTGTCGTCTTAATGATGTTCCTTGCTGTTGTGCTAGTTCGTCAACGATTGTATTTGCCGCTGTAATTGAATTGATTGACGCTGGCTCAACAGATGATATTGATTGTTCAATAACATCGGTTGTTCGTGGAAATAATTCGAGTCGAACATTCTTCCCATTAGCTGTATTCGCTTGACAAGCAAGTTCGATCATTCGTTGATCAACGACACCTGCAGTTGATAGTCGTGGTGCTTTCGAACTGCGTCGACTCGAATAATGAGCTGTGATAGCTTGCGTATCTGTGTCGTCATAAGAATGAGACAATCGACCACCTTCACCTTTCTTATGTAGAAGTACACTGTCAGAAGCAACGGATGGGCGACCCGACTGATTTGAACTGATCGATAGTCGAGATAGTTTCTCTGATAGGATTGATAGACGACCGCCGGATGCGACTGATGTTCGAGCCGACTGTGTTGAAGATGCATCCTGTGTTATAACAGGTGGTTGCGGAATACGATGAACAATGGGTGCGTAGATCTGCATCAATAGAATCAAAGAAACAACATTATGTCTATTTTTAGAACGAAAATGAGTTCGTCATCAACATTTCGATTAGCAACTTTTTTTTTTGTTTTTAAATAAAGGAAATGAGAAACTTGGTCGAAGACCTTTTCAAATTATACATGCGTGCTCAACTAATCTAAGTTGATTGAATTTACGCAGGAAGCGAGCTGCTTTGTAAATTTAAGTCTAAGAAAAGAATTTACTCACGAGATGTTGTGGCGGTTTGAAATATGTTTTAGCATCAATATTGTTTATGGCAGCATAATGTCGAGTCGATCGGCTGAAATATCGATGACTCGATGATGGAACGCAACATTTACAGAAGATAATCGTCGCAATAAGAATGAGAATTATGACAGACACAGCACCAATTCCAATACCAATAAATAAATCATAACTTTTCGTAAGCATATTAGCATTGCTGTTCTTATTTGTTAAAATAAAAAATAACTGAAGTGTGAATTAGACAAAAATAATTGTACAAATATTAGTTAGCAGTCTTTGACAACGTCATGTAAGTCAGCAGAGTCTTGTAATCGTGCGATGTGGTTCAAAGCGCGCATCTTCTTAATGATCTTCCTTGAAACTTCCCTCTTATCGATAATGATGTCTCTAAATCTTTACTGTTAGTGTTACTGTAGATAAAAAAAAAAACTAGGAAAGAAGAAAAGAAAAGAAGACAACAGAGGGAGGGAGGGAGGGAGGGAGAGAGAGAGGAGTGAAGAAATAGAGACTATTAAGAACATCATCTATCTCAGAAATAACAATGAATGACGGATTCTGTATTCATATACTTTTTTTTCTCTTTCGTCGACTGACATGCAGTCATACATGAGAATCTAACCGTTAGCGAATGAAAAGAAGAAGTACATTTTGACGATGATTACCTTCGATAGGATAAACTAACGATTACCTGTCAGAGTCTTTGACATCAAGATCAAAATATTGCTCTTCTTTCGTTGACTTTATTCGACTAAACTCTGATCGAATGTAATCTTGCAGCTAAATGAGACACGCAATTGAAATTTTTTCTTGTGTTGCTCTTTTTCCTAACGATATTAAGTTAGTGATGCGAGAGAACAAATGAAATCTTCTTTCTTTTGTGATGATTATAGAGCTGTTTACACAAAAAAGTCTCGGATAAATGAGAAGAATGACGAGTGCCGAAAGGGAAATCTCTTTTTCATCTAGACATGTTCAAACAATGAAAACAAACTCTGACAGTCATCGAAGCTGGTACTCTGGTACGAGAAATACAACAATTATCATCGTGTGTCACTTCTATCTGTTCATAAAATGATGAGAAGTTGAAAAATAAAAATGTTCCACTTTTCTTTTTTTTGCTTCTTTCACTAAGTAATATTAAAACACGCTTTACGCACGGAGAAAAAAAAGAAAAACCGTGATCCTGTCAGGCTATATCTTTCATCGAACAACCGAAAGCGGATAATGTCTACGATAAAAAAAATATGAGTAAGAGAGAAAACATGAATTTGCTTCATTGCCCTGTAGGATGTTCGAACAAATTCCATTTCATATGTGTGTTTATGAAATGTCAAGCAAATAACACCTTGACTAGTCTCGTTTGTTCGAAATAGCTGATACTTTTTATGCACGAAATGCATTTTCAAATGTAATGTAATGAAATGAAAGAATGAACTTTTATGTTTATGCGATTATAAGCAGAAAGACAAATCTTTTGTTTGTTGATATAAAAACGAACTTCATTTCGCATTTTTTTTTGCTTGGCTGGCAAATGAAATACCTATACATAAAAAATGCACTGTCTGACGATAGTAATCTGTATTCCTGTGAATTTCGAATGTATGAATAAATGATGAGCGGGGCAGATCCACTTAAAAATATAGAGAGATCAAAGAATCGATTGTTTTCATTTTAATTGCCATTTTCTCAGACAAAAAAAAGAAGATCAATGATTCAGTTGACTATTTACATAAAACAAAAATGCATCAACAATGATTAATTTTTCAATGTTACTTCTTCAAATTTCAGTTTTTGAAATTTTACACTTTTCTGATAATGATGTTTATTTCTTGCGCAATGAAATAGTGGTCATATTGCTCTTCAGATGATTATATGTCTTCATTGCACCTTCTTTTATACGTGTTTCCTTCATCGGAACCGATACGATGTCGAGCACAAGCAATGTGTACAGATGACAAACCATTTTGTCGTTCTCTCCTCTCTCTCTCTCGCCAATCGAACAAATGGACTCACACAGTTATTTTGACTTCATCGCAGTCCTATACTTCACTTAACTCAATTCAGTTTTTTATTTCGTTTACAATCAGTTGAAGGGATATATGTACTGATGGAACTGACAGAATCGATTGAACAATCGAGCGACCAACAATTATGCATATATGTATATGTATATATGCCCCATGGAACAACGAAAAGAAGGAGAGCTTATATAAATGTCCTCTCTGTCTCTTTCTTCGTTTTTTCTCTCTCTTCTATATACATGTGGTTACCTAGCATTCGATGGTATACGTACATATATACACATTCGATATCGTCGCACGTTCATATTCATCATCTAGATTTCATTTTCTTTTCAAACTCACAAATCTGTTCATCAACAATTGTTCGTCGTTCTTACTCCATTTGAATGTATAAAAAATCAATAACTCGCATTGAAAAAGAAAACGAAAGTAGTCAAGCTGAACTAAGTAATCCAGCTTTGCAAGATATAATAGCAACAAATCATGTCATGTTAGCCAAGGTAAAAAGTAAACTAACAAAACAATTTAATTATCTAATCTTCTCTTGTTGTCTTAAGAAATCACACAACGAACGATTCTCCCGGGCATGTAAAGCAGTGATAATTATGATTATTCTCGGACTTATTGCTGTTGGTATTATTGTATTAACAGTAGTTCTCGCACGTAAGTTTATTGTTTTTCATCGGATGATCTAATCGAATGTTCAAATCAAAAGAAGTTGAACTGACCAGTTCATTCTGTTCACTTTGTATATAGTCAAAATCATAAAAGCGATTTCATAATCATCATTGAAAATCAAGAGTTGTTTTCATGTTTAGATTCGCGTAATAGTCTCATGGCAATCGCTGTAAGATCTTCCGAAGCGAATTTGTCGCAATTATCAAATCATACTCGATTGCTCTTCATACCTCAAGAAAGTCAGCGTACACTTAATTAAATCTTCTGGTTCATCTCATTGTTTCTTTCTCTTGATATAGATCTCATCACAATAAGCAATGAACTACGAGAAAATGAAACTTGGCAAAAGGCTATTGTCAGTTTGACAAGTGATAATTTACCTGTGTTAACAACTACAAACGTTCATCTATCATCAACGATGATGAGTACAGAACAGCAAAACGAAGATACCTCAACGATAAGATTTTCTCCATTAACAAATCGAATTTTTAATGAACAAACAACTGACACACCTACTCATCTTCCTACAATAATGATATCAACACAGAAGAACGAAGAAGTCTTGCTAACAACATTGGAAAGTCAAGAACATCTTCAAACAACTTCTATTAATCCCGAGACAAGTATAGCTGATAGTACTTCAATTTCAAGTAATCAAACGACTTTTTCATTTCAAGCACTTATTTTTTAATATAGTTACAGATTCAATAACGTCATCGGTACCCGAACAAACGTCGTTTACGACTTTCCTAACACGTCATTTTAATATTGAATCATCAACAATGACAACGAAGAAAGTGATTCGAAGCACTGGACTGATGGATAAACTCAAAGCAAAAATCGATGATGATCTTATGAATGAACTTCTATTTTCATAGCAAACCTTTCATTAGCGAGTGCAGTGCACACATCTTCTTCTTCTTCTTCTTTCTCTTTTTTTTCTTTTCGTTTTCGAATTTTCATAGCCAATGATGACCAAAAGTAGACACGAATATGTATACAAGAATAAAATTATTATTCCATGTTCCGTTTCCTGGAGTTACATGAGAGAAACAAAGCTTTTTTTTTCTATCGACAAAAGAACTTTTCTAATTAAAACAACTCGCCGATCTGTCTCCTGAAGACATCGCCTAATTGATTTTTTGAAAGGAAAAAACATTTCAAATTAAAAAACGATTGATGACGACGTCTTATTCATAAGCTAATGTTAAATCCAGTGAAAGAAAATTGTTCGAAACATTCAAGGATACTGACTGAAGATTATTGACCGTGAAGCGATAATTTCATGTATGTTATTTTAGTCTCTTTTTACTCTACAATACAATGATAAGATAAAGAGCTATTGAATTTCGTTCTTATGATGTATACTTTGATCAACAAAATGGATTTGATCAAATGTGGAACGATTTGTTTTTATAGAAATCAGTTTCTTGTGCTTTACATAGTCGAGTTCGACATCACTTTAATAATGAAACACAGCAGACGTCAGGAACTCAAAAGAACCTTGAATAGTGATGAAGTTGAAGAGATATTTGTGTTTCTCTTTCTCTCTTTTTTTACGTCAATTAAAGTTTTATTAGTATTTCTTTTTTGCTCTTGTAATGATTATTATTTTTTTTTCTCTCGTTTAAACTGCTTGACAGGTAAATTTATACAACCAATGACGAACACTCTATATGTTCGATAGGCGAAAGTAATAAATGACCAAAAACATGCTGATTCGAAAGTATTTCTTCTGTAGATCAAACAAGGCCATTAATTCGTGAGTTTGCTCTACTATTTCAGGATTATTTTATTAGAAGAGGATTTATTCGTAGAAGAAATTTGATATAGAAATAATCGATGAAAAAAAACTAGTCGCTCTCTTCGTCTTAACCAATTTTATTAGAAGATAATGACCATGACCTTGTTACAGATATGATTACGTCATCAACTGCCTTTTCTAGTTCTCAGTGGTTATATAACACAGTTTTTTTTTCTTCACTTGGGCCCGTTTGACGCAGTCAGTCGAGTTGTGATAGAAAAGAAGAAACTATATTTCTATCGATGTGTTCAACATATATATGTGTGTGTGCAATGAATTTCTTCGACTATATAGTTCCTCGTTCTTAGCTCTTTCTCTCTCTGCCATCATCTCTCGAGAATGGATGTGGAATTACAAAGTGAAGGACTAAATATTCTGCAGAAAGCGAAAAGAAAAGTGGACAGAATAGGCAGACGAACGAAATGCGCTTTATGATGACTTAGAAACGTTTATTGTACATTGCTGTTCGTCATTTGCTTGTGTACTTGTCGTTCTCGTCACATAGAAGCTGTCTGGATATTATTGATCATTGTGTGCTTGTGTAAGTACGAAAAGACCTTGACTTACAGGCATTCTCTGTGTTTTACGATCTTATTTCATGGAAAGAACAAGTGTTTGTCGATGGTTAACACACACATTTTCTTTTTCTTGTAATAAAGCCAAGATGTCAACGCGGAGAGAATAGAGATTCGGAATAAAATATCGTTGGTTGTGATTGATTAGAATAATAATCAATAAACCAACAAGTTTTATTTCATAATCTTCGTTTTCTCTCTCTCGATATTAGTATCTAATGTGCTATTCATTGAGTTTCATTATCAATTGACAAGAATTTTCATTAGTTTTCTATAGAACATTATCACCACATGTCACTTCTTTTGTTTGTCAAAAAACTCGTATCACAATACTCACATCTGTGGTTCTCCGTCTCTTTTTTTTTCTTCTTTTTCTTTCATCATAGTCATATCACTGTGGTTTTGTTACGAAAATATAATAGAGGAGAGAATACGATGCAAATGAACTTTGTTCCTTAACATTTTCACACTTTGATATTATCTGCTGCACGACTCTGCTTATCTATTAACCATTCTTCATTCGATACGTAATCAGACTCATACATTCGCTTGCGTAAGAAAAGAACAATAGAGAATGAAGGTTAAACTATTATTTCCTTTAGTCGTGCGTTGCTCTACTCTCTCGACTGATTATAATGGTTACGGATCGATAAATTGCATAAATATTCTCTGCACATTAGACATTTTTTTTCGTACTCACTTGCTTTTTTTTCCTATGAAACGGAACCTTTTTATGTGTATTGTTTGTAGAATGACTTGCCGTTTTTTGCTGTTCGGTTAGCGATTTTACGAAGTAAATGAGGCAATCTCATTCGAAACCTTGATACACTGCGGTTTTAATCTTACTTTTGACACTGTATTTCTTTTAGGTTTGAATACGAACGTATTTTAGACAAATATTTGTTTCTCAATTTTCACTTCAATTGCTCTTCGAGTGGATTTTAAACATGGCAGCTAAACAAATACTGAAGAAGAAACATCTAGAAGAAGAGGAATTAGCGAAATTAAAAAAACTTGATGACAACTCTGTTCAAGAGGAGTATGAATATGTGACTGTGCCGCCTGATGGTGGTTTTGGCTGGGTCGTGGCCATTGCAGCTATGGTATTCCCTTGAATTTCTATTCTATATGATATTAATTTTTTTCTATTAAGTTATGTAATCTAATATGTGACGGTACTCTATTCGCTTTTGGCACAATGAAGATTCATCTTCAAGAGTATTTTAAATGTTCGGATATGTTAATTCTGATGGTTGGTTCCGTTCCATGTGGTGTTTACTTGTTAGTCGGTTAGTATGATAAAAGAAAAGTGCAGATACGAGTTCAATCGATGGAAATTTGTTTTCAATTGTTGTGTTTAGGTCCTATTGTCTCAGGTTTAGCTAATAGATATGGCTGTCGACCAATAATTATTATTGGAAGTATTGGTGCAGCGATTTGTATGGCTTTGTCAACTCTCTCGCCTAGTGTTTGGGTGATGATGATAGTTTACGGTGTGTTTGGCGGCATATTTTTTGGTATGGTCTATCTCCCGTAAGTAGAGCTGTATTTACAAAATTCAGTGAACATGACTGTCATTGCTCGAAATTTAGATCGGTAGTCATGGTTTCGTTTTATTTCGACAAGAAACGATCGATTGCCAACGGTAAGGACAGTTCGTCGATGAAAAAGTGGTTTGTTTTCGATTGATATATTCTTTTGTCTTTAGGTTTGGTCACAGCTGGTACTGGTCTTGGTGCATTATCTTTCGGTCCACTAGCTGATCTTTTAATGTCTAAATTTGGTTGGAAAATTGGCATGCTGATATTTGCTGGTATAATGTTAACAGGTATTCTATTTGGATTAATCATGAGACCGTTGAAACCACAAAAAGTACCTGTCAAGCGAGAGATTGAATTACAGTGAGTGTTGAAATTATTTTCGAAAACACATTGACGCTTGTTTTCATTGTATAATAGATCACCTGTTACACCTCAGACGCAAAAAAATCAAGATTTATCATCTCCTCAAGCTATTCTCAAAACCACAGACGGGGCCAATGAAGTAAGCGAAAAGAAAGAATGTGGATTAATTCAAGAAAAATTTGCTTTCCTTAGGTACTTTTGCCTACGGCTGATGAATCAGCACGAATTAGTACCACAGCGACAGTACCTGTTGGTGACGTTAATTCAAATGAGATTCCTGCTGTCACAACCGTTGATCCCACATCAAGTCCATTGAATCAATCTTCACGAAATCGTACTATATCGTCCTCAAGTCACGCATCCGTCAGTAGTGGAGAAAATCGAGTTGGTGTTTCCAATCCTGAAGATGCTTCTCGACCACTCTATAAAAAAGATGCATTTGTCTCTGGATCAATACAGCAACTTCATCATGGATCTCGCACATCATTGAATAAAACAAATCCGTACGTGTCTTCAGTGACAAATATTCCAGCAGCTGCAAATGAAGAAAAGAAGAAAGATTCGGCTGCTAGAGCATTTATTGATATCCTCGGAGCGATGACCGATTTTTCAATACTGAAAAATAAACAACTGTTATTGATTTGTATTGGAAATATTTTCTCCATGCTTGGTTATTATTTACCCATTATGTGTTTGGTTTCATTCGCTGTCGAAGATCTTAAAGTTAACAAAACACATGCATCATTCTTATTAACAATTTTTGGTATGGCTTCAAAATATCATTGTCATTTCGAAGAATTTAATCGTGTGTTTTGTTTTTAGGACTCTTCAATACCATTGGTCGTTTTGCTGGCGGACCCATCGCTATGATTCCACATTTGAATGCACTACGAGTTCACAATGCATTACTATTTACGGCTGGTATTTTAACTGTCTTAGCAGCATATGCTTACAATTTAACAACATGTGCTCTCTATGCAGCTCTATGTGGTTTTGCTATTGGTAATAACAGATACGAATTGTAGTTGTATACATCAACCTAACGAAATTGATTTTCTTCTAGCACCTCATATGTCATTATTACCCAGTGTAATCTATGACTGTGTCGGTCTCGATCGTTATACAACAGCTTTTGGTATACTCTTTCTATTCCGTGGTGTAACATCAATTATTGGTCCACCGGCTGCTGGTTTGTTTCTTCTTTTTTTCCTAAAAAAAGATTTCGATTGTTAAATTTTGTTTTTGTTCTTGCGAATAGGTTTTCTCAAAGATGCTACAAAGAAATATGACATGGCCTTTGCGATTGGCGGTGCAATGATTATCGTAGCTTCATTCTTTCATATCTTCATTGCTTTTGTTCAACCCGAGAGCGAAACTGAAATAGAAAAAGAACAAGAAAAAGTCCAAAAGAAAAATAAACTCGATGTCTGAATGTTTTCCTCCTCTTTCTCTCTTTCTAGCTATTTCTATTCAGTCCGTCTTTCAAATAAATCTTGTATTCGTTTGTTTTCTTCTTCGTCGTTGTCTTCTTTCCAACTGAGAATGATTGTGCGTTTCCCATTTTCTTTTTATCAATTAATTTTAGTTTCCTTTTCGTTCGTTTTTTAACACTGTGATATTCTTCAGTTTCTCTTAGTTCATTAAATCCGTTTGAACGATCTCAGGTTATCAATAAAACAACAACAACAAAAATGAAGAAGAATCGTCCTTAAAATAGAATTTTCTGAAAAGAAATTTACATATATCATCAAATAGAGTCAATGTTTAATGTTGTCTCTTTGAAATCAGCCGATATAAATATTTTCGAATCCCTATTGTTTGCCTGCTTTTTTCCTTTCTTTTTCTTTTTCGCAGCGATCATCGGAATATCTGTAGATGTCGAATCGATTGTTCGCAATGATATCGTTTCTCTTGGATTGGTGAAGCTTTTCAGCTTAGATGGACAATTGTGGCAACATTGAGTGAATAATTTCAGAAACTCTCGACGAAAGTCTTGCCCGCTTAGTGTATATAGGATAAAATTCATCGCATGTTTTGTATACCAAAGAACTTCGCACACTTCAGTGAGCCATTGCCCATTCGGCGGTTGACTAAGGACGATAGGACTAGTAAGACCGTCTGAATCATCGCTAGTAGGTATCCGCATTGAATAAATAATCTTATTTACACATATAATGATAACTGATGGACAAGTTAAACCGATGAATGCTAAAGTAACAGATAAAAGCATAATTGTTAAGCGTTGATGACGTCGATGGGATCGTTTGCGATGTTGGCGCATATGCCGATTCGTGCGCATCGTATACATGATAATACCGACGTTCGTGACACAGAGAAGAAAGAATGGAATAACAGCAACAAGTAGAATATCGAAGATGGGAATATAAGTGCCGAAAAATTGTTGAAAACCGGGACGTGGAATACAGAAAAATACAGATTTGGATTTGTGAAAAGTGAAATCCAGAGCGGTAGAATTTTCCGATGAACTATTGTCGACATTTTCTGAATCATTCATGAAATACTGATGATAATCAGCTGGACGAAAACCATAGTCGGGCACTGTATAACCTGAACAATAAAACATAATGTAATTACATATTTAAATCCAAATCTCAAATGTATAATTTATTCCCAAGAGATGCATTGAAAAGATGAGAGCGCTTCTAATCAAATTTCTTTGCCTCACGTGCCTAGAGAAACAGATTTCATAGGTGATGTTTCTCAGTATAACTCAATGATATTTGTCACATGTCAAATATCACATTTATTCCATATCCGTTACATAGAAAGAAACAATAGGTTTGTGTGTGTAAAAGCATTTCCTCCTAGCGGAAATAATTTATTTCCATCCGCATCATTTTCAAAGAAATAAAAGTTTAGCGTTAATCGAATATCTATTATTTAAAATGTAGAAAATAATTTCTGAATGCTATTTCGTTCCTTTACGCTGTTTACTGAGACATTCAAATTGAAATAAATTGGAGGAGAGTTCCTAAAGGAAAAACAGATAATCCGCCTCGCTGACATCAGTCGTAGCAAAATAAACACGTTCAACTAGAAAATGAGTTCTTGTTTGGGATATGTTTGAAGATGTCAAATCAAAGGCAATGTTAAAAATAACAACTTACCGAGTATGTAGAAGTAGTATAAATTGCATAAAACAACAACACCGATAAGTATAGTTGTCGAGCAGAATACTCGATTCGCAGTTGAACTCTGTCGTCGATACCGACTTGTGACTACTAAATATCGATCGAAACTCACGATCACCAGTATCCACGATGCCATATGAGCAAGTGCTGACGAGGAAAACGTTAGAATACGACATATCCATTGCGACGTGTTATAAATAGCGTTAGCGCCAAACGATTTCGTCACGTGTTTACTTGAACGCATAAAAATGAAGAGAATATCAATAACAGCTAAGATTGCTAAATATTGACATGTCGAATTCTTGAAGAACTTTTTACTTAATAACACGCGTAAACATAAAGCATTGCCGATTGTTCCCCAGATAAGTAGACATGGATAGAAGACCCGACCGAGAAAGTTACGTAGATCGGTTAAAGACAAAATCTCCTCATTGTAATTGACATCGTCGTGAGTAGCTGTGAAGTTCTCCATCATCACATCCGTGATTATCCAATCATGTTCGTGAGAGAAAAGTTCAAATAATCTAAAAGTAGTCTGTCTCATATATATCAATATACACACATATTCATCTGAACTTTTGCCTTCGTCTTTTGCGCTTTTTTCATATGTAAATAAGCAAATCCACTTACTATGTCGAACGTGCGCAAAACATATCAATGAGAAAATCATGTCTCATGATCTTTGAAACAGGCGATAGTTCTCTGAACTAAAGCAGAAATAGACATGTACTTTTCTACTACAATATGCAAAATTAGTTCACCTAAAAGTCCTATCTGATATGTCTTGCGTAAATACCGTCGACAAGAAAATCGAGAAATACAGTATTCGAGAAAGGTGATCCACTCATCGTCGGAAATAGAACAAAATACGAGGGTAAAACTCACTTCTCTACCTTGATTTTGCTATTTAAAAAAAAAACATAATTCTTTAAACAGCATATTGAAAAAGAAAGAAAAGAATATTTAATATTTGAAAATAGAATAGCGAAGACAAAGGTCTTTTTCTTTTCCTTTATAACTAACAAAGGATACATTAACTTTCTGTCATTCTAGCATTACTTTAATGCGACATAAAAGAATTTTAACGCAACACAGATATCTCCTTATTCAAAATAGAAACTTATTACGAAATGTAGCAATTAACAATATTGTTTACTGATTATATAGAAGGAGAGAGAGAGAGAGAAAAACGTTTTTATCGAATTATATTATATCATCCTTCTCCAAGTAAGATTATAGTTTTGTAGAAATGAAAGAGAATAGGAACGGAAATTCCTCTAGTCCATAAAAAGTAATTTAGGAGATATTTGTTCGTTTTAGGTTATTTGTAGAAGTTGTCTTTTGTTACCTGATTATGCCAGGAAACTTTATCGGCATGTAAAATGAAAAAAAGCAACACATCACAGGGAAGATATCAAACGTTTTATCTCATTATTAACTTAATTAGATCTAATTTGTCGACACTAAGATCGTTTTACCTATTTGTCCGGCTAAGAAAACTAGGAAACCAGATTTAAGAGCATCAATTATCCATTAGAAATCATACGAACAATGAATAATAATCTACATACAAATTGTTACCAAAGTGACTAACAAAAGAAATTCAATCGGGTGTAGAGATAATTATCGAAAACTTACTTAGATAGATTAATATTTACACATATGTTGCCGGCGAGATCGAGATCCGTTCAAGTTAGCGACCCAGGTTCGAGTCGATCTAGAAATGAAGTTTGCTTTTTTTTTCTTCTTCTTCTTTTTCTTCTTGTGCTTCTTTTGTTTTTCTGTTGCACTTGCAGACAAAACTACAAAACTGATTAAAGAAAGCACAGAAAAATGACAAGGAAAAAAAAGGAGAAAGAAAACGAAGAGGCGGAGACAACAAATAGAAGGAAAAAGTAACCAGAAGTCAGAAAAGAAGAAATTATGATGATATTGTCAGCGTTAATGATAATGATGAGCCGCGATCAAAGTGACAAAATCAGTAATTCATTCGCTGATTACACTGCATTTGTTTGTTATTATTTATTGCTTTACTTCTTCCGTACTAGAAATTCAACCAGCAACTTACACTTATACTCGATTCATTTCAGTACAATATCGAACTTAAAATAACTTCTATCCTAAGAGAATAGGACGTAGTGTGTCGGCAAAAGCGACATATTACGCGGGCATTTTCTAAGTTTTTCGCAAGAACTATCAAATAAAATACTTTGCCTTTGCATACCTTCGAAGCATCGAGAAAAATGCTTTTTCAAAGAGTTCTAACCAATTTATTCAAATGAAAGCATTCCTGAGTGTTCTCTTCTAATTGATTATTAAACATATAACTTCATCTTATATGAATATCTTCATTCGTCGAACGACAAATACCGTCATGCATGTTTTTCCTTTTAAAAATCATGACTGAATCAGATTTCATCCGGAGGTTCTTTGTCACCTTTTGTTCCAGCACAATTACAATTATCGACATGAGATAAAAGACCGATTCTTTCATGTATATAATCACACCAATTCAATCATCCGAAAAATTCGTAATAGAAAACAACGTGAATAATAAATATTAAAATACAAAGGCATAACATCGTTCCAGCACCACTCGTTATACAATAGGAGATAATAGAATTGTAACTAGCATTAATGTTCACCAACATCAACCTTTAGAAGATGAAAAATTTCATGGCACGAAATGTTAACGAAGAACTATTCATAAATTAGATTAGACGTTTCATACTGTTCAAGTTCTTTTTCTCTACACGAATAGAGATACCGTCAGAATTTGACAGAAACTTAATCATCCACATTCAATATGCCATTATTAATCCATCAACATGAAAAAAAAAGTTCTCTAGAACTAGCTTTGACAATAACATCTTTTTCATTACATGTCAATGAGACCAGGCAGTAGATAATCAGTATAATAATCTTCTCTTCTTTATCATGAGATTCCTTAACGAAAGAAGAATATTAGTTGTTCTAAAAACAGTATATACTAGGTACAAGAATGATCAGATTTCCACCGACGGAATATTTCAATCTTTTCTCATCTCGTTCGACGAAACTCTGAATGTTCCACTAATTTATTACTCTTTACAAAAAAAAAACAAAGAATTTTTTATGAAGAGACGCAAAGAAAATGACATATTTTTGTAAAAAAAAAGAAGTAGGTTATGAATTATAGAATTAAACCATTATATAGGATCGTCAATAGAAACAAAATCTTCATGTTAGAATTATTTTCTATTTATTAATAGGTTGTTTTGTTTTGTCTTGCCTTGAATTCATTGAAAGTCATGAACTACTGTAGATTTTTTTTTGATTTTAACACAATAATTATATTGGCCTTCAAGCGATGATTACAGACTTGACGAATTCTATAATTCATGCGAATGAGCGACGTTTCCAATCAGGTACATGAAATTAGTTTTATGTCAAATATTTGCAATTTGTTTTGTGCTAGTATTTGCCAAATACTTTCAAACTCTTCAATCGACCAAAATATTTTCATGGATGAACAAGAAAATCATCGAAATATCTATTTGCTATGCATTACCGCTGGTTAGACTTTGTTATCTAAATATTAATCCTTGTTACTGTCTAAAGCATTTCCTGTTGTGACATTTTTTTAGCTCAACAACAACTACTAATTTCGAAAGAACAACCGAAAGGCGTCAGGTCATGAGATATATCCTATTATTATCATTTACGTGAACTAATATCGACCGAATGCGCTGTTTATTTGCATTAAAGTTGAAATTATGACGGCGGAAATTGATATTTTTTTTGCCAAGTTCCAGAATACGTGACTGACTTCGTGTTTTATTTGATAGAAAAGCTTAGATCAAGGTATTCGGTACGAAAACGGCTGTTTTCAGTCGCTTCGGGAAAAGTCTTATCTTGTCAGCTTTTGTAGTATCTTTTAGTGAATATTGTCAATTAAGGAAAGAGAAAACGAGAAAGAAAGAAGTAACGACGTGAGTGAAATACTTCTTTGAATGATTCAGTCAAATGGGAAAATGGATTGACAAAATTCATCTTTTGATTTACTAGATCAGTAATGAATTTTAATTTCCATAATGGATTTCACTCAGTGGTTTGAATCAAGTGTGAAAGAAAATACAATAGACGATGAATAAAGTATACCAAGTAGTTCAAGAATTTGTTGAAAGCAGACAAACATCGGTAACAGAAACAGAAGAAGTCATTCACGGAAAGTTGTAAGTACGAGAATTAATTTAGGAAAGAGACTTTTATTCGATTAGCTACTATTCTTCTATATTTTCATTTATTCATCAATATTCGGTGGAATGGAAAATTGGAAATGTTGGATAACCAATAAAGAAGTCATAAAATGATTAACAAAAAAAATTATCAGGAATATGTTTGTCGGTGAAAGGAGAAAGTCCCAATGAGATATGAGATTTATGTCATTTTGCCAAGCTCGAATTTTTTGAACAGTTCACTAGCGGTGAATATAATTGAATCAAGAATACTCGCAACAGTGAATGAACCACCCACAACAGCACAAATCGAAGTAATGAAAGTATACAACTTTTGTCGATGTTCAGTATATTTCACTGTAATCGGCTACACAGAAAAAAAGAATTATAGTTCAATCAAACATATTAAACCTCTTACCATAATATCATAACGAAACCAAATAGCAGGCACACCTCCATGATGATTTGGATTAAATTCCTTAAAATAACAAAGGCAGACTAGTATTGTACATAGATGAAGTTATGCTATAATGGAAGCGGAGTTGGTTCAACTAACCCGATAGAAAAATGTGAATTGAAACGGATATCGTCGTTGTCCACCTCGATTTTCATAGATTGTTGGTACAATCTTTAATGAATAGTCATGTGAAGTATGCGGAGGACGATCTGTATTATTAAAACGTCTTAATGGACGGAATGCTCTACGATTTGGAATTTGTTTGAAACCCTTTGAATGAATATGTAAACTGGTTTATTATGCAGATTATTTCGAGATAAATGTACTTTAACAGTATCACCAAATGTTAATTCGTGTATCACATGTTTCATGTTTCCATTGGGAGGCTGAATTTGAGCAGCATGTGTCGAAACATGAAAATTACCGGGTACACGCGCAATCGAAAACGTTGCATTGATTCGACAGCCTCTATCACCATTTTCGGGAATTTTCACAGTGTTTTCATGAAAAGCAAGGTCATGTCGACCAAGATCATCCTGAATGTCAATACCAAGATCTAAATTTATCATCACAAAATATATTTTCGTAACCAACTTCAAGTTCTTCGATCCTCTTACATTGACAACCAATTTCTATTATGCTGATATCGATATTAACAGGTACTCGTTCGGCTACCCCACTTTCTGGTATGTCAACATACAGTTCACTTACACTAAAAAGACCGTAGATGTTGATTTGTTTAGATGCTGTTCAAAGGTTTCCTTCCTTACATGTCAGGCGTAATGAAGTCATAAAGTTCGATGAGAAGTAGTGTCGAAATGAATGATATGCAAATAAGTGATATCGCAGCACCAGTGTTGGTAGGCTGTGTGAGATCTTTAGGGACTTTTCGATAAATGTCGAATCTAGAAATGCGAAAGAAAAATGCTTGATTAATAATAAAACGATTCTGACTACCTTCGTATGTCGAATTGCATATTCGACAAATCGATCTAGAATAGGAAGGAGTTGATGAAAAGAAAAATGTGACATAAAACGAGAAATACAATCGAAACGAAAAAAAAATACATCTATTATGTCAGGTTTTCTTCTTTATTCTAAGTGACTAAAAGATAAGTTCGATTAAAAATTAAGCATTGATTCTGATTTGTTGTTTGCTATTAGCATATTCGGATTTTCCATATATGATCGAAATGCTTGAAGAAACAATGCGCTTGATTGAGGATCACATGCACGAGCATCGTAGGATAAGGTAACAACTAGTTGATTTTCTGATTTTAGATCATCACCACTGCATCGAAGAAGATTTTGACCAATTGCTAATATACCAATCTGTGGAGGATTAATGACTGCAGAAAATGATCGGATACCAAACATGCCTAAGTTTGAAATTGTGAATGTTCCACCTTGAAATTCATTGGGTTTCAATTTGCCATCTTTGGCTTTGCCTGCTAGTTGACGCACTTGTCCATTGATATCTTGAATCGACAGACGATCAGCATTGAATACAATTGGTGTTATAAGACCATTGTCAGTGGCAACAGCAACACTGATGTCAACAGTTGATTGGAGTTTAAGACCTTGTTTATCTTCATAGACGCCATTCATTTGCGGAACTTGCTTTAAAGAGAAAAAGAAATCTATAGTATAATTTCAAAGGAATGATCGTGTGTCAACGTGGACTATTGAAGAAACAACTGGTATGCTAATATTCGACGATTATTATTAAAATTATTAAATTCGTGTGAACAGATGTAGAATACTGTTCTAACCTGCGATTGTCTTCACAAACGAAATTTACTTACACGAAGTGCGGCTGCTACCGCTTTAATGATGAAATCATTTACAGACACTTTAACCGTTGCTTTTGGATCACTGACCATTTGTTTACGTAATTTAAGTACTTGATCAACATTTGATGTTACACTTAAATATTGATGAGGTATATTGGTTTTCGAATACGTTAAACGTTTCGCAATAGCACGACGAATCGAAGAGATTTCGATGTCATGATATCGACGTCCTCCAGCTTCTGATACTTGTTTCTCTTGACTCGTTGATTTAGTAGATTTCTTCTCCTCACTACGTGGTTTAATTTTGAGTTGATTACTATCAATATACTTTTGTACGTCACTAGACATTGGAAAGAAGGAGAACAGTTCATATGATTACAAGAAGAAGAAAAAAAACGAAAACCTTTTCATAATAACACCATGTGGTCCAGTGCCTTGTACTTTTGATGTGTCAACACCATATTGTTCTAGAAGTGTACGTGCAGCTGGACCAATAGCATGACTTTAAAAGAATTGAACTCAGAAAACTTTTTGAAGATGTTTGATAAAAAGTACGTACTGAGATTGTTCGGTAGATTGTTTATCACTCTTAGGTTTTTCTTCTTTTTTAGGTTCTGAACTCTTTTGACTTGTAGATTTTTGTTCTTTTTCCTTTGGACTTGCACTTTTCTCTTCAGTCTTTGGTACTTCGACACTTTTCCAATCGTCACCTTTCTCAACAATAAGCGCAATTAATTTGCCGACTTTCACGTCAGTTGAATTATCCGGCATCTAAATAGATCAAAATCACTTTCTCTCCTTGATCATCTGAGACAACAACACTAGTTTCATATACCAGAATCTTTGCTAGAATTCCTTCGTCTTCCGTATCGAGAGTCATGGTTGCTTTATCCGTTTGAATTTCACATAAAGCATCGCCAGGATTTATCTCTTCGCCTAAAACCAACGATATAAATACATTCTTAATCAAATGAGTACCAGACCTTCCTTCTTAAGCCATCTAACAATGGTACCTTCACTCATCGTGGGCGACAAAGAAGGCATCTTAAGCGGTGATGTTGCTAAAAGGACATCGAATGAATAGATGACAATGAAAAGTTTTCGATCATACCAAGGGCTCGAACTGCTTCGAACGTGAACCGTGGTTGACGACAGACATTTGTCGCCAATCGACCAAAATTACGAAGCATTTATCGATCTAAAACGGATCATGATAATAAAAAGTTAGTAGAGAGAGTCCGTATTTTCCACGTCAATCAAGAGATGTTTAGAGAGCAGCTTTACAATTGTATCATTCGATGTGGTGAGAAATGAGAAAAGGAAATGTTTAATGTTGGCTAGAAAAACAACTCGATTTTACTATTGGTTTTTACTTCATGCACCCATAAATACCTAGATGGCGCTAAGTTTTGGTTAATACAACGTATTTTTGTGAGGAATACAGGAAACTACCAATATTATCATTTATTTATTGATTTAATAAAAGAAAGGGCATACATAGATGAAAATCTATACTAAAAACTAACAGATTTGTCTAAAATTTTACAAGAAGTGTTAAATTAATTTCTATTCTACCAAGATTTGTTTGTGTAAATGTTTATTCCCATGATATTTTGATAAGCCAACTCGTATATCAGGTGAAGCGATGATATCCACCAGATGACCATTATTTGGTGTCGATACCAATGATGATTGTTGTGTACATTGAAAAATTCGCTAAAGACAATCATTTTGCATTACGCAATTCTCATTTGACGTACTCACCCAATTCATTAGATTTGATTCAGTATTGGTTAATGTTATATCTCTATAGATATATTTACGTTTGGAAAGATCAGGTAAGGGTTGTAAATCATTGATTATTATTTGTTGTTTTTGTGGAAATCCGTTTTCTTTGGTTGGGTGATGTATGTTCTTCTTGGAGACACAATGTGATTGATGTGAACGTTGTTTTTTCTTTTTGTATTTCAGAAACTTTTTCAATTGTTTCTTGAAAATACTTCGTCGACGTAGAATAGCACGTAACTTTCTTTTCTTTTTCAATTTTGTGTGGTAAACATCATAAGAATGATTATCAAGTAAAACAACATTTCGATAGTGTGCATCAATTTGTCCACTCATTTGCAATGGTGGAGAAAGTTTCGATACTGGAAGATTGTTATTGAATAAACATAACGAAGATAATTGATTTTCTTCAATAGTAACAACCGAAAATGGTTGTGTTGACAAAAATCCATTTGATGAAGGTAGACTTTGTATCAATTCTTCACTTGTGATCGAAAGAGTTGCATCATTTTGTTTATAGACGATTTCTTCACTATTTGATAGTGTTGCTTGTTGCAAGAGATGACAGATACCTATGATTTGAGTATTCAATAACAAGAATGAAATTCAGTTCATTTACCATGTTGATCAACAGCAAAAACTGAAGTATTTGAAGATATTTTTTGCTCTTCTTGTGGATCACTTTCAATATCCATGTGACAAATATTCAAATACGAAACGAAAACAATTCTAACGGAAAAAATTTTGATGATATCGATTATATCCATATAGTATCCGTGGATAAAATCAAGTCAACAAATGAACATTTAATTAAAGAGATGTCCGAAGAGAACTGAACTACGTTGAGATATTCAACTATTTGAAACAAAAAGTGTAATCTAAATAAGTATTTCCTTGCTTTTATTAATGAATTAAACAGTGAAATGAGAGGAGAAAAGGATGTGATACTACGAGGAGAAACTAAACTTTCCATTCATCAGGCAAGACTTTCCAAGTGCCAACATTTTCGACAGGTGAAGAGAGCAGCATACGTATACAGACAATAACGCCGAAAACCATCGAAGCAAGAAGAATGAGACCAATAAGAGCGAATATAATGATAAATATCACTTGAGTTAGTTCGTTGACGCGTTGTTGTTGATCTAAATTACTGTTCAAACGACGAAAGATACGCGATAATGGTGATTCAATTGTTGGTAATTCTTCGCTATCTTGTGGTAAATCACTTGAGACTATTGGCGGAGATTTCGTCGTCGTCGGTAAAGATTTTTGATAATTTCTAAATCAATACCAATTAGGATTGTTGATCAAGGAGAAGCTTTTTTTTTAACTTACGTGATTCGATTGGTAAATCTGAATAAGTATTGTGTCGATGTGTCTGGTGTGTTTGTTACCTGCACAGCTAAATTGTTCAATCGGAAAAGTAGTTATCAGATCAAACGAATTTTGTCCTACGTTTGTCACAGTGTTCGCCTTGATACGAAGGGGAACATATACAACGAAAGCCCTTCGTACTAGTCAGTTCATTGACACATTGACCATGATTGTGACACAAATTTGAATCTATTTCACATGGCTCTACAATAAGTCGTAACAACATATGATAGAAATATCGAAAAAGGAAAGCAAGCAGAAAAAGTATTACGTTTGTCGCACTTTGTTGTCAATGCATTGTAGCGCAAACCTGGTTGGCATTTTTTCACTATACTCGTCCCATCATCTTCACATACTACGAATTCATCAAGTTTATTTGCAACAGGTAAATAAGTACCAGAAACATAGTCACGGCAGATGGTATCTAAGCAAACAGAACGAAATCTCTCTGAAAAAAAATCATGTAGATAATACTTGATTTAATCATCGGAGTATTATCCATATCCATGGGTGGTTCATATTGGCAATTGACCTAGAGATAAAAAGTAATCAAAATGGACAGAATCTTCTTCATTGTGGTTGACTCTACGTACTAATTGTTTTGGTGAACACATGAATAATTTCGGATCGAAATGAAGTTCATCTGGACATTGAAATACTTCATGTTGTTTACCCTGATGACAATAGTGAAATAATGAACAATCAAGGACATCCGGATAGATTCCAGTTTGAGTGCATTTCGATGTAGCAGACTTTCGACGATGATAATAGTCGTATCCTCAAAAAATATAGTGTTAGTACAGTTTATCAAGAACGTTATTCTAATGTACCTTTGACAGGTTCAGCTGAAGGAAAATATTCTGTTTCAGCCATTTCTTTTAAAATCTCTGTACATGTCGTCGTGTTTTCCTACTCAATCGATGGATGTTTCGTAATAGTGGAATAAAAAGTCAAATAAATACTGACCACAGATAGATATTGACACTTGCCGCTCGATGGATTAAAAAAGAATCCGTCAATACATGAATAAGTTGTCAAAACTCCGAATGTGCACATATGAAACAGCGAGCAATTCGTCGTGTGTACATAGGCACCACTTTCAACAGGACATTTTTGAAAACCAGGATCATCATTGGATGTCAGTAACGGTATTGGAAATACACTTCCTAATTACATAATCAAAGATATAACAATAAATCAACCGTGGCAAATATTACCGAACGATGTATCAGTCAAAACTCGATGAATATGTATAAAAAGAATACAGACAATGAAAATGATCGTTCGCATCTTTCTCGTCGCTGTTCAAGTACCGATCTGAATATATACCTCTTTTGAATTACATCAAGATCGGTCGCGCTTGATTTGATTGTAATATATTAATAAGACGAGGTTATATGCTCGATGAATACATCTACATATTAAACGTCGTAAAGTAATGTACAATCTGATCATTCATTTTGATGTATTATTGATGAACAAGTTCAATGATTCGTTCGTTTATTTAACCTTCTTTTTTTTTTGTTAAGCGTTCTGTCAAGTATATAAAGACACGATAATAACTCTCTATTCGAACAAATATTTTCAAGTATCTTTGATGTTCAAAATTCTTTGTGATTTATTCATTACGTAACAAGTTCGATCATCGTTTTCTTTTTCAAAGTTAATTTATTTACAATTTTTATAGTACAAAACTTTAATTTGAAATACTATTTTCAAAACTTCGTGTGCGTTTCCGATAACGACTTGGAGTCCAAGTACATTTCGGACATAGACTCCAAAAATTCCGACGAAATTGCATCGATATCAAATAATGAACAAGGAATTTATTCGAATAATTGATCGCCATTAACAACAGACAAAACTTCATCAACATTTTCCATTGAGCGAATTTCAAACAATTGATTTGTGACGCTTCGGTAATCCGATCATTGAAAAAGTATGAATGAAATAACTGAAGAATATTCAATGGCATCACGCTCAACGTATAATAGATCGAATAAATGACAAGTAAAAGTGATGCTGTGCGCATATGTCGACTTCCAGTTGTTTCACTCGTTGTTGACGGACGACGGTAGTAACGATTCCTTAGAATAACCATTGAACATATACAAATGGTAATGCATGGAAGGAATGCTAAAAGACTAAGACGAATCACTGGCCAAACTTTGCCATGCCAGAGTTCAGCATAGGAATAATACTCGCAAATGTTATATGAATAAGAAAAATAAACTGAGAAGTGATATTGAATAATAACAAGCGAGACGATGATGATGATTAAAATGATTTTTATTAATGCTTTTGTTCGTGTTACAAATGTTGAATATCGACTAGGATAAACAACAATCCAAACACGATCAATCGAGGCAGCTGTAAGAAGAAGTGTTGAAATATGAGATGAACCGATCAATAAACTGTAATATGTTCCGCATGTCAGAACATCGCGAGGATCACGTGCTAATGACAATGATGAACACCACAACCAGAAAACAACTACAAATAAACAAAAACATGTTTTGACGGAGAATTCCATTCCATGTTGCTCTTGGAAAGTACTTCCGATAAAAATAAATTTCCGATCAATATTCGAACAACTCTATGTTAGAACTTCCGTTTTCCCTCGGTAATTTTCATATGAATTTCGATTTCTGACTAAATGAGAAATACATACTTGTGAGAAAAATAATTTCGAATATTGCCATCGTAGCAAAATAGAGGCAAACAGGTTGTCTTCGATTTCTAGCGCTGAGCATAATGATAATTACCAAAACATGTCCCGGCATTCCCAATAGAACACATATCAACGCGCCAAAACGCCAAATAGTTTCGCCAAGTAAATAATACGGGTGATTTTTGCACAGTTCGACAGCCATCGGGGTTAAAGATTCAGTAAAATTATTCATCTTGAGAACGTTTGAAAAGATCGCGGGTGTATATATATGCACTCTGAACTACGCAGTCATTATTTTCTTCTTTTTTTTCGTTAAGTATTAATAGTAGGCGATGTTATCGACTCGAATTACCTAACTATGTATAGTCATTAGATTGAAGAAAATCAGAAGAGAAAGAACACAAGAACTTTCTCGTATTCGTGTTTTTAAGCGTTGTAGAATATTTTTTTAGAAGAATAGAAAGAACAATATTGATGATGATTGCATAAAAGAGAGGAAGTAGCACAATAAGCGAACTTTGTCGTAGATTGTCTTTATTAGAACGCGATCAGAGAAATAGTCATTCAAGGACGTACTTCGTGATGAATTCAATGATTTTATTGAATTTAAATGATATACTACTAGATCTTTTCAAAGTTTAGTATTGCTTTCTACAACCTTTAATAGTTCATCAACAAATTGAACAAAGATCGGTTCCATCATTGCTTTTTGCATGTCATCAGCTGGACTAATCGAACTATCTAATGATTTAATCATTGCTCGTAGATGACGATTTTTTAATAAGTCCAATATTTGCACTGACTGACCTAGAATTGCAATGAAAAACGATCTGCTATCTGTGTGTTGATAAAAGCCACAGACCAATTCGTTCGAGCATATGACTTGGCAGGCGATCACTTTCTTCATCATCACCGAGTTCGATCGGCAACTGAATTTGTGTCATAGGTACTAAATATACAAAACAAATCAATCATTCGTTGCTGAGAAAATCACCAACGGTCCCTCGCGCACTTTCTTCTGTTGATTTGGATTGAGTATTGATTGCCGTACATGTGTCTATATTCAAATAGAATTGCGATTAGTCTTTATCGAAATCGTTCTTTGTTACCGGAAGATTTATGTGTCTGACAACATGAAAGTGAACAACTGAAAACACATAACATTAATAAACAATACTGCCGCATCGCCTCACTTACTATCGGATTCGACATGTCGGACATTTATAGGGAGTATTCTTGTTCTCATCACAAACTTGACACTGCATAGTTTTATTATCTCTTGTCTAAAATTATCATCAAATCAGTACACAAAAAAACGATGAAGAATCACTTGAATAAAAAAAAAGAGAAAAATCAAACTGTTCATTCTTTAGAAAAAAATAAATGTAAAAAAGAAAACACCTGTTTATTGTTCATTCCTTGGCAGAAAAAAGCACTCCGAAGAAGTTCATCTGACAATCGGCACAATCTCACCGGTGCGTGCTGCTTCGCGTATCGCTACTATTGCTTCTTGAACTTTATAAACGATATCGAAAGATGTTAGTTCAGTAAATGTTGAACGAGGAATCTGATTGATCAGGGATTCTTTCAAATGCCCAATGAAATAGTAGAATGATTGAATAAATATCAAAGGAATTTCCGGATTCTCTTTGGAAAAGTCCGCGAACTTTTCGTTTGTATCCGAATGAAACGAATCTATCAAAATCTGATCTTCAGTGTTAAAACGACGCAAAATTAACCGGTAATCATTAACCAGCAACGCGCATTTAGATGCAACAATGATCAATTCTTGATTATACGTTGATGATATATGTGAATTCGATATAATATTCACAAATACGGGTGGTAAACGTGTCGAACGATTATAATTTATATGAAATGAACATGTGGTTTCGTTTGGTGATTGTATATAAGCATGACTTATCGTTGATAAAGTTTGTGTACCAAAGAGATAGAATAGAATTGAAAGAGCAAATGAACCAAATCGATTTAGAAGACTACTATTAATTCGATCATCCGAACAGGATTTTAGTGAACAACATTGAATACGAAATTCAATTGATTGAACGTTACCTACAATAAATTATTCATAGAATAAACAGAGATGTTGAATTTCAATCTTAGTTACCGATATTTGCTTGTTCTTCGATTAGAAAACGTTTCAATTTAATAAATGTCGGCAAAAATCCGATTGGATAACAATAACAACATAATTGTTGTTGAACTTGTTGAACTGATATAAGCGATTTCGGATCGACATTGAATGGTGGCATACAAATCACATGATGATGACATGGTTTAATAATCGATGGGCTAGTGATTCGTTTGATCAATGCGAGATGTTGATCCGCATCTGTGCAAATAAAAATTAGATACGGTTGTGTTGCATTGTCGAGCAATTGATCAAATGAAAGTGTCGAACAAGAGGATAGTTCGATGTTTAGTGTATCTTTACACAAAGCAACAAGATCTGAGGTCAAGCGATAGGGCGACCATAGATGATTGATTTGAAAACCAAATGCTCGCAATAGTGGCACAACAACTCTAACGATCGGATTCACGCCGATAATCAGAACTGGTGGAGTGGACGGCATCTGAAACATCAATACTTAATGTAAAATATAGTATGAGGTAATGTTTTATTATCATTCATTTAACAATTTTCTCTACAGTGTTATAAACACCAAAGAAAAAAAAGACACGTACACTCAAATAAAATTGCAACTAGACACGTTTGTTATAGCATAATTAAGAGGAGAAAAAGTTCAAGGCTCACTTTACACATCCATAGAATCTCTTGTCATGTCAATGTGGTGTACAGATAACAAGTGGGCAAAATTGTAAAAACAACACATAAAATAGAAAATAAATGCGTATGATTGCAACTACTAAGAGAATAAGATTTCTTTGTGCACAATATGTTATGGCTCTTTTTTTTTAAATATTTTTTGCATCTATACAAAATCTGTTTCTCATTTCTGTCGTGTTTTTTTTTCATTTAAAAAATCAAACAGAGATCAACAATACTAAAAGACACTGATAGAGAAGGGAAACGATATAACCAATGATCAGTTTTTCTCCGACAATATAGATATATAGATATATATGAATACCGACAACAGGAAAAGAAGACAAGTTAAGTCTATTTACAACCACGAGAAAACAATAGAGAAAATGTTCCCAATGAAAAGAAAAACAATTCGTTTCGGAAGAACGATATCAGATCTTGAGAAAATAAATACAAATCGAACAAGAAAAAAAAATAGAAGAAGAAAACTTTGTCGACTGGGTTGTTTTGCTATTCACATCTATTGCATTTGATGAACAAAATAGAGCAATGTGACAAGAGATTAGATGCATATTATCTTCTATAATTTATGTCAGAAATCAATACACCCAACTAACAGGTACCCATTGAGATTGAACGCTAACTCGTTCTATCGCATGTTGTAACTGAAAAAGGCAAAACAAAAAAAGTAGAGAATATATGACAGATTGAAAGACGAATTTGTGTACCGTGCGAATTGTTTCTTCGATATCATTGTTAACAATAACATAATCAAAATAATGTCCGTAGGCTTGTTGAAGGAGTTCACTCTCTTTGACTAATCTTTCTAAACTATCATCCTAGATGTATTTGAAAACGAAGAAGTTGTTAGCAAGAAGAAATCTCGAATGGCTTTTCTTACATTAACGCCTTTAATTTGCGAGAGATCAGGTGCTGCAATAAAAACAACATAGGGAGCGAATTCGGCTGTTCGTAGAACTTTCAATGCTTGCGGTTCGACATCGAGAATGGCCATAAGACCCTGTCGATTGATATTTCGTATCGTTTCAAGTTTAGTTCCATACATGGCATCTTCATGTGTGCCATATTCTAAATACTCATTATTAGCAATATCACGCATCATTTCCTCGTGAGTAACAAAATAATAATTCTTTCCATTTTCTTCTTCTTTCTTCGGCAATCGTGTTGTATCTAAAATACAGAATTGAAACGATTCGATTAAGACAAAATAGATATTTACGAGGAATCGGATAGGCGAATTGCTTAGGTTGACTAGTAATTAATGTATTTTTAATATGTCGACGACCAACACCGTGCGCACCTAGAAGAAGAAAATCGTTGAGAAAAGGAGAGCGAAGATTTGTTGTTGATGTTACCAAGTAGAACAAGTGTCTTTCGACGAAATTCAGGTAATCGAATTACTTCTTCGTACGTGACCAAATCAAGTTGATCAAATACAGCATTATGTTTAGCTAAATATTTGTCTTTCATGACTTTACGTTTTCGACTGAACACACCACAATTAGCTAGAAAAGAAAAAGAAGAGAAATTTTCATCGTTAGATAACAACGATCATCGACAAAATGTCAGTCAGTAGACCGATCGAAGAAATCTTTTGGACTAATTGAAATTAGATTGAATGGTAGTTGAGAAATGGAAGAGCATCATGGGTTAATCAATTTTAACTTTTCGCTCCAATAAGATCCAAATGATTTGAACAACGGAAGACTATTTGAATAATCTAATTACGAAAGAGTTCTTCCTTTTTTATCCTTGAATCACAACTTTTCTCGTTTTCCATTTCTTCCTCATTCTCAGCAAACGATGTCATATCAGTCACTAATTAACTCACTACTAATTGATCAATCTCTTTCCAAACTCTGACAAAAACTTCCTCTCGGAAACCAACTATATCTTACCACTTCCATCTTTTGCTTTTTCAATTGCATTCGTAGCTATTCTCCATTCTTGTAATTCAGGTGATGGAATTAAACCAGCAGGTGAATTATTGAAGTCACCATGATAATGATTGATTGCTTGTTCGTTTGTACTCTGATGTGATGCGATCTTTTTCGCTTGCCACCAATTATGATCGTCTTTCGAGATCACTTGTAGAATATCTCCAATGCTAAACTTGATACCTGCTTGTGCACTCGGTATCAACTCATCGTCTTTAGGATCATAACTAAATAATGTTTTGACATAGATCTAAAACGAAATATTGAATTGTATGTGTGGAGAGTCTTTTGAAAAGATTTACATCACAAGGTGGTGGTTGACTTCGATAACTGGGTACGATTTTAAACGTGATACTGCCACGAGCATCTCGCTAAAAGAGAACAAATGAAAAGAAGCGAATACAAAGAAGAATCTTGTCCACATACCAGCATTTGTTGTAGGTATTGTATCGGATGATTGGAAATAGTTTGTCCATTGATTTCTTTGATTTCATCACCGACATGTAATGTACCTTGTCTATGGATCATACCACCATTGAGTATGCGTGACACGATACATCGCTTATTTTCAGTCATACGAAGTGTTATACCCTAGACACACAAAGTAAATGAATATATAGTGAGAGAAAACTTATATTGTTAATTGTCTACCAATGGTTCATCTGTGTTGCGTTGAAACTGAACAAGTCGAACACGTGTTACATCACACGCTGCATCACTAATTCCATCTCCATCTTCATCATTCTGTCTGCTGCCATTCTGGCCGGTATAGTCATTCTCAATCGTAGGCTCGAGTGCAGATGTATTCTTTCCAAGGTAAGGTGATGCAGCATGTCCAGTCTCATCAGCATAAACTTCGTGTGCAACAACATCATGTGCTTGTAGAAGAGCCTAGAAGACAAGTAAATGATTAAAAATACACAAACAATTCGTATAGTCTATTATTAGTGTTCAATCTTATCTTTCAGTTGAATCTATATGACTTTCTGAAATCCACGGAAGTTAGTACTTCTAAAGACTAGTTGTTCTTCTGGATGTCTTGTATTAGTTCCGTTTTTTCGAAGTAAATAACACTGATGCACATGTTCTTTCTTCTATCTTGATTAACGAGAAAAACGACAAGAAACCAAAAAAAAACAAACTACCAGAATGGATAGTTGATGAAACATCCATCTACACTACATTAACACACGTAAACTACGAAGCAAAAAGGCGAACGATGTTCTAATAGAAGGAACATCAACAAGATTCAGCAATTGACGTTGTCAACGCCTATGCTTGCTACTGTCAGTCAATCATCCAGATATAGTGCAGCAGAAAAATAATTTGCTCTATAGAAGACAGATATAGATTTTATTTACCTTCCTTGCCATGCAAACTCTGCTTTGACTGATGAGAATAATCAAGGGAGCGAAAAGCAAAACACCAGTGTGTACTTCAAACTGCACTGTACACAGTCTGCTCATTAGAGCAATGAGAAACGATTAAATTAAGCAGAGAGATAAATTATTCATTTAACTTTATGCTACTTTTGATTCAGTTATGATCTTTTTATAAGATTTTTTCGATGTCACGCACATAATTAATCGATACTTGTGTGATTAAATTTCTCTAAGAATACTCTATTCGGATCTGACATACATACCATTTCGAAACAAAACAAAAAACCGTTCGTCAAGATGTCTATACTTGGATTAACATTATTAATAATATCGTGATAATAGCTGTGATAAGAAATTTATTGATCCAATCCTTAGGAGCAACGAGAGATTCTTAGAAAGAATAATATTATTCCTATGCAATTTCTAGTCGCTCGCTTTTTTTTACATTTCTCTCTCTCTCTCTCTACTTTTCTCTCTTCTTCTCTTGTTCCGCATTCTCCCTCTCTCTTCTTTAATGTTGTCTGTTTGTCGTGTGTCATCTCTTTTGTTTGATCTTAACACACATACACGAGAGAGAGGGTGCACATCCACTCCTAATCGTTTCTGTTGAGCAACAATCTCTATGTACTGAATGGAAACGGAGAAACATAGATGGATGGCTAAATCTATCGATCCGCTCAATTTTCCCGTCGGCTATATCGTGGAACATCTCTAATTCAATCGATTCGTCCCATGTCTTTCCAACAAGTTCGTTTCGGTTATGTTTTAACACGATAGAAAGAGAAGCACATCGGACACTCTAAANTGCGAGGGAAAAAGAAAGAATAGAAATCAACGATGCACTTATTCAAGATGTTTTTCGAATCGAAATGAAGAAGATCAGAACTGACGAGACGACGATTGATTTCTCGCTCGAATTTTATTGCAATGAATGGACGTCCATGACGTAAACAGACATATACAATGAAAAGAATGATAAAAGAAAATACTAATAGACAGAAAGATTTCATCGGACGAATCAAGTGTTTTTATTTCGAAAATAAACAAAATTTTCTCAAGTAACAAGCATCACATTATCGTTTGTTATGTCTTCCGTTGTTTCTTGATAGATGCGATCATGATAATGTCGCAATGGTATCATATGATAAACAGGTCGAAAACTAAAATAAACAAAAGGAGAAAATGACGAAACGTTTGACGAAGAAAATTGCTGATGAATTTACTTGGTGAACTGGTATTTTCGTTGTTTGTCCAGACAAACTAAGAGAAGAACAAGAAAAACTAATAATAATACAATTGAAATTATAGTCATTAGAATGAAAAATAGATTGTTCGATGAACACGACGGTGAATTGATTGTATTCAGTGAAATTTCTTGTCCTTGTTCATTGAGACAACTAAACGAATGAGATATATTATAAGAGTGAAAAACAAATGAAAGAAATCTTTACATAACATCGGTCATGTTTTCGATTTTTAAGAATTCGTTTACCCATCGTAGTGAACATGAGTGACAACGAAGTTTTTGACTCGTTATATCGAGACTATCGAGTTGTTTCATGATTAACAATGGATGAAAGACTGATTCATCGAATGTTTTCAAATGATGATTACTTAAATTGAGCTAAAAAGCGAAGCCAAATGACAAATTGAATTTCTTTCTTGATATCAACTTACTAGTCTTAAGTTAATCAATTTTTTGAATAGACAACTCTTCAAACGAACAGATGCTAAATTTGCCAAAGACAATTCTTCTAATTGTATCAGATTTTCGAATAATGAACATGAAAGATCACTTGAAAGTCCATCCAGATATAAGATTTTTAAACTCGAAGGAAATATCGGTTGTTTTCTTAACTGAATTTGTTTCACATTCAAGGGATTTCGAGATAGATCAAGTTCGTTCAATTGTGGAGTTGATCGAAAGAAATCAACGGAAATATTAACAAAAGCATTTTCATCAAGTTGAACTTTAGTTAATGATGGTAAAGTAAAATTCAGTGGGGATAAATATATTAGTTGATTCGAGTGTAGATCTAATTCGGTCAGGTTCGACATTTGTGTTAAACAATTTCCATCAAAAACGTGTAATTTGTTGTTACGTAGGGAGAGTTTCTTTAGATTTATTGGCAACCTCCACTGGATATGTTCGATTGACTTCGAGCAGAGAAATTCTTCGAAATGATTATCGTCGAAATAGATTTCGCTCAGCGAATTTAATAACGAAAACGAAAGAAAGTGTTCATCCATGATATACAGATTGAGATGCTTCAACGCATTGACGAATTTGAGAACTTTCAAGCGAGGAAATAGTAGATTAGAAAAATAATTTCGAGTTATATGTTCGATCGGATTGTGACTAAGATCAAAATATTCCAAATTCGGATAACTTAGGTTTGTTTGATGCAGCGCATAGATTCGATTCGAGGTTAACGAAAGAATTTTAACTGTTGAATAACTTCTCGTAATCAATTCGATATGATTATGGTCTAAGTACAGACTTTCCAATTGTTTAAAGTTCGACAAATCGGGTAGATCGAATAATTCAGAATAGACGATCGACAATTGCGTCATATTCGAAAAGTTCGAGTACGACAAAGTCGGTGAGTTTGCACAATACACAATAGTCGAATTGTCTCCGGAAAGAGAACATTCCTTGGCATGGATGAGAATAAATAATTGAAGGAAATATACCAACGTCGGTTTCATGTCGACGATTGTCTTGCAATGCTCGTCGTTATTTATACAGGCAAACTTTGCTGATAATCAATGGTTAATCAAGCATCCTCTGAAATAATAACATTACGCTATTCTTCGCCGGCCGAGTATAAATAGATAGGCAAGGCAAAACCAATAAGTTCTATCTACACAACATCTGTGTTAATATTTCACGCAAATAGAACGATGGCGTTGTCGAAAAATGAAAGAAATATTAATTAAAAATAAACAAAGAACGACGAGATTTCGAGAAGTATGTTGGAAACGTTTCTAATTGATCGGGTGACAAAAACCTAGAGACGGGGAGAGAGAGAGAGAAAAAAATAAACAACTTCTTGCGTCCTCTTCTTAAGAGTAATTCGATACATACGACGCTCAGATAGATCGTCAAGGAAGTGTCTGATTTGTCGCTTTTAGTTATTGACTAATTTGTCAGGGAGGAAAGAGTAATTGCTTACAGCTTGTCGATAATTTATTGATTAGAATAATATTCCTTCTAAACAAATATCAGTCGCTTTTCATGTCATTACTTTACATTTGACTCGCGTGGAATAATCATTAGAAAAGAAAACATGCATTTCTAATCCATGATTGGCAGATGAATTTATTCGACGGACAAAGAATAGGTCTCTCCCGAGATCTTCAGACAAAGTAGAATTTCTCATCGATTTCTAATTAATTTTGAACTATTCAGGAGACTTATAGAATAATGACCTAACATGATGTTCCTGTTGGAAGAGTGGTTTGCAAGGAAACCATTGAAAAGCAAAGCGCGAGACAAGTTTGGTGAGTATTTGACTGAGAGAATTAATTACTCTGCGAATTCCTAGAGGAAATCGATTGTGCAGCATTATCTATTCATAGTTTTCGAACAAAATATTGTATTAAAAATGGCCTAGATCAGATGATTTTACCATATTGTCGGTGGTGTCAATCAAGTTGATTTCTTCTTGACGAATCTTCTTTTTTATCAAGTGAAGAACTTGAATAGAACAAAGGACACAAAAGAAAAAGTTAGTTCGTATGAGAGCGAAAGAGAGAAAAAGTGAACAAAACAAATTTGACGGCGAAGAAGAAAAGCAAACTTTAACAAAAGAAAACGAAAGTTATTGACTGAAGTTTGTTGTTTTGAATAATAAAATGTGTGCGCCAGTTTGGTCTTCTTGATGGAATATTTACAGTTTGCTCTTGGAAAACGAAACACGAAGATGCATGGAATCTGCTAGACGATAGTTATGGGTATTCTAAAGGGAATCAAACGAATCCAAATGAGATAAGAACGTGAGGAGAAGAAGCATCATTACAATCAACGCCGCGATCGTTTCTTCGATGGTATCCATTTCGATCAATGCCATTTTGTGATCCTTTTCAAAGAATTTGAATCGTTTGATAGTGCCATATTGAGAGAATATGTTTCGAATCTCGTCTTCGGTGGTTTCACTTCTAAAAACTGATCGTATATATCGAGTTGGGAGAATATGAGTTAGAACGTACGGTATATTGGATAGATGAAGAACATTTCCAGGCGGATGAATATTATTGTAGTTTTTCGAGCCTGGCTTTTTGAACCGATGTAATGGAGAATTCGTGAAATCTTTCGTTAAACCCATGTCCTGCACAAAAACGAAGTTCTATTAAATATTTCTGAGGAAAAATTATCCGTTATACCGAAGAGCCATCTTTGGGCATTTGGACGAATTGATGTTTGGAAAAGGAAACTTTAATTTGTTTACCGAACATATTTATATGATCAAGATTCTGATGGGCTAATGAGAAAGACAAAAAAGATCAATTGAGAACATTTCTTTTCATTGTATACATACCAACAAGTGCTTGCTGTGGTGTGGCAAACTGAATCAATGCGGAATCTTTCTTATTAAATAAGATCTTTACCCGATGCACATCACCATAGACACCTAAGAGTAAATTGAATATAGAAATTTGTTTTTCACAATTGACTTTCAATCTTTTCTCGAAATTCACATTGAGTTTACCGAAGAATGTTTAGAAAGTGAAATGTTCGATAGAAATCACAGAAAATGAGAATGATATTTCTATGTTTGTTTTCACTTTCTATGTCAATCTTCACGTATGTTTGGATTCCAGCTAAAAGACCTGAGCTATGATTTGAAGAGTGAAAATATAGAAAAATGGAAATATTCATTGAGTTTTCGTAAAAGAAAACAACACTAAATAATAATAAAGTATGAAAAGAAAGAGAAGATAACACATACCGAATAGTGTGAATAAAGACTCTGGAGTCGTCATCTAATCGTCCGGTTGAGAAAAATAAAGAAAAAAAAGAGAAAATAAAGAAGAAACGAATAGAAAGAATCAAATTTCAAAAATTATTATCAGACAGACTAGTTGAAAGAAAGATAGAAATGAAAGATGTTTCTATCTTATCTTTTCAGGAAACTGGAATATTCCAGAACATCTTCTTCTCCTTTTGCTTGTTTCAACTTACGTTTTCATTCAAATTCGATACTAATATAACTGGACCGTTTTGAACTGACATCATGTGTGGATTTTGTTGTTGCGCTTGTTGGTGAAGAGCATGCATGTGCGCACTGGCTGCAGACGCATGGCCATGTGGTAATCCATGCATAGGTGAAATTTGATGATGCGCAGATCCATATGGATGACCGTATGGTGAGGGAGGAGGTGGAACACCTGGCACTGAACCATAGGCATTTGATGGAGGTTGTAATGGACTCATCAAGTGACTAGCACCACCTAAACACCGAGGAGTAGAACAGTATTGTTTCTCTCTGTTGAATAGTGTCTCGTACCTTGCATGTCATAACTGGGTGTGCCAGGTGTTGACGGTGGCCTGCCACGACCAGCGGCAGCTCCGTAGTAATCTAATAGTTTTCAAAATAAAATGACGCAGGTTTCGAAAATAAACCTGAACTTTTACCGTAACGATAGTCCTCATTGGAACCTGATCTTTGTAATGAAAGAAGATTAGGATTTGAATGCATACGATCTAGAAATATAGCAAGATAAATTTTTCTGAAATGAATCTTTTTCAATACACATACCTAAATCATGTTGCTGTTGTAATGCATGACCTTCACCTGCTGGCAAAGTCGGGTTGGTATAATCTCGACTCTTATCATTGTTAAATTTGACAGTCAGTGAATGTAATTTCGAATATTCAATTTGAAGCTATGATTCAGAAGTTTGCATTCAAGTTTATCGAAGAATATTCTACTTACTGTACAACAACCATTGTAAATGTTTTGACCATGCAATTGCTAAAAATGAAGTATTACGATGCAAAATGTACTCAACGTTATTGACGATCTTACCAATTTTGCTTGCGCAGCTCCATTAGGATCTTTCGTTTGGATCAAAGCTTGAAATTTATCTACGATTAAAAAAGCAACTTATTTCATATCTATTCAATCGTTGTTATTACCATTCTTAGTAAATGTTATGATTTTTAAGATAGTACCAAATTTGCCAAAGATCTAATATAAGAAAAAAAAGCATCGACTGAAAGTACAAGATTTTATTCTCTTACTTGGTACAAAACATCGATTGTAACAGGATATAACATATTCATGATGCTAATACGCAAGACACAATTTGGTCCACCTTTTTGTGCTGTTTCATAGAGATCAGTTGCTTGTGCCAATGCTACATGTGCTTGTTGATTAGTTCGATTTGTTGGATCAGTGCGAAGCTCTCCATGATTGGAGAATTGTGCGAAGATTTGTCGACCATTAAGCATAGCTGGTGCCGAGGAAAAATAATCAACCATTTGCTTAGCAGAATCCGTTAGATCGAATTCAAGAAAAGCCTATAAGAACTTGTTGACAATCATAAAATCAAGAAGAAATCCAATTACCTGTGCTTTTTTACGTAGATTCAAAAAATTTGTTACTCGACCGAACGGAAGACCAAGTTGAACAACTTCAAGATCGCTTGCTTCAATATTTCTTACATGAACAACACGGGAAGGCAATGCAGGTTCTGAACGACTCTAGTTTGAAAGGAACAGAACAGTGGTAATTAAAACAAATCATCTTATGAATAAATTTGTACTTTTTTTGCGATATCGGGTATTTGAGAGTTTAAGGTACTGATGCCGTCGCCATTGGCATCAAATTCATCATTTGAAAATGTGCGCTAGACAAAAGATAAATAATGTAATAGAAAAGAAGAAGTCGAGTGTCTACCTTCATGTTGATCTAGAAAAAAGAATAAATACAACGGTATATTTCGAGGTATAACGATCGAAAACGAAATCGTACTTCGCTAGAGCACAGACGCAAACACAAGTCTGTTAGCTCGTATGTCGATGTTGCTTGAAACGTTTTGAATTGTTTCTATTCTACACCTATTATTATTGCCCTCGAATTAAATAGAATCTCAGATGCAATTTGAATCCTTGTTTTCGTTGTAGGAACGGATACGAATAGAAAGAATTATATCGTAAAATCTATAACTTGATCTTTCTTCATTGTTTACCAATAATAATCATCCGTATAGAGAAAACCAACCAATCAGAAAGCAGTAATTAATATCCATAGCATTTTACATTTATTAATGAAAGCAACATATTTTTTTACAATGAATTTGTTTTGAGATATTATTGATTTTTTTCGTTGAACCATTTTATCGGCTGTCTTGTGATTTGCTGTTAATTGTAACCAATTAGATTTGCACATGAATCACTATGACTGTTTGTGTTTGTCAGGAATGTTTGAAATGCGAATACAATGAGAAAATAATTGTCCATTTGATAGAATTAACAAACATTATTAGTTGTTATACAAAATTCAATGATGCTAGATTATAAGCTGACAATGCCTTTGTGTTTGGAAACGACTTACAGAACGCAAACAGTCAGCGGAGTATACTTTGCTTACTCATTGGTCACAACATAATCGAATTTCTTTTGCTCTTTTACTTTTAAATAAGAATACTTTTTACATTTATGGCTGATTCACCTATGAAAAAAGAAAAATCCCGTCAGAACTTATTAATGAATAAATCGACAGGCGATGAAAGATGATTGTGACAAAAACATCGTTGCGCGAAATCTATATAGGTAGTAGATATAACCGGCAGACATAAATGAGTAAGGATTATGTTAGCTTTCTTTTCTACCAGTGTTCCGTGTTGCTTCATAATCTCAACACCATCGTTATTAATTAAAGATAGATATGATTTGTAAGAATACAGAAGAATTTTCCAAATGTTGCTTCAAAATCCAAGGGTGTTTAGTAAAGTGTCCGACATACATTCTACTTGCTGTATACAATTTGTAAGCAAGTATATGCAACAGAATCCGTTGATACTGTGCAGGTATCATTGAAAATATTGCTCATATTCACATAACGTCGACAGACAGAGCATTTAAAACCAATGGTGACGGAATAGAATAGATGTCACGATATAGATTTTGATTGGTTTCTTATTGATCATCCTTTTGCCAGTGCGTGCGAGGAAGAAGAAGAAGATTCTCGTTTCTTTGTTCTGATTAATTTCTTATTTCAATACGTACTCAAAAATTATTAATATCATTTTCTCTTAGATGGAACCTAATAACAAGGACGAGATTTTAAGCAATTTCATTGCTATTACGCAATGCCCGAGCGAACAAGCAACACGCTACTTAGAAGCTGCTCAATGGAATGCCCAAACAGCCATGGAGATCTTTTTTGATAATGGTGGTTCACAAGCTGGTGAACCGATTCCCACGACACACACAGCCTCATCTGCAGCGAATACTAATCAAGGCTCATCAGGTCAGTATTTATTGATTCTCACTAACTATTTTCAATCAGAATACTTGAATTTTATTCAGGACCAATAGCGTCTGGTGGAACTGGCGGTTATGAATCAGATGATGAAAGTCCTATGCAATCAGCTATTGAAGAAAGTCTACGAGCGAATGCAAGCGCGGAAAAATCGACTGGAGATACAAGCAAGAAACCAGCAGCGCCTCCAAGCAGATTCGGTACTATCGGCACTTTACAACACGAAGAAGAAGACTCTGACGAAGAAGGTTGTTAGCATGTAGTTTGTTCCGAGAAAAAGTCTAATCAATGTGTTTAGGTCAAGCTTTCTATGCTGGCGGTTCTGAACGTAGTGGTCAACAAATAATTGGCCCAGCAAAACCTAAAAATAACGATAAAAATGTAACGAAAATCTTTGAATCAGCTCGCAAACAAGGTGCCATGGAAGCCGATGATGACGATGATCAAGACGGTCGTTCTTCCCGGGCGAAAAAGGAGAAAGCATTCAGCGGTGTTGGATATAGTTTAGGTGATGATTCGACGCCTTCGCGTACTTTCGGCCAACCATCAGCAGGCGCAGCAGCAGCTGCTGCTGCCAATCGACCAGAGCAGTTACCACTTCGATTCTATTCCAACGGATTTACTGTTGGTGATGGTGAACTACGTAAATTCGAAGAAAACAAAGAATTCATGGATCACATCAAACGTGGTGAAGTACCACCTGAACTCAGGAGTTTATCAGCAGGTGGACGCCAAGTCGAGGTAATTAATATTATTGCTACATATGAGACTAGTCTATTGTGCGGTTCTGTATACAGGTACGTCTTGAAGATCATCGTGGCGAAGAATATAAGCCACAAGTGCCACAATTCAAACCTTTCGGTGGTGCCGGCCACATGCTAGGCTCACCAGCTCCAAATGTTAATCAATCAACAACTACAGGTCCCGTTCCTTTCAAATCCTCCATGGCATCGAGTAGCTCTACAGTATCAACGGCTACGGATTCAGATCGTCTCGAGAAACTCGCTGAACAGCAATTAAAATCATCCTCATCGTCAACGACAATTCGTCTTCGCTTACCAGATCTTTCAACTCCTGTACGTATTGCGATTGGTTTAGATCGTACTTTAGCCGATCTTCGTAAGCTCCTCATTGAAAACGTTCCATCACTTCAATCGAATCAATTCGAATTCATTGAACCACCTTCGACAAAAATCAAACGTGAAGATGAAACAAAAACAGTTCGTGATGCCAAACTAACCAATGCTACAATCGCAGTCCGTCGAGCTACATAATGCCATTGAATATTTATCTCTATCCACGAAAAAAATTATTACACTATGACGGATGAGTTTTTTCTTCAATTTAACACTCGTTTTTTTTTATTTCGTTCTGTTCTTTCTTTTCTTCAAATAAAAAAAACAAGCTGTAAGCAAGGACAAACATATGACTACTATAATGGTGAATCATTCTGATGCAATTCTTCTAGATTCATTGTATCGCAATACTTACATGCGGTTTTGCAATACGTTATTCAGATTACTTTCATCACCATCAATTTATTCGAATAACAGCTCGAGACTAAATCGAACACTAAAAAAGTCTCACTATTATTCATTCAACACGGTCACCATGATTATACTGAAAATCAAATCTTTCTAGATTGTCAAAGATGGCTCAACAAACAGCTAATCAATCGAATCTCATCACAATAGATGGATCCTACTTAGAAGGGGTATGATAAGACTTCACCGAGCTTGAATTTAGAAGATTTGACATGAGATTATATTTTTTTAAAGGGTGGTCAAATTCTTCGTAATTCGACAGCATTAAGTGTTCTACTCGATATTCCTATTCGAGTTGAAAAGATTCGTGCTGGTCGAGCGCAAGGTGGTCTACGACCTCAACACCTTACTGGTATACAATTGTTAGCTCAATTGTCTGAGGCTAAACTTCACAATGGGAATATCGGTGCTACTGAAATATATTTCACGCCAAAAACTATCAAAGGTGGCAATTATTTAGCTGATACGAAAACGGCTGGGTATGTTGCTTTCATACAAGTATTTGTAAGATGATTGAACATCGGAGAGATCTGTTTATTTTTATCAGAAGTGTTTGTCTAATGATGCAAACTGCAATTCCATGTTTGTTGTTCGCTAATGGATCATCTCAGTTAAGATTACTCGGTGGAACAAACGCAGACTTTGCACCAGAAATAGATTATTATTCAATGGTAGAGTTTTTTAATATGAATATAATCGAAAATGAAACCTTTGGGTGTTGAACATTAGGTTTTCCAACCGATTGCTAAGCGATTCAATTTCGGTTTCGATATGAATTTAGTTCGTCGGTTTGTGAAAATATTTACCTTCTTTCGAACATCATTGTTTGTACTGGAGTCGTTTTCAGAGGTTATTATCCAAGAGGTGGTGGCGAAGTTCGCATAACCGTGAATCCTGTTGATCAACTAGTAGCTGCTGATTTAACAGATTTTGGACAGATTAAACGATTTTTTGGCCGAGCTTTCGTTTCTGGAACATTACCTAAACGAGTAGAAATGCTTTTCAACTTACGAATACCATTATGTTCTTCTATATGTCGCTAGATTGCTCACGAAATGGCTGAAGCTGCTAAAAACTTGATACATAAGCAATATGCCAAAGAGATTTCTGTAGAAATTGAAGTTGTCAAGGAGCCTGACAATATGGCTACCGGATCGGCAACTGGTATCATGTAAGGCAACATATGGAACAAGAAACAATAAGATATGTGAAAAACGTTCTTTCTATGCGTAGAGTCGGAGCTGAAACAACAACAGGTTGTATACTCGGAGCAAGCGCATTGGGTAAACGAGAAGTGCCAGCACATGAAGTTGGAACACAAGCAACACAAGACTTGCTAGAAGATTTATCATCTCAAGCATGTGTAGATCGACATTTACAGGATCAAGTTTGTTCTCGAGAGGATTCCTACTAGACAAATGTGTATAATTGATATTTTAGTTGATTATTATTATGGCCTTGGCAACCGGTCATTCGAAAATTCGCTCTGGTCCATTGACAGATCATACGAAAACAGCGATTGCTGTCGCTGAGCTATTAACTAAAGTATGTTGCAGTAAATACTTATCTGTGAATAATCAATTCTTCTTTTTTTTCAAGACTAAATTTACAGTTACCGAAGTATCAAACTCGGCAGCAACGAACACACATAATTCTGCGTTTATCATTGAGTGTGATGGGATAGGACATCGACGAATAGTATAAATGCATATATTTTCCTTTTATTGATAAAACTTGCTGCATTCTTTGTTGTTTTTTAATCGGCAACAAACGGTTCTATGTTTTCTAGATCGGTGTCTGAAACGAAGTGAAGACTTGGCAAAGTACTTCGATCGTTTTTCGGAAACATACAGTCCTATATATAAACTAATATGATAGAATTCTACTTCTCATGACGATTTGCACAGGTATATTCGCTTACAGGTGAGAGAAATAATATTTACTGGATATGGTATATCTTGTCGGCAAATGTAACTACAAAGATGCGCATAGAGTTTCTACGTTTTTCAAATACTTTGTCTGCAGATTCACGGAATATCACTTCGGAATTTCCTCGTTTCTCATAAAGTCACAAACGCTATTCCTAATTGGATTTGTATCGAAAAATAGTATCATCAAATAAAATTTTGTCTACCTTGCACGTTGTATTCGAAGACCAAGACAATAAGATGAGGTTAACAGTGAAATCTTGACTCTATTTGCTGGGTGAACCGATATTTTTCGCTCTTTTTTCTTGTAATAATCTTATATCTTACTCTCACATCAATTACCCAGTTCGTTTTTCTGCTCTAGATAACTATTTATAGGTACACATGCCTGTCAAAGAAATAAACGATGGTGATTTGAAAAAGGAGCTAGAAAAGGCCGGTGATAAACTCGTGCTCATCGATTTCTTTGCTACATGGTAACTCCCTATCGACCAATTTCATATCGATTCCATTCTCCTTATGTATAGGTGTGGTCCTTGTAAAAAGGTCGCCCCGACCATTGAGAAGCTAAGTGAATCTCATCCGAACGCTGTTTTTCTTAAAGTGGATGTTGACCAATGCGAAGTAGGCAAGCCATCTTGTTTGTCTTCCTCATCACGAACATCAATACTTCTAGACTGAAGCTCGCCAATATGAGATCAGTGCAATGCCAACATTTGTATTCATTCGTAGTTCAAAAGAATTAGAACGTATTCGTGGTGCTGATGTAGATGCGATTGAGAAAACGCTCGCTAAACATTACAAAGCAACAGCCGCATTTGGAGGCGAAGGTCATTCTATGCTAGAAACCAGTACAGCAAGTGCGGCCGTAACGACTGAAACCGATCGTGAACGTTTAGAAAAAGCAGCACAAGAACTTTTCGGCAAACCAAGTAAAGAACAAACGATGACAACGCTTCGTCTTCGTTTGCCTGACATATCAACTCCTGTTAACATACGATTGAGCACAGATCGAACATTAAACGAAGTTCGTCATTTGCTTTGCAATACAATAAGTTCGTTTGAAACGAATCCGTTCGAATTTATGGAACCGCCCGCGATGAAAATTAAACCCGAAGATGAAGCAAAGACAATCAGTGAAGCAAAATTAACGAATGCAGTGTTAACAGTTAAAAAAATTTCAGTATAATCAATCCTATTTTGATCTCGATAAACCAGACTAATAGAAATGACTCGATCTTTCTTTACATGTTTATTTTCATTAATTTATTCATTAATCATTCTTGCGTTTAGTAAAATCTTACTTAGAAATGCCATAAAAATATCTTTCGTTCTCTTACGTTCATCAACTTAATTCAATCATCTATTGAATATGACATAACGACGTCAGTTCAATGAACTTCGAAAGAAGAAAAAAGGGGAAATATCTCCTTTTTTTTCTCGTAACACACGCTTAGAATTCTTGTCTGATCGCGAAGGCGCGATGCCGACAGCTTCCTTTTCCACATCGATTTCTATTTTCATGAAAAGCGAAAGAAAAAGAGCAAGCAAGTAATGTAATTTTTGCTTCTTTCTTAAGTGGATCATTGATATATACGAAGTACGAAACGGAAAATGAAAAGACTATATCATCATTGTGAATATGTATCGTTTTTACGACCATGCATCTATCAACGAGTAAGAGAAATCAATAAATAGAAGAGCAGAAGAGAACGAGTGACGACGGTGAGACACATTGTATTCGTACTGGTTAATGTACTTATTCCATCGTTGTCGTTATTTCTCTCCAGGTAATTTTATTTGCGAGCTATGAAAGTGACATCGAAAGAATGCCCTCGAGAAACTATTGATCGATTGTTTCTTTCCATCGGAGTCTAGATTGAAAACGAAACGTATTTTTCCTCGTGTTTAGAAAGTCATACATTTGTCTAGTGAATGTTCAAAATGACTAGAGGAAGGAGGAAAAAGCAAACAAAGGGGTTGTGTATGTGTACATATATTTTTCAAGTTTTAGAAAGAATTGATTTGTAGTAAAAGAAGGAGAAGAAGAAAAGAAGAGAGAGAGAAAGGATTTTGTCCAATCACCAATCGAAATCGTTCGTAAGCATTAATAAGTCGGACAGAAACAGAAAGAATGAGGTTTTATTTTGCTTTTTTGTCTATCGAATCAATGAAAGGTTTTCTTCCACTGGAATGCACGGCAGACAGGTAGTTGGTTTTGAAACGCTCTTTAAAAAAACTGATTCTGACCATTGAAAAGAGCAAAGGATTATCAAATTTCTTTTGTTTGATTCTATCGGTCATTAGTCTTGATTGATTTTTTTTCTCGTTTTCATTATTTCTCGATCTACAACACGCGTTTAGAGATTGATTTCTTTTTCGTTCGTGTTTTTTCATCTGTATTTTACACTTGACTGAGAAAATCAAATCACACGATAGCATGAATGTTTCTATTAATAAGAAATCGATCGATTCATAAACGATAGTAAAGTTCGATGGATATCGTTAACAAGCTGTACGTATGAGTTAGTTTGCTTAATAGGAACAAGTTGCTTCGATTTTGCGCTCCAATAATTACCATTAACCTTTTGGTACAGTGTAATTCTGATGTTGTCTATCATTTGCTAGTGATCATCTTGATAAATCACCTGGAGTGATGCAGATCTCTTCTTGTTTATTGTTGTCGGAATGATTGAGATGGGGAGAGGAAAAATAGCGGCTAACCACTGTGAGGGAATACACCACCACCTGGTGATAATGTCGTTCGAGGAAGAGAAAATGTCTGTAGACACACGATAATCAATATTCGCTCGTCGGATAGACTCTATTTAGACAGCGTTTGAATTGTTGATAATTTATATAAACAGATACTTTCTCTCCGAATGTACTTCGATGGCTGTCACTTCAAGAAAAAGAAATACACATCTCACCGTATAGTTTATCTAATATCTTTTCTTTAGAGGGCATTTTTTATTTACTATTGCATAACGACAACAAACGATTAGCTCCTACTTACTGTTATCTATCCATTTCTCTCTCGTTTTTTTTCACTCGTATATCTTTACACACGCGCGTGTATGATCATTTTCACATGGGCTGCTTTTTCGATGACTTTGACTTAACTATAAGTAATACAATAAATGTATGGAAATACAGCAGCTGATTTCCTTGACGTCAGTAAACTCTATCAACACGCCATTCTTCGGCCGATTCTGTCTAAGGTCTTATTGACTCAACGTCATTTGTGATATATATCTTTTCGGTAGTATACAAAAGAATCGATAAAATATAATGGAAGAAGAGAAAAAGAAAAAAGAAAAAGAAACGGACGAACTTTCGACTCTTTCTATTTTCTTTCTGATGAAATCGTTGTTTACTTCTATCGAAAGATCGGCACATTGCTTTTCTCTTTTTCTCCTTCTCACGCCCTTCGTCGATATCTACTATAATTTTTCGCTCTTGTTGTTTTGTCGTTCTTGTAGTGCATCGTACTCTTGTTTCTATACTGTTACATCACCCAATACTATGTTTTTGTCTCTCTACTTCGTTTTTTCTCGTGCCCTAAGTACATCACCCTGTCGCCGCGCGTTTTTTGCCGCTTCCTTTCGACATAAACACATCCATCTGCATCTATTTTCACGTATAAATCCATAATTATTCCTAATACTGTTGTCAGGGGTAAAACATCATCTCTCGAACCACACCCTCCCTCGTCTCTTAGTTAAAGCCTTCGTGACTATAGCTAACTTCTCATTTACCTTTTTAGTATTTTTTGTTTTTTCATAACTCATTTGTGTGAGTATCTATTTGAACGAAATTAAAAGTAGAACATGAAACAAATCGTTGAACAAGGACCAACTAACACGTCTGATTTTTCTCCGTGCAACGGTCATGAAGATGATTCAATCAAAACTCGAAAAGATTCGGAGAACGACGATATCACAACAAATTCTTCGTCAGCAACAGCAGCAAATGATCTGATTCTTCTACCTGATTCTTCATTTAATGTTCGTATTCAATCATCTGGCTTAGAAACCTTCGAATTACCAGTAACGTCCAGTGAACTTGTCCAAGAAATTCATCAAGTACTGATGGATAAAGAAGAAACATGCCATCGAACATGTTTCTCCTTACAACTTGATGGCAATATTCTCGATAATTTTACAGAATTGAAAAACATCGAAAATTTAAAAGAAGGAAGTGTATTGAAAGTCATCGAAGGTTAGTTTCGACCATTGCTGAGTATATAATCACACTCTCATTAATATTCAGAACAATATACGGTACGTGAAGTACGAATTCATATCAAACATATCAATGAATTAATACATTCGTGTGACCCGATTGACGCATATGCGGGTACAAATGGATATTCATTGTGTGTTGTTAATGATATGACCAATGCAGATATTCTATCGCCTAATGGTAATGTCAGAATGTGTCTACTGTCTAATCTTCAACTTGCTTTGTTGTAGACCGTAAAAAAGGTACAGAAACAAATGGAACTGATTTCAATGTACCGGAATATCTACTACCCAACCAGAAGGATGTTCTTTTAACGCCATTATTTACAACTAATAATAAAATACGAGTAAGATGAAGAAGGAAATAGATGTATATTAATAATTGATTAATTACATTTTTTATTTAGCCATTACAATGTCTGAAAGTTTTATCATACAGCGGTTGGAATCCACCAAATGGTTCAAGAAAATTACATGGTTTGTTGTCGTACGAAAGATTTTCTTTTTCATCTGATTTGACCTACATTGCAGGCGATCTAATGTACTTACAAGTAACAACATGCGAAGAGAAATCGTTTCATATAACGGCATGTACGAAAGGTTTCTATGTTAGTCAGTGAGTACAGAGACATCAATTGGCATGTATTGATGACGATTCGATTTTCGACTATTTAGAACGACGGATGAGAAATTCGTTCCTAAACCGGTGCAACCTAAAGCTATTTTTCATTCACTTGTCGACTTGCTGAATAATGTAAGATTCGTACCCGATTTGTTCGACAATGGTATATGTGTTTTTTTGTCTCTAGATTAGTCCAATATTCAAGAAAACATTTTCTACAATACAACGTAAACGTTGTACGAAACATCCATTTGAGCGAATACAAATTCCAAGTCAAATTCATCCATGGTTATCACCACGGTTCGAACATTCGATCGATTTCTTTCGAGCTGAAGACGGTAAGAAGACTTTCAAGCGAAACATGTTTTGTCAAATGAATATTTTTCGTTATTTTCTTCGTAGCTAATATCAATAAACTTGGACATGAAGATCATATACCTGGCCAAGTACGGGATTGGAACGAAGAATTACAAATCACTAAAGAACTATCAAAGAAATCTTTACCTGAAAGACTAATTCGGGAACGTGCTATGTTCAAAGTAAACGGAAGCGAAATAAATCATTTCTATGTAGATAACTTCTTTTCTAGGTCCATAGTGATTTTGTTTCAGCTGCTATTCGAGGTTGTCAAGCAGTAGTCGATGGAAATATAATGGCTATCAATCCAGGCGAAGAATCAAAGTAATTTCATAGAGGATGCGATTGAAAAGACTTTTGTTCATTCCAATGAGTATTTACTTTATCTACTATCCATTCTTTTTCGCTAGGGTTCATATGTATATATGGAATAATATGTTCTTCAGTCTGGGTTTTGATGTCAAAGAGCATTACAAAGATTTTGGTGGCGATGCTGCTGCCCATGCTGCACCAACAAATGATTTACAAGGCGTTCGGGCTATTAATACTATTGACATAGATGGATTACATACATTAGGCACTGTCGTAGTCGATTATCGTGGAATGCGTGTAACTGCTCAAACAATCGTACCTGGTAAATCACTACTTTTCATTGGAAATGAATCAATTGAGGATGTAATAGGTATATTGGAAAAGGAACAAGAACAAAGTGTAGTCTATGGTTCGACTGATTTCGGTAAAACTTGTGCGACAAATGATAAATATAAAGAATTGGTAGGACAATATCTAATTAGATCGGAATGCAAAAGAAATAATGTTGTTTTTACTTTGATTCTATTAGTTGGAGAAAGTAGCTGCTATGCTCAAAATCAAACCACATTCGATTAAAACAGAAAAAGGTGACGTTGTGGAATTACTAACAGCCATTGAATGTAAAGGTATTATTGGCAATGACGGACGACATTATCTTTTGGATTTATTACGTATGATGCCACCAGATTTGAATTATTTACCAGGTTTGTCGATAAAGATGATGAGGAAGTTAGCACATAGATTCTTGTGTACTTCAGTTGACGTTGAACATATTTCACCGTTGATGAAACAACTTAATTATCCTCAAACTTACAAACATCGATTATGTTGTCTACGACAGGAATTAATTGATGCATTTATTGAGTATGAAATATTTTTTTCAATATTATGATGGATGATTCTTTTTCCTAGACAAAAATACGTTGATTTCTACCGTTCGATTGCCCTTAATTTGTCCAAATTGCGCTCAACCGAAGTGCGTAGACAAAAGAAGACTTCGTAGAATAAATCAAACAAACGTTTGTCACTTTAGACTGTTACCAACGATTCTGCTGAGCAAACCAACGTCGAAGAAGCCAAACGTATTGTCAATGAAATCACTGGTACATTCCATTTCTATTCTTCTATAAATAAATAATAATTTATATTGATTTTAGTTGAAGATAACAGCCGAGAAATCATTCAATCGGCGTGTCGTTCCGTCGGATCCACCAAAGACAATGAATTTGATGTTCGTTTCAATCCTGATCTCTTTCAACCTCATGTAACACTTCAACAAGCGGTATGCTCAAATCCAATAATCAATCTTTCTCGAAAAAGATCTTGTTGCATTCATTTGTAGCCAGCCGAAACAGCAGCTGACATCAAGTTATTGAAAGAAGCGTCCGAATATTTGGTATTGAAACAAATTCCATTGATGGTGCAAGACTTTCAAGATCATACAGCTGTACCAGTCGATGGACAAAGTCTTTCAGAAGCTATGCATTCAAGGTATAATCTGAAATGCCTGCGAAAGTTTCATCACTATTCGTCTCGTTTGTAGGGGAATTAACATTCGTTATCTTGGTCGACTTGCCCAACTTCTTTCTCAACAATCATCTCTCATCTATCTCTATGTAAATCAGTGTCAGTTTTCATTCTATTTTTTTTACTTTTTCTCGGCCTTGCATAGGAAATTGCCGTCACGGAAATACTTTCTCGTAGTGCTAAGCATCTGTTCCGTAATTATATACAATCCGTTCCTATTCATTTACTATCGTTTTCGATCAGTCATTTTCTCAATTGTTTCCTAACGATCATATCTTCGCCTTCAGCTGATTGTTTATCCGATGACTTATCACCCGCTACACCATCCAACTCAACTCACAATGGAACAGCAAATGCGAACTCGCCATTAACGACCGTTTCATCGCAAAAATCGAATGGCAAAAAGAAAAACAAAAAACAGCAGCAAAAGAAACAAAACCCACTGATGAGAAATGGTAAGTCAACCGATACTTAACGGCTACAGATAAGATTTTTATTCTATTGAAGAATCCCTTGACTTTCTCTCTACAACATCGAAAACGCTCTGGACACAACTTTCTACCGAAACCAAAGCACGATTTAATTTCGACTTAAACTGGTAAAAAGAGCATGTCTTCTTCCATTCTCTACACCACACACGATCTTTTTTAGTGATGATATTGAAAGTTTTCTGGAAAAATTCAACGTTCGTCGTACTTGTATTTTACGTTCATTTTGTATGAAAACTGGTTTACAATTATCAATGCGTGAATATCAGTTCGAAGCCACGAATAAATCAACACGTGCCACTCATGAATGCTTCAATGAAGATGATATTCTAAACATTTATCCAATAGTTAAACAAATACCTCCAAAAGTAGGCGAAATAATTCGAGTTCGACATTCGCCTTGGACACTTTTTTCGTTTTTCAGCCCAGTGATGCTTATCAATTCTTCACAACTGGTCAACAAAAAATTCAACAAGGTTTACTTCGCGAAGGTTTCGAATTGATTTCCGAAGCGCATAATCTCTTAAATAATGTCTACGGTCCAATGCATCCCGAGATTAGCATGTGTTTAAGATTATTAGCACGATTAAATTACATTATGGGTGATTACAATGAAGCACTTCATACTCAACATAAAGCTGTGATGATGTCGGAACGTGTATTAGGTATTGATCATCCTCAAACAGCGACGGAATATGTAAGTTTGAAATTCATATATTCGTGTAAGCAAAGATGACCATTTAGATTCATATGGCACTCTATTCGTTTGCAAATGGACATGCAACGAACGCAGCTAAACTATTGTGTCGTGCACGATATATTATTTTAGCTTGTTGCGGAGAAACTCATCCACAAATTAGTTTAATTGATGTGAGAACAATATTTTGATTCTTCTTTGATTAATAGATCGTTTCCTTTCGTAGAGCAATCTTGGTTTAATTCTACAATCCTATGGTGACTATGAAAATGCATTGAAATATATGGAGAAATCATTAGAATTGAATAAGAAGTAATTCTTGAAACGTTGTGAGATAGGGAAAAGATTGATTTTCTATTGTTCTAGATTCTATGGATCAAAAAGTCTCAAAGTTGCTCTTTCTCATCATCTTTGTGCTCGCATTCAATCTTGTCGCGGAGACTTCCGATCGGCATTGACCAGTGAACGCGAAGCATATCAAATCTACCGACAACAAGTACGAAAACATCGAAAAAATCTTCTATGTTTCTATCGTTTTATTTAGCTTGGCGATGAACACGAACGAACTCGTGAAAGTGCTCAAGTACTGAAACATCTTACAGAACAAGCTGTTGTCTTGCAAAAACGAATGAATGATGTTGTTAAAGGTCAACTGCTGATGATCCCAAGTATAACTGTAAGTTGAGTAATGATTCGCTGAGAGGAAAATATAACAGAATTCTCTCTGTTTAGATTCAACAGCCCACTTTTCAGAATGTGTTAGAAATGTTAAATGTCGTCAATGGAATATTATTTATTCAAATTCGTGAGAAAGATCTGGATTTAATCCGAGAAGAACTAAATAAGCAAGCTAGCGACGAACAGCAACCGACGACACCTCTCGTCAAATCAATAACTGAAGCAGCGGAGCAAGCCGCAGCATTGATGACTAACGAAGTCGACTGAAAGAAAAACACATAAATACAGCAGGCGAAATATCCTATAGTCTGATACGTTTATCTTTCTTTTTTTTTCGTAGTTTATAGGTCAATTTTTGTTTTGTTGTCTAGTCTTTTCTTAGTGGACTCAGTTTTGTAGTTGAATATATTTCCCTTCAGAAATGTGTGATTTTGCGCTTGTTGCTAACATTGTTGGTTTTCTCTTTATGACGTCATTTTTTGATAAAACTTGATCGACATCGAAGCAGTCCATATCTTCGATTAACCTTTCGTCTTTGTCGATCGATTTTGTTTAGGTTCATATGAGAAGCTCACTTCGCTTATCTATTTCTCTCAGTTTTGGGAGAAAATATCAAGAATGAGAGTTGTCTGACAGGAAGATATTGCAAAGAATATAACTTCAAGAGAATCAATATGTAGGGCTATGGTTTTTTCGAGCCGTTGTGTTATATATAAATAGATGCGTGTACGAATGAAAAGGACGCACGTTGTACCTCAGTGTTTTTTGGCTTTTCGATCACTTGATACTTTTCCTCTTGGAATTTTCCAAACTTTCCTTGGTAATTTCTTCATGCCAGGTTTTCTATATATAAGTGAATTGCAACTTCATTGTATCATGAACTATAACTCCAGTTGTTGTTGATCGATTTAAAATTTTCTTTTTGTTTTACTTCTTTAGATCGTGCTTGTACTATCATATTATTTTCAAGTCTCTACCTTGCCCAGTCGTCGAGATATTCACAGTGAAAGAAGGAACATTTTTAGATAATCCATCCGAACTAAAATTTATTTTACAAGCAAACAAAGAAGAATATAAGAGAAAGTAAATAACACGTTTTCTGGCGCAACTTTCAGGCTATCGAATTGCATGGCTTATAAATTTCTTTTCTTTCTGTCATTGTTTATGTCAGACTATAAACATTAGTTTTTGAAAAAATGAAACTACCATAAGACAAAGCACGAAAAACTCTACCGAAATAGCCTGAGGCATAAATAAACCTCATTTTGTCACTCACTTTGTAGTTCCAAATTTTCTTCATCAATTTTCTAGAGACCCAGGTGCCAAATCGAGCTTTCGTAAGTGGTTCCTAGCTATTTCTTTAGAAGCTCTATGATGTGGATGAGAAGCTATCGATTAATATGTAATATGCACGCCTCTGCTTTAATTTCAAAGCATTCTTATACACTGAACCTTATACATAAAAATGCGAACTCTGGGGCGCTGAATATCTCAATCCGTTTGTATCTGGCAGTTAGGAAATGTTGATGGATACTCAGAAAAGGATGGGAAACAATATGTAAGCATTAGATTCTGTCTAAACCTGCTTTCATTTTTTTTTCATCAATCTTACAATAGAGTTGCAGTTCATTGATATATCACTTTATTTGTAGAAAACCATTCCATCGAAAGAATGGCTCTAAGCAAAACATTTGCAATTGTCTGGCTTGATGCTCATATTGCTGCCGTTGGTGAATACCGGCAATTAAAATCGACTTTTCAAGTTGAACTAGCTCCTGTGGTTGCAGCAGCTCCTATGGATCCGATCGACCAACTGATCTGCTGTATACGAGAAACATGTGCACCAATTACATTTGCACCAACGGTCGAAGAAACATTGTCAGTTATAGAAGAGCTCGTAGGAAACAATAAACTTGTGGTTCTAATTACTTCTGGGTCATTGGGAAGCGTTATTTTACCAGAAATCCAACGTCGTTCGCTAACTTTACATTCGTACTATATTTTCTGCGCAAATATCAATAACCATGCCGAATGGGTACTAGAATATCTGGATCAAGGTCTAGAGATACAAATGTTTGACTTCGAAATTACTCTTCTAACACGTTTGGCAAGGGATTTAAGCAATGAATTGATTAAGCAAGGTAGAGAGTTGCTGAACACGGATCCAGTATCTGCTTTGAATTACTTTCAATGTGCGCGTTCCTTGGCAGAAAAAGCTGTAGCGCGGGATATGCCGGCAAATGCGACAGATCTGCATCGACCGTCGACTAAACATCGAGAAATCTTGGATGGTGAGAACGGTCTAATTGCGCAAGCCGAAAGAGCTTGCAATCGTAACAATGTTTGAAAACTCCATTCACTTATATACAAACTCATTCATAAGAAAGATCAATTTTCGATTTTTCGGTGTATTTTTTTGTGAGAACGTTGTTTAAAATATTTTCATGTCAGAATTGTGAAGCTAGCACGTCGTACATTAATATACATTAATATAGTTAGACGCATTGGAATTAATCACATTAGATTCCTGACGAAGACTCACGTCTGTATATGAAAGTATATTTACAATGTGGCGTCACCAGGATGACCACCTTTACGATCTGAAAGGCACGTCATAAGTGGAATTTTCATTCCTACATCATGACGTAATCTACGACTGCGGAAAAGAATTTGTAAAATATAAACACTATTTGTTTTCTTCATAAACAATAGAACATAATAATACGCAAAAGGACTAATCAGATAGAAAGATAGGATATGAATTAGGATTAAAAACTCGGCAAAAACTTCAAACGAGTAAAGTTAAATTCCTGGGATGGGTTGCAAACCAAGTAAAGTTTCTCTATCCAAACCGGATTGTTATTGTCGGTCTCCGCCGTACAATCGTGCCAATGGTTCAATTGATCTATCGCCCGCAGATGTTCAAGCATTTTCTCCGCGTGTTTGTCAACAACGACAATCAGCTATCGATAATATGCGTTATCGTGAGGCTATCAATCGATGGCGTCCGTCTTCTCTCCGTGAATTAGCTAGTTATGTTGAGAAGCTTGCTCCGCCCAACAATCAAATTGAATGTGCGTGGATTATTTTCTATTGGATTAGTCAAAATATCTCTTACGATACAACTGCTTATTTTCAAAATCGAATTGCATCACAAACTGCCGAAAAGATCTTTCAAAATAAACGAGCAGTTTGTGAAGGCTACTCAGTAATCTATGCTGATCTATGTGAAAAGATCGGCATCAGATGTCGAAAAATCACTGGTTATACAAAAGGTTTCGGATTTGATGCACGCCAAACAAGATTTCGTGAAAGTGATCATGCATGGAATATTATTACACTTAACAATGGGCATTCATATCTGATTGAATCGACCTGGGGATCTGGTCATCTCATCTATGGAACAAATCGATTCACAGCAAAACTGGCACCTCATTATTTTATGTGTCCTCCTGAGCATTTAATCTATAGTCATCTACCTGAGAGAGATAGCGATCAATTATTAGAATATCCACTTACAATGAATCAATTTTTGGCATTGCCTCATGTGTATTCAACATTTTTTACATCTAATTTACAACTGATCTCACCGGTTTTTTCGAACACAATTGATCTTATTAGAAAACAATCGTATGGTGAAGTGATTATTCGGACATCGAATAGAAATATTGAATTAAGCGGTGCTTTGAAGGATGAGAAGCACGCTAAAGTTGCCGGTGGAGAGTTTCTATTTGCAGATAAAAATGATCCAACATTATGGAAATGCCAATTCGCTCCACCCAAACCTGGCAAATACGACATTGAAATATATGCTAACACAACCCCTGAACAATCTCAAGCATATTCGATTGTTGTTAAATTCGTTTTTGATGTTGCCCGTCTTCGATGCCCGACTATTTCATTTCCCTATACTTGGCCAACATTTTTTCAATACAACTTAGAAATTATAAAACCAAAGAATACACACTTCATCGATAGATCGTCATCGGCCGGTAATGACTATAGTGAAATTCTAATTCGTTCACCCAAGAATGTTGATATATCTGCATCGATGAAAAATTCATTGACTGAGACAACTGTGCACAGCGCTGTGTTAATTAATTATAATTATAAAATGAACCTATGGCAATGTCTTTTCGCTCCTCCGGCCATCAATACTCCATTCGATATTATAATTTTCGCCAAATATGCAAACGAAGACAAATTCAATTGTGCAGCAAAACTGAAATTATTTCCAGTGACAAAACGTGATCGAAAACAATCGATGATGGTCCCAAAAGTGTATCATGCATTTACAAAACATAAAGCTCAATTAATCGAACCATTGAATGGGACTCTCCGCAAAGGTTCTACTGTACGATTTCGCTGTCGTATTCCAGGTGCTCAACAACTCAATATAACTGTTGATAATAGTTGGACTTCAGAAAATGGTATCACATCCGATGCGAAAGGTGTTTTCGATACAACTATTCGGGTTAGACAACAACATGTTGGTATATGGGTGAAAATGAATGCAAGAACTAATTCATATGAAGGACTTTTACAATATACTGTGAAATAACATTTTTCTTAAATTGTTTTATGCAGTAGAAAGAAGGAAAATTTTTATCGATTCCTGTCAATACACGAAAACAAAAATCTATGAATACTTAAGCGCAATGTCATATATACAACTTCCTCTTTGTCAAGTGTTTTAGCTTACAGTCATCTGTAAAAAATGCGACGAATTCATTTGCTTTCTTTCCTATTCGTTGATAAGATAACAAACGAACGTGGTTGGACAATTGGTAGGCGACTGTAATAAAAGAATTCGCGACAAAGTAGTAGTAAACATATTGAGACCGTTTTTCATTCATCTTTTCATCAGTATCCATTGATTGTGTTCCAATAAGGAAAAATACTGACGTTCATCATGGGTTGCGACATTTGTAAGACAGTAGCGGTTGCTCCAGTAATTGTGATTTCGGATGATAAGCATTCATTGAGTAGTGCCGCCGAACAAGTTGAAAAACGAGATGAACCACTGCAATTCACCCAGTCCCAAGTAATATGCAGAACAAAATCATCGAAGTCTGCCAATACAACCGAGCAAAGGGAAAGTAAGGGTCTGCTGGTTATAAACCATTCAAATGAAAGAAATATATTTCAATCAACACCATCGAATGGCTCTTCAGGAATCAATTCTGATCAAAGTAGCAGTTTGAAAAGTGAACGTGATTTTCAATCAACGCCAGTTTACTCAATGGAAGTGTTTGTGCGACCGAAAACTGGCCGAACGTTAGTGGTTCAATCGTTTCTATCGGATTCAACGGAAAATGACTTCCCTAACGAGACAATGATTGAGTTGGATGATAAAGAAATCTCTCGCGATGGTGTGGTCACTTCATCAACACCAACAAACGTCGAACAAACAACATTAACGCGACGTACGATTTCTCGATTTAACAATGAGCAAGCCATTCTTGTCAAGGATTTCTCCAGTGATTCCGATGAGTCGTATCCACTGTACAAAAGTTTTGCTACCTCGTCATCCGAGTCGGATATCGCATCAATCAATGAGAAATCTAGCCACCGATCATTGATCACAAATATGTCCAAAGAAAACATCGCACGCCGTATGATTGCTGATGGTACAGATTCTTCCATCCAACTTCACAATAGTCTATCGAGTGACTCTGAAGGTACGACTGTACGTAAAAGAATATCGAACACTTCACAATCTCCACGTTCAATGAAGTCAGATAATTGCTCAAAAGCATTTGTTTATGAAACATCCTATGAATCTGAGATTGACGCAGAGCGATAATTAAGCAAATAAATCAATGCCTATGATTTATCTGATGTATTGTTGACATTCTTACTTATATTTATTTCATTATTAGAAATTTGAAAAATTTGTCAATGCAATGTTTGATGTATTCACAACCATAGCGTATTTATGACTAGATGTTAATTTTTAACGTAGATACGGTATCACAATCTATGACGCATACGCGAAGAATTGAGAGATGAGTAGTAAGACTACAACTAGGTGAATAAGTCTATATCGATCGTTTTAATCTGAATTTAATCAAACAATTTTAACATAAAAAAGGAAATCGATGACAAAATTATTTCTTTTCATTAAAAAATGGAGGTAATAATTCGATTAGTCTTCCAACTGCTAACCGTTCTTCGTCGGTCAGAGATGTAGATGAATTGCTTTGAAATTCAAATCTTAATGTCACAAAATGGTAAATAATACTCGACTTCAATTGTGCAATTATATGTGTAAATAACAATGGCCAGTTCAAAACCACACGATTTACTAATGCCTAAGAAAACATAGAACGATGATCGAGATATATTTTTTCAAAACGAAACTTACGTAGTTAATTTTAAACATTGGTGTCGTGGAGTTAATACTACGTTTTGACATTCGAAGATTCAAGTCGGTAAAGGCACGATTACTGTTACTTGAAATCAAGTTCAAACTTTCCGTTGAATGCATGAAATTTGGTGGATAGGGTGTATATAATTGTGAATCCGATAGAGAATTGTTGTAATATCCGTCTAGAGTCTTAACGCCCAGACATAAACGAATTCGTTCGAAATTTTCCGTTAGGATTTCACAAATGTGATCGCGATTTTTTCCACCTATGAATGAACCACCTGGTAAAACTGAACATTTAGAAACTCGTTGTACATACTGATTTGTTCGCTGGTGAATTGATCATCGGTGAAACGAAACAACGGCGACCTATGTTCACCAAATGATCATTTAAATACAATAGTCATGTACACGTGCTGTCTTACTTGCGGTCCAGTAGCCGTTCAATTGTACGATAAATGTCCTTTGCATGATCTACGATGACGACATAGTTAGAAGAAAACAAAGTACAAGATAAGAAGAAAAACATTGGCTTTTTTCTGTGTTTTTCATGCATTGTTTAAGCAAATAAACACAGTTAAAGAAAAACTGATAACAATTTATCTCTATAAACTGCGCACATCTTACATGACATTTCAATCATAAGATCTTTTCTACATAAAACATGCCATTATTGAATGCGTTTATCAACTCTGTTGCTTGCGTTGGTTTTACATCGGAGCGTGGTGTTGCACTTGATTCGGAATCGAAAGGCAATGGATCTCTCTTTAAATCTCCCTTGCAAGCATCCGTCTTGGCAATCGTCAATGCCGATCGTGCAATGTATCCCGAATCACGAAGTAGCGAATTGATTGATCCCTTATACCCACCAACCGGTCATACAAGTTCTCATTCGACGTCAACATCATCAGGTCGTTCAACACCTATCTCTCCTCTGACTTCAAGCGCCAGACCTTCTAGACATCAAATGATATCAACTATCTATCAGAATCTACCACTCTTCTGCTTTCCCGATGGGGCTCATGCAACGTGGGAACGAGAAAATGAACGAATACATCATATTGTCTTTACTCGAGAAGATGGCAAACGTACTTACGCTCTTGTCTTTACATTTCAACAAGCTTTCACTTTAAGAACTGGCAAACCAGATGATGATGGTATCTATCAAATTAGCGATGTTCAACGATCAACTCCAACTGCAAGACGGCCAAGCATGTCGAAGATACCCGTAGCAATCGATAAATTGAAATCTGCAACACCAGTACCATCACCACCACTAGCGACAACAATAGTTAACAGCACACATCAAGATGTAGCACCTACGCCGACAGCCGTACCTGCAAAATCGCGTTCGAGAAAAATGCCATCATCATTTCACTTTTCCGAACAGCCATCTGGCAGTCGCGTGCGCTCAACAAGTACCGAAAACCTAAGCAAACAACCTCATTATGAAACACCAACATTTAGTAGTTACATGAAAAAGTCTGTTATTGAAAATTGTCTTTTGTGATAATAGGTTTGCTCCTACCTACTTCTAGTTTATCACCTTCAGCCGCACCTCCACCAGCACGTCTGTCACGAACAAACAGTCAAAGTAATTTAGCGTCTCTGGATGATCATACACCAAATGAAATTTCAAGCTTCTCACGACAACGATCCACTTCAAATGCATCTCACAAAATAGCTACGAGTACAGCACCTTCAACTACAACTAGAACTACTACAACTAAACCGACGACGCCAATGCCAATACCGAATTCAACGAGAACGATTACTGCGAATCCCACTCCTACTTCAGTTTCGATTACAAACTCCATTGTCAATTCACCAGGACAATCATTCGATACAACAAAACCATTCTACTTACCACAATGTATTGTTCTTCTTTCGAATCAACCATTCTGGACAGAAATGCAAGAAACAATGACAAGCATCCATGATGAACTGATTCAATCGAAAATTGAACCGAACTCAAATGCATACAAACTTCTCATCCAAAAATATGCCTTTTTCGCTTGCAATACTCCCATACCACCCATACCATGGGATCGCTTTTCTCTCTCGCTCAGTCTAACACACAACCAGTCGGTATTAATATTCGATCCGCCTATCAATACAGACCGTGCAGTACTTGATCTCGATTTATCAATTCTTCTTCTAACATTAAATATTGGCAAACTACTTGACGTCTTAGCGGCAATATTGACAGAACAGCCAATCATCTTTTTTAGTTCAAATTATTCGAAATTAGTAACAACTCTTGAATGTCTTCTCTATCTAATCTATCCTTTGAAATGGGCTCATATTTACGTTCCACTAGTACCTTACGGTTTGCGCGATCACTATCTTGCCGGACCACCATGCTCTTATATAATGGGCACACATGCACGTCACCAAGAAATCGTTCAAGAACTTGACAATAGTATAACGTGTAATTTAGATAATGACAAGAACATTCGTGTACCAAAACATGTCAATTTGCACAATATTCCTTCGACAAAACTTCAACGCTTCATTGATTCCATCACTCATTTTCTGGAAAACATTAAAGTATCTCGTTCGTTGCAAAATGTCCATACACCCATTCGTTTACGTATGGATCAACAGCGAGAATTCGAACGTGAAACACGTATCGAAACGAATCAAAAGATAACAAAAATGTTTTTCGATCTCATGGTTGACCTATACGGCGATGCTCTAAAACCAATCTATTGGACGGTTCATCATCAACATAGTCCAACAAATACATTAGCACGAACAACAAATCACGAGGGAAAAACAACGATCACTTCTCAAACAACAACGTTCAGTAAAGAGAATTATCTCCTATCGAAAAGCGAAGGTGTCGAATTAGAGTTCTATCAGACATTTGTTGAAACAACCGCATTTCAACACCTTCTAGAAGAAGAACGGATATCAGTTGTACCAAGTATATTTCGACAAACTTGTCAGATACGATTATTGTCCGACGAAGATCAACTTTATGATTTGAATCATCCAGATAATCCAGTAAGACAATTTTCTCTCGTAATTCCAAGTTGTTCCTTATTCTCTTCTTTCATTCAGAATGAATCATCAACATTATGTGATTCTCTATCCTCACAAATGATTCTACCATTACCTAACTGGCCAAACAATATATCTATACACTATTTGGATAGTTGTATCGATTTATTTACTAATGAATTACAAAATGCCCAACGCGAACGTTCACCAGCTGTCATTGCTGTTTTTGCTTATCTACGTGGATGCGCATTTTTAGCGCGTGGAAACCTGTTGGATGGTCTGCGGGATCTTTATCTGATTGACAATCAGAATTTATTTCCACGAGAATATATCGAAGCCAAAATCGTCCCTCGACTTTCGGATGAACATCTTTTGGATATATTTACTCACGAATCGTTCTATCAAGATGCACCTGAATGGAAAAAAGTCGACATACGGTCTGATTTACGCTTATCGAAAGTTGATCTTACTGAAAGCAGCAACTCATTTGAAGAATCGATATCGACAAAATCATCGAGTGACTTTGATAATCACAGCGATCTATTCATTGTCAATAACGCCCTCACTTATGACCAATTTACTGAACATATCCAACGTTTGAGTATTACAAACGATGCGGAAACCACCGGAATATTGTTTAATGCTTTGTTATATTGGACGGATAGTAATTTAGTGAAAACATTGAAAAAAGATAAAACACTAACAAGTAAATCATCAAATTCAAGTCAATCATCCGATCGACACGCATCAATATCAAGCAAATCACTGAAGGATACGTTGATGATACTGAACGATCATCGACAGGGGGGTCAAAGTAGTGGCACAATACCGAAACTTTCTTTACAAACAAATTCAACAACGTTGCCAGCTGCATTGTTTGGATCATTTCTTGATGTATGGCAACAGACTAATGCAGAAAAAGTTCGAATGATTCGTTGCCTACCCGATGATCGACAAAAGCAAGAATCAATCTTAAAGGTAAATATCTATTTGTTTAGACAATACGTATGATCGATAGTTTTATATCAATTGTCGATTAGATTTCATCGTCCGGTGTTGTATCGAAAAAGGATGGTCCTGGCCAAATAATTCTTACACAAAAACGTCTTTACTTCTTACCTGAAGCACGCTCACTAGCTCGTCTACTGACAGACCTGATGAATATCACGTCTGTAGATAAATATCAACATCAAACTGTCTTTTCCTCATCGAAACCTGGTGTCAAAATCCATACGTCTACAAATGCCGGACATTCATCGCTACCGCGTGACGCAAATTCGACATTAAAATCAAAATCTGCATCCTTGGAAAAAGAAGCGAAAACATCGATTAGTCTATTTTTCAAAAGTAACCATGAGCAAGAATTGTGGTATACATTAATAATGGAACTGTGGTCAGGTTTAACGATTGCGCATGAGGAATGTGATACCACTGTGCTTAATAAAGCAGCGAGACATATCGCACTGATGGACACACTAGCTCATATCGAGTATGATGAAGATATTTCGTCACCTTCTGATCGACAATCAGCAAGTTCACGTGCTAAACTGAAACAACGTCATAATGAGGTAAGTCTCATTCAATTGTTTTCGTATTCGTAACTCTTCATTTTCTTCTGATTTATGTAGACTAGTCGTGAGTTTGCTTTAAGCGACTTGTCGACATTTACTCGAACACTTCAAGATGGAACGTATAAGCCGTTACCCGCCGAAACTCGAAGCGTTCTTACGCGTCGTTTATCACCATCGATCAACGAAAAAGAACGACATCCTGTACGCTGTTTGGTGTTTGTCGATCAAGCGGAAAATGGACGTTCTTCGTTATGGTGCTCATACGGTCCCAAACTTAAAATCTTCAGTGTTTCAACATGGATTTGTGATCCGAGCGATCTTATGTTTCCATCGGAGATCACTTGTTTATGCCTTGACGGACGCTACAAACTATGGGTGGGTTGCATTCACGGTGAGCTGTTTGTTGTTGATACAGCGACACGAACTTGTAGTTCGCAATTAACCTCCATTGAGGGCGAAGGTGGATGTCAAACGATGGTATTTAATGCTATACATAATCAGATTCTAACAGCAAACCGAGCAAGTACAGTAATCATATGGAATGCATCAAGTTGGGAACGTGTAGCAGATGTGAATTTATGCGAAATATATAAGAACACTCATGACACTAAACCAAGAACTTTTAAGAGTGAAGCTGTTGTTCAGTTCCGCAATCCGGCAAAATCAACATCATCCAAAGATTCTAATCAAGCACGTCCTCAACTGGATATGCCAAGTAAGAATGAATAGATTACTTAATATTCTCCACCTGAACTAATTTAGGTATGCGATCATCTGGTGGACCAGCTCAAGTTATTCCATCTTCATCAGATAAACTTGAACGTATACAAATCTACGAAGATCTTCTACTCGGCTGTTATTGTAATGATTACATCTTAGTATTACGTATTATCGATATCAATACCTACACTTACGAACATGTTATATCGGTCAAGTACAAAATAGGTGATTCGACACCAATCGACTCATTTCTTGCTTACAATAAACAACTATGGGTGTCAACTGGTTGTATTATTCATATATTTGATATTGATAACAGAACGGAAGAAGGTTCTTATGATTTACGGATGAAAAAATCTGTCGATGACGATCACTTAATGACCATGTTGGGCTTTTCTGGTTATATTTGGGCTGGATCATTACATGGAAAAGTTTATGTGTTTCGTATGGATAATTTCGAATTATACAAAACATTCGCAGGACATCGCGATCGTGTCTTTTGTTTATGCTCAATGTTAGATACATATGTTGTAAGTGGTTCAGCACAGAATGATACATCAATTGCCATTTGGGAAAATGTACAAACGACGAATGGTGCAACGGCATCAGCGATTAGTTCAGCTGCTAAACGCGCATTGGCTAACTCGCATGGAAACGGAATGAACTAAGCGCACGACACTATTTCCTTAATTCTAGCTCAATCTTAATGAGAAATAGTCTTTGTTTACCTGTTAAGAATGAATAATAAATAGCCGCACGATCTATTTTAAGATCAATCATATACTGATAGAGTAAACGAGCAAAGGTCTAAATAGAGTATTCAATTGGATGAAGTTTCTTTTTCAGAGAAAAGAAGACTAACCGTTCGTTTAGTAAATTGGGAATGTTGTTGATTGATTGTGGTAAGTAAATGATAAAGTGAAAGTGGAATATTTGCCAGATATCGTTGCAAAGATTTCAAATAAATCGATTTTTCATCGATTGAACCTTAGGTCAAACAAAACGATACAACGATCGTTTAATAATTCACATCTTACATTCGGATAACATAGTTTTTTGTATTTTTGATCTCCATTCCATATCTTTCTCATTTGCACAGAGATAACAACACCTACAAATCCAACAAAGACTTACATTATCCTTCCAGAATTAAAGAAATTTTCACTTACTTCGCGAAAAACTCCATCCAGTATTTCATCATAAGGGCTAACCATTCAGGTAGCTATAGATAAACAAGTCTAAATTCAAATTTTAATCACAAGTCATTATTACTTTCATCGTCAAATTATTCATAAATGACCAATCACGTTGATGTTTGACAAAAACATTGATTAATTCCCATTGTTCATTTTTCATAATCATCTGAACTAATACCGATTGAAACGCGTCCAATTCCGAATATTCAATCAACGACGATAGAACTTTCGTATCCGCAACATAGTTTTGCTTAGTGTCAATGATATTTTTCATCAGAAGGTAAGTGTGTATTTGAATTCTTAGTTCATTATTCATATCAAACCAGTCAGGTCGAATGACATTCAACCAAGAAATCTTCGTTTGTAATTTGGTCGAACGATGGCGAGCAGCATTCTCTAATTGTTCATAAAGAAGATTGCATGGACAAGTGACAAGAACAATAGCAGCAAGAATTTCATTTCCATCATCGATAAATCTCGACCTAAAAAAAAGTCCATCGGCCGTAAGAATGAAATGAATTCAACTTTGCAAGTTACTCGAGATGATCGTTTTGAAATAACACGAATTGTTTGATCGGACTGTTCTGTTGAACAAAATAATGACTAAATTCACTTGCATGAACCAATAAAGCAAGAAGGTCCGTTCTATACTGGTTTTGTCTCGCGTAAGATATTTGCATTGACGCATAACGGTGAGAGAAGAATTTCATTAAGTCTAATAACATGTGTGGAATGAAGATCGAGAGCAAATTTGGACAGTACTGTTTCAGATAAGAATGAAATCGAATGAAATGATGAAATAATGTGTCGATATAGACCGAATAGCGTTGATTTTCAACATATGATTTGGTGTTTAACCGATCGTTTGCATCGCAGTCGTGTAGTAGATTGATTTTCCAATAGGTCAAGATAAGCTGACAAAAATTGTATAAGAAATATTGAAATTGCTCATGAGAATACAAAATTTCGATGCTGGACAACGAAGATATCAAACAAACACAATGTTCAAGAGATGTAGATGTTGGATAAGTATGGAAAATCTAAACGAAATAAGCAGTTTTAGAGAATATTTTCATAAATTGTTTACACTCGATGCTTTGTCAAGCAATTGACTAAGTTTTTCATTACATTTTTGTTTAAGAATCGTCGAGCTTTTGGAGATATTTGCATCGTTGAAGAATAGAAGTAGTTTACTGACATCCTACAAATGAGACAAACGATCTGGACCTGGTTTTTAGGATAAGACACACGGATATTTACTGGATAAATGGTGAATGTTGATTGTCTCAGAGGACATTTGTATCCTTCTAATTTGTCGAGCGAATCGAATTGTTCGAGAATTTTCTTATTTAAAATAAAATCTAAAATATTCGAATGATAATCCTTTTCGACGAGAAAACGGCTTATATCAAACCTATCCGTTGTTGTAGATTAGCGAGAAGAATATTTGAAAAGTATTCATTGATAATCATACACTTCTATTTGGATAAGAAATGTTTTTCACATGAAATATAAATTCCTACCTACTTTTTCTTCTTCAATTTTGTTTAACTGTTCGCATACTTGACTTAATGGCTTTAATAGATGAACGAATGATAGAAACTGTTGTTTGTCTAATTTATTCTTCAAATATTCATTTAACTCATCAATCAGTGGCTCGATGGAATTCAAGACAATGGAATACCAGATATGAATGGTGTTTTTAATCAGATTGTCATTTGTGTAATAAAGATTCAACGATCTTTCGAGGAGATTTGCTAGAAGTTGAATTTTCTCACCATTTCCGCCCCATTTTTGCTTTTGAGTATCCTTCCGAAATTGATTAATCCATGATTCTATGATTGGCTGTCGAAGTGCATTAAATGACAAAATTAAATCTGATGACGGAACGAATTGTTTCAGAAGCTCGAAGAGTGACGGAATGAGTGGAGTAGAGCATTGTTGACATCGATTCAATTGATGTACAACAAAGTCACTTGAATACTCTTGTTGATTGATCGGATTTGTGAGGTGAAGAAAAGCTCGAAGGATGGTTATACTGTCGGATGGATTGGCTTCTTGAAATGTATACTAAAGAGAAAAACCGATTGTAAACTGAACATCGGAGAGAAATGTTCTTACAAGTGTTTGAAACGGATTAGGAGCTGATTTTGAGTCGTTTAATATTTCATGTTCTTCATTTGAATTATTCATTTTAATGAATATGTTCGTTTTAAACTACAGTCGTATGTATCATTCAACCATAATCAAGAGTGTTGGCAAGTAAACAGGATAGTGACTGTTAGGTATCGCACTATAGGTGTCGTTCATTGACGACGACATTGACATCTTTACTTTGATTTTCATATGAATCCAAAGATGTTTCTTGAGTGATGTATCCATTGATATGTCTTGTTATATAAATTAGCAAGAAATCGAATAAGTTGTCAGCATAACTTCGATGTAAGTTTCCTATTTATTACATTTCTACATGTATGGCGTGTCTACGCTCGTTAGATATGAGAGCAATCACCTGTGTCATTTTATTTCTCATCTATTGATACTGCACTTCCTTCGAAACTCGGCAACATGTTGCATGCTCTATTCATCCCATTTCCAGTTGACCAAAGCAATTACAACGCGGTGAATATATATATTTTTCAGCCGAATCGCCCTATTGTTCAGCAGAATCGTGGGATTGTTCCACAACGTCAACTAATGCCACAACAACATCATCAAACTCGAACTATACATAATTTGATGACACAATCAGTACAACAGCAAAGAAAGACATTCCCTGAATTAGTTGGCCGCCCTCCGCGAGTAGCTGCTACTTACGTTTCTGCACGAGGTTGAAATTTACAAATCTCTTATTGAAATGATATTTATCAGAAATCGTCTATTTCCTTTTCAGGCTATCATCCTTTTGTGATGACAGAAGATGAACCAGTTACTAGAGACATACGCATGGATCGCGTACGTATCGTCGTCGATCCCACTCGACAGTTTGTCATTAAGCCACCGATGGTTGGCTAAATCAATTGGTCATAGAACTTTTCAAGACAATCTGTTTTTCAACGAAAGAAAATCTTTTTGAAAATTGTTTTATTTATAAATAAATCTCATCGATACACAGTAGTATCATGATTAAAACATCTGATACTTCTGATGGCATGGAGAGAGAGAGGGTATTTCTGATAGTATCGGACGTGATATTCGATGTCGAAGAAAGTATGATGTCATACTGACGTCAAAAATGATCAGTCATTCAATCAACCATACTATAACATCTGATATTCATGACTATTTTATTGTTTATATAGAATTGATCAAACATGATATATTTCATTTCGAACAAGTACCTCGAAAACAGAAACTTCATGTATTCACGACGTCGAGTTCCAATGAGTCACATCTCTCGTCCCATTCAAACTCAAAATCTTATGACATCGTTTCCAACACAACCTTTAGATCAACAAACATCCTTTCCGGAACTAGTCGGTCGCAGTTCAAGAGAAGCAGTAGCTTATCTTTCCGCGCGCGGTTTGTATTCCTTCATCTGTTTTATACTGTTTCTCATATGATAGTTTTGTCTTAGGTCTCTCACCGGTTCTGGTTAGACCAAATCAACCGATGACAATGGACTACCGAATGGATCGTGTTCGAGTCGTAGTAGATCCTTCAAGACGTATTGTTATTCAAACGCCAACTGTTGGTTAGGAGATTATCTTCTGTCACCTCTTAAATGGAGTTTTTTCATCATGATTTTCTTTTGGAATAAAGTAATGCGAAAAACGCGCCACTGAATTGTAGTTTTGCGTAATTTGCTACTCTGAGAGTGCAGATACATTCAAAATTGAGGCTAATAGAAAAATCAATGTATCATCTGAGCACTAATGAGTTTCTTGAGCAAAAGTTTTGTTCCTGATCAAATGTCACCCGTCATACTTTTTAAAGTTGTTCCGTCATCTTTCGAGAAAAATATGTATGGAATAGAACTAATTGACTGAAACATACTGTTTTATATTCGTCACATATGAATATATAGTTTCATTCACTTCATCGTGCACAGTGAGAAAAACATGTGTTTGACGAGCCATACACTGCTTCATACAACTTCTTCTATTTTAACCTCGCATACAGCATTACCTCGCGGGATTGGAACTCGTCCAACATCTTTTCCTGAGCTCGTTGGTCGTAGTCCTATAGAGGCAATAACGTATCTGACTTCGCGAGGTGTGAACGCATATTCGAAATCGATTCAGTGACGATATTCTTTCTTCTTTCAGGTTTGAAACCAGCTCTTGTATTACCGAATCAACCGGTATCAATGGATTATCGAACTGACCGAGTTCGTCTTGTGACTGATCTATCTCGACGTCGAGTTATCGAAACTCCTCGTGTTGGCTAAACGTTCTTTACGTGCAGTTCAAAGAGACCTATTTCAACTAATTTCTGTATGATTTTCGTGCGCGAAATAAAATCAATTAGAAAAACTTAAATAAGCTCAACTAATATGCCATAGATGTTGACATCATGCTGATTGTGTCATAAATTTGTTTTGCAATCACGAAAACGAACCCGTAGAAATGACGGAGTATTTTCGTTTTATTTCTTCCAAAATACCAATGATTGATACCCATTTCGGTTTAGTTGTGCAAACAAATGTTCGTTTCTCTGCAATTGTTATAAGTACCACTCATCGGATCTTTCATTTTTTTTATCTATATGTAGCAGATAATACGAAGTAGAATATATTTTTCATCGAATTCAGCTGGTGAATTTCTCATGATAAAACAGATAACAGATTGTTTTCATGAGTTGAAAATAATAATAAAGTTTCAATATAAATAATGGCTGAAACTCACGATAGGTAATACCATTCAAAAATATTTTGCGAATGCTCGCATATACTTTTATCACCTGTGCCCTTTTTGTCGGATCTGCCCTGACGAATCCCATCTCGGTATCCAACATCGATGAAATTAATTACGAGTTATATGGTAAATACAAGTGAAATACCATTCGAATCATGATCATTCGATTTTTAATAGGTGGTGGATTCGAAGGAGACATGATTTTTCCTGATGGATATGATCCAACAAAAGATTACGATGGCCGAGGTTCAGCTGCTTATGGACCTCGACAATGGCCGAATAACATTGTTCCTTATGATTTAACCTTAATCACAAGTAGAATCTTTTTGGGAAAGAGGGGCGTACGACTAGATTTTGCTGTTCTGTAAAATCGATAGATGCTGCACATCGCACACTTATTGAACAAGCCATGGCAACATTAACATCTGTTACAAGTAGCACAGTTGGTGGAACAACGATACAATGTGTCGGTTTTCGACCAAAATCAGCAAGTGATAGAATCTTCCTTAAAGTCCAATATGGAACTGGATGCAGTGCATCGGTAAAATCATTATGAAAACGCATGTCTTCCCCAATAATGAAGCACTTTAGGTTGGCTATGGTACAGGCGAACGACGAATGACATTAGAAGACCCTGGTTGTTTCCGATCTGGTACTATTCAACACGAACTTATTCACGTTCTTGGTAAGTACGACTTGTATGTGTTACTACAAGGAGCTTCTGTATCAATGTATCATTATAAAAATGTAGGTTTTAATCATGAGCAATCACGTCCCGATCGTGATACATATATCACTGTTAACTATGCTAATATTCAATTAGGGAAAGTATGCGTCTGCTCAAAAAGATATCCTCACTCATAGTTAAACGAATATGATCATTTTAGGAGCATAATTTCAATAAATACACCTGGGGTAGTACTGCTTTGAACCAAAATACACCATATGACTACGTCAGTATCATGCACTATGGCGCAAATTCATTTTCCAAGAATGGACAGCCAACTATCGTACCAAAGGATTCAACTGCAAAAATTGGTCAACGGGATAAACTCAGCGCAGTTGATATTGCAGAAATCCGTGCTTTCTATAGCTGTTCGTAAATTATCAACAAATAAAACAGTCTACTATCGCACACGATGTTGATTTCCATCACGAAATCATATTCTTAGCCGCACTACAATGATTCATTCATTCAGATTATATAATTGTTTCATGAAAGAGTAATCAACTCATTTACCTCATGAGAGTATAAGTACTGAGGAAAGATGCAACGAAGCGTATCATATGCAATAAAATACAGAAATGCACACGTATATGGGTCGAGCTATCGCACCCATATTATCATGTGATGATGAAAGTGCCGCATGGCTATCTCGACAGGATCGTTGGCTCGAGGAACAACCACAGCGTCTTCTCGATGCATTGTCTATCCGACGAGGCATGAAAATAGCTGATATCGGAGCTGGAACAGGATTTATCACAGTGCAACTAGCACATCGTGTCGGCCACCATGGTCTGGTCGTTGCTTCCGACTTACAGCGTGAAATGCTTGATGTGCTAGTCAATCGACCAGATCTGCCTGGCAATGTAGTTCCCATTTTATCGACACCATATGATACTCGTCTTCCTTCGAATACATTTGATCTAATTCTCTTAGTTGATGTATATCACGAAGCGCCAAAACCTGATCTTCTATTGCAAGGACTACGACGTGCTCTGAAACCTCACGGACGATTAGCTCTTGTAGAATATCGAAAAGAAGATCCGCGAATACCGATCAATCCGTATCATAAGATGAGTGCCAGACAAGCTACTGTAGAACTTCAAGCAAATCGTTTTCGATTGGCACAACGATATGAACATTTACCATGGCAACACCTATTGATCTTCGTAAAACAATGATTTTGATCATTTTTCTCCTTTTCTCAGTCAAAAGCTTCGCCAGTATCACAGAGTAAAGCGATAGCCTTGATGAAATAGAAATTCGCGAATTTTGCTTGAAAATGAAAACGCACTTTCATTGTTACAAGTCATGTGAGCGTATTCAGCTGTCTATGATCAAGCATTCACTTGCCCTTTATATTTTTCTAATCAAATACAGATTAACTACCTACGATAGTGTTGAAATATGCTTTTTATATTTTTTATAACATTGACGATCGTTTCCGCCCACCAGAGAAATTCATTCACGTGTCCTGATGGTTCTTCAAACTACCTGCCAGTGGACTTGCCTACCAGTTGGATTAATGGATCCGAAAATTGTTTTGATAGCGATGCTAAAAGACCCGATCTCGCTGCATTCGCTGTTAATAATGATACTTATATTTTACGTGAAAACAAATGTATTAATTATGAAGCACCGTTTATATATTTACTTTTCAGCAATGATACCGTCCTATTAATCGATAGCGGAGCGACGGTTTCATTGATTTCTTTACCTATTCAACAGTATGTCGAAACATTGATACTTCACTGGTGTCTTGCTCATAAGAAAGTTCGTGAAGATCTTTCTTTAGTTGTTGCACACACACACAATCACGATGATCACACCGCCGGCGATGCTCAGTTTGAAAACAAGCTGTACACTACTGTCGTAGGAACAAGTGTTGAAGAAGTGAGTAAATTTTTTCAATTAGACAATTGGCCAAATTCGATTGGTACTTATTCGCTCGATAATCGACGTCAGCTGGCTATTGTGCCCATACCTGGCCATGAAAATTCTTCGATCGCTTTCTTTGATTGCGCAACAGGATTACTGATAACAGGCGACTCACTATTACCTGGACGTTTGTACATATCGAATTTTTCTGCAAATGTGGAATCGATTTCCCGTCTAGTGAACTTTATTGAATCAAATCGTCTCAATGTGACATCGATCCTTGGCGCACATATCGAAATGACTCAACGGAATACAGTTGATTATCCACGAGGTGCAACTCATCAATCGAAAGAACGTTTATTGAACATGTCATTGGAACAATTACATCAACTTAATAATGAGTTGCAACAACAATGGAAAGATGGTTTCGATCATCGACACAAGGCTTATTTTGATACATTTATATTAGATCCTAAACCATCTGAGTTACCGCCATTGACACCGGGTGGACGTGTCGCAAATCACGGTTTTATTCTATTACCTCTCGATCGATTAGGTTATGTTTGGATCTCACACAAGCCTATGTTTAAAGCACCCCATGATTTTCAACTCGTTTATCTTGCATCAGTTACAAATTCAACAGTAGATCCTTTACCTCTACCAACTGATATTACTCAGTTAAGCACGCAATTTACCATCGAGCCAAAAGAAAGCTGGTCATTGAATGATTTAATCAATGGTAACATTACATCATTTCGAACGAAATTATACGCCGGAAATTTTGAACAAGGTGGTCAATATTTATGCGATGTGACCATTACTGTACTCCGGCCATTATTAACCGTTGTTCAACTGAACGAAACCGAAGTTGAACCCTATCAACCATTGCGTTACTCAAGTTATCTTCTCTCCAATTCAACCGTTGCAAAAGACGATCATATCCATGTTTTTCTACTTCATCAAATTCGTGTCCAACCTGACTTTGATGCCATCGTTCATGCCATCATCAATCCAGCGAATTGCACAACGGATATCGATCGAAGTCAATTGAATGCTTTATTAGAACAAAATGAAAATGAATGGGCATTCCATGGAATTGACAACGATATTGGCGATCGTCTTACGCGAGCCTCGGGTTTAGTTCGCGCACAATTACTTGGTGACGTTTATTCTACGATGTGTACCATGAGTATTGTCGCCGAAATTCAATGCACGATAGGGCCTGAGTTTTTCGAAGATTGTAACGTTTAATAAAATAATTCTATTCTTTATTTGATTTGTTCAATAGTATAGAAAATAAAAGAGTTTAATTCGAAACATCGATTCATATCTGACAGCAGAAAAAATCGACAATGACATCGTAAAAGTTATCATGTCGTCTTGACTAGATCTATACTGAGTTCGAGAATTGAAATGAAAAACAACTTCTATCCAACAAAATAATGTACATTGAAAACAAAAGATCTGGTTAAAACATGTGAATCTACTTTTTAAATCGTTTTGCGGATGACTTTGTGTCTTTGATTAGGTAATCTTCAATCGAACGTTGGCCATGTTGTGCCGGCGAAGACTTTCTTTTTTTCATAGTTTCTGTTTTTAAAATTGGTTCAGGTAGATACTGACTAACCGGCTCCTGTTTAATTACAAATGAATCGAGTGTACTTCGATTGGTTAGTGTCGTTTTGCTAAGAAAACATAATGGAAAGAATTTATTCAAGTTAATTCGTCTCTATCATGTGTCAATACTTGTTTTCATTAGTGACTAATGGCCGAAGATTGCTCATATCATTCATCTTTGTTGAACCAACACTTGGTGATACACGATACATGTGAATATCATTACGTGGTTCAAGTAATGGAAGAACCTAAAAAAGTTGATTTAATTGGCAAACAACAACAATGCCATTCTACCTTTTCCGCATCATATCGACCAAAATCAAGCCACTGATCAACTTCTTGTTGGGTTGTTAAAATAGCCTAAATGTTCATTTCGTATTTACTTCCTGGGAATAACTCGATATGTCATTACCGGCATTCGAATGTGTACGTCAGACATTGTTTCGCTAGCTTCAACAGTACAAATCGTACATGAATACAATGGATCGGTCTAAAATAATTGAATAATTGACTGAATAAAAATGGCATAGTCCACTTTACTTCACAATATCGATTAATATCAAAAATGCCCGCCATGGCTAGCAATGGCAACTTCTCTGGATCTTTGTTTTTCATCTCATCCAGAATTCGATCAGTATCTATGTTTGGATAATGCTTTTCATGAATAAATGGTTCTGTTTCATAGATAAAATACGGTGTTTTTGCTACATTCTTTTTCCATTCGAAAAACCTAGCAATCAGATCAATGAGACTTTTTGACATGACAAAACCAATCATCATTTACCCTTCAGCAAGAATGACACACCGTTTACCATTTTCAAATGGCACTTTGAACGTTGGCTTTTCTTCAATAGTTTCAACTCGGCAATTATTCAAAATAAGCCTATACTCAGCTAAACTTCCTTTATGATAATGTGGCACCAATGCCCAACGCATTGAACAAAGTACACGTGTTGCTGAATCTTCGGTTTCATCCAAATGTTTGGCCGAAATTAAACAAAGACTAAAAGAGAAATTGTCGACTTGTTCTCCCTCCGAAGACTATCTTTCTACCATGTTGACGTTGGTGAGATGTTCCAACTTGACCGGAACGGTTGTGTCGATGACATGAGGTCGATAAATGGCGGGAGAACCGTTTCTTGTGTTTGAGAATTTGTGTAAGTCGATAGACGCCGTACGACATCCGGCGCTAGTCCACAAGCAAAACGTCCGCACATCGTTTCTGAAACAGTAAAAACGAGAAAGCGTGTTGTTCAAGTTTATTATTTCAACAAAACAAAAAAAACAGATCGACAAGTTTGGCGCGCATGATCCTCGTACAAAAGAAACACAGTTGTTTCATTGATTTTCTTTTATTGCAAAATGATAAGAGAACGATGTGCTTTATCTTTCTAAATACATATGTAATAGACAGACAGAATGAATGTATAGAATAGATTGATAAATAAAAACTATAACGAATATTATTAAATAGATAGACCAAAGACGGAAACGATTGCGTAGAGATGTTTGTTTTCCCAACTAAACATAAAACGAAAAACAGTCGAATGTTTTAGATCAAATCCCAATCCTTACCGAACTGTGCAACTACCATCAGTTGTATTATCCCAATAGCATGAGCTAGCCGTATGTAAACCAGCTCCATTCTTTTGCATAATCACCTACGGATAAATCAAACAATTTGACGATAGAAAAACGGCAATATGTCATACCGCTTGTACAATGTATTTGAATGGTTTGCCTAACTTTGTCAGCTCGGTTAAAACATGATCAACAATGTCAGCTGTCCACCGATTGACTTTGTTGTGCTGATAGGAATTTCCTCCAATAATTCTTTCGATAGTATCCTTGATTATATTCGATACTTCATCAATAACGAATGATGTATCTTCTCCACTCATCACGCAGGTTAATCTAAAACGTGAATAAGAATGAAAACAAACTAAAAGTTGTCAGTGAGCCATTGTCTTCTTTTCGAAAAAAAAACGAGGAACACACTGCATAACAAGGCCATTTTTATCCTCACACACACATACTCTCTCTCTCTCTTTTTTCTTCACCAACTTCATCCACTTTTTTTTCTATTGACATAACAAAATAAAGAGACAGGGACCATAAAAAAATATAATGTCTATATGGGTTCTCCTTGAGAAACAATGACTATACACGAAAACGAAGAGATACCTATGAGTTGTAGTTCAGCATATCAATAAAACGAACGCAAAAATGGTAATAAAACATTTATCACGGACACGAATCCTTATTGCATAATCTAAGTTACAAGAAACCAGACAAAATACATGTTTGGCGTGTTTCTTACGATATCGAATAATCATTGAAGAAGATTTTATAATACGCTTGAGAAGTATCAATACCTCTTCTTCTCGCCACTACTCTAATCCTTTTACCCTTTTCTCGATAGAGACTATCCCGACTATGAACCCCCTAGCGATTGAACAACAATAACAACAAGAAAATGTTGAAATTGATATGTGACCGCTCGTCACTTCATCATCGTCGCTAACTCTCGTCTCTCTTCTCATTATACTCTCTCCTTTGTTGACCTCTTGCTTACCTTCTCAGTAACATCGGACCACGCGGTAGTAAGACACGCTCGTCTATAGTCATTGTCCTATTGTTCAATAGATTCTTTTTCCTTTTCTTTTGTCATTCAAAGCTTTTTTACGTGTCTGTAACCTTTGTTCAATTGACAAAACGAATCTAATGTTCACTCTTAATTCACTCCTATTTCCTTCAAACGACCTGCGATCATTAATTATAACACATCTACTCTCTCACATCGAAAATGAGCTATTTATAAAGCGCACGTATGCGTGTGAAACAACAAAGAATAATCTAATCAATCGTTATTACAAACTCTTTTTGCTTTTATCTGATTGGTAAACAGACAGTAGTAGCGCGACTGTCAACGTGGAAAAAGGATTTCTCATAAAGGTTAAAGACAAGATAAAAAATAGTCCAATAAAAAATCAATAATGAAATATTGCAAAAGGCAGACAAATTGTCGATGACATAACTTTGGACTGTATCAGTTGTTTTCCTTCTAGAAATTAAAAAAAAAGCTAGAATATGTCATCGACCGAGAAAAAACCACGGCCAGTGTCAGTGAATCCAATATTGTCTGATCATGACTTGACTGAACGCTTTCGAAGTTCGTATATAAATCGATCGTCAGTGCAAGAACAAGGTTTGTGTGAAAAAACAACGTCTGGTTGGTTCTGAAATGTTTTTCTTCAAGTTCTCAGACTAGAACATGAACCGTTTTCACACTGTGTAATCGATGATTTTCTCCATGAGACTCAAAGCAACCAATTCCTCAATCAATTAACGAATGAACTGAAAAATATCAGGTTAAACCAGAAGAACAATGATTTATATAAATTTCAACAGGTTGGAGAGAATGAAATTAATAATTATTCGTATACATTCTCTAGTATGATTTAGTCTGATGATTTGGCGAATGTCACTTTACCGGCGATTGAACAGATGAAGTGGGTCTATTCGATATCTGGTTGAATACTAACTTTCTCTTCAAATCCAGGCAGTTTCTCTATATGGATCTGAAAGATTGGCTGGTGCAAGCGACTAATATCCAACTCAGTGATAAAATCGATATGACGTCGTCGAAATACGAATATACAGGTGAATAAGTGCACTTTGCTAGAAAAATATACAGTTCATTTTGAAGATTATCTTTTGTGTCATGATGATGACATTCACGGCACAACTGAAGGTCGCCGAATGGCTTTTATTTATTATCTTGTACCGGAAGATTGGAAGGAAACCGATGGTGGAACATTAGATCTATTTGAAACAGATGGTAAATCGTATGTCAACGATGTTTTCAAGGTTGAATAGATGATTTAAATGTTTAGATCAGAATCAACCATGCAAAATTGTTAAATCACTATTACCGAAAAGAAATCGATTGAGCTTTTTCGAAGTGACTGATAAGTCTTTTCATCAAGTAGTTAAAATTTGGAAAACAAACAGCATTTAGTTGATACTATTCATAGGTGTCTGAAGTTTTAAATGAAAAGCAGGGAGCACGTCTATCGATCAATGGCTGGTTCCATGGTCCTGTTAACTTCCGTCCTACGCCGATTTTTGAACCATTGCCAATCGCGAAACCAGCCACGAAATTTCAATCCAATGATGTAAGATAAATTTCATCATCTGAATGCATATATATTCCTTTGATTTCAGTTAGAACGTGTAAATCAAACAGTTACATCGACGTATTTGAAAGTTGAAACACAGTACGATGTTCAAATGGCATTTCAAGAAAATTCCGAAACAAAATTATCAGATTTTTTTCAAGTAACTCTTCAATTTGTATACAAAACTTTCTCATTGTCAATCTCTAATAGAAAGACTATTTCCAAGCAATGGTAAATGAGCTGAAAAGCGATACAATCAGATGGACCCGACGTGGGCCATATAATAAACGGTAAGTCAACATGATTTCGAAAATAAAAGTCTTTTTTGACGCTCTAAATATCATACAGGAATTATGATGTTGCTGATGTGAGCTCTTTACCATCAGCATTGAAAAATCTCGTCGATTTATTTGGTTCTGAGCCGATGTTCACGATTCTTGGATCATTAACTGGTTTAACATCGGAAAATGATGAAGAAGAATACGAACCATCGCCTAAAAAACAAAAATCGACTTCATCCGGTAAGATACAACATTTCGAAGTATTCGGAAAAATGTTCTTCTCACGTAGCTGAAGTTCCTTCAACATCAACTGCATGTTCATCTGCTCCAAGATGGTATTTCGAATTACGTCGATGGAGACATACATATTATAGTTTATCTTTTGATACGGATAATGATGAAGACAGCGAAAGTGAAGACGAAGACAAAGATGGAACACTTGATGTTATGCTTTTCTTCAACTATCAGACTGGTAGTTCTCGATTTCTATACGAAGTCTGTTGCAAATCTGTTTGGTGTTTTTTTCAGATGAAAGCGAAGAAACCGTTGGTGGTGGTGACGTTGTGTATACCATTAAAAATGAAGATGAGACAGTAGATATCCCAGCTTTCGTTTTTTGACACGTATTCTTTCTTTTCTTTTTAGTTATTACGTGTGATCCCCGAAGATAATAGTCTCAATTTAATCTACCGTGAGGATGATAAAGTGCTAAAGTTTAACAAATATCTCAATCATCGACAAGCCAATAAGACATTCTATGAGTTTTGTGCGTGTTATCTCGATTTAGATAAACTTAAACTTGATTAATAAAAGAAAATAAATAAAAAGATTTTCGAAAAGAGAAAAGAAGAAAACAATCGATTGTTATAGATCTCATTAAATGGCAACTGGTGAGAATAGTTATTTAACTGCAGATGAAGCAGATCATCATACATCATCTTCATCATTGAAACGATTTATTACACTATCGTCCGATGATGAAGAGAAAGAATCTAATAAACAGATGGTCAAACGTCAACGTGCATCTTCATTACCGAAAGCATCACCGTTGAAATTAATGAATAAACAAGCAATGATTCGCAATACCAGACAAACATCGCTGTCGATTATAAGAACTGACGTTAATACTGGTGAAAATAAATGGAATTTAAACACGATGACAACCCAGATTACAACTAAACAATCAAAGAAAAAAACAACGCAAACGGTATAAGTAGACAGTAGAAAATGTACTGATTTTTACTGATATTCTTTTAGAAATTAGCGACATTTTTTAGTTCGAAGTCTTCTAGTCCGCTAGTACGAACGACTTCTTTGCCGACAGTTATTAAAAAGGAGTCAATCACCGAGAAAACCGATACAGTCTCTCTGGAAGGATTTGATATTGATGCAAACGAGATCTTCTCTCAATGGACTGATGAATTGTCAAATACATCTTCTACTACTCCAACAAAACCCACTGTAGATAGTAAATCAATATGGAAGCAAATTTTCAATAAGCCGGTCAAATCGAAAGCAGACGATCAAGAATTGAAAGAGCAATGGTCGAAATTAGATAAAGAACAACCGACAGGTGGTAATCACCATGGATTTCGTGGATCAACTAGTGATATGAAAAGAAACTGTCCGTTCTATAAGAAAATACCAGGTAAACATTTTCAGGATAGAAATAAAGCAATATTTTCAAGTTGATAACTGTCAGGAACAACATTTTGTGTTGATGCATTTAACTTTGGAAATATCGATGGCATTCAAGCGTATTTTCTCTCACATTTTCATTCGGATCATTACGGTGGATTGAACAAAAAGTTTTCTAATATGCTCTATTCAAATCAAGTACACAAATTATCTTTTTTCTTCTGCAAACTGTATAATCTGCTTTGGTTTAGATAACTTGTAATCTATGCAAAAGTCAATTAGGTGTTCGACCGGAAAATATGACAGTTCTCCCAATGAATACGTTTACAAATGTCCATGGGATTGATGTTGCTCTTCTCGACGCCAATCAGTGAGAACATGGTTATGTATGAATAGTTTTACCTAAAATCATTTCGTCTAGTTGTCCTGGCTCTAATATGTTTTTATTTCGATTTCCGAATGGTAAATTAATTTTACATACAGGCGATTTCCGTGCAGCATCACATCTTATGGCACATCCATTACTTCAACCGAATCAAATCGATACAATCTATCTTGATACGACGTAAGCATCTAATCTACACAGATATGTTCATCTGCCTGTCGTATTTCATGTAGGTATTGTGATTCGCACTACCGTTTTCCTTCACAGGACGAAGTGATCCAAAGTGCAGTTGAATTAGTTTCAGAACAGCTCGAACAAAATCCAAGAACTTTGGTAGCCGTCGGAACGTATCTTGTTGGAAAAGAACGAGTCTTCCACGGTAAGGTAGATGTGTTGATGACTTCGAAATCAGTCGAGATTTTCCGTTTAGCCATTGCTAAAGCACTCGAGTGCAAAATATTTGTCGAAGCAAGAAAATTTCGAATATTAAATCAATTGGAAGATGACGACTTATCAAACCGTTTAACAACAAAGGCTGATGAAACGAATGTTCATGTAGTCGGAATGGGTTCCGTAACTCCACCGGTACATTTGTCTTTTTCTTACAAAACTGTTTCTTACTGAGTCCGATAGATGTTGCAAACACATGCGGATAAGCACTCATTGAAATACACGAAAATTATTGGAATCAAGCCAACCGGTTGGACAACTCCTCGAACAACAGGCGGAACGAAGCATTACTCAATCGAATCAAAGTCATCCAACACTACTATCTATGGTTTGCATTAGTTCACTTGTTCGCTTGAAAAGGAATTCTTACTTTCAATCATTTCTAGGCTTTCCTTACAGTGAACATAGTTCTTTTGATGAATTAAAAGCTTTTATCGAATATCTCAAGCCTAAACGAATCATTCCAACGTAAATTCATTCAGTTATTTCTTCACGTCATCGACTTTTCCTTTTCTAGAGTGAATGTGGGCCGTGCAAACGTGCGTGAAAAAATGAATGGCTATTTTAAACAATGGTTATCTACCTGAATTTCCTCTTCGCTTTTTGTTGTATATATATCAGAGAAATAATATTCTTTACTTTTGCGATGCTCACATGTCAGACTACAATAGATCAATGAATAATCATGCATATGCTTTTTTTCAGATGCCCATTGTTATCATTGGAGGTGTCACTGCTACTGGGAAAACCAGTACAGCGAAGAAATTGAAAGAAGTGCTTCACTGGGACTATGTCGAAGCTGATGAATATCACCCACAATCAAATATTGACAAAATGCAAGCTGGAATCGCTCTAACAGATGAAGATCGCCTTCCATGGTTATTAACTCTCCACAAACAGCTAGAAAAATATTCGGCGCTTGGTCAAAGTTGTATTATAACATGTTCGGCTTTGAAGAAAAGCTATCGGCAGATTTTACTATGTGGTATAACTAATCCAAGTGTGCAGGCGAAGATGCCATGTGAAGATTTTTATTTATTTATGTTAACATTACCACGCGATGTTTTACATAAGCGTCTGATTCAAAGACAATCCGAACATTTTATGAATCCACGTTTGCTAGACTCACAGCTTCAGACGCTTGAATTACCGGCGAGTCAAGAGGACGAACCTTGTACACATGTGATTGATTGTGATGGTCTTTCGCTCGATGAGGTGATCGAGAAGATACGGAAAATCATCAAACAATAGACTTTTCGTTGTACTTTTAACTATTCGGCAGATTGACGCCAATTGTTAGTTAATTGCATCTTATCTCTGTCTCAATCCTCGCCAGTGATAAATATCCTCTACCGAAATATAATGATATCAGTATAAAAGCGAAATTTGTTCCGCCAGCCAAATTTTTAAAATAAAACATGATTGATTGAACAGGCGTGGTTCATTTATTGCTTAACATAGCGTAGAACAAATTTTGCGAACGAAAGAAGAGTGTTTCATTTACAAGTCAATATCGTCAAACCTGCCTTGTCGTATGTATTGACTTTTAGATTTAATCTTCATTGGTAACTTCTCATCTTGATTAAAGGAAGGTACTCCTGTATACATTTGTTTAGGATTACTTTCTTGTACGATGGTGTCAGATATTCTTGAAATGAAACTATCGTTCCGAGACGACGAACGATAGGAATTCTTTCTTGTTGATTGTCGACGAAGTATGAGTAAGATTTGCTTCAAACCAAAAATTCCAACGAAAAGACAGAAACCAATCGTCACGAGAATCCATAGCCATCCTTTTGATCGAGATTTCAAGGGCGCTATTGTTGTGGGTTGCACACTGCTGGATGATGTCTTCACAAGATGGAGTTGATTTTCAGACGATGGACTAACAAAATGACGATTACGAGGTGTTACAAAATCATAGTTTTTCCATGCGAGTTCACATTCATCTTCTACGAAAGTATTCAACCAGATATAACTCTCGTCAAAGCGTTCTGACATCACTTACTTGTTCCGGTAACTTCAATCAGAAAGCATTGAATCATTGTCGATGGTAGTTTCAATCCAAACTCGCCAACAAAACATACTGGATATTTTTCGCATAGATTCGGTGTGCATTGGAAAGTTACTTCAACTCCGCCATTGGCTAGATTAACCGGTTGATTGTTATTACATAATGTTGTTAACTCCGTGATGGTTTGATCTTTGGGCGTAATCAAAGCACAGTTTGGATTGAGACGAACGGAAATGTAAACGGATTGTTTAAGTTTAATTGTCGACGATTTTGCCGATGAATCAGCTTGATTTTGAACGAAAATGTCCGGTTGTGTTTCGCAGAGAATGTCTTTCAAAACATGAACTTGTAAACTGATCAAAGATCGCGAAAGATTCTGTTTATTGTATTTATCCAATAACCAGAATTGACCAAATTGTTTCCCGGGACGATTCGTTTCATATGTCATCCTGCACGTACTATCGATGTTGACTGTTAAAAACTTCTTATAATTCTCGGTGAACGGTTCGCAAACAATTTCATCACCTATCCTTCACGATAAAATGCACAAAATCAGCAAAAAAAAACAATATCTAACCGTCTTGATCGTATATAACCAATGGAATCGCTTTTGGCTGTGCGAGACTCACATAGAATGATGCCGGAATGCACGGATAAGGTGATGAATTAATTCGTGTAGAATGTGTTTCAGTTATTAAGTCGAAATGAAATCTTTGACCCACAGAATTCGCCCAGCAGCATGACGTCTAGAAAAATGATCTCTTTTACATATTCATCCGAGTCAAGTAAACAACAGTGAGTATTCGGATATCTACATGAGAAAGTTGAACGGATTCGTGTTTGGCAAGTTTTAATAAAAACTGTCTTCGTAGTATTGAATAGCCACTATTATCATTTGAACTCTCGCAATAGCCCCATGTAGCTTGCTGAAAATCTTCGCAGCCATTTTCATTTGTTCTGCTTAAACATTGAATTTTATAGTAATCTTTATTCTTTCGCAACTCTTCTGCCTCGAGCCAGAGATATGTTTTGGTTTTATTGTCGTATGGAACAGATTCACCGATTACATAGGCAACGAAATGTTTGTTGACTTGCTCAGCTGAACAAAAGAAGTAATGATTGGAGATATGAAAACGGAGTTCAACGAGAAGAGTTTTGTAATTATTTGAATCAGTCGATTGTTGAATACGTCGATAAGTAAATGCACCGCCGAGGAAATGCGAGGCGCTCGTCAATGAAAAAAATACGAAAACAATTAGTGCAAAAAACTGAAAGATCATTTCTATCTAATTTTAACCAAAAAACGCGCCATCTCTACGTCCGAACACGTTGGCGCGTTGCTGCGGATCATAGAAAGTACTTCAACATGTCGAACAATGTGATAGTGTTCAATGAATACAAGGAAACATGCCGAGTATATGCTTGTGCTCCTTTCAAATGTACTGACTATTTTAGGATTTTTTCGAAGGAATTTATTGGTGCAATGTTATAAAACAAAACAAAAAACGAAGAAAAGGTTTCAAAAACACATTTTTCTGATCAAATTTTCTCAACGGGATGCTTTTAGTTTACTTGCCAAGTCATTCGAAGAACTCGGAATCGACGCAGTCGAGGTCATCGAGGGTGCTACTGTCGATACAAAGCTGTGTTGTTTGCTAGCTAGTGCTCTTTCTCGTTGATGCCTTGCAGGAGCTGGTCGTACAGAAGAACGTTTATTTTCATCATCACACCACCTACGTATCAAAGTCAGCGGAGAATCACATTCAAAATGCACTTACGATCCGCACACAATCTGCCAACAGATGCAAAAAGCGAGTAGCTAAAAGCATGCGAAGTGAATGAAAAGATCTTATCGGAATCTTCAACATACTATACCAACGAATCCGCCTATACCAACGCTGAGTCCGACTACCATCGCTCTGGTATCATCGTCCATGATCGTTGTTATGAATAGTTACAATTGTATTTTAGAATCTGTTTGTTGCTGCCCGAAGATAGAACATTAGCTTCTAGCAAAAAGAAAAGAGAAAATATATTGAGTGATATTTAAAATCACTCGCTAATAATTAACACTTCCATTTGCATTTTGTTCTGCTTTTCATTCTTATGAAAAATCGAGAAATGTCTTCTTTCATTTCCTTCCGCTGTTGCTTTATATAACAGCTTTTCTCGAGTTTGAAGTGTCAATAAGAATAAAAGAGAAAAAAGAAACAAATGCATAATTTGAGGAAAAACTATCAATCCTAATGATCAGATAGCATGATTTCCACAGAAATAAAACCTGCCATGAAAAGACTTTGACCTAGTTCATCGAAGACTTTTGTTATTCAAGAAATATATCAAAATGACTTGTCAGAAAAGAGAGAAGTTCATTCTGTTCTCCTGATCATAATGCGTAAACAGAATCGTATGTAATAACGATCAAAAGAAAGAGCTAATTGATTTCCCAAGTGATATTCCTATCAATTACTATGACCGAGAAACCTATGACACATACGTCACTCGAAAAACCATGTGCAAATGTGATATTTTCGATAGTTTAACGATTAATATTATTCAAATTGGATCGAGTTCAAAGAGAAATGAGCGTTTGTTCACATAAACAGTGAAAAAAGAAAGCAAAACAACATCCGCCAAACGTAATATAAACATTGTTGATGATGATGAGTGATAATTGATGAGCTACATCGATTTCGAACAGAGATGATATCTTTAGAACAATGATGGTGCTTTACATACACGATCTGTGATATTCAGAACGAGAAAGAAGAATAAATTCTCGGTGATTAGTCACATATGAGATGTTAATTCGATGATTGCAACACTATGAGATACGAACAATCTTGTATCATGGAAAATCAATGAGATGGAAAATGATTTATTTTTACACAATCAATCATGAGAATATCCAAACAAATACGTGAATATGGCGAAGTTCACATCGATGAAACGAAAGCGAAATCTTTTCACTTTATGATTAAATTCCATTCTTCGACATATAGCTTACAATTCGAATAGGATTTTAGCGCCTTGAACCAGACATTCTCTTCCAAATGTAAAAATTTACTTTGCGTATAAACAAACAAATGGTTCGTCTAAATAGATATTCATCAACATTCAAACTGCTGATAACTAGTCTGTGCAGATTCTTTCTCAATTCGAATACGTGACATGTCTCATATTGTCTTTCTTTTCCTTTCCTCTCTATCTATTCTCTCGTTGTACTACAAGTCGAAATTGCTTGTACATATACTCGTTTATTTTTTCTTTCGTCACTCCTGCGTTTGTTGAAATCGTTAATCGACTAGTAGTATGTTTTTAAACAAGTGACATCTCTGAGAATATTTGTTACCAACGGCTAAATTCGTCTGATGCGTCTGTTTTTAGAATTCATCCAGAGATATATTCAACGTGATTATTCTTTATTTCTTCATTTCCTTATTTGTCCGTCAAACAAACTTATTTAGTCCAAGTAAGTAACTACACATTTTTTCAAAGATATTAATCAAGATGTTACGAATTTCGTAGGGATGTGTAACGAAATTCAAGAGAAACAATCTGAAGTCATCGATCTCACCGAGAATGATGAAGACGAAAACGTGGATAGTGCTAAAAGCACTCGTGAGGACTTGTCAACATATTGCTGTTCATTTAGAATAGTAGTACGGAACGAAGTAAGTTATCTGCGCATAGTCTATAACGAGAAAATACTATTGAGGGTAGTTGAGTTTTCGATGGCTGTCAGACAGACGGTTGATATCTAGGGATGCAGACTAGAACATAGAATTCAAATCGAAAGAAATCATGATGAATAAATTCTAAGCACGTGACACGATTTATGTGTGATAGAATTCCATGTATTCCTTTCTCTTGATGCAATACAAACATTTTGGTGCATTGAGGGCAAAATTCTCCACATAACTTTTTTAAGGCTTCGTTGGACACAACGATAACTAGTGAAAGAACTAGTCAACTACCTGCTTCACAGCCGGACGAACACCGTACCAAACCATCATTAGACAAACAGAGGATTATCAAGAAAAAGAGCAAAGTAATGGAATGTTAATTGCGTCTCCAAAACGCCATTCTACGCTGTCTTTTAGTCATGGAGAAACAGATATATTGTCGTTGATTCTCTCGAAGGTTTGAAAAAGTTACCGAATAATTCCGTCCAGTGTATCGTCACGTCTCCGCCATATAACAAACTTGGTCTTCGAGAAGGTCGCCCGTACCTTGGACAAATTATCTACGATACGTACGATGACAACATGAACGAGGAAGAATATCAACAATGGCAATTGAAAATACTCAATGAAATTAATCGTGTTCTCAAACCAAATGGTTCGGCATTTTACAATCACAAAGATCGACGTTACTGCGGACAGGATTATAGACCTGAAGATTTCGTCTCCAAAAGTGATTTGAAGATGTATCAAACAATAATATGGGATCGCGGTTCAACAGTGAATCAAAATACGGCTTATTTTCGCCCAAACGTCGAAAAAATCTTCTGGTTGACTAAAGCTTCATCGGGCACGCCAAAATTCTACCGTAATCGTTTACCAGAATGTTTCAAAAGCTCAGTCTGGCGAATACCACCTGAAAAAAAGAATAAACATCCTGCACCATTTCCATTAATTTTATCGGAAATTTGTATTTTGGCCACAACAGATGAAGGTATGGCGATAATGTTAATCGAAAAACGAATTTGTTTCTGGTTCGTTTCAGGCGATTTAGTTTTGGATCCGTTTGCAGGCTCTGGTACAACTCTGTTAGCAGCTGCAAATCTGAAACGATCGTATCTTGGGTTTGACCTAAGTCACAATTACAAAAAGATGTTCCGTCAACGAATAGCTGCGTCGAAGAAGATACATCTGTGGGAACAAATGTACACAGTGGAAAAAATCGTTGATCACCGGATTCGAAACGGACGCGTGGAATATCTTCTGAAATGGAAAGGATACAGCGAAAAAGAAAACACGGTAAGGACAACGAATTGGTAGAGAATATTTCCAGTTGAAAACGGCAGGCTTCTTTTTTTTTTATTCTAGTGGGAACTTGAAGAAAACCTGCATTGTCCAGGTCTACTTCAACAATTCAAAGCATCATTATCAAATCGGAAGAAAGCAAAGATTAAGTCGTCGAACAAGAAACCAGTTAAATTGATTCATTCCAATTCGGTAAAACTTTACTAAGTCTGTCAACTATTTTCATGTTGAAAATCTGTCTGGATTTAGTCATGTGATCGCAAGCGAAGTATATCGTCCATCAGTTCATCGAGCTCCGACCAAAGCGATGAAAGTGAAACGAAACGACAATGTCGCGGGAAAGCATCAGCCGTCAACAAAACTTCAGTTTCTTCTGAATCATCCGACGATAATGACTATGAAAATGTTATCCTTAGTAGCCATCGATTACGACGAAGAGGCTGAATTATTATTATTAACAATTTATTCATTATCGCCAGCATTTAAAAGACGTGTTTTTTTCTGTTGCTTTCTAATAGTTCACATATCAATATTTTCTCTGTTTTCGTTTCTTTTGGAACTTGTATTGAAAATATACAATCATTTGATTGATTACAAGAAAAAGAAAGCATTTGTTTATACTTTGTCGTAATCAATCGTCTACTTGAATTCTTTCAATCAGTTAACTTATCAATTGAACAGATGCTTTCGATCTAATAGAAAAGAGAATTATATTCATATTACTGCATACAAAGCCATGTTTGTTCTGATATAATAATTATATTTTGAATATGTCAACAGGAGGAATGAAGAGGATTGTCGATTCAGCTTTTTTTTAGCTCGTTCTTTCACTGTTTTCTTTTTTTACATCGTCACTTCACAACCATACACCTTTTTTTCTAACACGCACATTAAGCGATTTCTACATTTTTTTGAAAGAAAGAAACGGCCAAAGTAAGTTTGTTATCATAAATGGCAACCAGTACAGCTTCGACAGCAATAACTGGTCTACCGACACGTGGTTTTTTCGAACCGGCGCAGTATGAGCGTTGTATTAATCGATATGAATTCGGTAGTGAGTTACTCGGTCACTTGTCGAGTATGTTCGAAGAACGATCGAATTTAGAACATAGTTATGTGAATTCTCTTCGTTCATGGTCGAGAAAATGGCATGGTGAACTGACGAAATTATCCGAATATTCTTCGAATAAGAGAGTTTGGGACCAAATCGTATCGACAGGCGAACAAATGGCAGATATTCATCAAACAATCGCATCTAATCTACACGACAATATTCAACCGAAACTGAAACAATGGAAGAAGGACAATTACGAAAAATCGTTTATAAATTACAAGAAATCGAAAGAATTTGAAAAGGAATTCGACAATGTCCAAAAACCATGGAGCAAACTACTTGAATCCATACACGAAGCGAAACAAAACTATCATAGATTAAGTAAATTATTAAAGCAATGCGAACAGCAAAAATCATCAATGCCTGCCGATGTGCCAAGTGAAACACAAAAACAGATTGTTGATCATTACATTCAAGTGAGTCTTGATGTTGACACCGCGCGCACACGATATCAACATTTGTTACGTGACGTTGCGCCTGGTGCTGAAGCAAGACAACGTTATGAAGCAAATATGACTGAAGTCTTTCAACACACCCAAGCATTCGAAAGGAAACGTCTCGATTTTTTCAAAGATATATTTACAGATTACATCAAAACTCTTCAACAACAAGCAGTTTTCAATAAAATGCTTGATGACTATGTTCGAGTTTTGCAGACGCATAATACTCCAGGGGATTTGGATGCTTGGTATAATAATCATGGGCCTGGTACTAAATCACACTACCCAATTTACGAAGAATATCAGGAGACTTTGTAATTGACTTTTTTGCTTGGATTTTTCATAGGAAACGTAATAAACGGGAGACGAAAGCAAAAGAACGATTGATGATTGAAGTGAAAGGTATGAATCAGTGTCAATAATTATTTTGTCAAGAAAGCGATGTGTCATTGAGTGTGGGGGGATAACGAAAGGTTTATTTGAACATAGAAACAGCTATTTCCAGTCGTGCTATTGTACCGATGTTTTTGTAGTTGATGATGAACGTCGCGCATCACTTGTACCGGTTTGAGTAGTTGAATATGTGGTCGAAACGATAAAATCACTGTGGACGCCTGTCGGAGCTCTTACGCGTAAAGATTTAGAAATTAGTAATGTGGACGCATTATTTAGTTCGCAATCAGATTGTCTATGTCGTTGGTCAAGTGCTCGTCGATTCACATACGGGGAATTATTCGTGTATACATTGACTTGAATATCTAGACTATTGTTCCCGAGAGTATTTGACGAATTGGGTACTTTACGCTGAGAACAGGACAGTAATTTGATAAATTCTCGTCGAAAATCCTGTCCGCTCAGTGTATAGAGTATAAAATTTAATGCATGTTTCGTATACCACAGCGATTCAAGTAGATCCAAGACAAGTAATTTTGTATCGGAAACTCTTTTCGGCGATTTTAATCGATTTATACATATATAAACAACCGACGGACACGTCAGCAGCATGAATGCTAATGTGACGGACAATAACATGATAGTTAAGCGATTATGTCGTTGTTGCTTTTTCGATGTTGTAAATAACATATTCGAACGCATAGTCGTACGAATGATACCGATGTTGGTGAAGACCATCAAACAAAATGGAATGATAGCGACAAGAAGTAAGTCGAAAACTGGTACGTATAAACGAAAGAATTCTTCATATTCTTCTCGTGCTATGCACACGAAACGAAGAGTGGAGCTAGAATTTTCAGTAGCATTCTCAAGATCTGTTTGAATACTTGGTATTTGTAATGGTATATGCGTTCCTAGAAAAGAAAACACGAAATAACTTTTGTTTGAAATCTCAATCGAGCGACCTAACAAACGATAACGCTATGAGAAACAATAGGTATCGAATGCTTACCTACGACATGAAAGTAATGTAAATTCGCTGTACAGACAATAAGAATAAGTATACATGAAGATTTTCTTACACGCGGACTAGCATCACGACGTGTGAAAAAATTTTTCATAATGAAATACCGATCAAAACTAACAACAACTAAGATCCAGGATGCTAAATGCGACAAAGACGAGGAAAAAAACGTAAATGACCGACAAATCCATAGTGATGTATTCCGTACGTCGACATGAAACATATATCGATAAACATAACGTGTCGATCTCAAATAGATAAAAAGTATGTCGATTACAGCCAGTATACACAAGTATTGACATGTTGATTGCCGACGAAAACGCTTTCGTAAAAGAATTTTCAAACAGAGAATATTGCCTATTGTCCCGAATATCATTAAACACGGATAGAAGATTCGCAGAAGACCAAAACGAACGATATTATGCCACATTGTTTCAGTAGTTGACTGAAAAAGAATGAATGGGCATGCTTAATACTCTAATCTTATATTGTATGACGCATATCCGTTATAGGAGTTAAAGAAATAAAAATTGTCATGATTAATTAATAGATCTCTAAAAGTACAAATATAAGCTTATTGTTTTACGTCTTTCGAAATAGATTCTCATCGATATGAACATGGATAAGACCAATTTCTTCACAAGCAACTCTTTCTGATCAAACAAGAAAGCTACCTCTTCCGTTCTAACTCTGAATCACGCATACTCAACTGCAAAGAACAAGAAATCTTTTCTTATCCTCAGCACTTATCTTAGAACATATGATTAGAAATGACAAGTATTATATTCAGGCATACGAATGTCTACGTAAGACTTTAATTCGATGAGAGTATAACACACATGCTAAGCTTGCTCTTTCTCTTCTCTCTGGGCGTGTCTATCTAAAGCCATCAAACACCACCTACGAATTGTTTAACGTTGACTAAATCCGGGCTTGTTCACTTCCCATAAAACCGTTGATTATCATCCTTTTTCACTCGATAAACTGTTTTAAAATTTCAATTTTAGTCAGCACAGATCTAAATTCGTCGCCTACTCGATTCCGTGCCCTTTAGAGTACCCAAGGATAAGACTTACGTGCGAATAGAGGAAGTTTACAACAAAGATTATATGCATGATCAATGCATACGCCTCGAGCGACGGGAACTTTGAGCTTCGTTTTGAAAAGAAGAAGCATTCTCTTAGTTAACCGTGAAAACAGTCATGAATGCGTTTATATATGGCTACAATCTTGAACTTCATGTAATATTCATAGCCGATACTGTTTTAAGACAAAAGCGACTGTCAGATAATAATGAAAAAAGCACACTGAAGTCGTCAAGTCGAATTGAACTCAATACTTCTTGATAAAAGAACATTATATTGAGTTTGAAGATCATCAATTATGTTTATAAATCTATTCTCAAATACGAGATAAATTTAACCGAAGTGAAAAGAATTTTCTATTTTCTATTTTATAATGCACAAATCGTTGAGATTGTAGACAAAAGAAGGTGAAGAGTTATCTTTTGGATTGTGTTGATAAACCAGTAGCTCGAACGTAAGAAAATTAAAATGCGCCGTGCAAAGTGTGACCGAATTCGCATCAGTTTCACTCGGGATACGAAAGATTGGAAACGATGGATTTTCATTGTCACCTAAGAGACGAAAAGCATCGTCAATGGTAAAGATTTCACCGAATTCTTGGCCGCGTTTCCAACGATTGTAAGTTGAATCCAGGCTTTTCTGTTGAATGATGACTTTATGTAATCGTTCGTAGTGATTATAATGTACAAGATAATTCAAAATAGTCTCAGATTGATCTGAACAGAACAGAAAAGAATGGTTAATTAGAAGATTGTCTGTAGCAATGGTTTTTACCATTTCCTTTGTTTTCTTTTTGGCCCTCATTAATTATACGACATTTGCTGATGAAATTCTCATTAGCAAGCTTTATATTTGGCCCTATTTCATAATTTAGCAGACAATGTTCATCGCGAAAGAACGCTCCATTGATACAAAAACCAAAGGCGACAGGTGAAATACGCAGCAACCTATCGAGATCTTCTTCGTTCCGTACGGACAGAAGTGCACGGTTGACGATTTGGCGAGGTAGACGACCATGTGCGACGAAGTTCGGATAGAGTCCATTCAACGCAAAGGCAAAACTATGTTTATTGGCACCGAAACCATTTCCTAAATTGTAAACTTAGTTCTTCTTTCATGACACAATCGATCATCTACCTGGAATAGCACCGGCATAACAATATGCAATGAATTTCTCGTCTGGACTCTGACGTTGTCCATCATTATATTCAATTGAGTGAATATCTGCTTCGACGAGATATCCAGTCATGTACAACGCGGTAGCATGATCTTCATTGTGCAGTAGAGAGAACGTATTGGTATCTTGTCGATTGAGTAACACAGTTGTGCAACCTTTTTCACCGGTTTCATCGGAAGTTTGTTTATCTTTCGATAGTTTATAAGCTGTTTGAGTTTCGTTGAGAAAATTCAAAACTAGTATTTGCTCTAATGGTACTTCGGACCCATCAGCTAACCCGTTGATTTCATCCCAGTACCATGGATACAATGACCGGATTGTTTTGGCGAAATCCCGATATAAATTAAAACCATCTTCGGTTTGGATATACTCAAATAATGGTGATAATACAGTCAGATCATCAGCGATACGATGACGGATAGCTTCGCGCGTGATCTTGCCGATAACATGAGCACATTCATAGTGCGTACCTTTTACACGATACAACGGGATTCGAGTTGAGGTCATTCGATTTCTACCTCACACAAGTGTTGGCAACAACTAGAAAAAAAAAGTTATTCGGTAAAACGCAAATAACTCAGAAGAATGTTTTTCAAGATTGACGGAAACGATCAACTACAGCCTTACGTCGAAACCAAAAACATGCTATTGAGTATGTTATTGGCTTAGAAGTAACCAATGCTGAAATTTACATTAATATTGGGAGATGTAGAGGAATTTATCTCGAGCAGAAACTGAAGATGTCTTACATTCATTTTCCACACCATCAAATGTGGAAAATTTCAACAACTAATTAGTTCTCCGTTCATGATTTCTCCAAATAGTTCTACGTAGGTCCTGACCTATTCTGCCATTGAGAATATGCGAAAGATTACCAAGAGTCATATAAAACGGATGATTTCGTGATTCTCGTCAATTTGTGAATGAACACCAATCAAACACATGTGCTAATTTTCTATTCTCAAATGCATCATGGTGAATATGAACATAACGGTTAATTGAGATTCAAAAGAAAGTCTTTCCATAGAATCTTTGCTTTCATTCAAGACAAAATGAAAATAATTAGAAAGGCACCGACGCATGTGTCATTAGAATATCATTGTAGTTTAACATTCAACTTTGCTCTCTATCTCTCTGTTTGGGTGTCAAGACTGAATTAATCGTTGAGAAACCATCGGAAAGATTTTATAATGCAACGGCAAATTCTATCAGGCGATACTAAAATGGAATGTTCAGCCGAAGGAGATGGGAAATTAGTCAAATTTGCATTCTAATAGAAAACAAATCTAATCATAAAAAAAAGTTCTTTTATTGCTTTATTAGATTACGCGATGAATTTCGATAACATTTCTCTTATGTATAAATCAAAGCATGAGGATACGCCCTCGTCATTGTTTTAAACTAACAATCATTATTTATCGTTTGCCACAAACTGTGAAATGCATTCTTTGGACTTATTTTGTGTTTCTATAGGACGTTGCAGAAACTGTCTTTGTTTATGATCATCTACCTACGCTGTACGCCTTTTATTACCGGAAATTTTCCGAATATTGTCATTTTTTTTATTAAAAATGCGTTGTAATTTTCCGTAAAACATCCGCTCTTTGTGCGTATTTGAAAATATATCATTATGAAATATTCAACGACGTTGAAATCTATTGATTTGCAGTTTCACAATCACAAACAAACAACGAAAGCGAACTCTCATCCAGGTGTGATAGCACTAATAAAATTCTGTTGATTTATACTTTTATGAGAGTCATCAAGTAGATGCGCTGTTGTTTGTTGATAGAAATGAGAGATTTTCAATAGCACACTCATGCAACTTAAACAACACAACTTGTTTTCGACAAGTCATTGGGACGAGAAAATTTGTCCAAAACAGACATTTTGTTTTGTCGTTATTTCTTACGAAGAGACATGACATAAGACAGAATTAGTTATTTTTCTATCAATAACCATTTGAGAGGAAACAGATTTGAAAGCGAACGAAAGTTCTTCTTATTTCTATCGGGTTTGTTTTAGTGGATGTATTTCTGTTGAGGAGATTAATAGACATCGAACAGATCTTTTTATCGATCAATCTCAATTACATTTTGTCGCGATACTCTTTTGTCACTCCATACCAGATGTCAATTACATCCATCCATACAGTTGCATATCTAGTCGATGTGCAAATGAATTTGATCGAGACTTGTTTATATGAGACATTAGAGCGCATGCATCGAACGTATGGCTTGTTGGCAGCGATAGAAAATGTTATTATTTTCGAATTGATTGGAATAGAAGCTTGTTAATGTTACTGATGAAAATAAAACAAACAGATGATGAAATTAGAGGAGAAAAGAGTTTTTCTACTCGATGACAACCTTTTCACCTCAAACGAATGTTGAAATCGTCCATTCTTACTTTTCTCCTGTGTGTTTTTTTTTTGAAAAAAAACAGTCCATATTGATGCAATAGCTTCTTTTCTTTTCTCTTTTTTTTCTTCGTGTTATTTTTGTTCCTCTATTTTTCTTCTGTTATTCTTTGTGTCTTCTGCTGCTGAGTTTAGAAGAATGTAAGGGAGAAAAAACAAGAAAGAGAATCTACCAATCTTCTCCTACTTCGTTTACATACATTCACTCTCGCTCTTCCCTCTCGTCTCCTATTCTCTCAACCGTTTTCCTGAATCGAGCATTTTGTATATAGAATTTTCACTGTCGACGAGGAGTGAATGACTGACTAACTGACATCTACATATTCGACTAGGATTGTAACAAGATGCTTCTTTCAAATTCAAGTAAGTTGAACAAGCTCATTTTCAGTTGAGTTTACTCGCTGACAATATTTGTTTTGATACTTGATTTTCTTGCATGATGATTATGTAGACGAGTAATGTTCATTGCTTGAGTAATTTAGATGGAATATTTGAGAAAGTTTTTCTTTTTATGAGAATAATTGCTTGTATAACTGAGCAGTATATTGTGCATTTATAGATATTTGAGAAACTCTCATGAAAGAGAAATTAATTCACAATAAAAAGAATAGAATAAATATTATTATAATCCTATTTATATTTATTACTTACGTCTATATATTCCCTAATGATCGGATCATAAAAATGAAGCATATCTGAAGTCTTTGTCGTCGACGTCGGAGATAGAGAGAGAGGTATCTGTATATATCTTGTCCTATCATCCGATTCTTTGAGACAATTTATTCAAATAACATACGGAGACGATTGACTAGCGACGAAAACAAACTACGATTGATCGTTATTATTGCAAACGATACAATGATCGATGCGCGATTTGTATTTCCCTTTAGTTTTTCGCCTCGAGTCATTATATCATCCATGAAATGTTGCCAACATTGCGTTTTCTTTTTATGTTGCTTGGATCGGAATAAAGGAGAGAAAAAAAGATGACTGATGTGATGAGGATGAGGATGAGGATGAATATGAGAATGAATGGATTTGCTATCTGTCAGCCTGTCTAAGCATAGGAGTTTTCTTCGTAGATTACAGGAAAAGGGATGGATGCTTTTTTTTTGGTAAAGCAAGAAGAAAGGTGAGGGGAACATAGGTGTTTTAATTATCGAAAAACTCGAATGAAAGAAGACATAAGAATAAGAAGAAGCGGATGCTTGTCGATCTGACATTGATTTCATCGATATTTCTTTGCAAATGTACATAGAAAATTTTCCTTTGCCATGTCATCTTCGAATATTTTATCGTTCGATCTGCGAGTACTATCGATCAAGAAGAAAACTATATCACTGGTGCCAATGCGTTCGCTTTTTTCTTCTTGCCTTGCTGTGTCATTAGATATTTTCCTAGCTATTCAGTATCCGATAGGGCTAGAGGCAGTGGAAAGAAGACGATCGCGTGTTAGAGTCATCACTTTCGTTTGTCTCGACTAGCTGTGTTCTTGTTAAGCAAAACAAAAGCTAAAGTATTGGGTAGAAAGAACATTGATGAAGCACACAGGTCGGTTTGAGATATAAACAAACAATAATGATAATAGCACTAATCATTGCGGGAAGAGAAAAATCTTGAATAGCTTTGTGAAGCTTGGTTAGGATTCTTTTCGAGCACCTCATCATAATTATGCTCGAATGGAATGTTCGGTGAACATGACTAAGTGTTTTACTATTTGACCTGCATTCACATGTTAATAGGTTATTCATCTGTGAATTTGTTTATTGTCATAGATTCTCGGTCATATTTAATGTTTTCTCATGAAGTAATGCGCTCTAGAATGTCTGTTTACTTTTGTTGTTGATCTATTGAGAATAATTATCGAAAGAAATCGTTGCTTGTCATTCGTGCTTGCTTTCTTCCTTTTACTGACGAGTACAAAACAGCTGGAGATCAAGGTGTACGATGTCATGATTTCTACTGAATCGTACGCGCGCTTGCCTGCTGACAACGTCCATGATTTGAGTGATGAGGGAGTCTTTCATTGAATAGATACATACTAGTTATTTACTCGATAGGAAGTCGCGTTTCGTACTTCTAGATGACATTCCGACAAAGATAATTATTGTCAGTCATTGGATCTCGTTAAAACTAGTCAAGAGATCTCTTTCAAGTAGTTCTCAGATCGTTGCTAAATACTAGAAACATCTTTTGCTTCTCCTCACAAAGTAAAATAACGCGAAATCGATTAAATCAAATATTTTGATCACATCAAAAAAAGCAATGAATGACCCAGTAACTATTCGATTAATTTTATTCTCGCTGTTTTCCACTCTCTTCGCACTATTCATATAATGTGCATCGTAAGAGGATAAACAATTGTTGTTTTCGTTTTGAAATAGGCCACAATTTCTCTCAATTTATTTCTCATAATGACATCCAGTGCACACACATTTTTTATTATTAATCAAACGAGCCTGGCCTGTATGTCGCCTCGAGCTCACGCTGAGCAATGTCGTCATCGGAAGAGTATTTTCAGATTTTACCTTTCTAATCTACCTAAATTTGCACAGGAGAGACGGGCATTTCTATTTTTCTGACGCACAAAGAGAAGCAAAGAGGAGAAAGCCATATAAATAAGTGTGCTTTCTATAAATAGAAGACAATTAGTCGGCTTTTGATTTATTCTTTTCTATTGCTTTGTAGAAATTGATTATTCAACAGTTCGCCGCATGCCAACAGTTAAATTGAGTGGACAAACACAAGGTTCGACAATGCCAACATCGACATCATTGCAAGATATCAACGCTCATACACAAAAGTTTGCCTGGAATAGTTCAACTGAAAAGGATGATCGCCTCGTTCATTTCTCCGAGTATGTGTAAAGATTTCGTTGACAATGTCTTCTAGTTTTCCTTTTATTCCAGCCAATTATTATCAGCAAACAGTGTTCGACGATTGAGTACATCGCAAAGTGATGAACGAATCTTTGAACACCCGGAAGTGACCATAAAACCATCGGCACTTGACGACGAAATTCAAAAGCGTTTATTGACTATGAAACCATCGAATACTAATGAGAATCTGATTGAACGCGATGGAGGTAGAAGTGCACCGAATATTCTCGAACATCCTGACATGCGTGCACCTGTCGTTATGTTATCTCAACAATTGTCATCATCTTCAACGTCATCATTGATTCAATGTGACTTAAAACGTGTGACGCGTACACAATCTGGTAAATTAAAAGCAACTTATCGGTCGAAGCTAAAAAAACATCCATTTTCCTTTCTAGCTGAACCTCCATCAACAACAACGTGCACAATATCACCAGCACGTAACGATGTCAAATTTTATCTAGACGATAGGGATAATTCCAAACGATCAACATCACCCGGTGATACAAAAAAGAATTCGAATTCAGAGAAGGTATAACTTTGAATGATGCATCTTTCATCTGATTGCAAATTTGGCTTTTAGAATGAAAATCTAGTATCATTGACCAAAGTTTCTGTTTGTGAACCTGAAGAAGGAAGCTCAAAATCAGATGTTCATCTACTTAGTGCGAGAAAGAACGAATCCTGGTGATGTTTAGCTCTTATGTGTTTGATCTTATTTTTTCCTGTTGTTGTTTATTTTTCCTAATTTGATGTGTACATAGTACTAATGAGAAAAGCGACAAGAGAAGACACGTCTATATGTATGTTTTTTTTTCAATAATGAACAAAAAAATGAAATCTATTTGGAAATGAACTACGAATCGAAATCTCGTTCAATGGAAAACGTTTTCAATATGCGATTAGGATTATAGTCTTGATTCGTGAAAAACAACGGATTACTGACGCCTAAACGATATGGTTGATAACGATCAGCAGGACGTTCGCCATATGGAATGTCAGAACGAAAATGGGATTGAGGACGAATCGTTAAGCCATACCATAGAAACCAGATGATAATAAAAACTAACATTAATGAAAATACATAACCAAATACAATAGCTAATGGCCAGAAATCAGTCGGACTAGGTTCATCCTGACTGAGTGCACTATCACGTGGTAAAGCATCGACTGAATCTGATTTGAGAACAAATTCACATCGTTCACCTGTATATTGTTCATGACATGAACATGTGTAATTTGTTGAAGAGATTATTGATTGACATGTACCATTGTATAAACACGGATTTGATAAACATGGATCAGTGTGACACAAAGAGTCTAAACACAAACAAATCTCTTCATCAATTAGACACAAAACAATGACAGCCTCGCTTTAGTACATCGGTGATAAACGAGCAGCTGTTTTTCTCGTAACTGTATCAAGATAAACATGCATTATTGATGTAGAACGTCTCGAAAAGAAAAAAACCTGTTTTCTTCTCTATGGTACTTCTTACGGTCTCTTTTTATTTATATCTCTATCAATTTATCAGTCCAATGAGAGTATAAAATGAGTAGTTGCAGCGTACCAGTACAATTATTTTTAGTTAGTTCACAAAAAGAACCCGTATAAGTTGATTTGCATACACATTGTTCTTTGTTGGCTTCATCAATCTAAATGGGAAGAAAACGCCACGTGTGCATGTGAAATACTTTGATTAGCAAGGAAATATGATTGTGTATTTTACCAAACAAATGCCGCCATGTTGACAGATACGAACACACTTCGGCTTGGATGGAACCGGTTGGAATGTTTCTATAATTAGACGATTGATTAATATGACGAAATCACAGACAAGTACATACGCGAAATTTCACAATATTTGCCCGTATAATGTCGTCGACAGATGCATTGAATATCATGATTGGATTTTGCAATACAAATACTATCATGCTGACAGGGTGAACTTTCACATGGATTTGTTTCTTAATAAGATTGAAGAAAAAGGTATCTACATGAGTTTCTAGCTTGATAGCATGCGAACATTTCTTTTGCTTTTCTACATTCATTCCGACTAAACTTACGAAAATAGGATATGTTCAATAGTTCTGGATAGATCGAAAATTTTCATGTGAGAGTTGATGTTTTGCTATGAAAGATAGGATACTTACCGATTTCACAATAGATTCCAATGAATGCTGGTGAACAGATGCATCGAAATTCATGTTCAGATTGAATGACACATGTGGAATTATGCAGACATGGTGCACTCAAACACGGTGAATATTCTATAAAAGAAAATAACTGAAAAAAAACGAGAAATATATGCAAGCTCAGTTTTACTGCTTTTGAGAAACAAAGAAGGTGTTGTTGTTGGTCGAATCGAATTCGTATTTCGATGGATTCCATAATTAACATGTAACCGCTCTGAGTAGTCGCTAAGGTCCGTGATTACAGGTGTATGTGATAAATCTTTTACTGATTTGATTGATGGTGTTTGCATAGATAACGTTGTTTTCACAGGATCAGACTTCTTAGTAGAAAGATTCGTTCGAGTAGTCATTGTCGATGCTATAGATTATACCACGTGATCGAATAGATGATGAATTCTCCGACTGGAAATCTTACTTAGCAGACTTTGAGAACAATCGATACCACTCCAATTCTTTTCGCAGATACAAAGTTCGGCATAAAGATCAATTTTTATGCATTGACCATGAACACACGGTGTTCTTTCACACGATGTAACAATTTCTTTTGGAAAAAGAGATCCAAGGTTTCTGTATAGACTATCAAAATAAATTCGAGACTTTTCTTACCAACTTCACAGTTTCGACCAGTAAAACCGTTCCGACAATGACACCGATAGATTGATGAATTCTTATCACCATAATCTTCACATGTAGAATTATGCAAGCATGGCCGACTAGCACAATCAATCGTTTCTATTCAAAAATTCCAGATTTTCTATTGCTCAACATGAAACTTTATTATGCTGATAAGCTCATACACTTTCATTTCAAATTACAAAAAAAAACTCAAGGCCATAAACATACTCGGAACAAGCTGTTGATTGCAATTCTCTGATGTCCAATTCTCATGACAAATACACTTGCCATTTCGCGAACAATATCCGTGCACACATGTTGCTCGGCTACATGTATGATCAACATTTATCATCGACGGCCCTAAATCACACCTTGTTTATCCCTATTAATAAAATCGTTGACAACAACTTACCAATTTCACAAGTAGTACCTGCATATCCCAGTGGACATTGACATAAATAACCACGAAGATATACGACACATGTACCATTATTAAGACAGGGTCGATCTTCACAAGCACGAACATCTTTGGAAGAGCAAAGAATAAGAATTCGTTTTCTAATCAAACATGTATCGCTGTCATTGCTTACCACTAAGGCAATCCTGTCCGATATAACCATGCTTACAGATCTTCTGTCCAGTATTCACATCGCAATCGTAACGTTGCTCATTCGGTAAGCAAAATGTTTCACAATCATGATTGTAATAATGTGGAGAGCAATACAACTGACAAGAAAATGAGAACATCGAAAAAATCGGAGGTTATTCTTTGTTTCAAAATACAAACCGTAAAATCTGCTGTTAGATTGGTGTAAGTCCCGAAAAGACTGCGTAGAAATAGTCTTTGCGGTTGTGCGACCTCACGTGAGTGTTGAACTTTTAAATCAACTAATGTTCTTGCATAAAAATCAATGGAATCGTGTACTGTTTGATTGTTGATATCGTCAATGTCATAAACTTCGACAATGAGACCAATGCCAGCCTTTTAGGGGAAATATGTGAAAATTCTGAAATTCCTTATGAGGAATCAATTTACTTTTGGGTATGGAAATCGAAAATAAATTGTCGGCTGAAACCAAAGAGAAATCAACGACGATCGTTGTTTTTTATTATAGAATGTTAATGGTGGTCGTGTCAATTGTTGATCAATATTAATGAAATGGATATCATCAGCACCAACAAAACCAGTGAAATGGTCACCTAACGTACAATTGTGTGGATTCCGGAACGGCAATTGTACGAGACAAAATAAAAAGCCGGTATCACATCGACCGTCTCGGTTAATGTCATGTTCAAGTCTTGTATCGCATGCACGATTCTCATAAGTTAAACCATTACGATTTTTATAATGAAGCAAACGTAATGCAAGTGTCACTTCACCCAACGATAACTACAACAAAGTAAATCGAATATTATTTTGCCTCCTCACGTGAATTCCAACAAACTTTCAGAATTGCAAAATTATAAACGAGAATAATAATTAGCCATTGTACCATGTCGTTGCCTTCCGTGCATACTCATCAAATACACAATCGGAATGTTTTATTCTCACACGTAAACGTGAACAATTCACGTTCGATCTATGCGAGAAAAAGAAAGCGAGATGTATACACCAAACATATATCAATAGAGGATGGTCAATATTGTGTCCACGCCCTATTCTTCATTTTTCTTCCAAATGAGTGTTTACCTTAGGGTTATTAGTTGCAATGCGCTTAGACATTCTTGTTTTCTTTCTTTTTTCTTGTGCGACTGTCAAGCCTATTGCCTACAATGGGATGCAATTTTTGATCTTTTTACCGCGTCTTCTCTTTGTTTCTGTTGAATATACAAAGAATTAATTTGAATTAATATACTCAAGAAGAAGAGAACAAAGAATGACGAGACGTATCTGTATGTTTAGAACTGCATGTAATTACGACAGTTAATTGTTCGTGAATAGTATCCGGACGATGAGTGAGTCTTGGGTGAAACAAATTTCGATATTTGTAAACTAAATCTTCAAGACGAGCGTTCAATGTGATACGAAAAATTCGTTTGCTTATCAGATATATGTCGATACCTGTACAATCTGATTGCAGGTCGTGACCCATAACATTCACTTTGTTAATACCTCATCAATTGCGTAGGTAGTTAAAATTATCACATGCATCAATCTGATATGCTATATTTAGATATAATAATGAGTATGCTATGATCGACGTTTATACGAAAATTATCACAAAAGAAAAATAATGTTGCTTTAACGATTTTAGTTGAAACAACAAAGTATCTTGATCTCATTCACGTGCTGGTTGTTGTATAACGACAGGTTGATTTTGATTAGGCTTGTGAGCAACACTGGGTCCATCATCTATTAGAAGAAGAAAATGAACAATTGAACTGTCATTGATCAGAGTGATCAAAAAACAAACTGACCTCTTGATTTCATTTCACGAGCTTCTTGACAGAGAGCACACGGACTACAACAGATTGTTGCTGGCAGATCTCCACACGAATCTTCTTTCAAACTATATTTCTCACGTAATTTTTGCCGTTCGAAATAATGCGGAACACAACACAGATAAAAGTTAGCTGCTAGACCGTATAAACAACACATCAAAAAGCAGTTTTTCCCATCGATCTTCTTGGCATTTGAACCGAATAAACAAGGCGTACAACAACATCCATAACAACAAATTTTTCCATCGTTACAACAATCGAATAGTTTTTCTACAATCGACAAACATTGTACATGACGTCTTTTTCTTGTCGAAAGTTTTCTTTACCGTTCCATTCGTTCGTGCCTTGCATGATTACCAGTGAAGAGAAGATTCTAGAGAAATTATATGATTATTCATGAGAAAGATCATGTTTCATAGCCATGCGTATTGTTCGAGTTTTCGAAGAATTAGTTCTCAATCTGGTCGTTAGAGCATGGAAAAGTAAACTTACCTATTTCTTAGGAGAATGAGATAGGTACTGATGAAATAAGGATACTCATTGAATGCGTTTAATGTGTATATATATATATACGATTTATAATCATCGTGTCGTTATTGCAAAAGCTAATACTTGAATGTATATTTCACGCTTGACCGATATTTTTTACAAAGATGGGGCAAAAATGATGACTTGTTATTGTAAACATACGTCAAACTACTGTATAATTTTTTTTCCGAGCAGGTTTCTAGAGTCTGACTCATCAATACATCCACAAATACAGAATTAACGTGTTTAATCAAAACAAGGCTTTGAAGGAATAAAATAAAAGAATGATTTATTGCGATGGTTCTCATTGGTATGGTTATGTCACTCATTTTCCTCGTAATTAACCATTTGTTGGCATTAATTATCTAGATCTTGAAGGTCAGCGTAACCAATTGTTGTCGGATCTGCTTTATGGCAAAAAAATCGACCCACAGAATGTATTCATTATCCATGATTTATATGAATCATATGCAGACGTCTTGTCGCAAAAAGCGATTTTCTCTGCTTAATGAAGAATCGCTTAGTTTGAATTCATTCATTCAAATCCAAAGACATCTATTTTCGAAGAATCAAGGTCTATTGATCAAAGAAGTCCTTTCATGATGAGCATATTACTTGTACGTCAAAGTAGAATTATATTGTCAAGAGTCAATGTAGATTTACTTGTTGTACTCTTTCGAAGTAAAACAAAATAAACATTGCAGAAAAATCTTGCTTTGAAGAAATGAAAGGTTTCATTCATTCATTTTCAAAAGCGTACCATCGACAAGCTGTCACATTCTTCCGAGCAAATCGAATGGCAGGTTTCGCAAGTATCATTTCGCGTCACTATTTCACCTGTGCTGTCTTTCAAGTAACAAACTTAACTGCATTATGAAATATAACTCACCCAACCGAAGTATTTATCGACTTGTAATTCAATCGTGTCGTATAGCAGAATTTCGTGTCATTTTTTTCTCCCCGATAATGTAGTCTGTAAATAGAAGAACGAAAAAAAACATAAACTATCGCCTCGTGGTAACGATGTCTATTACACAGATGGAGCAAATAATAATTCTCAGTGTTTTGCTTTTGTCTGTTTCTATCAACACGCTTCTCTTGCGAGATAAAACAATTTTGCTAACGAGTATTTAGTTGACTGGATGAGGATATTTTCGTTTAGACTTATACAACCGGACGCCGATGACGACTAAAGTTGAAAATATCCTGTTATTATCGACAATCGAAAGAAAACAACAGCCGCAAGATGAACACGAAATATTTTTTGATCTAAAGAACAATTCTCTCGATTATACAACTCGTCAGCGATATCCATATATATTGAAAAGGTAAATCTATTTATACATACATGCATAAATGTCTAAGATAAGAGATACGAATCTCCATAATGTCGTTTCGTTCGGATTGTATAGACGAACTCGACTTTGTGTTGCTTTTCTTTCATATCGAAAAGATTCAACTTTGATAAGTTCGTTTTAATAGTAGACGTCATCATATTGTACATATTGAAATCATAAGAAAAAGGGTCACAAAATATGATTAGAACAAAAAGAAACATACCAGAAAGAATACTTTCGATAGACTCGTAAAAATTCGATTATAAAAAATGTCCTTGACTTGCAATAGTTTCATATCACTTGAGTGAGAAAGCGAAAGATGGGCAAGAATAGGATATCAGTAGAGAGTTTCTCTTCAAGTATTCATCAAAGGTAAAATCGGTGATTTTCATATACTGAGATATTATTCGTCTTTCTCTTCAGATTTATCAAGCCAATTAATCAAAGATGTCTGTACAAACATCTTCTTCTTTGGGTGATTCTCTTCGGATGTTTATTTATTCTTGCTGCTCCACTTGCTCTCCATTTTTCATATGCTTTACCAACCGTTAAATCACGAACGATACCGTTAAATGAGTTTAGTGAAGAACGTGCCCGTGATTTTTATCCGAATTTAACTCAGTATGGGCCTCGGGTTAGTAACACACGAGCCGATTATCTGACACGCGCATTTCTCATCTCAGAAATCGATCGCGTTCGTGCAATGGCTCAGCCAAACATTCGATTTGAGCTCAGTTTACAAAATTTCTCTGTAGCTAAAACGAAAGATCTACAGAATATTGCTGTCAGAGTATCCAATTCAAACTCCTCGCCAAACGCACCCTGTTTAATGTTAGCTGTTCACTATGATTCAGGTAAAGCATAAGTTCTACTTTCGGTCTTTTTTGCTCGAAGTCAAATATCTATGTGCTCAATAGTGGAATTCAGTCCGGGTGGTAGTGATGATGGTTCGGGCGTAACCATTCTACTTGAAGTTCTTTCAAATCTTGTCAGCGACCCGACGATTACATTTTCTCAAGTCAATTTAATTGTTCTCCTCACCGCAGCCGAAGAAATGGGTATGGAAGGTGCTGAAGTCTTTGTTTCGAATCACAAATGGAAAAATGATATACGACGCTTTATGAATATTGATTCAGCTGGTGGCCATGAAAAAGCCATCCTGTACCGTGTCAAACCATCACAATTGATTAAAGATTATGCTCATGTCCCAAGACCACATGCAAATGTCATTGGCGATGATATTCTTGGAGCAACTGGATCGGATACAGATTACAGTGTATTCACTACCCATGGATCACTGTCAGGCTATGATTTTGCCTATTATCTTGACGGGTATAATTATCACACATTAATTGATAGACCATCGATTGTGGAAATAGGCGCGTTACAACATTTGGGTGAAAATATTTTAGCTTTGTCTCGTTCGATTCTTCTCGGAAAAATCGATCTTGAGCTACCAGCGAGCATATTCGACGATGAGGATATGATTTATTTTGATATTCTTGGCCAACATTTGATAACTTATACGAAAACGACATCAGTCATCGTTCAATCGATTCTTATTGGATTGACTGTTTTAATAGGAATTGTTGTTATCGTCATTGATCATTTTTGGTATCGAAGATATTCTTCGAGTGACAATTCATCCTTTTCAATCTATTTCTATTTTAATTATCCATTAATTCTCCGAGTTATTTTCATATTTCTCTTTCTATTTTGCTATCTTTTATCAATCATATTCGGTATACTTGTCGCTCTTCTTATCGCATTGATTACTTCAAAACTTCGACCATTATCCTGGTATGGTAATGCCACGTTGCCTGTTTTTCTTTATGGTTTACCGTGCCTGATTGGCATTATCCTTGTCGAAGCTCTCTGGTCATGTTTACGTCGATCAATTCTCTCGAAATATCCGAAAAAGAATCCAATGGAATTGAACACAATCGATTACATTGATCGACATTGTTTTAATTTCGAACGTCATCTAGCCTTACTATTATTTTTTGCTTTTCTTATGTCAATTTCGATCTATCTCGGTTTTCGATCACTTTACGTCTTTCTTCTATGGTCTATATTTTTATGTCCCATTTATTTAATCATAATTGTTATTGAATTCAATTTCCGATGGATGAAAAAACATGTAGTCATTCTATTTAATGAACAAGGATGGTATTGGCTATTTGTACCTTATATCGTCACGCTGATACCACTTATCCATACGTTGGAGATGACGAGTCGTCTCGTTCGTTTAGCGATACCGATGATGGGTCGACCAAGTATGTCCAGCATACGCTTTCCTCAAGATCTTCTAATTTGTGCGTTGGTTGTCATACCAGCAGCGATATTTTTTGTTATATTTATACCAAATATTCAACGAACGTTGAATTATAGCCGAACATTGATTCTATTAGCAATTAGTTGTCTCATTGTGTTCATTGTTGCCTGTACACGGCAACCATTTAACAGTACACATCCAAAAATCATCGATGTTGCACATAGTTCGCGCGTAGTTTATAAATTACTCAATACCAATCATTTTCCAACTGAGATTCCTGTTTATTCGTCACACGCATCGATTCAACTTAAATCAATGAGCCTTCTCAATCTATCGCCAACGCTTGATGAGATTTCGCGCCGAACTGGTCTCACCTTACAGAATCGTGAATGTTCATCATCAACTAGCTGTTCATTTGATGATAAGTTCAATCGCACCATGCCATTCAAACAAGTCGAACTCACTTCCATAAATCGATCCAAAAACTATCGCTTTACTTTTCGACATGCCTCGTCTTATCAAATCGACGTGACTTCATCCTATGCAGTGAATTTCAATGTGCACAACTCCTTCATCAAACCACGAACGGAAACGATTGTCGATGTTCAAACTTCAAATCCGTCATATGCGTTTGATATTCAAATCACGTTGTATCGATGTGATTTGCAAGACTCACCCTTTCTACAATCTCTAACGAAACATTTGCCTCATATTGTTATGTGGGGTCACGGTTCCTGTCGGTCGCTGAAAGACGAACTTAGTTTAACAGTCAATTTTTAAAATGAAATCAATAATACTCCGTTTTTCTTTTGTTAATACTCACTACCAATTGAAATCGAAATCTTTTTATCAATAAAAAAACAAACAAACAAAGAATTGAGAGAGAAAAAAAAATACTGTCTAGAAGGTTGGTTATCCGGCGAGTGCTTGACAAGGTTTTAATGAAGACATTTGATTAATTTCATCGTTGAGTAAATCGAGAAAGTATTTATCAAGAAAAATGTTTTTTATACATCCACGATAGGCGTGACAATGTTGCTCATTATATGCACAGAGATGTTGATAACCACCAATATGAATATAGGTCGGATATGGACGAAATTCCGTGATACGACTGGAAGAAATCACACGACGGGGATAGTTATCATCGAGTTTCATTGTTATTCGACGACGATATCTGAAAACACAATCGTGAGCTTCTATTCAGAAAGATGAGAACTCAAACCTTTCGATCTCAATGCGATGCCATTGACCGTCGTCGACTCGAATTTTTGTCAGGAGGAAAACTTCATTGGAATCTCGATCAAGTTTAGCTGTAAATTGTAGAAAACCATTAACAATTGTTAATGACATATATTGAGAAAAAGCGCTGAGTGTTGTATTTCCAAGATAAAATATTAAACCATACGAATTCGTCGTTCGAAATTGTAGTTTAAAGTAATTCCGATGGAAATTCAATGGTAAATATGAATAAATCAAGTTCTGTTTTCCATCTAATTCAATTGACATTTCATTTGACATCGATTGTTTTGATCGTAACTGACATGTGTAGTTATTCAGTTCAATTTGTTGACAAATCTCATCGAGTGCACAAGGATTCGGATGGCAAGGGTAACCAGCATATTCACTGATGTTGTATAATTCAATTGCGTCTTGACGAATATCTTTCAATGAATGATTATTGACAACAATCTAAATTTGAAATGAGATTAGCGAGATTAAGCACGTTTGATTCGGATTACTTTTTGTATGGCACCGTGAAATCCTTCGAAGAGAATCGAATTTGGGAACATATCGAAGGAACGATATTGAATTGGAAGATTGCCAATGAATGTGAATGAACGTGGCCAGAGCATATTTACAGAAAATAGTTCATAGGTGACAACAGGAGGTTCCTGATCGACAATTAAAGTTAATTTTTGACCATAAATTTCAATGATCGCTTGATGCCATTTATTCAATTCGATCGGATATCGAGAGCTAAAACAACGTTTCTTGAGTAGAATATATAGACTTCGATTTCGATGAACATTACCTAAGTGACATTGTTTTACCACCAATCATAATAGTACAGATGACCATTCGTCTTTGAATGGAAATAGTAAAATATCCTTTTTTCGCGTTAACATGATCACTGTAGATCAGTAAACCTAAACGAACAGAAAGTTTTCGGAAAACATTGATTCTAACAGCTGATCAAACCTGATGAGCTTTCGCTTAGAAACCAGATTTCCAATGTAAACTTTCCCGTATGTTCAATGGGTTCCAGTGGAGGACGTTTTATATAACTATTTGTGTAAAATCCAGCGATATATTGATAACCTAATCAAATAAAACATTACATTGTGCAATAACAATTCACAATGAACAAACTTGAAGAGCAATTTGAACAAATACACGTATAATTATTCGGATACACATTAATACATTGTTGGTCATAAGTACATGGTTTTGTTGAACATCGATCAATGGATGATGTCAAACAATCAGTATTTGATGACGATAGGTAATCATCGCACACACATTTATAACTGTTCGCGTCATTATTTCGTATTGGCATACAACGAGTTTCGTTTTGACATGATGCAATACCTGATCGACATGGATTTGCGATGCATTCATCTATGAAAATCAAATAATTAGATGGAGCAAACAATCGAAGTCGGAACAAACCAATATTTTGCGCGCTGAGAATGATATGATGATCAGAATTATTGAATGTTAATCGTCGACCGTTGATAGACACTTCGTGGATACATCCTTGAAACCCGTCATCAAGATGAAAACGTTGATAAAGACTACGAGATAATGCAATTGTAAAATAGAAATTGAAATCGAAAGAAATCACTTACGAACGAAGAGAATCGGGTAAACCTCCGAGATATAGTGTACTTTTAAATGAACTACCAAATGGTAATAATCCTTCAAAATAGATTTATATGAGAAGTTTCATTCGATTGAGAAAATCTTTACTTGATGAAATGTTCCCATCATTCAATCTTGCACGTATTTCATTATGTAAAATATGTACTTGTAGACGAGCATATTTATCAAGTTCAATCATGTCTGATAATTGAATTGTCGAGATAAAATGATCAAGACGAACCCTTGAGAGATGTGAAATCGAATTTTCATCAAAAGAGACAAAAGCATTCGTACGTTATATCAAGAATTCTATTTCGAATGGAGATAATGAAGTAAAATTCGGTTAATTTATCATCAGCATAAAGAAGTAGACCATTTTGATGTTCAGACGCAAATATGAGATCAATACGAAGAAGTTGATTCTCGTTTGGTTTAGTAGAGATTTGAAACTTCAGTTCAAAGTACGATTGACGATTGAAATGTGGAATTGTCACTTCGAATCCTTTCGAAGAAAAGTGTAAGTACATTAAAACGTAAAATATTCAATGGGAATCAAATAACAAGAGATACAGTCGATTTTGTTTGAAAAAAGAAAAACTCTTACTTTCATTACAATGTCGTCCCTGCCAACCGAATGCACACAGACATTTGTAGTTTCCATCTGGTCTATCGATACAGGTTGCTTGATTCTCACATGGAGTACGTCGTAGACAAGCACCCATAGTTGTACGACGAACGGGATTAACTAGATAGGCAAAGAGAGCAGTTTTTATTTTCTTTTATGTTTTTTTTTGAATAATCCTTTACTTACGTGTATAATTTGTGGCAACGAGATTTGAATGAGCTAAAATTAATAAAAGAGTTAATTGAGTTATCAGAGAAATGCTCTTTGTCGCGAAGCGATAGTGTTTATTTTGCGCACAGACATACACTAAACAACAAGAAGATCAGCTTACGCGCCACGCATCGTGGTCCTGGTATTCGTTTGTATTTCTGTTTGGCACATTCGCAAAACTCCGACAGACAAACCATATTTTCTCCACAATCGGAATTCGTTACACATCGTTCTGAAAGAGATCAATCTTTTTCAAAATTCAACACAATAAAATCAACTCTCTTACTTGAATCAACGGGCATCATCGGTGATGAGTAATCAGGTGAAATATCTTCTTCCTCTTGCGTCGAGAAATCTTCTTCCATCTGACTGTATTCCTTTGATGAACTATCAGTTGCTAAATTACATAACCAGACATCATCTCAATTTTGATCAAGAACTATCGAATATCTTACCTGTACAAACACCTGGATAGATTAAACCAATTTCGTATTGTTTTAAACATTGTTGTTTCTTGATTGTACATTTCGATTTATAAGTTCGCCCATCCGATGCACATATATCCATTGGACGTTGCTCATCAGTTGTACATGTTACATGATGACATGTGCAACGAGGATGACCATGTACGATTTGACATATACCTTCAAAAAGACACTCAAGATCTCGACATGATCGTGGACGACGACGATTTTTATGTACTAGAATTAGTATTACAGAATGGAAAATTTCGATTTCTATTCGATTAGAATACGAACTATTGATGCATCCACGTTCGGTCAATGTCAACGATGAATCAATGCATTTATCACATTGACGACCTGTGGCAAATGAATGGCAAGCGCATTCGCCAGTATCTTGAAGACAATCTTTTCGTGTTGAACCATACGGATGACAACCACAGGCTATGAATATTTCCATTGAAGACTATTCGTTATGCTAATCAGGCGAAACTCACGAGTACATCCGGTATTATTATGTGTCAAGATGCGTGAAAATCCCCAATATTCATTTTCACAATGCGAACAACTCGATCCACCGACAGCTGGCCGACAGTAACATGCATTTGTCATTGGATCACACGAAGATTGTAATGATCCAGTTGAATGACATTGACAATATTCTGAACGAATAGAATAAATGACGAAGACTGTTTTCTTCAGACTGATCTTCTCACCTGGGCATCCACGTCGATCTAGACTAGGTGAAATAGTAATATTGTCACTACAACAACCATATGGCGAGTCAGTACAAGTTGAACCCATCATTAGATGTGGAACAGCAACTATATTCCGAAAGAGATCATTGATAAACAAAGTAAGAAAACGAACTTCAATCGCTTACCGCATTCTCGTTTTTTTCTTGCTGGTACAAAATTTTGTCTAGCACATTCACACAGGCCACTTAAACACACCATATTCTTGCCACATTGACTATTCGATGAACACGTTCGATAGGGTAGTATAGCCGTTATAACTACAAAACACGATTGATTCAAATCGACTGATCACATTGTCTCTGATTTACCTCGAACACAACATCGGTTAGTTTGCGGGTTACAATAGCTATTCATCGGACAACGTCCAAGAGTGTCACATTCTGTATTACGATTCAATATCGCGTCGAATAATGGTTCATCATAATTACATTCGCGATTATAGTCTATTCAAAAAGGTAAAAATTGAAATGACAAGTGCTAAAATTTCGTTTACCAGGATCGTTTGTTTCTCGAGTGCAATACTGTGGTGCAATAGCGTAGAGATGAGTTTGTAGTTCACATGATCGAATGTTCATTTCACATTGATTGGAAAATAATTGTTGATTACTTGCACAGATGGCGTATGAGTCATCATTCTAAAAATCGGTTCATCAAATGATTTGTAATAAAAAAAAACTTTAAAAAAAAATGTTAATTGTTTCTATCTCTTTAATTACATTTCTTTTTGTCAAAGATTATTCACATATCATTCAATGATTTATTCTATTTTCTTATTAATCATTCTCAAAATCGTCACGATCACAAGCACCATCAGAGTTACGTAACCACACTCAATCTCCGATGAATTCGACATCGAACAGACAAAGTCATCAATAGAACATGTTACTTAGAATGACATTTAGTAACATTAGTTTTCAATCAAATAATCATATTTTATATCTCGAACATTTCTCTTCTCTTCGAACGCTAAATCTACAACTGAACAAACCAGGAACATACTCGAGTCGGTGGACATGTCTCTTTCGATGGGCAATTGCAACTGTAATTTCCCTGTTCTGATCGGCATTCACCAAAGAATGGACACGTCACATTATGACAATTGTTACACTCTCCCATATGAATCGGTTCTATGTTCGAATGGCGCGTACAGGCATCGTATTCCAAATGACATTTCGATCTAAATGTAGCTTTTGAAATAGACACGAACATCAACGATTCCCGATCACTTACGAGTACGTGATGCCATTGTTACCGCAAATTTTGTCCTGATCTGAGTATGGTCCTGAACATTGTGTGCATTCACATTTCACTTGACCATTGTCGTTTTTTCGGCATTGTCCATATGGACAATGGATGGTTTCACATGTTGATATACCTAAAAATATTTCGCGAAATTTAATTGTCTGTTCGTGTCTCTCTGCCTCTCTCATTTCATTAATTTCTGTTCTTTCTCAGACTTTGTTTTGTAATCAAACATTGGAACTAGTAATATTGACAATTAATCAGAAGTAAAATGGGCATAAGGGAAAAAAAGAAATCTTTGTTGGTTAAGCAAATAGGCGTGTGTAACTTACAGTAGGAATGATCAACCGGTACAATATTCTCTTCACGCAGACAACGATCACGTTCCAGTTCACATAGATTTCGATAGATGATTCCATTTGATCCGCATACCTTGAGAAAAAAAAGAGAAATTTCCAAGCATTGTCTTCTTTGTAGTATATCGTTTTACTGTGTTTTCTTGTGATGAACAATTGAATAAACATCGGCAAACACCAATACCATTTTCGATCATACATGTTTTCCCATTAAAACACATAAGTGGTTTACAAGCTGAAAAACCACAGAAAAGGAAAGCTGTGAGTCAATCGCAGATCTCTCGGGAGTACTTGACGCTTAAGCAAAGGACAAGGAAGAGAAAAGAAAAAGGAAAACTGATTGTCGAGAGACATCACTATCGATTAATGCAAATTAGCTAAGAAGGAAAAAGAATCATTCGGTTTCTTTTCAACAAATTTGACAATAATCGAAAAATGAAGAAGATCGATGGGTGAACATTTAACCTCGAGAACAAATCAAATCAGCCTTATTCTCTCTTATTTCTTTTACCTTCTACTAATCGTTGTTGTTCGAGTAAATCGCACGAGCCAACATGCAATTTACTTAAATGTATATTTGATTGACATGCATATTTATGCATTTCACATTCATTCGAATACTCTTGAAGATTACTTGCACATATTGGATAATATTCCGCTGAACATTGGGTGTGAGGATTGCATTGATTTGCACTTGGAGGACAATTCGCGTGATGACAACCTTCTAAATATAAAGAGATTTCTCTCCGCATGTTTGTTTGTTTGTTTTTCTCTTCGCAGAAATACATACGACACTCGCCAGTATATGCCACAGTTAGATTCTCTCGAGTTCGACACGCTTTTTTATTTAAATCACATACGGTTTTGTATGTTTGATTATCCGTACCACAAACGGGTCCGTCGGATGATCTGCCATAATTGTATTTATTGCATTCGTCTGGACAAGAACAGTAAGGCAAACCATCGGTGTCCATTTCGCATTTCGATCCATCGGAACATATCATCGACGAACAAGCTAAATCTTTTGAATAAAGATCATCTATCATCATCTTTCGTGATAGTTACCTTCTTTGGACACTAGTGATTGGTAATAAGTGTTACATCTTGCTCTGTCTAATTGACATTGATTAGAATAAGTTATTCCAGTGGTTTCATCGCGAACAGATTCACCCTGGTCATTACAATTAAATAGACACCGACATTCATTTTCCAAAGTGCATGTCGCCCGAAATTCACATTCTGTTCGTCCATATTGACATGCTGGGAAATACACACATTCACTCTCCGAAAACAATGAACAGTTTTACTTACTCCGTGCAGACCGAAAGTCTTGTAACGATTGATCTAATAAAAACAACAATTAAATCATGTTTCTCTTTCCAAACACGACTTACTAGAAGTAAACTCAGTACTATTACTATCAACTGCAGTAAAACTTTTCCTTTGAACACCTGGAATATTTCAGAATAGCAAATAAGTACACTCGAAAGCGGAAAGAATCAAAGAGAAAAGCACCTGTCTTAAGTGTTCTGTAAATGACAATGGCAAGGAACAACGCGGCCAGCAATATGATAACGCCAACGAAGATAAGGATAATACGCAGAAATTTCCGATTTTTCTCCTGTTGCTGCTGATCAACAGCAACCACGTAAGATTTACCAGTTACTGTGCTCATTGGCACTGCTAATAAGACTGAGCATAACGAACAACAACAGACGATTGTCGTTTTTTTATTCTTTTTGTGTAGTTATGTGGACAACAAAAATCGTGTTCTTTCTCTCTCTCTCTCCCTCTCCTCCTTCTTTGTCTACAAAAGTGATCGTTCGTGCTCGGTCGCTCGTTCGCTCGTTTGCTCTACGGAACTCTTTAATGTCATTAGTTTCTCTATCCTCTCAACCGATTTTTTNAAAAATGGATAATCCAAATGAAACACTTGCTACGCTTCTAAATGCGCCCATACACGCTGATTATGCTGATTACTTCAATCCATCACACTTGCAATATCATCATCATCACTATTTTCATGGTGCCAATCGAATGTATCAAACACCAACCGCATCTTACTTTACACCTGAACAGTTTGATACTCAACAACAGGAAAAAACGAAGGGCGTTAACTGCTCTCTTCAATCTCATCTATTTCAAATCGAAGTGTGAACTGACTTTCTTATTTTTTTAATAAGAATATCATTCGAATATTGTCTTTCATTTCTGATGAACATCTGTTTCAATTGTGAATTATTAGAAATTATGGAGATACTTGAAATCAGGATATGATACCGTTCGTGCAGAAGAAATAATATATGTACACATTGTTCTTATTGGTTCTTCAAGAAACAATAAACCAATAGAAAAAAAGACATTTCATATTCTCTTTCTCAATTAACGTACCTCAGCTAATCCCCTCCTCTGCTCTTTCTCTCTCTCTCTTTCTCGTTCGGCACGTGCTCTCCTCTTTTTCTGCAGAGCACATATACAGACAAAAATTAGGAGGAAAAAAACGCGAATATTCTGCACTTTCTTTTTCTTGCTCGCTCTCTCTCTTTCGCTCTATCTCTCTTGCTTTCCCTATCTATCTTTTCTTCTCATAAAATCGTTTTCGTAACTAATGAACATAAATCTTACAATCAACACCGATTCGATCGACAACGAGTATTAGACTGGTGTATAGAAATAGAAAAGGAAAAAAGGTATTAATCTGACCGGATTTACTTATTTCTTTTTCTTTCTCTTTATTTTGTTACAAAAACGATATTGAAAATAAAACAAAACAGAGAAAAGAAGAATTTTTTTTAGCAGCATTTGGCATCATCAAAAATTAATCCTGGATTAATCGTATTTCGATGTGTATCTGTGTACGCTTCTATTTTCTTCTAGTGCCGGTGATCAACAAAAATGGATAATCCAAATGAAACACTTGCTACGCTTCTAAATGCGCCCATACACGCTGATTATGCTGATTACTTCAATCCATCACACTTGCAATATCATCATCATCACTATTTTCATGGTGCCAATCGAATGTATCAAACACCAACCGCATCTTACTTTACACCTGAACAGTTTGATACTCAACAACAGCAACAACAACAACAACTGACTACTGATCATCACTCTCATCAACTATACTCATCATCAGCAGCAAATCCAAGTTATTTGTCACATCCTTCTGCGGCAGAACTTTATCATTCTCAATATCAATCATCAGCATCATCATCGACACTTCTTACACATTTACCCAGCTATGAAACTTACACCTCACCAGTCCTTTTAACAAATGTTGATCAACAACAACAACAACAACTTCAGCAATCACATCAAAAGTCGAATCTGATCAAGTATGAAGCTGATCAGGATTTGAGCAATAATTTAAGTGATCAAAGTGGCGGTGAAGATCTCGGTTGTAATGACGATGAGAAGAAATCATCGAATAGAAAGTCGAAATGCAATACTTCGGCGAATAATAGTGCGAATGGTCGACAACGTCGTCAACGCACACATTTTTCTAGTCAACAATTAACCCAACTAGAGCAAACCTTCACAATAAATCGGTATCCTGATTTAGCAACACGTGAAGATATTGCAGCAATGACGAATTTAACAGAAGCGAAAGTTCGTGTTTGTAAGTAGTAAAAAAAAGACGCATTTCATTCAAAAGTAACAAACTATCGCGATTATTTTTCTTCAGGGTTTAAAAATCGTCGTGCTAAATGGCGTAAACGTGAAAGAAACATGGATCATCTGCGAAATTTTTCTCATATTGTTCCACCGTTTGACATGTACTCTCATCATCAACCACCTCCATCATTCATGTCCACTTATCCTACAAATCCGAATTGGGATCCAATTAAATCACCTTCCAGTCCAAAGTCTTCCCAATCATCACCCAATCCATCTAGTTCATATCAATCATCGACCACAGCAACAACAACGGCAGTCGCCGTAGTCACTAATTCGACTCCTTGGACACTTCCACCAATGACTTCATTAACCCAACCATTGCCTATAACAAATAATTATAGTGATACATCATCACCAGCACCTCCTAATGCAACGATCACATCGTCTTCATACTATTCTCTCGCAGATACCAATCCGGGTATGTATACGCATAATACCAATCTTATCGAACCTCTCTCGTCTCATCCATTGACACAAGTTCTTAAGAATAAAGCAAAACAAAATGGTTCTAGTTTTCAATTGTACGAAAGTTCAACAGCAGCACAGAATGGATTCTTCTCGGAAACAAATTAAACTAAAATCCTTTTGTGATATCCAAAACAAAGAAAGACAAGAGCGTTTTTGGCTTTTTCTCTGTTTTATATATATGTTAGTTTCGTTTTTCTCTGTCTCTAACACACACATTCTTTTTTTTTTGTTTTGTTGTGCCTTTTCTTTTTGACCAATGTTTCATTTTTGCTGCGCGTGCGTTTATTTGGTGCATATAAAGAGAAAAAAATCGAAGGAATCTCTCGCTAACTTCACGCTCAATGTTGAACATAGGTGAGAAGAAGATGCAGAGGAGAATAGTCATTTCCGTTTTCTCAACAAAAGAAATCAACTATGCCACAGCGAATCGTCTCTGTTGATTTATTTAATTTTCCCTTCATCGATAAAACGGAATGATTTCCGTTTGGACTCTTCTCCTATTGGTTTACGCACATTTCTATTGACTTAGTATGGGTGTCATAATGGAAAATAGAGAAGAGAAGAGAAAGAGTATATCACAAACGAGAATAACAACGACGCATCATCATACTCATTCGTCTTCGTTGTCGTTTTCTTTTCATTACATACACTAATCCCTTGGCCCTGCTAAGCATTGGGCAAATGTTGAATCGTTTCGGTCGCTTGTTCGTTCTATGACCAGACGTGCACATCTACACCTATGTTGTTTTTCATCTCTCATGAATATCAAGATTGGATGTCACTTGATATTCAACAAAAGATTCGATTCATTCGTCAATTTTCCTCGAAATGATTCTCAAATCAAAAATAAACCTTCATTCTCCTCTCATCTTTTCCTAATGATTATTATGCAAATGAGTATTGCATAGACATTCGAAGTTTCCCGTCTGTCGATCTATATAGTTCATGCAAATTACTTTTCACAAGAATAATTTCTTCTGATTAAGACTATCAAAATCCGAAAAAAAAGACGAAACAAATTCAAAAATGACTTACCGAATTCGTACGCAAGTCTCTTCAGTTATTCTTAATACTGAGTAGGAAACATAGGATATATTTATATATATATACATGTGTGAGCTTCACTATCGACCACTAAATCTGAATGCTAATACAGTATGGTGATCATGGTCGTAATCCTTCACCATCGTTCGTGTGTACTTGCGTGCGGCTTTAGACTAAAACCTTGAGCTCTCTTTCCTCTCTCTCCCTCTCTTTCTAACGCACATATTCTTCTTTTTTTCTTTTACTGATACATATAGATATTACTGACGAACAAATATTGAAGTAACTAAAAACTTGAAAGAAATCAATTCTCTTCATTTCAACTAGTTGTTAATTGAAAAGTGAAACTTATTGAATGTTGATTATCAGATCATGACTATCGAATTTCTTATTGGATCGGGAAAACAAAGTGCAATGAACGAAATCAAGGAATGTGCCGCCAACGTTTGTTTCAGCGAGATTTTGTTACCTATTGACAAAATGCTAATTTTGATTTGAATCGAACACTTTTATTTCGTTGTTCAGTAAGCAAATCTTATGTCATTGAACTTAGGAAAAACTGCAACATAAAAAGGCGACGATTGAATATCATGTTTGATATGCGAATTGACTGACACTGTTTCTCAAGAGAAAGAAAAAAGCGTTTGTTTGAAAAATCATTTTCGATTAATCGTCGAATGTTTGATTAAAACAAGTTGAGAATCGCATGCTTTTCTCTGATTGTTTCCTATTGACAGGCAAAACATTTGTTAGGCATCATAATATGCAAAATATTTCAAGCGAACGGATATAACCATACGAGCGAGTAGTATGTAAACAAACGGTAATTCTCATCCGAATGATGCATGATTTAATGACATCGATAATTGTTAAAGCCAGACAAGGAATGGAATTCTTTTTCTTTTAACTAAACAAGCAGTATTTGTGATAAAGTACATCTGTTAGATAATGTAATAGATGTGTGTATGACAAGTTGATTTTGTTGGAGGAAAAAGAAAATGAGAGAATGTTTGTAAAACAATTGGGAAGGAAAGGATTTGCGTGTGTTAATCCGAGAAAAAGAAAACATGGTGGATTATAAAGAAAGTGTCTTCTAAACGAGAATTTGCATAGAATGGAATGTTATGTCGACGAAATCATTGGAACTGATTTCAATGAAGGATCCTTGACAATCGCCAAATGTATTCAGTTATAAATAATCTCAATTTTCCAAGCACCATCGGAATATTTTCCTAGATAAACAAGACTTGGAAAGTCATTTACTGTTTTTTCGGTTAATTTCATATAAATTGTGTAAACTGATCACAAAACACGAAATTCACACTTAAATACAATTCGCCGTTCTGAAATCTCATCATCTTTTTCTCGACGATGTGCAATGATCAACAAACATATGCTATTCGATACATCTACGCCAAGGTTAATTATACATTTTATCACCAAGACCATATTGCTTCTTTTCTCGTCTTCTTCTTCTTCTTCAGCGATCTGCATGGCGCGTATCTTTCGTCGTCTTCTGTGCGGTTTTTTATGTACATCCTTGATTTTTCTACATATGGCATGACAAGGTCGTTCTGTTTTTTTTTTCTTCATCCATGTATCGACGACCAATATGTTGTCAAAAACGCAGAGAAAAAAAAGGTGTTGCCTGTTCAGACGGCGGTCGTCGGAGTGCAAACGAGAAGAAAAAGAAAAACCGCAGCAAGTTACTAAGTTAGTATTACATAAGAATACATGCATGGTACAACGTCAGCTTGTGCAATCGTCGGATAGGTCATTGGCGAAAGAACACAAATACAAAAATCACGCCCGAATTCCCTTTTTTTTTTCTCTTCCTTCTTTTCATACATCGGTCATACGGTCGTTCAATACCTTCAAACAACCAGTTACTGTTTGAAATGAAAAGTAAATTTTCGCTCGATTCTAGATTTATTTTGTAACTTACCTTAGACTATAAACCATGCAACGTATGAATTTTGAATCTATGCCCGATGAGATTTTCTTAGAAATCTTCGATTATGTATCCGGTTGTGATTTGATATACTCATTTTATAATTTAAATCAACGTTTCAACTCGATTATATATGGTATTCGTCTCTTTCTTGATCTATCATCTGTCCAGCAAAAAGCTTTTCTTTATACTTGTCACAATATTTTACCGAACTTTTCTTCTCAAATATATTCGATGAAATTATCGAATAAACAGACAATTGATGGAATTAATTATTACATCGAACAAAGCAAATGTCTTCAACAGGAACAAGTGAAAGTTTTAGTTTTAATCGAACCCACAATCGAACAATTTATCAAATTGATTTCATATTTTCCTTCGATCAAAACTTTAGTAGTGAAAACAACAGATTATTTAGTTTTACCAGTTGAATATCTCGCCAAGTCTTTACGTGTATGTCGCATAGGCAATTGTCAAATCGATTTATCAGCATTGAATCAAAGCGACAGTTCGAGCTATTCGATTGAAGATTTACATGTGAAAATGTCGGACATCAAACATCTTTTTACGCTTTTAAATTCAATGATCTATTTAAGACGTTTGACATGTCATATATCTGAAAATTCTTCGAGTCAAAACACAATTCTTCGATCTGACAAACCACTGATGTTTTTGAATTATCTCAAACTCAATGTTTCTTCAGTTGCGTTTAAATACATTGAAAATCTTCTCGATGTATGCCCGAATCTAACAGCTTTGACTTATACCTACGCGACCGGTACAGAACCATCGCATGATAACGAAAATACCGATTATGACCGTTGGAACGAGATTTTCACGAAGAAATTACTTCGCCTGAAAACATTTGACCTGCATATTTCGTTGAATATCGATCAGCAACGTGATTTAATATTTCTGACGAAAAAATTTCAAGATCTCACTTTTTTCCAACAAAATCATATTCGAATTATCTATGAAATCACCTCATACAAACACATCATCTGTACAATCCCATTAATCAAATCGCATTTAACAAATTATTTGAATAAATCATCCTTAACGAATATTCCGAATGCTTATTCGCGTATTCGTCACTTCGATTTAGTTCTAAACGAAACAATTCTCAATCAACAACAACACACAATACGATGTCCACTCGTTCATTCGTTCTATTTAGGTCTATATGAAAATATTGCCCCGATCGAGCAACAATCACGTCTACTTTTGAATCAATCGATTTCATTTGTTTATCTAAAACATTTTGAACTGTATGGAACATGTATAGCAGATGGTTTTGTCGCTCAACTCTTATCCAAAATGACAAATTTAAATTCTCTAACATTGCCGTTGAGTCATTTGATGTCCTGTCAAATTAACGAGACAATTTGTCAAAATATGAAACGTATTAAACGCTTACAATTGGCTTTAACTGAAAGTTTATCATTCGATTGTATTAACAACATTCTCATCCCAAGTTTTCCCAATTTAAATTCAATGAGTTTCGCGATTGATAATAAAAATCATTCGTTTGAGAAGATTCTTCTAACCATGCTTGGCAAATGTGATAACGAGAAGAATTATTTAAAATATTTGATGTTTTTAGAAATTTTCGCGTTGGATCAAGATTGGAATCCAAATCTTTTGAAATCATTGGAAGAATTTATTCGGTATAAAGATAATTATCGGTTTCTCTACATTTGGTTGTAATTGGATTTCGACATAGTTTGAGCTTTCAAATTCAATTTGCTTTTTCTTATTCAAATAAACATAGGTTGATTTGCAATCGACTTTTATCATTGTTGGACTCGATCTCGAGGCGTATTCATTAAGAGACGTTGCTTTTGCATAAATAAGATATACAATAACGAACTATAGACAAAGTCAATAAACATCCTTGTGTCAATAGGGTGAATAATGAAAACAGAAATAAAATGACCCAATTTTCCCCGAAACATTTACAAAGAGTAATTAGAGAATAGCATTTGATAATTGTTTATGTTTTCGGATAGATTTTCTAAATGATGTTTGTAAATCTATAGATATTTTAGATTGTAATCGAATACTCAGAATGAAATATTCTACGCTCTAGAAAACACCAGAATGATTCATATATTATGATTTATTGGCCTGTCAACCGATACGTCATGTAACATTAGTGAATACGGTTTACCTGTATCACATCCAAAGGTGTTTTTTCATTCGATTGACTCTCCGAAAGACATTTCAAGCTACTAGAACAAAATCCAGCGAATTTTGTCCTTGAGTTCTAAACAAACTTCTGTTACATATAGAGAATGTTTGCATATTCAAGCATCGAAGATTGATAAGAAATGAATATTTCCTTTCTCTTCGAACGGAAATATTACTGACTTTTCTCTACTCTCGATTGTCTATTCAGTTCGGTCTTGTTATGTCATATTCTGATTAATAATACATTTTATCTGTCACATTCGAAGTCTATTCACAACAATGAAAAATAGGAATTACTTTTGAAATATGTATACAAAAGATTAAAATGTTATCTATTCTTTTATCAGAATGTAATCCATTAGTGCCTTCGTCGATCGAAAACGTTATATTAGTTGTTGTAACAATATTGACACACTTTGTATTTTCGCTATCGTACTGCGACATAAAAGTCGATAGTACATTCGAATAATATTTTTTTTTCTTCTCTAAACTGAATATGATGACGATTATGTGTTTCTTTGTACATATAAAAGGAGGCGGCATAGTACTTTTTTTTTCAGACATATTTCAAAAGAGAGAACATGGTCAATATTCGCGTTATTACTTGCGTTTTTCTTGTATTAGTTATGTTAACTTGTGTTTCTGCTCGCGCTCGACATCGGGATGGACTGAGAAATTATGAGAAAAGGTAAATCATGTGTGCCATTCATTCATTCGTTTGTTAATTTGATTCTGTTTAGACTTTTTTCGTCGTGTGCTGATCTTGGGGCTTCGTGTTCAGATGGCGTGTTCGGTAAAAATTGCTGTAGCAAATATAACTGTCATGCTAATACAAAAAAATGCGTGAAATCACCAGGATCATGGCTTGGTGATCGCAACGGCAAATAAACTTATCTATCGACTATTTTTTTCGACAAAATAAATTTTCTCTCGATAACATATAAAACTACACCCTTTTGAGTTTGTGGAACAGAAAGGTACAAAGCATATACGAATGTTCCTTCCGAATGTCAGCGACATCTAACAAGCGAGCTTTTTCCGCTTTAGAAAATGTATTCATTCATCTGTAGCGCTACATGACACGCGATTATACAAATGTAAAGTGGCACTGTTGCGAGAAGGTTCCGCTTTGTGAAAGTTATTTCATCAAAAGCAATTGATTTGTTCATTTATTTTATCATAAGTCAGATTAGTCACTGTACTCAGCACCAGAGCTTTCATAAGTTAAGCTGTTATTTCTTTCAAATGTCGTCATTCGTTATTTTGACTTTCTTTTAGATATACATTATTTCCCAAATTATGAGTATCGAAGAACAAGCTCCGATGACTGAGCAACTGTCGAAGACAACATCGAATCTGGATCAAGAATCATTACTGGCACTTGTTTCCGTACGCCCTCCTACTCCAGATAAATGTGCAGTATGCTTAAACAACAAACAAAATGACATTATCGCTCGCATAGATTCATGTTCACATACGTTTTGTTTTCCTTGTGTATTGGAATGGTCTAAAGTACGCGCAATATGTCCTTTATGCAAACAACCGTTCACCGTGATCACACGGGAACGTTATTCCGGTGAACTTATCGAAGAAATCCGTGTACAAACAACGCAACGCTCGTCAGCACCACCGATTCGCTCATTCAGTAATCTGAATGATGTTCTCAATTGGATCGATCACAATCACACACGTTCGAATGATTTGGATACACACAATCGGAATGATATTTTTCGACAAATGGTTTATATCGAATGGTTAAATACGGTGCAATCAGTTGTTCGTCGACCAAAGTAAGTTAGACTGAATAAGAAACACTTGTTTATTCACTGATTTTTTTTCCTTTGAACTTTTTAGTGTCAATGCTCAAAACTCAAATTTAGCATCAATAAATCGTACAACGAATGCATTAACAACGGCATCATGGTCGAATCTAATCCCATTAGACTCAATTCGTCATCTGCTTAACCGTTACTTACGTCAAACAACATCGGAGCTACGCGAATCAACGATTTATTCACAATCAACGCGTCAAACAGTTGCATTTCGTAAATATATTTATTTGAATCGATTATATGTGAACAGTCCGTTGGTGGGACACAATCGTGCTACTCTCACTGTACGGGAATGTTCGCCAACATGGTACGCATCCAATCCTGCGTGTCTCCATCGACTTGTTCCATTCTTAGCAAGAGAACTATTCGCTTTATTATGGAATGACGAAGCCACTATTGAAGTTATCATTCAAGAGATTCTAACAGCCATTCAAACCCATGAAATACGCTCAAGTTTTCTCACGCGAAAACTAAATACATATCTTCGACGTTATACCAAACATTTTATACATGAGTTTTACACATTTGCTCGCTGTCCTTATGACTTAGCTGGGTTTGATCGTCATGCTCAATATCCAGCAATGAATACAGCGCCGGTTGCCAGACCGCCAATACAAATTTCATTGGATGACGATCATGATGATGGAAATGAACAAACACCAATTGTACTCGATGAAAATTCCGACATGTCAATTGATTTGGTAAGTTTTTCTATCATTGATCAAAGAATTAAACTCTAACGCTTTTCTCTTTCTGAATTTTTAGTCTGATAGTACATCACATTCATCTGAATCATCGTTATCAACGATGACGATAGAATCCGAACGGCAATCGACATCATCAGAATGTGAAATAGTGGAATATGTGGAGCCAACACGTGAACGAACTCCGACTTTAATTGTTTTGTCTGAAGATGAAGATCATGTAGATAATCCTGATACTGTACAGAGTCACGCAGCAGCATCTACAAAACGAAAACATCGCCATCATCGCCATTCTCACAAAAGATCTCGACAGCAACAATTAACAACTTCAGGTACTTATCTAATACCTATCCACTAAGACTTATTCTCATATTATCATCTAGTCGCCGATCCAACTTCTCCAATTAGTGTCATTTTGGATGATGACGATGATAATGACGAAGATTCACAACAAGATATTTCTAACCAAGAACAATTACAACAACAGCAACAAGAGGACAATGATTGCTAACCAAATAATTACACTTTTATATAGATTCTATTAAATATATCGATTTCTAATTTTCCTTCTCTTTCTCTTATGTATTGTTCTGACTTTGTCATAGAAATATATGTGTATGTATCTAATGATAGTCACAAGCATTTGAAGAATATCTAACTCTACAACACAGCTGCTTCTGTTTTCTTTTCAAACGACATGGTCTATGAAATAAATGTATTCAATCGACATCCCTACTCTATGTTTTGTAATAGAAACAAATATGACTTCAAGCGAAAATACTTTAGAATGAAAGTCAGCAGAGTAGCACATGGATTGTATCATGACTGATGAAATCTTGTTCGTATGAATTGATTTACGATAAGTGTCGAAATTGTGTTTCGTAATAGTAGATTGTTATTGATTTTATAATAAAAAATGTTTCTTTTTCAAATCAAACTACGCATCATTGATTTATGACAGATGGTACATATTCTTGGAAATCCGAGAACTTATTGTCAGACTAACCCAGTCATCGTCACAACGAATGGCACATATTTTCTTCTATCTGTCTGAATCTGTTGACAAACTAAATCTCTTAGTGAGTAGTGAAAATCAAAATTGATTTAAAAGATTATTGCTTTGCTTTGGTGTCGGTGGAATTAAACGTAACTCAATCGTATGCATGTCTTCATATACTGTATGATATAATGTTGAATAATCTCGATTTGAACTTATTGGCCGATAAGAAATATTTGATTTATTTATTTTGAAAATAACTTCATTAGAATCTTAAGCTGGTTATCATCGATGTCTTTTTCTCTTGTTCTTTTATCATGATTATGATAAAATCGACATGTTTGCTTTTGCTCTTTCGACGACTTACAGGTATTTGCTGTCATTGTTTTCTTTTTACAAAAGACTTACAGTCAATATGACGGAATGTCTTCCTATGCAAAATAGAAATGGATATGTAAGAGAATTTAGTAGTACTACGAACGATTGATATCCTATGTTATTTTCCTAGGAAAATGGTACTCTGTTGGCTTTAACAGCAAATTCATTGAATGAATTCTCAAAGAATTCGCGAAAGTTTAACATTTTTATCGATAGAGACGAACAGGAATTTCGACGGTATTTATTCGAAGAATTATTACCGCATGTAATTATAAAAATAATCGGTACGAATAATGAACAAACGAGACATTCTTTAAGAGCGTCAATTCAGAATATATTCAAACAAATTATGAGCAATCTAATGGAGCAAACAAGTAAACAATCTGATCTAATCTATGACTAAATTTTCATGTCCATTGCGCAGATATTTGGCTTCTCAATGGAACTTGTGAAATGCTCGACTTAGAAGATGAATTTGAAGGCGATAGAAAATTATTTGAAAATAATCCAAACATTCTTATATGCAAAGTAAGTATCGTCAAAAGAAGATAGAGAGAATTTTCGTCTATACTTTTAGAGAGTTGGTAAATCTCAATTATTGATGTATCATCCTCAAGCATATGACTTAATTGAGAGTATTCTCACTCAAATACAACACCAACAGACAACTTCTCACATTCCGATAATTTCTTTACTTCTCCAAGGTAAATTCCATCGCATCGATTTATCTTGAATTAGATATATTTCGATACGCTCAGGTGATAGATCATCTGTGGAAAATATCATTGATAACACGTCTAAACGTATTCCGACCATAATCTTAAAAGTAATACCGGAATACATGGAATTAGATTTATATACTATTTCGAATTATTCGTTTATGAAAGGGTACGGGAATAATCGCTAATCAAATAGCAATGGTGTATGAACCAACGAAAAGTGGATTTCAAAGTTTTCTTGATGATATACCGACTGAACAGATCGTGCCAAACGAAGATCTTCGTCGACTGACTTATATGAATCAGAATGTACGAAATGCGATCTTTGTTTGTCAACCTGGTCGAGATGAACTCGATGAAAGCATTCTTCGAGCTGTTAACATTGGTCTGTAATTCGTCAGAGTTCTGTAATCATCTATTGTAAATATGCTTTTTAGCTATCGAAATTATTGATCCATCTCATGCTCAAGTTCGAAAATTGAGTTTCGCTTTACGATGGAATAAAATTCATTATACTCAAATAAATATTCTTAATCAAAATACAATTATTCATTGGATAGTCAGTTATTTCTCTTTCATAATGATTTGTATTCATTGGTAATGAATTAGAATGATGAACTGGATCAATGTTTGGAATTTGCGATTATTTCCAATGCTGTTTCGTTTGTTGAGCTGCTATTCGAGTATGGAGCATCTCTGCAACGTTTAGCATCTATGAGTGACGCAGAACTTTTCAAAATTAACGTAAAGTGATCAAAGATATACCTTCATCTAATCGTTTTTATTTATTCTTTAGCCTGATCGACGAAGTAAGAAGGGCAAATTTGCAATTCTGTTTTATATTGCATACTTTTCATTTGGATATAAAACAGATAGCCAAGTGATCGAGATGATCATTGAAACAGTTCCTGTTCTGACCCAACTGGATACAGATAGACGAGTAAAAGGTGAGTAATATAACAATCCTTCTTCTCTTTAAATTGTTTGTATTTAGCATATCTCCGTCGATTGTTCTATTGGGCTATAGAGAATCAATATTTTGAATTGACGATGAGTATCTGTACACGATTAGAAGTATAGAAAGTTAACTTTCAAGTAAAAATTTATCTTCATTTCTCTTTTGTTCCAAGGATTCCACTATTGCTATGCTACTTGTTAGTCAATGGTGTCAATTGAAAGTGCAAAACGATTATACAACGTCAGAAACCTATCGAATACATCAACGGTAATTACAAGTTCACTCTTCTTGTCACTAATTTTTGCTGATTTCGAATGTTTTCATTAAAGACAATTTGAAATGTATGCTGCAGATATTCTCGACCTTTATTTTACTGATAATGAAGAGAAAACAATGAAATTTTTAAACGAAAAGTCGATTCTATATCCCGACCAACAAGCAGCGGCCCTCATTGATGATCTCTGCTCTAAAACATTAGTATCGTCCAACTGTATGCAATCTTACATGAACAAAATCTGGTATGGAAACGAATTTCATCAGAACAAGAACTTTACCTGGGAGATACTGGTAATTTCAGAAGATTTCGTTACATAATGTAATGTGTTTCTACTTTGAAGATCTGTTTGGTATGTTTGTGTCCAGTGCTATTGTTTCTTCCTGTTGTATGTCGGCGAATATTTCGAGAAACTAAAATAAGTGAACTGAATGATGGTGATTCTCAGCGACGAATAGCAAGTCCATTCGAACGGTTCTACCGGTTTTATCAAGGAAATGCAGTTATTCGATTTCATTATAACATGGTGCGTATTTGTTCGTATTGAAAAGAGGTTGACTAATTTTAAATGATTTTTTAGGCATCGTATACAGCATTTTTGATATTGTTCAGCTATACAATTCTATTTGATTATTTCCCGTTAAATATTTACAAAGAAAGACGTTCGGGTATTCCTGGATTACCTATTCCAATAACTGAGATCATTTTACATGTATTTCTTGCATCGATTGCGTTGGAAGAGATTCGGCAAGTAAGAATTTATGTATTTCTGCATATATAGATCCATTCTTGTCTGTTGAGGTTTATCTGCATGTCAAATCTGTATTAGTTAAAGCTCCTTACTGGAAAAAACTGGCGGGAAGAAATCGGCATCGAAACACGATTTGGTCTTTCTATCGCAATGATCCATGGAATGTCTTAGATTTCGTTGCGTTCACATTATGGTTCATAGGTTTTATTACACGTTTTATCGTTCGAGATCACGCTTTTGAACTCTCAAAGTATGCCAATGAATTCGACTGGTTTTACACAGAGCGATAGTCATTGGTTTGTCTTCTAGGATTTGTATGAGTGTTGATTTATGTTTATGGTATATGCGATGTTTACATGTGTTTCTTGCTTCGGAGAGACTAGGACCGAAATTGTTGATGATATTTCATACGGTACGAACGATTGATTGTTTGTGATTCGAAAAAGACGAATGTGAATATTTTAAATTTAGATGAAAGATTTAATGTCATTTTTGTTTTTTATTCTGATTTTTCTCTGTGCATATGCAATAACTACGTATTCATTGATATCGACGTCTTCATTCGTCATCTGGTCGAATGCAACACACTTTACAACTATACAAGATGGAGGAAATCAGACTAATTTTGATATCCTTCGTAATATTATTGAATGGGGTACATGGAAAATATTCGGAAGTACGAGTTTAACTACAAGCGATCTCGTTGAAATCAAATACTCAGGTTTGAACAAAGAAATCGCTCTTATCATTCAGTATATCATTATATGTTCTAGCAAATAATGATGCATATGGCTTTGTAACATTAATATTAACTATAACGTTTTTGATTATTGCTTATGTGCTTCTTTTGAATAATCTTATTGCTTTGTTCAAGTATGTAAAAGTGTGATTGCAGAAGCAGAAGATAAGTCTATTGAATCGTTTAGTTTTACAATTCAACGTGTTCATGGGGAATCACACCGTGCATGGTGTTATCACTTTTATGTAGTTTTAAGAGAATATGAAGAGAAGGATTTCTTTGTACCACCATTTAATTTATTGCTTTGGCCAATAAGTTATTATTGCCGTAAAAGTAAATAGTTTCTCTATGTTATTTCAATTCGTTGCCTTTTTCTCCGTAGAAATTGAACGTGATGAAAAGAAACGAAATGAGTCTGTGATTGTAAATGAAAGTCTCGATGTAAAACGCAATCGAAAGTATCAACAGAGAATAGCTGAGCAATACTGGAAGGAGAAACAACGATGTGTAAATGGTTTGAGTAAGTTCATATCGATTCGAATGAGTCAAGTAAAGCACGATTCCGTATTTTAGTCAACGAACGACCATATATATGTCGACAGTGTAAATGTCGAGGTACTGAAGCTGATTATATCGAATCAACACTTTTGTAAAACAAAAAATTGATAATGACTAAATAAAAATAAACTTAACTTCTTCCAATGTACTTTTCATTCGGTCAAAGGAGATCTTTCATAAGTTGTTTGTTAGTTCGAACGTTCTGTTATCAGTTACTCACCTGAAAGGTAAGAGTACTCATGAAAACATAAACAAGAAACTCTGCTAACTGCAAGGAATAAATTACTTATCTCGATCTAGTTACGTATAGTTTGTCTATGGACATAACTGAGCATCTTTTGATAAATTATACTTTTCATTTCGAAGTCAACCGGTTCGATATGGACTTTTATTTACTAATATCATCATTTTACTCAAAAACTCTTCTCATACGATTTCACTTGTAACTTAGAAAATTTCTTTTTTTTTTATTTTCACGTGACTGATATATATATATATATGTCGAATAAAACAAAACAAAATTTCGTTTACGTTTTTCTACTGTGATACCTTATCATTGTTTATGCATTCTCTTTCATGTTACTTCTTACTTCATCATCATTTCGAAGCATTAACAATATCATCTAACTACATATCAGCATACTCAGGTAGTGTTAACAACGACATTATGAGTGACGAACGAGAAGGAACCGATTCAATAGACTCCGCTGAACCTCAGACTGAAAATCTTTCATCCGATTCTACTATAAATCCTACCGATGAAGAGAATCAGTTTATATATGACGAAGATTCGGAACGACTTACTTGTGTTGGTTCAACTTTTGATGATATTCCTCAAAGTATAATTGATGCATATGCGAGTAGAGCCAAAGTAAAAGAAAATTTGCTTTTGATTCCTCATCGTCGTGATCTTCTCGTTTAGATTCTTGATTTAAGTAAAAACCATTTTCGATCGCTTGGTTGTGTAAAGCATTTTCCAAACCTCGAAGAACTTATTCTCGACGACAATCAACTCGATGATGTCCATACACGATTTCCTAAATTACCAAACCTGCAAACGTTGACGTTGAATAAAAATCTTTTCCAAGATATTTACAAACTAGTTGATCAATTACGTCAAGCATATCCAACGTTGATCTATCTATCCTTATTAGGAAATGAAGCTTGTCCATACCGTATCAGTTCTGTGTCTTCAAATGGCGCTGATCTCAGTCCATTTGCGCAAGGTCGTTTAGAAGAAGAATACCAACGATATCGACATTTGTTGATATTTCGTATCCCAACGTTGAAGTTTCTCGATGCACGTGACATCAATGCAAATGAGCGGCGAATCGCCACACAGTTAGGCGATATATTATATTCGATAGCTGAGACGAAACAGTCACAGTCAAATGCTGATGATGACGATCAAAAGTCGTCGAAAAAGGACCTTTACTCACCATTACCATCAGCGACAAACCAAAGCCAAACTCGAACACTGTTTGGAAAAGTTCGGCATACTTATAATGGAGAAGGCAGCCAAGGAAACAAGTTTTTACGAGATGTTGATCTATAAAATCACTGCGTTGACAAGCGACTCTTTTCTTTCCATCTTTGTATAAAATGTCATTTGTTGAAGTTTGAATAAAATATATGTTCCTTTGATTTTATCGAATATTCTTTCGTTCCTTTTCTCATTTTATATAAATACAGTCAATTTTTCCTGCCATCTACCGTCGACGACACTATTTGTCCATCAACCAGCAGTCATTATTTCTTGTATGTTTTTACCATTCATTCATCTTAATTTATTTATTCCGAGTTTTTTCTTGTGACTCAAAATTATCATGACTGAGCAAAATGGTCTTCATTCGAAATCAAATGGCGATCATAAAGATGAATATTTATTCAACAAGAATCAACTCCAATCGGTATTCAAAGAATATTCATTAAAAGATCCTAAACTTGTCGATAATATCTACGACAAAAAGTATCTTCTTCGACCATTAGCTCTCTCTGATTTCCATCATGGTTTCGTTGATTTGCTTCGGCAATTAACTGAATGTGGTACAATCACTTACAATGATTATTTGAAACGTTTTCAACAAATGAAACAATGTCCGAACACGTACTACGTCCTCGTTATCGAAGATCTTACTTCCGATCAGCAGATCGTTGGTACCACAACACTTGTTTGCGAAAAGAAATTCATTAGACAACTAGGTGTGCGCGGTCGCGTGGAAGATGTGGTTGTACACGATCGCTGTCGTGGACAACAACTTGGTAAACTAATGGTCGATCTATTAACACAATTTGCACGCGATGTGTGTGATTGTTATAAAATCTCCTTAGAATGCAAAGATCATCTAGTGACTTTCTATCAACAATTTGGTTATGATCATGAAGATAAACAAAATTTCTTGTGTCAACGTTTTAAAACCTTGTCAACTAATCAACGCGAAGCACTCGAATGAATCTCTTCTGTTATTCTCCTTTTTTCCCGCAAATGAACTCTTCTGTTTCTTTTTTTTTTTGATCTTTTTATTTAAACCGGTGTATTGTATACTTTCTCTTTTCTTATCAGCTCGGTGAATCTCATATGGGATTTCATTTCGGAATATATACAGTGATGATATGGGATCGAAAGTTTAATTCAACAACAGGTCATTTTGTAGATTTTCCAAAGAGAGATCATGCGATATTTACAAATTCGACGGACGCTCTACAGTCTCACTGGCAAATGGGTACATATCACTTGAATAAAACTATCGATAGTGAAGTTCACGATTCTTTCAGAATCGATTTTAAGAAGTACCCCCAATGTCGAATTTCTTTTTTAGCCGAAAACTTCAGCAATAGAGCGTACCAAAGAAATCGAACGGCATTGGATACCTAAACTATTAGATGAACATGAAAAATATGAAATAGATCCAGTGAGATAATCATTTCTACATTAGATTTTCTTCTAATGGGTATTCTATCCTTTCAAGGAGAATAACAACAAAGAAAAGATGTATGTTTTACCAATGTTTCCTTATCCATCCGGTCGTTTGCACATGGGACATGTTCGAGTGTATACATTGAGTGATACACTAGCACGTTATTATCGACTGCGTGGTCATCGAGTAAGCTTATTTTTCGATTAATTGAAGTCAATTTGTTTTGTATGATAAACATCAATTAGGTTATTCATTGTATGGGCTGGGATGCATTTGGTTTACCAGCTGAAAATGCAGCTTTTGAACGGTCTGAAGAACCGATTGAATGGACGAAAAAGTAAATTGTTTTTTTGATGAAATAAAAAAAACATGAGATATAATTTAATATTCATTTCCTTTAAAGAAATATTGCTTATATGAAACAACAAATCAAACAACTCGCGTGCAGTTTTGATTGGAAACGAGCAAGTGAATTCCTCTTCTTCTCATTCAAGTCTTCTCGAATGATAAACATATTTAGGAGTTAGCAACATGCGATCCAAATTATTATAAATGGACGCAATACATTTTTCTCATGTTATATCGTGAAGGATTAGTTTATCAAAAGAAAGTATGCAAGGAATTCGTATGAATTTGATTTAAGTGTTCTGCTAGGCTGCTGTTAATTGGGATCCGGTTGATCAAACTGTTCTTGCTGATGAGCAAATCGATGAAGCCGGTCGATCATGGCGGTCGGGTTCGATCGTGGAAAAGAAATTCTTGAAGCAATGGTTCATTCGCACACGCGCGTTTACACAGGTAAAGCATCCTACGGATTTTAATAATAGATAGACAATGTGCCCAATTGAATATTTGCGTATTTTTCATACGCAATGTTAGTCGTGCAAGCACTGCTTGTTATTTACTTAAAGGATCAGAATCACTATTTTATTCCACCCACTTGTGTGTATTTGTGATGCGAATAGATTAGTTTTCCCCTCGGTGACGTGTATGAATGCGTTTATTTTCTTGTTTTGCAATCAGTTTCTATTTTCTTCATCATTCTTATCTACGAGAAAATGAAGGCAAGAATATCTTGGCTTCTTTTTGTATTGATAAGTCTTGTACTTAACAAAACAATTGGTGTACAGACAGCATTTTATTCAACGAAAACACCCTATAAGCCGCCCTCGGCGGCTTTGGATTTACCGCCACCACCGCCCGAATATGACTTAGTATGCGCACAGATCTTTACTCGACATGGTTCACGGGCATTGGAAGGTCGGAAATATGACACGCTGACGAAAGCACTATGGATTCAAGCAAAGGAAGAAAATGCGTTAACAGAACTCGGTCGACAATTCGGAAACGATTTGCAATATTTTGTTGATGTCAACGATCAAATTGGGTTTGTATTTCGGAATTTGCTATACAATCATTTTTTTAACTTGTTACATTCTTTTTTATAGACGTGGCGAACTATCTGAACTGGGTAAACACGAACAGCAAGGTCTTGCACATCGCGTAGCAGAACGTCTTCTACCACTATTTATCAAGAGTCTACTACGCAACGAATCGAAAAGTATTCAAGTTGTTAGTAGTAACAAGTCACGGACCAAAGCAAGCCTACGAGCATTTGTTGAAGGTTTACCACCAAGTGTTGTTCGTCTTGTTGATCATCAACCACCGAATCCATCGTTACTTTTCTTCCATGACAATGCGAGATATCAAACATATTTAAAAAATGATAGACGGTTGAAAAATAAATTAAAATCTATCGAAAGACAATCTTACTCAAAACAAATGGCTCGAGATATTCTGGAGCAACTCTATCGACCATCATTTATCGATAAGCTTGTAGATAAACAATACTGTTTAACGGATCATGAATCTGACAGATCAATAAGAAATGAATTCGATGCTGTACGCATGCTTCATGCTCTTTATTTGATTGGCTCGAACTTAGAACAAGAAGGTGTTGGATGTTTGTTCGAAAAATACTTTTCGAAAAATCAATCAGCTTGGTATGCTTACTTACAAGATGCTAAAGTAAAGAAGATCTGCAGACCATCTCGATATATTTCTACTCAAATCTCTATTCCAGGATTACTATGAGAAAGGACCGGGATTTCTCAATCAAACAATAACTTATGATATGGCACAAATCTTACTTGATGAATTTCTCGTCGATTCAGATGAATGTTCGCAGATAGATGCGAAGCATTTTCTTCGCGTACGTTTCGGACACGCTGAAGGCATTATTCCATTCATCGCTCTACTGAAAATACCCATTCTGAGCGACAAACAAACACCACCTAAAGAAATATACACCTATGCGAACAATGGATGGCGTGGTGAAATTATTTCACCAATGTCAGCAAATATTCAATGGGAAATATTTCGATATCATCCTCGTCATCATGGTAGAAATTCTCGTCCTGAAGATGAAAAAATTCTCGTTCGAATGTTGCTAAATGAGTACGTTGTTCCATTCAAATATGAATGTGAACCATATGATACAGAATACGTGTTTTTCTATACACTGAATGAACTGAAACGATGTTATAGTATAACTAATAGTTAGATGTGGGTTTTCTTAATTCGTATAGGTGTGTCTATGTGCGTGTTATGTTGTAAAAATATACGATCTAGTGTTGTTTTCTTGTTTGTTTTGTTACTAGTCCCTCGTTGACAATCTTGACACATTAGACAAAGATGATTGGCAAACCTTGATTAATATTCAGCGCATGTGGATGGGAGATTGTAATGGAGTAAATATTCAGTTTAAATTAAAGGTACGATGCAAATAAATAACACTAATGCATTCGTAGAATTCTTGGAAATATATCTGTATACATTAGATTCCAACGAATGAATTTGATTTTCTCGAAACATTTACAACCAAACCAGAGACATTATTAAATGTTACACACCTCTACATACGAAGCAATCATAAATTAGCTCGAGCAGACCTAATTGAAGTAAGACTTATACTTCTTCTGAGTAGTGTTTTTGTCGATATACTTTTTATCTTTTTTAGGAAACAAAGGCAGGTGCTAAACGTTTACGTACGGATGCGGTTCATCCACTGACCGGACAACCATTACCGATATTTATAAATGACGATGCAGATTTTGGTCCAAAAATACGTGCGAATATGTCTATGCTAAATGTTCAGATAGGTGAAAGAAAGCAGAAGATTTTGTAACCGATTAAGACAATCGAATTTTTCTTTGCTAGGCACACCTTCGACTAATCCGTTCGATGAAGCTTTTGCACGTCAACATAATATCTCAACAATCCTCGACTCATCAGCGCCTGGACAGACGATGGATGTTGAAACATTGATGGCAGAACTGCGATCGCGTGGCTTAGGTGGTTATCGTACATCTGGTAAACTTAATGATTGGTGTATTTCACGACAACGTTATTGGGGTACACCCATACCAATGATTCATTGTAAAAATTGTGGAGTAAATAAGATCCTGTTTTATCTCTGTATATGAAAAGTTCGAAATTCGATTAAGGTTGTTCCAGTTCCAGAAAATGAACTACCTGTTCAGTTACCACCTATAGAAAACATCAAATCTTCGTCCAGAACAGGCACTTCGCCGCTGGCAAATGCTCATGAATGGTTGAAAACACAATGTCCAAAGTAATCTTTTCTATTGGAAGAACAAAATGGGAACTATCTGCATTTCAGATGTGGAAATCAAGAAGCCAAACGTGAAACTGATACAATGGATACATTTGTTGATTCTTCGTGGTATTTTCTTCGTTACTTAGATAATGAAAACACAAAAAAGCCTTTCGAGCCAAATATTGTCAATCAATCGATGCCAGTCGATCTTTATATCGGTGGACTAGAGCATGGTAATTGAACATTGTAATCACACTCAAACCATATCTTTCTTTTTCTTTGTAATAGCTTTAACACATTTGTTTGTTGCTCGGTTTATTCAACATTTTATGTACTCAAAAGGTTTATGTACCTCTATTGAACCATTCAAACGATTTATTCCTATCGGTAAGAGGAGTTTCAATCATGTGCACATGAATTTAATAGTTATTAATCATTTATTGAAGGAATGGTTCAAGGTAAAACTTATAAGACATTGAGTGGTCAATACGTAAGAAAAGATCAGGTGTTAACAATTGATAAAGACACAACGGCTCATTCATTAACAAAAGAACCACTACAAATTAATTGGGAGAAAATGAGTAAATCCAAATATAATGGCATTGATCCTGAAGAGATTATTGACAAGTATGGTGTGGATTTCACTCGAATGCTAATGCTCAGTTTTGTACATCCAAGATCATTACGCAATTTCACACGTAAATATATTTCTTGCTAAAAATAGACGAAATTTGTTTGTATTTTGAAACATTCTTGAACAAAGGCTACATCAATAGTAGTCAACAGCGTGACCTGTTTGACTTTGTTTAGATGTAGTCACAGTCATGAATAACAATTAAAGACAGAAATGAAAATAACTGCGCTAGGTTATTTCGATAATTGACCTCTCTTGTTTCTCTAACAGAAGAGACTAAAACAATGTTTCATTCATGGAACGAAAGTGAAATTTTTGTTCGACTGTCATTGTCATAAATATCTGATATATAGTTTATACCGAAAAATGACCGTGTCTCATGATCATGAACTTTCCTCATGCTATGACCGTGACCAAATAAACTCTGTCCTACCAGCTCGGAGTTCATTGGAGATCCTTCATACTAACGAACTTAGAAGAACACCATTTCATCATTGATAAAACTATCCTCAAGGTTATGAGATATAAAAAAAACTAAGATGTGTTTGTTTTTAGTGGAAGATGGCATTGCGGAAGGTTTACAGAATTGGTTTAAACTTTTCACATATCTCTATGTTGATTTAATCGAACCACGAACAAAATCGGATACAAAATCATCCATAAATCATGAAGAATTCCAGCAAATCGAAGCATCATTACGTGAACAACGGCTGCATACGATTTACACAGTTTCGTTCTATATCGACAGTTTTTTTAGTATCGCATCAGCCATCATTGAATTACAAAAGTTAACACGTCATCTCCGAGTACGAATCTTCATACTATTCATAGCCATGCATTGAATTTGTTTTTTTTTATTCGATTCTAGAAAGTGTCCGCAGACGTTAAAAAGCAATCAAAGGAATACTCTCAATCACTATGTGATCTACTAGTAATGATGGCACCCGTGATTCCGTGTTTATCATCTGAACTTTGGATTATATTACAAAAGCAAATGAAAACGAATATCGATGGTTACGATCTAGTAAAATCAATCTTAAGATAAAAACGAATGTTTGTTAAGAATGTCTATTTTTAGACTAAAAGTCTATTCGAACAAAAGTTTCCAACATTACCTGTTGATTATCCTGGCAAGATCAATGCTCTAGTAAGATGTTTATGAGTTTCTCCGTAAAATTCAATAGAAGAAAATTCGTGTTTAGTTCGAAACGACTGTTTTCTCATCGATGCCTATCTCTCGGTCACAACTGGCAACTATGACAACGGCAGATGTTCTTCAACATTTGATTGAGAATGACAAACAATCAGAAATGAAAGCATTTATCGCAAAAAACGGCTTGAAATTGGATCGTTCACGTAAATTAGGCGATTATTGTACAACATTGATCTATGAACGTGACCCAACGATTCCGTATGTAGAGCCAATAGAACCCATTGTTGAAAAGAAAAAGAATAAACCACCAAAGAAGAAACCTACTTCTTGATTTCATGTTAATGATCTTCTTTTTTTGAATAAAAAAAAAGCACGTAAAAACTTCTCCTTTATAGATATGAACACGAACGATGTGTCGATTCTTCTGGAAATTCTTGATTTAGAATACCTAAAACCAATCTTAATCGGTCGATTTCATACAATTAGTGATCTCGCTTTAGTTAATCTCAATGACATTGGAATACAAAATACAGAGGATTTGAATAAATTACGTTACGCTATTGATGAAATCCAACAAAAGAATCAGTCAATTGAACAATATGAACCAATCCTATCAATAAAAGATAGCGACCGTATTCTAACGCGTATTGAAAATGAAGGCAATCTAGTCATATCTAGTCTAAAATTACTGTTGAATAACAATGGAACGCCACCAAGAGATGATGGGACGTTTGATTTAGATTATAATTTATATCGTTCTCAAATCGATGAAATCGAAATGGATGTCAAATGTTTACAAGCAAATACAGATGAATTGCTCAAACAAATTCATCAACGATTTTCATCGATTCAAGCAAAACCAGATGAAATTGTGATCAAAAAGAATTCAAATCAATTGTTCAAAACAACTTGTGTTATTGCTACTCTTTCTGTTCTTTGTATTGGTCTAATGTTCTATATCAAACAAAAATAAATCGATCGTATTGTGCATAGGAATTAATGAATGCTATATGTATATCTTCCAAATGAACATACATTTTTATGTATATATATGCATAGAGAGAGAGAGAGAGAGAAAGAGACACACACACAGGGAGGTGAAAACGTGCCATGTGCACTTCATCTTATTTTGATTAAATGAGATTGTATTGAATTTAGATGTACGTGCGTTCAGAGATAAAATATCTAATGATCAACTGATAGACTCCGACGTGTGTCGACACATGTCAGGTATTAAAAATGACTAAGTATACAGTGTGATAATCATCAGCTCGGTTGCTCATCAAAATATATCACCTAGGAGAGCAAAGTTTTGTTCGCGGGAAGGATTTACTATCGAAACTCAGTGATTTGTCATATTTTATTTTATATTTATACGTCATGGAAGTTCAAGGTGAAGAGGATGAGAGTGATAGATACTAGAACGACACAATACCTATGCATTTTTGTCTAGGCCATTAATATGACAAAAAAAACGTGAAAGAAAGAGAAAAAAAGAACAAAATGATGATAAGGAAAAGAACAAATGCATATATTTGAGTAATGTAGTATACTTTCGATTTCTCTCTTTCTCTTCGTGTTCCTCTGTTCTTTCGCATCCACACTCTTAACATTCTCCAACTATTACTATTACTTCTACACAACCTATATAATATATGTACTGCAATGCAATAACCCTTTGACGATGTGAAGCAGCCGATGAGAGAGAGATAGTCAGACAATGAACAGTGAGAACACATGAGAGACAGAGAGAAGAAGAAAAGAAAGTCAGTCGGACAGTGCTTAGTTGAATATAATAGTACATAGTGCAGGACAGGAGCAACACAGAAGGGTAGAGAGGGAGGGGGGAAGAGACACATAGAGAGAAGAAAAGAAAATATAGTTCACTGTTCTACCTCAAACATACATTTATTTATAATGCATTCTTTGAAAATCAGACATTCTAATGGTATAAGTATAACTTTTTAAGGTAAAAACATGCAAAGTAAGTGAAGTATGGGACCTTTTTTAATGTTCCATCAAGGCTCTTTGGTCATCAATTTTTCTTTTAGGCTCAAACAATATGATTATTTGTTCTGATAGCAATGTATTGTCTTGTTCTTTCTGATAGACATCATCAACTAACGAGTCTGTTCTATCTTAACAAAAACAAAGTAGTTGCTAATGATGAATGAACAATATTTCTCGAAAGAACGTCAGTAAATTATTCTTATGACCATTCGTATACATAAAACAGACAAGATGATGATCAGTTAACCTTAATAATCTTAATAGTAATAGTTCATCTGTCACTTTCATTTCTATTCTGTATGTCATGCGTGAAGTGCTACTCACAGTATCATTTATAATGAATTTTCACACATGATGTTACCTCATACCTTTACTTACGTTTGTTCAATTATTTTACATATTTGAGTGCATTAGACGAACAAGTACGCAAGCAAACATTAGTGTAGACTTGTCTTCTACTAATTTTAGGCGTTCAATTTCTTTTTTTTTTCTTCTGCTTTTTAGATAAGAAGAAAAGTTTTTAAAAATATATATATATTCAATTAAAATCGAATCAAAATGTACCATCGGATGTACCTGCGTCGTTGTTCGATGTCAAGCATAAGTGAAGAATCCGAAACAGGTGATGATGATCTTCTGGACGAGGAATTTGTTATATGTGATGATAATACTAACGAACAAACAACTCATTCATCAACAAATTTATCCGTTGAGAATTGCCTTGGCGATCTGCATAGTTTCAAAAAAGTAAGTCCTTCTTTCTCTCTCTCTCTTTCTTTTGCTTCTTTCCCATTGACCGACCATCAAATTAGCTTTTCATTCAAGCACAAACATGTTTGCTTAATGACCTCAGTCAGCTTGCGCCTTGTAAAATTAGTATATGTCCTTTATACATAAGATCATTTCTCACCATTGCAAAATGACTAGGTATCTTTTTCTCTACGCGCATACACAGAGCGGCGTCACATTGTCACATTTGGATTTGATTAGAGCGGATGTGCGTTAGTAGGATGGTTGCGTATGTAACAGATTTATGAGTTCATTTTCCACTTGGCACCACTAGCGATACAAAACGGTATTCCGTTCTTTTTGTCGGCTTATCAACATAATGACTCGAAATGTCTTCGCGCCATTATTCTCCCTTTCGCTGAGCATAATGTGACCGTAGGGATCAAACTCTAAACGGAAGTTATTTTGTTCCACATCTGCGTTAGTACTAGAAGAAAGATAAACGTTTATTGTTATGTATGGGGACTAATTTTTTTTCATCTGTTTGCCTAATAGGAAATCCGAGAAGCATACGTCGAACTCTCTACATTGGAACGACAAGCTCAGAATACAACATCAACATCACCAGCAATGTTCACGATGGAAAAAGGTAGACAATCACTGTTTATTTTCATAAATTAATTATTAATCAATAGACAATAGCGAAGTACTGATTGATCATTGCACAATGTATCACTTGAGGAAGAGCGAAGGAGGATGTATCTGGACAGTAAACATTCATACATAAGCGAGGAGATTATTGGAGAGTGGTGCTCAACAGAGAAGAAGAAGAAGATTTGTTTATTGTTAAACTCAATCGAAGACAGTTCTTTTGATACATAAAAAAACGCAAATAATTTAGTTTCTTCACAATCGGAATGTCTTTGATTGAAGTCTGAATATGATTAAAAGAATTTACATTTATCGGCGACAGCCGTCATCGTTTTGAACATATGTATATACATACATGTGCATGCAAACAAATCCAGGTCGCGATTTGATTGATCGGATAAGCAAGTATTTGAACACGAACAAAAGAGTTTTATTCTCAGGCATCACTTGAAAATGCTGATGAGAAAAAAGAACAAGATGAAGAAAGAGAGCTTCTTAGACAGATTGAATTGAAGTATATAGTCAAAAGAAATCAATCAATAATCGACGAGACAAAACTCAAATGAAAATCAATTGACAATCCTTTTGTTATGTGTTTTTTTTTTCGTTTTTTTCTTATAGAAGATGATCTTGACATATTACTTGAACAACTTCACACACTTGAACAACGATTAGATCAACCAAAAATGTTTCGTCATGAATCTAATTATCGTTGTAAAAAATCAATTTCACCGACCATTGTTGCACAATTTGATGAACTTGATCAAGCACTTGCAACATTAACAAGTACTTTGAATAATGTCGAAATTGAATTAGGTGACTCAGGAAATAGTTCATCATCGTCAGCAGCGAGTGATTCAACAACGATTCATCATCGACAACGACAAGATGGCAGTGATGATAAAGTTCGTGATATCGAAGGCGATGAGCATTTTTCTGATAGTGGCTTGTCTCAATCAACTGATTCAATAAGTTTGCCTTACAAACAACGTTCACAACTACGAACAAGTAGTCAGATCTCCAATCTTTCGAGTGTAAGTTAGAAATTCGATCGATCTACTTCATTTTTCTTTTGTGAAAACTTTAGATTTTGTCATGTGATACATTGAAACATTCATCTGGAGATAGTAAGATTCGTATGGCATTAGAGAAAATGCATGAAGCCAATATCCGCAAAATGTTTGTGAAAATTCACAATGATGATCAATCAACGAAGAATATACTTATCGATGAGACAATGTCGATCCATGATATAATCATTTTACTTTTACATAAGTATCGTTTACAACCCGCATATGATCATGCACTTATCGAAGATCTTCCTGATTTGCATATCTACCGTACGTTCGAAGATCATCAAAATTTAATTAACGATGCAATCGTTTATTGGCCAAGAGACACGAATAATCGTATATGTTTTCGTCAACACGAGAACAAATATTCCATGTTTATGAATGCGAAGAGCTTCTTCTCAATCAAAGAACAAAATACCGACCATCTTCTCACAGATTATGTGACATCGAATACGATTGTTCTACCCGATGATATCACGAGTGTTCTCTACATCAAAGAGAAAAGTCGAAAGATTTGGAAGAAGCATTCGTGCATTTTACGTCAATCGGGAATTTATCAACTACCGAAATCTTCTTCGTCCAAACGTGATCTCATTTGTTTGTTAAAATTCGATTCAAATATGCAACTGTACTATGCAAATGACTGGATGGAAGCATTACGTTCACCAACTGAACATGGTTTTGCGCTTAAATATGCGCATATACAAAAGAAATCGAATAAATATATTCACTATTTATCTACAAATACATATGAAGAATGTCAACGATGGATGAATGGAATTCGAATTATTCAGCATGGAATACAATTGTATAAGAATTATCAACGAATGAAGAAAGTCATCGAAGATGGACCGGAAAAGTTAGCGAAAGTTTTGCCTCATCAACATTACTTTAACTTTATCCAATCGAATACATCATCAATCATGTCCGAATCATTCTCGGCTATTTCCTTACCTATCAATCACATCGTTTCCGATGCGTCGAAATCATTTTCCGAATCGACTAATCTGTCATTGTTCGATAATATCAAATCTTTAGGTAAGATTCCATTTTCTCGCTTTACATCTCCTCTATTCGTTTCTATAATAGATCGTTTGAAACCATTAAAGACAAGTTTTATTCGTTCGTCTTCATTTCATGATAGTCTACGTCGAGCTCATCGAAGTGATCAGAAACTTTTACGCACATATTCGATCTCTCCACCGAACACATCCCCTGTGAAACTGATGGAATCGAATCTAAAGCGTTCAAAATCATCGAAGGAAATTGTACTGAAACCTTTCCAAACTCCCCGTTCAAAAACGCCAACAAAAAAAGAACACAACGAAGTGAATAGAAGTTCTTCAACATCGTCGATTATTCCATTTATCAATCAATGTATTCAAACCGAGCGAACACCACGTCGATCCAAATCACCGATTCCTAAAAGACCTCCACCTCCTCTTCCGAAAAAGCTCTCATCGCCTCGAAACATTATGACAACTGTGGATAATCATATGTACGAATCATACCAAGAGAATTGCACAACACCAACTAATTCTCGGCAGACATTTTCATATAGAAAACCGAATGGTTGTGATGAGCAACGACTCATGTCGCAAACGCGTTTGCCACCAATGAAAGTAACTGAATTATAACAAAAGAAAACGCGAACAACTATGAGTTCAACAAAGTGTTCATAACCGGTGATCAATTTATGCATATTACATATATTAATTGGTAAAAAAAGCAAACAATTCAACTGTTTTCTTTTTCCTCTTATTATGTATAGAAACAAAACATAGTCTTATATATATATATTTGCGGATCTCTGCTTTCTCATCACTGTTTATTAATTAAGCATCAAGATGTCGATACAAACGTCGTAATTTCTCCTTTTTATTACGATTATTGTGCTTCTTCCAAGGCTTGCCTTCCAACGATGGATTAGTTGGATCATTCATCGTTGCACCCGTTAAGATTGGACCATTTCTTCTTGTATAATTGACTTGACCATGCGGACCCTTACTACCGAACCGTACATCAGTCTAGAGAAGAAATCAAATCAAGCACTAGAGACAGAAAAAAAGAATAATTTACTGGCTGGAAAAATTGTCGATCGACTTCTGATGGTTGAAAACGTGATGACTGAAAAAGAAGAATCGTATTTAAGAAAAGAACAATTCTTTGTGAATAAAATAAAATATACTTTTGATGTTGTTTCATTCGAACTTGTTTCCTTTTCATTTGTTTCATCCTCTTCATCATCATCGCTATTGTCGAGATGATAACGAGTAGAATACTGTTGAAATTCTTCCGCATCACAGCCAGGCGGAGGATAACAATAAAGCAATTTACCATTGACATAATCTTTGAGAATTAGACGCGCAGCACGACTGCCATCTGGAATACCTTTGTGAGTCATGAACCCCCGTCGATCTATATAAAAATTGTATAGACTCATTCGAAGTTCAATCGGAAGAACTTACAAGCATAACTAGCACAAAATTCGACGGCGGTCGGTGGACGATTTTCATCTTCACCTTCTTTTGGCAATGGTAACATTATGTTGTAGACATGCGAGAGAACAAATCGTGGAATCTGATGACAAACGAGATTGACAGGACCAATGTAATCACGCATTTGATCAATGGGAAGAATTCCGTTGATCGTCAATTCATCTTTTGTGGATACAAATGATGGAAAAACAAGACCAGGACAATCACATAGAAGTAAATTTTTCTCTAGGAAAATTGTCTAAAACAGCACAAATACGATCATTGTTTCAATATGTATTTTGATCGATTACTTGAAAGTGTTTCGTTTTTCCCGGTGTTGCCGACACGGATACTTTTTTGTATTGTAATAAAGAATTAATTGTTGAACTTTTGCCCACATTTGGATAACCAACCTATTGACGATAAGAAACAGAAGTGAAATATCGTAGAAAGAAAACGATCTGGATTCGATTACCATTCCAATAGTCAAAATGTTTTCCCGGGCAGTTGTTTCATGAGGATATATACATTTAAGTAAGTGTATCAATTCCTCTCGGTTGACAACTATGGACAAATTCTTCTTCTTGACGTCTTTTGATTGCTCATACGCAAAAATATCTTCACGTATTTGTTCAACAACTTCATCTTCGTCGTCGTCTTCATCGTCTTGTTCATTTTCAGACACATTTTCTTCTTGTTGTTCATCATCGTCATCGTCATCGTCATCTTCATCTCTGGTTCCACTGTCTACATTAATTTCTGCTTTTGTTTTCTCTTCATTTTCATCTTCTAATTGAAGACCATCGAATCGATTCAACTGATTGGGAGACTTGGCGATTTCAAAATTATCATCATTATGACCAACTTGACTGCGTTTAATCTCTTCAAGAACTTTATCTGTATCGTCCAATGATTCTGACTCAACAGTTATCTTGCGCTTTCTCGTCGTCGGAGCCGATTCCAAAGCTGAATAGAATATCACTCGTATATCATGTTCATCAAAATAATTCGCCCACATCAGTCTAAAACAATTCTCTATTGTTGCAATCAATGAAGAAGACAACTCGAGTTTACCGCTGTTCATCTGTTAATAGATCGGCTTTGTTGATTAGAACTACGTTTATTTTTTTGCCATCCGGTGATAATTCACGAACGTAATTTTCCAAATCTTCACAACGGAATAGTAATGGATTTCGAGCGTCAACTATTTGAACAATGACATCACTATTGATGAAAATAACGATGAATTTGTTAGTTGGAAGTCAGAACGTTTACCTTTTTTCAATAACTCTCCATAATTGACGCCAGAATTCAAGATTTTTTTCGAATGGTGTCAATGTTAAATCATCGATTTCTTGTAATCTAAAATAAACGGTTAATAGTTAGAAAAAGAAGATATTTCAGTGAACTTACAAAGCTAATTTTCGTCTCCATTCGAGAAAACTAGCACGTTCTTGTTGATCGATTTGTTCTGCACTCATATCGGATGTCCACATGGGTCTAGAAAGCAATTGCATTCTATTTGTGAAACTACCGAACGAATCATTACCTCCGCGGAATACTTAATCGGTCTTTATGTAGATTTTGAACTTCTCGTATACGTTTTTTATCATCGGCAGATAAAACTCCAACTTTTGCTACAGCTGGAACAAACGTAACATTGAGTCGTTCTAAAAACAGATTGTCGTAACAAATCTACATTGAGACACACTGAGTATGGACAACCTGCCGCGAAATCCGTGCCGGCTAATTGTGCAGTTGTTAAAAATTCATCCAGTGAGTTTTGATCTGTCACTGATCGTAGATTCAATCGATTCCAATCATTACTAGCAGTGAAATCAAGTCGCTGGTGTGCCTAAATAACATGGAATTGCAGATTAAAGTTATCTGTCTCATACACATATCTCGCACCCATTCATCTCCGGACTTTGTACGATGTTGATTCGGAAAACGTTTTTTTACTAGAGAACGTCCTACCGAATTCTTCGACTTCGACATGATTCGATATTGTTTTTATCTACAAAAGACATTCAATTGCATATTTGAACAGGAGGTGATACATGTCATCGTATCTGCTTTGTTCAAATATCGACGAAAGTTTGAGATGACAAACACGAACATAGATTCAACATTTATTTTAAGCAAATAATACACAGAGATTCAGATTGGGTTATACATATATCTACGTGTAATCTGACAATTAGAAAATGACTGATTAAACCGTAACAAGAGTTAAGAACAATCGAGATCGGTACATGCATAAATTAAGAATTAGACTCTACATATTATAACAGACAAAAAATATCGCTAATCGAAGGAACAAATACAGAGGAGACCCCATTTTTTGTACAGTAACCAAAAAAGTAAGACTTTCAATGACTAGTTTTTCGCAAATGTATTTCGTCGTTCACGACGATCGCCTTTACAATTGCTTGGTACAACGAATAAATCAGTATAGGATGGCAAGTGATCATCAACAGGTGTATCTAGAAAACTTTCTATAATCACAAAAATATTCATGAGAATCAATTTGGTTTACTTGTATTACTATGAAAACGAGCATTATTTGGAGTTAGAGGAGAAAGAATGTTCGATTGATGCTGCGGTGTCTGACTATTTGATGCTGTTGCAACCATCGAAGGATATTGTGGAATAACAGGTGGAAATCTCTGTCCTATAGATGGTAAGTTTGAACGTGCTGCGGCTTCAGTTATTTCAGCTGAATATAGCGAATCTAAAACAGAAATCATGATGGTAAGAACGAATACAAAATAATCTAATCGCTCACTGGAAAGAGTTAAATGATTATTGAGAAACTTTGGTCGTTTGTCGCTTGGCAAAGAAGCTGGATCATTTGGTGCCGAATCAAGCATAATACGTAGCATGGTATCGATTTCTCGCCGTGTTTCCACGCTTGCCGTAGAAAAATTGGGCAAACCACTATTAACGTCATTATCACCATCCGGTAGTTGTTCAACGAAATTCTACAGAAAAATCAAAGAAAAACACTGCAATTGAAGGGAAACATCGACATTTACTTGAAGTTTTTCTACGATTGCTGTCTGTACTCGAAGATGATAGGAAGCAATGTCACAATAGGATAATAGACCCTGTTTGAGTTCTTTAGTTGCAAATGCTTTGTGTTTATTCCATTCAGTTTGCACTGAAACGAACAGAACTTGTGTTTAGATACGATTATTATTGTTAGTCATACCTTTGCTTGACAGCTGCTTCTTTGTATTATCAGAACAATGATTAGTTATAGCTTCTTCAAGCACAGATTTGGTTTTATCAAAATCGTTCGAAAGATTTTCATTCAATTTCTTTAATGATTGTTGTAGTGAATTCATTGCATATTCTAAAATGATCTATTAGACATTCAAATAAACTAGTTTCTTTTTCACCATTGAAAATTCTTGCTGATAGTTGATTTCGCATTGCTAATGAATCAATTAAACTGCTGACTTCCTGCAAAAGTAAAACAAACAGCGATTAGTCTACTTGTTTTGCTTTAATCATCAGCATGAAATGAACATACCTGAAGTGATTTACAACCAGATAATTGACCAATATCATTGACGAGACGAGCAACTAAATCGATAAAGTTGAGGATAGAAACATAGATCTTTATGTACGAACCATGGATTTCCCAGTCAGGACTGTCCAAATTTCGTTGAGCGAACTTCTTTGTGCGATTAATTTGAGTATACGCTGCATATAATTTCTTACGATACTTAACCGAATTATTTAATAGTATTTCATCGGTTTCATTCAATCGTTGTGATTTTCGTCTGAAAATAAGATTGATTGACTAACGTTCTCTGCAAAAAAGAGTTCATTCTTACGAAAATCGTCTGTGCCAAGTTGACATTCTCGGAATATTTTCACCAAAATTTCGTAAGCCAATTGAATGTAATGAAACGAAGATGAAAATCTGCACGGTATGGAAAACAAAGAAAGCAATCCTATTGGTTGAATAATTGAACCAATTAGGACACGAGCGCGACAATCAAATAGAAAATATCGAAACACAACGAAAGCAAAATGAAATGGTGAACTGAAAAAGATATTTGAATTAAAATTTTTTTTCGAGCAGTAGAATCTGCCTAAGCCATTTTCTCCGAAGGTCTGCTTCTCTGGCCGGTAACATTAAAGTAGAATGCGTAAGAACTCAACATTTTAATTCGGTCATCAAAATGGCCATTGCCTGTTTGTGATAGACAGTTGACCTCATAATCGATGGACATTCTTTTCTCGCTTTATAGTCCTTCCATGAAGTATGAACGATCAAAACACGTACCTAAAATTCTGTGATTTTCGCCCACATCCTCTTCTTGGGATTTAGCTTCGAGATTTCTTCTATAGCTTTTAAAAGCAATTGATTTTTTTTTATACTAGACATTCATAGTTGGTCAACAAAAAAGTAATATTTTGAGGGATATTCCGTATGGATGACAATGAGTTCTCTGTATATATCGACGTGTGTTATGCTGCTATTATTGTGAAATAACTGATTGGAATATGAGACAGAAACATGTTTTCTTATTTCTTTCGTCTTGTCTAAATGTCGAAAATGAAGATCAATCTGATTTATATTCATTTATCAATCAACTATGACCAGAAGAATCCTTCCAATATATACATCAAAATCTGATAGTGTATAATAACTGAACTAATCATCGCCATTGAAATGTAATCGCCGGGTTTTACCCTATCGTACTATACTGTCAATGTGTAGCATATAATGTTAAGCTTCTTCTTGCTGTTTTTACAATTACAGTTGTTCTTTCAACTGGTAGACCTACTCAGTCCACTCAATAATAGTAAGATGGTATATCGAGATGCATTCAAATACTCAAGCAGACAACGCCTTGAAAAAACGTATATCTTAACTACAGCCAGAAATCACGATCGCTACTCATTCATGTTGCCTTATTTGATCACACTAACAAACAGTTTTAAAATTGAAACATATCAAAGTCTTGAGGAAGATGTCTCTGTTAGACATCTTCAATTGAAATACTCTGCAATTGGTTTATTCTTCAATCTGCTGTTTTGCTTCCTCACCGGACAATTGAACGAATATTTTTTTGAATTTAATCTAATCTTCATTGTTCAACTGTTGATCACAAACGATAGTGCATGTCTGATCAGCAATTGCAATTCAACGAGTGAGAACGCGGACGTTTATCATTATCGGAAAATCGACTCACAATACAATTGGTAGTTCTCAGTTGTGAAAATGACCATTACATGTTTGTGGTAGACAGTTGACCTCATAATCGATGAACATTCTTCTCTTTCTTTGCACGTTCTCGTTGCAATATGAAGGTAAGAGAAAATACATTACTGAACTCATACTTATAAAAGAAGAAGAATATTGATGACGAGAACACTTGTTGAAGAAATAAGACTCATCATCTGCAATTCTGAATTTATGCAATGAATCGATTATACATCTAGAATAAAATTAACGCTTGAAAATGTCATGCTTATGTTTCGTCTATGTATTAAGAAGACAAGTTATGAATATTATGACAACAAATTGAAACCTTTGAAGATTTATTCTTTCAACAATATGACCAACAAATGTTTCACTGTAATCGATAATTAAACATTTACAATATATTTCTTTTCGAGAAATTTGCTCCTGAACAGAAATATTTCTCTATTTTAGATTCCTAATCATGGAACTCTTTGTACGTATTAGCCTTTTTCTTTTTCTATGTCTATTTCTACCAAATAAGTATCGGACACAGTTCGAATGGATTACTTATGATAAAATCGATGAAATTATGGATCGAATTAATTCTGTGAACAGTGTCAATTGCTTTCAAAAACAACCTAGTGAACTCGTTCTACCCGAAGAAGCCGTTTATCAAAAACCGTCCATTGATATGTTAAGAAAAGACATTATTATGAGAAATCGGACACAATTATTACACGTTCGTAATATAGCTCATCGAAATGCCCTTCTCTATAGTTACTTATTTCAACGATTATTTGATCTTGAAGAACCGGGTCTTACATACATACTTTTACACAATGCTGGTAAGAAAGCTGAGACGGATTGTATAAAGAAAAGCACGCTTTTGTTGTTTAATACGTAGCTGATATAACTGGTGGTCGCGGTATGATCAATGGTTCAGGAATCTTTTTCGATCAAGATAAATACTATCCTCATTGGTATAAGAACTATTTCAATAAGACCATTTCATTATTCGGACCCTATGCTTGGCGAGCTGATGATTTCTATGGTAATGATCGATAAAGTCGAAGTTTTCCAACACTTTTATCTGTACTAGATGCATTCAATTGGAAACACGAATGGACTAATCATACGATTCAACAAGAAGATATCGGTGCCGGACGTGATCATCATTATACCTCACGATACAATCGTGCTAATGAATGGTATAGAAAATGGCTACCAGATCAAACACGAAATAATCGAATGCCAAGTGAGTAATAGATCATATTTGGCACTTACTTTTGAAATTATCGTACAGGATTTGTTCTGTATTGTTCTTGTTTATTACTTTATTTACAGATGACCGCTCTAATAGATTTATAATACCTCCACCTTATCTGCCGACGAACAATGATACCGATTTGGATGATAATGAATGGAAAATGGTGAATGAGAAAACTAATGAAACTAATGATGATGACGCAACTTTAAAACGTATATAATGCTCTTTATCTATCTGTATATATACATGTACACATAATTACATATTAGATGATATTTTTTTTTATCTATTTGTCTATTTCTTTCACATATCTAGATTTGTTGGTGATTGATTTTCGTTGCTTTTATTGGTGATTTGTATTGTAGAATTATTTGATTCTAGTCAAGTGAACGAGAGATTTACATCGTTTGAAATTCGAAAATGAGTATTGAAAATAATGACATTAGAGAAAAACAATGTATGTCTCTCGTTTATTCTTGCTTATGTGATTGAAGTGATTTTATTTTTCTATTTCAACACGATTATCACTGTGATGTATGTATTTGTCTCTTCACTGGGTTTACGGATGTGATCTTGATGTGAATACAGAAAATAATGGATTATTTTGTTGTTCTAGGTAAGCCTCTGCATACAGTTCAATTACTGTTAGCAGACAGAATGTATAGACTACGTGATATACCAGAGATTTTTGAATTTTATGGACCACCGCATCCAGAAGATCCGATCGGTGAGTGTATTTTTTGTTACAATGCAAATAGAATATTATGAATGTCACTTTATTCAGGTCCAACTCTTTGGACACGTCCATATTTTGACTGTGGCCGTTCGAATAAATGGGTATTTAGTGCTGTTTCGCCGATTGTTGATATCTATCCACGACATACTGAACATCAACATTTTCAAACGATGAAAAACTTAGCGGTTGCAGTAGCCGAAATCGATTTCATTATGATGGATATTAACCAATGTGCTGAAATCGATCCAATTAATGATACCCAATCAAAACTAGCAAATCTATTTGCTGGAACAGATAAATGTAAGCCGACGACACGTTGTGAACCATTGATGGGTTTTGGATTTCGTCGTGGTGGTTACCAGTGCTTATGTCAACCCGGCTATCGGTATCCTCCTTATCAAGATGGACCATTCAAAGGCTATATCATTGAAAAAGCCACACGAGAAGAATATGAACATAACTTTGACTGTCTCAAAGTTGAAGGTACATATTGCCCATTGAATATATTACAAAGGAAATGCTGAACAAGTCTAAACTACAATCTGTTTTAGCATACCAAGACACTCCGTACGCTTTGTATCAATCAAATATGGAAGTTGTAGCTACACGCAAACGTCGATCAAATGATGACAGATTTGGTGTATTGAATAAGTCACTCTTTGTTGAATTAGATTCCACTCCTAACATTCTATCATTGACTAATTTCGGTAGGATATGCATAAGGCTTTGTTTATAGTATTTCGACTTAGTTTACTTGCGTAGTTCCATCATTCAATCCTTTCGTCTCATTGAAATCTTCAATATCATCCTTTTTGAAAGCATCCCTTAATTATGTTGTTTCCATGTCGAAACCATCCGAAGATCAGCAAAGTCAGATAAGTCGTTCCAGACGTTATGCTCATGAACATCCAACACGTATTGGATCTATAATGCAAACTTACGAACATCTTAATCAATATCCAAATCTATGCGAATATATGACCGAAGACGAATTAACAATGCCAGGTGATGTTTTAAATGATGTTGATGTTCAATTTGAATCTCAAGCGCGAGTAGCATTAACATTATCACATTTCCTCTCGAGTTTCTATCAAATTGTAAATCCTGCTGAAGATTTTCCTCTACGGCAAGCAGAATTGGATTTAACAGATGAACAACTAATTGGTGAAGTACTATCCGCAGCTGGTAGTGACTATAAACTTGTCGGTATTGGCATATTCTTTGATCGTGGAAAATTTTCTAATTACCGTCTGCCTTATTTTGGACCATATGCTTTTCGAACAGAAGATGGTATTAGTCGGAAGTACTCTGTTGTTGATTGGGCAGGTTTACCGGATGGATATGAAAATGAAATTTGGTTTCGAGTATGAAAAAGAGTAATCTACAATACTCTCGATTAGAAATCGTATTATTTCTTGTCTAGACATTGAAAGCTCGATGGGGAACCAATGCCGATCGTGCTGAATTAACAGAATTTTGGTTGAAGCTATTTCTTCGATCGGATTATGCTGGAAATGCTTTAGTTCATCATGAATCAGGTTTTCCACTATATTCCTATGCGCCAGAATTGAGGTAATAGCAAACTGATTTATCTGTTCATTGAAGTATCAAAATTCTATTTTTATAGACATGGTCAATGGTTTCCGCCGAGATTTCAATGCAGTCGAAATTATACTCTACCACGTGAATGGGTTGTTACTTATGCAGTGCCTTTCTTTGGTTTAGACGCACTGGGAATCAATATTGAATTCAAGTAAAAACTTTCATTCAAATAAATTTTTGATCCATGTTAGTCGATATTTCAGAGGTGTAGTACGAGTCGATGTTTACGTGAAATTTTTGGACATTAATCAATGTTCTATGCCTCATCATGTACCAAATGCGTTTAAAGGCAGCGATCGTTGTGATCACCAGAGCACAGTGGTAAGTTTGCTGTTCTCTCTTAAAATTAGCTCTTTGAATCAGTAATTTGATCTATTTTTCGTCTAGTGTGAACCGATATTGGGTCGAGGTTTTCACCTAGGAAAATATAAATGTCGTTGTCGTCCTGGCTATGAATATCCATTCATTGATCAGAATGATTTCTTTACTGGCGATGTCTTGGATAGCCAATGGCAATTATTAATGAATGATAATTCTCAGACATCACGATTTCATCAACTGAAATGTCGTATTGCTCTTGCGAGTTCAATCAAACCAATTAATTATCTTGTTTTTGTCTTAATTCTCTCATTTGTAATGGCATGCAATCGATGAATGTGCTTTTTTTTCTATCATTTATCAGTGATTTTTTGTGCTTTAATTTGTAAAGTATTCTGTCTCTTTTTCCGATTTTCGTACAAAGTCAGATTGATGGTAAAGGTGTATTTTTTTATTAAAGAAGAAAAATGAATTCTAAACGATGGAGAGTTCAAATGAAATAATCTTAATTTACAGCCGGGATGGGACATGATTAACGGTCAACTTCACCAAAGACAATATCTAATGTACCGATGATAGCAACCAAATCAGCCAGCATATGGCGACGAGCAATACGATCAAGAGCAGCCTAGAACGAAAGGAAATGTTAAGTTTGATAGGGAAAACACTAGAAAAATGAAGTTATTTACTAAATGGATAAATCCAGGAGCTTTGATATGAACTCGGTACGGTCTTGATGTACCATCAGAAACAAGATAAACACCCATTTCACCCTAGATAATGCAAAGAATGTTTCCAATATACGAAAGAAATGAGAGAAGAACAAACTTTTGGTGCTTCAATAGCAGTATAGGTTGTACCAGGTGGAACTACGAAACCTTCACTGAAAAGTTTAAAATGATGAATAAGTGCTTCCATTGATTCCTAAAATAACTGATTAAAATAAATTCTCCCTTTCATTTTTTTTTTATAAATATACCTTCATTTCCGTGCGTTTTGGTGGTGTGATCTTGTGATCATCAATCTAAAGAAAAAGAGCATTTGTTTTCTGAAGATACACTCAACTAATCTTTGTCTGTTACTTTATATTCTCCGGCAGGCATTTGATTGATACATTGCTCCATTATTCTTAAACTTTGTCTCATTTCTTCCATACGACATAAATAACTACGATAATAACATTTATTAACTGTTCAGTTCGAAATCTAATCGTAGCTTTTCTTACCGATCGAAACAATCTCCGTTCACACCGATTGGCACATCGAATTCTACTTTATCATATGCGTCGTACGGTTGTGTTTTTCGTAGATCCCATTTGATACCGGAGCCACGTAACATAACTCCCGAAAAGCCAAGATTCAGAGCTTCTTCAGCTGTTACAACACCGATGCCAACTGTTCGTTGAGTCCAAATACGATTTCTCGTGAGAAGATCATCAACTTCATCGATACGACGTGAATAGGATTCACACCATTTGTGAACATCTTCCATAAATCCAAGTGGCATATCAAATGCAACACCACCGGGACGTACGTAAGCCGCGTGCATACGAGAACCACTAAGACGTTCATAGAATTCGCAAATCTATATCGGATCCATAGATTGTTCTTTTATTATTTCAAGAAAATCATTTTAATACTCAACCTTTTCACGCTCTTCGAAAAGCCAAAAGAATGGTGTCATGGCACCAACGTCCAGTGCATGACAACCAACAGCTAATGTATGATTTAAAATACGTGTCATTTCACCCATCAAAGCTAAAAATATTCGGTTCGTTTTGACAATACCATCGAGTATAGTAAGTTATTTTAATATCTACTTCGAATATATTTTGCACGATCAGGTATGTTAATACCAAGAAGACGTTCAACAGCCAATGAATAGACTTGTTCGTTTGTCATCATAGAGCAATAATCCAATCGATCGAAATACGGCAAAGCCTAAAGAATTTAATGTTCAGTCAATTTCATTCGGAGGAAAACATTTCTGCTGACTCTCAAATCTACAGCCAGAGAAATTAGTTCTTACTTGAATGTATGTCTTATATTCGCACAGTTTTTCAGTACCACGATGTAAAAGTCCAATATGTGGATCAGCACGTAAGACAGTCTAGAACGAACAATTTCGAATTATTTTATTATAAAAGAAAGATAAATTACCTCTCCATCAAGTTCAACAATGAGACGAAGTACACCGTGAGCTGCTGGATGTTGTGGACCAAAGTTAATTTTAAAGTTACGTAACTTACGTTTGGGCGGTGTTTCCACCATCAATTCTAGAAGTATGAAGATGAAGAAGGAATTCAACGAAAAAGTATCATCGTTACCATTTCGAAACGACTTTTCTTTCCATTGAGCATATTCCGGATTTGAATAAAAGTAACTGGCTTGAGATAAGAAATTTCGATGTTCTTCTTTACCTAAATACCAGGAGACAGAACGTTTCTGTTCGACTGTCTTCGATGTTGTTGGTACGAGTAAAAAAGCTGTCCGAAGAGGATTTGATGAACGTAAAATCCATTGAATGGATTTACCGCTTAAAATCGCTACTGACATTCTTCTGATGGAAAATCTAAGAATAATAAAAATGAACTTCGCAATCAAATATACAATCAACCATTACGAACGTCTACTTTTCTATTGGAGAATATTATCTTCCAATCAGAATCGAGCTAATCATTACCGGTTCGATTTATTATTGAATGTATGTATCTACGTTTTTTTTGTTAGTTTTTCTGTTCATTTCATTAAAAACTAATTGAAAAGCAAAAATGGAGACGGATGACGATGATAACAATGAAATGGATATCAATGAAGATTTTCATCTACGTTTAATCAACTATGCTACCTATGAACGTAAAACATTTTTGGATTTTTTGCAATATTTTATTCCTCGACAAACAATTATTTATATTCAATATTGTTTATTACGTATACCATTTCTACTTGCCTACGATTATTTATATACTGAGCAATTTGCTTCTTTGCTCCATCGATTCCTTCGTTATTCAAGCGAAGTTTTCGATCAAGAAAGCCATTCGATATTTCAATCAATAAATTATGTCATACAGAGTTCCTTGTTTCAACAATTACTCGATATTAATTTAATGTTTTCCATCCCAATTCTAGGTAAATATTTCTAATTGCTTGTGTCAAATCGATATTCTCTCTCTCTCTCTGTAGGACTGTTACTTCTGATTGTTTCCTTATTGTGTTCTGATCGACGCCTTGTGATCTTTTACAGTTATACTACTTCATTACTTGTTATTCGTTTTTATTACCAAATCAATCGTGCCACAGATATTGAACTAAATATGATTATATTACAATTCATTTTTTCAGTAATGTATCTTCAAATGCTCAAACTACGTCCTTACGTACATAGCCATCGAATTCAAGTTTGGATATGTCAATCAGCACCACTTGTATATCTGTTCACACGATTCTTTCTCTCATTACCCTATGGAATTTATCTACAAAATCTTTATTGTATAGTTTGGCTGCTAGCACATTTATCAGAATTGTTTATCTACCAAATCGAGTCAATGCTTTATCTAATTCAAATACGTGTCCTTGCCGGCACCTTTCGTTTCTATAATAACTTTGGTATACAGACGGTATTAACATATTTACAACAACGAATTGATATTATTACTCTGATGAAAATCTTTTGGTTAACAAAAATTCTCATCATACCATTAGGATTTCGAACGATCTATTCGAATCCATTCATAATCAATGTAACCAATAGTCATAATGAAACAATCGAAGATTATAACACGACATTGACAAAATCGATTTATTTCACAGTTCTGTATTATGGAACAGAAACAACATTTACGTAAGATAATTGATAATCACAAGTGAGAAAAAAAAACGATTTCGTTCTCCTTCAGATTAATGAGTTTCGCTTGTCTTACTTCATATGGAATTAAAATTGCATCCCATCGTTTTTACCGTCTATTACACATATGGAACGAAGATGTCGAACAAATTGGTACAATTATGGGTGTGATGCTATTTCTTCTTTTGTTCCAGTCAAATTTGATGCGACTGGATCTTCATCGACGACATATCCCATTACTAAAAGCATTCGGTTTACTCATTGTCGCATCCCTTCATTTTCTGCATACCATACTTGAGCCACAATTACTTAAAGTAGCTATGCAAACAATGACATCAAGAATGGCATTTGATCAAACAGATGAAGATAATCTCGAAGAATCGATAAATAAAAACAACAGGTATTCCGAAAAACATCAATTGTCATCTTTATGTTCGATTTCTCTAGATCCACAACGTCTTACTTCACTCCAGAAATCATTCGTACACTCTATCATCGTCATGTTTATACATGTTTCTCAACTTTACTATTTATTATTCTATACACTCTTTTCCTATGGCGTATATCAACGCTGTCGACATGGATATTGGCGATCACCGCTTTTTCTTTGGAATTAATTGTAAGACTATTAGCATCGTTAGCTCAATATATTCTCTATGTGCTTGAAGCACACAATCGTTTAGCAAATGTTGATTCATTTGATGAATACATCTTTCGTATCAAAGCTGTCACATCATGTTTTGAATTTATCTTGGGAATTTTTCTTCTTTGCAACGGATTCTATATCCTATGCTACGAAGCGCGTGGAGCACTACGTGCATTTATGCTTGCTGTTCATGCGCACATGAATATCATTAAGAATTTTCGTCGCGGTTTGAAAATATTCCGGAATAGAAAATCGGCGTGGCATATTGTCAGTCAATTACCTTTGGCAACGGAAAATGAAATTCAAGAATATAATGACATATGTTCAATATGTCATAACAGTTTAACAAACGGAACAACTTGTGTGACACCGTGTCATCATTTATTTCATCAGAAATGTTTGCAAAAAGTATTCTATGCGAATCAGAATTGTGCGTTATGTTCACAACCGATAGTTTTGGAAAAAAACGATCGTTGAAGAAGAATCTCGTAGCTATTTTTCTTTCAATTATATATCTGTGATGTAATGAAATAAATAATAATCCGCAGAGTTCTATTTTATGTTTTGTTTCCCGTGTTTATATTTTAAACGAAAAATCGTTGATTTCGTCTGTTTTTTAGATTATTTGAAAACTCAAACAAACACATGGAAGGATCGTCAAGTGTATGTGTATTAAGAAAATAGTGGAAATGATCATAATTTGATTTTTTATAGGCACGACCATCGAAAACTACGAGTGTAGCACCTTGTTTTTGGACAAACTCCGAAGTGTTACAATGGATGAAGAATAGTTTACCTGAACTATTTAACAAATACGGTGGATTTTTCAAAAATCATGGAATCAGCGGTATGTGCAAATTTACTTCTCTCTTCGATTGAGAATAATAACATCGAGCATTGTACTCGCCGGTCGTTTGATTCAACTGATTCACTTTTTTTTTCAGGACGAACTCTATTCATGTTAAATGATAATCTACTTTTGGAAATGGGTATCAATGATGCACAAGATCGGTAATTGAAGGAATTATTTGTCTTAATCTCTCTTGTTCTGTTCTAGAGCACAGTATCGTATCGAAATATCAAAATTGAAAATCAAATCGGATTTGCTAACGTTGAAGAACACTCATCATAAAGGTAGAAGAAGGTATCCATCCTTCCTCTTGTATTATATTGCATTTTAAGGTAACATTCGATTTATCGATGAGAATTCCATCAATGACTCGTCCCAAAACGAACATATATAATATTTGCTTCTTTTTTTCTTATATCGTCGTAATTTTGTAAATATATGTCCTTTTTTCGGTTTCATATTGATATAACATTTTGCCATTTAATAATTATTATTTATCTGCTATAGTCAGAAATAATTTTTAGATTTAAATCTGGATCATCGACTCTATTCTCGCAAATCACGAGACAAATCGAGTAGATTGTGAAGACTTCAGACGAATCCAACCCTAGATGTTCAGTGTTAAATCTAAACGATATGAAAATAGAATGGTTTTACTAAAAATAGGTCAGATTACTGTATCTTTCACGTGTGATTTCATTCTTTCAGATTATTCGATGTTATTTTAAGCTCTAATGGATTATTTTTTTAACATGAAATTTGTCATAACAAATAACTCTATGACCTATTGTTTCGCTTTTGAACAGGATTAGAAATCTTAGATTATTTGAACTTTATCGTCTATGTTGATGACATATAGAATGTCGAAATCCAAATAACTTGTTCTCAAATTTCAGATTTCATATGTCGCAAGAAAAATATTCATTGAATGAAACAAATGTTTTGCTTTAAAATGGTAACTTATATACTGATTTTGCAATCACTCATTTACTCATGTTTAGGGTCATGGAGTTTCATCGGATACAACTGGTCAAACAGTAATCGAGTCGAATTCAAACGAACACTACCTTGGTCTTGTAAATGTAAATAGAATCATAATGATTTCCTCAAAAATTAATCTCTTTCGAATCTTTGATTTAGTTCGGCAATACCTGTTATTGTAATTCGGTGCTTCAAGCTCTCTATTTTTGTAAACCGTTTCGAGAACGCGTTTTGCAGTATCGCTCTACGCAAAAGAACAAGAAAGAAAATCTTTTGATATGTCTAGCCGATCTATTTCATATGATCTCGTCTGGAAAACGACGAACAGGTGCATTACAACCAAAGAAATTTATCAACAAATTACGAAAAGAAAACAGTACATTCGATAATGATATGCAACAAGATGCACATGAATTTCTCAATCACTTGCTGAACACATGTGCAGATATTCTTATTGGTTAGCGATTGTTGTCAATTGTGAAAATCGAAAGCGGTATTTTTCATTCTAGCGGAAAAGAAAGAAGAACGAGACAAACATGATAAACAAAAACACAAATCCAATTCGATCACATCAAGTAACAATCATACGCATTTGAACGGTGATGAACCATTTATTCGAACATCGATATACACGAATGGTGATACAGCTAATTCTAATTCGGTGATGGAAGATACGTGGATCCATGATCTTTTTCAAGGAACTCTTGTGTCAACGACCAAGTGTTTGAATTGTGAAACGGTAAGTTTATAGGAGCATCGTCGTCTATTGGAGTGCTATCTAATTAGTCATATTCGTCGACTCGCATACGTGTAAACTGTTGAAATAATATTTCCTATTCCTTCTCGCTCTGGAGTCAACACTTGCAAAGTACTCTTAAGAGAGATTCTCAACAAGATGAATCACCTCGACTGGGACTGGATAGATATGCAAATTGCTTTAACTAGAAGGATATTCAGTAGTAAAACATTTATTCCAAGTGCTATTCAAATGCTATAAATAGTAAATCTCATTTTCAAAGCTATTTATATAATATATTAGCGGGGTACCCGTTGGCAGCTAAGCAATATCCATGTCATACGTCTTACGTATTGAAAAGCCGCAACAAATAGAAAAATCAATACACTTCAAATTTCTACACTTGCAGTTCTTATCTTTTCCACCGTGCATCGCACAAAATGACAATTTCGATTATATCCCTTTATGCAAAACAGTCACCAAAACCAATTTCTGTGTCAGAGATGATTAAAATAGTCTCTTTCACTGAGGTTGATGCTTCACTCTAGCCGTGCACTCATCGACCTCATTCTCACTCTCCTATCATTTCATGTCTCATATGCTTCACATTCATCCATTACCAAGATCGACACCGTATATTTTTCACATACTCTCTCGTTATCATCCTCACTCTTAAGATCCTCCTCGGTAATATCAATCTCCTATTAATATTTATGGGAACCAAAGAAGTCTTAAGAAAAAATTTCGCGACGTTGCCTATTGCAGAAACTCTCTGGATAGAGAATAGATAGACAGGCAAACGTTTTTCTCTCTATGTATGTGTATATAGATGAGCACTTAGACTTAGACGGTTTTTGCTACCATTTATCTTAATGTTTTAAAATACTACAATCGTATTGGTCAGTTTCGTAGATTGCTTCTAGCAAGCAGAGGAGTATCATCGATGGAGAGAACGTGTGAATCGTTGTTTATGAGCGTTCAGACGGTCTTCACTATCAATTCCTTTAACATTTTGAAATTCTGCAATCCTATTGATCAACTTCATAGATCACCTGTAGCAAGTATGTAGTTCATTTTTTCGAAAACAAAGTAGATGCCCACCTTCCTCTGAACCTTAGAAAGTATCGTGGAAAGTTTGGTAGCGACAGCTATTACAGAGTTTGAATACATAATGAACAAACAGACAGACAAAATTTTTTCTTTATATATACATATTGATTTACACAACATCAGAAATCCTCTATTGTAAGTTAAAAGTTCAGAAAAAGCCCTTGATAGATCGCTAAAATGTTCTCTAACTTAATCGGTTTCAATAAAAGATATTTCTAAAAGAGATCCATTCATCCAATCACTCTTCTTCCTCTACTTTCTAAACATTATGTCACACGTACTTCCTTTTGTGTACGCATCGAATCCAAGTTCTTTATATTTTTTTATTTGACGCACATCAAAACGATCTGCCATTTCATACATTACATGCGTAAAGCTCCTGGTACACTGGATCTACACCGTTAACATATCAGATAAAAGATCAGAACTAATCTACACATGCCTTTGTTTTCCTTTCTGCATTCTTTTCATTGTCATCGTTCATCAAGTTGAAATTCCTGTTTCATGACTTTAAATAGCACAAAATACATTAGATCTGTATGTTAGTAAAGTTTATTATCATTCACTCGATAGAGCAAAACAACTAACTATTAAAAGAAACGGGGAGGTTTTAATTTTCTTCCACTGCGTCACGACATGAAACTATCTACTGTGATTAATTCGACGATGAATAGCACGATTTTATTTTTAGGTCAGCAGTAAAGATGAAAACTTTCTCGATCTGTCTATCGACGTGGAAGAAAACACGTCCATTACAACATGTCTACGAGTATTCAGCAACATCGAAACATTATCGGGTGAATCAAAATATTACTGTGAAACATGTTCAAGTAAACAGGAAGCAACTAAAAGGTAAATATCTGAGAACAAGAACTGTATGAATAAATATCTCTTGTTTGATTTGAACATATTTAGAATGCGTATTAAGAAATTACCGCGCATATTAGCACTTCACTTGAAACGTTTTAAATACTTTGAAGTATTTAAACAATATAAAAAATTATCCTATCGTGTAGTTTTTCCATTCGAACTTCGGTTATTAAATACGGTACGAGACTTTTTTGTTGATTTTCTTCGCTAGGAAAGATGATTTATGATTGAATATTTTAGTCAGAAGATTGTACTAATAATGATCGTATTTATGATCTTGTTTCTCTGGTGGTTCATTGTGGTATCGGTCCTAACCGAGGACATTATATAGCTGTTGTAAAACGAGATGGCTCTTGGCTTGTTTTTGATGATGAAACCGTTGATGTAAGGGATCTTTTTGCATAGGAACACGCATGTCATATTTCTCTTTGCTTTTTATCATGTCAGCGACTTGATCCGTCCAATTTCGAAGAATTTTATGGTGTTTCACATGATCTTGGTCGTCAATCGGAAACAAGTTATATCCTATTCTATGAAAGTCGAGATTATTAGCAAAATCTTCTCGTTTTTCCGACGATCAAGAAAGTCATTACTTTGTTTGTTACCCTTTTACTCGGAAAGGGTTGTCTATCCAAGAACAAGACAAGACAAGTGTTGTTTGTCCTTCGTGTGTGTGTTTTATTTATAGTCCGACGTCTTTTCAATTTGTGTACATGTATCAAAGAAAAAATTCTATTCTGGTTCTCATTTTGCTTTTTGTGTATACGTTTTCACTAGTTTCACTTTCTTTTCGTTTTTCTTGTCCAAATCAAAAAGCAAATAAATGAAAGATATACATTTTGGCTAAATCAACTCGAACTTTATTTGCCTCCGATCTCGACGAGGATAAGACCTGGTTTGCCTGATGTGCATCGACATGATCGGATGAAGAGAGAATGTTCTCTTTTGCAACGATTTTTCATATGTGAAAACGTTGCTTTTAATTCTTATTGAAATATTTCCATAAGGATATCTGTCATCTTAATATGAGGTCTTATTAACTGACGACATACTCGTATTTCATCAAAATAATCCACGATGTCAAATTAGAGATAAAGCATATCTATTCCTTGGCTCTTCTACTTATTGTTGTTCTTGACGTATGATTAGAGCAAAAGGAAGTGACATCGAAATAAAATGTGAAGATGTATTATTATAAAAATGAGGAGTCACTGACTAACGTTCGATCTGATTACAAAGATAACTTTGATCTGAAACAAGGCAGTAAAAGCTAATAACGAAATTTGTATGATTTTCTTGACAGCATTAATTGAGAAAAATTAGTAGAGAGAACTACTGTCGTCTCAGATTACCTTGTTGTCAACATACTAATACTTAACTTGTCATTATGATTCTTTTATTCTTACGTTCAATATTTCTCTCTTCACTTCGTACTCGTTTTTCTTCTATCTCAGGCGAGAAAGACACACAGAGAGAGAGAGAGGGAATAGAAAGAGAAAATGAGAGAGAAGAGAGGGGAAAAGAAAAGAAATAGTCACCGAGTGTTTTTTCATACCTTTTTAGATCGAAAAATCGTAGGGAGAACAAATCTTATTTCGTTCAGAAAAATGACTTATCAAAATTATTGTATTCACTTCAATCACACCGATGGTTGTAACAATGAAACGTCCATTACTCTTAGTACTCTATTTATTTCGATCTTTTCTATACTTCTTCTTATAGTCATGTTAATTGGTGTCGTGGGAAATCTTCTAGTCATCTATGTTGTTCTTAACTACGGCCGGTTGAAAACAGTTACGAATACGTATTTATTACACTTAGCGTTATCAGATCTTGTTTTTTTAAGTGGTATACCATTTTTTGTCTCCTCATTGATTACTCGCGGTTGGATATTCGGTGGGTTTGTTTGTAAATTATTCTTTCTTACTCAAGGTGTTAATCAATACACATCCATCATTATCTTAGCTTTATTGTCGTTCGATCGATATCTAGCTGTATGCTATTCAGCGAAATCGATCGTATGGCGTTCACGTGTTAATCCAAATCTCTTATTAATTTTAACGTGGATTCTTTCCTTTGTTTTAATGTTACCGATCATAGTATTCACAACAGCTCAATACTTTTCCCTGTCGAAAGTTCAATGCACAATCAATTTTCCTTACTCGGAGTCTCGTGCACTTTATTACATTTTCGTTGCATATACGTCAACAATTACATTTGTATTCCCTCTTAGTCTGATGACGTATTTTTATATAAAAATAGTTCGTCGATTGAAACATCGCGTGTCTCAACAGCACCGTCGTTCACGAACATCGATTCGTACACGACGCAAAGTCTCCGTTTTAGTTTTAGCTGTGATTAGTGTACATATTTGTTGTTGTTCACCGTATTGGGCATTTCAAGTGATGACAACCAGTGAACTGATTCCGCAAACCAGTTCAATATTGGTTTACACATCGAGCATCTGTCAATTTCTTTTATTTGTCAATTCATCAACAAATCCTGTACTGTACGCATTTTTAAGTGAAAACTTTCGTTTAAGTTTCAAACGTGTCTTCTATTGTTGTTTGTCGACCAGTGATACGCAATATTTACACGAAAAAACTGCTCTTAAAAGAAACTTAACTCTCCCACCGAGTCGAAGTAATTCTCATCGAATGAGAAGGAGTAAACTATCAACGGCAACAATGGCATCAGATAGTCGCAATTCGGAAACAACATTGAACAACCAACGTTTGTCCATCTCCATGAAATATAACAATCAACTCTACGCACAGAGTCGACACTCCTCACTCGCACCAACCATGTCCATATTCACTTCGGAAACATCATTCGTTTCGGATATGTAAATTTTTTTCCTTTCGTTTTCTATGTTGTATTTCATTCATTGTTCACATTCTTCAAGATTTATGAAGAATAAAAAGAAATCCTATGTTCAATTCAAAGTAAAGTTTCTTACAACAATGACAAAATATCGATCAGAGAAAGTTCTCTATCGATTGAAATTAACACAGATTGTGTATGTGAATGGGAAATGTCCATAGAGTTCAACTTTCCCGACTTATTTACACGTGTTTCATATTTTAAAAAGAAATTGACCTTTTCACATGTTTGCCCTGTGATAAAAGCTTCATCAAAAGTGACATAATTAAATTAATCAAAACTTACTGCTGCTGTTTGAAATTAATTCGATTAATAACATATTCATTACTTTCTTCTCCAGATTAAACATCGACAGGTGCTCATAGTAACAACCATCAACTGACGTGTACTCATGTCAACAATTTCAATGTCATAAGACTTCTCAATTTATTTCTAAATCATATGTCACTACTTTAGAATCAAATAATCTTAATTACATATACAAAAAACTAGTATTCGGTGAAACTCTTCATACTCGATATCGTGGTATATGTATGCATCAAAGTAGCTAACTTATTATTTATGATAGAATATTTTCCGAGTAGGCATAGCGGGTACTCAAACGTCAAATAGTTCGTTTTTTTTTTATTAATCATGAACACGAGCTCATAGGTTATGAATAAAAGGAATAGTTTAATATTAAATGATGTTAACGAAATAACACATTCATCTCTGCTGCACGGTGTTCTAATTAAGAAAAACGTTTTCCACACCTTGATCGATATGTCGCAAGATTTTGTGACATTTAGGAATTCTTTACGTATCAAAGCGGTGCCGAACGGATGTTGGTTAAATCGTATGCTTATCAAATATCTTTGTAGAGAAAAGCTTTCCTCGTCTTGTTGAAAGACTCTAACCATGGGTCAAAAGGAAATATCTGCGGTCGGGTACAAGAAAACATCAGTTACAAACTCGTTTTAGATTTTCTACTGATGTACTAGAACAAGCCCGAGCGATATTTTTAGAAACAAACCTTGACTTTAATCGATTCGAGACCTATGACATCTGTTGATCAACACTAATAGGCAACTACTAAACAGATACACTAAATTCTTTTTCTTTTGATTTCTACAGATTAATATCGACCTTTCTTTATGAAATCAAATCTAGAAGATACGATGACTGTTATTTATCCCAGTATCAATATTGTTCTAAAGAAACAGAAAAATATTGTTTGATCATAATAATTCATCGAATGATAAAAGTACAAAAACATACAATTGGATTTTGCGCGGATTAGAATCCAAACATGTTCATTTCATTGTCTGAAATTCATACGAAGTTATGAGAAGGAAGTAAACATACGTAAATCATTACAATTCTGTGTATTATTTATGAAATATTGCAACCGAATGTATCCGATCGCATATCTACTGATCTATTTGATTTATATATTCTTTTTCAAAACAAATCGATCGAAGTATTATGCAAGAGAAGAGATCTGAACCGAAAATAATGTCTGACAGCGATAAATATGGTTTAAATATTAGCATAGTCAAGAAACCTTGACAAACATAAATGCCGACGTATTTTATGTCATTAAATCATTTCTGCAAAACAACAAATACTGCAGTTTCTTCCCGGCCTATTGGCTAAAATAAATAACGCATACATATGTAACGATACTTATATTAATTCTCAAGGAGAAAATAAGAACGAAATGAAAGGTTCGCTGAAGAATTATCAAATTGTTGTTAATGTCAATCAAATACACATCGGATGTTTAATTTGAGTTTTCAAAGGTTTTTTTTTGGAAATATTCTATGTTGTTTTCTTATCCATTCAAAAATAAATTAGCAAATCTAATATTATACAGATATATATCACACATTCAATTGAACTTGTTGAAAGTTAAAAAACGGGTCTTTTTCGTCTTACAACAAATTTGTTTGAATGTAAACAGCGATACACAAAAAGAGCACTCTTCCGATCTTGTATAGACGATTTAATTGTAGACTATCATAAGGACAAACGAAACCAAATTTCGACATATATTCATTGTATTTTATAAATCCATTAGGATATCTTCAAAATAATCGTTGTTTACAATTGTTGGTATGAAATTCACCTGATGATTTGATTGCGTTTGTACAGAGGTCGATGAGGGTGGAAATAACTCGTCAAAATTAAAATCAGGTACTGGTTCGGTAGATTGAAGCATGTTTGACATCGGAGGATAATTTAAACTATTAGTCAACGTATTTGATACGTTTCTCGGTGAACAAATCTGTTCGTGAGTTGAAATACGCGTTTGTAAATTTAGTTTATGAGTTTCAAGCATTTGAATATTCATGTGTAAGTTTTGTTCTTGATGTTCTAAAGCGTCGATTTGTCCTTGTAGATCTTGTTCGACACTCAATCGGTTTAGTCGAACGCGTTCGGCAGCGGCACGATTGCGTGCTCGTCTCAATTCACGTTTGTGCTCTTCTTCGGGAGTCAATGTTTCATATTTCGATCGACGACCAGTTGCTAATGTTGGAGCTGGTTTTTTACGTGGCTTAACTTTAATTGGACCAAATTCAATAATATCATTGTCATCACCGGACGTCGGACTGGTATCAACCGAACTTGTGTGATATTGTATCGTATCCGATGTACATTCTTCTGTTAGAGTATTTTCTAAACTGCATTGAATATCTTGAGTGTTCAAATGTAGTTTGTCTACACACATGATAACTAGATCGGTTAATGATAAATCTGATCGTATACGATGATGTTACTGTTTTCATCTCAATATATGAGTCCTTATATAAGATTGCTTTCGCAAATTTTTTCTTTCTGTTCTGTAAAACATCTTTTAGAGAAAAGAACGAGTCATGGTACGATGTAGGAACGTGGAGAAGAAGAGAACAGAGGGCTGACGTCTGCACATGACACACATTTGTTTTCTTTTGCTTTGTGACACCGGATTCACGTCATAGATGAAATGACGAGTGGAAAAGAGAACATACGGTTTTTTTCCTCTTCGTTCTGTCAAGTTTTTTTTATAATTAGAAAGTTTATCTGAAAACATTCTGCCTCGAATCTGTAGGATGTACGACATGAATCAACTAGGAAGGAGGTGTGTGGATAAATGTGTGAAATTAGTCATACCGAATATGTTGATCTACTAGAGAAGGGAATTTATTTCGGTGTGGGAGGGAAAATGGGTAAAGTTTATAGGTATTTGCTACGCGTAAAATATGAGTGACAAGAAAAGTGTAGGCTATTTCATTACATTGTAATAAACTTGGAATACATTAAATTGATTCGAGTCTGACTAATAAAATACTTTTAAATGTCACGGCGAATGATACGCATTTTCATCGTAATATATCAAAAAACACTTACGATTCGAACACAATTATTCATAGATATGAATAATCGTGGGAGGAAAATGTATTTGAAGAACGTAACATATTACTATTGTTGTTGATAAGAAACGAACATCGTACGAGAAAAATCTTGCGCATATACAGAGACGAGTTTTGTTTTGTGATTACATATGTGTAGGAGGAAACATCAAGAGAGATCTGTGAATTTTTTCAAAATCATATCGATGAAGACATTCCAATTCATCGAATAATTTTTGATAAATTTCATTCAGCATTAATCATGAATTAGCTGCAAGCTAAATATATCCCAAGCTGATTAATCGATCGAACATTATACAAACATGTTTCTTATGTTTCTAAAAGTAAACCAGAAACATTATTCATATTCTACACTTACAGCTTTCATTTTATAATCATTGAGTAATGAAAGACATGAATTTGAATATATTCGTTTCGGTAAAAAAGAAACATTCATATGGAGGAAAAAAAGGACTAAATACCTTATTTAAACTAATTCGACAATGTGGTTCATATGTTGTTGTGCATACTCATTAAATCATATGTAAATAATTCCCAATGTTCCTAACTCAACTTACATACTCATGCTGGCTTCATTCAAATCTATTCAATGACAAATCTGAATACACCATCAGACCTATAAACATGCTGCTGACTATGAAAGAGCAGCATTTATTATGATTATTATGCTTGTTATTATAGTTTAGTTTTTTCGTTTTAGCTAAATCAACAAAACAACACGAATTGACGTCAAACGTATATCAACGCAAGTCAAACCATGACCTACCTACATACTGACGTACTTTACTTGAAAAATGATGTCATTCATGCCCAATAGAAGCCAAGGTAGATAGGACTATAGATGACTCTCTGTCGTTAAAATCGAATTGAATGAATATTTTCAAAAAAGCGAAAATACCGAAACATAATCATCAGTAATGTTGAATATGAATTATTTGTCTTAAATGAAAAGAAAACAGTCATGACATAGACATGTACTTATTCTACGATGAGTTGTTCAGCTAAGATGAATATGTTGGAGTGTTGAATAAGTTCATTCGAAGAAAATAAGATGATACCGGTGCATATACTACGCATTAAAAATTCTAATTCTTTTAATAGTTTCCACTGTGTACCATGGCTTCGGATTGTGAAATATTTTGATAGATATCAATTTTTAGTAGACGTAAAACAAATATTCATTGCAGTTTCAGTAGAGTGTCAGCTTATTGAAAACTAAAGAAGTAAACGTTTTTGAATAGAATTCATGGATATATATTTGTATTTACACATATAAAATTGAAAGATAAAATCAAATCTTGTCAGTACATTTCGAATGATCTTCAAACTCGAAGTTTTCTTCAATACGATGTTTCATTTCTCTTTCGTTTGATATATAACAATTTTCTCTAATCATTGACTTGTTACACATTTTACTACTGCTGAATTTCTCACATCGAACTATTCGTCATAATTAAGTATTTCGATTAGGTACGACGTTTTAAAGATCTATCTATATTACCTTTTAATTTTCCTGCCTTTCGTTAAACTTCCAATAATATATTCAGTTAGTGTTCCCATTTTGACATAAGCACAACGGAAATTGATAATTATACACGTATAAAAATATATTTAACAACATACTTTATATGATGTTCTGCATGCACATATATCCCTACTCACCATTGGATTATATAGAAAACAGACGAGTTAAACTCAAAAAACTATTGTAGATTTTCACACAGGTATGTTTTACAGATCAGACAGTTTCAGTAATTAAAAAATTTATTCGATTATACCGCTATCGTGCTTTAACATCTGTAGGTTCTGGCGTTCCCTTGTATCAAAAGAAATTGTGATTAACGAAGTTGAAATATAATACTTGTTAAAATACGCAGTTTGGTACACCAATCTGCTAACCGGTTTTGTTTTATTTTTCCACACGATCACATATTCTAAAGCTAGGTAAGCTTAGGTAGTATCGTTTATTTCGCGGATTGAACAACGATTAGTAAATAATACGGCTATTTTCTGAAACGCGACGTGATTAAATATTCAGAAACATGTATTTCACAAAATCTTATACGAAGTCTATTGAATAGAAACATACTCTTGCCTGCAAATACCGATTTTGTAAACTAAACTATGAGAGCGTAAAGAAGAAATTTCCTCAAGATTAATTAATGATACAAATCAAGTTAGATGTCCCAGAATATTATTCAAGTCTTAGTAAGAATTCAATCTTCGATGGATAGACACGTCTATGTAAGTGTCAACTTTTATTCGAATAGGTATATCTGGTCTGAGACCCAATACGACTTCCTATCTGATTGATCGTTTGTCTATATAGTTCGATATAAAGTTCATTTTAGTTATATGCATTATTCTTTGATTTATAAAAAAAAATGAAGTCGTTTAGTATACTCCCATTGTATCCGAGAACCAGTTCACATGACTGCTAAAAAACTGTTGTTAACAGGAAATGTGTCTTTTTCCGAAAAGAAAACTACTTAATAACGTGACATGAAACGCGCGGATACCGCTTTGATAACAAGGAAAGACGTAAGTATTCATGTGAACTCTAAGAACAGAAGCATCAACCAGCGACATTCATTTCTATAGACGCTCTTCTCATGTAAATATACAAAACAACATTGTTCTAATACCATCAAACAACAATAATATAGTGATAGTTTAGCAACCGAATGATGTATCATAGAAAAATCTTTAAAGTTTAAGGAAGAAAGTAACATAATTATAGGATCATCGAAAGAGATCGTGTTTAATGACAGTTGAGATATTTTCTTTATTTTGTAGCATTGATTTCTACTGAATAGCATCCTGTTCCTGAGTTTTACTCGTTTATTTTCATTTTGTGACGTTTCCTCAATTAAAACATCGAGGAATATCATATACTCGCTTTCCTGTCCTGACTTTTCAAATGTACTTTCTTTCCATTGTTTCAGACATATGATTTCATTTTAGTAATTATCGGATTGATTGTCGGCGATCCCACATTTTACGTTTATTTAAAGGAAAAGTTTTTCACAGTTTTTCAGCACTCTATGTTGTTAGGAGTAATCGGTATATTCATGTTGACATATACATTATTTTTGACAATTCGAATTCTATTTTGAAGTTTCCTAGACAATAGAATTAATGAAAAACAATTTCCTAGTGAAGTATCATAGACAAGTTTGATAGATCTATCCATGCTTTCAACATCATTTCCTTTCTTAGACAATTCCTGCTTCTCTACTAGAAAAATGTCTAACTGACATCCACACTAACAGAACGTCAATAGTTTCAAGTAGGATATTTATTTGCTTCTATCGTCGATTACAAGATATACCATTTGAGAAATACGCTAGTTAATCATGTCTCACACTACGGGGAATTAGACAATATGCAAGAGCTTCATCGGCGTTTCATAATGAATTGAAAGATTATATTCGCTCATTTTTTCACGCTCGAAATCTATTTCATTAGATTAGAAGGTTTACTGTAACACGTAGCTTAGAGAAAATGTTTTCAGCGTATTCTTTTGAACTCAACTACTTCAGGGTAAGATCATACATATTCAAGAAAATGGATCATTAAATTTCACATCATTATTCCAGCAGCTCTTGAGTTAATCGACATCTTATTCTTACTGTTTTTTTTGGAGGAACATATCGACTCGAACATGTCCGTTTCAGTACTGATGAGTTAGGTGTAATGAATATCATCGTTAACAAACGAGTCAAGTTCGAGCCTTGCCAATTATTTCGACATTGTCTGGAAACAAGTCAATTACAGGCAAGAGATAATTCGAGGGAAGCTCATTAATTGAGGATGAAAATCGACACTCTCATGCAAAATGTTTTGAAACTATGAAGACAATTAAAACTAATAATTTATTATTGTGAATATAAACACGCAAATATGAGTCTGCACCGTTTGATCCATCTACGGTCTCTTCCGGTTAAACGATTCCTAGACATAACCACGTAAGATTCATAGAAATGCATAAGTAAAAACAATTTAATAGTATCGTGATATTTTTGAAGGCACGTTATCTATTCAAATTCCTATAATGAAATGGTTAATCGTATTTGAAACATGGCACAATAGGTTAGAACTTCCTTCTTTCAAATTTCTCTTTTCCTTGACTAATTCATGGATTTATTAAAGACTACTTTATGAATCAATAGAGTACAACAATGGCTTCATAACTGCCCTTTTGTTTTTTACTATGAATTTCCTAAGAAGAGTTTGATCGACATTTATGAGATTCTGTTTCTCCTCCTACAGACACGAGTTTTATGTTAGTTACAAATATTTTGAGAGTAATGAGGGAAGACGGAGAAAGGCAAAATTTGTCACCTTCATGTTAATAATTGAGACACTCATTCTATTACATATGTTTCCTGCATCACTACATGTTTATCGATTCCCAACATTTGACATTTTCATTGACTTTGAATAACACTTATAGTAACTCTTACTTAGATAGAACTATATTGCGCTGATGGTGTCCAATCATTCATACAGTTATTGTAACATTCAAGATTGGGCACAACCTGCTTTAGCTTCTTGCCATGTCTTAAAATGGATTGGTGGTTATCTCTGTTTCGTATTTCTTTCGGGTATTGTGTTCAATGGAATTATATTAATTATTCATCTTGAAAATAGGAAACGTCGTTCACCTATTGAAATTTTCATATTAGCGTTGTGTCTTTCCAATCTTACTGCTACTATTCTAGGCATTCCATTACCACTTACGTCTAATTTAGCTTGCCGGTTAGTAAAGAAAAAGTTTCTTTTTATTTCAAGAACTTTTTGCCTATTTGTTCAGGTGGTTATATGGTAAATACTTATGCTATTACGAGGGTTTCGTTGCCTATTTCGTTGGAATGGTTGGACTATATTTACTAACATCATTATCATTAAATAGGTTTGAAAATCTTCTTATAAATGTTACTTAATTTTGTGCATATTTGATAAAAGATATTGGATGATTGTAACACCACATCGAGAATATTTTCTTACCTTTCAAACTGCTTACATATCCGTGATTTTGTCTGTACTTGGAGGACTGTTTTGGGCTGCAGCACCTATATTCGGCTGGTAAGTGAATACACGTAATAGATAAGGTCAAAGATCAACTTATCAGAAATGATTATATAAATACTAAGTTGTTTTCGATAACATACTTGTCTGAACTGTACTCAGAGGAACGGTAAAAAGTTCAGAGACGCCGCGTACCATTTTGTGGTAATTTATGGAATGATTATGCTCCGTGTTGGATGCGTAATTTGAGTAAAATGGAATATAAAAGAAGTTTTTAAATAATTACATTTATAATTTAGGAACGATTATACGTTGGAAGGTGTACTAACCTCATGTTCAATATGTTGGCAAGCGCGAACAGTTAATGTAATCAGCTACAATGTTGCTATGTTTATTTTCGCCTATGTTTTACCATTATTTATTATGGCTTATTGTAATATTTGTATATATCTCAAAGTAAGTTCAGTAATGTGTTGATCTGTATGATAAATTATCGAACATGTTCTCCTCCAAAACAGGTACGAGAAGTGACAAGAATGAAAGCGTTACGGTTCGTGCAAAGGCACATATCGAAGACATACTGCAAGCGGCAAACCATGGAACGGCATATTGCCAAATCAGTATTTCTCATCATTTGTAAGTACTCTATTAATGTTGAAAAGCCATAGAGACATACGATACCTTTCCTTCTTTGTTACTCAATCTTTATAGAATTATTCTAATTATAGATTATAAAGCTCCAATTCATCATTCTAATTTCCTTCATGGTATTTCCCCCATTGAATTCTGCTGTTTTATATTTACAGAGTAGCATAGTTGACACATTGTACTTGTATTGATACCTTTGTAAAACTGCATTTATTTTTATTTCTACTAATTTATATATCCGTCAGACAAGAAGAGTCTTCTATAAAAGTATATCGAGTGCAGCGTAGAAAATGATGTTGTCAGCGTTTTCTCATTTGGTTAATCTTCGTTCATTATGGAAATGGCGGATCAGTGTTAAAAAATGCACCGTTAAATTATCTACAAAATAGTATATCTATAACATTGAGCACATGCTTATTTTGTTTTTCCAGGTTAATGCAAGTTTTAAAAGACATCATCGTAACTTTCCAAAAAGGTCATTTTTTTAAAAACATTGTGAACTGCTAACAATTGTACTTTTAATTTCAATTTCACACCGATGTTCTTTCAAAGTTCACTACTGTAATTTATTGAAGGAAGTTTTTCACGACAGGCGCTACGTTAATGTTAAAATTGAATATATAGTCCCTACTCGATTAAAAAGGAGCAAAAAGTATCTTTCAACACGACGTTTTTGGAAAGCTGCGATGATGTCCTTTGAAACTTGCATCAATCTGGAAAACCTAAAGAAGCATGTGCTCAATGTTATAGATATACTACTTTGTAGATAATTTAACGGCGCATCTTTTAACACTGATCCGCCATTTCCATAATGAACGAAGATCAACCAAATGAGAAAATACTGACGATATCACTTTTTATATCATACTCGATAATTATAACATTCAATATGAATGTCGTCATTGGCTACAAACTAGTAAGAGACAGAGTAACATCCTTTCGGTAAACTAGTAATATCCGTAAAACCGTATCATCAGTCGCATTACGAGATTATATTAGTTCTCTCTACCTGTCTCAATCAATCAGTCTTCCTAAACCACTGGTCGTTTGACAGACAGACAGACATCGAACAAAGTCTCATAGTTGTTAACTTTTAATATACTTTAAATATCTAGACAGCATGAGGGTGAGTGTTAATCTACTTTTCGCATCATATACACCCGTCACGATTGATGTCGTACTTTAATTAGTCACTTTGTATTTTCTCGAGGTTTAACGCCATGCGCTCAAATAGAATATGGCTGTGAGCGTTTTCTAAATATAAATCATCTATTTTGTATTTAGTCGGATTCACTGTTGCATGGACACCATATGCTATTGCTGCATTTATCTCTTCATTTTTGTCTCCTACTCTAATTTCACCTCTAGGTGGAACCTTACCAGGTAAGTTGATATCGAGTATATCTATAATTAGATTTTCAACAATTGTATTTTTCAATTCAGCTATATTTGCCAAATCATCTATATATTTCAATCCACTTATTTATATCATTTCGAATTCGCATATTCGTTCCAAGGTGTTCTCTCGGCGAACACCATTTAGGAACTCAGACGGTTCGTATTTGAAAATGCACAAATTCGCTCTAAATATTACATATTTTAGTTTCTATTCCAGTGAAAGTACCCTATCAATTAGCGAATACTCCTCTCAAATCCCAAATTGTGGTCAATAATAGCTCAAAATGAAAATGATTTCACTCTTCTCTCTATTATTTCTATCACATTGATAGGAAAACAATTTCATTATTGTTTTTACGTTATTGCAGTGCTATTCTTCGAGAACATTTACAGTGAATCTTAGCCTATCGTGTCAACGATATCTTTATGGAAGGTATAACTTTTCAAATTGAATTCTTTTTCGTGAAAATATTTAGTAATAAAATTATATATGAGAAAATCTACTACTACGTACAATGTACTACGCTGAAGATTAGTAGGAAAACTCCCTTGTCCACATGGAAATAGACTTCCTACAGCAGAATGAAAATGAGATATTATAGATGAACCCGTAGGTTTTGCAAGGAGATTTTCAAATTATTTGTTATGGAATTCTACGATTTTGATTTTTGTTCGGCAAACTTTGATTGATTCCAGCAATGAGAGAAGAGAAAGATGACTCTATATACTGAAAAGTGAAGAAGATTTTTATTCTTGTCAAATAACTTCAACGATAAAATACATCTACGAAGGTTAGAAAAAGAGAGAGTGTATAAGTCTTTGTCATGGTGTTCGATTATTTATTTACATTTTTCACAACGATTATTCCTCGAAATTTCGATGCAATTAAACTACCTTGAACACCTTTTAGAAATGCTTGACCAACGATATTCATTGATAATTGAAGATGTGTTTGTTCGTTTTTCAAAATAACGTCACTAACAACATTTCGAATGATAACATCGCCATCGATATGAGTGACACTGGTGTTTCCGTTTTCTTCTCGAACAACGACAGATTGATGAGCAGTGCGATAATTATGAATGATGATTTCGCCGTAATGTTTCGATGAATCGGTTGTTTCATCAACTTCTAATTCTTTTAGCATCATTTGCTTTGGACCTCGATATAATTGCAAATCATTATTTAATGCTAAGGTTTCGAAACCGTATTTTTCACTTGGTACGAGTGTATCATCTCGAAATACTTCTTTAATCACTTCATTTAGACTCTTGTTGATTGGTTCTTCGACAACTTGATGACCCGCAGCTAGAAATTTCAAATTAATCAACCAGTAGAAAAAAAATGTGACTCTTTAGTGCATATTTACAACTAAGCGTACGAAAATAGACACGATCGTGTCAACAGTAGTGTCTCGTGTGTGTGTAGTGTAGTGTAAAGGTTAATCAGAAAAATAGGACTCAACAGGTTCTTTTCTCTTACTTCTTCATTATAGCTTCTAATAGGTCGTCTTCAATGAAGCTTGAGTCTCATTGTTATGTTTATCGATAAATATCACTAGTAAACAGACAAAAATGTACCTGCTTCCATGACTCCATTGACAACATTTTCTAGACTTTCTTCTATTCTTTCAAGAAATAATGATGGATCGTATTGCTTTGCTAAAATGAAATGATAAGATTATAGGAAAAGACATACGTTCGTTTCGCTTGTCGAATTTTACCTGGTGTTGTAACAAATTTGAATTCTTGAACTGTACTCATTTGATCATCAGTTGAGGGTGACGTTGTATTATCAATTTTGAACGCATATGCTGTATCTTCTTCAAGATCTTCCACTTTGGTGCTTAGGTTTTCTTTATCAATTGTTCCAATCTGAAATAGAGAAGTAGGTTGTTTATAAATCTCATATTGTATAATTAAAGATCTTTTGTAATAGTAGTTACTTTCGTCCAATCGTTCTCCGTTGTTTCTTTTTTCGAATATACATCGAAAACATCTTCGAATGTTGCTGGCTCATCTTCCGGAACAATTGCTTCGATCAGAACACTAGTCGAATCAAGTTTTTCCAATTTGAAGTGAGGAACTGTCGATGCAGATGCAGTGTTCGTGGCAGTTTTGTCGTCCTCTTCGTTGACATCGTCTCGTAAAGAAGTTTTCGGTGATTTAGTCTGAGACTTTTCGTTCTTATTAGCATCTTTGTCCGAAGAAGCTTCTTCGTACTGATTCGCATCCTCTTCGATTTCATTTGGAATCGAGGATTTCGCTGAACGAGATGTTGCTGCCTTTTCTTCATCGGCATCTTGTTGAAAGGAGGATCTTGATGATGGTGATGCCACCACCGATGGTTTACGTTCACTTTCGTTAGCAACTTTCTCTGCCGAGCCTTGTGAGGGAGAATCAATAACAGCATTTTCAGCTTTGCTTTTCGTTTCATTGGATATGTTCTTCGCCGACGATTGAGATGGAGTAGCAGCTGGAGTTTCAGTTTCTTCCTGGTTGACTAAAGTAAAGATCAAAAAAAATATTTAGGAGATATGTGGAATAGAAATCAGTTAAACTAACATCGTCCTCTTCGTGCTGATGGTGTTTTAACATCCAAAATAAGTGAAAGTTGAGATGCGTTTGCGTCATTCTTTCCTGTATTTGCCGCTGTTCCAGATGCGATTGGGGTGAAACGAAATTTATAATCAGTTCCTTGTTTGAGACCGTCGATTGTTAAATGTGGATCATCGCTGGTGATATCCGACATCTAAAACGAAGTTCTTTTCTGATATTTTTCCGTCTCACGTTCAACGATTTACCTGCTTCCATTCATCTAATTGATTTGCTGCTGTATATTCAACTTTATATGAATCATATTGTTTGAAGCCGTCTTCGGAAATATCGATGTTCACTTTAGTTGGTGAGGATGGTGCAATGTGTAGCGAACTCAATAGTTCGTTTACATTGTGCACAGTTATCAATTCAGGTTCAGGTTCTGTGCCTACGTAAACATAGTTAATTAATATCAATACGAATAAATTTGTTGTACCTGCTTTCGCAACTTTTTCAGATTCAGAATCAAATCCTGTTGGTACTAAACGGAATTGACAGTGTTCAGCATCAGTTAAACTATCAATTCTTGCCGATCGTTGAGATAACGGAACTTCAGTAACTTTTTCCCAATCAGCTACGTCTTCTTCTTTCTTTTCAATGTCATACACATTTGATTGCTCCTCTTGTTGATTATTTCCTTTAGTAGATTCTCCCTGCTTACCGTCATTCCATGTCAATTGTACTGAACTAGGCGAGAGAACTTCGACGTCAGGTACAACGATATTGTTTTCTCGTGACGAATTTAAATAAATTTCATCTGTTGGTTTACTCATAAATATTTGTCCATTTTGCAGATGAGCCTTGAGACGAAAGTAGACTGGTCGATTTTCACTGATTAGATTATTTGTATCTGTGGATGATGAAATGTCTAGTTGAGTTTGATTTGCATATCTATCAATATGTTCTCCGACCGGCGACCAGTCTTCATCACCAACTTGACGTTCAATGGTATAGTAGTCAATGGCTGATGACGAACTCGGTGAAGCCCATTTGCATAAAAGACGAAGAGAAACGTTTTGATCATCTTGACTATCATTTGATGGCGATAAAGTTTGACAGCGGACAGTAAATGAAATTAATTCAATATCGGTTGTTTTGTCTTGATCAGATTTCATTGATAATGTTCGAGTTTTACCAGAATTTTCTTCTTGATCTTCAGATGCCTTTCTACCATGTCCTGCAGATGGTTCATTGTCTTGATCTCTAGAAGCCTTTCTGTTCCGATCTACGTATAGCCCATTGTCTTGGTTATCTGATGTCTTCTTATCTCGGCCTGTAGACACCTCGTTATCTTGATCTTTTGAAACTTTTCTGTTTCGATCAGTATATAGTCCATTGTCTTGATCACTAGATGTCTTTCTGTAGCGGTCGGTAGACACTCCGTTGTCTTGTTCTCTAGATGTCTTTCTGTAGCGGTCGGTAGACACTTTGTTGCTTTGATCATCGTATGAAAGAGAAACTCTTCCTAATCGATCATTCAATTCATCGATCATTTGTTTCGATTCTATTCATGGAAAAGCCAATGATTTTTATCATAGAAAACTGCATATGCTCGAAATGTAATCAACTTACTTCGTCGGTATTTTTGACTATCATCATTATCATCAGTAAATGTGGTCTTATATTTCTCATATTTTCTTTCAATTGCAGCTCTATCATCATCTTTCGAAGCATTGAGACGTTTTTCGTCTGCTTGCTGTTGCCGTTTTCTATCCGACGCTGCTATGGCGTTATCATAATCAGCTAAAGCTCGTGAACGAGATGATGATGACGACGCAGGATAAGTAATACCAGTCGAACTCGACGAAGGTAGAAATTCACGTTGTTCACTGAACCGTTGTCGACGTTCTCGAATTTCTTGGACACGTCGAGATGTCACAGGTGCTGACGGTTCTCTTACATATCGAAACGTTTGCTGTTCTAAGTCCTAATAGAGATAGATTGAAATTTTTCTTAAATACAATATTGGACAGTATTCTATTCGTACTCGAAGACGTTCATAAGCAATATTGCCTTTCAAAACCAACGGATTACTCGATCGATCAAAGTCAAAAGCAGAACGACATCGACTTCTGCCCACTGGGGTCAGATCCATTCGCCAGTTCAAACTAATTTCATCTTCACCAAGCATACGTAAAATACGATTAAGTTGTACTTCTTGTCCGGCAACCTACATGAACCGTCGATAATCTAATTTATCCAAAGATCAGACTAGCAGAATAACTTACAGTTTCATATGTATTGCGTAAAAAGTAGTAATCTTCCAAACGTTTTTCTGCTCCAACAGCCAGAAAATGAGCGACTAAATGTGGTGTATCATTCTACACAAACAAGCATCGGTCAGCAACAAGACAATCTATGACAATAACTTGGTCATAACTCACCATTATTAACACTTGAAGTTCAATTCAACACAAAGAGAGAGAGAGAGAGTGAGAAGATTCTTGAGTAAAAGTGACTGATCCTCGTCAGTGCGTACAGACAAGTGTCTGTTAGATGTCTAAAAATAATACATCTTGTAAAAAGACAACCACACTACAAGTGTGTTATTTCGAGGTTCTCTCTCTCTCTTGATATTAGACTTTAGCATGGATATCAAAGGTTGATAGTGAGACAGATGTTGTTGTTATTGCTGATGCCTATCACATTGATAGATCTTATCGGTAAATCATCATATTCGTGCTTAATTGAATATTTTCATCATATCGATTGATTTTCTTTCTTACGTTCTATTGTATCATCATTATCACTAGAAGAAAATAACAAGTACCATCAATCGAGACAAATTGATGAGAAAAGTCGAACAGAAAGGGGACGATGACGATAACAAGAGATTTAGTAGTTCTATTGCCGATCTATCGATATTATCAATATTCATTCATAAATCTCAGAGTTGTTGTTGTTGACACCACCTCAAGGCTATTTTTGCCTCACATTTTCTTCCTGTTTTGGATTTTCTTCTTTGTACAGAATCTCCGAACTTAGGAGCCTCGTAATGATAAACAGGGTTTGCCACATGTTTATTTGTTTTGTACAATACTTGTAATAGAAGCGTATCGAATCTGTTTCACCATGATATCATGCTTCGTAGCCTTTCTCGCTGGGGAAATGTCATGATAATCATAGTAGGCGTTATCAATCAAGCAGCGACGGAAAAAGTGAGGCACAATAACTTGATAGCGAGCCTGTAGTGAACAACAACAACAACAACATCATCATGAAGCATAATCATCGGAAAAGGATAGACAAATCATATTTTTATTTAGACTATCAGAGTGACACATTGTTGTAGATGTAAATTAAATTTGAAAAAAAAGAATGCAGTGTTAATAGAAAGAAGGAATTATATTTTCGACTTAGGAAGTTGAGAACTTTGAACAATATTCTCTTTGATCAGTGTTTCGATATGTTCGGTAGTGTAGCCGATTTCACGTAAAATTTCAGCTGAATGTTCACCTGAGTTTGGTGCTGGTCGGTCGATAGCTGGTAGTTTCGATGCTGAAAAGCGAGGTGCTGGTTTTGGAATAGGTTGTTCTTGCTTTTCATTTGTGAATAGGAAATTCTTTCTGTCTTGATTATGTTCATGTTTACATGCGGCATCCCAATTCAACACTGGTGTACAACAAGCATCTAATTTATCGAATATTTCTGTCCATTCTTTTTGAGTTTTTCTCTTGAAAATCTCTTCGAACTTCTTCTTCATTTCATGAATGTTCATTTGATTATGTGTTTCATCATTCGGGTCGAGACCAAGGCCGATTAAAAGTTGCTTATAGAATTGTGGTTCAATTGCACCAACAGCCATATAGAGATCATCGGATGTTTCATACGTATCATAGAAATGAGCTCCACCGTCAAGTAAATTTTCACCACGTTGATTACCAAACCACACCATTGGTAGATCACGTGAAGTCCACATCCACGAACTGACATATGCCGACCCTATTGTAAGCGGACGCATGTTGATAAAATCGAGAAAAAATGTCAAGCAAACCTTCGGCAAGTGATAAATCAAGTACTTGTCCTTGTTTTGTCGTTTGCCGTTCGAATATGGCAGCCATAATTGCATAAGCGGCTAATAGACCACCTCCAGCAAAATCAGCAGCTAAATTAATTGGTGCATGCGGTTTCTGGTTCGATCTTCCCAACATTGATAGCAGACCACTAATCGATAAATAGTTAATATCGTGTCCAGCCTTCTTGACAAATGATCCATCTTGTCCATAGCCTGATACGCGGGTATAGACAAGACCCTTGTTCTCGTTGAGTAATATGTCTGGACCTAGACCGAGTTTTTCCATAACACCAGGTCGGAATGGTTCGATGAGAACATCAGCCGTCGATGATAGACGACGAAACACTTCTATGCCTTTCGGAACTTTCAAATCAATCGAAATCGATCGTTTGCCTCGTGCAAGTCGATCAAGTCGAGCATTTTGTCGATCATCAGGTCGATCGATACGTATGACAGATGCACCGAAATCAGCAAGAAGCATACCACAGAATGGCACTGGCGCTAAACCAGATAGTTCAAGTACTTTAAGTCCGCGCAAAGCCATGACAAAGTCTGGAAATAGGACAAAACAAAATGTTAATTATTTACTTCACTTCTACTCGATTCATAATCATCATTAGTATCAATCAAATCAATGTTGCTTGCATGGAACTATCACTCCTATCAGTCACTAATTATATAGTTCGTCTGATGTTTATTTAACATAGAAAAAGAGGACATAGTTGACACTATTTTTCCACTACAAAAAAAGGGACAAGAAGAATTAGTGTTCTCTGTAAATCTATAGATAGAGATAAGAAAATATTTAATGTAAACGCCATAGTGCTTTCATTGCTTTTGTTAAGCCAATATCATTGTATGCAAAATATCTATTTAAGAGAAAACAAAAAGAAGATCGCTAAGAATTTCGAGTTTCATTCCTTATGGTACTTACGAAAGGCCACCAAAGACAATAGCTGTCAGTGCATATCGAACGATGTTAGCTAAAGGTAAAGCTGGTCTTGGACAATAATCAATCAACACAGTGTCCAAGCCCCAATGAGCATGAATGGCAAGCGATGCAGCAAGTAGATAATTCATGAATGCCGTATCATATACGAATGAGCCAGGTATGATTGCGAGCATAGCTATAGCGACCACACGCTCGATTTTCCAATGATCAGTGCCTGTTAAAGCAGCCATGCCTGCCACAGGATGTTGAAGTTGATTTGAGACTCGTGGCTGAATTGCTGTTCCTGTAGTAGCTGGAACCATTAATTTCTATATGTTGAAATAAATGTTCATATTATTCAAGAATACTTAGCTCGACGTTACCGATGATGGAGCAGCAAGAAAATATGAATTAGCCAATGCTGGATGAGCGATACGACTCAATGGTCGAAAAGCACGCATAAGTGCAAAACTCATTTTTTTACTGCTTAAAAGAGAGTTTCTAATCTGAAACAATAAATAACTTTCTGTAGAGCTGGAAATTTCACTTCTATTGTTCTGTATATCTAAATTTGGAATACGTGAAGAAATGAAATAATTCTTATTTTTTCAATGACCATGTTGATCCTTGGTGGCGATCCTAGAAAAAAAATTCAATGTTTAAGAAAGGAAAGATGTTCTATCACTCTGATAAGTAATACTTTTATCTCTACACCGAGATATTTCATTTGGAGACGATAATCATCGCATTGTTCGAGTAATTGTTTTTTCGGACTTTCTCCACTGGCAACTTTTTGACGACTGATGCCGCGTATATTTGTACGAAATTGTACGCTTTTTTCAATGACATTTTCCAATAAAATACGATCAGATGATGTCTTCTATGTACACACCATTTATACTGATGAAAATATCATCGATTAATAAAATCTTACTTGATTTTGACCGCCAGAGATACTCATATCAATACCAAATATTTCAAGCCATGATTGAATGAAATCAACCGCCAAATGTAACGCACACGTGGACGTGTTCATCATTGCATTCTAGAAGAAAAAGTAAACATAATCATTCTTAGCTGCACATGGAAGAATTTATTTCTAACGATCGTTTTAACTGGTATCGACTCTTTCTCAGATCACTTACCATCAGTGTATCATACCTCATTGTCACGAATATCGTAGTTCATATGTGAATTAATCCAGTGAACTAGTTCTTGCAAACGAGTCATTGCTGACGGTGTATCGAAATTGTTTGCTAAGACATCGATAATTTCATCTTGAGTATTGCTGATTCTATTGAAAAAGGAGACGATGTTTAACATTTTGAGGTACTTTCCATACCTGGATATTGTTTCAGCTTCAGACAAAGTAGAAACATCAACTAGACCTTTTTGACAAGCTTGAACAGTATCAAAAAACGATCGGAATAGTTTATCGACGAATAATGCTTGCTGAATGGCAGCTGATTCAAATGATCTCGCTGAAATAAGCGAATGGTTCGTTAGATTTTAGTCTGTCATTCATTACTTACGTGAACGATAATCGTGCATCAAACAAAACAGACGAAATTGAGCAGGTGTGTATGTTTCCAGCATATCACGAATGAGAATAGTATTATTCAACGATTTTGACATTTTCTCATCCATAGATTTTGTATTCAACAAACCTGAAATCAAACTATTGAACATGTGTAATTCAGTAACAGATTGTATTCGTACCTGAATGTAACCAATACTTCACCCAGGTTTTATTGCCGTGATATGCTGTAGATTGAAGAATTTCATTAGCATGATGAGGAAAAACAAGATCGAGACCACCAGAATGTATATCGAGATGAGAGCCAAATGTTCGACTAGACGATTTAAGTAGAAGAACAGTTTTCGATAGAGTAGCAGAAGGAAACATAGTTTACCTTGCCATGGCAGAACATTCGATATGCCATCCAGGTCTTCCATACCCCCAGGGTGATTGAAATTTTAATTCATTGCTTGCTGGATCTCGTCCTTTCCACAATGCGAAATCTCGCGTACTTCGTTTTTCAGCCAGAATGTCTGCTTCTATTGACGACAGACCTTGTTCATTCATTCGATGATGTTGATAATCATGTTTTTCACCGTACTGGTTCATATCAAAATAGACCGAGCCCGATGGACATGCATATGCAACTCCTTTATCGATTAGTCTCTGTATGAAATTGATTATCAATGGTATGTGATCGGAAACACGCGCATACAGAGTCGGCGATTGAACATTTAGCTTTTGCATATCGTCAATGAATTCTTGTTCATATTTCTTTGATATTTCTAGATAATGAACTTTTTCCTAAAGAACACACTTTTACAAAACTATCCATAAGCGCTTGGTCAACAAACTTTCTGGCTACGTTGAATGATTTTATCGTCAATATCTGTGATGCCCATCATCAGAACGATATTGTAATTGAAAACATGTTTCAGTATTCGATGTATGATATCGAAAGTTACATAGGTACTTGCATGACCGATATGAGAGCTATCGTAAACGGTTGGACCACATGAGTACCTTTTAATTGAAAGAAGATGTTATAGAATCGACAAAACTATCATGGAATTCTCTTTGCGTACCAGAAGATAGTTCCAGGATACTTGGCTTCGAATTTTTCCATGGCTTTGCTTGTGGAGTTATAGATATAGACATCGTGAAGCTGATACGATGAATAAAACCGATGAAGAGATAACAATGAACGAAAAGAAAATCGATTTGATCGAAGTATCATTTCGATGTTGTTAGAATATAATAAACAACAAATAAAACATTCGTTTTATCAATAAGCTTTCTATTGGTCGAATGCTTTCAACCAATCATACCATCAGCAGCAATTCTTCGTTCGTTTGATCGTTACATTTGATGTAAATAAAACAAGATTTGTCAAATATGAAATTGTGGTATCAATGATTAATAATCTACCATATCTATAACGAAAGACAATCCTTTTCTAATTCATTACATGACTCATGAAACAAAATAAGAACAAACTGAGTGACTAATATCTGTTTTTCTCCATATCTTGATTCATTTTATTTTTCAGATCTTATTTTGACAACGTTTTCTTCCATATTTCAAACGACACAAACAAATGATGCTCCCCGACTCACCGCAAAATATCGTCATCGTACGAGCACCTTCACCATCTGTTCATTATATTCCTGGCAGTATGACTAGTGATACATCCAGTGGAATACTATTGACAGCACATAGTCAACAACAAACAACAGTATCAACAGTACAACAACCAGTTCATTCATTAAGTCAACCCGTTTCTGAATCTTGGTGTTTAACAAGTGTTAAAGTCATCAAAGTAAGTTGAAATTCTGCAAAGAATAGAATTGATAATTGTTGTTCAACTCATGAGAGTTCGAAGTTCTCATTTCTAATATCGAGTTTCTACTTGTAAATATGAAAGTACTCACTTCCACATATGTTTCGTCATTTTTCATTAAACTCTTCAATAAGGTATTAGCAATGCAAATATTTACTCAGTTTTCAAAGATACAGAGTACATCTCCAAGTAAACATACGAACATGATTAAATCTTTTTTTTTTATCCAACAGTTTTCATTCAATTGGACAATCAATAATTTCTCATTTTGTCGCGAAGAAATGGGTGAAGCTTTGAAATCTTCTTCGTTCTCTGCCAATGCCAATGATAAATTAAAATGGTGTTTACGTCTGAATCCGAAAGGTCTCGACGAGGAATCGAAAGATTACCTATCACTTTACTTGTTACTTGTCGCTGCTCCAAATAGTAAATGTGAAACTCGAGCAAAATTTAAATTTTCCATACTAAACTCTAAAGGTGATGAAACAAAAGCAATGGAATCTCAACGTGCTTATCGATTTGTGCAAGGTAATGTTGAATATTTTCACCAATAATCATCTATGTTCTTTCAATTTCAAGGAAAAGATTGGGGTTTTAAAAAATTCATCCGACGCGACTTTTTAATTGACGAAGCAAACGGCCTTTTACCAGATGATAAATTAACTCTATTCTGCGAAGTTAGCGTAGTTGCAGATAGTGTCAACATCAGTGGACAAACCCAAATCAATTCAGTAGGATTGTATGGATATCGTTATTCGTCAATAATTTTGCCTTTCTTTAGTTTAAAATTCCTGAATGTCAGTTAAGCAACGATTATCAGTTTCTTCTTGATAATCCGGTGTATTCGGATGTGACATTTGTTTGTGGACAACGAGAGTTTCCTGTTCATAAAGCAATATTAAGTGCACGATCAAAAGTCTTTCAAGCAATGTTCGAACATAAAATGTTAGAAACCGAGCGATCACGTGTAGAAATCGAAGATATCGATGGCGATATTATGTTTGAAATTCTTCGTTTTATATACACCGGTAAAGCGCAAAACATGGACAAATTAGCTGATGCACTACTGCCAGCTGCAGACAAATATTGTTTGGAAAGACTGAAAGTACAATGTGAGGAAGCATTGTGTACAACAATCGATCGAGATAATGTTGCTGATACACTTATACTTGCTGATCTTCATTCAGCGACACAATTACGACAACAAGCCATTGATTTTATCAATACACATACTCAAGGTAGATAAAAACAAGAATTTTTCTTGAAGATTTTTGTTTTCTTTTGTTTGTATTCAGACGTTTTGGAAACGGCTGGCTTTCAAACAATGATTCGTACGCATCCTCATCTGCTAGCCGATGCTTATCGAGCAATGGCATCTGCCCAAAACAATATCATTTGTCCACCACGAAAGAAACAAAGAACTGCATAAATTTGATTAGTATGCTCTATCTATCTATCATTATTTCTTGCTTTTCTTGTTACCGAATCGACTTACGTTTTCTTTGTCTTATTTTTTTTTCTTCTTTTTAAATTGTATGTAACACGTGGTATGTGTATCTCTTTTGTCTGATATGATTTGTCTCGTTGTATATGCATGTATTTTGTGTCTAGTGTGTTTAAGAAAAATACCAAGAGATAGTAACATTACAAATAAACAGAAAGAGGAAGTTTTATTTCGAATGAACCTATCGTAATTCGATCGGACAAAAAAAAGACATGATTTCAAACGTCAATTGTCAGAAACCCTTCTTCTTCAATGAGTTCCGCCAGTAGAAGACTTCTCGAAATGAAAAAAAAACTGTATGTTTCTGTGTTTTTCTGCTAGATTTGATTATTCAGATCTAATTATTTCCGATGGGAGATGAATCGTATTATCCTTTTCTACTATTTATGAAAATTGTCTTGATATTGAAAAACCTGCACGTATGGAACTACGTTTATTTTGATCATAATATGTAAATAAGCGAACAAGAAAAGAAAGCAAATTTCATCATGCGACTATGAAAAAAAATCTAGTGTGCAGTGATATAGAAAAACCTACATCGGTCCACTTACAAGTTAAAAATAGAAGAAAATCATGAAAATTTTAAACTTTGTTATGATTCGATGAATTATTACTGCTGTTTGTCGAATTCCATGTTAAACGTGCTTCATAAAATGCGATCACAAGTTGAGGAGATTCCTTATTTACAATACGCGATGGAACAAGTTCAGGTTTAGTTACACCTTTCCATTTTACTCTAAAAGACAAATATCAGACGTGAAAGTGAATTTGGTACTAAAGTATCTTACAAAAACATCAATTCTCCATCGTAAATATCGGTTGCACCTATCAATTCAGCTGGTACAAGTCCTCGTCCATAACCTGTCTCATTGTACTCGACACGCGACCGTTTGGTCTGTGAACTGTTGTTATTATTATTATTGTTGTTATTCTTACTATCATCATCACTGTTTTTATGAGTACCACTGGTACTACGAGATCGTTTGCTGTTTGATGTTTCATTTGTTTTCGTGTGTGATGCCTGTTGTTTTTCTTTTTGTTCAGCCATGAAAGCAGAGATCAATTCGGGACATTCAAGATTTTCGGCAGGCTCCTGAAATGATCAAAATCACAGTGACGAAAAGCTGATAGAAATATAGATTCTTACCCATGTATTCTCATTGTGAGAGAAGCCTTTCCATTTGAGTAGATCTTTCATGATAAAACAAGAAAAGATGCTTTTTGATTCAGTTCATTTCAGGAGAAAGTAGAATTTATCTTACATTCGACTTTGCCCTTTTTTGTTGTACGCATTTTGATAATTTTTTCAACAATATATTGCTCTTCATCGAGATCAACCTCCGAATCCGAGCTCGAATCTGAATCCAAATCATTCACTACTCGTTTCTTCGGTGATTCGTCATTGTTTTCGTCGCTATCGTCAACAACTGTTCGACCCATGTTCGCTGTCAGTGCAAAAGAAAAACTACAATCTACAACTAAACTGACTTAGATACACTAAATATATAGATTAGCAGTCATATTCAGTAAAAACGAAAAAGAAAAATAGTTACGTGAGTACGTCCTACCGATATCGAACAACAGGTAAAATAACGACGGTTGTCGCTTATGAACCACTGTCGTATTCTTTCGAAGAGCTACCTTCAATGGCAAAAAATATACTTTCGCTGGCAAGGTGACGTAAAACATCGTAGTTGAATAGCGACCAAAGCGTATATATGAACAAGATGATGAAGAATAAGAAAGAAAAAAAATACGTGCGAGAGTAAAGAGCCTTGCTTAATTATTGGTAACAACCATATCCAATGATCAAAAAAGTTTAATCGTCGCAGCGCAACTCAGTATTATTTTATCTATTTGGTTACACACTTAATCACATGATTCTGACTAAGAGAGTAATCACCTTGAGTCATAAGAAGTGTGAGGTGCATCTCTGCTACAATAATGACGCACTCAGTTGTATATTTGAAAACTATGACGATTACTTCTCGATAGAAAGATATTGGATTAACTAAATATGTCGCCTGTGTCTAGATAAGAGAATAACTACTACTACAACTAAGCACTACATCTCAATAATATAAGACTTACGCTGATGCATTTTCTTTGAAAAAGAAAACAAGTCAAGCAGGACTATGTCGAAAGAAATCATGACTTTTGCTATAGAAGCAATGTCAAGGTGAGAAAGCATTAACACGGAACGTCTGAAACGTTCTCTACATTCAAGATGTTGTTGACATGTCTAAAAGATCGATATTGAGCTAATAATGATGATTAATTACTAACAATTCCTGCTCTCTAAATTTTTCAAAACACTATAAGTAGAGAACTATCATTCGAAGATATTGCGAACTTAACGACAACAATGACGAGAGTGTCAAAACAGCTATTTATATAAGGTAAAACAATATCTTTTCATCAAAATTGAATGTTTTATTGTTGGAATATTCATATGAAATAAAAATTTAATTGTTTCTTGTATTCTTCTTGGATAAGCTTCGATACGATTGATAGCTATCAATAGTTCTTTTGTAAAATTCTAAAACAGAAAGCACATATGCACACATCTAGTTTGTTTCCTCCTACAAATCAAGTTTTTCGTAAGACATACGTTTCTCGCAATGTTCACCATAGCGATCATCAGGACATTGGCAATAATACGTAGTTTGTAGAGAAATACATCGACCCGTATTACAGATATAGGGTCGACAACGATCCTCAGAATAAACCGAACTGGAATACTCTAGAAAGACAATCATAGGCAAATATTTGTCTCATACTCATCTTCAATACACACTTAATTGGCAGTTGATCCCTAGAATGCAACAAACAAACAAAAAACAACAACAGTAATCAATGCAACATAGTCCATCTTACCGTAATATGGATCTATACACTTGCACCAATAATCATCATGCATGTTTAGACAAGTACCACCATTTTGACAGGGTAATCTATAACAAGCATCCGCTAGAACATAATTAGAAGTCAAGCATACGTTTAATCAGATATTGATATCATACGAATTCCACAATAGATTCCTCGCCATGGCCCAATGCATTTACAATCGTATACATATTGTCCTCTTGGAATGCAAATACCTCCATGTTCACATGCGTGTGATAGGCATGCACTTGATGATGGTGAATTTGTGCTACGTTGGGATGACACTTGTGCTTCTAGATTAGGAAATATCAGTTTTATACAGTGTTAATTATTCGAATTGTTGATTACTGGCAGTCGATCCTGGATATACCAGACTATTGAGGACATTCGACGGTTTTTGTGTTGAACCAATTCCAGATTGAGACGAGAAAAATCGTTTCAATAAACGATATATGTGATCATCATCATTTTCTTGGTGTTTATTCGCTAGATTTTGACAACATTCCCTCATTTAGTGAAGTCCCATTATATTTATCACTTACTATGTAGTCGTGCGTAGGAAAATTGACCACTAATCAGAAATAAGAAGAAAAATAAGACAAGAAGTTTCTGTTTTAACATCGATTCACCGTTATGAATCAAGAAAATACGCAGGTAAATGTGAATGATCAACTATAACTGAGTAGTTTTTCTTATCAAGTCGACTGTCTGTTTTGAGTATCAATAAATTACCGAAAGAGTATGTCTTAATCCTTATCAACTATAATTTGTCAATGTCCGCATATTTTGAAACAATATTAATAGATTAGTTCACCATTATTAGAACGATCTTTTTATTGAAATCCGATACCCATCAAATAAATTCTACTCATTCAATAATTTGTTTTAAGATATAACAGAAATATTCATTAAATATAACTTGATCCATCTTTGTTGTTAACAATACAGATATATGTTTTTTTAAAATCACTCAACAATCAATAAATTATCATAGCAGTATATGTCATCATATTACTTGACTTTACGTCTAAAATTTTTCTTTTTATTAGAAACGATTATAAAAAAAAACAGAATTATTTATCGAATCATCAGCCATTCGCCATAGAAATTTAGAAAGTGATGTTGATTTGATTAGGAGATAGACGCTTACGGCCATACCACGTTGAATACACCAGTTCTCGTCCGATCACTGAAGTTAAGCAACGTCGGGCTCGGTTAGTACTTGGATGGGTGACCGCCTGGGAATACCGAGTGTCGTAAGCTTTTTATTTTGTTTTTCTCACGTATTATTAACATGATATACGTTCTCGACAAGCTATCGATTGACAGACCGTGCATCATCAATAATTTAATTCTCTACTCGATTCACACATACCGAATTTGACAAGTATATTTATATCCTTCATATGTGACATGCAGTGGGATTAACATTCGCTTATTAAAATTGTATGAAAAAGTCGAGACAAACTTTTTCAATTTATGTTACTCTTTGTCATAAGCACGCACCAGTAAGTGATCGTCTAGGCTTAGTCTTTCTATCAATATTGATCAATTACCGGTCTATGTAAAATATATTGACACAGTCGACGCATCGATGTTTTCAACATATGGCAAGATAAATAGTAAATTATCACAATTAAATATCATTGTTCTATCAAATCGAGTGTTCGATTTCAATTGGCTAGCTTATCTTTTCATGAAAATCAATGAAGATCATACCACATATGTAATTATTATTGTAAAGAATATACAATAAAAAAGAACATGTCTAGTTTATAAATATCAAACAAGATTGTATGAAAGTGGAAAGAAAAAAAGATCTTGTCATTTTTTTTTTGTATATAAAATTAAGAATGCATGTTGACAATAAGACTAAATTCATACACGTAAACAACCAGATAAGTATAAGAACTGTACAACAACATCGTAAAAAAAACAATGAGAATAAAAGAACATACTGTCACAAAAGAGAAAGTATTAGGGAAAATAAAACCATAAGTGATGTTTTGCAGATATTTCATAAGTATAAGCTACAGTATATATATGTAGATCTTTCACTTAAAACGGAAAGGCAAAGACTTGAACAACAACGAAAACGGAGTTCTGTTGTATCAAAAGACGTTTCTTCTTCAGTTTCTTCGATACAATGGAAATCGATCGGAACGAAGTGTAGAAGATGAAAATTGGCCTGTATTAATATATTGAGTGTTAGGTGCAGCCAAATGTTTATTGGAGCCTAACTCGAGTGAGATTGTGCTCGCCTTGTTGCTGTTCTGTCGATCGTCTAAAAAAGAAAACGTAAATAAGTACAGTTTTTCGTGTGTAAAAAAGAGAAAAAGCAATCGGCAAAGCATATGAAAATAAGCAAAGCGCTAGTGCAAGAAAGCATTAATTTCAATAACAAAAGAATGAGGTACATAAATCAATGGATAATAAAGGCACCAGAACATAAGCGCACAAACAGTGGAAAAAATTAAGCGTGTCACTGAAGCAATCATCGGTCCCTTGATAAATGGACACGAAAGTGAAATATGGGACATACGGCAATGATATTTGTTCATGTTCAGGAGAATAACCGACGTAATAGCCGGCATCCTCATTTTCACTTGGTCCACTCCTTTTTCGCGTCGAGATTGAATAATCTCGCTCGTTCGGACGATTGTAAACTGGAAGATTTCCTGATGTAATCACATCGTTAAGTCGAGATGGTCGTTGACGAGCTTGAGTAGATACTAATGGTATCGTATCACCATTTAGACTATCTGTACCACGTCGATAAGGAGTAGTATCACGAGTTAGTCGTTCAAGTGGTGGTATACGATCGACACTACGACGTGGTATCGATCCTAATGTTGTTTGTGACGGCTCTTCGAAATATCTTAGCGATGTTTGTGACGTCCCTTTGGGGTCTTCTCGTTTGTCTATATTGAAAACAACAATGAAAGACGATGCTCATATATGTATAGAAGTAGCTCAAGACACTTCGTTTCTCATCATGCACAAACAAATATTGAAAATATGAAAACAACGAATATATATCATATCTATTTTATATCTAGACATCGAAATATAGACACTTCTAAAATGTAACTCACGAGTTGTATCATAGATCGTGTATTCGATCATTCTTTCTGTATGAGAGGATAAATGTGTTTCATTCAAGTTTTACGAAAATAAAAGCCATTCTTCTCTACTCTACCTGGTAATTTGAGTGAGGCACCTTTACGAAGGCCACCTTGACGAATGCATGTGATAATTTCCCATACAACTATGACAATGATAGCAATTCCCAGCAATATCACCCAAACCACCCAGACGGCTAATTGTACGACAGAAAGAAAAACACCCAATGTTATATTTATCAATCCAAGTAATACAATAACTGCGCCTAGGGTACGATGAATAATACGCCATGCACCTTCACCAGCCCATGTATCATATTCAAGTTGTTCTTGACTGGATTTATGACTTGATTCATTGAGACGTTCTCTACCACGTAAGCGTCTTCTGAGAAATGCAGCACCAAATCTTTAAAAAAGAAGTGAACTGAAGTTCGAGAGAAGAAACATGAAATTTCACATACAATCCGATAACAAATTGGAAGATCGTTAATATGAATGTGATAATACCAATAATAGCATGAGGATGTCGAAAGTGAAGCCATGCTGGTGCACGAACTGAATGAACACCAAAAGCGAAACCACAAATGGCTAATGCAACACCAGAAAGCTACAAGAGAAAGAAATTTCCATGACTTCATTCTTTCAAAAGTATGAGTCTCCTTTTTACTTGAAGAATCATATGTAATGGCCGTCTGATCGATAAATTCGTGCCATGACGACCAACAAGATACCCAGCTGGGAAGACAATACCATAGGTCAAGAATTGAAATACACCGTGAAGATGATAGAACGAAAACGGATAGATACAGCTTCGAGTACCAGGCGCGCTCAATGCATCTTGTGGTGATGCTTGTAAAAACCAAAGGTCCGAAAGCATACGACGATCACTAGTATTATGAGATCGTACAGTGACAGGCAATCAGTAGAATGACGAACTTACGCTGTTGCTCGTCCACCAAAAACAAACATGCCCGGCGCACCTTGAAAGCAACCCGCCACAACAGCAGCTCCTTCTCTTTGCATCGGATAACTTCCATCCTAGAAAGAGCAATCAGCATCGTTCATAATATCAATCTCATAGTTCAATCACTAACAGTTGGAGATGGAGCCGCTCGTTTCAAATACCATTCTTTTTGATTTAAACTGAAAACAGCTATTTCATCACGTGGACTAGGATACGTCTATAAAAAAGAAAAGTCTGCTTAAAGTTTTAAATTTTAACTTCAAATCTCATACAACAATCGACGAGGGATTCGTTTCACGACCACTCCATAGAACAGCAACTGGTTGATCAACTCCTGCGTTTATGTTTGCTGCTGCATCTGCGGCACTTTGACCCATGGAAGCACATATACTATACGATGGAAGTGTAACCATAGCAGCACCTGTTTTGGTCGTTGGACATTCACCCAAACGTTCCCAATGTCCACGATCGATTTGTAATAACCAAGTATCTTTCGAAGGACACGGACCACCTTTTCCGTAACCACTATAAGTAGAAGACGTAAATAAGACGAACGTTCAAGTCAAACTACGTCTATCAATTCAGTTTCATACCTTAGACAGCCACCAAAAAGTAAGAGATGATTATCTGTCAATAATGTTGTGGAATGTCCGTAGCGAGCATGTGGATATGCTGGACTCAATGATGGCATGTCATACATAACTAAGAATTCGAAGGAAAACATATTTTTCAAGTGAATATCGTTGCATTTGAAACTATTTTACTGATTGCAGATTGTGTTGTGCCGGTTTGACTAAGACCCGATGTACCTTCTCCAATAGTTTCAACTATTGAATACATTCCCACACGAGACTTGCCCATGGTATATAAAACTTTTGGTGCAGTCGTTGCGTAAGGTGATGCAGCCGCAGAACCAAATCCACGTGCATATTGCGATGTTTGCGTTTGCAGCCAAGTTTTTGATCTATTGCCAAAACGAAAGATAACCAAAAGTCAATTCAGCATAAAAATTCATACGCATAGCTGAGAAACCAAGCATCTTGCAATGGATAATAATTTTCGTCACTGCGATCGTCGTTGTTGACATAATTATCGACTTTGTTGTAGCCAGTACCACTCAAAGGATTATAATTAGGATTGTTGATAAAGTCAGGATTGTTCATCAGTACAGGATTTTGCACGAAATTTGGTGGGGTGGCATAGTTATAATTGGGAGTTTGTTGATTCGCTCCGAGTGAAAGATACGGATTATAATATACAGACGAACCTTCAGTACCAAAGCCGCCAAATATATACAAACCACCGTTGATTGAACTAGCTGATGCCATACCATAACGACTAGGAGGTGGTGATGGAAATGTTAGTGTATCCCATTGACCTAAAAAGTCGATCAGATGAATATAAACGAATGATGAGGTAACGATGATGTACCTGTTTGGAGGTTAAACGCATAGGAATCCTGCGTTGGTCTCCCTGTTTGAGTTCGACCACCGTATAAAATAAGGAAAGTTTGATCGAAACCAAGAGCAGCATCACGTCGTGCTTCTGGCGTGTCCATACTCGTTCCATCGGTAAGTAGAATCCATTGAAATTGCTGAGCATGAACGGTAGTAAGAAGTAGTAAAAAAATAGGTAGGTGTTTCAACATATCGAGGAACATCTAGAAAGTAAAATGGAAAAGAAGTGAACGAGTTCAAACTTATGCAATCTTTGTTTAAAATCACATGTTTATTTTCCATCTGTGTACCGTGCATTTTTTATAGTATATTGTAATCATTGACCGATCATACATTTGCTTTCCTCTACTCGCACTTCTAAATGTGAAATTTGATTTTCATCACACGTTATAATATGATCAGAAAAAGAAAGACTAGATCGAACTGTGAATCACGAATACTATGAAATGAAGACATTCGCTTCGTGACACAATCGTAATAATGGAATAACTTGTCCTTTTTTTCTGTCTCTTTCCTCTTCTTTTTAGAATACATTTTCTTTCTGAAGGTTGGATGGCATGCATACATGCTCGACTACGTAATCTTTGATTACTCAAACATTTTTTTCTGCTACAGGAAGAAAAAAAACCGCAAAAAAAACGAGAAATTTGTGTCACAGTTTTACCTGGATAAATTCTTCACTTTCCTTCGTCAAATGATGTTGTTGGTGACTTGCCTATATTCAAAAGAATACTCATTTTTTTCCTCGTTCTTTTTTTCTTCTATTTCTCGTTCTCTTTTAGTCCTATGGAAGGTAAAGAAATACATAGGAAGATCATAAAATGTGTATGTTCGACACACACACACACTCACATATACACACGGTCTATACGCGTCTATGATTTGTACACTGACGGGTCGAGCGGTTGGCCATAAGAAGTGTAATTTAACCGTATGGCGCATAGAGAAATGAAGGAGTCTATGAACTTTTTCCTTTAACCTCTGTTCAATCTCGTGGTCGCACGATGATAAACAGAAGAACAGTACGATTTCTTTTTCTTTTACTTATTCATTTATGTTCAAATTTTCAATTACAACGTCACTAATGTTTGAGCTATGTTACTGTGTACATGAAGAAAGAAGGGTGTCTAGATGATTGTAGATAGAGAACGATCGACAGAAGAAGAAGAAGAAGAAGAAAAAAGAAAACAAAACGAAAAAATTAAGATAAGAATCAATTTTTTTACTACTGCGACACAACAAAAATCGAGGAAGAAAGAACTATTATCGAATATGATTCATCCAACAAAAAAAAAAGAAGAAGAAGCAAGGACACTCTCCGAAACATGGTGCAAGATAGGATAAGTGACATATAAAATGTGTTCTTATCATTAACATATATCTCAGTGAACCGTTTATGAAGATGTCCGAGAATCAGTGACATCTCATTATATTATCCTATGAAGTGCAGGATTCGAGGAGAATGAATAAATATACTCAGTTACTCTGTGGAAAATAGGGCAAAATATTACTTTTCATGTTAATGGGTGTATTTTAGATATAGCGTCATTGTTTGTTTTTCTACCGTCATTGATTAAAGACCAGAGTGACATCATCCATTCTTTGTACATTACATCAGCACGTCAACCTATTTGGAAGTGTATAAAACTATTCGTCGTTGTCCCATGTGAGAAACAAACAACAAATCATGTCTACTGATTCAAACACTGTTGTTCTTATTATTGGTGGTGGCCTTGGAGGTCTTGCACTTGCTCAATTGATATCACAAAGTTCATCTTCGGTCAAAGTATTGATATTCGAACGTGATGAAAACGAATATGTACGTGATCAAGGCTATTGCATTGGTATTGATCGTACGGGACTTGAAGTATTAACCAAAATTCGAGTGCTTGATCATTTATTATCTGATGAGTCTGGTTCATGCAGTATTTTATCATCTTTTCAAATTCTTAATCAGTATTTACAAAAACTATTAGCCCTCAAAGCCGATGATATTAAATTAATCTATCGTGAACATCTTCGACGAGCCTTATTAACAAACCTTGATGTTCAGTGGAACAAACGGTTTGTGTCGTACAAAATGCTCGACAATGGTGTTGAAGCAACTTTTCACGATGGTACATCTGTTCATGGAACTATTCTGATTGGCTGTGACGGAGCAAGATCATTAGTTCGTGCTCAACTTATTCCCGGATTTGAACGAACTGATCTTCGTATCATAAATTGTGCTGGTACTGTTGAACAAAGCGACGATATGAAAAAAATCCGTCAATTGGTCCATGATAGTTTGGTACGAATATTAGGTAGACAAGGACATTCAATGCTTATATTACCTTTTCGACAATTATGGATATGGTCCCTCTCATGGCCAGAGAAAGAAGATCACGAAGAGAGAAATACTTCGCCAACCCAATTAGTCGAGAAAGTTCGTCGTCATTTTGACAATGAAGAACTTGTTCGGTTTATTGAACGTAGTACACCATCATCACATCTTGCTCCGTTTCGAATGCATTCTGCGCTCTGTTTGAAACAAAATCCATTTCCGAACAATCCTCGAGTTACACTCCTCGGTGACGCTGCTCATCCAATGACAACACAAGCAGGAAAAGGTGCGAATACCGCTTTTGCTGATGCCTTCGATCTTGCCAATCTACTTATAAACCCATCCTCATCGTCTCTATCAGAATACGAACAAAAAATGTTCAAACGTGGTTTTGCCGCTGTTAAAATGTCACTCTCCAATACAAAAATGATTCATCTGACTGGTTGGTCAGCTCTACTACGTAATTCTATACTTTCTATCATTGGGTATACGATGGCATTGATCAGTATAATTACGACACCATTTCGTTGGTACAGAAAAAAACATGATTAAATATTACCTGTAGTAAAGAAGGACATACGTTATTATTTAGTAGTCAGCAGTGATGATGATGATGAACCATAGTTGTTTTCTTGGTATCACATAAGGAAAAAAAGAAAGAAGTGAAAAAAAAATTGTCATAAAATACACGAAAAGGTTTTTTTTCCGCTCTGACATTGCTCGCAGAGTGGATATGAAAAAAAGTGAGAAGAATGACAATCTTACTTTTATTTGCTTAACTTTTGTATATACTCTAAGTCATAAAAAGCTGCATGTGTTAATAACTTCTCATAGGTTCGATTCCTTTACATTCATCATTGTTCTTAACGTTTTTAATGTACAAAAATGAGAAGAAAGAAAAACGTAAAAGAGTATCATTTGCAAAAAATGCCAGAGATATTTACACAAACATTCGTATGTAAAACAGCACGCATACCGAATTAGTTTTCAAACAATGGTAGTACAATACGTGATCAAGAGAACTGAAATTTGATCGGTAGTGTCTTTTGAAGATCACTGTCGTCAGTATGCACGAGGATATTTAATTCTGTGATGTGTCGAAAAAAGAACGCGACAAGAATTGTTACGAAATAACAATATGCGTATAATGCGACTAATCACTACTTTGTATTGTATAGAAACTATTGGACAAATGGTTATGATTATGTCATTTTCAAAAGATCATCATTTTCTTTAAATATCCAATATGCAAGAATGACTGGTTTGACTTGAAAATGTCGAAATTTCTTTCTTTGCACTGAATAGCTTCGCATAAGTGGGAGAAGATAATTCAGATTTTTATATACCCTATCGAACAAAAACTTTCGAGTAGTTTTTTCAACTACACTTCATATATAATCGCTACTTAACTTATCTATAATCGATCTGAATTCTCAGTATTGCTCATCGTCTGATAACTATAAACAGACATAAAACCGTCCTATTCTGGAATTCACCCAAATTTTCAAGATAAAGACTGAGCGTTGTTCTCGGACATGCTTCTTTTCACCCAGTATGTTTGAAATGACGCAAAAATGGACAATCATCTAATAGGTAGAATTTTTTTCCATCTTGGACACCATAAATTTGATTAGTATGTGTTTTTAGATTTAATCAAGAATAATAATATGATACATTAGTATTTATTCTGAGCATAGAATAGAAAAAAAACAAAGATAATGAGTGAAGAGGAGTATCAAATATAGGAAATATCAATTCATTAATCGCGCTGACGCGTACAAGTATTAATATACGAAAACAATGACAAGACACACTGTGTTAATAAGCATTCAGCAAAATGAAATCAAAGAAAGATTTCAAAGATAACAAATCATTCAGATTAGGAAATAAAATTCAAGCGTTAAGTTCGATTTAATTGAGCTGTAGAATAGATTTTTCTTTAATTTTCTTGACGGCGTTTCATTTTTGCTGAAGCATTAGCTACCTAGAAGAAGCATAAACAAAAAACACAAAGACAGTAGAAAGACTTCGAATGCCAAAGGAGAAAACATCGATAAAAAACACAACGAATAGCTATGAAAATAAAACCGTAGACGTTTGAGCCATGCATTAATGATTAAATGCTAATTTGATTAAAGTTCGTATTATGCTGTACGCGTAGTGAGTATGTGTGTTTTTTTTGGAAAGGGAAGTATTTTAGAAAAAAAGAAATCACGAGCAATTATTGTCATCATGCATCATACCGATTCTTCGAACTCTTTCTGTGCTTGGTCAATCGCACGCTGAATGTCGTCTTCACCATGACTCAAACGTATCATTGGTCGAAGACGATTCTCTTCTTCTTTCAGACGATTTAGACGATCACGTTGAATTTGTACCAGTGTGCTCTCCTGTTGATCGACATGTCCAATACTACGTTGATCTGATGGAATATCATTCTCGTTGATCGGTATACTTATATGTCCGTCAGATGCGTCTAAACCATTAGCAGATGGTGTTGCTGGATAGAGTGGTTCACGTTCCGATAGAGAATGCTTTCGTGGTCGACGATTGGCACCAACGTCTGATACCGCAACGTTTTTTGGTAACGAACGAATATTTTCCCAAGCTTTGGTTCGACAACGTTTCATGAAAAATTTAATTAATAAACCCAAAATACCGATGAGAATGAGTACACCTGGAATTCCTGCTCCCAAAATAATACCCCATTTTGTTCCTGTGTTCATGTTTTTCTAACTAAATTTTCGTGTATGCTTTGCTTCATCAAGGTTTATAGAAAAACCAAGGGAAAACACGTCACACGTGCAGAAGAAGGTAAATCTAAAAAGATAAGTAAATAAATGATAAGAAGAAAAACAACGAGAAGAACATTTGCCCGATTTTCTTTGCCTAGTTCTATTCTTCACTTTATTTAATACCTTGCAAGTACAATGCTAGAAATTTTTGAAAAACTTCAGGATTATATTTCAGTTTTTCTAAAACATATCGCTGTAAGTTACGTTCTGTACCATACAGAGGATTATGCATCACCATCGATGGACGATTATCATAGAGGTAGTTGTCTTTGTCAATCCAGACATAATTATATCGCTGATCGTTGGTTTCATTGTAATTCAACGTATTCAATTGAAAAACGACGAAATGAAAAAGTTCATCGAGAAGAAATACTGATTGAACAGTAACCGGCTTAGTTAAATGACCATTTGGATATAATTGACGAGCCTGGACAAGAGCAGTACCAAAAGCAAACATAACCATACGTGCTAAACGTTCATCAGTTGTTGCTTCGTGAATTAATTCATCATTTGAAACATAAAATGTTGTATGAACATCTAGATAGCAAATGATATTGCATGAACGAAGAATATGATCATGAATTTAAAAATTTGTTGAGGACAAACGTACGTCTATCTCACATTGAAGAATGACCTGTCGTTATTTTTGTCATAAATTATAAACAAAATAACAACTCAAGGTATGCGCAATATAGGTAAATGATGAATCATATGATTGATCTTCTCTTTTCTTTTCTTTCCTTCGATGTGCCGAAAAACGATACTTACATTCATTAGATTTTTTCATTCTCCAGCCTTGTTCATCTCCATCTTGATAGAGTTGTTCTGATTGAAGATCAATTGTTGGATATACAGGGTACATGTTCAAGAATTTGTAATCATTTCCTTGCATAACATAATGTCCATTAGGATCATGAACACCAAGATTTTCATTGACACTATCACCTGAACTTATCTCTAATTTATATAAACGTTTGACAATTGGTGATAACGGTGTAGGACTAGTTAAGATGTATTCATTTTTCTTTCTTAAATGGACTAATTCGCCATAACGTTCAAATGTTGTGTAGAATGGTGTATTACGATATAGATTTCGTTTAAACAAATCAGGATATCGTCCGCCTAGAGATTCACAAAGACTAAGAGTATTTTCTAACAGTATACTCATTTGTCTTGGACGCGGTATCGAATATTCAACACGAAATGAACGACGTTGTTTTAGAGGAGTATACTTTCTCGGTAATTTTTCTTTGGTTGCATCATAGGCAATCGATTGGCGAATGTACGATTGAATTAAATCATCTTGATTGGGTATAGTTACTTGATCGAGATTTTGTTTGATTGATTGCGGCAATTCATAGAATGGAATCGTTTTTGTTAATAAACATGCTTGATCAACGCCTTTAAACAGACAGACAAACCCAATAAATGTTAGTTTTTGATTCTTCGTTGGATGAATGTTACCTGCATGTAATTTTGTTTTTGAATCAAACAGAAAAACCGGTCGATCATGGTGAAATAAAGGATGTTGTTCGCGTGGTAGTGGTGGTACAAGATATTCAAACATCGGATGTCGAGTGGGACTAGTCCAGGGTGTTGATTCGTCGGGTAAAGCATTTGGATCCGGTTCATGTAAAGGGTCAATGATATTCAATTGGCGGCCTTCGAATGCTTTAGGTATGGTTAACTTAGGTTCGTTAAATTTGCCTTTCTCTTGCCATACCCCTGAAAAAATTCATCGATAAAATGCATATGTACAATAAAAAAAGGAATGTATATGTAATATTGTTCTATTTACATTTCCATTGGCGATGTAACGGTTTCGTAAATGGTTTGAATAAACCACGAAGTTCGGTTATCTTTGGCATACTTAATCTCGATTAATACTATGGAAATTGATTCTCTTATGGAATCCACTACCCACATCGCTAGATACACACCGTATGAGTCATCAGTCAAATTTCATTGGTTAGTATTCATCCTCGAAAAACGAATCATATCGACGATTTTATTTTCGTACAAAACTAATCATCTTCAATAGTCAAGTTGTACTGAGAGATTTCATACAGGAGACTTTCTCTCTTGATACCCTTTGTTAAGGAAGAGTGTTAAGAATTTGCTTTTTTGGTGGCGCTACTTTACGGATATGTGTTTGCCAAAGAAACTATCCGTACACGAGTCTATGAAAAAAGCTTGCAACATGCTCATGTATCATAAATTGTAGTTAAAAACTGTATATATCTATTATAGATCTTATTATGGTAGAGTGATATCGATACGTATATCCACTTGTCTGTTATTTGACGACATGCACGCATATTTGAGATGTGTCTACAGCAATTACCGACAAGCAGATGGGATTCCAAGAGTTCTATCTTCGTATGTCGATTGATTCAAATAATCTTTTCATTCGAGACGTTGACGTGAAATCGTGCGTCTTAGGGATATTCTGTTTTGTACGAATTATCAAAGCACCCTGAATATGACACGTTTCGTGAATTTAGTAAGTTATATCTTTATTAATAGGTAGACAATTTACTTGATCTCTATCTTATGTGCAGGTGTTTCCAACATGTAATGAGAATCTTATATTCTTAGATGCGTCGGAAGAATATCTCGAATTCCGCAGAGAGCGTCAATTTTCATTCACAATTCTTTTGAGCTACAGCATTGCCACATGGCTTCTTTCCTTGTAAATACACTTTTTAAATCATATGTTTACTTTAATTCTGTCAGAAATGTCAGAAAGTCCCTGACTAAAATCATAAGTTTACTTTTCGTCGGCACACTGTTCTTTTTCCTGGACAATATGAAACTCATGAAAATTTTATGAAATCATTGACGCTCATCAAACACTAAATAGAAAGTACGCTTACTCGAAATTCATATATAAAAAAACCGATAATTATGGATCTTATTCTCAACATAAAAGGCAAATTCAGATTTGGAAGACCAACTTTCGGATATATATATATATATGAATAGTAAAAACATTGACACTAATACTCCACAACAAAAAACAATAAGTAGATACAAACTGCCTGGATGCTTCTGAGTGTTGTTCTAAAACATACTTCAATAAAACATTTCATGGTCGATTATTATACATTCAGTCTTTTTATTCCAACGTTTAATTCTCATATTTGTTGCTTTTATTGTTTTCTAGCTCAGAACGAATTGATGAAGTAGGAATTTTCGAGATAGGCCCATCTCTGTTCCGTGAACGACATAAATAGCGATTCACACTGTCTTTGAATACCTTTCATATAAGAAACATTCGATACGTTCTCGATTGTCCCATAACAAAAAAAAGAAGTGGCCTGCTACAACTGTCTTGCCATCACCTTCTATGAATTTGAGTTTTTGTTTATTGTAAAAAGTACAACAGGCATGATTTTTCTCTTCGGAGAAACCGTGTCATTTATAAAAATGATAAATATTAAAATAAAAGCCGGTCGTTTTATTGATCATCGGAACCAGACGACTAAACAAACAGAAAACTCTGGCATAAAAAGGCGAGTGATCGTGAAACTTGATCAGATTTTCACTTGAAATCTTCGCAATGTTATTTACTAGTCAATTCAATTTATTTTTATGCTTCGTTGTAAAAATATCAGGTTAGTATACCAACAAATTCTTTCATTCTGTTCACATCATGGGAAATCTGAATTTTTAGTCAAATGAATCTCTTTCATATCAAGCTAATCAGTAGAACAGTCAAAATTAAGATATATTTAAAACACTGTACTGCTATAGTATATCTTTACACTTTCATGTTCATGTATTCTTTTCATTACATGATTATTGGAGCGCAAGTCTGTAAAGTTGTTGCTATAGTAAATCATTTTAGTACATGAAAGTATGTACATCGATTAGAGGGATGTACCCGAGCGTATGATTGAACATACCGCATAGTCAGTTATTCATTCTCGGATGACTATATTCTGTCTGACTATTTCAGAGTTGAGCCGTATTTTTGAATTGAACAAGAAATCAGATTCTTCTTAAGCCTGTTGTACTTCACGAAAATATTTGAACACAAAATGTCGAAAAATGCGAATATACGAATTCATTCCATGGATTTAATAGATTTCTGTATAAGCTCAAAGTTAACTTCCAATTAATCTGAGTCAAGAGAGAAAGAAATATCTGTAAATATTACGTTTTTAATTCTCTTGGAACGATGCTAACACATAACACATACTTTCTGATGTATATTCTGTTCTTTTGTAGCCATTTCTTACAATCAACCAAAATTCTTCTCAAATTCATCGTGGAATCTAAATGGGACAACAATATCTAATATTAGCTCCACAGGAACATATCCATATGATATCTTCATTAATAAAAACAACACGATTTATATACTGAACCAAAGTAATGGACAGATAATTATTCAATATGAAAATAATGCAACATCAACGAGAATTATTTCAACTAATTTAACGAATTCATCAAGTCTTTTTGTTACAAATGAAGATGAGATATATCTTGATACATTTTATTCTCTTGGAAGTGTAAGCGAAATGATAATAAATTCTTCAATAGCAATAACTTCAATATCAAGAATGACATTTTGTCACCAATGCTCGGATATATTTATTGATATAAATCGTACAATTTATTGTACGTTAACTCAATCTCATCAAATCATTGCGAAATCATTAATAAATGATTGGAATTATTTAACAACTGTGGCTGGCACAGGTACTCCTGATTCAACAGCAACAACACTTCGAAATCCTTTTGGAATATTCGTTGATACAAGTATCAATTTATATGTTGCTGATTGCGGAAACGACCGAATCCAGTTATTTTTATTTGGTGAATTAACTGGTATGACAGTAGCTGGATCCGGTTCATTAAATCAAACAATATCACTTAGTTGTCCAACGAGCCTGGTTTTGGATGATGATAACTACTTATTTATTGTAGATTCGAATAATCATCGTGTAATTCGACAGTATTTGAATGGCTTTCGATGTATAATTGGATGTTCAAATTCATCTGGCTTCGCATTCAATCAGTTGTTACAACCATGGAGTATTCAGTTTGATAGTTACGGAAACATTTTTGTTACTGACAATGGAAATAAACGAATTCAAAAATTCGATCTACTAATTAGTAAGTTTAAAAATGAACAACAGTGCAACTTCTTATATTCATTTTTCCTACTTGAAGGATCGAGAATGCTGTCTTATTAGACGACTTTGAAAAGTCTAATCAGTAGAAATATGAAGTGTAATTTTAGATTGCTCACATTTAACTTTTTTTCTACGAGCCACAGAGAGGTAGACAGACAAACGAATGCATTCCACTCTTTTCCCCTTCAGCCGAAGAAAAAAAGAGATTTCAAAGCATTTTCGCTTACCTTCTGCTTCTTTTGTGATAATGAAATTAAAGACACAACTGATTTGAATCTGAGTTCTTACTGCAATAGTAAGCACAACCGCTAGTAACACATCTACAGGACCAGTAATGACCACAAATAAATCTGATATAGATAATAATAAAAAGTACTCTTCGCATTTCGAAAAATATTCTAGATAACGTCGCCTCTGTGACAACAACTTTATCAGTCAATACTACTACAGGCATGAGTACTACAACCACGAGTACTACAAAACCATGTATGTCTCGCTCTACTACATTCACCGTGACTTATTTTCTTATATTGTTTTTGATTTCAATAATAGTGTGTACAACGCTCGTTACATTTGATCACATACCTGGTCAAACATCAACAATAGGTGTTGTTCCTAATAATTATGAGAGTCTTAATTGGAATAATACATACTATCTAAACGTATCAACAGTGCCATTAAGTGGCTATACAAAAGCTCTTGGTTCTTCATCATATGTTGCTACTAATCAAGGTGGTGGCGTCGTTCGAATATCATCAGTTAATGGTACAAGTTTTTCTTTTGATTCAATTCTAATAGTAGCTGCTTGGAGAGATAATCTAATCTGGACCATTAATCTTTATCACTTGGGTGTCGTTCAAGTGTCTGGGAGTTTTAATCTTAATACGGCAAACTCGACCAGTATTAATTGTGGTTCTTGTACAAATATAGATATGCTGATGATGACGGCGACAGGCGGCACTCCTGTCAATGGACTTGCACAGAATGGAACGGAATTTGGTTTTAGTAATTTATGTGTTTCGCTGGGATACTAACCTAGTTATTTTAGTATTTAGATTTTAATCCACCCCGATTCTTCACTTAACAACAATAGATTTGAAACTATGATAAGAATATATAAAGAAAACGATAATTCTCCTTCAGGCTGAGAGTGTGATGTTGAAATGCAATGAAACTTAAAATCTCTGTCCTTGTAGAATATCGAATTAGCCCTAACAACATAGGTTCAACCAATGAATTATTAGGCGCAGTATTCAAGAAATACCATAACTATCATTTTCTTTCACCTGCTTTTTTATCATACTCAGCTATATTTCATATTGAAAAAAATCAGCATTTCCTTATCCACTTTCTTGGTACACATAAATATGATATTAGTTCTTGGGTATAGTATGTCGTGGAAGATTCTTCCTAAGTTATATTCGTACAAAAAACAAACAATGTTCAAATGGAAATGATCATCAATGATTGAATGAATGTACCAGAATACTTTTGTCTTGTGACATTGACATGAACTGTGTACCCGAATAGTTAAATCTAACACACCATACTTGATCGGAATGTTCAGCTGATGTATAAACACATCGTTTTGCTTTTGTGTCCCAAATTTTCACTGATTTATCCGATGATCTAACCAAGAATAGATCTCAAAAGTCATCGATTTCAATCCAATCAAAAAAGTAATACATACGAAGAAATCAAATGTTGATTATCAGAACTAAATGCCACGCTAAGAACCCATGAACTATGACCAGATAGAGTACCCACTGTTGTTGGTTGTGCAGTATGTCTATTTCCGAAAATAAAACAAATAAATATATAATACAATGAATGGAATATTTACATATCATGAAGACGAATGTGACAGTCATCAGAAGCTGATGCTAGTATTTGAGAATCTGGTGAGAAACACAGAGCACGAATAGGCATAGCGTGACCTAATGAAATATTTCAAAGATATTATGTAAGACATAGAATAACGTTCAAAGATATGAACCTTCAATAGTATGTAGTAGCTTTGAAGTTGCCACGTCGAAGATATTGACGAAACCGTTTTGTGAACCACAGGCAAGTAATTTACCATCCGGACTCTAGAAAAATAACAAGATATTTATCTCTTACTAGAGAAAGGTTTCTCTTTTACATAAATAGCGCTGAGCACAAATTTTGTTTGAGTATCTAATGTTGATTCTTTTTGACCACTTTCCGAATTGTATAAATCAACTTTGCCACCAAAACTTCCCGTTGCAATATATTGACCATCAGGGGAAAAGGCTAAACTCCATGCATTCACTGAAACAATAAACATAGAAGTATGTGATTCGATCAATACAATGTTACCTACCTGGAGTAGCATCGATATCACGAATAAGCTTGCCACTTTCGATATCCCATAATTTGATTTGTGCATCTAATGCACACGTTGCAGCCACTAAAAAAATTGTAGGAATACATCATTTTTTATTGAATAATCATTGTCATGAGGTAGCAAACCTGTTCCTTGTGGATTCACATCGACTGAAACAATTCCAAGTCGATGACCTGTACAAGTATATTTCAATTCAAGTTTTTCCTTATACCACGACCAAATTTTAACTTTATCATCGATAGATCCACTGATGATATGTTCTGAACCATCTTTCAAACTTTTTGTCCAAGCACCTGCCCATATACCATCTTCATGAGCTACAAATGAAAGATAAACCTAAATTTAACACTTCAATACAAACAACGTTTTCTTACCATTGTCTTGACGACATACACATTTTGCTGACTAGAAACAATAAAAAGAGGCATTTTAGTTTAAGTAAAATCAACAAATGTTGTTCTCACCACTTCCGGCATAAATTACAGATTTACTTCTGATCTAGACAAAACAGAGCATTTAAGAATAATAATTAAGAAATGGCAAAAAAAGGAAACAAAGAAAAAACATTGCAAAACTCCAACTTGCTATATTGTACCAGTTGTTTGTCGAATACGAAATCGACATAAATGATAGATAGAGGGCGTGGAAATCAGTGTTAAAATAAAAACTGAAAAATCAAATGTTCGAGCAGAAAAGAATACATCTAAGAACTAATTTTCTTACTATGTTTAATGTTGGGTGATTTAGATGCTGTTTTTTATCGCAATCTATGTGTAAAGGTAAACATAAAGTTCTATTCTACGGAGTGTCAATTGTGTGTACGTTATTCATAAAATCAGTAATGAGAAAGTGAATAGATAAACCGATGCGATTTTCCTGGTGAGTCAAAATGTTTATTGATGAATTAAATAGTTCGTACAGATTAAAGAAAAATGTGTTTTTATGATCAAACAAAAAATAACTATTCATGTACTTTTCTTTTGATGAAATGTTGAGTACTTGGCTTTTCCTATTTAGATCATAAACAAACTGTTTTTATCAAATTATTAATAAAAAGATCTTTGAAAAGACTTTTTATCTGATCAGTTGACGATACTTGTCATTAATCATTTGGAAAAGTCACTTGAAGATATGATCTTATCATAAATCGTTCAACGAAATTTTATCTGACATACAAATAAAACACTTTTACATAACTATCATTGATATCCTCGAATGAACAACGAAGAAATAAAGCTGATTATATTGACGTTGATAGAGTGGCGCCCTGAGAACTAAGTTTACAGATGATAAATCTAGGACAATAGTTGTCACTGGATAGGTTTTATTATTGAGAGAAGATTTCTTCTCTGGCAGCCTTCAAATCAGGTGAAGTTATTGCTTGATCCTGCATATGTGTATAATATCGATATAGATTATTCAGTGAAAGATATATTAGAAAGATTTTTTTACCCTTTGACAGTCCGTGAGACAATTTTATTTCGATGTAACGTAGATGATGAGAGAGATTTATTGACACCAGTCATCATTCTTTTCATTATTTCGTAGTCTAGAGAGAATAAATTTATGAATTCATATTAGAAATAAAATGATCTTACTTTAAAATTAATCTCTTAATATCCTCGCAACTTTTTCCTTGACATTGATATTTAATACTCATTCTCATTCCCAGTATTTCTAATGATAAAGTACGCTGGGGAAAGTCAAAGTATGAGTGTACACTTTGCTTTTTTATGCAACATGGACTGCTTTATACGACGCAATTTGTCATTAGAAACGCTGGGTTTTTTCCATTTTGCCCGGTAGATCGAAATTGATTGAAAAAATGACACCGAATGAAAAGGTGTATCAGAAAAAGAGATATATCAATATTATGAATCACTGGGAAATTTTTCTAGATATGCATCTTGAACATGATCTAATTTTGCGATCGTTTAAAAATGATGAATATTTTCGTACTGCTGAGAGAGAGAGCATAATCCGGCCATTTTGGATCTGTGATAGCCGCTCTCGGAAAAAACCGGACAATAGTGAGCTCTACTTGAAACCGCTACGAAAAGCGAAAAAATCAATCATAAGTCGAATCGTAGCCGGATCGTCGTAGTTTGGACTAGTTTTTAATATGAGTTCTCAACGTTTTTAGAGGTTCAGAAGGAATGCTCCGAAAAACCGGTAGTCGGAATCGATGAGTTCGTCGAGATCTATTAGAAAACCAAGCGTTATCAGTTACAATCTGCTTTATTGTAAATCCGACACGAAGATATCCGACGTCCAGATCTTCACGTTCATTTTCATTTCCAAATATTCATCATGAACTTTACTTTTGTTCTCGCTAATACTCTGATCAACATCTTACACATTCTACATGCATTCTCACACTCTCAACTATCCTGTAGAAATGATTTGGAAGTACAAGAAAATGAATCCATTGTTTTTCGTATAGAACAGTTTTTTATTTAAATAGCAGATATACATCCAAAAAAGTTTGACAAGAAAAATTTAATTCCTGTTTAATGATAGGAGTATCAAGATTAATTCATTATATACGGATAAAATATATTAAACGGTTGGTACAATTTTATAATCAACCTGTTGATCATAATGATGTTTGTTTCTCTGATATTCATCCATACTAATTATACTTTCATTCTTGTTGATATCTTCATCCCTATATGGCACATCGATATTGAGAATTCCTTCAAGATGATCCATTTCATGTTGTAATAATTCACTAATTGATACATCAAGTTTATTCCATTGTTGCTTTTTGCCTTGATCATCTGTATAAACGACAGAGATCGATTTTGCACGTTGTTTTTTAACGAGTAGATGCGGAATACTCATACAATCGTCCCACATTGTAATCTTATCTGATGACGACCATACTATTTCTGGATTAATCAGTGTTAACGGCCCATAACCCAGATTGAGAGCAATCATACGTAAATTAACGCCTATTTGGCAAGCACTCATACCACGTCCAAAACCATTCTGACGTCGGAAATCAGCAAGAGCACGATGAAGCCGTAGTTTTGCTGCTTGAACAAAATCATGATCAGGATTGAGAACCAATTCATTACTTCGACGTAAATGTGGATTACCAATCAAACAAATAGTAGCTGGGGGAGGATTTCTAGCAGTAAACTTCTTCAACTCTTCTGATAAATTTGGTGAAATCCATTTGCTTGAATAGGCATTGGTAGATTCAGATCGAGACAATGACTTTGGCAATGAACAAGCAGAGTAAACACAACGACGCAAGTTCAACATTTTCTCTCTCGCTTTGATTTTTGGGTAATGCTTTATTTGCCGACAAAACGTGCTCTTATTCTCTTCGATCTAACCTTTATTCTTATCGTAGGTGAAATAAAAACGAACGAAAAAGAGAGAGAAAAAAATCTGCATTTGATAACGAATTACTCATTGTAAACGAGGAAGAAGAGGAGGAGAGAGACCTGAACGGCTATAAACAATGCAATAGATATTGTTCGTACTATTCGACAATGTGTAAACACACATTTTATGATCATAATCTTCATATTGATTCTCAAGAGAAAATACATTCAATACACACTGTTCATTGCATCCATATTCAGATAAAAAGCGTCATATCTATTCATAGATAAAGTATAAAAGAAACGAAAATGATTGTCTTTTCACTTCACATTCGTCGTTATCATGCAATCGAGGTCGATTGTGTCGACTTATCACAAAGGATTAGGCATAGGTGATAATTACCAACAATGGAACTTATTACGAGAGGATATCAGTTTACCAGCTGCAGTACTTTCATCTGAGAATCTTGAATTTAATCTTCAATGGATGCAAAAATTTATCGAAAAATACAATGTAAAACTAGCGCCACATGGTAAAACAACGATGTCACCACAGTTATTTCATAAACAACTAGAACATGGAGCTTGGGGTTTGACATTAGCTACTGTTCAGCAAGTTCAGGTTGCTTATTCAGCTGGTATTCGTCGTATATTGATGGCTAATCAATTGGTCGGCAAAACAAACATGAAAATCATCCAACAACTACTCGACGACGATCCCAATTTCGATTTTTATTGTTTAATCGATTCGACGACGAACATTGACCAGTTAGGTGAAATTTTCAATAATGAACGGAGACCGTTACAGGTTCTACTTGAAATCGGTGTTCAGAACGGTCGAACAGGAGTGCGAAATGAAGACGAAGAAAAACACCTTCTATCTGCTCTTTCAAAATATTCAAATTCTTTGGCACTCGCAGGTGTTGAATTGTTCGAAGGTGTACTTAACGAAGAACAAGCTATTCGAACAATGTTACGACGAGCAGTAACGTGTTTACAACGTTTAATAGATTCGAATCAAGTAGCTCGCTTACCACCGATATTGTCTGGTGCAGGTTCAGCTTGGTATGATATTGTTGCTGAAGAATTTACGAAAATCGGTCCTTCAGTTGATGTTATTCTTCGACAAGGATGTTATTTAACACATGATTCAGGTGCATATCATCGAGCACAAGCACGTATTCTGGAAAGCAATTCTATTGCAAAAGAAATCAGTACGACAGGCACTCTTCGACCAGCACTGCAAATTTGGGCCTATATCCAATCGATACCCGAATCGAATCGAGCGATAATTGGTTTGGGTAAACGCGATGCAGCATTCGATGCTGGCTTTCCTATACCTGCTCTTCACTATCGTTCTGGATGGTCTAAACCTGTCGATATCGATAGTAGTGCATATGAAATAACACAAATGATGGATCAACATGCATTTCTAGCTTGTCCAACCGATCATAAACTAGTTGTCGGTGATATACTTGCATTTAATATTTGTCATCCGTGTTTAACTTTTGATAAATGGAGAAAAATCTTACTGATTGACAATGAGTATACAGTGATTGATGTTTTCGATACATTTTTTTAATAATAAATCATTTTTTCATTTCACCAAATTAAAAAAAACATACATTGAATACAGGCAGATTCTGTTGTAGAAGCTAATTAGTTATTGTCCAATACGATTGATCACCCAGTCCGTTTGACAGAGTGGACATTGTGCTCGCTGTTTAACCCATTGACTCATGCAACAATTATGAAATGAGTGATTACATGTTCCCCAGACAATCACACATTCTTGAAGATTACTTGCTGCTTGACAACGTAGACATGATTCTGACAATGCTGTTCGACATATCGCGCATACATCATGAGCCACATCCCAACTCCAAATACCTAATAACAAACGGAATGATCTTTTGATAAAAATCTAATGTGAACAAGATCGATGATTTTTCACTTACCAACAAGATTCCAACGTTTTAGTGTAAACGGAACTGACGCTGTAACAGCATCTGATGTTGGATTGTTTGTATTTGTAGATTGTACAGACATCTGACTATTTTCTGACATCTTGAAGAAAGAAAACCAGTCAACAATTCATTCATCGAAATGTGTTTCTAAGATCACTTTTATTTGATTATATGAGAAAAAAACCGAGAATATTGACAAAAAAAGCAAACGATTATTATTCTGATTAATGTACTAATATGTCTGTAAGCGTATGAACAAAACATGCAAACATGATGATTCGTTTGGAATATAAGAGTACAAAAGAAAAAACATCAAAAACTGAGTTTCTAAAGGAGATATTCAAACTTCTACTCCAATTGCTATTTGATGAAGAATTGAATCCTAAACATAGAAAGAAAAACAGAAGCAATAAGGTTGTAGTTTTGATCAATTCGTGCGTTTTGTTAAGGAGATTGTTAGCAGCATTGAGAAAGATTATTAATAAATTAGATTCCAATCAAAAGCGATTAGTAAGAAATGCAAATAATCAGATTGAATGGTAGCCAGCATAATGGTAACTATTGAGCAATATGTCATCATCTACCTGTGAATTGTTTACTAAAACATAAAGAAAGAAAAATTATATTACTATTCATACATAGACACCACTAAATAAAAAATGAGATATAAATGTAGTTTTATATATCGTGCTTTGGTTAAATAGATAAATGAATGTTTGTTAAAAAATAGCTATATATATATATGTCGGAGGATTTGGCTATGGCATTCAATTACGTTTTTACGCGGAGGAAAAAAGTTCAGCATTTGAGTTTGTTGATCATCAAACAAAGAACTCGAACGCGAGCGGTATTCGGCAAAATTTGATTCTCGCCGGTAAGCTTGTTTCGGTTGATTTCCAGTACTCGAATCATCAACTATTTGAATATATACAAAACATTTCTTAGCTTCCAGTAAAATATTCGTTTCTTTTTTCTCGGTGATGAAAGATATAGAAATAATGAGAGTTCTCATACAAATATACGTACATGCTTCATCAGGATCGAAACGACGTCCTTCAGGTGTTCGAATACGATCACCGCCTATGCTTTTCAGACCATCCATTAAACATTCGAGATATTCAAACATATGTGCTTGCTATGAAGTAAACAAGAGAATGAAAAAAGATATGCAAAAGTGCTCATTACTTGATTGTTCATTGTTTGGATTCGATTTTCTAATGTGCGAATTTTGGCAAACATCGTGTCATGTGGAGAATTTCTAAAACAATATCCAGAGAAGATGACAATTTATGTGAAGATATTTAAACGAACACTCGTTCTTCGTCTAAATCAACTTCGTCCACTAATTTTCGACCTTCTTTCAGATGATTGTAAAAGACTTCATCGCCAAGTGCATCTTCGGCAATTTCGATGATTGATGTAAGCTTTTCATTCAGACGCTTTTCTAAATAGTGGAAGGAATCTCGTACAATCAAACTTTTGTACTATTGATATGCTTTACTATATTTTGTTCGACTTGAATGTTCTCGATATTTGTTCTGTATACATTGTGAACGAATACACCGAGCCGATGTGTATAATATAAATCGCCAGAAATGCGAGACAAGAATGAGTGGTGGTGGCAATGATGGTCGAGATAAATATTCGCATACTAAGGAATACCGTTGAAATTTCCAGATACGATCAGTATCTGTTTGAAGACGATCAAACGTATTACTAAAATATCACAGGATTTTCATAAAAGAACAAGAAGGAATGTTTGCATATTCATACCTGAACATGGCAATGAGTAGATTGACCAAAAGAATACTGACAACTGCCATGTAGGCCACGAGTAATATAAATGCAGCGTAACCATTGGCTTTGTAATTATCTTAAAGAACAACAGAGAATGTGATTGTTTTGTTCGGGAAATCATTGACTTACGCTCGAATGTTTCCAAAGCATTGAGTTCACCGAAGATTTGCCAATATGCAAGATTAACAATTTCACGTGGTAAATGCCATGAGAATTTTTGTACGCCATAAATAAGACTGTAAGATGATACACCAAATGCCAAAATAAACACAATTAACATTAGCATAAAAAACTTCAGATCATGTACCTTTGAAAAAAGAACGGAATCATTTTCAAAACAATCAAATTAATAGGAAAGAAACTGTACTCACCATCTCTCCGATCATCACAAGTTTGGGACCAAGACGTTTAACAGCAGCAAAGATATCCAATGAACGCATGAACCAGATTGTCAAATCCACGGAAAGGACAATTCGTGCAGCACAGAAACATTCGGATATCGGCACAAATCGAAGAGTAAAGCCAATGAAAAATAACACAATGGCTAAAACATCTAGTTTATTCCAGAAGATTTTGAAATAAGCTGTGATAGCATTTCGTTTCGACTGTGCTTCCGTTGAGAAAAGCTACGAATACAAACGTCAAGTAGATATCAACGCAAATGAAAAAAGAATTACTTGACGAATTTCCTCGAAAAGTAACGTCATAACCCAAATAGCAAGTAAAATTTCTGAATCAGCGGGCCGCGAACGTTGTTGGAAACCATACGGAATGGATTTTCTTGAACTATTGTTACGACTACCTGCCATTTGATCACTGTCATTATCCGTAACACTAATATTTCGATTAGCTGGTACAGTGAACACTCCACATTTATCCATTGGAAAATTGTAAAGTGGAAAGAAATCGCATAATATTACGTACGAGAAAAGTAGTAAAAATAAGACATGGAAGTACTACAAAAGTGAATGTCATGAGGATATATTAAGTTGAAAACGATATTTACTAAATTATAAAGATATTTAACGTATGGAGCGGACAAGAACGTTTTGATGTTGACAAAATAGTCCGAAACTTTCGTTCTGGTACTAAACAAAAAAGATGAGGATTTGGAGATTTCTTCAATTCTAATAAATAATGAAATAATTAAAGATTTAGTAGTGTTAGTTTATAAAGAAAGAAAAGGCATAGCAAATGTGAGTAGCTAAGATTAAGATTTGCGTTTTTTTTTCAAATATCTATTAATCATTATGTTTACTTTTCCCAACAACCAACATCGACGAAGTCGACGGGAGAATTACTTCCGTCCGTTGAAACTTGTAATAATTGCATAGAAACTATGTCTTTTTTCCTAGAAAAACGATACAGATATCGAATGATTAAAGAAAGACACTTCGAGATTGAAATCTAGAGAGAATAATGTGCTACGAATACTTGATTTCAACTGAAACAACGATTTGCAAATGAGATTTATGTAGCACGGCAAGAAAACCTTTTTAAGCATCATTGATATGAATTTCAATAGTGCAGAACATTTCAAAGCATGACACAAAATAGAGAATATTCGATATCTTACGGCAAATACTCACATGATTATAAACTACGATTTCATATATAAAAAACATGACATCTGAAGCGAAATGTATGATTACCTGTTCAATAATCTTCTTTTCTCGTGCGATTCTTTTGATAATTTCTGTTTGCTACTCGTTCGATTCTAGAAATTGGTATAGGTCGACCTAGAGTCTCATCAAGTCGTTGAAACTTACTTCGACGAATGAAATGTCATCATTGGTCGCCACTAGTTCCTTTTCATACGGAAGAAATCCGCTATACCACAGATTGATTGTTGAGAAGACGATGGTGAAATTCAAAACACGATGATGATCAATACAGCCATACCTAAATCGAACGGGCAAAGCAACAACTTTGTTTCATATCCACAGCCGCTTTTGAACACATACCAAATGTTATTGAGGACATCTTGAACCGCTCGTTGTGCGATAAACTGTTTCGCTTCGGCAGCAACGGCTACTTGCAACCATGTCACATTGCCAAACGCTGGGATTTCTCGTATGATTGCTTGTGTACATGCATGCTCACTTGATTGATAGAATTTATCCAAAATTTGTACAGCTAAGTTTTCGAATTCATCAGCTGATTCATTGTAACTCGCATCGTTATCTCGACGTGCACGTTTTCGATAGATCAATGCAGCAATCAATGCTGCGCCTAATGACAAGCGGCTCTAGATGAATGTCAAGGTCAAGGAGTTCACTTACAAATCTTATTTTTGCCACGAGACCAAAATAGCAAAGCAAAATCTCGTCGACCTTCAATTACCGACCAAAGAAACAATTCTTTGTCGATATCGATGTGTCCATTGCAATATGCTGTCGATCCTACGTAACATAAATAACAAAACGAATTAGAATTGCTGTCAGAGAATCTGTTCTGGATTGGATTTATGTGAGATTGACTATAACATGTTTATAATTCATTCTTGATTGAAATTGTATAGGAAAAATGCATTCGACCTCATGCAACAAAAAATCCCATTGCAACATGCAAAAGAAAACTATGCCTACGGAATCTGGTCATTTGAGACATCCTTGATAGAAAATTCATTTAACTGAGAAAAGAGAAATCATCTGTTAGAAGACACATTAATTGTAGAGATATTCATTTCATCATTTCGAATTTACCTTCTGAATGAATACTTCCATCACGATCAATACTTGCATTTGTCCGATGGCGTCGTGATTCACAACAGAAGCATGACTTATTTCCATTGTCATTGATAGCTTCATGGCTGGAAGATGTATCACTGGAAGGAAATACCGCGTTGACATCGAAGAAGTCTCCGATCCATGGTTGAATTTTTTTCTTGTAAATTCTTCGTAGTGGATCGGTAGTAATACTTGAAAACGTGTCGACCTGGAACGCAATAACATTTTCGTATTTACAATATTCAATGGCAAAAAAAGGATCTTACATCGCATTGATCGATTTTGTATAATGTAACGAATTCCTCTTGGTCTCGGAAGAAATCAGTTAGAGAAAAATCATGATCGAGAAATAATTTGACAAATGCAACTTGATCATTGTTCAATGCTCGTTTGAATAAATCACGCAAGTCTATTTTCTAATATTCATAGTGCGAAATTATCATCGAGAGCAAACGATTTATCAAATCATCTTACCTCCCAGTCTCGATCGTTTTTCATAATACAATTTTTTGCGATATCAACACGATTCCATTCTAATGCCAGATGGAGTTGTTCGCGCTTTCGTTGCATACTTGTTTTACTCGTATCACTACCCGATGTAGCTAAACAACAGAAAGAAACATTTCTAGTCGAGCAACTTTCATCGATATTTACCGCTTAGTAATGCTTGTAGAATAACTAAATCGATATCTGGTTCGACTGGATTACGTGAATTTAGACTAATTATATTTAGAAATCGTTGTCGTGTACGAATGCATTCGTAAACTAATTCGAAATAGTCAGTTGTGTCGACAACGCGAGCACTCTTATCCGGGGTTGCCGTCGCACTCTTCTTCGGCGTTTTATTAGTTGTACTCGTCAACGGATCAGCTGCGCCACTAATGGCCTGAAGTTCTTCTTTGAGTTCGTCTCGAAGTTTATTTTTTAATTCATCGAAACGCTTTGCGATAATAGCAGGATCGGTACTAAAATGTGAAGAATGTTTTGCTGTAAGTATAGAAACGTGATTCGAAGGACAAACTTGGCAATTGCTTCGTCAGTGAGGTCTAGTTTTTGACGATTTTCATTGTACAGCAAATAAGCTTTTGAAAACAAATCGCAGCAACGTCCTGTTCCTTCGAGAAAAACTGCTGGTATATTATTTTGAACAACAGCTTCGTGAACTTAAACAAAAGATCTAAATGAATAGCACAGATAAAATCTGTGTGTTTCTACCTGTTCGAACAGTATTTGGACCTCCTTCCACCACGAGAAGAACGACTGGTACTGGATCTACGAGATCATGAGATCGGTTATTAAGACAAATATGCCATAATCATGTTTTTCTTTACCCGATTGTTCTTGTCTCATCGATGTAGGACCTGTTAAACTGGTAGTGATAGCATTAGTTTGACTAGTTGCCGATGTAGATTTCGATGCAAAGAATCCACCGGATATTGCTTGTTCAAGTTTAGCACGAAATGAAATTTCTCGACCATATTTTCGTTCAGTCCCATCATCGACAAAAATAAACTCAGTATGATTTGATTCCAGTGGTGCTTCCCCTTTCTGTTCACTACGAGGTTTTAAATAGGGAACTTTCGAACCACGTACATCAAGCTGTTGACAACCAGATACACAACCCCATGTAGCAATACCCTATTGAGATTATTATAATTCATAAGACTTTCTCAACTACTTGTTTAGTTTAACTTACAATTAGATGAATTGGTCGAGAACGATCAGGATTTATTTGAACAATCTCACCGACAAGTTTCATGATACCTGTATTCATGCCGCCAGTAATAATCCATGCACCTAGAATCGAATCAAAGGATAAATGTACCGAATGCAAGGATTGCTTTTCTCAGACATTCGATGTTCTCATGAACAAAAATAAAAGACAGAATATGACAAATTTATCATACCAGTTGTTCGAGCGACTTTGAGGAGACCTCGTCGAAATGCTCGTAATAGCTTTGGTTTCATATTGTACTCTTTTGCACCACCCGTCACAGAAATTACCAGTGACGGACGCTAGAAGAAAAACAACAATCATAATCATATTCCTCAAAATGAGCAAACTCACTCCATGACACCATTGCTTATTAAGTAATTCTTTGACGTGTGAAACTGATGCATCTGGTGGTATACGAATAAACTCAGCATGATTAGACTTGTTATCGGGAACTTAACAAAAGACTATTCGGGTATTTATTTATAATGCATTTGTTTTTCATACAAGTGATGGTTCCATATGATTTGACGCCGATTGCGTTGTACAACTGATGACTTGGGGCTCGATTGGGTCCAGGTATTAATGTTGAAAAGATTCTATTGGCATTGTCGGAAAGTAAAGCCGAAGTCGTTGTCGTTGTCATTGCCGATCTGTGTATGTCTTCGTCGAAAAAGAACGCATTAATCTGGAAGAACAGAAGTGAAAGCAAAAAGAACGAACAGTATTCATCTTTTCCTCTCCTTGTAATCTATTTACGCATACTTATATTTCAACTGAGTCGTTCGAACTTTTATGCTTGAAGAATATTCAATAGACGTCAAATATGTACGTTCTTCAAGCCAACAATCATTTGACAGTAGTATACACGCGATGAATCAAAACAAGAACAGACTAATTCACCTTGAAATATTGCTTAATAGATGTTACTATTAATTTACCAAGTTCATTATATATATATTTCGAGTTTGTTCTTCATGAGATGATTCATCGATGCTTGCGGGCGGGTGGATGACTGACCAATAGATGCCATTAATGAGTCAACCAATGAGAATTCTTCGATGTGAATCATTCGCTCTCTATGGTTGACAGATGTAAAGAAAGAAGACTTTTTTCATTCATTCGTTCATTTCAACCATCATATCAAACACGATGAGTTCATCAACAACGCAAAAGTTTCGTGAATTTATGGCCGAACCTATCGGTGACAAGAGTATTCGAGATGTTCCAGGTATCGGTGATGTCCTTGGAACGAAATTATCCGACGCTGGTTACGAAAGAGTACGTAGGTTTTTCTTGCGAAGACAAAATATCGACATCGTTTTCTTTTAGGCCTATACTTTATTTGGCAAATATCTCTTGTGTAATAAAGATCTTGAAGAATTTCAAGACTGGATTCAGACACAATGTGGTGCAAATAGTCATCAAGCCAAATCGGCAGCACAAGCGTTCGCCGATTGGGCTGAAGCATTTATTTAATAGATCTGTGTAGTTTTTTTTTGTTTGTGTGCAGATATTACAGAAGTTTAAGATGATGTTGTGCTTTTCTTTTTCTTGTTAAAATAAAAAATACTCTATTTCGTTTATTTGTAGATTATGTCTTCGACAACATCACAGAAGTTTCGTGATTTCACGGGCGAACCATTAAAAGACAAGCTTCTTAGTGAAGTACCTGGTTTAGGACCAAAATTAGCAAGTCATTTGGAAGGAGCTGGTATTACACGAGTATGTCTCCTTTTCGTATCTATGCATTTTATCATTTGATTTCATTTTAAGGCTTACGAATTGTTAGGTGTTTATTTGACATTGTTGAAGAATAAAGAATACTTTGAACTTTGGATTCGTGACAATGCTGGGGCCAATCGTCATCAAGCGAAACAATGTGCAGATGCTATCGATGCATTCTGCTCACAATTTCTCTAAATCACCTATTTTTGCGTTTTTTTTTCTCTGTGTTTGTTCGTTGTATAGATATGTAAAACAAGATTCAGAATAAAACTTATTCTTTTCTCTCCTTTTTTTTATTTCGTTATAATGATTCTGTGAACTGAACTGTTATAGATATGACAATCGTGACGAAGTGCTTCCTCGGTTTAATCTTCTTTACAACAGTCTTTGTCAATGGTAGAAATTCTTTTAGACGTATTCTATTCGTTTTCATTCATTATCTCCTTTATTCTAGTGTCGAATGCATTAAGTTGTTTTGTTTGTGACTCGAAAGAGGATGAACATTGTCCTGAAACATGGACACGACGTGATATTCTACCCGTCGAATGTGGTGGACCTGATGGCGTCCAAGATGCACGATTTTGTATCAAGACAATAGCTGTTTTCGGAGGTCAGTCATCGCAATAATCTTCATATCGGATCGTTTTAATCTGTATTTAGGTGCTGTGGCTACAAAACGTTTTTGTAGTTCTCGTGATTTGGATAATCAATGTATTGAAGTGAAATATCCTCAGGATGAAAAAATGTATTATTCGTGCACATATACATGTTCATCGGATGGTTGCAATGGCACATCTCGTTTGCATATTCCATCATTTTTTATATTCTTTTTTATTGCACTGCTCTCGATTCGTATCTAAGCATATATTCTTGTTTTTACAGATCTTACAAACCAAATTGTACATTCCTTTTTATACGAATATAGCTTTTTTCGTAGATATATATGTATAGCAATTTAGTTGAGTAGTTTTTTCACGATACAATGTTTTTTTTCTATAAACAAAAGATATAACACTTGCAGCGTAGTTTTCAATGCGAGTTGGTATGGATGGTCAGTTGTACAAATGATATTTGTGCTTTTTCTTTTATTCAGATGGAATAAATAAGATAACGATAGATGTGCTAAAATAGAGCAAATAAATAACAATAAAAATGAGAAGTTTTCTTATATCGTTTTTCTCAGATCATAACTGTTCGGATGACAAACAACAGCAATAACAATAAAGGAGGAAAAATACTAACAAGAAACAAACAAACAATTAGATAAAAGTGAAGTCCCGTTTAATAAATGAAAACAAAAGAGAACTGTTTCTCGTATTTATTGAAGAATATTACGAATTTCACGATGTAATTCATAAACAAAATCGATATAGGATGCACCACGTGTCAAACTCTTATCTTCGACCAGGTAATTCTTGAAAAATGGTTCCATTGAATCACGTTGTTGAATGACAAATAGCTAAAAAGACAAAGATCACATTAAAGCGTGTTTTTCTTTCCATTTTCAATGGCCATACTTTCATGTGAGAGTTTCGTTCATCACGAATCATATTTAATAAGCCTCGAACGTTTTTCGATAGTGGATTATCAAATTGAGCAACACGACACTAGAACAAAACGAAAACTTTATTCGTACAGGCCATTCCTAGCGTCCGTCGTATTCCTACTTTTTCTGGTTGAATCTGTGATGCTGCTTGAAGACCAAATACGTATTGCACAAATGTTGGATCAAGTTGACTACCGAGCCAGATGTACATAACAAGTCCATTCTCTGAAATGATAATCAATAACGAACAATTGCAAACCTTTTGATCTTACCAATAACATATGCTCCTGCATCAGACAGACGATCATACGAACATCGAATCATCGAAGGTGTAACATGGTCCTCTTCCAATGTATGCTAAACATAAAATCACAGTAGAAAATCAATCTTTTTTTTTGGTACTATCTACAAACCAATGGATAGATTCTGGGATAAAGATATGCCGAAGTTCCTTTGACATCCATTGACATCAAGCGATGCATCAACCAACTTCGATCGTCTGTATTAAGTGTTACAGCTAAATAGAGATTAGCGTATGATAAAAAGAATGTCTCATCGTGAATACTATTTGACATACTTCCAGTTAGAGCATCGCATTTAACCAATGACGATGAATAAACTGGTAACAGTTTTAATGTATCAGGTAAGATTAATTGACCAGCGGCACTACCCTGTGCACAATTTTTTCGATAACAGGCTAACATATGTGCAGCTTGTGTTGTTATACTACTACGTATGCTTTTCGGTGTCGAATTCAACACAGAGCGAACAGCTAAATTACGGAATTAGAAAACATGATATATCATCATTGTCTTTTCGTTATTATATACTGACCAACTTTCGTTGTAAAATTCATAATTGTATCCAGATCACATGCTGGATAGAATGATGTGTATGCTGATGTAACTGTTAATGCTAAGGTAAGAATTCTCAAACGACGTTGTCCAGATATACTCGTGTAAAGTAAAGCAACCTATTTTCATAGATAATTTCAAAATGAAGATTTCGATGGGAAACGAATGTGACTTACTTGAATATAAGTGTTACTATCGGTAGATAGTTTATCATCATGTTTTAATTCGACCGATACTGATTTATCGGCATCAATGGCACCAAACACCATTTCAGTTGCATTCGTCATATAAAAATTACCAAGAAAGTCAATAGGGCGTATGCCTAGAAAATCAATGGTAATCTTTTTCACAAATGGCTATTGAATTGATTGACATACCTGTACTCGTTCGTACGCGCATCAATGCATCAAAACCGATCGTTCGTTGAAAATTACGTCTCAATTCATCTAACAGACGTTCGCCATCATTTTCAATCTAAAAGATAAATTTCACTTGAATCTTTCATTCAAACATGAACGAACTTACTGAAAAAAAGTTAAATTTATAAATCTCTCCACCAGATACTCGACAGACTTCGCCAATTGTAGCCAAATCATAGTAAGCGTTAGGAAAAACAAAGAGATCAACAGCACAACCATTCTGTGCACATTCTTCACCGAGTTTAGTATAGATGTTATTCACTGGAGAAAGTAATGTCTGAACAAGAACATTTTAATAGTCAGTCATCGACATTTGGAAAAGAACATACTGATTCTTTTTCAGTTCCGAGCAGTTTCTTATCATCCCGATTAGATAATTTTCCTGGTGCTACAGCGATTGGTAAGGTTGTTGAGAATACATAGATTTTACCCCCACAATTAGCTCCCTAAATGTCAGCATACATAGATCTTTTGACAATGGTTAATACAACGTTATTCTACTTTCAAAGCTTGAATACCAGCGTCGATAGCAGGTGCTAGAACAGTTTCCGTTTCTTGTGAATTGACAAATGTTTTCGGAATTTGATCAAGTAAACTAGACGTATGAATGAAACGAAGATAGACATGTGAAAGAACTATCAACATTTGCTTACCTATTGATCACACCACGTGAAGTTTGCGGTGAACAAAGGAAGCCATCAAGTAAAGGAACAAATATTTCTTCGAGATCAGAAACGACCATCATTTGTGGTTGTCCGAGTGAATCCTAATTAAATAAAATATTGAATATGTTTATAAGCGCAAGAATGGAGTTATAGACTATTAGACACATGAAGCGTAACATGCATATACGAACGCACACAGAAACATCATACTACTTGCTCCCTACGAGATGATCGTTCAAAGTTGAGAGTCATGTGATATATCAAGAGGCAAATACGCTAGAATCTTACTCGAATATTGTAAAAATGGACTTGTTTGTCGAATGTTGCAAAGCCGACTCGTACTGTAGATGTTTCAGCATTTTTGTCTCTATTGAGATATGAAAAAGAAGCAATTATTATCACTAGGTAAAAAAGGATCGTACTTGGGTAAATAATCAAGAAGATCAGTTTTTAAAATATGACATATATAATCCACGAGACCACTACGAACGCTGTTATAAGACACATCAATCATGAAAATGAATGCCGGCGGTTCAGGCCATTTTTCATCCTAACAAGGTAAAAAGAAACACAAATACACGGGAAAACAAATCGTCGAACGCATACTTTACAATATTGCTTTGTTGCTGCAACTTCATACGAGCCAAGGCAAAGCTCAGGTCTTTGATAACAATCTGTGCGACGACCAGTATGGTCCAAATGATTAAAATATTCATTTACCACTAGAAACATTGCAGAATGTATTGATCGGGATATGAAAAAGTTCATTTTTGAATTTACCATCTGTTGTTGCTTCACAAAAGCAGCAAACAAAACGTTTTCCTCCATCTATGAACTGCATGAACGAGCACATGTATGCTTTACAGCGTTGGCACCGTACTGGACCAATATCACCAAAATTAGTCAATGGTGGTTCCAGCTAAATCAAATTTTAGTTACACTTTAAACATGAGACGAAACAAGTGTTACTTCATCCGTTCGTAGATTTGCTAATGGTGAGATCGATAACGCAATGGGTATATGCGATTGTTTAATCATATCCGCTGTATTGGGTATTGTGTAGGTGGTCGAACGCATCAGACGTGGATTACAACTGCCTTGATCTTGACAAACGAAATTCGTTCCTGCCAATGGTGGTAATGCACCAGGTGTGCTTGTGACAAACGGTGCTTGAATCTTTTCTTGGCTTTGTTCAAGGATTTGAATCTATTTATATATATATATATATATATATACGAGAATATTTATTGTGAATAGATTTGTAATTTTCATATCAATGTAGAGAAATATCACACTTACAACACTGGGCAGTGAGTCAGTATCAATGCGAGCCTGCGGAAGCTGTGGTTGTACAGATCCAGTTGGTAATGGCTGACCAGGATAGTTCGGATAATGAACTGAGGGTGGTCGGATTGGGTTAGGATGAACATTTGGTGGATACATAGTTGGTTGATTATTTGGAGATGGTTGATAATTGGGAAAAGATGACTGCGACCCATAAATTTGAGAATTTGGATTTGCCATTGGTGACGAAGCATCAGATTGACTCGATGGAGGTAATAGTCCTGAGTTTAGATATGGATATTGTATTGGTGGTCGGTCTAAACGATATGAATGCGTCCTTGCGAAAATAAATTGTGTGAGAAAACGTACTTATGCCGTTGGTCGCCATTGAAGTCTGAGACGAGGGAGGTGGATAGGATGGTTGGAAATGAGGAGGCATAATCGGTGGTTGAAACTGATTTGTATACGTTGGAGGTGAAGAGGTAGGCATTGTTGATGGAAGAGTAGGACTAATATATGTGGGTGGTGGTCCGGCAAGCATTTTATTATATTTCGATTAAAAAATTAGATCTACAAAGGAAGAAGATATAAATTTACGTCAGGTTTTATACGAAACTCTGTTCATGACAAGTTGGCAATCGTACACGTATCTTAGTATTTTGCAGCATGGCTGTCATACTGCAGAGCAAAGTGTTTGCGTGGACGATTCTCTATTGGTCGATGATTAAAATTTTAGCATTTGGAAGTCGAGCAATCAGATCAGCATTCTTTTTCCGACTATCGATCTTTCATGCATAACGAGCTACTAGTTTGCTTTAATTTTCTCAAAATTAATTATAAATCTATAATGATATGAAAGACGTCATCAACGGTGCTCAACGACATCTAGTACCGTTAAAAATTTTCTGTAGAAAGATACATCACATCATGTTTGTCTCATTGTCATTAGCTTGATTTTCTTTTATTAAGAAATAAAATTCATATATAATATAAACAAAAAATAACTGATAATTTCAATTCTTGACATAAATATGTGCAAATATCAAAAACAGTTGTCTGTATTATGTATGTCTATGATTTGAATCAGAAATATAACGTACAAAGCCACGGTTCAAAAGGTTGAATTTGATATTGAACAATACTAGCAATTAGCCATTCCGGTTCAATACAGATGATATTCAATTGTTGACAAGCTTGCTGTAACGCTGGTTTATTCTGAAGATAAGTTTTGGAACATAAAATTAGAATTTGTTTTCCAATAGTATTAACATGTTGATTCAATGTTTTTAATATGAGACCACCAGATAGATGAATCAATTCAATCAACGGTCGATTATCGGGAAATGGTTGACAACCATGACACTTTAAATGCAATGCATAATTGTCTAACAAAGGATGTTCATTGGAATAGTTTAATCGAGATCGCTGCATTCCATAATGTTGGTTGTAGATCGCATCACCGGTAATTTCATACGTTGGAATTTCATCAACATAATGTTGTTCACTTAAACATGCTGTTAACCATCGATAGGAAATGACTTTCAGATGACGTGTTACAGCTTGTAGAACCTTGCCAGTTAATGGGCAAATGAGAGAGTTGCCCTCGTTTTCGTCAGTGATCAAATGTGTGGTGCTATCATCGACTGATGCTGATGAACGAACAGAAAAACGTTCAAGAAAACGATTGAATTCCATCTACGAGACAAATTAGAATATGAAATACACTAAAAATACAGCTTCAGAATTTTCTACCTTTTGAGGATCTTTCAAAGCTGTCATTGTCAGTACCAATGATCGAAATTTTTCTTCATCGTTCGATGATTTATGTTCGGTAGCATCTTGTCTTGACTGAATATTGATATGTATCGATGATCCATCTGATTTTTTCGAATGTTCATAACGAGTTTCATTGATAACTGTTGATGTATCACGTTGAATAGATGATGATCGTTGTGGTTCAAGTTCAACTGTAGGAATCGAATCAATTTTTTTGTTGATAACATATGTGTCATTCATTCCGCTGTTGTTCTATGCAAAAAAACACGAAAATAAAAATGTGGCGTATGATTTACTATTGACATCTTACGTTTTGTACAGTAGTCGGTTCGATTTCATTGATAATTGAAGTTGATTGAGATGATAAATTTTGATGAGTTCTCAACTGTCGTTTATTGTTCTTCTTGATTGTACTGCTTATCGTTGTCGAAGATGGATCTGTTGGTGTGATCGTAATTGAATTACGGAAAAAGATAGCCATGCTAGCCATGAATAATTGTTCGGAACGTGTATAGATTTGAACACATGGACACACACTAACGTCATTACAATGATGATGAGTAGGTTGATAATCTTCATCGCCATCAGTCTGAGTGGCAATAGAACAGTACACTTTTTCAATGACCTCAGGCGTCATGGATGTTTCTTGATCTTGTCGATCGATGGTTAATTCAACAGGCGGTTGGACTACTACTGATTGATTGACTGATTGTTTTGGTTCGAGATTAGTCATTTGGACGACCGATGCGCTTGTCTGTATCGGATTATTCGTTGAAATAGTCGTGGTGTTCATAGATAAGGTTGATAGAGCGAGTAATGACGGTGGTATTTGAGTTATCGTTGGAATAGACCGACGTGAAGCAATGTATGTGGCATTCAAAGGCATTGCTGGTGAAAGAGGGGCAGCTAGGACAGATGAGACATGTAGTTGGTTTTCTTGTCTTTCTTCTTCTTCATTTGTTTCTTCTGGTTGTATCGTTGATACTGATTGAACAGGTAGAATCGGAAACGGTAATGTTACCGGTGGTATTGAAGATGAAGATGGAAGAAGAAGAGGTGCAGGAGAATGATTGTTGTTAGTTACAATCGGCTGTATTTGATGTTCATCACATAGTTGTTCTTGCTCTTCAGTTTGCTGCTGTTGTGCCTGTGATGTAATACTATCTGGAGCAAATTCTAGTTCGTCAAGTTGTCTCTCTAAAGCATCAAACACAATTGAGAAGAGCTTTTTTGTTGTCGATCAAATACTTGAACAAAGACATCCACGACGTCGTTTGTTGGTTGGAATCGGTAATTGATGATCTACAGTCGACACATTGATTGATTAGAAATATAAAAGGAGGAAATCTTAAGGGTACGATCTACCTTTTGATTCACAACGTGGATGACATGTTACAGCTGCATGATTATGCTCATCATTTGTGTCCAATGCATGATTACCACGTTGTTGATCTACAGTTCTGATTAGAAGATCTTCTAGTATAAAAATTGTTTACCTCTTTCTGTCGTAGTTGGTACTATATCTGTACTATCATCATCATCATGATCATTATCTAGAAATGTCAAACAATGGTATGAAAACAAAATTGCATTCGTAAACTCACCCGTTCGCTGTCGTTTTTTTGAACCTGGTGAAGAATCTTCTATGTCTGTCGGTCTGTTGACTTTGTTATTTGTGTGTTTACCGTGTCGCGTTTTAGCATCCATCATTTTCGTTTGAACGAATTGTGTGAAACCATTGTTAGGGTGATTTTCTTTTCCAACATCATCAACTGATCGGTCGATATCATGCGTACGCTTTTGAACTCGATCATTTGCTTGTCGAATAGATGCACGTTGTGGTTTATCGTTTAAAATTTTCCTCTTCGAAACTTTCGTTCGTGAATTACGACGTATTTGTTTCGATTTTGTAATGGTCGATGAACCTTTCAAGTCACAGGGAACGACCATTGTCTATAAAATAGAAAAGAACATACACACATGTATATGTTTGAATCTTAATTGAGTTTATTTATTGAGGAATTGGAAATTGAATTTCTCTGTTTCTTTCTTTGTACAAATACAAATCAGAAAAGAAAAGAAAAACCAGGAAATCTGAATAGTTTATATCATAATTATTAACAAAAAAAACTAATTAATAGTAGGAAACAAAGAGATAGAAGAAGAAGAAGAAGAAAAAACCTCACAAACGCGCATACAAAAAGACAATAACAAATATTCTTTAAAGTTGCGTCTTTTCTCAATACTGTATTGAAGTTCATTGATTTGTATAATACCAATCGATTACACATACATTTTCTATATACAAAAACGAGAAGGGAAGAGAAGAAATAAAGAAAGAAAAAAAAACCAACAAATTTTAACATTCAGTTCCACGAACAACAGGCGATGTTAACGTTTCGTACTTGGCTGATGGAAGGAAAAATGGTGAATTTGGAGAATTTTTCTGGAGACTATTTTGTCTTAATTTCACAAGACCTGAACGTATCGTATCACCGTTTGGCAGGCAAACAACATCGGATTGTCCTATACCAGAGTCAGAAGATGACACAAGACGTTCTTCATAGAGATACGATGAATTATCTGAACTTCCGTTATTTAGACGTGTACGTGAATTCGAACGCGAACGTGGTTTGGGTAACGGCATGGGATTTTTATCGAGATTTTCGGGAGGTATACGAATTGAACCTAATGTCGAATAACGTGGTTTGGGTGGAGGTGGTGCACGACGTTTTGTCGAGGAAGACGAAACAAGAAATGAACCACTTTCAGACATAACATCAGTTGTAGTCGAATAAACCGGTGAGTCATCTTCGTCTTCGTTATGGTCGTCTGTATCATGCGTTAGTTTTCGTGGAGATATGAGAGTACTTGTCGGAGAGATGGGTCCGTATTTATTATCATTTGAATTACCATAGAATTTATTGTTGAATGTACGTGCTCGTGTTGGTACTGCATTAAGACTATTTGTTATTGATTCTTGGTCCACATAGTGAACATTAGCTGATTGTTGAGGTTTTTGTTGATGATAAACAGAAGGAGAAGAGGGATGATGAGAATATTTACCATTTAAATGAGTAGGAATATCATAAACAGCTCCATTCTGAAACAAGCAGCGACAAGTGAATGATGACTTTGCCATCAAATGACTATATGAACTTACTGGATGATGTCTATCACCACCATTGAGAGCCAAATGAGTCTCATCTAAAAGGGAAGCTATGTTTGACAACATTGAATTGACGTTGGAAAGAATTTACCAGTGATTGGCTTCAATGATTCGCTCTCGGCCGACGAGCGTGGATATTCTATAGAAGGAAAAAACAAACGCATATTATTTTGCTGCCGGAACCATTAGTTCAGCTATCGTTTCGTCAAATGTATGAAATAATAGCGCAAAAGAAACATGCAGAAGATCATGCGCGATGTCGAAATTTTTATGTAAATACAAAGCTAATAGTTGATAAACCTACGCCGAAGAAATGTTAGGTAGAGGAAGAGGAGAAGTAGATTGAATTTGATGTACAGAGACAAGATGTGATTTTTCTCTTGCCACAGGTAATACTGAATGATGATAGTGATAGTTTATGAGATGATTATTTACTAAGAAAGTAGGTTCGAAAGTAAACGAACGATTACTTACTATCTTTTTGATAGAAATTATTTCGATTTGAAAGTTTTGTTCGATCGCGATGACATGTTCCACAGAGACAACAGAGAAAGAAGAATACCACTGCACCACCGAAGATGCTGCCGATGACGACAAGAATTTTCTTATTGAAAAATGGTGTTTCTTTGCGCACTAAAATCAAACTTTATAAAAAAAGTCAATTGAAAGATTCTTTCAAACTCACCTGTGGGCTGATTCAAGTGAATAACATAGCCAAAGGTATTGATCGGTAATAATCCATAACGATTAAATGCAGCCACACGAAATTCCACTGGCTCATGGAATGTTTCCAATGCAAAAATACAAGATTTTGTTCGAGCTTCTTCTTTGAACATCTTCTGATTATCTTTATCATTGAATTTAAACAATATACATGTATAACCATCACTGTCACCTTGAGCATAACTTTTCGTACAACTAATAGTTGTAGTTGTATTCGATGTATGAGTATCAATAACACAGTGAGTAATGGCATCTGGTACACCTGTAAAAAATCACTTGACTTTGATATAAAACTGAACTGAATACGAGATAGCATGAGAAGAAGTCATTCTACAATGATAATTCACTAGTACAATATAATTAGGGAAATCTATTGTGTCCTAGCACGTCAATGTCAAGACAAAACCGTTCTGTGTATGTTGTAATAAGTTCTACGATTAGAAATCAGTTGTGTTCAAGCCAAGATGACTGATAGAATTCGTTTCAAGCGAAGAATTTTCTCTTCAATTAGATCTGAATTTGCGTATGAACCGATAGCTAATATGAAACGAAGCAATTTTCCCATTCATTAGCATTTATACTATTATATTAGAAGAAATGATGTACCATATACAAATGTCTTTTCAAATCTCGCATAGCATGTGATGCAAACTGGCGGAAGATGAGTTTCGTGATTGTCAACGCAATTACTGTCGTCTGACTAAGATTAACAACGTGTTAATTATACAATAATCGATAGAAAAGACAGAAGATGATGTCGTGTGAAATATTCATAAAGAAAAATCTTTACAAAGTAAATCGACTGACTTCCAGCTCGTCTAATAACACGTTGGTTCGTTTTTGTTGCTCACATTATGTAAATTATCGAGTGAAAAGTCCTTGATATTTTAATGCTATTCATAGTCGTAATTACAAATAACCTTATCACAAACTAAGAAAGTTACTTCAAACAAAAACGAGATCAAAAAGATTTAAATTAAATAACAGCTCTTAATTAGACAATAAAAAAAGGAATTTTCTTACCTCCATGAATTAATTCGTATGTGCAAGTATCGTAACCAATGCTATTATTCGCAGTCACATTAAACGGACGAAATTGTTCGATTGATGTAGGTATTATATCGAATGTGTAATACATCTGAGTTGGATCACCATACGTTCGATGAATAATGGATGATGGTAAACCATTGATTGTATAACGTATGTAAGTTGGATTAGCACGTAGAACAGTACAATTAATAGTACGTGTTTGATTGATACCTATGTAGATTTTTCTGGATCGTTCGAGAACAGTTGGCCGAACTAGATTAAGAAAGGTAATTAGAATGGGAATTTTTCAGGAAAGAAAATATTTACATTCGATGTAAAGTTGTTTTATTGATGTTAAAACGAGCTTTTCATCAATTTGTTTCATATCAACACGACATGTAAGATTTCGTCCATTGTCAGCTGGTGTCAACCCAGCAATACGATAAGCTTCATAAACAGTTGGTCTAAATTGGTTGTTGATTGTTGATGGTACTTGAATACCACCAGCTAATGCCATAATTGTCGGTCCCGTACTGTTTCTATCCAAGGCTATGTCAAGAGCAGGACGAGGAGAACCATCAGCAGCACAAACAATGTCTAATGGTTCACCTTCAACCATAACTAAACAATTGCCGTTATCAATCCCGCATAAATCATTTGTACGGGTTCGAGATGTCACATGAAGATTACTTAAATACACATGTTGAACTGGAGCTGAAAAAATAATAAAATTATGGCTTCAGTTTCAAAGACATCCTTCGATAGCTGCATCAATCACTCATCGACGTCCACTTCTTTTTTTTTCTACAATAACATTAAAAGTAGTTTATCTTGTTCTAATCATCTACCGTCTGAATACAATTGCTTGACTGAGAATAAATTGACTGTCTAACAAGTTGTGTTCTTTCTCTCTCTCTCGCGTTCTTTTCTTCGGATCAATATAAAAAATGATATACTATCAAATGATGACGATAATGATCATGGTTATATAATTGCAGTTTATCTTTTTCACTTTATTCCATTGATTAAACTTACTATAAACTTGAATTCTTTGCCATTCTGTATCATCTTGTGGACATTTATACAATCCGCTATCATCTTCATTAACATTTTTTATTCGTAGTAAACTTGTACGATATGGATTGGAAAATCGATCATCTTTACTCGGTTCAACAATTAGATTCTTTTTCCCGTCGAAACTTCGGTATTCGTACGCAAAAATGGACGTAGAACGATTGTCACATAATTCTGCAGTATCACCATGTTTAACATAAAGTGTACTTTGTTGTCCGAAAGTAAGATGTACGATAACAGAAAAGAAGAATATAGAAGATAAGAACATCAGATCATTATACATCGTTCATCTAAAATTAGAGAAAAACTTTGTCGTATAGATCAACAAAACATGATTGAATGCGTGTCTATGTGTACAAACCAGTCAGCTCCCTAGTATTCGACATTAACAAGAAAATGAAAGAGATTCGAGGTAATCATACTCGACTATTACTTCCAGGAAAGATAAAAATGAAACTAATTATCTAAAGCAAATCATCGACTGCGAACCTTGGAAATGTGAGACTAAAGAAAAGAAGAATGATTCAACTCGTTAGTTGTGCGCTTTGTGATTATCAGCTCTATCCTTGACGAATATTGACCATATAATACCATGAGCAAAAAAATAGAAGACATACAAAAGATCCATTGGTTTAGACACGATACTTAAAATTTCTCTTACGCTCCACCATCAATAATTGGCGCCGACAATTATACGCCACACGTCCTCGCGCAAATGCGTGCGTTCAACATTATATTTTCCTGGCGGTCGTGCGCGTATTATGATTGTTTGCAGGAGCAGTTGGAACAGTAGAAACAAGAAAATGATGATGACAAAATGTTGACCGTTCATATTACACAATAGTAAGTGTCAATGACATAGGCGTACGCGAACTAAAGGAAAAGAAGAAAAAAAAATGCGAGTTGCGACGTTGGTGAGTGACACGATAACATGATTATGTACATGTACGGCAGTCTAAAAGTGCCAAAAATGATAATAGCATCCGTGAGACAGGAGAATAACAATGAATTAAGATATATATACACCCCGGGAGAAAGAAAAGGAAAAATGAAAAAAAAATTCAAGTAAAAAAGTCGCGTGCTATCACGTACCTGCAACTCTTATTTAAAACATGCGCTCAGTGCCATTCGCATATTCCTCATTTGTGCTACATTCTCCATTAACACGGACGATTAAAAATGTATAATAATATGATATACGATGCATAAAGAATATCATATCACAGTTTGCATATGTATATATATACACATATATCATAGAGACGAGACGATATTTTCTCACTAATAGTATACTACTATTTTTCCTTCTCTCTCTCTCTTTCCACATCGCTCTTCGGTTTTTTTTTATAGTGCCATTATGCGATGCAGACGAGTGTGCATGCACATTCACAGAGAATGTAGCCGACATGAACATTTCTTTTTCTTCTGCGATTTTTTCCTCTGCTATTCCCAGTTTACTTGAAAAAAAAGGATGACCACTATTACCCTTACTCGCGCAAAAGAAGAGAACAGGAATTGAATGAATAACGTTCTTTCTTTGGTGTCTCGCGCTCTTTTCTGTTGTCTCTATATGTATGTGCATTCGCTTCCATTCTTTAGTGCAACGAAACCCCCACGCACATACATAGTCTCATACATAAAGAGAGACAGAAAGAAAGACAAAAGAACAAGATGAAAAAATCGAGCACACACACAGTTGATGGATGAATCTGGATGATGAAACGAGTCAACCTACCGATGTTGATGCTGGCCGGTCAAAATACGTCCAGCTGTAGTTAATAATAATAAGGAGACGGCGACAAAGAAGAAGAAGAAGGGAAGAAAGAGAATTACCAGTATAAAACTGTGAAGCATGAAGAAAAAAGAGGGAAGAAACTATCGATGCTCTTGCGATACAAGTGCAATAACAAATTTTAAACTAATCTGACGAATGGGTGCTAGATTTGACACTATCGCCTATTGTCCGTATTCACGTTATGAAACACTCAAAGTTGCCCTTTCAAAGAAATACTGACCCCGAATGAAGAGAATACAGTGTGCTTTCCATTCAAGGTCCCAACCTTTTATGATGATCTATCTGTTGTTCTATTCCCTCCGACATTCTTTTAATCAATTCTATATCAAACGATATGTATATACACACTCGTTGGAATAGAATTATCGTCGTTCTTCAAGATTCGACTCAGCGTGCGAACTAATTCAAGTGGTCACTTACAAATAACTTGCCAAAAAAAAAACGATCTCAGCAAAATTGTACATGAATGAACATAAATTGATGACAAGCGCTGCTGACGATAGTCAACGAAAAAGAAAACGAGAAAAAGAAACATTCAATTTGATTAGTTGCATGTCACCATCATCAATCGACGAGTACACACATCCACACTCACTCACATATAGTCTCCACTATCGGCGTTTTGCTGGTACTGTTGCATAAGTTTGTGTGTGCATCGAATATAGTCAATAAACGATCAAATTACACACTCGATATGCACGCAAGAAAGAGAGACCCATCTTCGACGCCTCTCTCTACAATCGATATCTCCTTTGGAGCAGAAAAAAACAGTAACAATCAAAAATTGACTTTTACATTTTTTTTGTGCTTGTCATATCGTTATCGTTTATGTCAACCATTTCATTAAGTTTGTCTTTTCTCCCGCTCATTCTTATCACATATGTATATGTGACAATACAAGGTTTCGTAGATGTACACGCTGAAGGAGGAAAGCGAAAAAACCCTAAGAAATAAAACAGTTTTTACTAGCCTTTTTCTTTCAACCATATCTACGTATTTGGTTGGATTCTTAAGTAAACCGATTTGGTCTTTAAATCAACAATCATGAACAAAGGAAATATGGAGACATACAGACATATACAGAAAGAAAGAAAGAAAAGTCAAAAATTCAGTTCGTTCAGTCATTCATTATTCTTTTGTCTTCGTGAAATATCTGTTTGATTGGTGTTAAATTTAACCAATGAATATTCCATGGAATTCGTTTCTTTCGAAAATTCAATTGTAATTGAACTGCATTAATGATTGATTCTTGAACAATGAGATAAGACAGTGCCCTACGTTCATACTAGAATCAATTTGACAAAATTTATTCGACTTAGTCAGGCTTTTTCTCGATCGAATTACATCATTGTCGATCGACAAAGCGTTTCATAATCATCATCGTCGTCGTCGTCGTTGGTATTTGTGTACAGCAATTTGAAATCTTTCCGTAAAGAAAAGAGCTATTAAGGGAAAAGCAGAACAAGCAAGACGTATTTCGATCACGTGGATGAAGAGCCAAATGATGCAGGGGACACTTTTTCTTTGGTAAATAGATTACTCATTTTTTTTCTTTCCTTTGTGATGAAGCACTAAAAAGCTGTAATTTCACTTTTACTAAAGATGGCTGTGAAATACATGAATCATTGTGACTGTAATGAAACGCAGTGCTCATACGGTGAATTCTTCGCTAGTCGAAACCACCAATAACAATTCTCCTAAACGATCCTGTACTCAGCGAAACAAATTCTGTGTCGCCAGGTATATATTTATTTAAATGACATGAAAACACTATTTTTCTTTGGTTTTTTTAATCACCAAAAATCGTAGCTCCCGTAGTGATTATTCGTCACCAATATCAACTGATTCATTCACTATGGAAGATAATATTGATTCATTAGTCTCTATGGGATTTACAGATCGAGAGTTCAATCGTCGGACTTTGCTAAAAGCGAATAATGATATTAGTGAAGCTGTGACTATTCTAACTTCCAACTACTATAATGATGATATTAGTTCATCAGTGGATACGACACCATCGACGTTCATCGGTCCTCGTACAAAAGAACAAGTCGAACAAGAGCAGCAACAAACAGTAAGAAAAAAAAACGTGACAGAAAGAGAGACAAAGATAAGAGGGAAAAAAAGAAAAGAAAAATAAACTTCACATGTTTTCGAGAATTTTTATTTATACAAAATTCTATCGTCGGACTTCTGATGGGAGGTTTCACAAAAAAGTTTTTAAAAAAGATATTCAAATCCAAAACAACGGTTGAGATTGAAGGGTAAAGAAATATCTGCATTTCGTTCTCTCACATAGGTTGCCGCGGATCAAACGTCGACAGATGCAAATTCGACTCTCTCGGATGATGTGACCGTCGATCATTTCCAATCGTTTACTACCAACGCTTTCCTTAATTTAGAACCGAAGGTCTACGGAGACAAATGGTCCATCCCTTACAAACGTAAGTATTCTTTTCGCTTGAAAGCAAAGATTTTCAGTCGAGTGACAGGCATAACATCTCCACTTAATACGATAACAACCAATCACAGTTTTTCCCGTATAAATTTTTATCTAAAGTATTTCATTACGGATAATCTACTTATGTGTCGCGAGGGCTTGCCGTGTTGACAATATTTGAAAGTGAACAGACCCAATATGATTGTTTTCTAGGCAATGAAGCTCTTGGTCAATGTTTGCTTTCTGCAACGAAACTTGCTCTGGAAGGTAAACTCATTTAACTATCTGTTAACATTTACAATTATCTTTTTCGCTTCCGATGCTATTTATAGGTAGAGCTGATGAGGATAAAGATTGTGTTAAATTTATGGAAGACCTAATACCCGAAGCTTTTCGCAAAGTAAAAGATAAAAAAGTAACGTCATACGAATGATTTTCCTTGTCGGTTCTATTCAGCTACAATGTACTCATCATGTGAATAATTGGGCAGTAGAAATCCAATTAGGTGTTTTCGATATGGTCGAATTATTAGTTGATTTAATCGCTGCACGTTTATCTTATCCACCGGTTCCTGTTAAATTACTTGAAACATTAGCGATCCTTCTCGATCCTGAGTCGATCTTTCAGCGAAAACATCGATCGAAATCCTATGATCGTTCTTTATATGACAAACAATTAGGCGATCAGATCTTAGCTAATCCACCATCGGTATTCGCACTCCATAATCGAAATGAAACATACGGTTGGTTATGTCGATTGATAAATCGGTTCGTTGTAAAAGATGGAATAACAAATTTAAAAGAACAATTCGAAAGTGAAAAACCACTGACAGCACTGGTAAATCTCCGAGCCAAAATGCTCAACGTAAAAAGCTTTTGTTGATTACATTTTAGGAGTACAATGCGTTACTTGTACCATTTGTCAATTGTATGGATTATCTCTTCTTAGACCGTTATCGACAATTATTTAGTGAACATGTTGAACAAGCAATTGATTATGTTCAACGTCTAAAAGAAGAAGATTTCAAAGCAAAAGTTTGTGGATATATATATCGGAGATGGATGTAGGTAATTGTTTGATTTTAGTCGACTAATGCGATATTCGAGTTGTTAACAACATTACGTAAAATATGTTTGGTGGCTTGGCCAACTCGTATCAATCAACTAGAACAATTACATTTGAATTTGTTATTGAAAATGATTGCATTGTCGAACTTTAATGCGAAAATGAATTCGTTAAAAGAAGTAAAAGCGATGAAATCGAGTAGAAGAAAACAAAATATTTTTCTTTAGTTAGCAAAACTAATTGAAAATGCGTCGTTCAATTATTCTAGCACATCGAAAATATCGATGCAACGTAGTAGTTTAAGTGATTGGATTATTGCCAACTCCATTCTATCAAAAGCATTGGAAGGTAAACAAGAACGAAGAACATTTTCAAAATTATGCGGTGCTTCTCTTTAGGAAATATCGATCAAAATCAATATGTTGATAAAGTTCGAATTCTATTGGATTTTATCGCACCCAACATTCTTAAGGAAGAAATTGAAACCATCTGGAAAATGCAGGTATACTTTAGCATATCTATTAGGATTACAATAATCGAGTACATACAAAGACACACAGATCGGCGTTTCTTCGATCGATGAAGCTCAAACTTTGATAATGAGTAACACTAGTTAATCAGTGATTGTTTATTCTGTAGAATAATTGAGAGGAGCGACGAACTTACGTAATAGAATTGGGCATATCTATTCTAATACTCACAGGAAGAAGTAATAATCGAATTAGTCTTAATGTTAGATATATAATACATCGTTTTAGTCTAGGGAAATCAAGAAAGAACGTAAAGAGATTGTAATTTACTAAATAAAATAATCAAATAAAAGAAAACTCGATCGACGTTACTGCTAAGAATGGAATGTATAGTTTTCATCGAACTTATGATAATTGTTTTGAATGTTTTAGCATGGGCGTTCGTTAGTTGCTGTCGATCATTTATTTTCGTTAATCGCGTCAGCTGCAGCGAAATTTAATTTACAGCAATTGAATTTCTTGATAGAATTCATTTACAATGTAAGTTTCGTATATTATTCCTGATTATATTTGACAACTAAAGACTATCTTACCTATTGTAGTCGTGGAAAACAGAAACTGTTCTCATTCAAGAGAAACTTGTTGAACTACTTGGTGCTATTGGTCGAGAGTGTCAGAAAGAATCAGCTGCTCGTGTTTTAGAAGTTCTTTGGGACATCGCCCACGGAGACCGGCTTAGTCGCCCGATGCTTGATCACATTCTTCATTCACATCTACGCATATTCAGCGAAGGCCGTATGTTATACGATGAGTTAAAACGTGAATATTGCTTGAAGTGTGTCGGTGATTTAAAACGGAAACAAGGCTGGTTAGTACCAGCTATCAAACATTTGTACGATTTGTTGCGGCATGATTCAACGACTACATTTAAACGAACGGATCAAGATCTGACTTCGTTATTAGTTCAACAACATGATTTGATCTTTGCATTAATTCAGAGTTTATCCACATGTCAATTGGATGTTTGGAACAAAACACAGGGCAATGTTACAATTGATACATTAGTCGATGGACGATATACGCACGAAGAATCGGTGAAAAGTCATTTAGATTTATTATCATTTCTATTGAAAAAAGGAAGTCTTTTCCTCCTGTTAAAACGTGCAGAAGAACTTTGGGATACATTGATCACAAATGAACATGTTAGTTCGTTCGATCATGAACTTGGCTTGAATTGGTTTATCACATGTGTAGAAGATCTCAAAAGAGATTCTCAAAAAACACTTTTCGAAGAACGTGTTGCCAAGCTCGATCCAGTCCATCTAACACCGAAAGGTAAAACAAATCATCAATTGAAAGAGTAATGTTATATTTATTTTGAATTAGGCTATACTTGTTTCAAACTATACTTCGAACGTTGTGATTCAGAACGACGAGGTTTTGCGTATAATCTAAATACTTCATCATCAGTGACTGTAAGTTGATGTAAAACAATTGATTGATCATTCTTCTTTATCTTTCAATAGAATGCAACGACAGAGTACTATGGTATCAATGAATTATGGAATATCATCTTATGCGTTGATGATGAGCATCTAGCTGATGAAGCAACTCGATTTTTACTTGAATTGTACTATACGAAACATTCAAATCGTACTCGTCGTACAACTGCTCAATTACTCCATGAGTATTTCCTAGAAGAAGTTTATTTGCGCTTGGGTCATCTACTTAACACTGCCATTCCACCGTCGACGTGCTCAACAGACTATGTCGCAAAACTTTACGCATCCCTAAAGGTTTTCGGTGAACAATTTGTTTCAACAGCACCATCAACACATCATATTATTGATTCAAATCAAACTGACAATGCTTTATGGTTACAAAAAGTCGAACGTCTTTTAATGATTACAGAAGCATACATTCATCTTGTCGAACATGAACATTCTCCAACAGCACACATAACATCGTTTCATGGTTTGGAATATCAGATTAAAATAACTTTGGACGAATTCGGCAAAACCAATTGTTCCTATGATCTTGTTACAATTCATTCAAATGATACTCTCGAAATGTTACGCGTACGTCTTGCCGAATTTTACAAAGTTTTATCACAGGATATTCATATTTCCATCCAAAATACTCGACCACTTCCACAATCATACGATCATTTTGGAATGAACTCCAATGCTATACCATTATCACATTCATCGTCGAGCAGTCAATCGACATTGACGACAATGAACAATAACAATAATAACACTTCAACAACATCAAGTAACAATAATAATAATGTTCTAGATTCGCGATATAATTCTAAATATCTCTATCAGCTGTATATTACACCTGAAACAATGGTTTATGTTAAAATTCTTGGTGGAGCATCCAATCAACCGGTTCGATCAATTACTACTGAACCGAAACGTATTCGTATCAGCGATTCGGCGTTTGTATCAACAATTCGAGAAAGAAATAATTATTACAATAATGATGGTTTAACACGTTCAGTTCCTTCAAATATTATGGCCGAAAATTTGAAAGTTTATGATGTACTCTATAAATTATCTTTCCTCGATAATCAAAAAATTCATCAACGTATACGTAATCTTCTTTACTTGATGCCGTCAGACAATCGTATCTATGATTATCTTGATATAATATCTACAAATGCTGTAAATCCATTTCACAATGAAGATGAACAATATGATAAAGCAAATCCGACTGAAATTAATGCGACAATCAATCCTCGACAAGCGATCACTCGTATACTCGACATGGACCATTATAGTTTCATTCAATTGCTGTATAATCTGGAAATCTTATCCAGTCGAATCTTAACTGTATCAATTAACAACGGTGTTCAACAAAGTTCGCCATCATTTCGACAACATTTCATTGAACATGCAGGAATCGACTCTTTACTTTATTTACTTCATTCCATGGGCGATTACATCTCTGGCGAATATGAATATTCATTATGTGAAGAAATCATCCTTTTAACATTACAACTTATTCAGCTACTCGTTTGTGGTAATGGTAATCGATCGGATGATGTGCTTTCCACATCTTTTCCCATGCAAATGTCACCATCAGCTTCATCGCCAGAGCAAATATCACAAGCAGCCAGTGATGCTATTCCTGAAGCGATGGAATTTGATTTCCAAGGAACTGTTGAACACCTATCATTTGAACAATTCGTTCTACAAATTCAACAATTAATCTTCTTATGTTGGGCAGCAGCTGCTGGAAACATACGCTTACATGGACAAAGCTTGACAATCAAAGAACAAGTGAAATTAGACCGTTATACATTATTGCAACGAATTAACACGAATGTAACAAATCGAACGAGTAGTAAAAATTCGTCATCGAGCGAAGCATCGCCGGACAGTAGTCAACAGCAAACAGTACAGTTCGGTATTTGTGTGAAAAACGATTCCATTCGACCGTTGGATAGTGAAATAGCAGAGAAAACGATTGAGATTATTACTTATTGCTTCGAAAAACGATCGGAATTCTTCGCTACTTTTCTTGTTCAGCCATTCTTTGCTGATTTTCTTCTGGAAATCTTAATTGGTACGACTTCATATTCGATACGTCAATGTGCATTACAGAATATCATTCGTTTGTGTAAAATTGAAACATCAACTTACGAGACGCGTTCGATTATACATCAAATCTTAATCAAAGCTCGATTACCATTATGGTTATCGTCCAGTCGCGGTACACGTCATGCAAATCAAAAACTCTCAGCACATTCGATCGAATATTTTGATTTACGCTGCCAATTAAGCGAAAATTTAACTAAAGAACACCAAGAGATTCTCGGTATTGATGCCAAACAATTACTCATGAATGAACTTGAATGGTTATCAACCTACACGGTATCGTTAACTTCTAGTGAACTACGCACGATCGATAACATTCTCTTCATCGGCCATCTGAAATTCATTCGAACACTGTTAACATGTGAAAATGTTGATAAAAATGAAATCGGAACTGAATTGATCCGTTTGCTTATCGATCAATTTCTATTTCCAGCATCGAAACGAATGTCATTGTCGATTATACCATCGACTAACGAGAACGAGTCGAACGATGACAATGCTTGTGAACCGAAATGTTCAACAAGTGAAAGTCGACAAGCAGCCTATGATGTTCTCGTTGAATTAGTTCGTCATTGTCAAGCAAACTTCCAACTCGTCAGTGGAGAATTAATCCATCTTCATCATAGACCACTATTAGAAAAACAAACGGAATGGGAAGTAAGTGACAAAGAATGACTCTTTTCGTCAATCGATTTAAATTTAATTTCAGTTTATGCCACAAGTAAATCCTCGAGCAGCTTGTGGATTAGTTGGACTTCATAACGGTAGGAATTCCGAGTAATATAGGAAAGAAAACATTGTATCATAATTTGAATCAGGCGGTGCAACTTGTTATATGAATTCGATTCTTCAACAATTATACATGATCCCTCAAATATCTGAACATATTTTAAATGTACATGATGATGGTGAAGGTGGGAAAACCGAAGGTGATTCAGGTTTATTTTGTCAACTTCAACAAGTGTTCGGTCATCTAATGGAAAGTAAAATGCAATACTATTCACCCGAATCTTTGTGGAAAGTATTTCGTTTATGGGGCCAAGAAATCAATGTTCGTGAGCAACAGGATGCATTCGATTTTTTCACAGCAATGACTGATCAAATAGATGAATATCTGAAAGGTATTAAACAAGAAGAAATTTTTCACAAACAATTCGAAGGTATATTTTGTAATCAAATGATTTGTACAAATGGATGTAATCATCGATATGAGGGTGAAGAAAAGTTTATGGCTTTAAATGTTGCTGTTAAAGTTGATTCACTCAATGAATCGTTGAACCAATTTGTTAAAGGCGAAGTACTTGATGGAAATAATGCGGTAAGATTTGAAAACACAAAGTCGTAATTTGTGCATGCTTTAATTGAAATCTTTTTTTTTAGTATTTCTGTGAAAAGTGCCAAGAAAAACGACGAACGATCAAACGGCTCTGTGTAAAGAAATTACCACCGTTATTGTGTATACAAATGAAACGTTTTGGTTTCGATTGGGAAAATAATCGAGCGTTGAAATTCGATGATTATTTCAAGTTTCCTCTAGTACTTAACATGGAACCGTACACATTGGATGGCGTGAACAAACGTGAAAGTTTTGTTGATCATGATGATTCAACTAATCAGTTGATTAATTCATCCGCGCCATCAACAACTTCTGGTAGAATAAAAACTTTCTCGTTCTTCTTTTCCGATACTGTTTTCTTTTGATCTTCTAGGTTCTGATCATGTCTCCTTGTCTCGCACGTCCTCTTCATTGAACAATCCATCCACTATCAATTATGAACTAATTGGCATTGTTATCCATTCAGGTCAAGCCAATGCGGGTCACTATTATTCATTTATCAAAGATACACGCAATCGATACTCAAATAATCCCAATCAATGGTATCGTTTTAACGATACATGTGTCGAAGAAATTCAACTAACTGAGCAAATGCTCGAAGAAGAATGCTTTGGTGGAACATTTCGTGTACAAAAAGATAGTTACTTTCATTCAAGCGAAGAACGAATACGTTTTTGGAATGCTTATATACTCATCTATCAATGTATAGAACCAGCCAAACTGCTTCCACCACCATCAATTCTGACACGATTACCATCACGTAATCGTCACACGTCGTGTACAAGTCAACGCGATTCATTATCCCAACTGGCTGATTTAGTTGTTCAAAGTGAACATAATGATTTATTTCAAACTAAGAAATCACTTATACCTTCACGTGTGCTTGCTTGCGTGAAAGACGAAAATCTTGAATTTCTGAAAAATCGTGATACATACTGCGAAGATTATTTTCGTTTTATTTATAATTTATCTGCAACATGCTTCGATGACATCAACTCGACTAAAGCGTTCGAACTCTCGACTAAATTAGCCTTGAATTTTCTCTTCAATACGCACTTTCGAACACACCGTCGTTTGCGCAAAGACACTCTTCAAGAATGGATTCAATTATTAGCACGTCTATTTACGAAAAGCTCGGTATCATGTGAGATATTTTATGAATTAATCTTTGAAAAGAAGGAACATGGATTGAAATTATATCTACTCGATTGTCCCACCTATGAAGTTCGACAAGTGTTCGAACAGATATGCGATCATGCTCTTCAAGCAAGTTATTTACATAATGATCATCAAAAGAACATGGAATTATTTGTTGAACAGTTAATTCAACTATTAGATAAATCCGTTGTTGAACAAATCAAACAATCACAAGTTTACTTTCAATTGATTTACAGTTACATGAATATGAACCGATTATCGATTGAATATCTATTAAAATTAAACACATTTACACGTCTAATGAAATTTTTATTAGGTGAAAGTATAGACAATCGACGATGGAGTTCGAGTCAAGCGAAAGAATTCGGAATTATTCATGAAATCATCGCAACATTGGCATTAATGTGCTATCGAAATGATAATAATCGAGCGGAAGAATATGCAAATCTCGTGATGGAAATGGATGTCTACTTCATGGGAGAATGGTCGAAGAGATATTTGAAAGAAATCTGCTATGCTTTTCAAGAAATATCAACCGCACAATTAACACGAACTTCGCAATTAATGGAAGTCTTGGCGAAAGATAATCAACCATTTTCCGAGCAATTCATTCGAACTATTTTAACATCTATCAATCAGGCACATACGAATGATCTGAAATCGTTATTCAAATTACTCAGCGACATATTGGTAAGTCCATTTTAACAGGAATTGTTAGAATGAAATGTTAAATTTGTGTTTGTTTATTTCTTTAGTTGATCGAAGATTCACTTCAAATAACTCGCCTTCAATTGGTATTTGAAGGTATTGACAAGTCCGACGATAATGATAATTCTCAGACTTTTACTGGAATCTACTCTCTCATTCAAACCAACATTGAGACAGAACAACGTCGTGCTTATCAAACAGTTAAATTTCTCGTTACACTATCGAACAGGTAAGTGTCCATCTTCTTCTTTGCATTGCAGTAATTTTGAATTATAGAAATAGCATTTGTCGAGAATATTTCACTTCGACTGTTTCTCGATGGGAATATGCGATAACTTGGCTAAAACAACAAATGCAAACATCATATCAATGGTCACCAGCACAAAATCTTTCCAACGAAGATAATGACACTCGATCATTTCAACGTACACGAAGTGCTCAATTTACCTTAGAACAAGCTCAATCACTCTTACGAAAAACAACAACGGCATCAACTGGAAATATTCAACAAGATATATTAGCGAACGAACCTATGGAATTCAGTGATACTCATAGTCAATCATCATCACAATCAACATTGATGGGCAGTGATTGATTCAATCGACTTCCATCGTTAATAAAAAAAAAAAGACAACAACTCTCCAGTGTGATATGACTTCTTCTTCTTTTTCTATAACTGATATAAACCCTGTTGTGATCATATATACATATACTTTTGTCTTCTCATCGACCGAGAACTGCCTATTGATGTGAACGTTATTTTTCTACAAATTTTCATTTTTTTTTCATATTGAATTTATCAGAATTCTATAATTAAGTGCATATCTGTAATGTGCGTAATCCTAAGTGATATCATGTGCATGCGATATATATTTTGTTATTTAAAAAGAATAAACCAGAAATAATTAAGATTATGTATAAAAACTAAGAAAATACTCGACTTGCAACGAACATGTGCACAAATCTTTCATCGTTTGTACTGACTATCTATCTTGCCACCATTGAACTGATGTATAAAATATAGTTGTGATGAATGATGCATCTATCGTAAGTATTATTGCAATTGATTGATGGATGATAATATGATACAGAGCATTGAGTGGAGATGTTTTTTTTTCAAAATCGAGATTTCTACTGGTAACATGGGAAGTGGAAACGGAATCAACATTTTTCTTTGAAATTCGATATTGGAAGTATCATCAATCAAAACTAATGATGGAGTGTGTGTATCTTTTCTTTTTTCTTGATATTTATTTAAGCCGATCAAATAAATAATGACCTTGCAATCATCAGCAATCATTCACTCTTTGCTGTACTCTCATTTGTTTAATAGAATAATAAGCAGAAGATGATCAATGTTCTCCTTTTCAGACATTTGCAAAACAAGTGTTCGATGAGAGATTGATTGATAGTTAACAAACGTTTCTTCTTCTATATTTTGATACAACTGACATGGACATCAAAAGAAGAAGACGGTCTAAGATAACAGAACCAAACGGACATGATTTGTGCTCGGTATGACTTCTCTCGCGTTTTGTTTCCACATATTGAATGAATAAAAACTCAAACTGTTGAACTCTTTGTTGTCAAGATCGATGATATGCAGATTATTCACAACTGAGATCTATTGGGAATCGCCTAAAAAAGGTTTATACGAATCGCATACTAATGAAAAGCAAACTGAATGTGATCATTTTCTTTCATTCATTCATTTACAATATTAAATCGAAAACTTCTATCTCGCATATTGTGAACCAATATTCCGCGTACAATCTAGTCAATCATATGTGCTTGGAATCGAGATTATCATAGTCAATGAAACATCAAACTGGAATGCATTTATTATTCATCAAACATCTCGAATTCTTCAAATCGACATGTCAGGGCCGCTCTCTGCTTTCTTTTCTTTTTTGCATGAAATATTTCTCGCATGTGTTTCTGATTAATCAACACAATATGTGCGGAATAGAGTCTTCTTTGATTGAATGTTAAAGAAAGACTTGATCGAATTAGAAATATGTACAAATGACAAGCATCTGCAATTGAAAATCAATATGGTGAAGAGAGATTCTATGATATTAATTTGCTTGTGAACAAGTTGTATACTTCTATGATCTAATCACATCTGCTTTTTTTCTTCAAGTGTTTCCTACTTTCCAATCGAGTGAACAAACATACAGATCGAATTTCTTCTGCAGAGATCAGATTCACTTTTTCAAATGAAAAATTTTCAACATGCAATGCACTATCTACTAGTGTATTAATCATTGACAGCCATCTTGTCAGATTCGACATCATCCTGTCAGTTAGAAAAACAAAACAGAGACCTGTTTCTCTTCTCTTTGAATCCCAATAGAATGTGTCGAAACAAAACGACAGCCTTGAGATATTTATCCTCTACGTATTCAGAATTAGTAGAGTTTATTCGTATAACGACCCCTCGATATGTTTGCGCGAAGCAGCGTTTACTTCTATATCTCTCCGATAGAACCAAAAGAAAGAATGCGATAAATGTATATATTCACAGACGACGTCGCAATGATTTTCTGTCGCTTCATATTTTCAAACAAGCGTGTGTACGCATTAAACTATTCTCCCTGTATGAACTGCTTCACTTCTTTTCTTTCTCAATCGAACTCCATTCTTCTTTTCCTCTCTTTCGCTTCTTCTTCTTCTTTCTTCTCTTCTTTTCTATCTTTTCTAAAGAGAAAACATAGAAGAATAACATCAAGTCATTCTGCGTATATCATCACTCGACGTCGGTCATTCTATTTCAGATTTATTGATTTACATTTACACTTAATCGACTGAAACAAATTATCATCATGACTGCTCTTCGTGTTTTCCCATTTATTGGCGCTCTTATTGCTGTTGCCGCACTCGTCTTATCTATTATTGGCATTTCAACAACATATTGGTTTTCCAATGCTTTGGGACACTCAGGTAACGGTACAGAAAATCCCTAAATATGTACGTATAAGCTTAACGATTAGGTCTTTGGCAAACTTGTCCTGCTGGTGTTTGTGTCCGACGTGATGGTGGACAAGCCGCGCCCATTGCTCTTGCAGTACGTAGTGACAACATCGTTTTCGAGCTATTTTCGATGATTTATCTTCTAGGCAGTCATCGCCATCGGTGTTGCTGCTCTCTTGGCTATCTTCAGCGGTCTAGCTCGTAATAAATCTGATGCCAGCAATAATACAGCTCGGCTCTGCGGTGTCATCGCAGTCATTCTTCTTTTTTCAAGTGGAATTCTTATTGCTGCTGCACTTTACACCTTTGTCAATGCAGTCAATGTCACTGGCTATTCATTTACACTCATGACTATTGCTCAATTCTTGAGCTTTCTTGCTGCTATGCTCGTTGCCCATTGGATGGTAAGACATCGAAATGATCGAAGTTGCAATTCTATATATTATTACTTTTAGGGACACTCATTTACTGTTATCAGTTAAATGATGCAGCTGAAGAGCAAATATTTCAACAACCAAAAACTATGTTACATACTCGAAAGCTATATGTTGAATAGCTAACGATGATTTCTTCCTTTTTTCTTTGTTTTATTCGTACTTTATCGAAAAAGGTTGTTTTTGTTTGTTTCGGTAAATTCTTCCTTCTTTTTTCTCTATTACATCTAACTCAGCTAGAAGAAAAAATATCTATTCTTGTCTCATGTGTTTAGTTCATTATTGTGTGTGCGTGCATTGTTCTTTTTCTGTTACATTATTGAAAATATAGAACATATACATATATATATTCACATGGAAATCTGATTGTTAGATACTTCAATAATACTGATATTTACAAAGGAAATTATAATGGTGTTTGCAGAGAATGTATTTGCAATTCCATTTGCATTGAAGAAGAATGAGTCAAGAGTCGTCGACTATGATTACTCTCTTGTTCGTTGATCATTGGCGATAACAGACTGAGTTAGTATGGTTCATTGCGCGTTGGAAAAGGAATGCTCGTTAAGTTGATAGAACATTCTGGACGCATCCCAGAAGATGATCAAAAAGAACGAAGTGTTTTTTGTTTATATTAGGATGTTCGTTGATTTTGATTAGAAGTATAAACGAGACCAAGCGCTGCGTTTGATGAAGAATAGTTGAACTATATAAGCTGTTGGACCAATAACTGGACGAATCGATTGCTATCGTTTCGAATATTAATGAATAATCTCCTCGATGCAGAGTTTATTAAAAAGAGGAAACACTTTGTTGTATGAGAGTATCTCGGGAATTGAGGACAAACAGTCCGTATTTAATTATACAAATTCATCGATTAAACTCCTGCGCATATGTGTTCTGGTCTACTGTTTCGATCTGGATATTATACGAACAAATTATTCCCATGAGAAATATTAGAAATAGATTAACGCTTCTTTTTTTATTCAACGGATATTTTATTAAAATAAAGATTATTATCTAAGTGCAGAACAAAGAGAAAAAACTTAACAATATTCCCAATCTTTATGATCTTTCGGTCGACATGCGACCGGACAAATTGATGGCAAAAATTTCCTATCGTAATCAGTGGAATTATTGCAACACTCTCGAATGCATCCAACAAAACAGATACCCGGCGGTCGCTTTGAAGGAAATGGTCGAGCACCAAATTGTCTGCAAGAATAACTATCGAAAGCTAAGGATTTATTTTTGACTTTTTTCCACACGAAATCAGTTAGAAATCGTTGATCACCTGTCCCATTATATTTTTTCGCTGTGGATGGTACCAACAATGGAAGGAATATCTTATAGAAACGTTGGCGAGCACGTCCAATAGCTGCGCCCCAGAGACCACCTAGGATAGGTATTCCATGTTCTTTATGATCACGTAAAATATGAAAGATATAATTTATATATTCATCTGACACCCATAAGTCTAAAGTTTCCGTTTCACGTGGAGTTATTGGCGAATCCAGATCGCGTGAAAGACAAAAATCAACAAGCGGATCGAAAACTGGTAGGAAACGCCACATTTTACCAGGTAAATATGTTAACACTTTTGTACCAAACATTGGTAAGTTATTCACATCGCAAACATCGATATTATCAAAACTGAGTAGATGATCTCGCTGTGCCTGTGTACTACCAACAAAATCAGTGTAGATACGTATGATCCATGTGGGAAGCAATTGCTTAACTTCATTGACGAGTGGTTCTAGAAACGGAATAATACTCGCATTCCATGTGAACATGGGATTGTCTGTATATTTCGATGTGCTGCCATAGATTGAAAGGACGATTACCTTTTGATGTGGTCCACGTTGATCTGATCGATCACTACATAAAGACCGATTCCATTGCAGAAAATCGTCATAGGAATAAATCGGTCGACAAGATGAATCATTGCAAACTCGATTATCAGCTCGTTTAGTATTGCCAGTGTCTTTTGATAATTTACGTGGAGGTGACTTGTTAACTATAAACACACGATTAATACTTAGAATAATTAATAAACCTGCAATTGTACAACAATTTATGAAGAAAAAAGGCCTTCGTCCACATATACGACGACGAAGACGACCAATCATTTTTTATCAAGTTTTTTAATGTCAAGTCAGTATGTGTAACATGATCAGTAGGTATACAGGAATTTATTCGAGCGTGACTATCAAAAAAAAAAGAAAGTGTCTTTCGTCATAGTTACAGTTGCATTGCAGTTTGCTGTTTGAAGAACAAATGACGATTACATATGAATATCAAATGGGGAAAATATAAAAGATTGAATTTATTAAGATACTTTAACAAACAAGTCTGTTAGTAAATTAACATCTCCATGATTATATAGTTTGCATTAGGTCAAACTAATAATTGTTGTAATAAAATATGCTAAGCAAGCAACATGATTGCTTAGACATGTTCAATAATAAACATCTGGAAAATGTCTAATTAAAAAACTATTATTCAATCTATTACAAATGTGACTTGAATATTTTTCTTCTGTATGGACATATGTGTCCTTCTTATCTAATCTTAACCTTTTCTTTTCTGTATCTTTTCATCCATTTTTGCGCATGAGCATATTGGACTCAATATACATGCAAAACGCAGTTTCCTCAATCACATATTTCGATCAATCGAGCTACAGTGATGAATACTGCAATATTAGAGAATGGTACGTAGCAACAATAAGTCTATCATATCATCTAAACAAACTGACAAAATTTCCGTTGTAATTAACCAGTTGTCGCTGAGGAGAAAAACTGATTCAAGAACTAATTGACATTGACAGTATTTAATAAAAGCTATTAACCTACGGACTTCTTCTGAATGCGGCAGACAATGACTTTTCTTTCTGACATCATCTGAATGTATTCATTAGTTGCTCAAAATCTCTGCCAACCAATCCTATGACAGAAGGTCGAAGCGTTCGTTCGCCATAGCGGATATTTTTAAAAATAGCGCAAGGTTTTGTAGTGCATATCCGAAGTCTGTTCTATTGATGCTGAACAGATCAGTCGAAGTCGACTCCGACGATGTTGACATCGTAAGTAATACATTCTTATGACATTCTGTGAACCTACGAAAGCATATCGTAAACACAATTACATTGAGCAATACATGATTGAATTAGAACTAGTAGAAACAGTCGGATATCATCTGCTTATCATCATAACCTCGAGCGCAAGGTCTCGAATATCAAACAGATTTACCTCTATTTGTATTATCCATAATCAAAGTCGAGTACAATTGAATGTATTTATGAGCAGACATCAATTTCTATAAGATGAAATTGCTAGTTAGTTGAATTGAGAGACGAAAGATCTATCATCACCTTTCCTATTCCGTTTTTGACCATGAACATAAACAAAAGATCGATGACAAGCAAAGGAAAAGAAGATAGATCGATTCTATTAGAATGTACCCTAGTATTGGAAGAAACTAATTGATTAAACAATTTGTCTGATATGAGTGGTGTGTCTATTCTGTTTTGACACCTTATACTGTCTCTTTTAATTATTTGAAACAAAAAATAGCAACGTCATCTAATCATAACCGCTGATTAGTTTTAGTTCCGAGAACATTCTTCACCCTTCTCCCATCGTATTAATAGATCGATTATTGTTAGGTAAGTTCGTCTTCGTGTCTCAACCGGAAAAGGAAAAGAAGATGCGTTTCGTCGAAAGATGTCGCTCATCGGCGATGATTTATTTTGTTGATCCATTCATCAACACATAATTATGGTGGTTGAATCAACCAACCGGAGATATGTCAAAACGCGTCAACAACATTTACTATATATATTTGTATTACATTAGTTAGACTGTCTATATTGAATATTAATAGTTTGCACGATTTTCTTTTTTGACTAGTAAAAAGATTCTCAATTTGTATGACTAATACGATAATATTTAGATTTTTCAATGACAATGATTGATGGGATCCAACCATCTTTATCATCGTCAAATTATCAAAATTTGTTTCTAAATATTCTCATCTAAATGTCGAAAGCGTATAATTTCGATTGGCAAATTGAAGTATCAGCTCGTCTGCTCAAAGGCGATTATTTCGATCGTTGGGACGAAGAAAATGGCACATTAGAACAAAATTGTTTATTTCGTGTGGACAGTTATGGCTTCTATATCTACTGGCAAAGTGAAGGACGAGATGGGCAAGTTATTGAATTATCTCAAGTCAGCGATATACGACCAGGAAAAGGTATATGAAACTTGTCCTATTCTATCGCACTCAACATTATTTTTTATTCTGTTCAATAGCTCCAACTGATACGAAAATTGCAAGTGATCTTATGGCTAATTCACTTGTTTATGGTCGTGGTAATATCGATGAACGAACAGTAACCATCTGCAGCGGAATCGATTTTGTTCAAATTAGTCATACAAATATAACCGGTGTCGATCAGGCTACGGCCAAAGTAATGAGATGATAACAAGATGTAAGATGAACGTTACGCTCTTCTCCTCTAGGCATGGATCGAAGGTCTGAGAAAAATTACGCATAATCACAAAGCAAACAACATATGCCCTACGACGATTTTACGCAAACAGTCAGTATTAAATGAGTTGACTTTTATATGATAATTATATTGCTTTGACTTTAGTTGGATGAAGTTATCTTTTATGTTAAATGTTAATAAAAAGATTCCCGTTCGAAGGTATGAACTAATCGGATTAATGAGTAATTTGATTTTCCATCGGTACACTTTTTTTCCGCTTTTTATAGCATTAGTAAAACATTCGCATCAGGTAAAACAGAAAAGCGTATCTTCGAAATCTTAAAAGAGCTTGGCTTACCCAGCGGAAAGGTAAAATTTGTCGAAAATATTTTGTTTTGTCATTCACATGAATTCTTTTTCAGAACGATGAAATTGATCCAACGGATTTCACCTTTGAAAAATTTTGCGATCTGTATCATAAAATCTGTCCTCGAACGGATATTTCCGCATTATTTGATGAATTATCCGGCGGAAAAGATTACATAACAACAAAACAATTTGTTGATTGGCTTAACGAAACTCAACGCGATCCTCGTCTCAACGAAATTCTTTTTCCACACTATGATACAAACAGTGCATTACGTATTATCGACCGATATGAACTACGTGCTAATTATCGGGATCGTGGACATTTGTCATGTGATGGCTTGACTCGATATTTGATGTCGGATGAAAATGCTCCTGTTTTCCTTGATCGATTGGAAGTTTATCATGATATGGATCAACCATTGTGCCACTATTTGATTAATTCATCACATAATACTTATTTGCAAGGACGACAATTTGGTGGCCGATCATCGGTGGAAATGTATCGGCAAGTTCTGTTAGCTGGTTGTCGGTGTATTGAACTGGATTGTTGGGATGGAAAGAATGATACTGAGCCAATCATTACACATGGAAAAGCGATGTGTTCGGATATTAATTTTAAAGAAGTTGTTTTTGCCATTCGAGATACAGCGTTTGTTACAAGTGATTATCCGGTTATACTCTCCTTTGAAAACCATTGTTCCAAACCTCAGCAATTTAAATTAGCCAAGTATTGCGAGGAAATTTTGGGCGATTATTTATTAACCAAGCCATTAGAGTCTCATCCAGTAAGTATTGAAAGAGCACAAAGTATCTTCATCGAATTTTTAAATATTATTTTAGTATTGAGAAAAAGGAAAAAAAGAAACAGAGTAATCTTGGGTTTTTCTTTCTTGATAAACTAACGCTAATAGTCATCTCTGTGTGTGTGAATATCTTGGCAATCGATTCAGTCTTTAACAATATCGAATACATTTTTTAGCTTGAACCTGGTGTACCATTGCCATCACCGAATGGATTAAAACGAAAAATTCTTATAAAAAATAAACGATTAAAACCTGACGTTGAAAAACGTAAGAGACATTTACTTCATAGGTCAGCATTCTTATCGTTTATTGTTTTATTTTAGGACATCTCGAATTGTTTCTTAAAGGTCTCGACACCGAAGCAAACTATGATAACGACTTAGACTCAGCTGCTAATGTCGAAGGTGAAGACGGACCTGCTGCGTTTGTTGATACAGTTAAATTGCGCGAAGAAGATGACGAAGCTCACCCTGAACTGAATGTTGATTCGAATGATGATGTCAATCGACGGACATTACTCGGACAATTAGGCATTAAATTTAAAGAGAAAACTAATCTTTCTCGCGAAGAAGAGGAAGCATTAATGAATCGTTATCAGTACAAAGGTGCAACAACGAATATTCATCCATTACTATCTTCACGTGTTAATTATGCCCAACCGATAAAATTTTCCGGTTTCGCGAAAGCTGAAGAACGCAATATTCATTATCATATGTCATCATTTTCGGAAAATGTTGCTTTGCAACACTTAAGGCAGAATCCGATTGAATTTGTTAACTATAATAAGCGACAAATGTCGCGTATTTATCCGAAAGGTGGACGGGTCGATTCATCGAATTATATGCCTCAAATCTTCTGGAATGCCGGTTGTCAAATGGTTTCACTAAATTTTCAAACACCTGATCTTCCAATGCAATTAAACTTAGGCAAATTTGAGTATAATGGCAATTGTGGGTAAGTCAACATACTCTCGGCTCGTATTTCACTCCGCGAACTTTGCCTATCAAATCTAATTAGTTGTTAGGATATATCTCTATCGACATAGATTACAACAGGTGGTAGATGTCTTATGAATGATTTTTCCTTTATGATGAAGGTCATACACACTATCCATCTGTTTATTGTTTATACTCGGGCATATTAATGGAAAAAACGAGTAATCCACTTGTCTCATTTATTTGCTAAGAGAAAGATAAAGAAGAAAGAAAGGAAAAAAAAGAAGCAAATCTGCCAATCAGCTACTGAGTTGTTTAGGACGTACGACTGATTGTGTTTGCTTGATATACTGCGCTATGAAAAGTTCGATCGCTTGTCTTCGTCGTTCTCTGATTGAAATAGTAGAATTAATCACAGGAGGCAATATTAATGGACGAAATAGTTGACTTTCAATCAGTGATTGTAGCTTAGTGTAGATAGAATTCTGCGATGACAAATGCGCGAGTGTAATACGATTGGTGGTAATCAAATAATATCGTCCTTTCATACATTCATTCATTACATTTGAACATGTCATTAGATTTGCTAACTGGAGACTGTGATCATACGTGTGACGTAATTTCGTTTGTGGATGAATTCCAATGCAATCGAGCCAACATTGGGCTTGATGGTTATGTTGACTGAATGGAATAAGCATGAATTCGATTTGTTCTAAATCCATTTCATCAACTAATAACATCGTGTTGATATCTTCGGTGAAACCGAGATAGAATGATGATTGTTTAAATGAGTAACGATCTGTTTTGTCAAGGAATGCTTTCGAACATCGATAGAATTCACTTAAACCATGAATTGTATTCTGGTCAAGACCATCTTCAGTTATGTGAATAGTTTCATAACTGCTTCCAACTATTGATAAATAACTTAATGTTTTTATTGCTCCACCCGGTTTTCTCATGATAAAATCTCGTGTCGATGCTACTCGCATTAAGTCTTCGAATGTTTTCATTGATGCTAACTCTTTATCAGTTGAACGATAGAATAATAAATAGAAACATCCGTAAATGGGTATACCATAATACTTCTCATATTCACACTCGATCAAAGATAAAACATTCGGATTGATTTCATGCGCATAGATTATCTCAGTTCGATCCAGTTTACATAACCATTCTCGAGAAGCATAATCATTTATGTAGAGTGCATCGTATACGTAAACATCAAAGTAATCCTGCGGTATCTTATGATATCCTCCATCCCATTCATCTTCAGTTAGCCAATTCAAACGGACATATCGATTATTGAGAATATTATACCAGTAATGTTCGATCACTTGACAGTATTCGCTTAAATGTTCGTTTGATGCCCATGGAAACAAGGCTACATTTAATGTGACCTAGATAGGTAAAGACGATGAAGAAGAAGATTGACAAATGTCTATCGCTTACAAAGTTTGATCCGGAAAGAAAATGATCGGATGATGGGAGTTTTTGTATTTCGCCATTTTCATAGTTATTGTCGGCGTTTTGCATGAATTATTTGGATTGCTAAAAGAATGACACTCGAGATAACAATAAAAACATGGCTATCTGTGCAAATATGCATATGGTAAAAGGAATGAGGGTGAAAAACGCATTAGACTAGTAGGTTTTGTCGTAAACATCATGTGATATCTCATGCAACTTTTTTTCTTTCCTCCATCGTCGTTGTTCGAGATAGTTAAGCCTCTTGGCAATAATAATCAACAAGCCTAATCTTCATACAAAAATAGAAAAGAAAAGAAAAAGAAGTCAAATTGATTGATCAATCACAGTTTTTTTCTCTGTTGACATACATGGAAAGCTCATTATGCACTTGAAATGAAATTGAAACTGTTTGTTTGCTATGATTTAGCTACTTGTTGAAACCGGATTTTATGCGTCGACCCGATCGAACGTTCGATCCGTATGCTGAAAGTCCAGTCGATGGTGTCATAGCAGCATTCTGTAGTGTCCGAGTGATATCAGGTCAATTCTTATCAGATAAAAAGATTGGTACATATGTGGAAGTCGATATGTATGGTTTGCCAGCAGATACCATACGTAAAGAATATCGAACGAAAACAATTCCAGCCAATGGACTTAATCCAAGATATGATGAAAGTGTTTTTGAATTCCGAAAAGTAAATCTTCATGTGAGATTTCAAGGAGAATCTCAAGTCTATCTTTCGATTTAGATTGTTCTTCCGGATTTAGCTATTTTACGTATTGCTGTTTATGAAGAAACAGGTAAACTCATTGGTCAACGTGTGTTACCATTAGATGGCTTGCAAGCAGGATACAGACATATCTCATTACGTACTGAAGGCAACTTTCCTCTCTCCTTACCAACAATTTTTTGCCAAATTATTCTGAAATCTTACGTTCCCGATGGTTTAAGTGACTTTGTTAATCAATTAAATCAGCCATTGCTAATGAAAAAAACTGAAGATTTATTGAATGCCTCGGTTACAACTTCATCCGATGCTGGACCGAACTCCAGTAGTTCATCTGTTCGGCGAGCACGTGCAATTGAATCAACATCAACACCTTCCCTCGATTCTAAGGCGACTACGACATCGGTTGGTGCTGCTAGTAGTTTGTCAACCAATACTGTTTCAACGACTGATACCACGAGTCTTGCTTCATCAACTATCAAACCGAAAACACCGGTTGAAACAATGACTTTAATTTCATTAGATTATCTACGTGAACAGAAAAGTTTTTGCAAATTGAAACATAAGCAAGACAAAGATTTGGCTTTAATGAAAAAGAAACATGCCAAAGAGCAAACAGCACTTGGCGAACAACAATCAAAAATTATGAGTAAAGCTAGAACCGATTGCGAAAAACTAGCGCGATCACCTATGCTCGGTGGCGGAGGAGCACGAAAAGATCTAAGGTAAATATAACCACAACTAATATACACATATATTGGATGATTTTCGAACAGCTATTCTATATGTTTTGCTACTTCTTAAGCTTTTTCTCGCGTCGCTTATTTAAACCATTCATGCCAAGGTATTTCGTTTCTTTGCTGCTCCACTAACCGTTACTAATCAAATCTCTCTCTTCTTTCAACGATGTTCTCATGATTGTTGTCTCTGTTTTAGCAATGGTAGTAATTTAACTGCAGTTAAAGGTGATCCAAAGGTAAGTGGAAAGAACGATGAAAAGGAGAGAAGAGAACTGTTTACTATTTGAATTAGTTAATGGATTTAATCAACGAGCAAAATGTTGAATGGACAACACTTGTTCAACGACAACTTATCGAAATGAATGCACTTCGGCGACAACATGCAAGAGAACAATGCGATTTGCTACGTCTTTTACTCGATGAGACTCAGAAAAATCAAATCAAAGAGATTACTGAAAGACATCTCAAGTAAATTGTTCAACAAGTTCTGTTCTTCACTCTTGCTAAGTATTTTTTTTTAGAGAAAAGAAAGATCTGGAATTAAGCCAAGTGCGACAAAATATTGAAGATAGTAAACGACTTGGTTCCGAGAAGAATATTCGCAATAAGATGGAACTGGATCGTCGTGTACGTGAATTAAAATCGAATAATACGAAGAAATTCGTTGAAGAACGAAAACGTCAGACAATGAAACATGAACGAGAAAAAGATAATCTAACGAAATCACATGAAACACAAAAGACTACGCTACTCGCCGAGATCGACAAGGTATGAATCACATTTCTCCTTTTCTCGACTAGTTATTTAATCGGATTATCAGAAAAGACAGAAAATCTATCCACGAATAGGACAGGATAATTGTATTACAAAAATATGAAAATGATATGTGCTTTGTATATTATAGTAAGCGAGTCGATGAGAGAATTGTTGGCTGATGTAAAGAGAAGTGACGAACTCGATCCAAAATCAAATAAATCATAAGAGGAAACTGACACATAACATCCTGTTCTTTGTCTATTGGAATTCTTCGAGAGCAACAGTCTATTTCTTCTTTTTTTTTCGGAAATTTTACCGGAAGAAAACAAAATGAGAATATGATTTCGTGAGTTGTATATTAATTCTACGCAAATGTGGCGAATGATATGAAAATGACAAAAGAAATTGAGATTTCCAATCAAGGAAAACCTCTCGAACTTTGATTGTCTCATATTTCCTCATCTAGATGCTCGAATACAGTGTCAATTATCAAGATGAAACACCAATGGCACGATTTCCATCATCTTCCGTGTAATGATAAAAAATATAGTCAACTAAAAAACAAAAACACGCGAACATTCAGCATTCAAGTTCTTATACCATCTTTCACTGATATATCTAATTCTGTTTGTACAGTTCTATTTCTCAAATCAGTTTTTCCTCTTGTTCTTCGGTGACTTTTTTTTTTCTTCGGTGTTGTCATCTTCTTTTGAAAGTTTTTCTCTTTTTGAACAGTGGCGCATGTATGTGTACACGTATTTACATATATATATATATACATATTCGTGGTGGTGGTGATGATTTTGTTACTATTAATATTCTGTGAGCTGTAAAATCAAAATAGTCAGTCTATAGTCAAACAACATCGGTTTTTTTTTCTTCTTTTTCTTTTAAATTTCTAGTCGTGTATCTGAAAAAAAAGAAAACCAAGATCTGAATAGAGTCAATTGTTCATGCAGTTGAAGTGCCTGTCAAGTATTAATGTGTTGCATTCCTTTTGATGTGCTACCGAGTTATTTCGAGAAAAAAAAACGCAAAAGAAATCGAAAGACAGTATCTTTTAATTTTCATTCTTTTTTTCTCTTTTCTGTGTGGAATGCAGTTGTTCATATTTATACGATCAATATTTTATGTATACGTTATCGAACTTCTCTTTCTCTCTCTTTTTTTCTGTCATGTTTTTCTTTCCTCTTGATCTCTTATACCCATCTTTTCAATAAAAAAATTTTTATGAGTAGAAACATATCGACTAGATGTTGTTCTTGTTGGAAGAAAGATCATTCTAAACTTTTGTAGATGGACGCGAAATTTTCTCGCTTGAAAAACTTTGCTGATGAATCGAATACGAGCTCGAATATGACCGCGAGTCACGACAACGCGCAATCATGGTCACAAGCGATCTTTTCAAAAGATTTATTTCAAACCAATGTGAATCGTGTACAAAGTTTTTTTAATAAACGTTCCGAAGCGGCATTATCGTCGTCATCAAGTACGGATGACATGCAGAATTTGCTGCAAAAAGGCGATAATGATCCAATTCTACCGGCACTAGTAAGAGTTCTTTTGACAGCTTATAGAAGTTGATAACAGCTGTTTGCTTTAGAGTCGTAAACAACGTATTCTTGGTTTTATGATGTGCCTGACAATGGGAATACTTTGTATGTGCTTAGCTACATTGTATATTCCAGTAATTGTACTGAAAGCACGGAAATTTGCAGTGCTCTTTTCATTTGGAAGTTTATTTTTTCTGTCGAGGTATGATCAGCTTTTCCTACATAAGACACCGAGCTACAAACTGCTTTCTTTTTAGTTTTTCTATGTTATGGGGACCAACAAACCATTTCAAGCATCTGACAAATGTCGAGCGCCTGCCATTTTCAATTACATATCTTGTCACACTTTTGGGCACAGTCTATTATTCTGTTTGGGTAAATACTGAAATCCTCCGTTTCCTGATTAGATGTCACCAGTTATCGTTTGATGTTGACGATAGCCATTCACCGCAATTTTTCTATGCATGAAGTTCAGTATAGAAGAAATCATTGAGGAGAATGAGTTTCGTGTCGTAGAAAAGGAGAGACGGTTAGCACTCCCCTTGACAAGGACGGAAGGTCTTCGGACCGATACGATAACACCAGGCAAGGCATGGCGGCTAGCACCCGTCACCTGGCTCGATTTTTTACGATTTGATTTATCTGTAGGTTAAAAGTTATTTCTTCACAATTATCTTCGCCATTCTTCAAATTGGTGCTCTCGTTTGGTAAGGAAAATTTTTCTTATACGTATGTTCTCGAAGCTGATTGTTTATTCCAGGTATATCGTGTCATACATTCCTGGTGGTGCACATGGTTTGAAATTTTTCTCGAAATTGTTTTATATGTTTGTTTCGAAAACTGTGACAACCACATTGTCAGTGTAAAATCATTCGGAGAGAATTCTTCTGTTGTAAAACTTTTTTCCTTGTTATCATATATTCTCAATATAATGAATTTAAAACGGAGTAATCTTGTGAACAAAGTTGATCGGTTTCCTTGTCTTTTTTTTTCAAGATATGCTCATTCAATCGTGCCTACAAAGAACAATTTCCAGTAGTCATTTGATTATTTCTATACGAACGTTTAAACGATTTGGAGAATACGTGAAGAATTACGGCCACGAACCAAAATATTACCAAGGAGGTGACACATAATTCTGATGATTTTTTTCGCAACTACATTAAGCATGGCTTTTAGGTTATCTTCCACGAGCATCTCATCTAAAAGATCCACCGGATTATCTACCACCGTTTATCGATCCAAATGAATGGAGTTTAGAAGCATCGACATTTGGACAGAATGATTATATTGGTAAGAGTCGATTTAACTATAAATCTCTGGAGAGCGTCATGTTAATTTTAGATATTCTTGGTGATGAGAATGTCGAACATTGGCAGTTAGTTCGTAACGCTCCATTTTGGTTACGTGGTTTTCAAGGGAATGAATTACAACATTTACTTCGTCGACTGAAATTGCAAGGAAAGTATTTAGAAGAAAATCAACCTCAACGATATTCCGATTTGATCACTCGAATACGATACCTCATGTTTAAAATTAATTTTAAACATTATAAACGTCCATGGCTAATACGTCCAGTTGTTGGTCCTGATGAACCTTTACCTGACTACTATGATCCACGATCTAGTTGAGAAGAAAAACTATCAGGACAAACAGAACAACAATCAATTTTTTGTTTTTTTCTGTTATTATTATTAGCATTAAAAATAAATAGAAACAACATTCTCAATGTTTCTTCGAATTCACTCGAGTTGTCCACAAACGTGGTGATTCAGTAACCGAAGGCCGTTGAACATAATGAGTGTATGTATCGGAGTCGGGTAAAACTTTTAAATTGAAATATTTCGTGACATTTTCATATGGAAGTTTGGCATTAAATGCATGTCGTACATCGTCAAGCAATGTAAAACTTGTACAGGTGAATCCAAACGAGTCGAACATTAACTGAAGATAAATACGCGGCACAAATAAATGAGGATCACTTCTGTATGCCCATTCGACATCCCATTGATGTGCGATTGCTAGGGTCTCATCCACAACCAGTTTCTGAAGAATCCGAGACTCGTAACCTGGCATACTCAGTTTGATATGCACCTTTGTATCCTTATATTGAATGAATTTCGAAAGCCAAGCAGAAAAGTCAATGGCATCTAATTCCATTATATTATTTACATTTGCTACAAAACGAAAAGAGATTATGAGATCGAATATCGGTAGTAAGTTAGAAAATAATACATTTCTTCTTGGATTTCTTTTCAAAGATGCCACTTTTTTGTCCTTGACCAACTCGATATGGAACTTTGCCATTGTATATCCATGCGACTTTTGGAATAATAAATATATTATAATCTCGATACTTCTTCTGTGATAATTTCTCTTTACATAAACGATAATTTATCGGATCAGGTTCGAATGTAACTATGTCATATAAAATACTATTTCGAGTAAAATGAATAAAATGTTCAATCGTTTCACCATTAAAACATCCGATGTCAATGTAAACATTATGTGACCCAGAATCATATACGTTAAGCGTCAATGTCTCGTTTTCTAGTAAATATCTTCCGCCGTATACGGTATAGATTCCTGATATGTCAGGATAAGATGACATTGTCGAAGAATTCATTGAGTTGATGAGTACAATGAGAAGTAAGATAAACATACAAGTGCATATTCCATAAATTCGATGAATGTCAAACTTTCCTTGATATTTCGTTTTCTCCCCTCTGTAAAGCCATTGTACAATGAATGTTTCTAAACGTCGAGAGTAAGAGAGTGAGTTGTACATTGGAGTAGTTGACAGCTGAATAGTTTAATGACAGAAAGAAATTAATTCGTCGATGACATTTTTTTCGCAGTTACGCATCATTGAAAAAGAATCATTTTCTGAATGTCCTTAGTACTCAGGTTGATAGTATAAGAAATATGGATCATTTCCAGGTTTTACGCCGTTACGCTCCACGGATAAATGTGAATTTTCACGGACATAAGAAAAAACACCTTTTTCTTGACGATTATTTAAAGCATTCTGACTTTATCATACGGTTTTTTCATTGAAAAGAAGAGACATGATATATATATATATATATATACGTAGCGCATAATACAATAGAGTGTTTTGATCGTCGGACATCATGCTCGGTAGAAACCTAACAAGCATTGCAATTTTTCGCCTATATCATCACTTATTTTCACTGATAATTATACATCAAAGAAAATGTTCAAATTTATTTCAACAAAGGATTTTCTTTCATTATCATACTCATATAGTTAACAATGATAAATTATTTCTTTCTAAAATAACATCCCATGCATCATAGAACTGGTACGGATCACCCCGTTGGCCAATATGTAACTTTGACATACATATCAACAGATCTGGATTGTTTTCGAAATACTCCTCACACGGAATTTCTGCATAGAATGTATACGCATATTGAAGATCATCGAAATCGTAATATGGAAGATTTGCTAATTCGCGTAATATTCCTGTTATATAAGCATCACCAATACGTATAATTTCATGATTGGGATGATTGGCTGCGTCAACAAGGCGTTGACACGAGACATTCGAAAATAAATAACCAATACCAAATGTGTATGGAGGATAGATAGTCGATGAATATTCAAGTTTAGTTACAGCCCACTTATCTGCACGATGCACTGTATTGTTAAAACGAAACCACCCGTAGAGACCATCTTTCTTACGAAAATCCAAACTTTGTTCAATGTATTCTAACAAGAGAAATATATCTAATAGAATATCATCATCTGCACGAAATACAATACGAGCCAATGGACAATAATACCGAGTCCATAGTAATGATGCTAATTCTTTGTGAGCGACGAATGGATAGTTCTCTGGTATACCGACTTCTACAACATCGTGGAATAGTGTCTGTTCATCTCGTACAGCTGCTTGAGCATGATCATCCGTCCCAACGAAAAATATTGTCTGGATGTAAATCTTACTTTTTTTGTATTTACCATTGCGACCCCATGTTGCGCGTATGACATGACGGTAATCGAAATTAATCGCGCGTGATAGAACAATGATGATCATAAACTGTTCGGTGTCATTTGGATAATTACAAATCGATTCGGACGGATTAATAAACGTAAAACGACTCAACATCGACGGATCTTTTTCGTGTGAGTAAAGAACTTTTTCGCGAAGAGATTGTTCATCAGGAGTGCTTGGAAGTTGCCTTGTTGTGACACTCAATGATGAGGGCAAGATGGAAGGGCTATCTGTAGATGTTAATGACACGGTAAAACTTGATGGAATTAGTGTGTGATCATTTTCAAGATGTTGAAGATAAGAATAAATTGAAATAAGAAATATTATACATGAAACTAAGAGTGCAAAATGAATGTAAAACGATGAAAACATTATTTACGTAAGTATTCACCCGTTTGTCATTTTCTTATCACTGTATTTTTTCTTTCTCCTCCTTTTTTTTACCTTCCTTCAGTACACACTCATGCGTGAACCATATATTTATGACGGTCAAAGTACAGTTTATTTCAAAATGCAAATATGAAAATGGAAAAAAAATGATTACAATAGTTTGGGGATTCTTAGTTTCATTTTCCGCGCTAAAATAGACATCACCTTGTCACATGGGGCAAAAATTCGTATTTTTGCCAAATGGTCATGGGGCGTCTTTTGCAAATTAATAATAACCAAACCAAGCGTTCCTTCTCTTTCAGCTACGCTAGTTGCAACTACATCTGCTTCCATACCACACATCGATGATCCCATAGCTAATACCAAATCTGACTTTTTTGCCCATTCTAACATCCATTTATGTAAATCAGGCCGAAGTTTATCATCCATCAAAACAACAGGATTCTTTTTATCGAACCAAGATCCATGAATTTCATTCAATTTTTCTTGTGGATAACCAGCCCGTTGAGCCAAACCATCGTGATTCTGTTGTACCCAGTGTTGCAATAGATGTTTCTTTTCCAGTGCGACTAACACATGATGAGTCAGCGTTGGTTTAGCTTTCAAACGATTGACACTTGTTTCTTGCATGACAATGGAATTGGATGCTTTTGATGCGTAATCACCAATACCAGATGAGGTCGAGATTCCCGCACCCGTATAAACAACAAATTGTTTACTTTTCTCAATCAAAGAGACAACGATATCGAGTTTAGCATCAAGCACAGTATCGACATCCAAGTATTCGCTTGCATCGATGGTGCCGTACATGTCCGGTCGAGCTTTTTTGGTACTTGCTACAACAAGTTGTGGTAACTTCCAATTGCTGTCTCCAGCTTGGCCGTGCATGCATTCAAAAGACATATCTGTTGTTGCTGTCGCCATTCAAAGAATTTATTTTCTGTATCAAATGATTATAAATCCCTTCGGCGAACTCGCATTTATATGATAAGAAGAAAGAAGTGAGTCATGCTTATCGATGTGTTAGTCATATTTGTTGTAGTTACAAAACATAAAGAAATTAAAATTGAATCGTGTCGATTAACGTCATTGCTCATTAAACACTCTATTGCGAAGTTAACAATACATAGAAGTCGAATTATGATGAAATGTCAATAATTCGTCATGATCTTTCCTATCATTTCAATCAGAAATGATAGCACGATGTTATTCTCATTTTGTTTCCTTTATCAATGAAAATATTTGTCGTGTATGTGTATTCGTGGAATAGCAAACAGTTCAGCTGATTATTTTATCAAATCTGGCAGATAACTAACTAATTTGAATAGTGAGAAAATTAAAGAATTTTTCTTGTCATTGCGAATAAACTTGTTTTTCAACATGTTCATCTTATCTTGATATTCAAATCGAGGTGGTCTTTTCCTTTCTCTTTTATCAATAAACGCGTGCATGAACAAGATATCCTCGAGGAGAAGAAGATGAGTATATCTTCTTATCTCTTCTCCTTCTCTCCACACCGGGGTGGCCCAATGAGAAAGTTAATCCAACTTGAATGTATATAAACAAACGAGATGGCTCTCCTTCTCTCATATGATCTCAAAGAATGTTTCGTGTCACGCTAATTATTGGAATATTTTGCTCTATTTCCTATACTTTTGCCAATCAATCGGAAACAATTGTTGATCTCTACAATAGAATTGCTCAATCTGGTTCACTCCTCAAAGCTATATCGTTTGACATCAATACACAATCAAAATTGAAGAATATCAACACTGTGCGAACAGTTTCCTACCAACGTATGTGCGAATTTTCTATACATGCGTTAGAACACATTTTCGAAGTTTTCCTTTTAGTGACAAATAATCAACGGTGGTTAGGCGTCCGAATAAAAAAGAATCCGAATGAGCAAATTGCCTTGATTGAATTACGATGCAATGTATCCAATATCCACGTTCGATTGGGAAAATATGGTTATCATCGAAAATATCGCTTACCATTAATATCTAATAGTACTCAATCCTACGATCTTACTCACTTTTTACACACATATCATCAACGTATGATTTATCTCACATTTCCCAATGAGATAGAAAGTCAAACATTGTCTGTATTCTATTATACGAAATCGAATAAAAATCTATTCTCATTTTCGTCTACTCAACATCTAAAACGACGTTATCGACGAACAATCTTACCAACGAATCCAGCAATGACCTGTGCTAAACATGAGTATGAAATTGATTTCAATCAGTTCTCATTTGGTAAATGGATTGTTCAACCAAAACGTTTCAATGCTTACACATGTGCTGGCTCCTGTCCCAATCCATTATCACCTCGATATTACCCATCAAACCATGCTATATTACTTAGCTTAATGCGTTCGCAAAGACAATACGGGCAACAGCCATCCTGTGTACCTGTTCGATTGAAGCCGCTGTGTTTACTCTACTATGATCGTGATGAACTGATTATTAAATATCATCGAGATATGATTGTACAAGAGTGTGGATGTCGATAAGAGAGATATGCTATTTCTTTATTTTAAATAAATACGATCTTTTCAATAATAGCATTTGAACATTGAAAAACTATACAATCGATGTCAACTAAATTTTCCAAAGTCTTTTGACGACATCGACAAATGTTCGACGGAATATTTTTCCACCACATAATATGTTGATATAGAATAGCATTGCGCTGGAAAAGTAAGTTAAAAGTAACAGAAGATTGAAAACGAGGTTTTCAACGGCGCTTTGTAGAGCTGGTTTAGTTTGCTCTTCGGTAAATGTTGAATAGATTTTCTGAACGGCTTGTGGCAGTGTGAAAAAGCTGTACAAGACAATTTGCACTAGAAGCATCACTAGTAAATGAAAATCAGATCTTTTCCATCCTTGCTGTGAACCAGTGACGGTTCTCATTGTTTCTATTACTGTATCGGTTGCTGGTCCAACCATCACACGACGGTAAGAATTTCTAACATTGGAGACGGTTTTCAATCCAAACGTGATCATTCCGATAATTGGTACCATAATTGTAATGATTGCATAGGATAAATCCGTTGATATACGACATATGGTGGTTTTTCCATAACATTTCAATGGTGTAGTGAGTAAATTTGCTTTGTAACAATAGAATACCTGGGCGTACAAAAGAACTGAAAACGCTGTTATAAGACAAGTCAAGCGATAAGAATTCGTTAAAGAACTTTTTCGCCGATAGACATGATTAATTGAAGATGAAAGCCATCGATCAACACTGGCAAATGCTAATAGCCAAGATGCCACGGTTCGTGAAGCAAATAGAACGAATGCACGCAGCTCACATAACCAATCGATTGTATTTGTTAGATCTACGGCATAACCAGATAACATACGAGTGGTTAAACCGGATAGAATAGAGATAAGACTGGATATTGATGAAATTAAAAGTAGGAACGCACAAGAATTTGTGCGAAGCTTTTGTTGAAATAAAACAATGCAGTTGAGCACATTACCAACGACACCGAAAACGAAGATAACAATTGAGAAGTACCGATTTATTTGGGTTGATGCATTTTGTATGGATGCAATGAGAATAGTTACATTCGTCGACATATTCTATTCTTGTTCTTGATTTTCTGCAACACAAAGCGCTAAATGCTCAGAATTTTAATATCCAGCTAGTTCTTAGCTTAAGCTGATTAATCTGCCAGCGGTTGAAAATGACGATCCTTCGCTAATTTATAAATACAGATTAATCTCATTGGAAGAACTATGTTTTATTCACATGAATTAACATTTGTTCATCAGTCAACAATGAAGACTAATTTCTATCTTTTACCAAATGCTAGTCAGTGTGCGCAAAGGTTATCATATCGAGAGATGATGTACAGGTAGAATTTCATTTTCTTGTAAACGATGCTTTGCAGTTATTCAAGTGTGAATTCAGTCAATGGCACTTGCTCATTCTCGAATCGGTGTAGATGAATAAAAAGGCGAAATGACATATATTTGTTCGTCCAGGGAAAATCTTAAAACATGACGTATTACACAAAGCTGATAGAAAGTAATTAACTATGGTACGAACCTTTCAGCCTAATTAGTTTAAAAAATTTGCTTTGTTCAAGATAGGATCAGTCTTCGAGTAAAATGTCAAAAGTAATCATTTCTGATAAAGAAAACCTCCTTACAAGTAAACAGGGTATGGTGAACATGTGCAAAAATTTTAAAAGATTTTATTTCTAACAGAGCTAGTTTATTTAAAGAACTCTCTGTGGGAAGTCCTGTCTGTCAGAAAAACTCAGGAAAGATGTGCGCTACATCCGTTTTTTGAAGAAAGAATGGTCTACCACATGTAGGCATGGTTTTATCTACAAACTTGAAAAACTTTCAAGCGAGTTTCTAAAAACATTCTCAAGAGGAAATGAAATATTTTTAGATATGTGTGCCAAAGTATTATACTCAGCAGGGGATATGAAACGACTTGTGTACATAGAGCAGAATGTTCCTTCGTTAGCTCATAGATCTTTCGAAACAAGACGTAATCGTCGGGAAGTATAGGTTTGATGAGACAAGACCGGTTTATTGAAAATCGTGATTGTTATGTTTAAACAAAAAATAATAAGTCTTGCAATGGGCGAACCGGTAGTCCGATCGAGATTAAACAGTCGATAATACGACTATTTATCTAAACACATACGATGTGTATAATTATATGGCATAGATGAAACGTCAACATAGTTATTTATAACTTCTCATCAGATTTTGTGAAACGAAACATTCGTGTCAAATGAAATACGCAGAAGAGATCACTTATCCCGTGAGAATTGAATCGCAAATTCACCATGACCTTGAGTTTCTCTGAGAATAGTCTCAGCTTTTCATAAGAGATTAATTCGTTTTGTAGTCAACACAAAAGTCACGTGATTTGAAATGACCTTAGTTGAAAGGATTGACATCATTTCAAAAGACTACAATTAACATCTTTTGAAGATGCATTCGGGCTCGAAAACAAAACTACCATGATTAATTGTTGTATACGTTCTTTTCTACTCCTTTTCCTTCTTCTAATAACAACATTAAAACACTCTACACAGGCTGGTTGAATTTTTCTGCATTGGAACACCCACACAGAAAAATAAGACAATACATTGTAAGTTACAACAAGAATTCCTGGATCATTCATATAAAATAATTCAATTATTTGAACTGACGTGAACATGTTCATTATGATGTTCTTTAACATCGTCTATGCGATTGATTGTTATTCAATATGACTAAGATTAGACAAATGTCAAATTTCGTTAATAAGACATATAACAATAGAAAAATACAGTTTTGTTCAATGAACGGTTTTCGTGAAACGTATATTGAAAATAAATGCTGTTAAATGAATAGAAATTTTGATGAAACTTTTTCTACTTAAAAATTCGTTTCGAATGAAAAAGTCATCGATTGAATATTTCAAGTAATCGAAAAGAAACCACACAAGATTTGTTCGGTGCACAATGTAATAGAAAAAAAAACGAAAATTCTCAATAAAATGTTCTTTCTCTTCATCATTCTTTTTTATTCGGATTAAAAAATTGTCGTCTTTCACTTCACATTTGCATTAATCGTAAGTAAAAGAAGAATTGTACATTTCAATACGAGTATCTTCGAGAAATCATCCAATAAATCGAAAGTCAATCACGTTTGATTGACATTGATTTGTTTTGATATTCATAAGGTCGAATAGGACATTTTCAAAACTCAGACATCTGTTAAAATCAACAAGTTTCTTGTTAATAGTTAGTCTGTTTGATTTAATCTGTTCACGTACACACACATTCTTATTGAGCAATTATCGTTCATAGAGCGAGAAGAAAAAAAAAGCGAAAGAGTGATTATGTTATGTATACAATAGCTGATGCGAATGAGAGAGAGATTACTCCTTGAATACTAGTGGTTAAAGTGTGTTCTGTCCAATGTTACATGTAAGCTGGTTCGTTCGATCATGTTCGAATTATTTGTTTGTTCATCTCACTACGTCATTTTCTCCCTTTTTCTTGCTCCCCCGCTTTGGAAGAATGGATGAGAGTAGGAGAAAAGAAATGAACTGGCTTTTATTTATTGAGTCTAACAAGAATTTGGGCGCATTTACTTATGTATTACATATACACATTAGCGATATTACACGACAGGTAAGAATCAATTGGTTCGTTGTTATTTACAATTGGAAAACTTTCGGCGATGAATATGAGAATCGTTAGTGAAAAGTTCTGACGATACGTACAATAAGAAATGTTTGTCCTTTTTACGTTCTGTTAAGAAATAAAGAATAATATAAACAAAGGAGGAAGAGAAATAATGAAAGGAACGATTATCTTTGAAGTTTTAAAACAAGAGCCAAATAAACAAACGTTACTATTTTGCCAACGAAAACTATTCGTAATACTTTCATTCGTATTTTAAGTAAAGTTTTCACTTTGCTCAGTAGTGCACGCAGTAATCATTGTTCTCTTTTGTTCAATATATACACAGATGTTCGAGTACGTACAAAAAAAGAAAACACATTCTGTGCGACTAGGTTTACGAGTGTAGATTCTAATAATTTTCTCTGGTAATTGAATTCGGTTACATTGACCCACCATTCTACGTGTGTCTCTTCTGTCGCACTTCGTTCTTTTGTTCTCTATTGAATATCAAGACTAAGAGTGTTCAAATATATGCTTGATTTCTTTCTCTTTCTTTCGTCATCTGTCGTACAAATCGTTTCTGCGTATATTCTATTACGATAAAGACTTCATCAGTGATCATAAAGGAAAAAAAAAGTAGCAAGACGTTCAAAATTGAACAACGTAAGAACGAGTGATCGATTGTAAAGAAACGAGCAAAAATCAACACGGCACAACAGTATGTCGACTCTTGCATCCCTCTTGCGTCGCCGTCGTTGTCCTTTTCTGCTCTAGCTATTGTGATTACACGTTGACGAAGAATTCTAGCATGCGAGAAAATCATCTGACAGCACTGCCCGTCATTTGTTGTTGTTGTTTTTATTTTGCCTATTCGATTCTTCTTTCTTTTCCGCGATTTTTGACATCCGTATGTATATACAAATAAATTTAACTTAGACACGCAGAAAGTCTTCCGCTGATAATAACAGTAATGATCGTCATAATAACATATGACACGAGTTTCTCTGACGTTTATTACACATCTCTAGTCTTTTAACCAATGATGTTTATTGAGCAAAACTCTTTAAACGGGAGTCTTTTTCTTCTGATGGATTCAATAAGAGAGAATGAGATGTGTAATTAATAATTGTCAAAAAGTCAAGAAGGAGAAGAAGATAGGGAAGGCAAAGATTTAACCTTCGTTGTTCATATTTCCTCCTTTTTCTCTATGTACATAGTGATAAACAAAAACTCGTTTATTAGTATTAGTACCCTTGTGATGACAAATCTCCTCGTTCGTTATCGATTGTCTGAGCAAAGTTCGTTGTCAATGCGTGTGTATGTGTATTCAAACATGGTAATTATCAGAACCTTGCGAATAGAAATGACGAAGGTTGACACTTTCAGGAAATACTTATTTTCACCTCTATGAATTCATTTCCTCGTATTCAGACGTATTTTGCTACACATCCTCTTGCTGTCAGATTATTATCAAAGATAGCAAACTAAATAATAGTTTCGGATTTCATAAACTGTTCTCGATTTTTAGGCTTTACCGACAATCTTGATTAGCTTTGTTTTTGCATCATTTATGTTCTTATTAATATCATAAATATGGTACAAGACTCGAATAACGCGACAACACCTGATAAAGCCCCGGTCACAGATACACCTGACATGTCATCGGATGAAAAACGAAAAAAAGTTGGCAACTATGTCATTTTAAGAACCATTGGTGAAGGAAGTTTTGCTAAAGTACGCTTAGGTGTTCATCTAATAACAGAAATGAAAGTAAGTTTCCAATAAGGAAAATCGTGTTCAACTATTTACTTTCGATTCGATTTAGGTTGCTGTAAAAGTTATTAATAAACGTGAAGTATTCAAACGTAACTATCTCAGAGCTAATCTACGTCGTGAAGCTTCAATGATGCAGCGCATGTGTCATAAGAATATTGTTCAATTACATGAAGTGATGGAAACAGAGAATTCATATTATATTGTCATGGATTTAGTACAAGGAAATGAATTTGTGAAGTACTTAACTAAGAAGTAATGAAGCGATGTGAATGAAGTTGATATGTTGTCTTTTAAATTTGATTTTCTAGGAGACAATTAGATGAGAATGAAACGAGAAAATATATTCGACAAATTGTTTCTGCCGTTGATCATATGCATCGAGCACGCGTGATTCATCGGGATATAAAACTACAAAATTTTATGCTCGATCAAAATAACGATATTGTTATCATTGGTAGACAGAGATACTCTTTCGACGAATTTCTATTTTTGAATCATTTTCTCCTTTATAGATTTCGGTCTAAGTAACTGCCTCGATGAAAAAGGTTTTCTTATGACGCAATGTGGTTCACCTGCGTACGTATGAACATACAAATAGAAACGATATTTATAAGTTATTTGTATAGTTATGCTGCTCCGGAAATCTTCGCTCACCAAGAGTATGGACCAGCTGTCGATGTTTGGAGTATTGGAGTAAATATGTATGCTATGTTACTTGGTAAACTGCCATTTAAAGTCGAGCATCGTAGTCGAAATCTGGCAAAACTGCATGCTTGTATATTGAAAGGATGCGAAATACCGAATACTCTCTCCCGTGGTAAGAAGTTCGATTGAGATTTGATTTATCGTCAATTGTCAATAATGTTTGCTTTAGATTGTCAAGATCTATTAACGCGATTATTAGAACCGTCGCCAACCAAACGAATTACCATGGCTGAAATTCTTCGTCATCCATTCCTCGTAAATCATCATGGACCTATCGAATTGATGCCATTTAAACCACTCACTGATGCCAGAGATATTAATAGAAATATAATCAAATATCTCTCTGTCAAGTAACTTTATTTGTTAGATGAGAACGAAAAACGAACCAGCTCTTTTTCTAGACACGGCTATTCAGAGCATGATGTCGAAGAAGCTGTTCTTTATCGTAAACCCATTGCGTCGCGTGCCCTATATAATTTAATAGAACGACGTCTCAAAGAGGGTCTGGGTTGGCCTGATGCGACCTATACTAATCCCCTTAATGGACATTCATCACTTTCAACAACAGTTGGTGCATCACTACCTGATGGTGCATCAGATGTTGTTGTGCTCGATAAACTTGTTCATAATGAACCTTTATTGCCTAGTCGCCGTGCGCCACCCAACCTCCTTCCACAACAACAACAGCAACCCATTGGTACTTCTACAATCACCAACGGACGGAAATTTTCACGTGATAGAACGAACTATACATTTGATGAACAAGTTTTACTGCATACGAATACAAACGGAAATATCATTACAGGCGGTTTAACACAAGAAGCATTCAATGAACTGGTGCCAACACCAAAATTAACCTCACGGAAATTATTTCACGATATTATTCTACGCAAACCTTCCGCAAACGGGCATGCAACTGAAGCATCAGACGAGCAGCAGCATCATCATTCGAAACGTATGCATAATCCGAATAGTTTATCAACGATAAAACCGTTAATAACCGGTCAACGCACGAATGTTGTTACTCCTCAGCATCAACAATCACCTCCTCAACAAAGATTGAAACCACGTAGTCTACCTAATTCTACACTAGATCATGCAAATCAAAATGGTTTTCATTTGCCACATGATCCATTAGCTAGTGGTACTCGAACGCCGAAAACGATTAGCCGCGCATCAAACGTCGAATATCTGAAACGATCTCAGCCACAATCGCCGGTGCGATATAACCCTGGTAAGTTACAATTTGATTCGTACAAAATATGTTTTCTCGCCGGGTTCGACTAATGATTATTTCTATTGCTTTCTTCGTCGATTTCATAACGACTTTTTACGAAAGTGCACAAGCCATCTAAGTTTTTTTTTTAGATTATTAAAATCGATGAGGTAGAAAGTAAAAGAAAAAATACAAATTCATAATAACAATAATAATAGACTTTCAATTTCAGAGGTTTCATTCATAAGAACATGATTTTCTTCCGATGAATAATCTTATTGTTTTTGTTTATCTATGTATTTTTAGCTCCATCAGTAACTGTGAAAGCAATTGGTTTATTTTTGAAGAACTCCGCTCTACATTCTCGTGTTAGTTCTTGTAGTAGTAAATCATCGAAAAATGTCGACAGTGCGTCGCCAATTGCTCATCAACAATCTCCGCCATTGAGATTTTATCCGTCAACATCAAATACGATCCATAAGCAAAATACTGTGAATTATCACTCACATGGAAACTTACAAATGACTGGTCAAACACGGCAAGCATTTGTGAAGCCATCAGAATCGCCTCATCATCTGCCCACAAGTAAGGCTTCGCATTCTACTACAGCTGCGCCCCCAGCGGCAGCAACAGGACATAACGGACAGAAACTAATGCAAACCTAAATGAAAGATTATTTTTTCTTATTCTCTATTACTTTTCTTCCGTACATTTTCGTCTTCTTTTTGCCATTCAATTCGGTGCTCTCCATCTTGTCCTCTTCTTTCGATTTATTAATGATTGTGTCTCTTTCTTACGAATGAAAATATGAATCTATCTTCGTCTGTATATAAATTTACTTCTAATATATAAATGTTTCCGCTTACGCAAACCGAAATGGAATATACACATGGATATAATTAGTTTCCTTTCTTTTTTATCATTTCCAATGACTTACACTTCGTTGCAAGACTTTTCAAAGTATTGTCTATTCAATGGCAAGCATAACTGTTCTCTGCGAAACGAAATTATTGAATACTAGATTCTATGCATCTTATACGGTCGTATGAGGCGTCCTGTAAAAGATAATGACGAACGTGAAATTAAATATTGAGGTTTGGTGACGTTGGTGAAGTTAGCACCATATTCGAGTAAAAGCTTTCCATATTCGTTTAGGAATGCGTTCCAACCGTTCCAATCAGCGTTCCAAGTAGAACTCGGCGAGCTCTATCTAATGGTGTATNAATTTTTTTCCAAAGTTTGTCCGGTGAATAAAAATACCACCATTCGATGCAGAATTAAATTCTGAATCGGATGGACTAGGTTTTATGAACCGGACAAACTTTGGAAAAAAGTTTTTAGCTTACACACAGTTTCTTCGTGCTAGCTCCTTCGTGCTAGCTTCACACTGATGTAAGTCGCCTTCTTTTCCTTGATTTCTTCGCTTCCGGCGTTTTTCTTCGCTAGCTGAACCCAGGTCAACAAATCCGATGCTGGATCCGACCATCCTACAAAATCCGATCGGATTCCTGGAAACGGAATTGCATTGAAATCCGACTAGAAAAATCCCGTCGGTTGTTGCAAATTTTATGAGCGATCTTTCTAGCTATATTCTATGATGACCCTTAGAAAATCCAAGAAATCCATGTTTCGGATCCGAGACCGTCGGAATCCAATGCGATTCCGTCACCAGGATTTCATCGGATCCGTCGAATTCCTGTAGGATCCGATAAAATTCAGTATTGGATCCGATGGGATCCGAGTATGGGATTGTTGACCTGGGTAGGTCGTCATATGTTTCGTGCAAATTCCGGATTTGCGCTTTTTCCACATGTAGAAGAATTGTTAACTAAATCAAATTAGATATGTATTACTCATACATGTAATGAATCACACAAATGTTGTTTCCACTAACTCGATCCTTTGCACGTTGGAGTTCACTCATATCGATAAAATGTTTGATTGTGATAGAATATCTGTAACAGAAATATCGATTCATAGTTTCATGCTTTACACATTCCAGGCTAGTCTTCGGCAAACAATGTGATAATTTAACTATGTTTGAAATGGTGGATATTCACGAGAAAAACAAATACAGTATAACAATGATGGTCACAGTACATATACAAAGAGAAAGGAAAGCCAATGAAATGATTACCATGTATTACTAAATGAAATACGAAAGATACGAGAGAGAAAAACAAAATGCAGGACACGAAATTAAATATGGACAGAACATACGTAGATGTCCGTAGCTTTTAAATTTCAAATGATGAACATATTCAAACGAGACAATGCGCGGAAATATTGTATCACGAAGTTTGAATTAGTTTTGTTCGTCTCCATAATCTGAAGCAATAATTACGTCGATCAATATTCGAGCAATTGCTTAATTTATTCCCAATATCAATGTTAATGAATAGCTTCTTTTTCTACCGAGTTGCTTTCTTTCTGGAAACGATTTATTCTTCATAATCGTAGAAAATAGTTTATTGAAAAAACAGTATGATGCTAGAAAAATGGAAAATATGAATGAAACCTTTCCGATCGAACAAATGCTTTCTGCATTTTAATTTTTGATAGATGAGTACAATTCAAATTTTCAACATCAAGAGTAAAATAGTTTGTTAGTAATGCAAGCGAATCATATTCGACATGCAGTACTTTTAGACATGGCAAAACAGTTGTGTCTTTTAAGAGAAATTGTTTGGCATAGTCTGGATGTGATCTACAAAGATCCAATATGGTCAAATGTGTGAATGTGATCGGTGTTGATGTATTTTCTTTCCCTTTTGGTGCTTTGGCATTAAATATCGCTAAATGGTTTAGAAAAGGAAAGTATTGAGAAACTTTGCGAAAAAATTCTTTTTCGTATGGCTTCTGATCACTCATTGTCAACAAGCGAACTTGATCAAATATGTAACCTTGGCATTGAAATGAATTGTTTAAATGATGGAAACAATCGAAACAATATGGAAGCGAGTAGAAATGATATGCGAACTCATTGATTACGAAGTTTTCATCAACATATGAATCCGATTGTTTGTATCCAATTCGGATGGAATCATTTTGAATATTTGTTGAATTACATGGCCAACATAGAAATGTATGGATACTAAAATCAAATTTTTTTAATAGCGGCATTGAGCTAAGAAAATCATCATATAATTCAACTTCATTTATGAATAGTAATCCATTTGGTCTTAAAACCGCCAAATATAAAACAAGTCTTTCAAGACTTAACATTCGATTTAACAATGGAATAATCCCATCATCATAGTATTTCGTAAAACCACCCGATGTTAATGAAAAAAATTTCAAATTGTCAAGTTTTTTCTAAGATGAATAGGATTCTCGAATTGTAAAACTTTTTCGCATAAATCTTACCGTATTATCCAGTTTTTGAGAAGAATCTATTATATCGGATATATTAATAATCAATATAGTTAAAGATGTAAAACATCCATTCAGAATATAAAGGCAATCATTGAAAGTAGATACTCTTATTGTTAATTTATTTATAGTTGAATATAGAGTATTGTTTGATCTGATATTTAACGTATCAATTTGACGAAATAGACCAGGAAACCGATATGTGTATGAGAAATCTATCAAAAATTTGCCCAAAGATAAAATTAACTCGAAGAAATCGATATGATTGTCACTGGACAGTTTTTGATCGGTTTCATCAACGATGGCAACAGAAAAAGAAACGATCTGTGTGCTAAGAAGACGATGAAGTATTGATTCATCTAAAATGTTACATCAATTCAATTATATAACTTCCACATTTTCCTTTGTAGAACTTTACTTGTTAGATTATCTAAAAGAGTTTCTCGTGTAACAGCAAGTGATAATGAACGAAGTTGAGGATAATCAATAGTAAAAAAACTTTTGTTGCAAATGGATCGACTGAACACTTAATCGAATTATTTGATCATGAATTCTCGGTAACACTTTGTCACGAATTTCAGCGAAAACTTGCTCCATTGACGTCGATTGATAATGGACTGATGAATAATTTTTCAAATTTAAATCAGATATATTCAAAGGATTCAGTACTAAACGATCGAATCGTTCATTTACATTAACAAGAGAATGTAGCATATCAATTATAGTTAATTTGTGCAGAATAAGAAGTAATATTTCATCAGGTAAATCCAATAAGTTAACGTTCTTCATTCTTTTCAGAAAATCAGTCAAAGTTTCTCTCCGAATTAAATATATGACTCGCATTTCTATGCAACAACGGCTATTATATACACGCATTCATTGTTATCCTCGCTTGAGGTCAAAACACACAGACAGAAAAACACCAATTAAGTCAAAATTAAACTGAGCAATATGATTGGCGCATTAGTTTTTAAGCCATCTAAAAAGCGATGATTAGCTAAAATACGACCACAATGACTACATGATAATTCGAAGTGAACAAAGAAGTATCAGGAGCTATTTCGAGAGGTGCAGAATCTGCTACTAGGATGACAAATTGCCTTTCCAGTATAATTTACTTAAAAACGATTACTACCTTCAAATAGAAAGCAAATATCGGAGCATCAACTTCTTCGGATTACAATAGAAAAGTTTCCATTGCAGAAGGATATTTCCCCAAAAATTTGCCCATATGTCACTAATTTCAAAGAATTTTCTCCAAACGACCGTTGGCACACACGAGTAGATTCTGCATTGCTGAAATCAAACGTCTTAAACTCAAGTTCAGCTTAATTCACTTTTTCTGTCTGTTCCGCTTCGTTTTAGTGTGAATTTACACATCAGCGTAATGTTTTCTAGCCACTATTTCATACACATCCCTCCACTATATTCATAGTCATTAATGAAAAGAATAAGTACAAGTTGATTTCGATCGCTCGGCCGGAACTCTATTTGATGCTTCGCAAACCACATTTCGCATATACGCATCAGCTCAAGTATTGCCTAGTTCAGTTTTTGTTTTCCTTTTAATAATCAACAAAATAAATAAAGGAATATGCTTTAAATAACGGATAACAAAGCTTTAAACAGTCAAAACAAAAAAGGACAGACCGAGAGAGAGAGGGAGAGAAAGAAAGACACCAATCACATAGCCACACACACACACACACGGAGATAAAAACAAACGCATAAAAATTTTCTTTCAGCAAGAACATAATGTTTATTTCACTGTCGTTCTTACGATAACATCGTCTAATAAATCATCCAAACACAATTGAACATCACTTTCGATCAAATCAGCAGGGAGTGGACATGAACATCCACTCAGCGGTTCAACCAGTGATGATTCAAGAAACAAGTCAGGATCTTGACAGGCTTCTTGTAAATTTTCTATATCATGCGTAACCTCCCTAAACCAGTTCAAGAAAACAAACTTCAATGGATGTAACAACGTCGAAGCGAAAACATACCATTGACTATCACACGACGAACATTCAAAACCGACGGTTTGCTTCCACTTTGAAGATCGACGAGCATGATTTTCGATGAGATTATGATGTAAATCTTTCATTTGATTTTCCAACAGGCCAAGACAGTCACGGATCGCACCGAGTGAGCTAAGGTGAATCAAAAGGTGTTCGACTTATACGACCCTATTCAACTTACTTCGTTACTTTCTCTTCCGCTTCAGTATCCGTGATTAAACGTTGCAGTTCGTTGATATCGATTAGTGAATTCTATATAAAAGCATTCGATTAGTTTCAGCTACGCAAAAACATCGAAGAGAAAAGTCGTACTTGTCTGAATAAATGTTGATTATCGATTAATGGTCGAATCATTTGACAGAATTTACCCAATCGTGTTTCCAATTCTTTTCGTTTCGTTTGATGCTGATGGTCCAATTGTTCGAAACGTTGAACATTATCGAGTGAAAACTAAAATGAACGTATCAGTACACGTTACCTTTTCTTTCAATGAAAAATAATAAAAAGAAGCAAACTAATATGCAAACTGTGCGAAGATGCGTTAAAAACCAAACAAAGAAAACAAGATCGTATTTTATTATAAGTTAGATGGGGGTTTTGTTCACTTTTACTACAACCAAGAATCATGTTAAAAACAGCTTAAAATAAGAAAAACATATATAAATGTATCACCGAATCAAATAAAGAATACTCTCGTTAAGTTTGAACTAATTGTCATGAAAATAAAAAATAAAAAACGAACAGAGAGAGTAGTGAGTTTATCTATTGTTCAAGCTATGTACGTGCAGTAAGATTTCATAAGCATTCCATGTGAAGCACAGAATCGATGGTGTGTTAGTAAGAAGAAGGAGAAGCATCGTCATTGTAACTGTCGATTGAGCCTACCTGATTGGCTTTGATTGCTTCTTGTAATTCGAGTTGATGAGCTTTCATGGTATAATCAAGTTTTTCTTTGAGCGCATTCAATTCACGTTCTTTTAATTCAAGTAATTCACGAAGATTCTATGAATAAAAGAAAGTCATTCGCTGTTTGTATTTCTCAAAAGAAATGAACATACGTTGGTCGAGTAGTTGTCTAGTTGGTTGGTGTCACGTTTAAGATCGATGATTTCGCGTTCTAGTTGTTGAATTTTCACTTGATCACATTGAAGATCTGCTTTCAGACGGTCAACTTCTAGGCGATATTGAGTTTCACTTGTCCGTAGTCTAAAATAGATATCATTCTTTATTAGGCAACGCATCTTTCGTTCATTACCTATCAGCTTCTGTTTTAAGTAATGTTAATTCTTGATTTTTAACATTCATTTCATGTTGAATATGTTTAAATTGTATTGTGTATGTTTCGAGTTGTTTCTTTAATTTTTGGTTTTGTATACGAATACTCTTCAACTAAATCAAACAAGATTCAAATTCGATGAAACGAAATCAATTCCTTCTCTTTACATGTCGTTCGGTGTCTATTAGTCGTTGTTTTAAATACGGATCATTACTATCGACTGTAATCGATGGTGGTTCACTTCCATCAAATGTTCGTTCCGCAACTTCGTAAGTTAACCATTTCAGTGTTAAATAGCAGATATCGGTATCCGAAGATACACCTTCATCTGTTGATTGTACAGATGAGTATGATAATAGTGCCAGATGATGGTTTTCTTGTTTTAATCGTTCATTTTCTTGGGTGTAATCATGTGTTAAACGTTCAAATTTCAAGATGATATCTTTGAGTTTTTTATTTTCGACTTGAATTTGTTTAACAAACTGCTTTAATTGTTCACTTTCTTTCGACCAAGCTAACATCTCTTGTTCGAAGACTCGCCGTGAAATGCGTTGCTCCGAAGGTGTCGATCTATGTCATAGAAGAAAATCACTCTTTTGTTATCGTCAATACGAAATCAATTTACGGTTGTTGTTGATCGTTTAATGTTTGAATTTCAACGTTCTGTTTAGTTGGTTGGTGTGCTAAATGTTTGATCTGTTCCATGAGAGCGACTCGTTCACGAAGAAGAACATCGATTTGACATTGGCAATCGCTCAAACGGGTTTCAATCAAGCTGCTGAGAAAATGAAAGGATACTAGTTTTTTGTTTGGAATGACAAAAAAGGAGAAGAAAACTACTTGTTATCATTGAAATCCGTTTGAGATTGTATCGCAGTTGATGAGTTGAGAGTAGCTTGATTTCGTTCTTCAGTCAAACGCTCGATTTCTCGCTGGTAAGTTAATCCATTCTCGTGAAGTTTTTCTTTCAATTCATCAATTTCTCTCTGATGATCTTCGAATACTGATGAACTAAACGAACGAAGTAAATTTGATCGACGAAAGTAATCAACCGTCAAATTTTACCCAAGCAATTGATTTCGAAGGGTATCCGTAGTCATTGGACGTTCGTTTTCGGTACTTTGTTGATGTTTATCGACAGAACTAAACGAAAGTAAAACAGGACGTTGAAATTTTGCTTCCCTTATCTATTCCATTGCACTCTTATCCTTCACGAAGTCATAAGTACATGTACGATAGTAACAATTACATCATTGAACGACTTACTTTTGTAGCTCATTGATTTCCTTTTGAAAATTCTTTATAATCAGAATGAGTTGATTCAAGTCGTCAGCTATGTCTCCTGAGGAATGAGGAAATAGATCTGGATTTTCAGTCACAATTTGATGAAGATCATGTGCGATGTTGTGTATCAAACTATTTGTTGACGAAGGCGATGTAGTGACTTGTTGAGCCTCTTGTCCATCAGCGGGTAACTGTAAAGGAGAATGTTGATCATTCCAATCGTTGACAGATGGTTCTTCTGATAGCGACGTAGCGATGTTTCTCAGAGCACCGAACAACCGACTGGTCACTGATGCTGGTCGATTTTCTGTGGAATCGGAAACTTCGTGTATTGATGGTGGTTGATCAACAAGTAGTTCACATTGAACATCAGCATCTCGAAATTGAACACGTTCATCAGCGCAATGTATCGATTCCGACGACCAATCATTCCATTGATCGTCATTAGATGTTTGTTTGGAGTGAATCTCTTGCGTACGTTCACTATGATCTGGTTCAACTTTACGCGTGATTACTGTTGTTGGCGTAAGAGATTCTTGCGGTGTTGATTGCCGTTCTTTTGCAGCTTCCTTTCTATAGAATTCAACTGATTCATTACATTGCCGAATGATTTCTTGTAAACGTTCTTCTGCGGTTTCAAGATCGTTTTGCAATAAACCAATCTGTGTCGCTTGCTTTTCGACGGTATGAATCAAATGATCAAGACGCTCATTTGTTTCTTCACCAACATTGCTAAATAGTTCAGGTCGTTCGAGAACAACTCGTTGAACTTTTTCTTTGACAGTTTGCAAAGCACGTTTTAATTTGCTGTTCAGTTTGGCAAGTTTTTCATGTTGAGGATCACCGGCTGGCTTCTCGTTCTCAGCTGTCGTTACTGCTGATGAAGTATACTTGCGTTTTTCGTCTAGCAAAGTTTCACGTTCGCGAACAAGGCTCTCAATTTGACGTTCATAATTCATTAGATGTTCTTCGGTTTCTCGTCTAGAATATTCGTGGAAGCTATACAGAAAAATGTCTTTTCATTTAGCAGTTTTACCCTAATTTGTCAAGTTCGGCTTGTAAATAGATATTTGAATCCAATTGAGACAATAGATTCATATATTTTTCGCTGACATATTGTCGTCTCTTTGTTTGTTTTTCGAGCATTTCTCGCCGAGTTGATACATTACTGTACAGATGAGATATGTTATGAAAATATGTTAAGCAACTCAAGTATGAATAACATACTCATCAGGTTTGTGCGCCTGTGTAGTTGGTTGTCTTGATAAACTCAATTCGTTTTGTAATCGCTCGATTTCACGTTGACTAGAACGAATAATATTTCGATGAATCTTTCCAATCTAAAGTCAAAGCTCTTACTTCTCCGCAGATTGAACGGTGTGCTGCTCAATTAATCCATCTCTTTCTTGCACGAGTGATTGTATTTTTTGTTCATAGATTGATAATGTCGACGCGCATTCGTCTAGTGTCTTTCGAAATTCCAATTCAACATCGGTCAATCGATTACGCATGAGAGTTCGTTCATCTTCATTCGCCGAAAGCTTTTCACGAAGTTGACTGATTTCCTGTTGATGATGTTCACTTTCAAAAACAGATGAACTAGAATTGAAATCAGATGAAATGATCAGTTTTCCAATAGCTCTAATTTAGCGAACCTGATATAAGTCGAGATTTCCGATGGGGAAGTAGTTTCATGATCTGGTTGTTCGGATTTCAAGGATGGATGGTTGCGGTGGATTTGAGTTTGAAACACTTCCAATGCGCTGAAAGACGAAGAAAAATTTGTCCTTAGAGAAATATTTTACACATTCTAGCATACTTTTGCAACTCGCGTATTTCATCACGATATTGTTCTTGAGACTGATCAAGTTCAGATTGTAGCGCATTGATTTGTGATGCTTGGTGATCAATGAACGAAATCAAATGGTCGAGACGTTCACTAGTATCATCACTGACGTTTTCGAAGAATTCAGGTCTTTCATCTGCAACTCGATGAATCTTATCTCTGATGGATTGAAGAGCACGTTTGAGTTTCTGATTGACTTTCGCAAGTTTCTCATGGTTTTGATCACCGGATCGTTTGTCATCATCGATTTGTGCCAATAAAATCGCGTTCTTTTCTGCTTCATCCACAAGTATCTCTCGTTCTTGAATCAAGCCTTCGATTTGACTGACATATTCAGCAATACGTTCATTCATTTCTTTCCTATAATTACCAAAAACATGTCAATAGTGAAATTTCAATGAATCTTAAAAGCAAACTGATTACTTTTGTCTGCCGAAATCGTCGTATGATTCAACGTAAGATGAAAGAGCAAGGTACCGGTCGCTGAGATCTCGTAATTCGTCTGATTGTTGTTGAATAATATCTTGTAACGATCTCACACTAACGGCAAAAGATGAACTGAAACATTCCTAAGAAAAGCTGAACATACTCTGCTGGAGAAGTTTTATCGATAAGACCAGCAGTTGGCGATTGTTTTAATTCGTCTTGTAAATGTTCGATTTCGTTTTTACTGAAAGAAACAGGTGAGTTCAAGGAGGAAATTGAATGGACATTTTCATTTTACCTTTCTGCTGATCGAATAGCATGTAATTCAATAACTGCATTTCTTTCTTTTACTAATGCTTGCAATTGTTCTTCGTATTTTGCAATAGCTGCTGTGTGTTCATCCGATGTCTTTTTCAATTCAAGTTCAACCTCATCCAGACGTTGACGAAGCTCTGTTTGGTCATTTTCATTTGCTGTTAGCTTTTGTCGAAGTTTCTTGATTTGTTTATTATAATCTTTCATAGGCGATGTACTGAAATTCAGAATATAAGAGATTCTTCATTCCGGGCATTTCGTCGTTACCTTGTAGTAGTGACATGTTCAGTTGTCGGAGCAGGAAAAACCAGATGCTCTTGTGTTCCTGATTGATCATAGTCACGTTGATTTTCATATTTTTCCAATGAACTAGAAAGTTTATGCAATAAATTCATTTTTTCCTTCATACGTGATAGGTTTTCCTACCTTTGTAGTTTTCGAATATTTTCACGATAAAGTTCTTCGGATTCGGTCAATTCTGCTTGTAATAAATCGATGCGTGTTGCTTGATGTTCAACTGTGTAGAGCAAATGATCAAATCGTTCTGTAGTTTCTTCCCCGATGTTCACAAATAGATCAGGTCGAGCAATAACCAATCGGCAGATTTTATCTTTGAATGCCTGCAATGCACGTTTGAGTTTGCTGTTTAATTTCACGAGTTTTTCATATTGTTGAGCATCGGTTGGTTTGTCACTTTCGCCCGTATTCTTCTGTACTTCTTCTAATAGTTGTGAACGCTCACGAGTGAGAGATGTAACTTGATTTTGACAGTGCATTAACTGTTCTTCCATTTCTTTCCTATTTTATCCGATGAAGTTTTAGTTAATAAAGAAAAGCTTTTTGATGGGTTACTTTTGTTTTTCCCAATCATTTTGAGCATCAAGCAGAGACGAAAGAGTTTGACATCGATCGGTTAGATCTCTCAATTCATCTGATTTCTTTTGGATGACTTCCTGCAGTGATTTTATTCTAAAACAAATTCGAATATCGTTTCGCTTCACTTTCGTGAATCATCGATAGCATACTCTTCTTCGGATGATGATTGATTGACTTGGGCTGCGGCAAAAGATTCTTTGAGTTGGTTTAATTCTTCTTGCAACTTTTGAATCTCATGTAATCTGAGTGAAATTGTATGAAGACATTGATTTGTTAAAGGTCAGCTCTTACTTTTCTGATAATTGCATTGTATTTTCTTCAACAGCCTGATCTCTTTCTTTTACCAGTGTTGCAAACTGTTCTTCGTACATGGCGATCGTTGATTCGTGATTATCTGTTGATTGTTTTAGTTCAAGCTCAACTTCATTGAGACGTTCGCGAAGTAAAGTACGCTCATCTTCATTCGAGGACAGTTTCTTGTGAAGCTGAAGGATTTGTCTTTGACAGTCTTCAATCAACGATAAACTGAAACCAAAAACATAGATCAATTTAATCATCACGATGGTGTCTCTCACTTTTTATCGTCCGAATTTGAAACGAGCTGCTCTGTTCGTACTGATCGTTCATAATCAAGCTCATCTTGACTTGCTTTCAGTAAACTACAGAGAAGAAACAATTTTCTATGGATCAAGTTCTTCGTTCGACTTACCCTTTTAGCTCATCAATTTCTCGTTGTGCTTGATCACATTCTGCTCGTAGATTTTCAATATATGCTTGTTGATTTCCAACGGTATTTATCAAACATTCGAGACGTTCGATCGTATCGTCATTTGCCTCTGCGAATAGATCTGGTCTTTCGATAACCATGTGATAGATTTTGTCTTTGATTGTCTGTAAAGCCCGTTTTAGTTTTGTGTTGACTTGTGATATTTTATCTTGAGGAAGCTCATCGGTTTGCGTTTCACTATTGACGATTTCGACCGTCTCCGATGTGGAGAGATAACCGAAAACACGATCTGTGAAAGTTAAAGATTCACGATCTTTGAGTTTAGGACTTTCTGGTGGTGGCGTTTGCTGCCGTTCGTCCTGTGCTAGCTGTTCTGGAATGATAGCTGTTTGGGTGGAATTGTCGGATGAACTTCGAGGTTCGAGTGACGCTCTAAATGAAGATAAAAGTATAGGAAAGTTCCGATGAAAAAAAGAAAATCTATTGCAACGTACGCATCGCCACGTAGTTGAATTTCTTGAAGGTCATCTTCTAATTGTTTATTACGTTCAAGAAGTTCGTCGCGCTCGGATTTCAATGACCGAATTTGATTTTCGTATTCAACAACATCAACTCTTTCTTGACTGCTGAAACGAACATTGGAATTCAAATTATCCGAATGGTATTGAAAACAATCAAACCTTAAATGCAATAATGTTTCTGCTTCTTGAAGTTTATTCAACAATTCCAAACGTTCATTTTGAAAATCTTCAATTTGTGTCGCTTGATTTCCTATGGTAACAATCAAATGGTCGAGACGTTCAATTGTATCATCACCCGCTGTCGAAAATAACTCCGGCTGGTCGAAAACTGCTTGATGGATTTTGTCTTTTACGGTTTGTAGAGCGCGCTTCAGTTTCGTATTCACTTGTACTAATTTCTCTTGTGCTGGTTCGTCAGTTTGTGTTTCCATATCCATAGTGCGTTTGAAAGGATGTTCACTCGTAACTGTTGTCATGTTATCATCTTCTGATGCGATTTCAAATGTGGACATTTGACTATTCCAATCATTTTCTTCCGATTCAGCCAGATCGGTTTGAATTGTACTGTCGACTTCATGTTCCATGCCGGCTTGAGCTGAACTAGAGGTAGACGGCGATTGAAGAGAACAATGAATACCGATATCATGAGTGGATGAATCTAGAAAGGAAGATTTTTTGCTGGAAATTTTTGAACAGAAAGATTATCATACCAGTATCTGTTGGTTGTGGGGTAGTTTGACGTTTTTGCGAATTCTCATGCTCCATTTCCAATATGATAGCTTTCAATCGTTTGATTTCGTCATCCTTTGATAGTTTTTCTAGAAGTAACTCGTGTGTTGATGGATGTCGAAGTGTATATTCTTCTTCCCAATCGTTATTCCATACTGATCCTTCTGTTTGAGTCGGTCGAAACTCTTCCACCAAATAACATTGAATTTCAATGTCATGCGAAACTTTCGTTGTAGTCACATCTAAATGAACTCTATGTCTTTCAAGTTGAAATATAAAGAATATTCTTACCATTTTCTTTGTTATCCTGCAGTTTTTCTTGATACATTTGTGAATTGTATTCTTTCAATAGCTCATTTTCGTTGATTAATTCATCATAGTCTTGCCGTAGTTGTTCGTAGTCTTTGACTGAAACTTTCTGTTGACATTCTTCTAATTGATGTATACTGTGTTTTAATTTTTCGTTTTCTTGATGTAAATTGAATAAGTTGAATTCGAATTGTTTCTCACGCATGGAATGTTGCTCGCTCAAATCATCAATCGATTTCTTTGAATGTAAACGTTCAAGTTCACTCTGTTCGAGTAGTTCATCATATTTATTTTGCAATTTATCATATATCTTCTCATTGAGATTTAATTCTTGCCGAAATTTGTCTTCGAGTGAATGATATTTCTCAATATAATCCAGTTTTTCATTGTTGATCAATTCATATTCCTGTTTCAATGCTCGAATCAATGTTTCATTGTAAAGATGTTTAGCATCATCAGTTAGATGTTGATTGTAAAGTAAATGCACAGTTAGAAGAGCGAGATAATTCAAATCTTGATCTGTATACGACGATGGAGAAAGATTTTGTTTGGATAAAATCTGTTGACATTCTTTATGAAGACGATCTGGAAGGTCTTGGATGGGCACAAGAGAAAGTTCATCTATATACTCTCGTAAACGTTCATCGTCTTCTTCGGCATTGAAAATATTTCTTTCTTCAGACTAAATCGAAACCAGCTATTCGTGATCGTTTCTTTTTTGGAATGAAAATAGCTTACTTCGGCTAGTAATTGCTCGAATGATTCGGTTTGAATCTTTTGATGTGCTACTTGAACCGGATCAGTTTGTGTCTGGTGATGATCGTACGTTAGTCGGATGGTTTCAACGGCAACATGAATGTTTTCGGGTGCAACAGGTGTTTGACTTGCGGAATCCGTTCGTTGAGATATCTTTTCATTTTGTTCTTCGAAATGATTGTGTATTTGATTAGCAATTTCGTTCAATGTAGAATTCGGGGTAAGGGAAATCCAACTTTGTACTTTAGCTATGAATAGATCGAGTTCATTCTGGTTTGATTCGTTCTTTTCAGCAAGTTGAGAACTCATCGAATCGAGATCAGCTCGCATCTGACGCATTTCATCAGTTTCGATTGGAAACATTAGCGAGTGACTTTCGGTCTAAGGAAATGAACACATATCTAGATGGATAGTTCAATTTGGTGTTCTACGTACGACTTCATCGATGGTACTCAAGTCAGCAGCTGAATGATGACCAACAACTATTGAACGATCTTCCAATGGATTGTTTAATTCTCCTTTTTCGGAAAGGAGTTGTTTATTAGCTTTCTCCAGTTCTTCGCATTGACTTTTGAGTGTAGCGAGTTCTTGATTTAGATCAGTAACACTTTCTGACATAGATTGATCATCAGATTGTGTACCGACTGTTTCTTCTTCTAGAAACCAAGTGAAAACTTCGTACAAATCCAAAATAAAAGCAAGTTATTTACCTGATCGAAAAATGTCGCCAGATCTCTCTAATTCAGCATATTTTTCTTGAAATTCATTGCGTTCTTTCACAATGTGATCGATAATAGCCTGTGCCATCTCTTCGAACGATTGATTTTCATCCATTGGAATGTAATCAACAAGTTTAGCACGAAAAACGCTCCCTTGACTCTGTTGATACGTTTGCCATGCACGATTCGCTTCTTCCAATTGAGCACATTGACTTGCCAACAATTCGAAACTGTCTCTCAAATTATGCAATTCCTCCGAGTCTCGTCCAGCTGAGATCTGAACAAAGAAGGTGACTACAAATTCATCATAAAAGAAAACAAACCTGTGCGGCTGGTTGTTGGTCTGACCCTGATGATGTTGTTCCTATAACATGAAGGCATCCTTTAGTATAACAAATGTATCTTAACAAGCGACCATCATACCCATGTTTTGCTTTTCGACATTAGCTGGCTCATATGCTTCTTTCACAGCTGATAACTCTTGATTTAGTTCATTCACTGTGTTTTCATACGATTCACGAATCGATTCCAGATTTCTTGCACTTTCTATACAAACACACAATGATATCATATACGTCAACATAATCACAACACAACACTCACCCAATCGAATCTCTTCGTTTTCTCGTTCAAGTGCTTGGTATTTCTCATGAAAATCAAACTTTTGAGTTTTGACTTGCTCGACGATCTGCTGGATAAGTTCGTCGAGCGAGCTATTGGAATCGGTGGATAGGCATGACGCGAGTTGATTTCGAAGACTATCAATATGTGTTTGTTGAGACTGTTTCGTTAGCTCGAGCTCATCAGTGAGTGAAGCGATTGTGGTTTGTGCGTCATCCGATGATGTAGAATCTGTGCAAAACGAAAAAATCGACAACTTAAAAGAAATTTTCAGAATAGACTGACTAACCGCGTCTCAATTGGGATTGATCTTTGAGAGTGAGCAATTCTTCATTTAATTTATTGATGGCATTCTTGTAGAATTGGTCCAGGTCTTCCAATTTAGTCGTCGATTCTATACAAATCAATCAGCTCTCTCTCTCTCTTCCTCTCGTATTCTACTGTGTTTCTTACCTGTTCGCAAACTATCGTTTTCTTGTTGCAACGCTGCATATCGTTGATGAAAATCATCTCTTTCTTTCATAATCTGTTCGATGATATGTTGTGCAGCTTGATCTAACGACGAACTGTCATCGATGGAGAGAACATCATGCATGAGGTTGACGAAAGTGGTGAACTGAGTCTGATGGTAGAGTTGCCATGCTTGGTTGGCTTCGTCGAGTTGTGCACATCGTGAGGTGAGAAGATCGAGATTGTCTCGTAGTTGTTGAAGTTGCTGATCTTGAGCAGGAGAAGGCGATGCTCGAACAGGTGAGATGCTATGTACTTGAGCCTTGAACAAATAAAACTTTAGAAATACGCCAGAGTGAAGAGAAAGAATTCTAACCTCTCGAACATTTCTGTCGTATGATCGTCGTTGGGACTTTCGACTGTCGGTGTCCGGTGATCCTAGACGTTCTAAATTTAACGAAATGTGATGAATGAACTTCAAAAAAGAATACAAAATACCCAGATGTTGTTTCTGTAATTGAATTTCTTCTTTCAATAAATCATTATGTTTGATGAGATTATCTCGTTGCTCATTCAATTGATCTAAATAATTCATGACTTGTTGCCCAATCAAATCTAACGATGTATTATCTAGTGTCTGTAACACTGGAATTTGCTGTTGTAATTTTTGTTTGAACGATTCCGTTTGATCGAACTGATATTTCTGCCAAGCGCTATTTGCTTCTTCTAAAGCGGCGCAACGTGCTGAAGCGGTTGATAGATCTGCTCGTAATTGTCGAAGTTCTTCATCACGATCACGATTGATATTGTGTATTCCAACATTCTAGAACACAAGATAAATGGTTCTACCGTCTTTCGCAGATAAAATGAAAAACACGAACTTCTCTGGGTGATTCAATTCGTTGAATGAAGCCATTCGATGGTATTTGATTGAAACGTTGTTCCATGTCATTTAGTTTCATTTGTAATTGCTGATTTTCTACTGTCAAAGATTCGTTATATTGCTGCAGTTGAGATAACTGTTCTGCATTAGTGTTCGCCAAATGAAAGCTGTTTATTTGTTGTAATTGCGCTTCGACTTGTTCCTCAAGTTGTTGTTTCGATACTAGCAGTTGAGTATTATTTTCGCGATAATCCTCACATTGTTTATAAGCATCGACTAATTTCTGACTTATTTGTTCAAGAGTGTCGTTCTGATTGCACACTGGATTGTTAGCTGCTCGAGTTGAATCTAGATGAACTATAAGATTTTTGTTGAAAGATTGTTTGTCAAGAATATATTTTACCTAGTTGACTGGTAGTTTTGACTTCATCGACAAAGTTGAGAATTGTCTGTGCCATTTGCTCTAGGTCTGCATCGTTTGTCAAAGGGATGAAATCTTGTAATTTGTTTCGGAAAGTATCCAGTTGCTGTTGATGATATTGTGACCAAGCATGATTAGCTTCGTCTAATTGTGCACAGCGTGTTGTAATAGCAGTTAGATTCGTGCGTAACTGCTGCATTTCTTCATCGATGTCAAGAGCAGATGCTGAACGGACCGGCGTTGTTCGATGTATTTGTAACTAAAGCAAAATAAGATAGACAAAGTGATGAAAAAGTATTTGACTAACTTCGGAAACTGGAGTAAGACGTGCTTGTTTTTGTAGAATAGATGTTGACATATCCGAAGGAGTCCCTGTTCGTTCGAAATCAGTTAAGCGGCTGGTCAAGTTGAGGTTGTCACTGAGAAGTAATTCATTCTTCTGTTGATATTCCTCAGCTTGCCGTTTAACCTGTTCATTTTCCTCGGTTAGATCTTTCAACCGACTATTTAATGATTCGATGAAATATTGATTATCTTTCAGTCGTTGTTCAAAGTTTTGACAGTCATACTGAAGAGTTGAGATTTGTTGGCGAAGGTCTTTTCCATTTTCATGAGAATCGCTTAGTTCCTTTTTAATAGAGTCAAGATTATTGGCCATTGAATCTTAAAAATAAAACAAATGTGTTCTATTGAACGAATTTTTCGGCTAAAAGTCTCACCTGATTGACTGTTGTCAGTCAGTTGAGTCATTTGTTCGAATTCATCGACGATCAACTGAATCATTTCATCGAAGGTTGAATTCTCAGTAAAGCTGATATACTCTTGCAGTTTATTTTTCACAATCTCGATTTGTTGATCGTAGAATGATTGCCAAGCACGATTCGCGTTGTCCAATTCTGTACATTGGTTTTGTAAGACAACTAAATCTTCTTTCATCTTGATGTCTGAAAAGAATATTCGAAGTTCTTCAATTAGATAAACTTGTGTATGAGTATCTCACCTTCCATTTGACTTTCTTCACGTAATTGTTCAAAGCGATGGTTGAGTTCATTTTCGTTTTCTTTGGAAGTCTCGAGTTCTTTAGTTAATTGATTAATATGAACAATAATCTCTTGTATAATGTCTTCGAGCGAAGTTTTGTTGGAAAATGGTAGCAGATTTTTTAGCAGTTCAAGTTGTTTTTGTTCGAACTGTTGCCACGAACGAATGGTTTCATCCAATTGATTTGTCAGAGATGTTAGATTTTCACGAAGTTCAGGCTAAAAATGAAACGAATAAAATAGGACGATAGAGAAGGTTTCAACATACCATTTCAGCTTGTTGTTGAGAAAGATCAACATTTTCAGAATCTAAAAAATACACGCATGTAATATTAAGAGTGAATTCTACTGCAAGTGAACCTTTACTCGATGTTTGAGTATTTTGATGTTGATTTTCTGCAGCAGTTGGATTTTCTAACTGATGAAGTAATTTGGTCTTTTCGTCAAACATCTGTTGATATTGTTCTTTGATGACAGTGAATTCTTTATTTTCTTTGTTGAATTCTGAACACATCATCCAAGGAGTATAAATCGTAAACGCTTCAAGAAGGTTTTACCTGATTGAAGAGCATTGTTAGCGTTTTCTAAACTTTGATATTGTTTGTTGAACTGTTCTCGTTCAGTCGTGATTTGATCAACAATTAGTTGAGCGATGTCATCGTATGACGCATCACTGTCAATTTGAAAGTGATCTTGAACTTTGGCACGGAAATCATTGAGCTGAGTTTGATGATAATCCTGCCAAGCGCGGTTAGCTTCATTCAAAACGGCATACTGAGAGGTAAGTTCGGCAAAGTTTTTTCGTAACTCCCGAATTTCTTCTGTTTCTTCGGTAACATATGAAGTAGTCGAATGAATTGGGACCTAAAAAATGACTAACTAGAACCGAAGACTATTCTATTTACATGCAACATACTTCATATGGCAAAGTCGCGGGTGTTGATTCTACAATGAAAGTTTACATTTCATAGACATCCAAGGTTCCCAGTAGGACAAAAGACTCACTTGGAGCAACTTTCTCTTGTTCGTGTTTTTGTAGTTGTTGATTTAGATCTCGTTTTTCCATATTTAGCTGTTCACATTGCTCTTTAACACTAAATAGTTCTCTGTTTAATTCGTCGATGGTATTCATGTACGATTCCTTAATTGTTTCCAAATTAGTTGCTGATTCTAGGAGAAGTATCATTGATAAAGTAAACAGTAGTCTTGTAACATACCTGAACGTAGCTCGTTGTTTGTCTTTTCCAGTTCTAAATGTCGATCGTTAACATCATTGCGTTCTTTCGCAATGTGATCGATAATAGCCTGTGCCATCTCTTCGAACGATTGATTTTCATCCATTGGAATATAATCAACAAGTTTAGCACGAAAAACGCTCCCTTGACTCTGTTGATACGTTTGCCATGCACGATTCGCTTCTTCCAATTGAGCACATTGACTTGCCAACAATTCGAAACTGTCTCTCAAATTATGCAATTCCTCCGAGTCTCGTCCAGCTGAGATCTGAACAAAGAAGGTGACTACAAATTCATCATAAAAGAAAACAAACCTGTGCGGCTGGTTGTTGGTCTGACCCTGATGATGTTGTTCCTATAACATGAAGGCATCCTTTAGTATAACAAATGTATCTTAACAAGCGACCATCATACCCATGTTTTGCTTTTCGACATTAGCTGGCTCATATGCTTCTTTCACAGCTGATAACTCTTGATTTAGTTCATTCACTGTGTTTTCATACGATTCACGAATCGATTCCAGATTTCTTGCACTTTCTATACAAACACACAATGATATCATATACGTCAACATAATCACAACACAACACTCACCCAATCGAATCTCTTCGTTTTCTCGTTCAAGTGCTTGGTATTTCTCATGAAAATCAAACTTTTGAGTTTTGACTTGCTCGACGATCTGCTGGATAAGTTCGTCGAGCGAGCTATTGGAATCGGTGGATAGGCATGACGCGAGTTGATTTCGAAGACTATCAATATGTGTTTGTTGAGACTGTTTCGTTAGCTCGAGCTCATCAGTGAGTGAAGCGATTGTGGTTTGTGCGTCATCCGATGATGTAGAATCTGTGCAAAACGAAAAAATCGACAACTTAAAAGAAATTTTCAGAATAGACTGACTAACCGCGTCTCAATTGGGATTGATCTTTGAGAGTGAGCAATTCTTCATTTAATTTATTGATGGCATTCTTGTAGAATTGGTCCAGGTCTTCCAATTTAGTCGTCGATTCTACACAAATCAATCAGCTCTCTCTCTCTCTTCCTCTCGTATTCTACTGTGTTTCTTACCTGTTCGCAAACTATCGTTTTCTTGTTGCAACGCTGCATATCGTTGATGAAAATCATCTCTTTCTTTCATAATCTGTTCGATGATATGTTGTGCAGCTTGATCTAACGACGAACTGTCATCGATGGAGAGAACATCATGCATGAGGTTGACAAAAGTGGTGAACTGAGTCTGATGGTAGAGTTGCCATGCTTGGTTGGCTTCGTCGAGTTGTGCACAGCGTGAGGTGAGAAGATCGAGATTGTCTCGTAGTTGTTGAAGTTGCTGATCTTGAGCAGGAGAAGGCGATGCTCGAACAGGTGAGATGCTATGTACCTGAGCCTTTTGATAATATAAATATAGGTTAAAGAAACAATGTAGAAAGCTTAACAAACCTCTCCAATTGGTGATGATCGTTTGCTCTTTCTACGGAGTTGAGAATCACCTTTTGTGGAATCTGTAAATGATAATCCTATTTATATATGTCTGTATATCGAAAGAGGTATCAAACCTGGCGTGGGCGTATTGCGCTCCTGTTTGACGTAACGTAAGAATTGACTCTCTAATTGTTGATTTAGTGCATATTTTTCGATTTCCAATTGATCATTCTGTTGTTTGAATATGGTCACTTGTTGAGTAAGATCATTGATTGTCGCGTCATAGTTGTCCTTCATTCTTTGGGTCTCATCGTTGACTCCTGCGAATAAACAGAAAGTTTCGTTCAGTTTTTCAAGTAAAACCATTGCCTTACCCGTTCGAAGTTCATCGTTGACTTTTTCTGCTGTTTGTAACTGTTGCTTTAAAAGATTTCGTTCAGTCTTCAATTGATCAAGGTTATCGAGAACTTGTTGTGCAATGTCGTCGAACGTGACAATATCATCAAGACGATAACTCTTTTGAATTTTATCCCTGAAACTATCGAGTTGTGTTTGATGGAACTGTGACCATGCACGATTAGCTTCATCCAGTTGTGTGTTTTGCGCTGTGAGAGCAGCAAGATTCTCCTGTAATTCACGAATTTCGCTTTCATAATGACCGATACTCGATGAAGGATCATTTTGAAGCTTTTCGTCTTGATATTCTTCATTCTGGTCAGTTTGAGTGTCTTGAGATCGATGAATTATTTCATTCGTAACATCTGTTTGATATAGAAATAGTGTACGATCATAATTCATATCTAAAAGCTTACTCGTCTTGTTGCGAAGTTCGTTAATTTCGTTCTGGTAGTCATCCAAGCGGTTTTCAATTTGTTGGACAATATCTTCGAATGATAAATGACTAATATCATCTAATTTCAATCGCTCTTGTAATATTTCCAATTGATTCTGTTGATACTGTTGCCATGCTTGATTAGCTTCATTCAATTGTTTCAATCGAACATCCATCGCGACGAGCTCTTCGCGAAGCTGACGAGTTTCTTGTGTTTCACGTTGACTGTCGCTATCCGATGTTGATTGTACCAGCTGAACATGATGAATACGAGCCTGAAAGATGAAAAGTATTTAAAGATACTGAACACAACGAAGGCGAACGCACTTGAGCAACTTGTTCTGTACGATATCGATCTTCAATCATAGGTAACAACTGATCAATCGACTGAACAGAATCGAACGGTAGTTTGAAGTGCGTGTACAAACGTTTTGTTGCTGACTTGTATGAATTTAATTCGGATTCTAATTGAATTTTATTGTCATCCATGTTTTCAATGGTTTTTAACAATTGCAAACGTTCTTGTTCCAATTGATCTAATTTTTGTTTATCTTGACGAATTTTCGTGGTCAACTGTTCGATTTCTTGTCGACTTTGCTGTTGAGTTGATTGTAGTTTTTCGAAATCTTTGCGTAGAATCGCTTCCCGTTGTTTGACTTGTTCTTTTTCCACAAGATCGTTTTCGATCTGCCGCAGATAATCCATCACCTGCTGTTTTTCTTGTAACATTCGTCGTTGTGTCGCAGATAATTGCGAACGAACTTGAATATTATCAGAACGAAGCATCTCGATTGTTGAACCTAAACAACATACGCCAGAAAATTCCATGAAAGTCAACGCAAATTAGTCAATTTGTTTTCTTATTGTGGAAAGTTCTCATGTCTCACCAACAAACTAATTGTTCTCAAGGACAATATTACCGCTTGATTGCATCTATAGTTATCCAACTATGAAGAACAAATTACAACACATTCTGTCTGATAACTTCGATTCTATTGTTGTTTTTCATGAGAAAACGAATGACAATCGTTGTTATGACGATATGTCACACAGAATTCGTTATGCTTTCAGTCGTCAGACAAAAAACCGCGTTTACCTTGTTCAGCGATTTGCACATTAGCTTGTTGTAACAATTTTTCCAAATCTTGCCTATTCGCTTGGATACTTTTGATTTCATTCGTTAAACGGAGTCGTTCTGCATCGATTAATTTACAATCACTTTCTAAGTTCATCATTGATACTTCTAAACGATGCTTGACAAGCATATGATTTTGAACATCGACGGTTAGTTCGGCGATTTTCTGCTTTAATTCATCGATTACACCTGATTGAGATTTGGCATCGCAGCGTAACACGGAAATCTTTCGGGTTAAGTTGCTGTTTTTTTCTTTCAGATTTTCATATTCTTTTTGCATTTGTTCAAGAACAAGATTTTTCTCTGCCATTGATTTCTGTAATAAATCCAACTTATTCTGATCCGTGGAAATTTGTGCAACATTCAAACGTTTATGTTCACTTAGATTATTATTGACTGTTTCGACTTGCTTTTGATATTCGGCACGTTCTTGTAAAAGTACGCGAATTTCTGTTCGTAAGGAATNACACATTCAGAGAAGAAGGAGAGAGAGAGAGAGAGAGAAAATATAGACGATACGTATAAGTAAGAAGACAAGGACAATTGGAGTGTATCTATAACCAACCACAGAACGAAAAAGAGTAAAACGGTCTAGAAAAATAATTATATATTAATTTAATATGAACAAGAAAATTGACAGGGAAAAGTACAATAAATAAGTCAATCAAGCAGAACACAATGTTGCTTATTTTTTTTTCAGTTGTTCTTGATGAAAATTTACCGACGCGCTTTTTCGTTCGTTCGTTCCTGCAATCACTATCTGTACACGCGTCGGATAAGAACGCTTCTGATTGGTCGAAAGTCACCATTTGCATACAATACAATCCTCAATTCAAAATCGAGGAATATGAAACGAAAAGTCTTTTTCGAAAATTCCACTTTTTCATCGGAAAAAACATTTTACGAGAAATTAACAAACATGTCGAAGTTCACTTCCGAATTTCAACATATGACAAAATTGATTTTCCATGCGGTTGCATCAGATGTATTTCTTTCCTTTCATTATTTACTTTTTAAGTACCCTATTAGATAGATATTGCATTGTATTCCTTTATATTTTAGCATTATCAAAAGAATGGCAACTAATTCAGATTCTTCTTCGAATTTGGCGTCAGAATTGGCAACTACAATGACCTTAACTGACACAGATCTTTCTGATTTGATTAAAATACAAGGCGAACTAGTTCGAAAATTGAAAGCAGAAAAAGCTTCCAAAGATCAGGTTTGTCACTCGATCGATGATCAATCATTAACAAAACGAAAAATTATTTTCGATTAGATTCAAGAAGCTGTAAACAAATTGCTTGAGTTGAAAAAAGCACATGAAGCTCAGCAAAAAGCAAATGGTGAAGATGAAGAATCATCTGCTGGTGGTCTCCTCAAAACGCCTCGAGTAAATTCAATTCCCCTTCACATACAAAGTAATTTGTTCACCATTCTCATTAGGGCACACGAGATTATCATCCCGGTCAGATGAAGATTCGTGAAGAAGTCTTTAAGACGATTACCGATTGTTTTAAACAACACGGAGCTGAAACAATCGATACTCCAGTGATGGAAATAACGACGTTACTTACAGAGAAATACGGTGAAGATGCTAAACTTATTTATGAGTTAAAAGATCAAGGAGGTGCCGAGCCTTTAGCATTACGTTATGACTTAACAGTTCCATTTGCACGTTATGTTGCACAGAATAAAATTGCAACGATGAAACGATACCACATTGGCAAAGTGTACCGACGTGATAATCCGAAAATGACACGAGGCCGATACAGAGAATTTTATCAATGCGATTTCGACATTGCCGGTGATTTCGATGCCATGGTGCCAGATGCCGAATGTATTAAGATTGTTGTAGAAATTCTCGATAAACTTAATCTCGGACAATATAAAGTCTTTGTAAGTACTTTCTACATACGACCATTTAAAAGTTGAGGATACTTTAGGTAAATCACCGTAAATTACTTGATGCCATCTTTGCTGTTTGCGGCGTTCCCGATGACAAATTTCGACCGATTAGTTCAGCAGTCGACAAACTTGACAAAGTATGCAGACGAATTTTCAGCTTTAAATCAATGTGAAAGTTTTTTTAAAGACACCTTGGCACGATGTTCGAAACGAAATGATACACCAAAAAGGTCTAGCACCCGACGTTGCCGATAAGATTTGGAGTTACGTTCAGATGCATGGTAAGTGATCCATTCGGTTCGTTGTGAGTGTAGATTACTGCTTCTTTTCGGATGTTTTAGGAAGTGCAGAATTGATTGCCAAACTTCAAACTGATGCTCAGCTAACAGCTCAAAAATCAGCCATTGAAGCGCTAAAAGATATGGAAACACTATTCCGTTACTTAACACTGTACGATGTCATGGACAAAGTAAAGAAAACTGACAAGGCAACTTTAAAGAGTTCGTATATATTCACTTAGATTGTATTCGATTTGAAATTAGCACGTGGTTTGGATTACTATACGGGTGTTATTTTCGAAGCTGTTCTAACTCAGTATCAATATAATTCAGCACTAGGCGAAGATCAAGTCGCTGTTGGTAGCGTTGCTGGTGGAGGACGATATGATGAATTAGTTAAAAAGATCGATCCAAGACAACGAGCAGTGCCATGCATTGGAGCTAGTATTGGTATAGAACGAGTCTTTGCCATTAAGGAAATTCAGTTGGCGGAATCGAAAGTTCAAGTGAAAACAATTGAAACAGAGGTTTATGTTGCATCCGCTCAAAAGAATTTAATTGAAGAACGAATGAAATTGTGTAATTATTTATGGGCCAACGGTTTTAAGGTTCGTGCACGATTTACTATGATGCTGAAACAAATTTTTTGTTTGTTTATTGATTTTTTAGGCAGAAATGGCATTTAAACGTAATCCAAAAATGCTTGATCAGCTACAATACTGTGAAAAGAACCAAATTGAATTGTGTGTAATCATCGGTGGTTCAGAATTAGAAGCTGGTATTGTGAAAATCCGTGATGTTATCACAAGAGAAGAAGTACGACATACCTTCAATCAGACATAACATGTAAATTTTCTTTCTATTTAGTTTGAAGTTCCCCGTGACAGACTTGCCGAAGAATTGCGCACTAAACTTAATGGAGTTCGACAACGGCCGAAAGAAGCAGTAGCGAAACAATCGCCAGAGAATTAATTTTATGCCGTCTTTGTTGTAGCCCGTCGTCCTGTGGACAATATTGTTTTCTGTTTTAGTTATAAATGCAACATCTTATCACAAAGTTACTTCAAACTCTATCAAGGATAATAGAAAAAAAAAACTACTAGAGATCTTCATTTGTTTTTGCAAAATATCATGGACAAATAAAAAAAAAGTTCAGCTTTGTCCAAAAGTCATGATCTTTTTTGCTGAAATCGATTTGCTTTATTGTGCTCGTGCTGTCGTAAATCGTTGCATCTATTTCCATGTCTCCGAACATCGTATTAGTCAAATTTTTGTTTTCTGTCGTCATTCTTTCGAAAAACAAGGGACATTTCTAATCTAATCGATTCCGCTGTTGGATGGCCACGAGTTCACATCAACACACATTTTCTGATTGATCAATTTCATTCGATAAATTTCAGATGAGTGTTTCACTAAAAGTTTTCGATGATGTTCCCGACTGTGTTGGATATATCGTACTGAATGCTGATGGGTTTGTTGAACATAGTCATGGAGATTTACAAAATGACGAAGCTGTAGCAAATTTGATATATAAAATGGTTCTATGTGCAGTTAAAGTGAGTGTACACCCGACCAAACAGATGTCATTTGAACGAATTACAGGTTTGAAAGGAACTTGTATGTGTTGTTTTTGAAAATTTGTTTGAATCTTTTTGTAGTCTCCGATGATCAGTATTTTTACTGTATTTCCTGTGCGAATAATCGTATCTATGCAGTCAAACGACGACAAGAATCATCGACGATGGCTTGATATCGACGACAAATCTATTTTTTATCATTGATTTTTCCAAATAAGAATAAAAATTCCTAATTTTTCTATTTATTTAATATTTTTTGTTGCTCTAAATGCTCAGTGAGAACAAAAGGAAGCGAGAATCTAGCTTTTGTCTTGTATATTAGCCGAAACGGAACTACGTGATATTACCCAGATAATTTCACCTTTTCTGACATTTGAGTATGAGTAACGACGGTTACTCATTGTTGACAGTACAATCTTGCACAGGATCGATTCAATTACATGAAATTTGCAGAACTGGAAATTTCGAATTACCGATGATTATTTTATAGATTTGTGTAGGAATATTCGAGATGGTTTTTACCTCTGAATATTGAGTTTTGGCCAACTCTGACTATTTTTTGCTTTCTATTGATCATTCATATATTGATGCGTAATTATCATAATGAGTACCGACGAATTACCCGCCTTCGAACGGTTTTTTTCAAATTAGCATCATTTGTCATCGATCGAATAAAGTTGCTCACGTCAAAAGGAAGAATGTCTAGCAAAAAAAAATGCAGATTAAAATAGCAAAAAAAAGGTAAAACATAGGTGACCATTGACGAAACTATATTTTGCTTTTCCTACTGAATCATCGAAAAATATTTGAATAAATGAGTCAAAACTGATGTAAAACTTCGTAAAGCATTCAGAAAGACGTGTATTTTATACACCTGGAATGACTCATACAGCATATATTTGATCAACGTTCGTCTTTACTCATTCATATACACTGTTTCTCAATAACAACCATGTCGGAACAACCATCAAAAGATCAGTGTCGTTCAACCCTGTCCCAGATTTTCCACTTTTTGTTCGTCGGCAGCCAAGAAGATGCTTCATCACCGACAACCATACAGGCAAGTCTCGCTTTGATGTTTTTTATTCGTTGTCATTTGGTTTTTTTGTGTCATGTTTTTTAGAAACATCAGATAACGCATGTGATTAATGTAAGCACGACAGGTGATAGACCATCATTTGTAAGTGACGATGATCATGAACATTTCTTACGAATATCAATCAATGATTCACTCGATGCTCAACTATTACCATACTTTGATCGTGCTTATGCATTTATTGGTAAGGAAAAAGTATTGTGCAAACGTTTCGACTTGTTTTTTTTATAATCAATGTTTAGAAAAAGCACGATTAAACAATGGTCATGTGTTAATTCATTGTTTAGGTAAGATTACTCATTTTCTTTTTCTGTTCTATGATTGGCGTTCTTGTCTTCTGTAGCCGGCATCAGTCGTTCACCAGCCCTTGCGATTGCATATGTGATACGTTATTTACATTTATCGGCAGATGATGCATATAAATACGTAAAGCAGCGTCGTTCGCAAATCTCACCGAATTTCAATTTCTTAGGTCAGTTATATCAATACGAATGTAGTCTTACATGCACATCTACGAACAATTCTTTGCCGAAGTGTGTTAAGACTGAATCGCCTGTCACTGAACGTCGTTACTGTATTCAAGTGGAAAATTCTTGTCAGGCAGAGAATTCCATGAGAAATCAAACAAGTCTTGTGAAACGTCCGACGGGTTTTAACTTTAATTCAATCAATACACGAAGATCTCAGACAACCCTAGCACCCTTAACTTCTTTCGTACAGTTGACGCTTGAATCTACACCTCAACAATCACTCGAAAGCTCGCATTCGAACGGTATATCGATAAAGCATTTGACGTCAAAGGAAGATGTTTCCACGGTTCAATTGATCAATAGTAGTTACGAAGAACTCAAACGTAAGAAACCTGTTGATGTATTACGACCGAAATCCTATATGGAACAATCAAATTTAATAAATAGTTATTTTCAAGATTCACGAATGCATTCCGGGTCATTAGATCAATGTAAATCTTTGCAATCGTTTGATACAAACACTGAAACGCTAACAAATGGCGTTTTAAGTTCAAGTCTCGAGGTTTTCGTCCTATAATCCGACTCCTCCTTTGAATTGCGTTTTTCGTTTATTGTTATTGTTGTTTTTCATCATTGTAAATGAAACGTTTTCTTTCAAGGTGTCGCTGATAAGAAACTGTAGATGTGTTACTGTGATACATAATGCTGACTAATCAAAAAGGTCTTTTATCGAAATAAAACTGTGTTATTAGAAGTTTCGGTATGTTTACTCTGTCAAAAGTCAGACTTTTCTCTTCCCGATCGACGGAATCGTCGCTTCCGATTCGCTGCATTCATCATTCTAAATCGAAGCAAATAAAAATGTTTGTTACGATCTATTAAAAAAGTTCCGTTCTGCTAGATTAATATTGATTCTTCAACATCTAGCAAAACACATTCACAGTTTTAGCTTTCTTCTCAATCCAAGGGGGGAAAAGCGATTTGTGAGTTTTGATGAGTTTCGTGAGTTAGACTGAGTTAGAGAAAATGAAAAGTCGTCGGGAAGAAATAAAGATAACGCAGAATCATACGGAACTACACGTACACACTCAAACAGATCGAAACTCATTCTAACTCATAAAAGATCAACTCATTTACGATGGTTTTTGAGTGAGTTTGAAGTGATTTAGCTCAGCTTTCCCTCCCTTGTCTCAATCGCCTCTCTCTTGTCAACATTCGGACAAAATATTCTATTGTGATTTCACTTTTATTTTCATTTATTCGACGACAGGAACAATAATTTTAAAAAAAACACACTATTTCGAAACAAGTTTTAATGCTAAATGACATGCATCGATATACTGTTGAACGTAATCGTTAATCTGCTTGCGTTTATATTGCATAATATATCGTGGGTGTGAAACTTTGAGAATTTTCTTGAAAAAATGATATTCGCTGTTTAATTTATCTAATGTTGAATAATTGATACCTTCGCCAAGGCAAATAGCAACTTTTCTCGAACAACCAAGATTGATTTGTTGATCAATATGATCTGGAATGAAGTTTTCAAGTAGATTCTTCATGAAAATTTTATTATCATAATAGTTCATATTTCGTCCATTACATTCGAGACCAAGTGGACATACAGCACCGATAAAAAACTTCTGGTAGAAATCTTTCATCGGATACTTTTGAAAGAAATAATCGTAAATGAATTGAGATGATAGTTCCGGTTTGGGTGGAAAATCTGAATCAATATCACAGTCAGTTCTTAAACGTATGGGATCAGTCAATGGTACACCTAAATAAACAAAAATTATCATCGACTGGGTTTGTCAAGCTATAAGAGAATTGAATGAATAATGTATATAGACAATTAATAGGATGGAAAAATAACTTTCCGGAAGAAAAAAGAAGCAATCAGTTTTCCTTGTCTTCATTCATCTATTCATAGATTGCTGAGCGTTAACATATAATTAATAGATTGTTATTTACCTGTAGTTCCACTACCAAATCGCCCAGGATTTATTCCTAGAATAAGAATGCGTTCGTGTTTATCGGAGTAATACTTGGAATAGAAAGATTCGACGCATCGCCAAGTTTCGCCATTTTTATATGGATATAACCATCGAACATTTTTATTTGGTAAATCAATGTCAATTGGAGGTTCTAATTGATTTAAATATGATAAAATACGTTTATTCATCGTTTCAGATTGAAAATATCTCGATGTTCTTTCAAGCATAACTTCCACTGGGTTGATTTAGATGTCGCGCATATACAAATTTGGGAAGAATTTGAATGTTTTTCGAAGTAAATATCTGTCTATTTGAAATAATGAGAAAGTTCGAGTAGATTTTGAAGAAAATCAGTGAAAACATGCGAAAAGAATCTTATTGGTGAAGAATAGAAACAAAGACAAGATGTTACAGAAATAGATTCTCTTTTCTTCTTTTTCCTCAAGTCAATTGTTTGATGAGTCATTGTTTCACTGTCAAAGGGATAGGAAAAAGGCGAGAAGAGACATTCCATAAGTGTTCTCACAGTCAAAACCGAGTTTTTACTTTCTAGATAACGATCAAATGACAACAACACCAATTATTAAAGTCGTCGATCTGTATGTGATTGCTATTTTGATTTGAATATAAAGAAGAAAACATTCGATGTCCTTTCATTTCACATTTAGCTATCGACATGAATTATTAAACGATAGTTTTGGTGTTGAATGGATGGATGATAATGATGAAAATAATCCAACTAATGCTAAATATTCAATCATTTCTATCCGATCAGTATTCAATAATCATAATGTTCATTTACCAACACATATCTGGCGATCGCTTTCGAAAGTAAAACTTGCATTTGAAAATAAACCAATTCGTATTTTTACTCTTGGCTCGTTCAGGTTGTACCCGGTGATATCGTTGTCGAATTAAATGGCGTAAGCACAGCTGGTCAAACAGTTGTTGAATGTAAATATTGAAGGCATTGATTTCCATTGACAAAAAGTTTCACTTATTTTGTCTTGCAGTAGAGAAGAATTTGAAACTCTCTGGTAATCGAATTCGTATACGTTTGAAATCAGGTATGACATCATTTATTTGTTAATTACCATTGGGAAATGATTCTCATGTCGAAGCTAAAAATAGATCTGGACTCAAAACATAGATACTAGTGTTTAATCAGATTAGGATCTGATTATTCTTGATTGTATAATTAAATTTAAAGATTGAAATCGTATTCGAATTGATTTATTTAATCTTACATAACTAAACCTACTGCGATTATGAGAGGAAAGGAGGGAGAATCAAGGTAAGAATGACTGTCTTTACAAGACATCGGCAAACGATGTATGGTTACGAAAAGAAGTATTTGATTTCATCATCAGCGTCCACTTTCGCGTTTTTTCTATTGTTTTCAATCTGTTATATGTATATATGATCATTGTGAATAGAATTGATTATTTATCGTTCATTTCATTCTCAAGTAGAATACGTACATGTTCGAAGAAATCTTCTAGTTGCATGTTACTCAAAGAAAGCTTAGCAAATTTAGAGCCGAAGGAATGAGAGAAAGAAAGTTGTAGATATAGAAGTTCGCTTGTCAGGTATTATTTAGCAGAATCGCAAATATTCATGCTTTATAAGACAAAGTATTTCTCTTATTCAGACAACTACATACGGCGTCTCCGTGTTCTGTTGTTTTTATCTTTTCTTATAATCATTTCTCTTTCTTTGCGAATATAATACAGCTGTGAATGATCAAATGCAATGAAATAATCGTTTTCTCTTTCGTCGATTAAGTAAATATAAAATATTCATGATACATTGTCCATAGCAGAAAGACAAACGATTAGAAGGTAGTTATTCTAATTGAATCATGTCGATTTAGTTACGAGCGTTTACTGTGAAGGAAACGCAAACAAAATGCGTTAATTGTATTAAGTTAGTGACAAGAACAGAGATGGAGAAAAACATGTGTCCTATTTTAGTTCTCAGCATAGTTATGATTATTATTGACAATGACAGGTGACTGTAGTTGATTAAACGTCGCAGGTGTTTTCTAACTTATCAATTTTCTTGATAAGCCCTTCGTTCTTTCTTTTTTCTATTCGACAAGATCGTTTTTCTTATTTACTGTCAGTTTTTTTGTCCTTAACGCTAGTGTTATAAATGTATTTCTCTGCATCTCTCGTGCCTTCTTTAGCCATTGGTATGATATGAAACGTATTGCACGTCGGTCGAAGATTGATTTCATCATAGTTTTTCTTCTTCTTCGTCTCGTCGTTCTAATACTCATCAATATTTAGTCTATCGCACATATCTTTTCTCTATTAATAATAAAAACTGACAGTTAGAAGAAGCTGATTGGGATGTCAGGTTTCGTGCCATGAAAAAAGAAAACTCAAGAAGATAAAGAGATATAAATCGATTTACATTGTGCTATATTAGTTTCATATTATCTCTCAGCTGTTTTACTCCTAATTGATCAAACTAAAGAGACTTTGAATTATCATCTGGGAAACGAATCACTAATTGAATTAGTCGAAAAAGAAAAAGAAACTGTTTCTTTATTTCTTAGATTGTGGCCTTGCTTATACATCATCCAGTTTGACTGATTCATCGTCAACACAAGTGCTTGACGAAGACAATCTATCTGATACAGAATATTGTCGACGCGAGAAGAAAATATCTTTACCACAACTGAACGGTCATTCACATTATTCAATGCTCAATGGTTATAATCAATATGTGCAATCTGAAAGAAGTCGTTCATGTGAAAACAGTCTTGATTCATGTGGACAAAAATGCACCGATGAATTAGCAATCTCATCATCGTCATTAGTCGATCTACCGCTTCCATTGGCAAGTCATGCTGATTATGATAATCTTGCCAGTGTAAATGGAACTAATCATGTAAACGAACAATCATCATTAACTAAACCTGTACCTCAATCAACATCACCTATATCGTGTGAACTTGACCAGAAGACCAAAGACGCGATAGATGCCAGATTGAAGGATATAGACGATGAATTCGACTTTAATTGTAAGGATGTTTTTCTATTCTTCTCAGAGTCAGAAAATAGGACAATGTTGATTTGAATAATCGAATCAATTATCGAGTACTTTTCTCATTCCTTTATTCGATATTTTTTTTTCTAGTACCGGTTACTTGGGAAACAGTTAATAAATCAGTTGATCTTCCATCAGCACGTCGTTTAGCGAAGCGTCTCTATGCCTTGGATGGTTTCAAATCAACGGATGTCGTTCGACATCTATGCAAAAGGTAAATCACGAATGTTTTCTCTGAGTTTTGTTTATGAAGTGTTTATCCGAGAAGAACAAATTTCAACGGATATGTTTCTCATTTTCTTCTGCTGTGAATATTCCTGTAGTTACCAGATCTATTTCAAACATCTAATATTACCTTAACTATCCATGTCAAGAAACATGCAATGACTTTGACATGAGAGAATTTTCCTTTTCTACAGACTGTTCTTTTTGGGCTTGTTTCTTAATTTGATTAGAATAACACGCTTGCGTGCATATAAATGAGAAAGAAATAGTAGGAAAGAAAAGGAAATGGTTAGGATTTTGATTGCGTCATTTCCTTCTGGAATATGTCTTTATTTCTCGTCTTCTTATTATTTCCAAAATCTACGACTATTAAAGTAACTAGTCATTCTTTTTCTGTCCCTGTTCTTGAGTCTTCCGGGTTGTCTGTTCTGCTTCGATCTCTCATTCACTCTCTCTCTCTCTCTCTGTCTATCAATCTCTCCCTTCTCTGCTCCAAGCGTGCGCATCATCATCACCATCACGTGTGTCTGTATGAGTATGGAATAATGCGGCGACAAACGGAGCGAACAAACAAGCTATGCAATGGAGATTCTTCGTCTTATGTCTCAACTGAACACAAGAGAATAAAATAGAAGTTGTTACAGTGTAGATTTTCGCTCCATTCTGTTTCTACTACCGTCTACCGCTCTCTCCACACGTTATGTGCGTCGATTAGCAGAACACATTGAAACATCCTATTGGCAAAAACGTTTTTCATCTTCTCTTCTGCGAGTGAAACTAGTCTTGAGCATCATCATTGCTGTTCACACGAACAGTGAAGTCATCGAAATATTCAGCATCATGAATACATGTTGGGAATATGTGCATATTCAATTGTTGCAGCAGTACGAACGAACGAACGTATGTGAGTTTGATTTCTTTTTCTTTCTATTTCATTTGATACCTATCGTGGAAAAATCAGTATCTCTCATGCTCTCCTTTCTGATTTCTGTTTGTCAATGTCAATTACTATTTACTTTTTATCCCGATTGAATGAGAAAACCGCAAGAGAGGCAGAACATGAAAGCAACAAGGTTGGCTAAATTGATTATATGTAAACACATGTGAAATTGACATCCATTGTGTGACACATTGAGCGTAGGACAGGAAATTGAGATTAAAAATCTTTGTTATGCTCTGGCCGAGATTAGGTCGACTGCTGTTGTGATGCTCACGACGATTGGGGAAGAGGAGTACGAAAAAGAGAGGAAGAAGATCGTCACACTCATTTTATCAATGTTATTGCCAGAGGAATTCAAGAAAAAAGAATAATAGGATTGGTACTCAAGAGGGCTAAGTACTTTTTGAATTTCCGTTTCGAACCATATACTCATTGATGTATCGCATAAGTAGGAAGAAAACCAAAGATTACCAACGTTTAATGTTCTGGAATAACGAATCACCTGGGGTATTTGCATAGACTAATGTTGAAAACGAACGAAACATCTATGTTCGCTTGAACGATACAATTTTCATTTCTTATCCTTAGCTCAATAGTTGTTATTTATGCCGACGGATAAAACTGTTCGGTGAGCCGACAAAATTAGATTATTATTTTTTTTTTCTTCTTGAATAATATATACTTTTCTCTGAGATTTTTTTTCTCCTCTATATTTATTTATCCTCCAGCGAAAGAAAAGACATGCGAAGATGAAAGCAAGATTTAAATATCTATTTCTATTCTATGAAACTAAAGATGTCCTTTACCTGTTTATCAATATGGAAATCGATCTATTGTTGTTATTATTATTGTTGTTGTTGTGACGTTAATGACAATGATTATTATTGTTATTCTTCCAGGAACGATTTTAACCAATTGGTGGCCGAAGAATATGTCAAATTATTCGATTTTCAAGGCGATACACTCGATCGAGCATTGAGAAAATTTGTGAAACAATTTACGATTATCGGAGAGACACAAGATCGCGAACGTGTGCTTCATTTCTTCGCAGCAAGGTATCTCGATTGTAATCCAACGACGTTTACTTCTGTTGGTTCGTATCTTTTGAAATTGAATTTTCCTTCTTCTTCAAGAACATCTTTTTAGATGCTTGTCACATGTTAACATGTGCAATCATGTTGCTCAATACCGACCTTCACGATTCAGTAAAGAACTGCTAAACAAGAAAAGAGGAAAAATTGTATTGCTGTTCGGTTTTTAGAAAATCTCAACAAAAATGACATTTCAACAATTTAGTGATAATCTTCAAGAACTGAATGATGGAGCCGATTTCTCGAAAGATTTACTTAAATCTTTATACAATGCGATTAAAAACGAACAACTCATGGACGAAACGTAAGTCTTTGTAAATAGACCATTTCAATCAATGTCCACAATTGAATTAAGTTGATGAACATCAAATAAATAACATGGAATGTTATATCTTTTAGCCGGTAGATTTCTTTGCTAACGAGGCTCGTTTCATTATTGTGTTCGCATTCTTTTTCCGATCAATTGATAAAACATATCCATCAGTTTGTTATGAATTATATTCTCGGCCTCGTTTTCTTTTCTTCTTCTCCTTCTTCTTTTTGACCGAGACTTTCCACGAGATTGGAGAAAAGACAAAAGAGAGAGAGAGAGAGGGGGGGGGGAACAAGCACATAACTTTCTCATTCTTCTTCTCGCCTGGAAAACAGAATTGTTGATCGTTTTGTCCTTGTGCAACACGAAGAATACATAGTGGCACTTGCATATGCTTGTAATCATATCGAACTGTACTGGTATCAGCATGGAAACAACTAATTGCATGGCCTTATATGTATTGGAGTCGATGTTCTCACTCTAACATGTGATTAATTGACATGACGATGGAAAAGGAGTTAGTTCGATAAAGAAAGGAACGAGAAGAAAAGAAAGAAGAACACAAATGACAAGCATCGTCTCTATTCAGTCGAAACAATTTGTCATACAGATAGCATTAGCAAAGAGTCGAGTACATAAGGCAAAGAATTTGATGTTTGTTTATGAGAAGCTATTTGAAAGGTATCTGTTTTTACTATTAGAATATTGATTGTATTTTCTCGTCAATTAGAATGATTTACCACGAAGCGAGAGAGAGAGAAAAAAAAGCTTCTGACCTTCGTTGTATGGTGAAATTTCTAATATGTCTATTGTTGTTTAGCATACACCGGAAACTGGTTTGTATGAGAATGAATAGGAAGAACGTGCGTATGAATGTAACATAGTCATTCGAACGGGGTATCTTCGTTCACGCGGAAAATATGTTTTGTCATCTGCAGTGAACAAATTACTCGTTCTCGAGTTTTCCTCCTTCTTCTTCTTCTAATAATAATAACATTAGTAAGTCCAGTGCATCGTCTTAGCCATCTTTATAGTTCGTTGAACATATTTTTTTCGAAAGATATTAATCACATCTATGAGGAGAACCGGAGAACTAAATCGAACGCACTGTTTTCTTGTTTAGCCTATTATCAGTATAAGACAATAATCGCGGACTGACGGAGATTTTCTTCGTTTTTGACAAATGTTTACAATGAAAGAGAAGGATCCTCTTGATAATTCGTCATTTGTGTATATATATACGCACATATATCTGCCTATCGTCGCATTCCGCATACGCGTTTATGTGTGTGTGTGTATATATATATGAAAAAAACAGAAGATATAGAGACGTCAACCATCGGCTTGTACACGTACGTAGCAGATGACACATGCACGAGATATACATAAATACATAATATTTGTTTGACGATGTCAGTAGATTAAGGACGAAAGTAGTAGTAAGGAAACAAACACGTACAGGTAGAGATAAGTGATTGATTCTGGAGATAAAAACAAACACACAACTTATTCGTTGACATTTTCTCTTGAGATTTGGGTAAAGAATTTCTTAATTGTTCTACGACTATCGAGAAGATACTATCGAGTTGCCCAAGCTGGTACGAGAAATTCATTCCATGCGACATATTTTCTGATAAATCATTATTTTATCTGAATAAAACTAACTGGCTGTTATTATATTATTAGTACTAAAGAAAACATATGCATCTTCTATCTGACATTCCATCGGATGACAAGAATAATAAACACTAACCTTTGGGGTCTTTTTTGTCTTTGTATTTTTAGAGCACTTGGTTCAGATGATTATAATGATGTTCGATTAGGCGGACATGGAACTCTACATGGATATAGTAATTGTGTAAATCCATTTTTAGAAGTAAGTAATCCATATCGTACGAATACTTGTCGTTTACATCGTCGATCAATGTTTAGATTCCTGATACAAGTAAAAGTGTTGAATACATGCAGGTAAATGATCAATTGGAATGAGATTTGTGCTGAATTTCGTCGATATTTCAATGTAGGGTTATGTGATGAGAAAGTGTTGTGTGGAGTCGGACGGGAAGCGAAGTAAATAACAAAATGACATTCAAAGCTCTCATAAAAATAATTATCATTCTAATTTTAGCTCCATTTATGCGTCGTAGTTGGAAAGCACATTTTGCTAGTTTACGCGATATGGTTCTTTATTTACAAAAGAATGATCAACATCCTGCAACAATACTTGTTGGTGATACAAACGCTATACGGTTACATCATGCACTTGCCTACGAAGCAACGGATTATCGTAAACGGCAACATGTATTTCGCTTGAAAACTGCCGATTGGGCTGAATATTTGTTTCAAACAAGTGATCATGAATTGATGAGAAAATGGATTGATGCAATTAATTTAATTGCTGCATCATTTTCTTCACCACCATTACCAGCAGCTATCGATTCATCGTCGATTCACTTTCAACGACCACTTCTACCAAGTGTTCAAACACGTTATTCTGTTGTAAGTATTTCTCGAGAATTTCTCGTATCTATTTTCTTGAAATTTCAGTTTGAACAATATGAATATATTCTCAAGCAAATCAATGAAATATCTCGCCAGTTGAATGATTTGAAAACTCAAACGTGTACGTCGATCAATAATGAAAATATCATCAATATAAATGGAGATATTAAACAACAGCAACCAGTGACAATGAAAGCACGAGATATGATTGAAAATAAAGCTCGAATGGATTACTATCACTACGAAGTAAATTGAAAGTTTTGTTCTTCGAGAGTTTTACTCAATTTGTTCTCGAAACCTTCTAGTTAAAACGATACGAAGCGTATGCTGATCGCCTTCGACGACATTTTCAACAATTACAATTGGATCCATCCTGTATGAAGCCGCCCAGTCCCAATCATGCACTCGATTCTTCAAATTATTCAGGACCTATCGAAGCCTTTTCAGGTGTTCATAATATTCATCAACAAACGTTCTCTTCCCATCAACTTATCCCAACTCGGACGTCATCATCAGTTGCGTATAAAAAGAACGGACAATCAGCCAATTTGACTATAACAAATCCTAACCGTTATAGTTACATGATGGCAGTCAATACTCATCCAGTAACGATGAGTGAGCATCAGCTATGATTTGTTTCATATCTCTTAATGTATACATTGAAATCAATCAGAGAAAAAGCAAACGTTTATGTGTGTGTTTTTACAGTACGTTTTAGAACTGTTGTATATTCAATGATGTGCACTTCATTTTGTTTTTCTTTTCTCATTCGTTTCTTTGTGAACATGCTCAAATTCTTTCTCTCTTTCTTTCCCTCTCTCCAAGGTCCTGGCTATTCACGAATTTCTATACTAGTCTCTTTGTTTTGATGAAATTCTTCTTATCTGACTTATTTTCTCTGATTTTGTTCTTGTTTTGTGTGTACAATAATGCTTCTAATTATCCTTTGTTTTCTTTTGCTCTAGCTCCCGGTGGTAGTTGAGAGAGTAGCTCTCGTGTTTTCATTCATATAAAATAGAACAAAATTGCCAGTTGACGATGCGCATCGACGTACGCATCGAATAGAACATCTCGATGTATTGATCATTCTGATTAAACAGTTTACATTCGATCGGCCAGATTCTCTCTCGACGAAAGAAAAAGAAATGATCAATTGACATGATTTGATGTATTAGTCTCTTGTCGAGTAAATCAAAGTAAAGAAAAGATTTATTGATGGAGAAATACGACTTGAATGCTAATCATTAATGTATGTCATTCGGAAGAGATGATCTTTCCTAGGAAAAGGTTATCCAAATACGAGATATTGTACAAGATCAGTTATCTAATTACGGTTCCAAATCGTTTTCTTGCTTCGTAGTAGTCGAAGAGTAACATCGGGACGTCGAATTAGCATCGAAAATATTTTCCGTAATCTTATCTTCGTATTGGTTTTCACAAACAATAATATTGAAATCCAAACGCGAAATTTATTGACATAAAAGTTTCCTATGCGATGGCAAGTTCTTCTTATACTCCAGAGTTAACACGTCAATCCAATTGACATTTAGATTAAGAAAGAAAACAATCTAATTTCGTGCACTTTGCATGTATTATAATTAATCAAATTAGATTTTCTCTCAGGAGATTCACCTTGGTATGATTGTCAACTGATAAACATGCGTGCTGTTTGATGAAGTCTTTGTATTAAACTCAGAGAACGATTTCAAATGATTCATTTGACCTCGTTTCATATTTCTGTGCTCATACGTTGTTTTGTTATCGGATGGTGAAAAAGAAATGTTATCATTCGAAAGATAAGAAGAAGAAAAAGTATTTCGATTTTCATTTTGTGTTGTAAGCTGAAGAACAATGTCTTTGTTGAAATTTCCCGAAGAAATTCTTCTCGATATATTTGAGTACTTTTACTTTTCGGAATTGATCTACTCATTCTATGATATTATGTGTGTCAACCCGCGATTTGAAGAGTTAATCTCAACTCGTCTTCGCTCGATAAATTTATCCAAAGTTGACCTTCGTTGCATGACGAAATCACAATTCCTATACATGTGTCGCTATTTCAAATCTCATCTCGATTCTCTTGACCAAATTCAACATCTAATTCTATCCAATCAATATACGTTCGGACAAATACGTTCCTTTCTAAGTCAACTATCATTTGATCAGTTTATTCATCTAAAAAAACTACATTTGATTCAACCTGCATTAGACGAATATCATATTTTGTTTCCAACAAGATCTACTCAGCTAAAACATTTGATCTTAGACAATCCGGAATGTGATGACAATGGACGTGTTATACTTATTGATGAAATGGATGAATTAGTGATCCTGACAATTCAATCTGACCATTCGATACAGTTCCGTTCTCAATACAATCGAATCGAAAATCTAACTCTGAAAAAACTGAATTTTCTTGATTTAATCGGCTTTTCGACGTTTTTTCCCAACTTACATTATCTTGACGTGACATTAACAGGCACAGACATTGATTTGAGTCAAGTTCATCTTCCGCTATTAACAATCTTGAAACTGCGCAGTTCACGTGTTCCACATGATTTATGTGAGAATTTCTTTCTCAATCTCTTGCAACTTCGACAATTATTCTATTCAAATGAAATCGATTGCCGAAAAATTCCAGTCGTGGATGGTTATCGTTGTGAAGCCTTTATTAAACAATTACCGCTATTAGAAGAATTTCAACTCGATTTGCATCTGCTCAACGCACATTCTACGGACATCTGCGAAATCACTGGATCGTTTCAAAACGCGTTTTATCTTTCAAAGAACTGGAATATTGTTTGCGAATCACGCATCAATTCCAACTGTTTTCACATTTATTCCGTACCAATGGAAATATCGGCGGAATTGTCTGTCACAACTGATAGTTTCGTGTCGTCTCCAGTTTTACCCATCGATAATCTCTACGGAAATGTCCAACATTTGAAATTGAACATGACAGCCAACTGGCCATTGGTCACACGGTTCTTTCCCAGCGTAGATTCACTCGAATTATCTCAATTAAATCATTCACGAATGATTCCGACGATTTCGATTATCTCCTATCTAAATAAATCCATATTTTTGTCCAAACTGAACAAATTAATCCTACCATCGCCATGTCATTTCGACGACACACTTCTCTGTTATCTTTTACAACAAAGTGCACCTAATATATCCAATCTTGAAATATCCTGTCATTATTTACTACGTTTAATTAAAGAAGAGAAACTACAATCGCCCTTACCCATACGTATTCTCACTCTACGCGATGATTATCTTCCGATTTCAGATCAAGAACTATTCATAAACTTTTTCAAACCATCATTGACATGTTTATCGTTGTTTTTACAAAATAATAATTCCTTATCGGATACAATACAATCGTTTCTCGATAAATTTCGACTTCTGTTTAGTCTGGATATTCTACTGAATGATCTTGTATCCATGTTGATACATGTCCAACTTTGTCAAATGTTACAACAACGACCGAAAGCAAGTGCGGAACTTCGACCGATGAACATTCGAATTTGGCAGAAATAATCCGTCAGAATTATAGGTAAATAAAATGCAGATGTTCTTTTTTTTCGCCTTTTTTTACAACATAAAATACAATAACAACAAAACTTATTCGATCAGAAAATAATTTCTAATAAATAAAACTGCTTAACAACATCAAAACATACATGTCTCCTTCTTCTGTTCACTTTAAAGATCCCAACTGAATAGATGATGTTTCATTAACATATCACGAACGCTTGATAAAACATCCAATTGCCGATAAGCAACAGGTAATTCATAATCTTGCTGAAGAGCAAAGGAAAACTGTTGCAAGACTCTCAAATCACATTTGATTTGTACCTATATACCAAATCAATTCCATAATGAAACAAGCTGTTTTCCTCCTTTCAACTTACCCAACAGGGCGAACGTAAAAATGACCACGGTAAATACCATTTATTAATTATTTCTGTACATGAACATAATGTTTCCAACCATAGATGTAAGACTTGCTCGTTTAGACCTACACATATAAATGAGCGTAATTTGACATCCATTTGTGCATGAGCAAGATTATGTGTGTAATTGATTGAGCGTATACAACGACATAGAAGTTCTTCAGGTGTTAAGATTCGTCCATCTTCATCTAAACGATATGTTTTGCAAAGGATAAGACGAGCATAGACACTGTCGAAATCTTTGTTGATTGCGTGCAAGGCGGCTTCTTCGATGAACAACCACGGATGGCAAACACCACCTGAAAAAAAATTCAGTGTCGATGGAATGAAAATCGTTGAAGTTCTTACCAAGTATAAGCGGCGTTTTTCGTAATCCATGTTCGAAGATTGACTTGATACATGTCGCTAATTTGCCTCGAACAAGATCAGAAATGTTTTCGTCAGCACTATCATCACCAGCTAAGGAATACAATTTCGATCTTTCATCAACCAATTGAACGAATTTGGCTGGAAACCATCCGTGTTTGCCATTCAGTTCTCCAATCCAACAATGTTCGTCAGACATAGATAAAATTTTCAAGATATCATTCTTCTTAAATCCGAGTTCATTCGAATCTTGACATTCAAAATCAACCAGAGTCTTCGCACGTTTACATTTCTGTAAAGATATATTCGCATAACGTTCATGATCTTTAACATGGGATTCAATGGAATAATCGACATTCAGATCAGTATTTTCTTGATTGTAACTATCCGGATCGTTGTCTTTGAAATGTTTTGCGATTTTCAGTATCGCTTCACGCAGATTAACAAGCATCTCTGTTTGAGTAATATTCCGTTCGATTAAAGCTTGATCATGAGTCGAGTTTGACTGAAATTTTCTCATAAAAGAGAATCTATTTGCTGAAGAAGTTTTCGCATTTGGACGACGTTGAAGAATGTCTTTCGGTAGATTGATCAGATTCATCTTTGGATTGATGGTGAAACCTTCTTGGGACATCAGCTCAGCCAAATATTTCTTACGATGCGATTCGATGATTGTCGATGTTAAATTGAACAATGTCGGTAAATCTTTAAAGATTTGTTCGTTATTTCCATATTCATCTTCAAATAGTTGAGGTAATTCACATAGGAAGTTGAATATCTGTGCGCTGTTATTTGTTTCGACAAGCAGATTTTCATATTGTTTCAACATAATTAAACCAATTTGAAATAGAATTGTTGACCCATAAAGAAAAAAGTAATCCCACAAATGGCAAAGAAATTTCGTATGAAATACATTAGAATAAAGTGTTAAAAACCATTGAAAACAGATTAATGTTAAATCAATGTCATGTTCGTTAAACAAATCATGAATACTTGGAAGATATTGTTGAATCAAATAACGAAATACACGTATATCGACTTGAACACCGAATAACGATGCCGAATAATATTGACCTGGTAAGAGATCTTCAACGATCGCACACATAATCCAAAATGCATCTTCCTCTTCGAAAAATAATAGTAATGTCGCACAAATCACACCCATACCCTACACAAATAAATTAAAAACTACAAAAAAAGGAAAGACGAGAGCTCTTACTTGACAATATCCAATATCTAAAAACGTAAATCAAATCGATTAGATCATGACCAAATAAATCTTAAATCGTCTACCTGGAAAGAGCCATGCAATTGCACGTAGAACTCGTCTCAGTCTTGATATACCCGATGCATTGATCGTCATAAAACAAGCATTGGTTGGTAATGTTCTTAGCAGATCTTTTTCAATTTGTTTCGAATAAAGTTGTTTATCATTGTTACACTGTTTTAACATATCGTTATACGATGTTTTTGCTTGATATTTTTTATGTGAAGAACCACTGAGACACATCCAGATCTGCGGACGTATCGATGTAGGGATACCGAATGTTTGTTGTAATAGAAGACAAAGTTGAGTATCCTGTCGTATGTGTTTTGGATTGATTTTATTGAAAATTTCTCGCTCTTGGAGGGGCAAATGAACGACATCGAGTTTATATGTTGAGTCGAGATGTGTAAGCCATTTGAATTTCGCTTGTTCGTTTTCTCTGACAGGTAGAATTTCATATTGTTGTTCATTTTCATTGATATCAATGCGAAAACCATATTCATCAAAAATCGTTTGGTCGTCCGTGTCGTGTAAGAATAAACTCGGCGATGGAACGAGAGAATGAATCAGTGCAGAAAATGGTTCACCGATGATGATAGGCGAGGAAATTCTATGAGGAATGTTTGCTTCCTTTTCGTTGATCTGCGATGTTTTGGAGGACGGCGGTAATGGTGGTAAGTATTTTGAAGAATAAGATTCGTTATCATTCTCACAGTAATTGGAAAAGACGTGGTGAGGTGATGAGAACTCTTCGTAGTTCGTAAATGAGTTTAACATTGGTGTCAGTTCGTTTATGAAGAAGAAAAATATGAAATATTTTTTAGAATGACAACTTCTCCCACAGCTGGTTTGGCGTGTTTAGCAAAACATCACGTCGAAATAGAATAGTGATTGGTGCGTTGAATACAATGTTGAAGGAAAACTTTAGTGGATCCTTCTTTCTGCGCCTTACTGACATCTAGGAAACTCTCGAGTGTATTCATTTGGAAAAGAACGACAATCACATCAGCTTTGATTTTAGAATTGCTCATCCGTTTGATCGTACTATAGCTTTAATTTTCACAATATAATCATTGAACAACTTGCGAAAGTGAAAGAGAAATGTTCATTCGGAAAAATCTTTGTTTTTTTTTCTTCATTGCACGAATGTTTAATCGAATAAAAAGTCGAATGACAATAGACAATAGCGATAACAACAACAACAACAAAACTAGTGCTTAGTTGATTTCTTTTCCATAAGAAACGAAAACAATTGTGTAAGTAACTTTTGGTAAATTTATTTATGAACCAACAATGATGTTATTGATGGGAATATGAATAAGTTTAACAAAGAAACCAATAAATCCCATGATGGCAAAACCAATTGCTGTTGCCATAGCAATTTTTTGAAATTCTAATTGACAACAAAAGATGAAATTAATCATTGAGAAGAACGAAGACTTAAGAATTACCTTTTCGATCGGGTTTGGTACATTTTTTCACTAAACGAATGGAATCTTTCATGAATTGTTTGCATGGTTCGGTGAATTGTTGAACTTGATCCATGATTTATAGGATTGAAATAAATAATCGGATAAAATATGAGTTAGTTCGAATGAAAGTCAATCAGTGATATTCGACTAATGTGCACAATGAGAACACGATGATGATGAAGTGTCGAACAATTCGTACTAACCAATCAGAAAACACGCATCGTCAACTGATGACGTTACTCTGCATTAATGTGTTGATAACGTTCTACGATCGCTGATATTTGTACTACTTCTTTTTTGGAATACGATAGAATTTGAAGTATTCTCTAATGATTTCGACGGATATTTTGTGATTATCGTATGATAACTATGGTAATTTTGTATCTATGACATGAAAATGGCGGCATGATATGTGATACATACGTATGCTGCTTGTTCCCGGTGATTCGTAAAAGTCTTCGGAATATTGTATTTCATTCTTGCTGAATGACTTCGGAAAATCTGCCTTCAAGCCCGGTAATATTAAGGAAACGTACCGCATCTCGAAAACATCACGTTCCAAGTCAATCGATTGATAATACTGTTATTGACAATCTTCGTCCTAGTAAAACAGCAGCAGGTAGAAATCGATCTTTATCCCGATCGTCGAAATTTCTTCCAAAAGCTGGTAAGCAATTCTCAGATTCTACAATTGAATGATCATCATCTGTTCATAGAGTCAATATCAGTCAAACGATGTCAGTCTCAGCAAAAAGAAGTTCACATTTCAACAATCACGAAGTTAGAACGACAAGTAACAACTATCACTATGCAAACTCGTTTGCCGACCTTTCCGATGACAGCCAACGATGAAGAACAAAAGCGTACATCTGATTTTCGTCGCAGACAAGTTTGTTTTCTTCTTCAAACTTTCTTCTAGTCGACTGATTCTTATAGATTTATGCATTGAATCATCTTATGCGTAACTATGAACAGGAAAAGTTTCGCGAATTTTGTAAATTACACAATATTGGTTCGGACCATGATCAAGAAAACAAGGACGCAGGTGAAGATCAAAAAAACGAATCTTCAACATGATTATTTCGTACATATCAATTGTGATCTGTGTTACAGAAAGCGAGAAAGATACTTGCGGTCTCACTAGTCAGCATTTTCCCTTGAAATACGTATATTTTCTTTTTGTAATTGTTAATGATTGATGAAATATTTTCACTGTCGCATGGTAGGAATCGTTCTGAAATGAATTTCTACGTGTGAAGCAGAATAAGAAATAGTAAATAAAAATCTTGACTTCCAATTGTCATTCATAGCAGCCAAATGTTTTCTCACACTGATAAGTTATTTCATTTTAGTTAAAAACTTTTATTTTCTGATGAGGTGTCGCTTGTTATTCACATGTAGACAAATGTTGCCAAGACTGATGAGTCATTACACGATGACGTTATTTAAAGACAACACGCAGTTGCTGTCGTCTACATCACTCTTTTTTCCAACTATTTGACTATCATCAGATTTGTCATAGCGAATGTGTTCACGTTGGTGGATTATAGTGATCTTTTTATCGATATTTCTGACCATTGAATGGCAAACATATGATCGTTGTACTTCGTCGTGTGTCCTTGTCAATGCAGATTCATTAAATAATCCTGCTCGACAGCAACGTATCGTTCATGTTCTTGTGAATTCTAATAAAGAGAGACATGAATTGAGAAATGAAGCTCGTCCATTCGAATACATTTGTATGCCAAGTACAGCAACAATCAGTAAGATCTAAATACAACTATCCCATTGAAATAGTCTATTCTTGCTCATATATTTAGTTTCTTCAAGATCTACCATCATAATAACACTTCTTATTAGCATGTGGACTGTGATGCATGCTGTTTGGAATTTCCATTAAATGCGTTTTATTGCGCATTTATTAAAATATAATTGCAGTCTATGTGGATAATTCCTTGTCCGTGAAGAAAATTTCTTTCAAACAGAATTTTTTGTGTCTATGAAACTATGTTGGTCAACATATTAAGGTGTCCTTCTGCCATTCGCGTTCTGTTCGTGATTTGATTGTGTTTTGTGATGTAACTCAAAGATTGTTATTTGTAAGATTTCGTTCTACATTTGATCTACAAATGTTTAAAATAAAGATCATCAGTTCCAGCTGAATTACATTCTGTCTACACATCTTTCTTTTCTTCAGTTATACAACACCTCAGAACTTCACTTTATAAAATTCCAATTAATGTTGATGGTCTCATATTATCCAACATGTCAATCCATTCTTTCCTCATGTTAGAGATTTACCACAAATGCATTAATACATCACGAAATTGTATTAATAGAGAAATCGCTGCCAGGTAGGTTGAACATGTATGTACAATGTTATGTCTGAATGATGAAAAATAAGCGTGAAATATATGTTCCCTATTTATTAGAACAGTTTGAATAGATTCTTATTGAACATGTTCACGTATTGATTATTCTACAGAAATATATTTTTAATGAGTTCATTTCTGCACTCAACAATTTCAATATGTAATTGCCTTTTTCAAACTTGAAGTCCAACAATTGTTTGAATCGTCAATTAATTAATAAAATACACACATTTTATCATCAGTTAAACAATCAGTGAACCATTGCAACCACTGTAGTTTTCTTTCATTCAAAAAGATCCTAAACTAATCTCTCGTTAAAAGTCTATAGTTACCAAATTTTGAAATAGATCTATTCAAAAAAAAAGAGAATGCACTATTTACCCATCTTATCCCACACAACAATTAATCAATTCTGTATTAGGATTTCTTCTTTTCACATCTCAATGTCATTTTTTGTTACGATAAAGCCCACAAAAGGAAGGTCTTTGTTTCATGCAATTCATCCATCGAAAAAGCGATGACCTTTTATCGACTTTAGACACTGTGTCAAGCATTATGTTCTGATCATCAAGAGATCGATTAATACATTTCTATGTGGATAGGATATTTGTAATAAAACCAAATTGAAACTATTTTTTCTCTTCTATTATCACGTATGATAGTGTAGTTTTAGAACCTTTAGTCTTGTGAATATATATATATATATATGAGAAGGTGAAAAATGAGTTGTGGCTATAGAAAAGAGAAGGGCAACATCAGTAGTATATGCAACAAGATTTTTCTTTTCATTCTCTGTCCTTCCCCTCCTTCCTCTTCTTCCCAACTTCGTAACATACGTTCGTTCAAGTCGCAACCACTATATATATATCATCTGAGATTTTTCTGTTCTCTCTTTTTTTTTTCATTTTCTTATCGCTTGCCTCCATTTTTCACTACTCATTCATTCAATTCAATTGGCAACAGACATCTATGGAATTTATGCGATTTTATTATGGTAAATATTGAGTAGAGATATGTGGATAAGTCTCTCATTTGACATCGAACTTGTGCCAAACAAATAAATCATTTCTCTTTCAGATTGACTATGATATAGTTGATTAAGCATTAGTGGTCTACACGTGTGACCATGAATTTTCCTTGTGGACCGTTAGATACGATCCAATTGATCGCTCTCGTCCTATTTGGACTTCTTACTTTACAATGTCTATTGGGCATTGGTCTCGGAATTGGTTTTCTTCTTCAACCACCTCTATACAATATTGTGACCAGTCTAAATTCTGATTTTAAAACTCAAACTTATTTTTCCATTTATGCACGTTCGTATCGATTTCCGCTATTCGAACTTTCTTATAAATTGTTTAAATGAAATTTTCTTTCAGCTCATATCCTTCTCATTATTGGTAGTGGCATTGTAGCAATTCCGATCATATTGGGTGTATACGGCATTCTACGACGTCGTTGGCGTTATCTTATGATTTCTCTCGCTTTACTTTCGCTATACATGGCACTACTATCAGGTGCCTGCGCGTCCGGCTTTGCTTATTTTGACCAATTGAAAGTAAACCTTCAAAACCACTGTGGCCAATACACCGCGAATCCGACATGTAACTCAATTCAGACAATATATGGTTGTCCAAGAAATGATTGTATTGGCCGATTAGATGAAGTTATGCATGCTAGTAAGCAACGTATTGGCATAATTTCCGCCGTGTTTTTATTAGTGCCATTCTTAACAAGTATTGTTATGATCCATCATATGCCTCCAGATATTCTTTATTTTAAATAATCATGATATAAACATACATATACTCCGGCAAGGTCATCAACTTATTCTCTACCATCATTAGTCCGTTTTTTCTTTCTCTTTCGCTCCTTCTTCTCATTATAAATGGTGCTTTTACTCATTCGTTTTTCTGTCTCGTGATCGATTCTTACACGGTGCTAGTATGGTACATGTATGTAAGTGTTTTGCTATTGACATGAGGAAAGGTATGTGTAATAATTAAAATTGAATAAAAGACAAACGAAGAGTGAAAGATGTAATACTTTGTTCTCGAACGTTATCATTCATTGAACTAGTAATTGACCGTGATATTGAGTTTGCGTTTTTCTTTTCTCTTCGATTCGATGATATAATCAATGATATCAAACAAGTATAGAATGTGATATGTAACACGAATAACTATCAAAGAAATTAAAATGAACTTCCGCTTGAAAATTTCATTTCATCAGTTGCTTGCAAGTTTTCACCTTGCTTCATTTAACATTCAATGAACGGAAATAGTTATGAATAAAACTTGTCACCATGAATATACGATCGAAAATCTGCATATTTGATTTATCTCAGCAACTTTCTTTTCAACAGATTAAATCGATATGAAGAAAAGAAATTCAAGCTCATTTCGTACGTTATGTGATTTTATACATGTTACTCAGATAAATTCATTGAAATCGTACAAAATACTTGTCAAATATATACGATCATCATAAAATGACCTAACAAGAATGTCATGGGTTACATGGAGAAGGTGATAGACGTTCTCCGAATTGTACAACCTGCGAAGTTCATGATGACATTCAAATCTGATGAACTATGATTCAACATTTACTTTTGCTTTCTATCATTAGTCTGACGGTCCATGTTATCTTAGACGACCAAAGTTCAATAACAAAAGACAATGACAGTATTTGAAGTTTTATTTCATAAACGATTATCAGATGCAAGATTAATGTAAAGTAAATCTATCATTATCAAACAAGAAACGAAAGAATGACGTAACTGTTCGTGTTCAGATAAAACATTCATTTGAGAAGAAAGATTACAGATCATGTTCATGCGATGAACTATTTCGGTCGATTAGCACTCTCTTGATTAACAGCGCTAGCATTTGTAGATGATTGGGGCTGATCAGCTCGAGAGTTGGACGCATCGTTCGATGTATTTTTTTCTGCAGATGTCTTTTGTGTGGCTGTTGTAGTTACATCACCTGGAGCGCCATAGACGTCTTTATTCACCTCTTCATTGGTTTTATGGTGAATAGGTACATCCGAATGGTCTTTGATTTGATTTTCATCGAGTTTAGCTGGCCATGCAACAGAGTTCTCCGTCATTGGCAAATGGAGTAACGTAACACGAGATGAAAGAGTAAAATCAGAAGTGTATATGTGATTGTTACTAAGACAAAAAAAGAACGATTTTTTCTTCTACGTCTTATAAAATCTTTTTTTTTCATTCTGCGCAAGTGTCGATTGTGAAACAGATTGGCACACTTTGCATTTATGGGTGCTTTCCTGATAATCATATGGTAAAATGCTACAAGTAAGTGTTTATCTATCGAATAGCATTTGTTTTTATTCGTAATATCAACAGAGAACAAAGTAAAATAGTTCACTTTAAAAACACACAGATACATCAAGAGTATTGGTTCACCCAACCTTGCCGAGGTAAATTAAGTTGTCGCTGAAGTCGCATGGCGTCACGTCGATCGCGTTCACTCATCGTTGTTGATTTTGCCGATGATATTCTTGCTGGATTTTCACTTTGTCTTGATTGTGCACTAGATCGAAGGGTAGCAAATGGTTGCGTAGATTTAGCAGTATGTGGACGACCGATAACTAAAGTAAAACAGTAAATAATCATGGAAGATCATTGAAAGAAACCTGGCTCAGCAGTTGGCGATGGAATTGAGTTTAAGTCGTCTGAAGAATTGGAATGTTCTGAATGTCGTGATCCATTCTAATTGAATTCAGATGAGAAAATAGAATGAATTTATGAAGTATATAAGCTTTACTTCAGTGATGAACCCTTTTTCATACAGCGGTGCATAATTAGCCGTTTGTTGGAAGAATTCTTTGCCTGCGAAGACGAAGTACGGTTTTGCACGACTTGCTGGACTGCCAAGATGTTTAACAACATGATCAGGTGAAGCTAAATGATAGAGATGTTTTGTGGCGCGTGGTCGAACGCTGGCTGACGAAGCTCGACTAGTTGGAATACTTGGCGGATTTCGTGTTTCGCTCTAAATGAACAAATGCAAAAGTTCGTTGATAAATTCGTTCTTCACATCAACGTACTTGTCGATAGCGCATCATATTGACAAGTAATTGTCGAGTATTTTGTCCGTGAACAGGGTCGATATGATTTTGTTTAAGAAACGGTTGTAAATATGCATTCCTAACGAAAAATGAATCGATTTTCTGATTTATTAAATCATTTCATCAACGGACCGAGCAGCAGCCGCCAAAGCATTCGCTGTTTTTTGTTGTCGTTGTTTCTGTTCTCGTCGGTCCTCATGACTAAGTGTGCTTGATATACTTGTCGAACGCTGCGTAGAAGACAATCAAAATTTGAAATGTTCGTCAACGAGTATGTTTACTTTAGATAAAATCTCGTCATTATCGGCAATCGTAACTGTTTTCTTCGTTGAAGGAACTGGCATGATTTTCTTTTCGTTAAAAGCATTCTGTTCGATTTCAGGATCAACACCTGCAAAAAATGAAATCAAATGTACCAAAGATAAGAAATGTCACAAGTACAACTAACCAATCAATTCAGCTAAATGAATAATTGCTGTCTGATCACCATGCCAAGCACTAAACGAAAATATAGATTGGCGGAAATGTCCGAAAATGACCTACCTTTTCGTTAGATCAAGAAGACATTTTAATTGCTGTTGTAAACTATGAATTTCTTCTTTTGCTAGTTTCAATTGATCGTGTAAATTTTCTTTTGGTTCCTTAACTTCATGCATATTCATAAATCGAAGCCAATTTCTAACAAGTTTGAATGAGACTAATTACCATACAAACATGTACAAAATACTTAGACGTAAAGACAATTTACACAGAACACTTGTCGTTGAGAAGTGAAAAAAAATTAACTAACTACCTTTTTTTTTCAAGTTTCTCTCTTGTACGAGAGTATGTATGTGTACGAATGTATGTACGTCACTATGTTGCCAATGGTGGTAGTGGTAGCAGTAGTGATGTTTCGTATTATTCTTCTCTCGTCGCTCTTCCTTTTATTATTATTATTTATTTTTTACAGGCAATACCGTTCGTATCGAGCGCGTTACAAGTCACTTTTGTTTGCTCATTATTCTGTGATTTGTATTCATAAGAATGATTGACAAAGTGAAAGAATTCATCTCGATTTTTTTAAATAACACAAAAATCAATTCAAACGATTTTTCTGCGACTGAAAACTAATGATCAGCCCTATAATTTCAAGTGTAAAACCATTGAAGTTCACTTTTTTCCAACGTATACTGTACATTAAAATGAATCATTCAATATTGACAAAAGCCAGTAACGATCAATAAATCTCTCGACTCGAAACTTAATTAACTCGACCTGCATCTTTTCCAAACACACATCATTCTTGCTAAAAATAACCGAGAGACAAATGCCTTCGTACAACGATTGGCATCGCAACACGCTTTCTGCTTTCGCTCAGTTCTCGATTTGAAGAACAATTCAATCGATGTGTACATAGTTTTCTTCTGGCGACACTTTTCCTCCACCAAATATGTAACACGATTGCACATCGATTAAAGAAATACTTTCTTATTGAATGCGAGACTCGTTGTCAAAGATCGACAAGCAAACATGGTAACTGAAACGAGCATCAACGTGAATTGCTTGATTGCTAGTGGCAATCCAATGATGAAAAAAGAGCAGACAGGAGAACGGAAAGAAAAGAAATTGACACTGCTTCTTTGTTATTTGCCATTTTTTCTTTACGTTTCCACCGCACATTATTATTCTCTAGTCACAAGCTTTGAATCATCTGATTTTTCATATCTTTCAACAATTGCTCAATCGGAGGAACTTTTGTTTTTAGATCTCGATGTCTCAATTGCCATCCGATGACGATTCGACTACAGCAGCAAAACATATAATCGACAACGATCAAGGTAAGACTTGAATTTTCTTCTGTAGCTAAGCGATTTGAATGTGAATGTGACGTACCGTCGCATAATTGAGTAACTGAATATATGTTGAAATGATAATTCGACAAATAAAACCTTCTAGTTAAATTTGATTTTTATTGAAAAAAAGTTTCTTTTTGATTGGTTCTAGTAAGGCTAAATTTTGTTGTCTTCTTTTACATATGTATTTAAGAAATGACATTTGATATTGGCAGAAACCTTTGAACATTCACGATCACTTTGACTCTTCTTCACAGAAGAAAAATAAATGATGTTGAAAGAAAAAAATTTTGTCATTTTCGATTTTTTTTTCTTTAATCACTTTAGTGTTGAAGTAGTTGATGAAGTGTATGGAATGAAAACATTTTTCTGATCCGACGATTCTTTTTTTCATGCGTTCGAACTTCATCATCTTTATTGAAATAATTTACAAAATCATACAATACAAAAAAGTGAGAAAAAAAAGATATGCAAAAGCCTGTATGTTCGTTTATGATCAATCCTCAAGTCGAATATGATAAGTAATGGGTTGCTGAGGAACTGGTGGTGGGGGTGGTGGTGGTGGTGGTTGAGGGCTCACTCTGAAGTTTCGAGATGATAGTGAATCATATATACCCGGTGGTAGTTTTCTGTAAACTCTTCTCACTACAGTTGGTTGAGGTTGAACGACAACTCTACGTTCGAGAGGTTCGACTTGGTACTGTCTTCTGTTTCCTTCTATTTGATAAACACGTGGTCCTGGAATAGCAGATTTTAATGATGCCTGCTGAGCTATCGTAGGTCCAGCTCTGACATATTGTGTTCCAAGATTGCTTGGTGCAGCTGGTTGATAGTAGACCTGTTCACGTGCGATGCGCGGCGTTCGTTGAAGAATTACACCAGAATTTGTTTGTCGTCGCGGTCCCGCAACCCACACTGCACTAGCTGGTGGAGGTGGTGTTTGCGCATATTGTTTTACAACGCGAACTGGCCTTCCGGATACTGGCGTACTGTATTGAGGGTATACTTGACTGTCGTAAGCGAGTGACGGTCGATAGATAACTTCTCTCGTTGGTAGAGAACTATGTCTAACAACACGCCTTGGTATTGCCGGTAGCTCGTTAGTGTCTTCAAAGACAACACGACGTGGTTGGGGAGGCATCAATGGTGCTTGTATCGGAGGAGGTACTGTAGAATTGACAGATTTTCGAATGTAACTTCCCATGGGTTCACCATTCGCCGAGTATTCATATGGATCCTTGAGAAGAAAGAAAGTTGAAAAGAATTGTAATAATATAGACAAAAAAAGTTTACTTGTGGATCTAGTCGTTTTCCTTGTCGAAAGTCTTGAATAGCATTCTTATCACATATCTCACATAGGCCAGTCTGTGGATCAATGATATGTTTACCATAATGACCCATTCTTCCTTTGTTTCGTTTCTATCTCTATTAAATTCAATCAATGTTTGATCTAAACAGTTTCTTTTCTCTTTTAACCATTCAATATTCAAGTAATCATATGCTTTGCAGTAATATTTTTGCTTCGGCTATTTCGTTGTCGTCAGAATGTTTTAACAACTTAACAGTTTACTCACTTGATTAAACGCGACGATTAAGAAGCAAAGCAAACGCAATTTGAGTTTACTTCAGTCATGTTTTTCTTTCATCAACATTTCGATCAAGTTTATGTTGCCATGTTTCTTCTTTTCTCTTCTTCTTCTTCTTCTTGTTCTTTACTCGCCTTTTGTCAACTAAACAAAAACTGTACGATAAAGTACTTCTCAATCGAATTCTTCCTGCACATCTATGAAAAAGTAACAGAATATTCATTGACAATAGTTCTTTTCACTTACAGTTTCTCGATCACGTGAAGCAACCACGGAGAGATTATCTCCTTCACCATCTCAACCAGATCATCATGTTGGTTTGTATCTGAAAATACCAAATAAAAACTTTCTACCAAAAGCATGTCTTGTCCTTCTTGAAGAACAAGTGGTTCCGGTATCTGGTGTGATAGCTGACGAACAGAATCAAGTCTTTGCTCTGACAGCTACGGTGGACAATGTTTCGGCAGAACCAAAAAAACCGGAAGGTCAACCCACTACACGGACACGGCAGAAGAAAATTCCAAAAAATTCAGCTTCGTAAGAATACAGATGCATTCAAATGATTGGTTTTTTCGCTAAATTTGATCTCTTTTTGTTAAGAATTAGTGTTCAGACAGACTGGACATGGAAGGATATGGAGATGCTCGAGAAATACCGAGGTAAATTTTTACGTCGGCTTGTGTAATAACACAAATATTTACATTCGATTTTCTAATTAGTAAAAGAGCCTGAACCTGAGGAATCAGATAGCGATGTCGAACCGATTGAATCTGTTTCAAAAGTCGAAGAAGTAAACAAAAATCAATAATCCATTGAAGCAAATAACTTATTTATTTTAAGCCACCGGAACAAGTTGAGTCGACGACTACGTCATTACCAGAGCTGCCAATTGTCACATCTGTCGGACTACCACCGATTTTACAGGTCAGTACGACATTTTCATACGATTTTATTCGATCACGTATGTTTAAATGGTCTATATAGTATAATCCAGAATCGAAACAGAAATTGGATGATCTACCTCGCACAGACGAGGAAATTAATGAAGATGAACTGCGTGAATTAGGTGTACATGTTTATGGACGTGTTCCATGTGAATTTTGCGGAAAAGAACTACGGATATGGCCCACAATTGTTGAACAAGAGACATCTCCACCGAGTGAAGTAAGATCCGATGATTTGAATATGATTGATCTTGTACCATCTGAACGTTTAGCTGTTCTGTTGTACGGAATATCGAGAATTTGTTGAAGCTGTCCTTGAAATGCAGAAAGAAGAAAACTCTCGACTTGATTCAAAACCAATCGATATACAACCACATGCAAAAGTTCGCAGCCGACGTGCTCGACAGCTGGCAGAAGAACGAGCGAAAGCAAGGTTTGTCGAACAACAACGAGAACAAGATTCTAAACATTATTCACATCCTTGTCTAGACTTTGGGAACGTAATGCAGCTGAACAGAAACGTCTCGAAGAACAAGTACAAGAATTTGCAAACAGCACCAACCCGAAAGCCATGGGTATGTATGCATAGATTATACAAAATATTATCTTTTTTCCATATGATCAATGAGAATGACTTGATACGATTGAACGATGTATTCGAACTGTTTTCATGTACACTTATGCAGGACGTCAAACACGAAGACATCATGGAATGACAGCGAGAAGCACTCAGAATAGTGCAGCAAATGCCAGCGGAGCTGAATGTATTTTTGAAAAAAATCTACTAATCTTGAGTTACTTCTGATGCTTGTGTGTGTGTCCAATTTGTTATTTGATCTTTGTTTCCGAAATCTATGTTTCGAAAAGCATGATTGGAAAGAAAAGATCTCGAATTGACCCTTTTCTCATATGTATACAGGAAATTCTGAACAAGCGAAATCTTATCGTGGCACATCAACAGTGCGTACTAGCTCACAACTACCGAGTGCCAAATCGGACTCGGCTAGTAAGTGCGCTTCGTTGTAATACTAATGATCAATTAATACTTTCGTTATTCGTCTACTACTTCTTCTTCTTCTCTTAATATTCGATTGTGTCCTTCATTGTTTGTAATTTTCTGAAGAAAACTAACGCTTATTTTCGTCTAGTGGCAGCAAGAATGAAAACATTTACATATCAATTATCGAATCTGAAGTATGTGGAAGAAGGATGGACATTGAAGGGACCAACTGATTTCGAAATAAGCTCCGATGAAGAATCTGACTTGGAAGAACATATTTTAATACCACGAGATATATCCACGGTAGCATTCAAAGTAATTGAATTCATCAGACAGATGTTTATAGTCAAAAATCTTATTGTATTCGTGAACAGAAGAGTGAACGACCATTAGTTCAACGTTTCTATAAAGATGGAACAACTGCAGCTATTCTTTTTTCCACTGGAACGGGCTCTATCTAGTAAGTGCTATTCGTACATACAAACTAGTATTCTTCACATCCTTTTTGACAATCAGTTATCCATCCGGTAATCTGGCCGTTAGTATCTCTGAAGTAGCTCGGGCGATGCTTCTCTATACGGCATTTACTGATGAACCATCATATGCATCGAGACAAATAGCACAATTTGATCCATTCGGAAATGGATACTGTAATTTTACTAGTGGTAATTTAAGGTACGTGACGCCAATTTCCCTAGCAATGGTGAACTACGGTATTTTATATTCTTAGATTACAATTGACAGCACTTGAAGGAATCGAATTGAATTCGGACGGTAGTCGACGTCGTCGATGGCATTGGTGGGCTAAAGCAAATTCAATGACAGAACCACACATTCATGCTCCTCCGTGTCAACCGATACTGTTTCATTTAAATGAGGAAATCGCGATTAAAGTCTGTTCGCAAGAAAAAATTTACTTGAGATTTTCATGTGAACTCGTTGATCTTAAATTTAAAGTTGGCGCAAGATTAAAAGTAAAACTCTCGAACAGTCAACATATCTTATCTTTGTGGCACATTTCTCTGTGTCTTTCTAGGTAAATAATGTCAATAATCTACCATCAACACAAAAAAGTGATCCATATGACAGTTATTTGAAAAAGAAGAGTACCGTATTAACGTAAGCTGATCAATTTTCTCGTTTTTGTATTGTTGATTGTCTTTTGGTTTGTAGACGATTATTGAAAAATATTCATACAGAAGCACAGCAGTATGTTAAAAGTCAAGAGCTTATCCGTTCATCACAGGAGCCTACACGATCAGTTCAGGAATCAGCTCGGACTGGTCACAAGACGACTGTAGTCAGTCTTTCACAACAAAATCGTAATAAAACTCCGATAAAAGAAAGTTTATTTCCGCCCATTCGACAAAACGAAGAGAAGGTGCAAAATAATCGTAGAATTTATCGTAGTGTCGTTGTCACGTAAATCATCAAGTTTTTTTCTCCTACCAACATAGTCAAACGACGAACTGATAAAATAACATTCATTTGGGTGTCTGTATCTTTATCTTTTTTTTCTTTTGTATCTCTCTACACCTTTATTCTCTCTCTCTCCTCATTTTAAATAAACTGAAGAGATATTTAATCTCGTACACAATTCATTTTCACCTAACATTCTCAATTCACATACATACATTCATATCACATCGAACGAATCAATGCGTTTACTTTGGATTTATATCCTTGCCTTGGCAATCATCCTTGCTTTCGTTTTTCGTAAGATTTTGTAACTCATTCTATACTCGATCAGTTTGCCTGACAACTTTTATCTCTGTAGAGAATGTTAATGCTGACGATATGCACCATAAGAAAGGTTCGAATCAAAAAGGTATGATTCACGAGAAAAATGGTCAACCACGTCGTCACCATCCGGAGGCTGCCAGAGATGATCATCGTTCACCTTCTAGCAACCGTGGCCGTGATCGTTCACATTCAAAATCGCGCGATCACGATTCACCATCGAATCGCCATCGGGATCGTTCATCTCAACATGATCGTAAACATAAAGACAGAAAACAAAACAAAGATAAACACAAAAAGCATCGCGATAGCAAAAAACATCATCGCGATGACAGAATGTCTCATCATTAACTTTATTCAATCATCTCTTTTTCTTCTGTACTTCAATAAAAGTTCATCTCTTTCATATTTTCCTTCCGCACATATCTAATTTAAAATACAATCGCCCAAGCTATCTTCATAATAACCATGTACACATTTACAACGTGAAAATGTGTGACTCAACCGTTGACAGACAGAGTGTTCAGGTGCACAACGAAAGTAACCTTTATTGCAACATAATGGTGCATTGTGAACCATCAAGGGTTCTTCACCTAATCGCATATCACCGCAATAGGCAATAATATCCAATTTATAGAATTGTCTAAAAGAGATGATAGTGTTATTAGAAAGGAAAAGAAGAAATATTCGATGCTTACGATGTTTTTGTAATTAAATGAAAGTTTTTATTTGTAAACTGTTCTTTAGTTCGATTAGACCAACCATAGAGCATCAATGTTTTGACGATTGTTTTAAACCAATCCGTTTTACACGATTGACACGTGATATTTTCCGAATACAAACTAATATCCGTCAATTGATAACCATTCAAATGAAACAATTCTCGAGGAAAGATATCGATCGTTCGACTTCCGAAATGAATGATTTGAATATGTGATAAACTATTCAAATCTTGGATATAATGCAATGGAAAATAGTTTAAACTTGTAAAAATGTGAAAATAACGTAAACTATACAGATCTTCAATCGCTGGATAGGCAATCAAGGAATGCATTTCATCAAGAACTAATTCGGTTAGATTCGATAAACTTTCCAACGATGTTGGTAACCGTTCGAGGTTGACATTGACCAGACGAAGTGTTTGTAATTGAAAAGCATCAAGAAAAATATCATCTGGTACAATAGGCGATGCAAATTGTGTATCGCTTATCGAAATAACACGTAAGGTTCGACAAGAGAATGCGCGTGATTCAACCGAACGAATATGCGATGATTCAATTAACAAACCTAATAAATATTGTTGATGATTTTCACCGCATATTTCTTGCTGAATACGAAGATTCGGACTGGAAGTGATTTTCAATGGTAATTTCTTGTCGACAATATCTTTGGTTTGTAATAATTCATGGGAAAGCAAGGGCAGATTTGTACAATGATAAGTTAGTGAGTATCCATAACTTCGTTTGTATCGATCGTATTCAATACTGCAATTCTCTGATGATTGAATAGATTCGATGAATTGCGAGAGAAAAAGAAGAAGAAACCAAAAGAACATTTTATACAATGATGAGAAATCTGTGCGATTGTTTCGCTTTTTTTCGATTTTCTGATGAAAGATCATCGAGAAATACATCTCGTTTCGGTCATTGAGAGTGAAAATGTTATTCGTGAAAGTTCATTTCTACATTCATCTGTTCAAAGATGCTTTGCATCATTGAATGTTACTATAAATAAGAATTCATTCGAGATTCTCTCGTGCGAAACATATTTATCAATATTGATGACCATAACTGAAACAATCAGAGATTATATTACGTACGAAATGATGTTTCACCCTCGATCAAACGGCTTCTATGTCCTTTCAGAGAGAATAGATAGAGATTGTGTGGTAAAGGACAAAATCTTTCTTTTTATAGGTTATCGAGTGTGTACAGAAAAGAAATAACGAACTAATTCATTAGCTAGTGGAATAAATAGAAGTATATAATCAGATCGTGAATAAAAATCATTAGTGTAAAAGAAAAAACAAAAGCGCATAAAATCATTTCATTTGATTGATAATTTCTGAAAGTTCGGAGAGAATACCTTGATTCACACGAGGCATTTTTGCTAGAGCAGCATCAGCTTTGTCTCGAGCTTCTTGTTTAGTGAAATCACCACGGAGTCTTAAAAGTTGAATAACCTGTTCCTTCGTTAAACTTGGATATTTCTTCGCTAATGTTGCTAATTCCAGAACAATAGAATCCAAATCTGTTTGTTCGAGAATATCAGCTATGTTACTCAAAATATGAAAATGATATTCAATTGCACCTTCGGATGACGTTTCGATCCATGATTTGAATTCTTTCTCAAGTAAACTAGCCTCGCTACGTAACTGTGTAGCACACTGACGTCGTTCATCAGATCGTTCGAATTTGATTGTTATACTCTGTGAGAGTACATTTCGTAAGTAATGCGCTAAGATACGTTTATGCCATGTGTAGAAGAGATAAGTTAACAGAGCTTTTTTCAAATGTGTTAATTCTGAACTCCAATAATCACGGGTTGTTTCAATAATCGTTCCACAATGTGATTTAGCTGTGGCACTAAACCAATCCCGTGTGAATAATCCTCTAAGAGAATTCGATGTATCTATTTCGATTTCTTGTAGAATAATGTCACAACAAGACTTAGCTGTTTGTTTGAATACTTTCGCTATGTTTTCATATCGATTCAATTGTTGTTGTGATGAAGATGATAGATCATCTAAATCATTATGATCATATTTTCGAAGGATATCTATAACGGTTGACATGGATTCACAATCATTTGCATTAGCAACCATTTGTTTGGTGAAACAATCGCGAAAGGATTGACGATCGGCGAAGTACTTTTTTGTATAAAGATCTATTTCATTCATATACGAAATATGAAATTCATTTAGCTTTTCTAAAATCATTTCGAGAACTATTTGACATATTTCATCCGACATTTTCTTTGCCATATCTAGCGTTTGAATAATCAGATTATTTAGTGTCCGTGGCATCGATGTATAATAATAATGATCCGGGGTTAAATCAACTTCTTTCAATGCATACCAATCCTATACAATCAAATTTTCATGTGTTTAGTTAAATCTTCGAAACAAACCTTAGTTTCTCTCGATATGGTGTTTGACATCCATTCCGGAACTTTCTGTTTCATTTCATTGATGAACACATCTGTAATTGCTACTAACATATCTTTTTCCAATAATGGAGACAAATGACTGGTATCTAATCGTAACTCTGGACTTCGTAAACATTCAACATCTCTATAAACGAAAACAAAATAGAAAAAAGAAGATTTCTAAAAAAAAAGGATCTTACTGATAATCACGAACAAATGTTACTAAAGCAAACACGTCTGCAATTGTTAATGTCTCGCCTTCATTTCGTTGTTTTAGATTACATATTTCAGTGATATGTTCTTTCAAACAATTATGATAGTATCCAAGAAAACGATTGACAATATCATACTGTTTTGGAAAACAACGTGAGCAAGTTTTCTAGAACGAATGCAAACTTCTTTGCCTGTTGAAAAGTTTCGATGGGTCTCATACTGTAATGATTCGGAAATCTTGTAAAAACATCCGTCGATATCTTTTGAAATGTTGTTCTAACCAGCATTGCTCTTCTTCTTTTGTTTCCAACTGAATTCCTTCGATTCTAAATCAATATCAACATAGAAGCAAACAACACCGATGATATGGATGTTTTTGGCTTACCGATGTTTCACACTCTTTCTTAACAAATCAAAACAAAGCATTCTCCATTGTCTTGGTCGATCCGGTGGGCTAAATCCAGTCAAATTTTTCTTCTCCGCCCAGAATCGATCTATTCTAAAATCGCATCACAACCTTACGAATGCTTCTTTTCTTATATCACAATCTACACATACTGTTCTTCACGTTCAATAAGTCGTAATGCTGTCACTAATTGTTCCGGTGCACTGATCGCACAATGATACCATCGAGAAATTTGAGATGATATCAATTGTTCCAACTGTCCAACAAGTCTTTGATGATCAGCAAAATAGTTAGTCACTAGTTGAATATTATCGGCATGGGAATCTCCGTCTTGAGTTTGATGCAATTCGAAGAGTAGATAGTTGCGAGTATTTTCAATCTCAATTACCAGTTGATGAGCTTGAAGAAGTTTTTCGTGAGCCAATAAATCAGCTGCTTTGTTCACGTTTTCAGGTGTTTTGATAATATGATCAAGATTAACTTGAGCAAGTGCTAATTGTCTAAAATTTACCATTGAAACGATTTCATCATTAGTGAACATTTCAGTTTTACTGATAAGTATGTGCTTCATGACATAAATCGTCCAGCTTCGATTGTAATGAGATTATTTTCTGTAATATTTCATCTGTTTCATACATTTTATGTTCGATTATCCTCATATTACGGAGGGAGTTTTGTAATTGAGTGATGCCAGTATTTATGTCTTCCAATTGAGATTGCACTGCTGTGCGCAATTGCTCATCAAGAGCATACTAGAAGATAATGAAATAGAAGAACACGTCTTTTGTTCAGTTGAAGATCGAAACCTTTCGTTGAGAAGCTGCTGTTCGTAATTGATCGAGTCTTTCTAAACCCTCTGGTTTTTCTAATTTAGCTTGAATGATTCGAAGTGCATTGGTTTCCGCTTCATGAGACATTTCATCGAGAAGCTTAGCCCTAGAATTTGATGTACTAGGTGCTGTGACACCAGCAAGTGACTCCATGCTCAGAAATCAAATGAATAGTCAAAGTTTGAATACAGTTAAGACATATGTGTTAACTGGTAGATCAAGAGACAAGTGAAAATTCAGATTTACTTCCTTTTACTATTGACATTTCAACGTAATACAGTTAGTCAGTAACAAGTAGCATGACTCATCGATTGAACTCGAATGGTTAAAAATCTGATCGAATCGTATCTTGGCTTTCTGTATTGTGGATTTAATACATTGGTTAAAATGTTTGTCCAGCCGCTGTCTCCCTCTTTCCTTCGACAGAGCAGAAGAAAAGAATAAATATTAGCCACGATACCTTGAAAATAATAATAGCAACAACGAACGCTTGACGATAAAAGTTGGATCAATTGGGTACTTTGAACTACTGATTAATGGGAATAAAATTCCATTGTGATTTTTCTTCAACAACTGTTAATAATTAGTTCGACAATTCAAATTCAACAATAAATTAATTGTATATATATATATTATCAATACAATCACAATCAGACGATTACATTTAACAGTCATTCAATTCTTTTCATTTCCATTTAATAGATGAAGGTTAGCAATTAAATCATGACTCAACAAGCAATCAATGAAGTACTTAATATCAACGTATCACCATCGATCGTTAAACATGAAACAAATCAATGTACAAACAGAAAATTAAGTGAAAAAGCAGACGATGACGATGACGATCTTATTTTCGGAGCACTAGATGATGAAGATTCATCGAAAGAAAAGATTGACGAAGTTTCTCCATCATCGGATGAAGGCATTCAACTCACTTCATCCATGGATCGAGTTGAAAAACGTGAACGTTCGCATTCATCGATGAATGATGACTGGGAAAATATGTTACCTCTCACCGAGAGTGATGCACTTCTAAACACGACCAATGTGCAACCAACCAATGGAAAGGACTCCAGTGATCAGATTATCGGTATGTCGAATTTTCGTGTTAAACATCGTTTACGACGTCGATCAAAACCGAATAGTCTCGTTCGCTGGAAAAATGCTGTTAAAAAAGCGGTACTTCTCAAAGATCCATGGTATGTCATCCTTTCTTTTTCAGTAGTACTTTCGAAAACACGACCTTTAGGCATGATTTTGTTATTGATCAGTATCCCGAGGAAAACGTCACTCGACACGAATTCGATCCAGTGAAGCGAACATGGCACATTAGTCAAATTAAAATCAAAATCGAATCGAAACCATTTGCACATGGAAGCATGAGAGAATGTTTCCGATTGTAGGTTATTTATAGAAATAGTTTAATGCGAATTAGTTCTGTTTTGATTTAGAAAAAAGTTTTCAATATTCTCGGCACATCATGATTGGAATCATTCGAGTAATTATATCGCCAAACGGTATATCGACGATGTTCCTATGTCACGTTATTTCGATGATGTGATGATGCAAATGACAACCAAATTATGGGGAACACATTATAATCGACATAACCCGCCGAAAAAAGTAATGAATGTGTTTTTCTTGCATTGTTAGAAATGATCGATTTTTCGAAAAGGTTGACATTGTTCAAATGAGTGTATTAGAATTTCAAGATCGTCCTGGCCGACCTTATTACCATTTGGAACGTTTCATTGTAAGATTAAATAATCGAAATAGCGAGTTATTTCTGAGAGAATTCTAGGATGGAAATTATATCAAATATAATTCAAATAGTGGATTTGTTTGTGATGATGCTTTACGACACACACCACAGGTTTGGTTGATCAGTTGTTTTCTATCCAATGGATCGAAGAGAAGATGACGAATTGTTTTCCACTATAGGCATTTAGTCATTTTACATTTGAAGCATCGTGTCACGAACAGATCGTTGTTGATATTCAAGGTGTCGGTGATTTGTACACAGATCCACAGATTCATACTAATCTTGGCTTCGAATATGGGGGTAAGTCCGTACTGTTTCTATTTATCTTCGGAATTGTTCCTGGGATTTCTTTTTCAGAAGGAAATTTGGGCATTCGTGGCATGGCATTATTTTTTTCAACACATGAATGCAATGCTATTTGTGCTCGTCTCGATCTCACACCATTTGATCTATCAACTGCTGAACGTGAACGTCAATCTCAACAACACACTTCAAGTCCATCGTATAATTTAAATTTCTCTTCCCAAACAGCGTGTCGAGGTTCGGAAGAGCCATTGCAAGGCTTATCAAAGTTCGGATCAATTCTTCGACGTCTACGTTCTCAATCATCCATCTCTGAAGATGACTCTGATGGTTACGTATCTGAAGCATCATCGATAACAGCGGCCAACGCTCAGATGATCGATCAGAATTTGTTATTACTAAAAACTGAACAGTTCATGGCGACCTTTAGTGAAGAAAATATTCTATTGGCATCGTCAGCGACGAAAGTGAAAGTGCCAACATCGCCCGCATCTGCTAGTCTGACACATCCATCACCGGTAAGTTCTTATTTGAATTGCACGAATAATGCTTGGATTTTGTTTGCCGTGTGAAGAATTATTACTCACGTTCGCATTCCGTAAGTTTTTATCCGAAGAAAGACAGTTCAAATGAACTTCTTTGTTTCTATTCTAAAGGATTCGGTTTTCAATATCGACGATATTTATAATGCTCAATTACCAGATAAATATAAGAATTCCCATCGTCCTTCATCGGTCATGTTAGAAAAAGCCGAATTGGAAAAATTTCAACAAATCTCAGCTTGCTACGATAAATATGAAAGTATTCTTGGACAAGTATGTATCAAATCAACAAAACACTTCTAAGATTCATGAGTCTTTTATAATATCTCATATAGATTCATCTTGAAATGTGCAAATATTACCAAGTTGGCCGATTTAGTGAACTTGGCTCCGAAGAATTCGACCAAACATCGGCAATCTATCATTTGGATCTTGCTGCTGAATTATGCGTCACTGAAGCTATCTTCGCATTAGCCAAAATCTATCTCGATCTACCCCGCGATCTCTTACCAAACTATCATGCACCAGTAAAAACCTTCAAGATTCTCAGGCAAACCGCATTCGATCTTTATTTTTCCTAGATTTCAAAAGAACTCTTTCAAAAGGGTCTTGAATTAATGACTCGTGCTAGTGAATGTCTCGAAATAGAAGCTAATCTTTATCTAGCTCAAACCTATGATAGAGGATCTTCAGGAGCATTGTGAGTGATTTTCATTCGAGTCAATTATAATATTACACTCATTTGTTCATTTCAGAGAACCAGATTGGAAACAAGCAGCTGAATATTACGAAAAATACATTCGTTTGCGCGAAAAAGAATCGAATGATATCGATGAAGATAGTGGAACATGTGAATCAAATCCAAGAAAATTAGTTGACAATGCCGTTCCATTTCATGACCAACACGATGTTGTTGCTCGCCTGGCTACTCTTTACAAAACAGGTGGAAATAATTTATCTTGCAACTATCAACGAGCAGGTAGCTTTCCATATCTGTTTGATATTTGACATTAACTTCATTGTTAACTTTACAGGTGATCTATTCACTAAAGCAGCAGAAATGGCCACTGCTGCAATGAAAGGCCGTCTTGCCAACAAGTATTATGGAGCCGCTGAAGAAGCGTATGGAATGGAACCGGAAGAAGAGACTGAAACCAATTAAAACAATATTTCATGTTAATCCGAGTGATCATATTATTCTTTGGTATAAGGCATAATTCTAACATTTGATCTGTATTTATTTTACTTTCATTTTTGTTAAACATTTCTTTTTGTAGTTTAGTATTTTCCAGTAGACTCACTGTTGTGTACTTGTGCTTATTTATGTTCTTCGCATTCGCTCTGTACATATGCACTGTTGACAAGCATGCACACTTTTGTTTAACTGATATTCGGCATGAGTTACATCAATATAAGTTCATGAAAAAAAATTCAAGTTATTCACTTCAAGCGATCATGTGATAACGGAAGAAGTATTTACTGTTCTTATCTTTTGAGTAGGTTGGGCATTGTCGAGATTGCGTACATACATTGCTAAACAAGGCCAAAAATAGATCAAATATCCATTATCCAAGAGTATTATGGCAATTATAGAGATAGCAGGTTTCATTTGACTTTATTTGACATGTGTCGATAGATTAGCATCTTTTTAAATAAACGAAGTCAACGAGCAATGTACTCAGTAAGAACTGGTCACAATATCATTGATATAACATCTATTTACGCTTTGATTATGTACGGCGATGTTCGGATATCGAGATGCTTTCTTTGCTTAACGAGTTCTAAAAATGTTACATTTGGTTGCGTAGGAGAATAAAAAAACCTATGCTCGACAAGCTTGGTGATGACATCGCGCCCTCTAAGTGCGATGGATACAAACAACGAACGACCTTTGATCTGTTTTAGACCACTCTGCTGGGTCAAGATTAGAATAGCAAAAAATATGAAGGGAGGCTAGTTCGTTCTTTCTTCTGTCACTATTATTTGACAAGATCTATTATCATGCTGTCTATTTAGCGTTTGACGAAAAACAGAATCTTTTTCACCCGCATAATCATATCACCTCGACTAGTGAAAATCATTGCGGTTTTAATCATAATGAATATTCTATTGGTGTAATACTTTTTCACGGAAATGTTAAACAAATAATTATCGAATGAATTCTAAAGTTACATCAAATCTATGTTTCGATTAGTTATCCTTTCAATTTTCTTAAGAATTGTCAATCAGCGATAGTACACATGCATCTCAACCAGAGAGAATTATTTTCTCTTCGATCTTTGAATGGAGTAAACAAAACAAAGGCACGTATCGTGCTGCGAATGTACTCATGTTGAATATGGAAACCACCGATCGACAACTAGATAGATAACATTTCACTATTGTCTGATCTATCGTATCCAGTAAGACATCAACTAGCCTCAAAACAAAGTCTGAATCGACATGGCGAAGTTTCCTTTTTCTTCTGATTGATAAACAAGAAAGAAACAATTCCATTATAGACTTCTTCAGATGAATAAATCAATAACATATACACAGACATATTGGCCTAATCTAGAGAAAAAGTCTGTCAATATACAGAATATCGATCTGTATACGAATCGAGTGTATTTTCTTTGTGTTGTTGTTGTTGATGATGATGATGGTTTCAGTGCATACTCTTAGTTTTTCTTCTTTTTGTATATTTATACTTGTCACTCGTGTTCGAAGTATGAGAAAGACTTCTTGATGGATTCATCAAACAATTTCGTCGAACGAAGTCATATCTTCGGCGATTTACATGGAAAACTCAATGAATGTCAACTTGTTACCCTACATAAGAGAAATGAGAATGCTATTTTTTGATTTTCTTTCTTGTTCTTCGATGATTGTTTAGCTCGTTGTAGAATAAACATATCTTGGCACGCAGATAGCTGCCGAACGAACGTATCCTAACGATTCATTAGGTTAGTAACATCGATGTATACGAGGAATGTTTGTTCTGTTGATATAACGAGATGAAGAGTATACGGAGAGAAATAGAAATCGCATCCCGAATTGACAACACATCGGCTGTCTGTCCCACCCCTCCGTTACTCGGCCGATGAAACAGAAAGAGGAGAGAGAGAGAGAAAAGGATAGATCGTCATCATTATTATCAGCATCACAAATCAGTAGCAATAACGTCCTTATTTAGCCCTGTAATAACAACTGTAAACTGAAAAGCAGCAGACGAAGAAGAAAACCGAGAAGAGAGAGAGAGAGAAAAAAGAAAGGTTTTTCCGTATGTATAGAAACCGGCAACGACGGATAACAGCCATATCACCAAGGTTAATTGAAGAAGATGCATATCCATATTCGCGTTTTTTCCGTCTCTCTATTTCTTTTTGATCTCGACCATCGCATATGTACAAAGCAATAAACGATAGAAGATAATCTTATTGCGTTACTTACACGAAGGATGTTGCATACACTAAACTATAATTTGGTCTATTCAAGTCAATACATGAATAGAGTTTTTCCATGATCCATCACTGCATAGAAGATCTGTCTTATGTCTCTTTAGGGTGTGCTAAGTCTCTATTCTAATTGACTTATTAGGAAAACGAAAATGGCTTTGTTCTAGATCTTTTTTTTTAACTACTTTTTCATTTTAAATATCTGAACAATGCCTCAATGGGGTGGTGGTGGTGAAAAATGCCCACGGTGCCAAAAGACTGTCTATCCAGCCGAACAACTTCTTGCCTGTAGTTCGACATGGCACAAGGCTTGCTTCAAATGCAAAACATGTAAGTGCCATTTATTCCTCTCAACAAATCGATTGCTTAACAATTCGAATTCATTCCAGGCAACAGTACATTGACTTTGGCTTCATACAAAGACTTCTCTCAAGATGTCTATTGCAAAAGTAAGTCAAACTAAATCAAATTCAATCGATATCCATTCACTGTATCGTTCGCTTAGATTGTTATCAGGACAAACTTCACCCTCATGAACGTAATCGTAAACAATTAGAAAATAAATTTAGTAAACAACCTGGAGGTGGTGCTAGCTCATCATCAGCAGGCGCTGAAGGTGGTGAAGAAGCCTAAATGCACAAAGAGAATTGAAGATGACCAACCAAAAACATACATATACATGCAGTTTAGAGAACAATTTTACAAAATTTTCAAATCAAATCCTATTGATTCTAATATTTGAACATATATCAGTCTAAATCATACATTTTTATTCAGTTTTCTTTTTTTCTATTCGTCTTCTTTGGTCAGGAACAGTTTCAATCTGTCAATAGCTGCGTTTGAGCGTGTTTATACCTATCCTTAACTATATTATTTACCTGATTTTTCTCTCTCATGAATTTTTTCTTCTACAAAAGAAACTCTCATACATATTCATAAAAAACCGTCTTATTTCCCTACGAAATAATCACGATAGTCCATTGTATCTCATTCAAATGAGTGTTAATCTGACGAATTAACCATCGGCATTTCTAGTACATATAAAAAAAGGATAAATAATATTAAAAAAGCGATGATTTACAAAGATGGCCATATCGTTTATCATCATGTCTACGAATTCATTTATCAACTTTATTAAGATGATAACTCTGACAATATATTATATTACTACTAGGAAAGAGAAAACTTCGTATCCTTCAACGCCCGTTTAGAAATCGACATGTTGCATTCTGTTCGAGTTTTCATCATGAAATAATAATAGAAAATTGTTTTGGAGTATTCCATGACATTCTCGACATCAATAGAAAGCTCCGCATTGGTAAATGTTGATGCGATCGATTATTGATTGACTAGAAGATAATGGTAAATGGTTATTCAATAGTAGCAATTGTTTATCCCAGCGATTTTTATGACAAACAAAGAGAAATTGGTTCTTTTGAAACTACAATCGCATATGTTACACTGAATATTATATTTTCTCTCTGAGCAATTATAGTATATCATTTGGATGCTTTGTTCTCAGAGGTACATGTCTGTTAGATCACCAAACAACTGTGATAACAAGTCGAAGAACATGTCTTGTGAATTTGTTGCTCCCGTAGAAGTCGATTGGTTAGAAGAAAAGATTATTATGTTTCGCTCAAGGTGTGTAGATGTTTTCGTATGTAAATACACGCATAGAAAGTGGAGAAAAGAGTGCACGTCATTGTGATTCATGGCAATTAACGATTCAATCGATTTCTAATTTGAAATAAATGTTATCATACCAATATAACTCAAATGTCCGTCATGTTCTTATGAAATGCATCAATAATATAAGCGGCACTTAGAGGTCTACAATGAATTAATCATCAAAACGTTGTATTCGACATAAAAAATATGTTGTTTACCAGCAATTCAATACCTCTTGAGAAGAAAAAGTAGTTGTATAAAGGTGATAGAGCATCAAAAGCTATTCTTTCGAAATATTTCGTTCTTGATTGACATTCATCGAAAAATATGCATATTATAACATCAAAGCCAAAAAGAAAGATACATAAAAAATTAACTAAATACAATAACAGAAAAAAACACATTCTCAGTTTGTACAACAGTGTCAAAGTCGAACAAGGCCTGGTATCGATCGAGGAAGAATCCAATCTTTTGTTTGATAACATCTTCGTACTATTCTGATTTAGTCCTACAATCTGATCGAAAGAAATACAGATTTTTTCTCTCTCCAAGAATTCCCCTTCGATAAACGCCGTGCCATTTGATCTGTTTGACATCAAAATACGATGATTCGTATTAATCTTTTAGTTCTTCGAATGATGGCCAGTTCGTGTTTGTATCACTACCGAAATGGGAATTCCACCATTGAATGTCCTTATCCGCATCATGAGTATTCAATGACTGCGTAAATGCCTCAGTCATCTTACCCAAATGAGGGTCTTTATCGATCACCAGCGCTTGGTGAAAAGCTGTAAATAGGAGTTTGAATTGGGCCAGACGTTTGCGTTCGAATGAATGTGTACGATCGAGAACTTCTTTCATTGAGTTTTCATAATTGGCCCGGCTACTTTTCATCTCTTCGATGTATTGAAGATATTTGCTTTTCAGCGCTTCACATTGTTTTTTATAGGTGCTAACACTTAGTTGCACTTTGGTTTTTTGTTCTTCTTCAGCACCACGATCAGATTCGATGATTTTTTCGGCTGTTTCAGCTTTTTTGAATTGACGTTGAGCATCTTGATAATCTTTCTTTGCTCGATTAATTTTGTCAAGTAACTTCAGCCAAGGCTTTTGTGCTTGTTCAAAGTCGCGTTCGAATTCTTTGATTTTCTTCACATGTAGAATTGATTTGCCATAGTTGTCTTTCTTATAAGTTGCCATTTTCTCTACAACAGTGTCTTGAAGACGTTGGGCGATGTCCATATGAGTATTGCCGATTTCTTTGGAAGCTCGAATCAATTCCACCCAAACTTTCTTATTAACTCCGAATTCTTTCGATTGACTGATTTGTTTGATACTTAATGCAGCCCATTTCTCTAAGTCGGCTGCATACTCTCGTTCGAGACGAGCGCGGTCTGCGAAGATGTCGATAAACATATCACATGATTCATAGCCACCTTTGCAACGATCAAGTGCTGCTCTGTATTGGTGTGGTTCGCAAAAACCTTTGTCAAACCAAGGATTGGATAAAGCTCGTTCAGGTGTGGTCTGTCCTTGTGGTAGTATACACTGCACTGAAAAGATAATCACATATCGATCCACTGAAAGATGAGTACACACGACGAAAACTTACTATTGATTGAGATACGATTGGAATAAGTTGAAGAGATCGAGAGTGTTCTTGTGATAGAAATCGATAACAGACAGTGCCTTAGAGGTCACGAATAAGCGAGTTCATATTGTTGAAAAATAAATTGTCACGATCGCTTGTTCTATTATGTATAATGTCTTGAGAATGAGTGTATATATATATATACAAGCGAAGAACTGTGCCTTTTTGTTCTGCCCTTTCTTTTTTTTTCGTTCTTTGTCTATTCGTCATAATATGCGAGTTAAGAGGAGTAGGAGGTAAAAGAAAACATTTTTAGATGTCTTCTCGTGCAGCTCGTGATAGTTTTTTCGCGCTTCGTTTTCGGTGTTCCTCAAAAAAAAAGAATTAGTCGTGTAATAGTGGAGGCTATGCATAACTATCGGTCACATATGTTGATAATGAGGACTATAAATTTCTTTTTTCCTCCAGGCTATAGTATTTTTCACTCGATCGACATGCCGTACTAACTTCTTAGGAACCTTTTCTTTTCTTTTCTTATTCGTCTTGATGACAGTGCTTAGGTATGATTCACGCTCATTTATTATCAATGACGCATTGGCTTGCAAGCTGATTCGATAGCTTTTTGAAGGTTTATGCTTTGTTTCAATAAAACCTTGTTTCTGCTCTCATGAAGATTGACGTCGTCTGATTTTTATTTGAATTCTCTTTTTTCCACGATTTTTTGTCAAGATATTGTCCAATCGGCGTCTGTTGACAGAAACAAAACTCCACATTCGATCAATAAATATCCTCCGAATCATAAAAATAATAAAACATTACGCCTCGTTGACTGTCAACAAAGTGAAGGTGTAAAAGATGTCGAAGAAAGTACGAACGAAACCAACAACCAACCTTGATTTCTTTTAATGAATTTTAATCGACTTCTTTCCGTACACAAATATGTTGTGATTATGCATAAAGTCATTTCGTATCTCCGTAACTAACCAACACAGCGAAATTTCAATGTCATTAAAACTGATGACGTAGAATTATTTTTGTCGTTTTTCAGCATAAATGAAAAAGTGATTACGGTTTGTAAGAAGACGAAAGTTATGTCGATTGGACGTTAGGAAATTAATTAGAAAATTGCCTAAGTGGCCAAAATGACGTGTGAAATGATTCATGCTTGATGGTAATTCGAACCGTTGAGATAATCGGATCGTTGTATAACCTTCACAGCATAGATAAAAACAGTTTAAAAAATGGAGATCTGATTCTTTGCCTTTCCCCCCTTCAGTATGGTTTACTCGAGAGATCGAATGGATGAATCATATAGTAGGGCATTTGCCATAAGAATCAAAAGCCAGCGCAAAGAATTATTGATAAAGTATTCATCTTTCTGCAAATATTTGACATTTTCACTGATTATTCATAGAATTTCAAATCAGAATTCATTTCCAGCACTTTCGACTTGTTTTCTTTCTGACGAACTTTTATTATTCATATGGGGAATGGGAAACTGAACATGAATAATCAACTTAAATAAAATTTCATTGAAACGAAAATCAATGATTAACATGCACCATTGCCAAAGACGATACGAACCTTTAAGCCATTTGACCATGTTGAAAACATGTATTATCAATTCTTTGCTAATCTCCGCTAGACATATGAATAACGACTGTGCTCGTAAATGTGACTATTTGCCAGTCTGTGAATAAAAATATTCGAATTTATCTATATGCGTCACATCTGACAGTTATTATTTCTTTCCAAAGTCATTCATATCTTTTTGTGCTTCGATTCTCGAGAGAAACATCCTGAACGCTTTTCTATTGTCAATCCTTGATAAAGTATTTCTGTTTTCTACCTAAATATACCAATTGATATGTAATATCTGTTCTAATGATGTGTCGGTTGTGATAAACTATTCTGTCTTCTAATTGTATTTGTTTATCGTCACTGATAGTATGTCATTGAAATAACACATTCATTCATGACGCCATCCGACATGACTAATTGTACGGGAAATATGTATTCGTAAACGATTCAATTGAATAGAATTGAACACAAAATTGAAGTTAACTGGGAGAATCGAAACCCTTGAGTTTAAAAGCACGTCAATTTTTATTTGTTGTTCATATTTTCTTTTTCAAGTATATTTCAATATACCTTTTATGCATACAATCTTCGAAGGATTACATCCTCGTCTTTCTTCTATTCAATTTTCTATTCAGGCATTTTATCCTTGTATAGATGTGAACCTTAAGATCAATATTTGATAAATACTTTCTAGTGCAATTATATACATAGATTGATTATAATGTTTAAAATATAAGACTGGCTGCACGATTAAACTCTTTTCCCCCTTGTATATCAAGGCAAAAAGCGATTCATCAGTTTGTTGATCTTGGCGAGCGCGATTATTCATCTTCAATTGAAGACTTCTTATTGAAACTTTTCGCCACGAGTTATCGAACAAATCAATTGCGAATTATGGTGAGAGATTAACCTTCGCGTCCAAAACGCTGTTGTACCGTCAATTCATCTGATGTTATGTTCATTATTGTCAGAAGAGAAGTTTGAGTACCAATTGAAAATTTTCATCCTGACGCAATAAATTTCGAAGTAGATAAGCATTGTTTTTTCTTCTCATGTCGACTGATTATCAAGACAAAAAAAAAAGAGACAGCAGAGAGAAGAAAAGCGTAGACAAACAAAAGAGTGATGCTTAAAGCTGACGTATTAACGATCGTTTGACAGCAGCTGCTTCCTAATTTTGATTTCTTTTCATCAGATGGACATTCATAGATCAAAGACAATGGCACAGAGGCGGAACAACGTCTCAGCCAAACAATCAAAAATCAATCTGACCCACAGATTCGGTATTTAGTCGAGTTTTCGAGACAACTTATCCATTGACTTTCTTGACCTTGGTTTCATTCGATAGCAGCAATGATCATATACGCATAAAATTATATTAGAGAGACGCGCTTGAGGTTAGTAAACAACGATGTGTTAGTTTTTCTCTTTCCTCAGCAAATCATATTTGAGCAGACTAAATTTCCTCTCTTGAGACATGAAATGTCATTGAAAACATGCAATAGATCTATTTTTTATAAGTCAATACACATGCAAGATCATCGTCAAATAATGAATTTCTACTTATTGATTCACTTCTGACATTTATTTGAAAGTCTACGAAATCTTAAAGATGATCGGTTCGATTCTTTGTCTTCAGTGCTGGAAGTTATTCGTTTTGACACAGATATGAACTGCTTGGTGTTTTAAAACAGCAATGAAATGAAAAAAAGCATAATTTATCGATTCATTGTGCGTGTCACGTCAGCATCATTATTTCTTCTCGATGTGTAAGGCGATCTGATGCACGATAGACGATAAAAATTATCAAGGATATTACAATAGAAAGAACAAGCAAAAAAATCAATTCTCTTGTAGTTGTAAGATATCAAAAGTGACGACGGCAGCAACGTCTTATTATTTATATGCGAAACGAGCAGAGAAAAAAACCGCAGTACGGGTTTTACACCGTATGCACATAATAGTGTCTCGATTTTCTTTTTCATTCGTTATGTGTAAGGTTTACTATGCATTGACTAATGTCAAAACGAAAAGAGAATGAAAGAGAGGACAAAGAATAAGAGAAAGAGAGAGAGAGGGAGAGAGAGCGGATGGGAGAGTACTCAGACGGTATAGGAAAAAACGAAAAGTTCTCGACAAGCGATTACAAAGATTCTCCAGATTGGCAAGTACACGTGTGCATAGTCGACTCTTCAACATATTAAGTGAAACTGTAAAGTAATCCGGTTCATTCGTCACGGAGATTCCAATGGTAACCACAAACAGGTAAAGCCATGTTTCATATCTCGAATGATCGCGTCATTAAATTTCATCATCAGTACGCAACATAATTATCAACCGTTCGATCACAGTTTGATCGTCATCAACAAAATATGACTAGCATACGTCAGCTATAGTAGTCTAGAACCTCCTTGTGCCATTTAGCGTACATATATACAATGGGACAAAAGACGCGACAATGATGCCAAATACAAAAAATTGATTTCTGTTCTATGACCATGATTAATGGGTAAACGAAAAAGAAAGAACAATTCGAAGTTAGAGCATTTGTCAATGAGAAAAAGAGAAGTAGTATCGCATGTTCATTTAAGTAGTAAATTAGGGACGCACTATTACTTAGAACAAATTGAAGTGGAAAGTGAAAAAAGAAAAAAATGTACACGCGTTTGATGTCCTCTAGAATAGTGGGAGAAATAGTTCTCGTATCGATACACTCTGGTAGGGTATCTTATGCATTTGTTCTTTATTTTTGAAAGGCTTCTTCTTCTTTTATTTCTCACGCTTTCCATCGGATGACGAAATCAGTTCATTGACCAAGACAGTCACCTTGCTTCCTTGTTATTGTTGGCCATCATCGTCTCTTTTATAATGTTAATGAGAGTGTGTGTGCACGTACGTCTGTAGATTGTCTCAAACAATTTATCTCAAATATTAGTTTTAATAAAGAAAGAGGAGACGATTGTGTAGCCTTAGTACAAGAGGATATGTTGTAGTAAATAAAAAAAAAGAAAGAAAGAATAATGATAGATACATATGCGTATATGTACAATAATACTTGCATCATTCTCATTAGATATAAACAGGATCAAATCACATAGTGCTTTTCGGCTTAGTCTACCTCGAAGCGAAACGAAAGAACAATCTCTCGCTCTCCCTCGTTATGCCCTACAGACAGCAAATCAAATCTGAAGTGTATCTTTCTCTTCCCTTTTTTTCTCTCCTTTTTATCTGTTCGCTAATGATTGACATTCATTCAGTTGGTTTAGTTCTACTTTTCGATGATCTATTATCATTATTCGGCAATTCTTATTATCATTACTGTTCTCGTCATTCATTTGGCATTTGCTTGGTCACCATCATCGCCATCATCACTGAAAGATAAATTACGATCGAAAAAGAATGACAGCTCATCACACATTCACGATCGGGCATCCGCTCAAAAAACGAAATTACGAAATCTTACAACATTGATTCATAATCGTTTCAAACCATCTGTTGACGAGAACGATATACCCACAGATGAATATGAAAACGAAGACCATCATGCACATGATTCTTCTTCTTCTTCGAGAAGCGATACAACAGCAAATGTTGTAGTTTTGACATCTCTCTCAGGTGTTTATCTTTGGTGGCCAATTCTATTTGGTGGTGATGATTCATTTCATCTTTTACTCTCTCAAGAAGATGTGCCGCGGTTTCACGATGTGACTGGTGACGAACATGGTCATATTTATCTGACCGCACCACACGAACGCACTGTTTATCGTTTGCAATATTCTGATGGATGGTGGATCTCGAATTTTTCGAATCATTCATTGATGAATTCAATTCGTAGTGAAATGCCGTTATTTGTTAACATTCATCATGTTTCATCAATACTCTATGTATACGGTCATTCAGATATTCAAACAATTGACTTATTAGAACGACCACGCGCACGCGGTTCAGCTCCATTTATGAATCGTTTACGTGAACTAAGTCCAAATCTACGTATTAGCGATTTAATTATCGATCAATTGACATCCGAGGGTTATATAATTGGCGATTCTTACGGTTGGTGTACAGTCATACGTTGTTCTTTAAGTGTCAATAAATGTGATTTTCTATTCAAAATACCTTCGTCATACGATAACCGACCATATCCATGTACAGCAACAATTGATTTCTCAACGAAAATCATCTATTTGAGTTTAGAAGAAAAGATTCTCGCCGTTCATTTGAACGAACAAACCAACTTCGATCGACGATATACTCTAACAGAAAAACGTGGACCACGGTCAACACTAGGTTACGATGATATCATCACACATAACAATACAATTCTTTACACTGATGTTCTTCGTCCACTCTTACATATTTGTACATCAGTAAATTTCAATCCGTGCTTAAATATCTCGTTAACATTTCCTTCACCACAACGAACAATACTACCACTTCGTTTGAGTGTTATTCAAGCACCTAATTTTCGTCCACCTATGTTCGATGAGGAGGGCGATGAAACTGAGATTCATTCGAATCACTCTGATCTCGAACCATCCGCATTACATGCGCAAAATAAAACATCCGATTTACAATCTTTAATTGCCGACAAAGACACGAGCAAATCGACAAAAACAAATCTAAGCAGTATCTGGATGCTTCTTCTCGGTATTTGTATTGGTTTACTTGTTGCTGGTCTGTCATTTCTGATCTATTATGTAACGTGGAATAAAAATCGGCCGCGAGTCAAACAAGCAATGTCATCAACAAAAATAATTTCGTCATCATCAATGAAAGGAATTATACCTGCTGATAGTCCACCACTTGTAAATACTCGAAGAAAGCGAAACGGAACGAAAAGTAAAAGCTCGACGCAGCCATCGACTGATTCAACAACGAATCATTTGATCGAATCCGCGACATATTCAAGTACTACTGGTTCAAGTGAATGGACAACAGTTACAACTAGTTCATTGAGTTATCAACCACATATTATTCTTTAAAAGTTCACTGTTGATTATTATTTTTTTATTATTTTCATTCAGTTTCTATTCTTGATGATGTTCGTCTTTTCCTTTTTCTTTATGTTGAATTATTTTTATTCTCTAGTGGAAAAAAACGTTGTTTTATATACATATATGTTTGATTGAAGTACACCCTATGAAATGAAGTGAAAAATAACAAACTTATCACATGAATGGAAGTCAAAAAGGAAAACCTTGAATTCATGGATGAAAACTTGTCGTCATTCTCGTCTTAAATTCTTTTTTAATCATATCGTTGATTGAATGTCGACGGCGGAGGTTTATAACACGATCCAACTGTTAATTTAAATATCAAACAGATAGTACCGAGAAGAACGAAACCAATGAAGATGAAAATTGACCAATCGGGTGAATCTGTCATCTGAAGATAAACTTGTTTGGTATTTTATTCTGGAAGAAAAATCTATTTTCAAGAACACAACCCCTATCAAAATAAGAAAATCATTCCTGTCTACAGGTTAGCACAAATGTCAATAAAAAATGATCAATTTTGAGATTAACAAAGAAAGTTTACAGAAAAACATGGCGTTCTATGCAGTTGATTTCAATGCATGCGATACTTTGTAGACTTCATTGAAATTTAAGCGGAAGCTTAACGAACGTAAAGTTATATCAGGATGAGACTTTAATTGTTGAAGAAATTTCAATACAGCATCCTAGAAAAACATCGAATAAAAGAATCAAGTTTGAGTGATCTCCTTCTCACATACTCGAAATGCTTTTTTAACGATTAAGAAATCGCTTTTGATCTTTTTCAACTGTGGTTTGAATACCGTATGAAATCTTTGAACTTCCGCATCCTAAACAACCGCAAGTTTTCTGTGTCGAAAAATTCTAGCAAGTTCATTCCCTACCGAGTCATTATTTTTCGTAAAAGTTCCATGACGTTGTTGCTGTTGATACGGTTTTCGTGCTGCGAGTTCCGTCTCAACACATTGAATCAAACGCTGGATAATCGCACCAAAATTCAATATTAAATCAAATATACAGCGCAATTGTTTGGCTAATTCTTGGCTCGTTTCATGACCATCGAGATGAAGACGCGTTAAGATTTTCAATAATGAATCATCGTGCGCTTCCAGAATTTGTTCTAAATCTTTCGCTTCCATCAATTTACTCAATAAATCACTCCATGAGCATTCGAGAACTTCGAACATGATATAATAGTTCACACTTTGCACGAACTTCGTCATTTCATTTGACATGACAAAGCATGAATGAGTCATATCGGATATTTCTAAAAAAGAAGGTTCGACTTTTTTGAGAAACAAATCATATTTTTACCCGGAATCGCAGCAAATTGTCTCGATGATTTAATCAGTTGTTTCCATACGCCACATGTTGTATACTCCATGCGTTTGACACGCCATAGATGATTGAATATTCTCATATATCGTAATGAATTTTCCTCGGTAAAAATTGTTCGCAATGGTCCATCGAATTTGTAATCAAGACAACAAACATCCCAACCGAGTTCGGATGGTGAAACGTACATCAAACGTAAATCCAGACGTTTGATAATGTCTTCGCTTTCATATTGAGCATTGGTTACACGAATTGCTGCATCCATTAAGGATTGAAGATTATGGTAGAAAACTTGATTGGCAGCTTTGTTTAATTCATTTTCCATTAAATCCATTAAGTATTTGATGAAGTCACCTTGACCTAATAATAAATAACGTTTTATTGCTTTGAAATGGTCCATCATTTGATATTTGTCATCGAGAATTGAACGAAGATACCGTGTCGTATCATTATAAACGGAAACGATCATATCCTGAAACTCCGTTGACCGTTGTTGTTGAAACAAACTTTGAGCTGAATTTAAAAAAGGCAACAATTCCTTATAAGTCACTCTATTCTTCACTTACACGGCGCAGGTGTCTTCAATATCTGTAACATTGTTCGGTCTTTACACACAACACGTAAGAAATTGATCGATTTTCCCGTAATCCAAATTTTCTTTGCTTGTTCCATGGAAATAAACGATGGAATCATCGGTACGCGCAACGTATACTTATCATACCATAACTTCTCTTCACTAACCATTTTATCAGTTGAAACGAAAAATTCCTGATAAGGATCATTGATAATTCCATTGCAAATCCATTCGACAATCATATCTCGTATTGGTATTGTACAATTGTAAAGCAATGGATAAAGTATTGATTGTTGCAATGTATCGCCATGTTGACTATGCATGTAGAGTACCGACAGAAGTTGTCCACCTTTTTTACCTGAAATTCAAAAGTACAACTGCATGTTTTGTACTCAGAGACAACACCAACCTTGACATGTATCAGCAACAGCGGCAAGACATTTTAAACGTTGCATCGGCGTGCACATCCACACATGGAGTTTCTTCAATGATACCATACCAGGTGTATTGGCCTAAAATTCAAGAAATAGTTTATTGATTCGTGACAGATGTGTTTTACTTGTTGTTCAATAACAGAGATCAGTCGGTGGTATTCTCGTAGTTCGCTCGAGAGATTTGCAACGAAAGCTTGAGCAACAAGGCTTGTTGTTGGTGTATTAATAATCTTTCGAATTTTTTCATACAACCATCCACATTCGAGAAAACGGGCGATTAATGAACGTGTACAACGATCGATATTTGTATCATTGGCTGACAAACGCGGTGTTTCGATGCCTTGCATACCGAATAAAAGTTCGCGTAAAATCTTCGCTTCGTCACTATCTCGTTTGGCACCGGAAAGTGTGTCGATTTCATTGTTTGTATGATTCATTGTTAATTGATGCTGATTGGTAGCTGAAAGAGCAGTTTCATCACCGTTTGAATATTGAAGAAGTTTTTGTAATGATGTCGATGATTTTATGTGCGAAGAATTATGAGATAAGCCATTCTCTTTACCATTGAATGATTCGTGTCGAGTTGAAAGAAGTGAAAATGATGGAATGTCAAAGCTACTAGCTGACGAGGTTGGAAGTGGACGACTTATCGAGTCATGAGAACGCTCTGTCGAGGCTGTATCAGCCAGTGCATAGAGAAATTGAAGTGTTTCCAATCGGACTTTTAAAACTTTCTAAATAGATGAAAAATCGGATGTATTCAGTTGAACAATCGGCAAGTATCAACAAAAATCAGAAATGAATCACTTTTCCTCCTCGCTTATTCAATCAGATCTCTTGAGAGTATGTTTCCTATTTAGAATAGGAATGTATTTTAAAATATGAGAAGCGTATTCCACATGGAAATTAATAAAATCCAATATTTCGTTTTCAGAAACTTACAAGTTTATTTAATCGAGCATAGACTTGCCCGAAACGAAGCATTTCTTGATTTCGTCCATATTTTTGAACTATATCACATAACAAACAAATGCAATAAAGACTCTTAAAACAAGTTCTATTTACAGTGCTTCCAAATCTTGTCAAGCAACCGTATATCGTCTTGGTAAGTATTTCCATGTTGTCTAGAACAAATCCTCTCGATAATTCGATAATCCTAGGATCTGCGTACTTACGAATGTAGTAAATGTGAAACTGTATTTACAGTTCTGTCCAAAGCATCTATAGAAGTCGCAAAAAGAATGAAATACATTGGTCATTCCAGAATAATACCTGGTTTATTATCACAATAACAGAGACATAAATTTTTGATTAATGCTAGTTGTGAACCGGCCATAGTTGGTGGATGAAGAAGAAGTATTCTACGCCTACACAACACTACCCTGAATAGGATACTTGACAAACACTCAATGACTCATCAAATCAAATATGATTAGTCATCGATATCTGCTGAAAGAATTTAATAATTTGCCGTTATTTTTCTTGTTTATCCATCGATTTTGCTGATGAATATTTCTATTGAAAAGCCATCTATCGGTTGGAATTGTTTTGATTGGTTACGAGTCATCATGACTCATTGTTGATTGTTTGATGACGATCGAGCAACTTCTTCTTTTCTCTTACTCTTCTGTCTAGAAGAAAGAAGTATGTCAGATTTGACTTTGTTCATAAAACATCGAACTGCTTCGTTTTACTGTTTCTTCCTAGAGTGATATTTCGAAAACTATGGCTACGAATCCAAATCAATTTCTTACGGTTCCATCGAAGAAAGCGTTTGATGTCAATGTTTCAACGCCAATCAAGAATTTTATTAAAACAATGGTTGGTGATAAAGAAGACTATTCAGCTTCTGTTGATGGTCTGAATTCTCTTCGTGCTGAAGCATTACTTCGCAGTAACTACAAAGACGATTGCTCTAAACTACTTCGGTAATGTTCCCGTTGACCCTATTCTTCTCAACTGAATATTGATTTTTATAGATATTATGATCAAATATGTGCGATCGAACACAAACTACCAATAACGGAAAACCAAATTCGAATTTATTTCAAATGGCAAGATGGATTTGTTAGTGGTGGAAGTTTATTTGGTAGTAAACAAAAAACGAATGGCTCATGGAAATTAGCCTACGAAAAAGCGTGTGTTCTGTTCAACATTGGACATGCTTATAGCGAGTTAGCTTTGGCACAAAATCTCTCGATTGATGATCAGATGAAAACGGCATTGAGATATTTTCAATTAGCATCAGGCGTTTTTTCGTTCCTGAAAGATTATGTTAATGCTAATTCATTATCGGATCTCTCTGTTGATTTTGAACCAGCGGTCTTAGCAAGTATGTCATGGTTGATGTTAGCTCAAGCTGCTGAACTTATCTATTTGAAATCAGCGAGTTTGAAAGGTAGACAAATCGATTGTTTGTGTCAGTTCTGTTGATGTGCATTGAATTTAGATGATATTGCTGCGAAAGTTGCAGCACATGCTGCAGATTGTTATAAGGAAGCGTATACATCGTCAAAAACCGAAAGTGCAAAGAAAATCATTCCAGAGGTAAGTGATTCTTCAGCAAACTATCATGTAGAAAATCAGATTCAATATTCTAAATGTGTAGCAATGGAAACGTCATGTTCTTTTTCCGTTCTGTGCGTCAGTATAACCGTGATGTTTTTCTTTTCTTGAGAAAATAAGTAATTACCGTCCTCTGACAAGCAATTTTGTATGTCGAACACTTGTGAAATCAACAGTTTCTCTCATTTAGAATTATATCAATATTATGTTTGTTAAACACTTGTTATTTCAATCGAAAACTGAATATCATGCTGGTAATCAAGCTCAGGCTGATCGAAAATACGGTCTCAAGGTTGCACGTTACGAAGTAAGTTCAATAGGAATATGTGGAAGCGAGTGAATATTGATTTGGGTTTTAGCATGCTAAAGACTTTGCTGATCAAGCTGTGAGTAAATGTACAATAGCTGCCTTCACACCAGCACTGCGTGCAAATCAAGATGAAGTTAACAAAGCTTTGACTGCTGCAAAGAAGGATAATGATTTCGTTTACCACGAACGTGTACCGGATGTGAAAACACTCGAAGTGATTATAGCACAGCCAATTGCAAAACCATTACCAGTTACATTTCCGATTACACCGGATTTTAGAGGTAAAACTTTTGTCAAATAAAACGATTACGGTTGTGAGAGGAGAGTATTTTTCTAGATCTGTTTGCATCGCTTGTTCCAATTGCATTGAATAACGCATTGGCAGCATTTAGTTCGAAACGAGCAGAAATTATGAACATTGAAATTAATCGTCTTCGTGAAGCAACGAACGTCTTAAATTCGTATGTGAAATGTCGAGTGATGTACTGATAAGTTATGAATAATTATCTCATCTTTTAGACTTTTGGCATCGCTTAATTTACCTGCTGCTATCGAAGATAGAGGTGGTCGTGATATTCCTCCATCAGTTGCCGAAAAATCGAACGAAATCAAACGACAAGGTGGTATTAATACTTTAGACAAGATGATCAATGATTTACCTGAATCATTACAACGAAACAAGGAAATTCTTGATGAAGTAAGATCTCCTTCGTTTCTTGTTTTGTTATCTTATTGCCATTTTTCTTCTTAAGGCAAATCGTATGCTCGATGACGAAGAACGTGGTGATACTGAACTACGAAATCAATTTAAAGAGCGTTGGACACGTACAATTTCATCGACTTTGACTGTTCCATTACGTGAAGAGGCAAAGAAATACATGGATATTATTCAAAATGCCATCAATGCAGATCGAGTTGTCCAAGAAAAATATCGTATGAATCGAGATTGTATTGTTTTACTTAGTAAACAAACGGTAAGTACAAGTCTTTCCCAATATGAAATTCAATTGAAACAACAATGTCGGTTCATTTCAGCATGAACTTGCCGGTGAACTTCCATCAGCAACGGCTGCTGGTGCATTACGTGATTCATTCAGTGTACGCGAATTACAGCGTTTAATGGAAACTGTAGCAGCTATCAAAGCTGAGCGTGAAGTGATGGAATCCGAATTGAAAAATACAGATTCTGATGGCGTCCGTGCACGTTTGGTTGCAGCATTTCATCAAGGCTCGCACAACGATGAAAACAGTATTGTTGTACATGAAATCGAATCGATCTATACGCCATTGCGTCAACAAATAACGGAAAGTGTTTCGAAACAAGAGCAATTAGTTGAAAATATTCGTCGTGCGCATCAACAATTTCAAAATGAAAAACAAGGAAACGAATCATCAGCCATACGCGAAGAAATGCTAAAGAATCTCGCACGAGCATATGATGCTTTTCAAGAATTATTGAGTAACTTGAGAGAAGGAACCAAAGTAAGCAAGATATTGTTGATATTTCGTATTCTTACTTGAGAATCCTTTCTATTTAGTTCTATAATGATCTGACACCATTATTGCTTAAATTTCAAAATAAAGTATCTGATTTTGTCTTTGCTCGTAAAACGGAAAAAGAAGATCTGATGAAAGACATACAACGAGGAATTGTTGGAGGAAACCAACCGACGACAACAGCATCGACACAACAAGCTGGTACGAAATATTCGTTACTTTGAATAATACGTGTAAATCCACTCTTCTCTCTCTCTCCTACAGGAGCTAATCCATACGCAGCTAGTGCTGCTCCACCTTACCCGCAATCCCAACAGCCATCGGCTCCACCAACTGGTGGTCCACCACCAACGACAACACCTGGTAAGACGACAAAACGGAGAAATGAATCAGTGAACATTTTCTGCTGTTTTAGATGGTTCTTCATTACCATACCCAGGTGCATACATGCAACCATTCTTTCCCATGCCACCTGGTTACAATCCATATAATCCATTCTTTAACATGAGTAAGCGGTGATGAAAAACAAATGATTTTTCTACTTGTTTTGTATTGTTTCAGCGGCGCCAGCCTATCCAATGGCGGGAGCTACTCAATATCCACAACAAGGTGATAAGTTAATTTTGTGAAATAGTACCAGTAATTAACACATTTCTATGCATTTAGGTTATGGTGTTGAGAAACCTCAATCGGCAGGTGGTAAAAAGAAATAATAGGCTATTGTAGTTTTTAAAACTTTCTTTTCTTTTCCATTTTCTTCAACATTGTCTCCTATGATCGAATGAATTTATTCTTGTCTCATTTGTCCCTTTTATTTTTCACTGCTTACTCGAGCTGCATTTCTTTTTCTCGTCCTTCATCTCCCATACGTTTACTCACATCCGGTGTTGTCAGCTTTCAACAACAAGCCCATCATATTCTTCTGCTTAATATGCGAGTCTGTATTAATCTATCTGCGATCATCAATCTCTATTTTGTCATTTTTTTTCCTTTTTGTTTGTTGTTGTTGTTGTTCATAATCTTTTCTGTATTCACAAAATAAAACATTCTAATAGAGAACACAGCTTACATCAACGCAATGTATGAATCTTTCATTTGGAGTATGAGTGCCGTTGTAAGCGTGAAAAAGATGTTTGTATTCACTTCCTATCACTACCTACCGAGAAAAACTATTCAAGGCACAGGAGAGAAAAAAAATCACGCGTGCTTACCGATAAAGGTTAGAGAAGTACTACTAACGAAAGTATCAGAACTACTTTTACATTGTTTTTTACGATGTCAGGTATAGAAGTTTTTTTATAATTAGTCATTCGGATGTTTGATGAAATTCTCTGTCAGCTACACCTTATACTCGAACGTTAAGGTAGAGATACCATGTTTTGACATGAGGAATTCCCTTATTTTTCACGACATTCCTTTGAAAAGTAATGCGCATGAGTCCGCTAGAACTGAGCGAGTTACATACAATGCAAATTGTTTATTGATAGAATATCTAGATACTTGCGCATGCTATTGAAACTTTCGTTTTTCTTTACACACATGACATGGTCTACTCGAAAACGATGGAGAGAGTAAAAAACTAGAAACAAATACGTCATATATTTTATCGTATAATGCAACGTGGATTTCGTAAGTATGTACGATTATTTATGCAATAATCGCACGTACGAATCGCTGTTTACTCGCAGAAGCGATGAAAACGAGAACGGAAGAGCGAGACGATGTCACCGACAATTGCATTGATTATTTTTGGAGTACGCGCCACAAACAGCGTACATTTTTGATGAAATTGACATGTAGAATTCTGTATGTTTCATGAGAACTCTGGATATTTGTCAAGCCTGTAGGTCCCCCCTCTGAGAGAAGCAATTGACATAATTTTGCACTTCCGTTTCTTCAAAACAGAATGAACATAATCTTACCTCGACATATTACATTAACGCGTCAGAATATTTCGACGAAAAGAAAGAATTTTCGTAAAGTCTTATTTAAATCAACATTTTCATCCTGCGGAAAATTCCAATATAAATTGAGTTTGTTCCAATATACTGCCTTCAAAACTGTTAGAAAATTCTTATCAGGGTTTTTTCCCACTCGTGTACTCGATATAAACTGATGACATTTCTCCTTTTCTATTTCTAGTATCCAATTGTACGCATCTAGTCTACTTTACTTCTCTGTATTATCGAATCCTACAGAATCAGACATGGCAGCTGTTAATCCTGTTCAAACCCAATGGCACACATTTCAATATGACCATCAAGAGTTTAAAATACCTGTTCGATATCAAAATCCAACAAAAATTGGACAAGGTGCTTTTGGTGCTGTTATGTAAGTTGAAATATCTCCTCTAAATTCTCTACGATGATGTTTTCCGTTTAGTCGTTTGACAGATACGGTATGAATAATTATCAATAAGATTATCAATATATATATTATTGTTTAATAAACTAGACAACTGGAAGAACGGTTGCTATCAAAAAGTTGATTAAGCCGTTTCGAGGAGAGCCGGTATATGCATTACGAGCTTATCGGGAACTCATAGTACTCTTGCAATTGAAATATCCTAATGCGCATGTATGTAAACGATGAGTTTCTTTTAACATGGACGTTTTCTTTTTCTTTTACGAACATAGATTGCACAGTTACTCGATGTTTTCACTCCTGATCAAAGCCTACAAGAGTTTCAAACATTGTATGTTTGTTTATTAGAAATCTTGTCGCATCCTAATGAGATTTATTTTTCAGTTATTTGGTAATGAAAGATGCCGGTCTTAGTTTGAGTGATTATATCAAAACACATCAGTTGACTGAAGCAGAAATTAAAAAGATCATTTATTCAATACTTCGTGGTTTGAAAGTAGGAGTTTTCGATGTAATAGAAATGGTTTTGTTTACTATTCTTTGATCGTAGTTAGCGCATTCGGCTCACATTATTCATCGTGTAAGTATACTTTAATTATGTACATATGAAAACGTACGATATATTTCATATGCTTCAAAAAGGATTTAAAGCCATCAAATATTGGAATTGATCCTGAAACGTTGTATATCACGGTAAGGAGAAGAAGTGCAGCTCATTTTTCAGTCCTCACCAATAGTAATGACACTTTTTTTTAATATCATTCGCCTGGTTTTAATCCTTTCTACCGAAATTTTTGGGATTTTCACGATATTTTCTTTGCATATTAAAAAATCAATCTGAGATCTGATCTTTTTCTGTTAGATTCTTGATTTCGGCTTAGCTCGTGTTGCATCTAGTGAAATTCAAACAGGTTACGTTCAAACAAGGTATGCTATTCATCATTTATTTCGCGCAGTAACAAATTCATTTTTGTTAGATGGTGGCGTGCACCAGAAGTATATGCCAACTGGGAGAGATATGATGATAAATTGGATACATGGTCTATCGGATGCATACTGGGAGAATTGATTGTACGTGAGCCGATTGTTCCTGGCAAGGATTATGTTGATCATCTGAAGAAAATATTGAAATTAATCGGTACACCTGATGAGACAACGCTCCGCGAAATTTGTACACCAGGTTTGTAGATATCGCACAGATTAGACTTATATTATGGAATTTCGAATATTGAGTAACATTAGTCAGAGTGAATGACTCTTAGCTAATCGTAGTTTATAAATCTATCGATATAGTAATAGGATTCGAATTATTGAATAGCATCATGGTTACCATTGAAATGTTCTTTAGAGGTAGCAGCGTTTATCTTAAGCTTAACATCGGAGCCTGGCAAAGATTTCAATACCTTGTATGGTTACAAGTATGCTGAAGGAAATCTTCAACCAGTATCAGGTGTTTCACCTCATGGTGTTGATCTCCTTCATAAGCTTCTGTCTTTTGACCACCGTCAGCGTCCAACTGCAGCGGAAGCATTAGGTAAGCTATTTCAATACTTCCATCCAGCGAATGTAGTTCATATCACAAAACATGTGTTTATGTAGCTCACCCATTTTTCGATGGATATCATCTTCCTACAGGTGAACCGACTGCAAATACAATAGTTGACCAACATCAAGATGCAACTTACCCTGTAGACACATGGAAAAGTAAGTGCAACGCTTTCGCCAGCTATAATCACTGCTCGAAGTGATCTCGTTTAGAGATTATTTAACAAAATTCATGTCATTTTAGAAATCATCTGGGAAATAATTCAAAATGCTAAAATCAATACGTAGAGCTCAGCACAGAACTGTAAATGAACTGTCAACAGTGTTGTTCTTTTCTACGTTTATATAATCAAGTCGTTTGTTGTTACATCAATATATGATTGTGACTTAGTCGACTCAGTGATTTTCTATACGTGAACTTTTATGTATTGTGTATAGAATGTTTTATAGTATTTTTGATGAACGATCATATACTAAAATTTCAAACAACAAACCGAAGAGGTCCATAGAAATAAAGTCAAATGGCTGATGTTGATCCAAGAAATGTCTTGCAGGATGTCGGCACGAGTGCCGCATAGACATTCTCTTTCGTTCTTATCCTCAAGATTTTTTTCTAATTATTATATGCTAATTGATACAGAAATCATCTACTGATGACGAAGAACAATTCAGTTTTCTCACTAATGATTCAGTATCTACAATAGGTCTATTGTCAACTATTAAGCCAGGAATTAAATCTCCATTAGCACACAAATCAGTAAATACACGAAAATCGATACGATATCTTGATTGCCACAAGACTGATTAACATCGCAACAGACTGTTTTTCGAAAAGCTATTAGCACGAGCGAACACTAGTAACGCTCTCATTAACATACATCATTAATTACGATGTCGTGGAGAATATTCTGTTAGATAAGATGATTTTCTATTTAATAACAGTGTTATCGATCGTGTATAAGATCGGGTAATACGTAAGACCGATAGTGCGCGACATCGTATTCTGATGTATTCATTTTTTTAAAGGAAAGCGAATTGGCCGGTTCTACGGCTATATCGGGAGTATAAAACCGAACATCAACTACCTTTCTATACGCCAAAACATATTTGTTGCTTTTATTTTTTCTCTTTCTGTGTGTCCTAGATTTGTACTTTGGATTGCTATTCTTCATCCACTATGGTCGACGAATTTTCTACTCGTGTTGCCAAAGAAATCAAAAGTCTTCTGCCTAATACTACTGGTAAAAGTGTATTAGCTGTTGTTAACAACGTTCAAGAGTAAGTTTATCTGTCGACGAAAATATACGCGCACGGTCTCTTCTCTTTAGTCCAAAAGAATCTTATGTAAAATTGTTATCAGATGCGGAGCAATTGATCTTATTCACTGAATCACCGGAGACTTATAAACAATTGGATGAATATGTGAAAAATCTATCGAAATCACCGGTTTTGAACTGTGCAAGTTTCAACAATGCCGAATTGCAAAATAATTTGTCAGTATATCTATGAGATGAAATGGATCAAAGGGTTATCATGGAATGTTCTTTTTTTTCAGATTCGACGTTTGTCTTCTTATCAGATCATTCAATCAACTGAATATTAATGATAAGCAAAAATTGTTGAAAAATCTTTTGTTAACACTCAAAACTGATGGTCAAGTCTTTGTTTTCGAAAGCGAATGGCCAAAAGACAAAGGTTTGATTGGAACTGTTCCTTTCATCTCCTATTTTCGTTTCTGTTAGAAAATCATTCAAGCAATCCAGTTGATCTGATCCATCATTTTCATTCAGCAACAACATCCGATAAAGAACGATATGGTTTCGAATTAGTTTTCGCTCGACCATTACGTAGTTTTGTTGATGTAATTCCAACACTTTCGAATCTCTTCTAAATTAAAAATTCGTATTTTGTTCTTCCAGGAAAAGTACGAATCGTTCCATTTGTGCTATGTTTTCAAGAAAATTGCCAGACAGAATGATCATTCAACATTTCAAGATTTTCTTGATCAACAACAATATTCCACAAATGGTGTCTTACGTTATGAGAAAATATTCGGGCCAGGCTTTGTTTCAACAGGTGGACTAGATACGACAAAGGTACGTTGTATTGACATAGCTGACAAAAACCTCGCCATATCGATTGAAACGAGTCATTATTGATTGTCAATAGGAATTTGTCGAATCGCTTCATCTTAAAAATGATCAACTTGTTTTGGACGTCGGTTGTGGTATCGGTGGAGGTGATATTTACATGGCTAAGGTAAACATTTCTCGAGAATTTATTGAAATCATTTGTTTGTGTGTTCAAAGACATACGGATGTTCGGTAATTGGCGTTGATTTGTCAACGAACATGGTCAGTATCGCCTACGAACGGTTGATGGGTATGACAGCAAGTAAACTCAAAGTACATTTAATCGCTCAACTGTTCGTTGTTGGTTTTGTCATCGCTCAATATGAATTTAGGTGTCTTTTGAAATTGGCGATGTGATGAGTCATGAATTCGAGCCGAACTCGTTCGATGTTATCTACAGTCGTGATACAATTTTACATATTTCCGATAAGATGAGTTTATTCGCTCGTCTCTACGTAAGAGAAACGATTTATTCTAGAAAAAAAACAATATCTTTCTCTTTCGGCTCAATTCAGGGTTGGTTGAAACCCGGTGGTCAATTGTTTATTAGCGATTACACCTGCGCACCAAAAAATGAATGGTCAAAAGAGTATGAAGAATACGTCCTTCAAAGACGGTACACTTTATTAACCGTACCTGAATATGGCAAAGTAAAATTAAGATCGATAAAGTCATCTGACTTCTTAACTGTTGTTTTTATTAGCTCTTGGAAAGTGTTGGTTTCAAAGATGTCGACGCCAAGGATGCAACAGAGAAATTTGTTGAATGTTTAAACGTAGAACTTGAACGCATCGAAGCCAATAAAGAAGACTTCATTCAAGTTGCTTTTCTTTGTTGTCATTTTCGGAAATATTTACAGTTTTTCTTTCAATAGGAATTCTCCAGTGAAGATTATGAACATCTAATCGAAGGTTGGCACGGTAAACTCCAACGATGTGCTAAGGGTGATCAACGCTGGGGAGTCTTTCACGCAAGAAAGTAAAAGATAATCACAAACAAGCAATAAAGAAAAATTTGGATATCAAGATGATAATCATTTAACCAACAAAATTATTTTGTGCTTTTTATTGCTTTCCTAGTTAATATCCTATCTTAATAAAAATTTCACATTTTATCAGACTAAATTCCGTCTTTTTGCTAAAAATGCGTGCAAAAATGTCGAATACCTCCGTATAAGCGGCAAATTTTCAAAGAATGCGCATCTGCCCTAACTGCCCTAGTTCGATTATCGAACGAATTCTTTCATTTGATTGTTATTTTCATTGATTAAAACCGCAATTCAAAGTAACACTGCATCAACTGATCAAAAGCGGTACGAATAATAACAATTATAAATGATGTATACAGTATGACTTTTCATCCTCGTCAATATCACGACGAAATCTATGACGAACATGTTGAGTCTTTCCGAATGATTTAACAATTTTTGACAGTCTACTTTTTTTTGTTCATAGTTCACCTCGTTTGTATTTTTGATTGCAATTCCTCAACGGTTCGATGCACAATCAACTTTCGCTGTTTTCGCTTTGTCTCTCTCTCTCTCTCTCTCTGCAGCAAATCTAAAAGATTCTTCCATTACAAATCAACTTCTCACGAAAAGCAAAAATACAGTTTCTCGTACCGATATTATTGTACACATATACAAATAAGTTAATCGTTTTTTTTTCTTCTTCTTTCGTATCGTTTCATTCAATATCTATCGATCAATATATGCATCGATCAAATCAAAGAAAGAAAGAAAAAAGTCGAAATATCTCTCGTTCGTTGATATTAAGTTTTGCATTGCGGTCATATCATTTATTAGATTTGACCATTTTGTCATTTGGTGTACTTCTGAGAAAATGATCTTCATTCAATTAGTCCCAATTCTCATTCTAATTCGATTATCCTATGCTGATCAATGTCCATCGTCAGATTATTGTACATGTTCACCTGATTTAACGATTATCAAGTGTACAAATCGACGAATAACCAATGAACTACTTTTCAATATCAATAATCAACTACCTAGATCGACAATCCTCTTAAATCTCTCATCGAATATCTTAACATCTGTGGAATTTCTTTTGAATTTGAACCACTTAGAAATACTCGATCTATCATTCAATAAAATCCATTATCTACCATCGGACTTTCCTTCCAGATTCCCTCATTTAACTGCATTATATCTCCAAAATAATTCTTTACGATTAATCCCAAAAACATTTCAAAGTCTGTCGAATGTCAATCTCGATCTTTCAAACAATCCATTTCATTGTACATGTCAATCGAAATGGTATCAAACACATCCTCAATTCAAGCATCTCCACTGTCAAAACCAAAAACCGTTCGACGAAAACGACTTTTGTCCCACCGATCAAATCTTCACAATCACTCCTCACCAATCTCAAATAGCTTATGAAAACCAACCATTTGCATTAAATTGTTCGTCTAATTTCAAACGTTATTGGACATTAAATAAAAAACATTATCCATCAACGATTATATCATCTTCCTATTCAACAATCATCATTGATCATTTGCAAGTGAAACATGCTGGCTTATGGACATGTCATCATTTAAATTCGAATCGGTCAGTATCATTAACAGTTTTACCGAATACAGTCGATCAATTTTGTCCATCAATACGAATGAATACATCCAAGGGATTATTTCATTGGCCACGAACGTTAATTAATAACAAAATTGAAAAGAAGTGCCCGTTCGGATCAGCTGCGTGGCTAAGAAATTCCAACGAATACGCGCGGGCGTGGTATACATGTTCATCGAGTGGCAATTGGATGAATTTAGATCTTGCACAATGTGCTTTTCATTCGAACATATCGAGAGTATTTGATCGGTTGTCATTGACAGAGACGAATTTGTTATTGCGTTTGATAAAGTATTTGTCGAAATTGGATAAAAGATCATTTGATTTGAATGATGTGATTTTATTGATTGATTTAATCGATGAACAACAGGAAAAATATGGAAATCAAGATCGAGTTATGCTAGTTTTTCATCTGACCGATTTTATTCTACAAATTAAACAAGATTTTACATATTCCCGAGAGTATAGAATGGCGATAACCAGGTAAATGCGTTTTTGTTATCAAACAAGACTAATTTCAGTTCGATTTCATTGTAGATTGAGATTAATCATCGAACGATTATTAGATTTCACCGATCAACCATGGTTATACATTGGAAAAGAATTAACAGCAATGTCTATACGAGCACCGTTGTTTTCAACACTTTGTTTGATACCAAATCGATCTTTATTAACAATCATCTGTGAACCTGATAACCGTCAACATTACGAAGTTTGTTCGTAATTAAGAACAAGCATCGACTTATTTTCCTTTTATTTTAGTCCCCATTAGCCACGATTCATTTCCCGCCGAGTTCAAATAAGACAACTCAAAAGTCTTTGTATTATATTATCTTCTACCGACAGTCGATGCTGTACACGTCAAACGAAATGACACCTTCTCTTTACAATCCTGTTATTTACATACGACCGAGTATGCCAATCTTTCGAACATCGTCTCTTCTCTTTTTCACGGTATTATTTAGTATCAAGATACAGTTCATCACCGGTCGGACTAACCTTTTACAATCCGATACATCAAGCATCAATAGCAATTTGGTATTCCAATCAATCCATATGGCAGCTCGAATCTTCAGTCTGTAAAACCAATGAACAGGTAAGGGAGAGAGAGAAAGGGATTCGGAACGATTTCGTTCTTTTAATCGATATTCTAGAGTTCGTATCTAATCTCAAGCTATTGTGTTCTATTCAATAATAATTCACTTGCGTTAACGTACCTTAATGATAGAAATCGAAATGAACATGTGTTTTTTAATACAAAATATTCTCGATTGACGATATATATTTCATCGATAGTGGCTTCGAGTTGTTTTTTCATCTCTACTCTTTGTTATATTTGCTTTTACAAGTAAGAATCACGTTTCTACTGTGTGAAAATAGTCGAATTTGCATTATCTCATTAGAGTTTATCAAATGCCACGACGTTTTTTCCATTGTTTAATTAATTATTGGCTCAATCTCACAATTCTCATTCCGTTATTCGCATTCGGGATAGAAAGCACCCAATATCCACTCGTATGCGAATTAATTGCCATTAGTCTTCATTTCCTTTGCTTAACCACCATTCTCTGGTTAACATTATTAACTTTGTAAGTTCGAGCGATTGAAATCTTTTCTCTCACACGCGAAAACTTTCTCTACTTTAGTTTAATTTGGAGAAAATTCCAAGCGATATTAACAAACAATGATGAATACCAAAGAAAACCGCCTGTGATCATGGTCGACTACGATGATATTAGTTTGCCGGTTGTAAAACTGAAACCACGATCAGTCATTCACTTGTATTTGATTGTCTACGGAATTTCATTTGCTATCTGTGGTATAGACCTGATGGTGTCCCGTGAACAATTTCTCATCAAAAGAATGTAGGTCATTATTTGATAAGATGGAGAAAATAACTGGAATTCATTTAGATGCTTTTCGAAACATTTCGATTCAATTTTACTATTGATCATCCCGATTTTTATCTTTGTTCTTTTTTCCCTGATTTTGTTGCTTGTCAGCCGTCATTATATCAAACAGTTGATGAAAAAGAGCGCATCTGTACGAAGGCTTTCTGAACAATCGGGTTTACACAGGGAAAATCTTCTTATGCCGTGTCGACGAAAGAAAATCCTTCCGATTCTCGTTCCATCGAATCGAACTTCGAAACATTCATCATCAAACCTCAATCCCTATCATTCCTATTCCGATCTCTCTGACGCAGATTATCAATACGAATCGATCAATCAATTACTTTCAATCTTATGTCAATTTATCCTTTTGATTTTACTATTTCTATCAAGTTCGACGATTTATCTTCAACCGCTACATTCGTTTAAAATCCGTTTTGAAAATATAATCTATAGTCATTTCTATGGATTTTTCGTTCTATTTCTCGCATTTTACATCCTATCATTTCATGTATTATCACGCTCGAATCTGATCAAGCGCTTCTACTTTCATCGCAATCAAGAACAACCTACATATCTTCGGCGACGAAAGGATTTCCATATTCCATCTTGTACAGAACAAGTCTCATTGTTGCCATCGACGCATACCTGTTACATATCAAATCGTGATATCTGTCAAATACCGCAACAAACTGAACGGGCGACAGTTTACAACGAGCATAATTACGATTGTAAACCGATTGTCAAAGTTACTTCTGAACACCACGCTTTGCATAGACATAAATCAAAAGCAAATCCAAGGAGTTCACTCGGACATGAGCCCTTCTTCGATGCACTAGATGTTATTGCACATCGGTAAGAAATTTGGTTAGGAAAAGGCAAGTTTTGTTGTTGTTTTTTTCTGTTAGAAATCCACCTCGGTACCGACCTCAACGAAATTCACTTTACGAACGATCGTTGAAACGATCAACGTATGACCCGATCGCATCTCATATCTTACAAAATAAGAAAAGTCACGTAAATGATTTGTAACACTCATAAGAAGAAAACAATTTTCTCATTGTTCTCTTTCGATTTCAGTTATCGTCTTCATTCCCATCCTGTCAATTATTTACACATCCCAAACTCTCTCCATGTCAAGCAATTATTCGACCATTGCCCATTGCTCGTCTCTCAACATTAAAGGCGATAAACGACTTATCAAATTCTACAAATATCCTTCCATCTACCGAGACCATTCGCAATTCGTGCATTAGTAATCATACGATCAAACGGCGATCTTTTCACATCATCTCTTCATCGTGTGTAGATGATGATGAGCATCAGAATGAATATGCATCTTTGAACAAATTGGACTCGTCCATTCATCAAGAAACCTCGGATGACAAATCTTCTATTGACAAATCTTCTATTGACAAAGTTTCACCTTATCAATGTATACAAGTCGATTACATCGACGATGTCGATGATGGAAGTGTCTCTTTGAAACAATCGATATGCGATTCGAAAGGATCAGTGGATAGTCTATCGACAAAGAAATCCAATTCGACAACGATATTGTCATCGTCAACATTAGATTCGGAAAATGACGTTTTCATTGTAAATCAATTGCCATTGCATGAAAGTATTGTGTAAATACATTTTCATCTATATCCTTCGCGGTATTTACGTACTAACACGAATAATTCTCTAGATCGTTAATTTTAGTTCGTAGTTGTTTTTCTTATCACATGTGAATGGACAAGTTGTGAAATACTAAATATGAAGAAGAAGAAGGAAAATAAAGAAAATAGCTCGCCTTGGCAAATTGTCTGTTAGTATTATTTCGCATGAAGTTCACTGGAAATAAAATACAAAATGCGTGAAATAATTTCGATATATGAGTAGGTTACTTGGTTTCTTTCTTTTCTATTAAAACATATATTAAATTCAGTCAATGACCATGAAAATAACGTTCTGGAACATTTTCATTAATAAGGCATGACCACGACACAAGGACAACTGGCAAGAAAAATAATAGAAAAGAAAAAATGTTATTCATCTTTGACGTAAATTAGACAAAGACGCTCGTTCACATATTCTGCATAGTAAAAAAAAGACAGAATGAGCTGTATTGACGCTCTTTGATGAACATCTCGTTGAAACATTACGAGCTATCATTGACAGGAAACTTCATGTCAAGTACGACGATGTATTAAAGCGCTGATTAATGTTATTTGGTTCGTTGATCATCGCCTAGACAGCCTTGAAATAAATTCGTATTAACCACTAGAACATTTCTCATAGAAATTGCTTTTGTTGATAAAATCAAGGCGATTGATTACACAGAGATTCAAGTGATTAATTAAGAATGACAAGCCATGATCAATGAGAAAATATTTTTTCATCATCGGTAAAAGGACAAACATGACATCAGTGAATCTAATCAATAGCTTGATCTACTATTTTTACTTCAGTATTTTTTTCACTAAATCGTCACCTAAAAGGACGAAAGTACATTGGCGACACAAAATGAATACCTTTCGTTTGGGAATGATCTCAGGAATTATTGAATGATACTGAGGAGCAACGCATTCGTTCTAAAAGCACTACTTTCGAAAAGACGAAACAAGAATTCAGTTTTTCAAACGCGTAGCAATCATTGTGAAATAATTGAAAAAAAACATGTCAACATGGGGATGTTCCGGTGAACGAGCACTAGAGGTGCTTGATAGATGCCAACACCTTGAATATGACGCCATTCTATTTGCCTATGCCTATCTCTTGTGAAAGATCTTGCCAAATGAAATTACCGCATCCATTTCTTGCCACTTTTACCATTGTATCTAAGTTCATATGGAAAATATTAATTAAAAGGTCCTATCAATGTTCGTGTCTGTGTTTTGATGGACATCAACAGAAATTTTCACAGTTATAGATGTTTTTTCTCTAAAATATAGACCTATTTAATAGAAATGCAAGCAACAAAGTGCTCCTTTCATTCAAAAAAGTTGTCAACATTCGGAAACACTCGGTCTACTTCAACAACTAAATATTGCATCCAACTGGTAAGTCTTAGTCTTACATGAACAAGAATGATGATTCTCAACTTCGTGTTTTTTCCATATAGAAAACGACAACAATGCATGTTGGTTATTCTGATATGATATATTCAGTGTTGCACTGATTTAAAATACAACGATGATACACGGGACTGTTATTCATATTCTTTCTCATTATGATGTTCCTTCGGAGGTGCAACGTGTGTCATTGTTGATGAGCAACGCGTAACGAAAGTATCTTTAATGAGGAAGAAGAAGTGACTAGACGCCTACTCAGATCATACATTGATAATCAGTCAGGTTTTTTCTTTCTTTCAAGGATAAATTTTTTTCGCATGTGGTTATTCATTACAACGAGCAAGAGAGAAAAATCGATGCTAGCAAAAATTTATTAACTGTAAGGAAAAAAATAATTAAATGTGAAAGAGAATCGTTGGTATATCAATTAAAATAGCGAGAGAGGAAGAAAACCCTGACAAATATATTCGCGAAAAAAAAATACGTTCGACATATAAAAACTGTGCTTTTTGACAACATCAAGCTCATATTATTTTTCCAATTTACGTGTCTCTAACGATCCGTTCGCATATTTTCGAAAAGGAAGTAGCCGGCAACTATTAAGGTAAAATTTGAGTATAAAGAGAAAATCAACGCGTTCACGAAACGTTCGATTGTTCAGAAATGGCGATCCAACTTGCTGCCATGTCAGCCAAAATGATAGCGATGATGTTTGGCGGCATCATCATTACCGTTGTAGCTATCGCTGCAACAGTCATTCTGAGTATTATTCCAACTTTCACTTCTGATGGCAGCAGTGCAGTTAATGGAGAAGGTAAATTATCAAACTAGGACATTCATCTTCGAGCTTTTCAACAAAAATCTGCGTTTTAGAATATAATTGCCCTGCTGTTATGCTTAAGTCGCTCTATTCAACCACGGCAACAGATGGTTCCGCATTTAGCTTTACCAACGCCAGTATCGCTACCAACCCAGCTTTGTCCACTCTCGTACGTATTTACTATCGTTTCCTGAGTCTTAATTTTGCCAATTTTATCTTTCTAGAGCACAGCGGCTTTGAAATCAATATCGGGCAAAAGTAATGTTATGGGATGTATAGTAGCTTCCATGTATGGCTATGGCCCATACAATACTAGCACTACATCTAGACGCCGTCGACAATCATCAACAGGTGGATTACTCAGTATTGGTCAAGTACGATGCTTCTTCTCCACTCCATGTGCGAAACAAAGCGATAAAGGCAAATATTCGAACTCGACTACACTTAGTAGTTGTGTCAAAGATCGTTTAACAGCCACTAATTCAATATTCTCGAAAAATGGAGCTCTTACTGAATGGACACCGGTATCTAGTTCATTCACTTACAACCTTGTGAACACCTTCAATACTGGCTACGCTACGATCAACGTCCAACGAGTTTTTGGTATTAGTCCTAGTGTTGCTTCCGCGTACGCTAGTAATCTTGGAGCACCTTCGTCAACTCAAAGCCAACTTCGTAAGAAATGATACTTTCGTGCTTAGAAAATGAATAAACGGTCGTTGCTTCATTTTTCTTCTAGTTGCTGGCTGTACTTATGCAGGACAACTTTCCCAATCCGCGATCGCTTCAATCATTTCATCGCAATATACAGAAACAACCACTTTACCATCATCAACAGTCAGCGGTTAAACAAAGAACAATAGCTGACCAGAGACCTACGCACACTGATTTCCACTACTATTTACATTTTTCTTTCAACTTTTTATCTTTAATATGAATCTTTTCTAGCCTCTCTCTCTCTCTGTCACTTCCTCAACGTGTCATTAATTGAGTATCTCTCTGCTACTTTCAAACTTCAATATCTCCTACGTTCTTCTTTTTACATTCACTCCACATCACTTTCTCTTTTTCTATCGAATCAAACGACTACCTCCCGTTCTCCAATCTTTTTCTTCTTCATTCTAATTAATAAAGAAACAGGTTCTCATTTGTACCCACACATAAATAGTTGTCTTCGCTCAAATATCCTCTGATGTCATTCGGTGTTATTGTGAAGTCTAACGAGTTCGAATATGTAATTGATATTTGATATCGAAAACCAAATGTCAATTGAAACAATCCTCGAAGAAACTATTTGATACTTTTGACGATCAAATAATTGATATAATCGGCGTTTGTTTACGAAAGCAATGATAACGAGATAGCGATTGCAAAGAAAATGAGTTGACTCATACCATTACAAAATAATCGAGAAAAACAAGTTATTTGAATGTCGGATCGTGTGATGCATATTTATTAAACACTCAGAGACTGGAAAATAACGACACAAATCATTGAAAACATCGATTCATCACTCTATATGTGAATCAGTTTCGCATACCCAAACAATAATATGTTTGGTTGTTCAAGCATATCTTTCCATCTGTTTTGAATTCTTCGATCATATTCAACAAAAGAATGCAGTTTAACAACTTTCGAAGATTTTCATATTCAGAGAAGAACATCTTTGAGATATTTAGCACTGTTTTGTTTTTTTATCGCAAATATTATCAATGCGTGTTTATACGTTTAGATTTGTTATGTTCTCAATTATTTGAAAGCTATACACGAAGTTCATTTGGTCAAAATACACTTTCTATGATAAGAAAGAAAAAGAAATTGGACTCGTTATATTGAAGAAAACGATTGAATCTATCCGAAATGATCAATATTCCATTATTTTCCTGAGCGATCATTCATGCAATGCTATAAGCTTATTTTTCTCAAAGAGTTTCAGTTACATATTACACGCAAACCTACCCTTTGGAAAAATGCATGATATTATGTTTGAAAAGAAGAGCAGGTCGGGGAAAATGTGGTGGATCAAACAATCCCGATGAATTGAAATCTAAAAAAACGCAAGAGTTATTCAATAAAATATTGAACGATTATGACAGCAGCTGACTAGAAATCGTCGGTGAACAACGAGATGATTCAACTCGTTTCGATGAGAAAAGTTTTTATTGATTTGGAAAAAAAACATATCTTTATTAGAAAAGTAAAGTAAGGTGATGTCGGAGTGTCTTTTGGCTTCACCCATATGTTCTGTTGCGACGCAGTCGTTGAAGAATAGGCAACATTGGTACAAATAACTAAATCATGTGCTGTTAAAATGAATAATAGCAATGTCGCAGGACAATTGAGAAATAAAATAATTAACTTTTTAACATCGATCTTATCAGCAAAAAGCTATTCGCAACGAATATTTACTTTCTTCACAATATCAGGAACAATTTGCACCTTTGGATAAAATCTTTGAACGACATGAACCTGAAATGACTATTTATGATCTAGCAAGATCAATTAAACCTTTTTTAAATATGAAAGTGCAGGAAGAGAGTTTTATGTTCGATTGCAGATACATTCGCTTTGAAATTAATTTATTAAATCTAAGTGGAGAAGCAAAAATTGTAGTTCATTTTCTCAAAGTATTCACTGAACTTATATGTGAATCATTAACTATTGACTTAACTTGATGATACGAAGGAGTTTTTTATAGACACATCTTTATTCTTTTCTCTTGTCTGTGTTCTTCTTTTCCTTCTTCTCATGGTCGAAATAAATGACCTTGTGATTTATCATTCTTAATATAAACCTATAAAAGCCCACTAAATGGTACGTATATACTTGACTAAATGAAATTCTAGTACTTCTTTCTGTACTATCAATATTCATTTATCTCTTATGCTTTCGTAAATGCTTCATTTACTGCTGAGTACGAATTTTTACATGTATATAAATGTCGAATACTTCTATACACAACCAATTCAGTAGTAAATTGGAAGTTCAGATTTGTTCCCTCTAATTCTCTAGTATGGCTGAAACATCATTAAAGTGAGTGAAATTTGAATTCCGACGCAGAAGAGCAGTGTGTATATGTATTTGTTTCAACTAGAGATAATGTGTACGGCATGATTATCGCATTAGGAACGTCAGGTATCTTCTTTTTAATTGGTATAGCTCTTGCCGGAGTATTAGTCTTGTCATTGATCCCTATATACGTGTCCAATTCGAGCCAAGAACCATACGGAGATGGTATAAGAATTTTCCGTTTAACCTAAACGCATATGTTCTCATTTTTAGTCTATCGAATTTCATCGCTGATTATAAAAGCTATCTATACGAACGTCACAGTGAATTTTACAGGTGGTAATATTTTGAGTGTTGCTGAATTATCGAATATTGTAATTAAAGAGATGAAATTTGCTTAGTAAAATTTAGATTTTCTGTTCTAAAATCTTCTTTAGTGCACACAAATTTTTCGTGCGAAGAATATCGATGGCTTTCTGTCGTGTGTCGCGATGAATTTTTCCGCTTACGGTCCATCCAACGATACCAGTGCACTAACAGCTTTTCGTCGGCGTCGAGGTCTTGATGATACAAGTCTTTACGAGATTGGTGATCTTTTAGTTCTCTTTTCCGATACATGTTCAAATAGACGAGCATTGGGTAAATGGTACTCGAGATTAATCGATGGTCAGAACAGTTCATGCGTAGCTCAACGGGCAACTGCTTGCCGATCGTTTATCAGCTCACCGAATAACATAACAAATTCGAATCAATGGTTACCTTTTCCAGTTGGGTATTCTCAAGTTATTTATACAAACTATACTTCATGTGCTGCTGTATCTGTTAGCAAAATATATAACATTGCTACCACAGCGTATGCAGGGGTGTATACTCGAAACAATCTTACTCGACCTTCGGGTCTTTTAAGTAAGTTTGAGATACGTTTTCTTGTTTACTCAAGTCAATTTTGTTCGTCATTTAGAGGGGGATTGTTTGTACGACTCAATTCGTTCACAAGCTGATCTGCAGAATCTTATTAGTTCTCCAATGAATCCACCGCCGTCGCAATGTACATCTACTATTGGTTAATCTCCTTTATTCAATTTCACACTGACTATCCACTATCTTTACTCCCGCTTTCTGAAAACACCTTGTTCTATTTTTTTTAAGCAAAATTATTCTCCACAAAGATTCATCGTCTTTTTTTTCTTTTGAATAAAGCTTTCCATTTTCGTTTTCAATAGCAACTTCATAGCCCTGAGGACTAAGTTTGTCATCCGGTGACAAACTTTTTTATCAGCGTAAGCATCTTGGTTATCTCGCTCGCAGCGATACTTCTGTCGTTCCGGTTAAAATATGGTGTACTTTAAAGAGAATTTTATGCATTTATACAAGAACAGATGTCATGGTTGACTCCTATCGGTGATCTACTCTTCGAATAGAAATCATGTAAATCATTAAGAGATAAATGACCGAATCATTACCATAAATGGGCAATATCGAAATTATTCACAAGTATAAAAGCAAAAATTCTTTGGAAACATCGAGTTTCTATGTAATATTTACCCTTTGTGACATTCGGTTTCCTCCCAATCAAAATATTAACACAATCAATTCATCCCCTGTCATTTTTCTTTTATTAATAACAAGAAAAAAGTTCTTTCTATTTCTCATTTCTACCTGTTGTTCTTATTTTTATTCTCTTCTTCTTCTGCTCAACATACAAAGAGTTACACTAGATGGCTGATAGAATAAATGGAGACTTGATCATCCCTTACGCATCCTATATATCATTGGGACTCGTGGCATTAATCATTATTTCAATGGTTTTATTTAAACTTGCAGCTCGGGACAATCGATTTCTATTCAATTCGGAATTATACATCTATTCTCGACCTGATCCGAATCAACGGAAAAATCAAGTGAATAAGAAACAACGTGTTAATACATTTCTTTCACCTAAACCTACGCCGGCTGCAGAAAGCTGTGCAGCATTAGAATGAATGAATTAGTTCTTACAATGCTTCATATTTTTGTGCTTTAGATTTTTACATGTGAAATAAAGCTATTTGAATCTTAGAAGAAAATTCAGAAGAAATCTGCAGATATAATCAATTCTTTTTATGAGAAAATCGAACAGTGAGGTTTTTCGGTTATGCACTTGAAAAATATTTACAGCATGCTTCTGTCTTCTTTAAACTTGATTGCGGAGTCGTATACGTCATCGACAGAACAGAATGAAAAGAAATATGCCTTGTCATCGTTATAAAGCATCGAGGGTTTATAGATATAAGGCATGTTTACTACTTTCTCAACAACATATATATATTAAACAATACAATGGCTGACACGAAAAATCCGGTAACGAATGTGAAAGGAGAATTTATCCGTGGAGGTAAGATTGTCGATATATTTATGCTATTGAATGTCTATTTTCCGTACTTCTCACTAGTAACCGCTTTTCGAAATTGGATTAAAGATGATTCATCCGCTGAATATCAACCAGAAGCAAATCGTTATCATATTTACGTCGCTTTGGCTTGTCCTTGGGTAAGACTGCGTTTTAGTGTTATTTTCATACAGAAAAAAAAGATATAAACTCGTTTCGTTTCATTTCAGGCTCATCGAACTCTGACTGTCCTGAAATTAAAAGGCCTCGATCATGTCATTTCGTATTCCGTTGTGGATAGTTTACTTGAGTTCGAAAAAGGTTGCGGATGGGCATTTGGAGAAAAATATCCTGATCCACATCATCCAACATTCACCCATTTAAAAGATGTTTATAAACTAAATGATCCTGATTACAGTGGACGCGTCACTGTGCCTGTCCTCTTTGACCTTAAAGTAAATAGTTCAAACTTATCCTTTCGTTTTTAACATTCTGAAATTATTTTAGACTCAGAAAATAGTCAATAATGAATCGGCTGAAATCATTCGAATGCTCAATTCTGAATTCAACAAATTGGCTCGTTATCCCGATTTAGATCTTTATCCGGAATCCCTACGATCACGTATCGACGAACTAAACGAGCAAGTTTATCCGAAATTGAACAACGGTGTTTATCGAGCTGGCTTCGCTAAATCTCAAGAAGCCTACGACGCTGCTTTCGAAGATGTTTTCTCCATGTTAGACATTCTTGAAGGCATCCTCTCCAAACAACGTTATCTTATCGACAATAAACAGATCACTGAAGCCGATGTTCGTGCCTGGACAACACTGCTACGATTTGATCCCGTTTACTTCACACATTTCAAATGTAATAAGAAGATGATTTCCAAAGACTATCCAAATCTATTCGGATTCGTACGGGAAATTTATCAAATGAAAGATGTCAAAGAAACAGTTAACTTCAATGAAATCAAACGACATTATTTTGCTTCCCATTTAATGGTCAATCCAACAGGTATCGTTGCGCGAGGGCCAGAGATTAATTACGATTTACCGCACGACAGAAATCGTTTCTAATAGCTGCGTATTTTATCTACTTTTTCAAATAAACAAAAAAATCTTATAAACTATTCATCATCGTCTTTGAATATATTTGCTCGAATTCATTTTGATCACAATAGAAATCTCATGAACGTAATTCTTTCTTGCTTCGATTTGTCTCGTTTACACAATTTCATAGCACCATTTTGTTCTCTCTCCTATTCTTTTACATCAATACTCTAAAGTTCACATCCGAAATACAAGAAAAAGGGGTCATTTTTTTCCATTTCTTCTTCCGCCTTTCTCTTCTCGTCTTTTGTCGTTATACATTAACAATGATTTCAAAATCGTATTCATTACAGCTGCTACTCTCTTTCTCTCCCTCCACTTTTCTCCATTTATTCTTGGCTCTATTCTTCCAACTCATCGATCGAATGTCGATACCAATGGATAGGAACAGACGAGATCAAAACCCAACTGTGGGTTTACTATTAATAGTCGGAGAAATCATCTCAAGTGAACAACGTGATGAAATATGTCTGTGCCTTCAAAATGCGTTCCAACAGATCGACGGCAGCAAATATTACGAAATCAATGATTTATTCAACAATTTAATTCATGAAAATGAATTCCAAATAGGTTTACTCATCACGACGTCCTCAGACGTAACCTTTTCTTCTCTAAATAGATTCTCAATATCGACAAATCGCTAATACGGAAAATGGTTCAACAGCTGGATTTCTCTATCATCCAAGCTTTTATACATTGTTGAATGTACTCCGTGATCTGTTTCAAACATGTTGTCATGTTTGTATTGTCTTCTGTGGTAAAGATCTTTGATTCTAGAATAACTCATTTGTCGAAGGATTTTCAGGACAACAGGTCGATTCCAATGGAGCTTTGATGTTGTCTGATTCTTTATTTACTCCGGAGAATTTTTCTAGTTTATTTCAAGAGGATGGAGACTATGTTTTGGAGAATTTGCAAATCATTTTACCGTTTGTTTCAAATCAGTGGATGAAATTGGCGAATAGTTACTTACAAAAACATGTCGAACATGTTGAAATTCATGATTTAACCAATGAAGTCGTGACAAATAGTTCGTTTGGACACCGTCTTTATGAAAGATTGGTTCAAGTTATACGCAATGACTCCAACCATTTCGATATCTATTCGAAACTCGCATCTGGGAACAATTCCGGAACGAGTAAGGCAAAGCACGAGCTCATTTTCTCAAATCGAACATCTTTTTTAGTTGCATTCGACGAACCGAATCTTTACGTATTCTACAGTCAACAAGGTGAAGCGTCTCTTTTCGGTATTCGTGGTTTCGTTGTCTTGATCAATAGTGGTTTCTGTCGTATACCTTCGTACTGGAATTTCATTCGAGGTTTACAAACCATTGATGCATGTATTTTAACTCATTTCGATTACGACGTATTCCCGGGCCTACAGACAATCGTTCATCGTAAGCAGATCTTCGGCTCACACGACACACAATTAGGTAAACCAGATGTCGGAGCAATTTTTCTCAATCATATTCAACGTAGTAAATTACAATCGAAGTCATCACCAAGTAGTAGATTATTAATGAATTTAACGAACAATATCGATCAATTTATGAATGCAACGAAACAATTGAATATTGATACGTTTAATTTAATAAAACCTATGATAGCGAACAAATCAAATTTCGAACCGATTAATCTCTATAGGAAAATTGCATTTGGTTCATTAGATATGTATGTTTTACATCCGACAAGTTCGTCGACGGAAGACGAACGACTTATCGCAAGTTTGCAGAGGGTAATTTTCAAACATTTGTATTCATTCATAAAGAGATTATTCATTGAATTTACAGATCCCAATTCGTAATCAGCAAGTCTCGCCTTCGGTTATTCCTCATCATCATTGGTATTCATCTTGTTTGTTACTTGTTTGGACGCCCACTGCTAAATCGAACAAAGATAGTTTAGTACGAATTTTAATTACAGGTGCTTGTCCACAAACGCTCGTTTTTGAAGCGTTAGACAGAGTGAGACATTTAGACTTTTTACATGCGTCTCAACAGCAACAACCGAGGAGATCAATAAGTCATAGTAAACTAATATCATCTACGCACGTAAGCTCAGGTATTAAACATCCATTGCAAAAGCCGAGAATACCATCATCTATGATGAATCGGACGGCGCCAGCCGTTGTTCAAAATAAATCACAAAAAACTTCGCCACGAGTTACTCCTTCGAAACCAAAAGTATTGCCAACAACAACCATAAATGCGAAAAAATCTCCAGCAGTATCCAGTGTGAACAAAGTAACTGCTCTTACGAACCACCTCTTACTACATACACTTTTTTTTCTCGCGCTTACATAGACGCCTGTTCCTTCAAAAACCAATAGCAATACTCGGTCAATCAGTAAAGAGAAAAAACCAACTAAACCTCATGCAACCACTTCAAAAGCATCTAATCTAGCAAAACAAACAAAACCTCATCCTTCAAAGGTCAAACCTCTAAATGATCAAAAGCAAAAGGCAAAAACTGAAGATAAACCCCAGAAAAAATCTGATCCCGTGCCTGTTCAGGAACGCAAATCTGAAACTGAACATGATATCCCGCGATCGATCTTAGAAATTCAAAACGAAAACGAAGAGCAGACGCTGGATGCCATAAATGAACATCCACAAGATTTAGAAACTGAAGTTGAACACGAGCATGTCTTAGAAAGTCAAAGCAATGACTACGACCAACAATTCGATGACCACGGTGAGCAACATTCATCGAATGACAATGATGATCAACAATATCCTGCTGATGATTTTACTGAAGATACTAACACAGAGGCCAATAATACAGAAGATGATATTCAAAGACCAGACTCAATTTCTTTAACAACGGATCAAAGTGAAACGTTAGTTGAAAGCAAATCAGAGTCACCTGTGAACGAAGAAGCCATTTCGCAGATAAGCCCTCAAGATCCTATGACAGAAAGTTTTATGGACGGAGTCTCTGACACAGAAAATCCATTTAATGGAAAAATAACTGATGATGAAATGGAGATTATCCATCATGATACATCATCATCACCCAGACACTCATTACTGTCTACAGATGATATCGAACCACAAGGGTTACCAATTGAAACAAACCATTCATCGAAACAATTGGCATCTAGAAAGATAAATAACGGAACTAAGCAGTAAATTTTCATGACAGAAGTGAAGCATTTGTCAATTCTTTCTATATTTAGTACGAACGGATTATCTAGATCAGGACATCAATCACAGTCAACACTACCGGGTTCAATCTTTAATGTTGACGTCGCGTACATCCCCTATCATGGCAATGAGCATTACGTTGATAGTGAATTCTTTCGTCGAATACGTGCTCGTTATTATATTCTAAATGCTGTACAAGTCAGTCCTCAAACATTGGACTCGTTACTTGCTGGCGTACATCAATGGAAGAAGAAGGAACACGAATTAGTAAGTAAACGACTTTGATGTATTTGCAAGTTTTCAATTGTATTCTATTTAGATTACTCTGGTTCCAACGTTCGATAGCGAACAATTGCGACAATTTTTTATTGTGAATAAGAATCGTTTAGCTGAATTGAATATAAATATTCTTCCTGCATCGTCACGGTGCAATGTTCAATATGACAATGAAAGTTCGCCAGCGCAACTCATACGTTTCGGATCATTTTCGGATGCATACGAACAATAAATTCAAGAATGTTACAAAACAAAAACGATCGAATTTTTCAGACGTTAACCACGGTTTTTTTTGTATGATTTCACCTTTTCTTCCATTCTCTCCATAGAATATAAATATCTAAGTTGCCTCTCACTTGAAAAGGATATCCATGTACCACTCGTTTGCTATTTCAAACAGACACTTGCTGTTCTCTGTTTATGCTGCATAAATATAAATGAAAGGCGCTTGAGGAAAATACAACTAATACACAACATGATACTGTTCAAACTAAAACATCTGCCGACGTGCTCTTTGAATAAATTCACACGTTTTTATTTACTGCGGCGAACAAGTGTACGTGCGCTAATTGCCTGCGAGGACAGAAGTTTTGTATCGACCTAATAGAAAAGAACAAATGAAATCAGCGTAAAAATGACAATCCATTTTACCAGAAAAAGCTATTCAAACACGTTTTATGTTTTTGGTAAAATTTCGCCGATTCTTTTTATTAATACATTCCTCAGGTAGCAGTTAAAAAAAACATATTTCTGCGTTAAGAGAAAGAGGGGGTATAATACTAACGAGTCATTGTTAGACATTCAGTATCTGACTGATCTCACTTAGATAATCAAAAGAACAGTTTGAGAAAGATACTCGCGCTAATCAGTTGAAAGGATAAGTAAGTAAGAAATCGACTTTCGCATTAGAACGAAACTTGAATAAGTCTAGCCGGAGATGGTATATCGAAGTTTCGCACATCTTCTTTGTGAGAAGTTCGAGCATAGTTCTGAATTTCGATGCAATGACATTTAAAAGAACGAATAGATCCCCGAACATCAAATATTCAATCAAACGAACAGAAATGATTCGTCAATGATTGCTGATCGACATTTTTATTGCCTAACTACAGATTTATGACAATTTTTTTTTATTACTGTTCATCGATATAAAACTAAATACAATAATCTTCGATATTTATCTATGCGTAAGTGAATGTGTAAACATGAAAATCGTTAAAAGTTTACTACTGAAAAATTCATACAACACGATTGACATGTCTTCGGTCGTGTAAGTAATCAACCAAAGGTACGTATGAACACATTCCAAGATGTTGTTCATTGGATAAAATATTCTAAATTTTCGAATATTAATTCTAGATTGCTGTCTAACCAATAACGATAAGGATTGAAATAATATTCGGCCACATCAATGCCATAAAAGAATGCTGATCTCCAGAACGTTTGATATTAAATCAATACGAAACCATAAATATCAATGGTTTATCGTTGGATTCATATTGTTTATGATGCTGAATATGTATTTTCTTCGAATTCGCAATGAAGAACAAATGACAAAAGCCGGTATGGTAGATTCTTCTCAATGCAAGACGTCAATGATTCAGAGTGATCGGTTTATGTGTGAATCGGAAGATAAATGGTTATCACGACGAAAATTCTATTTAAATCAGCATGAGAAGAATATTCATACGATGAATGAATATTCAGGCTATTTCCAGAAGAACTGGCTTCCTGATTTTCAATGCCCGAAAGAGACATTGATCGGGCATGGTGATGGTGGTAAATGGGTAAGTGTACCAACATGTTTGCATGTGGAAAAGAAACTAAGTCTTTTAATAGAACATCATCAACTTTCTTTCTTCCTCTTGAACTTCAAACGTTTATGTAATAAGTTAATCTCTTTCTGGGTTATTCAGTATGCACCATTCTTATTTCTAAGAATAGAATATCTGAGGAAAGAGTTCATCTGATACATCGAAACTTGGAATATATCCGTAGAAGAGATTAGTTTTCTTTTAATATAGGCATGTAATATTGAAGATTTGAAATCAAAAGCATCGTGTCTGATTTATTCACTTGGTTCACATGGAGAGTTCAGTTTCGAACGAAGTGCTCGTCAACTTTTTCCTAATTGTTCTATTCACACAGTCGACATGAAATCTTACTCATGTCCAGCCGGTGTGTGTAATTTTCGACAAGCAAAATTAGGTGATGGACACAACGGATCCATATCGTTACGACAATTGATGACACAGTTGAATCAAACGAATGCCGAAATTGATATTTTGAAAATCGACATTGAATACGGGGAATATTCGTTTCTCCATGCATTCTTCTCCAATAATGAATTCAATCGAAAGCAGCAGCCTGTTTATATTCGACAAATTCTCGTTGTAAAGATATGAATTGTACATCTCTTGGAAATATTCACTTTTTTGCTCTAGGAAATTCATCTCGACAATAATCGTATCTTGGAAACAAATGCGCTATTCCATTTACTCAATTCGCAAAACTATGTGATCTTTCATAAAGATATAAATCAACTTTTTCCATACTATGCTTGTGAATATGCTCTGCTTAGATTAAATAGAGCATTTTTTCGCGAAAATCTTTCATAATTATATTCTATTACAATAGATCAGAAGAAAATCAAACTATTGAGCACATTAATTGTCGCTAGAATGTATGCGGACGTGTAAATGACAATTAGTTAAATCTGATATGTTATATATTATTACTCAAAACACGATGACTGGATTAATAAAGTAGCATACGAACATGGGTATTTATTCTTGTTTTTGCTATGAATGACCATCAAGTTCATTGTTGTGTGACTACACAATCACCTTCGTGCACGATCTACTGTTTCTCCTCCTATCCGATCCAATAGGAGCAGCTCATTACCGTTCTTCAGCATTTTATTTTTGGAACAAAATAAAAGAAGAAAAAGGAAAAAACGATAAGGATAGGAATAGGAGCACAAATCATCCGGTCCGTTAAAAGAAACCATTTTTCACGGATATTTTCATACGTGTATATAAATATATTTATAAATATATGTATAATCAGTGCGAAACATGCATGAGACTCCGTATGATTGGCGGCACTTGGTACGGATCAATTTTTTCATAAATATCCTTTTGAATATCACACAGAAGTGTTTGGATATGTAAGCATTTAGTGACTAATGTCGATAGCAGAATTGTACTTTTCAATGGACCATAGAACTTGCTCATAAATAACCATAAATGTTCGACGTAAAAGTTCTGTGCTTGAAATACCTGCCGATAATTACTTGGTGATGGCTCATTGAAGTTTACTGCGCCCGACATGCCTTTCGAAAAGAGTATTATAACTAATATTAACTGAATGATTCGTTGGTCTGTTTGAGCAACTGAATGTAAGGAGCGCATGATCGATGTAAAATGAGCGTAGATATTTTCTCCATGCGCTTCGCGAACATCGACACCATACACGAACGTCTGATGAGGCGGATTTCCCTCACGATATATATCGTTAATCGGATCATATCTTAAGAAAAAAGAATGTTTTATTGACATTGTCGATAAATAAAAACGAGATTCGCTTACCCAAGTGAAGCAAGAAATATGAAGACAGGAGGTAAATTGTTTTTAATAAGATAAACTTTATCAATGTCGTTCAGAGCATCGAATTCTGGTAATCCTTTGTAAAAGCTAATGAGACGAAGTGCTGTTGTATTTTTTGTGTTCAATATCTGACATAATGCAGTCACTTTTTTTGCTAAATGATATGACCATCCGTAAGTTGGAGGGTCCAATTGAAATCCAGCATTAAATGCTCGAGTCACATGATTGATCACATCGTTGTTCTTACTATCCGATGTTGAATTTCTCGTTTCTATTGTTGGTTTTGTAGTTAATTGATTATTTTCTAGAATAACACTTTGCAGGTCCGAATTCAACTGTATGCTAGGGTTGATTTTTTCTTCTGATACATTGGTTTCGTCATTTGTCATTCGTAATCGTCGATTTTCTTCAATTCGTCGTTTCTTATTCAGTTTTTCTTCTTCGGTCAAAATCCACTCCTTCCGCATGCCAACTGCGAAACATTTCTTCAATCGACAGGACTTACATCGACGTCGCGTTTCCAATGTGATATCACAACAGCCATCACGTCGACATTTCAATCGATCCTTAATACATGACAAGAAACTTGCAAATCAGTATATGTTGTTGCTGATTACTGTATTAAAAAGTGCATTACGACGGAAAAATGCTTTACAAGATTCACACGAGATTGCATCAAAGTTATATCCATGAGCCACACCGCTACAAACTACATTAATTAAAAACAATTGATCAATAACTTATCAATAAAATTTACTCAAAGTTCGTTTTTCTTCACGGAGTTATATTTTGAACTCAGTCATGAATATGGAATGAAGAGCGAACACAGACGATTTTTTTATACTTTAAGGACATTTGTCCTATGACTCGATATGTTTTTTGCGTTCTTTGATAGTATTACACATCAACGAATTCAGTGAAAGATCACCTCAGATTGCTAATATCAAATGATAGGTGAATCCTCATTGAATGAACACTTTGGGAAGTAAGAAATAGGATTTACCGACACAGGATAGATCGGATTTTTTCCGAGAGGAATTGTTGGTACTTGATGGTGTGCAAGAAGTAGATGAATCTGTCGTCAATGTGTTGGACTCGAGTGAATCTTTCTGCATCCGTGGGCGTCGTTTTCGATTATGACATACTTTGTTTGATGACTAGAGTCATATAAATAAAGGTAAACAATATCAATAATAGCCAGGGTCGAATAGATTTATACCTGCGCTGGCAAATTAGATATCGTTGCTAGTTTCATGTGATCGTTTTGTGTGGCAGCATTTGTGTTTGTGGATGGGCTCTTATTCTTCGGCATACTGTCCTCGATTTTACCATGTAAATCCATCTGGTCGATGTTCAATGGTGGGCTTTTCGCCTTTTTCAATAACGGTTCAAGTCCATCATCTTCTCGGCCATAATATTCCTTCAAATCATCTAGTTTACGGTTCATTATAAACAAATGAGTTTTCATAGAGGTCTACAAGAAACAAAACATATTTAAGTAAACCATTGAACAGTTGGCGTTCATATTCGCAACACAAATTCTGAATGTTTCACGACGAAGGGCACGACTCAGTAAAAGATTTGTTAGGATAAAATCGTGCAAAACTTTCAACTTTTGTTCGCCATCGGTAATGACGAATGAAAAGTTGAGAGAATGGATAAGAAGTTTCTGCTGTGGGATATCTGATCGGAAATACAACAAAAAAGCGATGGTTTTTCTATGCCGACTTTACTTATTTTCAGCTGTGCTTGAGTGTGTCCTCCTTTATTCTTCATCGTAAAAGGTTGATGTTGTTTCTCTGTAGATGTATGTGAGTGTGTGTTTGGACGTATTCGCACCCGAACGCGAGTACCTTATTCGACGCGCAAAGCAAGCAGCGCAAAAAAAACGTCGAGAAGAAGAAAAAAAAGGGGAAAGAAAGAGAAAAAAAACAAACTACTTTAAGGACGACACTACGGATAATAACAGTTAGAGAGAATAAAGAAAAAAATTATGTAAAAGAACAGCGCAGAGAACTTTAAGGTTACTCAGGGTGGTAGAGGAGTGACGCAACATATCTCGTCTTGAAACTCGGGTACTCAAATAATCAGGAAGAACCTATTTATGAAGAGAGGATTCATTCGATCTGTAGATTATTTTCAAAAAGACGATACTATTTTTACCTCTACGCAGAAATACGCTCTGTCAATAGAGTCACAATAATCATTTCACTCAACGTACTTTTTAGATAGAATAAAAAGTATCGTTGGAGAAAATTTCGATTTATCTAGAAAATTAAGTGACGCAACAACAATAACAGAACGATCAGACGTTCGAAGACCTATATATATATATATATGCACGCATAAATATATTCACAAGAAAAATTTCTGTCTTTATATCTATCGAACGGCGAAAGTGTCACCAGGTACTTTCTTGTAGTTCGGCATTGACATCGTGTTTGAATAAAAAAACACGACATATTTTTACATAAAATATACACAACCGGTTGTTATCTTAACCATTTCACTCGGCATGGTGTACTAGTATTAATAGAGAACTCAAAAATTAAAGATCCGGAAATATAGATCAGAGTGACATGTTAGATGCAAGTGAAGAAAATGCAGTTTTTTGGCTAGTACAAAGAGAAAAGAAAAAAAGAGAAGCGCAAGGCAGAGGGCGCACATAGACATATATATCGTCAACGTTACCAACGAGTAATAAGGATGTGAAAGGAAGAGAATGCGCACAATGATAGTACTTACATGAGAAAGAAATGGCTTTGGTCTAAAAATAGCGTGTCAAAATGATTAAAACTCACCCCTTAAGAACATTTGTTGTACTTTAGTTATGCTTAAAATAGAATTGTTGAACAGAATAATGGTGAATATGGGATTACTGCGTTCGCTTCTCAAATGCGAAGAGACTCTTCCTTTTCGGGAATCGAAATATGAGTATAATTTGAACTTAGACAATAGTTTTTGCTTGAAAAAGTATTTATTTAATGAAACAATCTCATTTCATGCTCTAAGTATGCTCTTCAGTTCTCAAGAAAACACTTCTTCGCCGTAGATTCATCTCATCAATGTCACTTAATTCGCTGAGCATAAAAACAATGGCGTAGTTTGTCTTTTCATCAGCAATTAATTTTACCCATAATATATATTTTTTTCTATTGAGAGTATTTCCTTCGACGCATTTTATTTCTTTTCTTTGGAAGCAAAACATCATGTTTTATGTAACACGATTTAATTAGAGGTCTATTGAAGAGAAACTTCAGGTTCTCTTTATGATTATTCGTTTCCCATGAACTTCAAACTACACATCGATTGTTATTACAAAGTAGTTCTTCGAAGAGTACATGTACTTGCTCGAAGAACCGTTTGAACTCATGACAACTTTCTCCTATATAAACAAAAATCGACTCAATAGGCGAGGCAGGAATATTTACATTAATATAACGGATAAACATTCTTGCCAACAATTTCTATGAAGCAAAAGAATTTCCTTTTGGTAGGTTTGAAATATTTGGACATAAATGTTACTGGATATCGAGAATATTTCATGATTGTTTGACCGATTAAATTTGCCTTTTGCCCATGAGAAAGGTATGATTGTTAGGATGCATAAACACAATGGGAAAAAACAATTGTAGCAAGTAGATCATGTTTATTCCTTTCCTCATTAACCAGATTTACTTCCGACTGAGACAGATGTGATCGCTATTTTCCTAACGACAAAAGACTGATCTTCAGAAATACGATTCAAATCGAAAGGTTGATCAACACATCTAGATGATAATAACAGTTCTACTTGGGTATTTATAACGACGAGGAAGATTCGTCGATAAAAATAATTCGATATATGACATGTAGCACTGGATTCTTCATGACATTAGTGAAAATAATTTTCTTTTGCCTAAGCTATTGAATGAATTCCTCCTTTTATCCCAGAGTGAACTTCATATTATTCACATGACATTCGAAAATAAGCGTATCTGGATTTCTTTCTTGAATGATCACCATACCAATTAAGTTTTTCTCATTGCAGTATTCTATTTTTGCCGGAAGGCATGCCAGTACCTTTAACCCGCAGAAAACGTTCGAATTAATTGAAAACATCGTAACGCAATTCGACTTGTTTAGTTTCATTAGAAAGAAAAGATTGTTATTCATCGAAAAAATCTGTCGCGCTTTCTATGCCGTTGTATCAATCAAATAATCTGGTTTGATTGTCGTCATATATTGCGCTTTTAATTTTCGCGATCAGATCGCTTCTCCCATTTGATCATTCACTCCAAAATTCAGCAGCCAAAAACCGAAATTGACAAGCAACCTCGCAGCTACGCCAAATCAAACGGAGTTTTTTCAATTTCTGATCAAAATCTCTTTCCGTGTCTCGGAACTTTACTTCCCTAATAACTATCCACATAGGTAGATCAGAGAGATAAAGAATTCTCCAATTGTTTGTAGAGACAAGACATCGAATGGAAAGATTAGTAGAAGAAGATTCGATGAGGGAGTTGTCTGTGCAAAGTTATTTTTGGTGAACCAATTCTCGAGCGATAAAACGCTGAAAGACTTGGCTATTTTTCAACTTTCTTACTTCATGACTGAAAACTTCTTGTGCACAGTCGGAAAAACAATCACGAACAAATGAAGACGAAAGTTGATCGAGAGAACTCAAACCATCTTGAGGGTGGCTAATGCCGATGCTCCGCTCATATCGAATGACTAAATTTGAATCAACGGACGAACAAAACACACATTCCCATTGGTGTAAACAGTCAAGAATCGTTCCTTTATCTCTTACAGAAAATTCTATTTCTAATGTCGCTAGTTGCATTCAATTTGAGAGAACGAAACAAACCAATGAGAAGTAAGACAGACGAATAAATATATATTATTCATTTGTTTTACACGCGTATGCAACGTTGGATCAACACTGAAATAAATTTGGCTGACGACGACGATATGACCGAACTGGTGAACCCTCAAGCTGATGATGTTCTCATCAATTGCAATGAGGTATTTTCGAAACTAAATCAAACTAATAGCTAATCATAACCTTTGTTTTATTTACTAACCAACCTGTGTGATTAACAGAGATCAAATGTTGCTTCTGTGCCCGATGTTGCAATTATTCAAGTTTGAAGTTTTGTTTTCAAAACCAGATACTAAGATTTGGCTTTTATAGGGTTCGACAACAGTTGGGGAAAACATATCTTCGAATGCAGCGGTAGCAACAACGGCTTCTACTCATGCCAGAGTCGAAGCTATTGATCCACAAGATCACGACAGACCTCATCGACATCAATCTGATGGAAACAATGACGAACAAAGACCATTAAATAATGAAAATGAAGAAATATTCAAATATGGTTAGCTTATCTGTCCTTTTTTGTCGATTTACACAAATCTACTGTGTATGACTTACCTTTAGGCGCAAGTCACGTGGTGAAACTGTTTGTGCCTGTGTCATTGTGTATGTTAATTGTTATTATAACAATCAAAACAACAAGTTCGTCCGGTTTTCTTTTGAGAAACAACGAGAGAATGAAACTGAATTGTTTTTTCAGGTACATATACTCCAGGTGGAGCAACATGGGCGTAAGGATTTTTGAAGAAAACGATGATTTCATTTAGATTTTTGTTCTAATTTGCTTTAGTTATACACCATTTACAGAAGACAAGCCAACAAATACACAGAGGATCTTATTTTCATTAGCCAATACATTTATTTTCATGGGTTTCGTTATCACAGCTACCGTCATTCTAATTCTTCTATATAAGTTCAAATGTTACAAGGTATGTCATTGTATAGCATCATATTTCTCATTTTTTAACAAAAATATTTGCAGATCATTCATGGCTGGCTGATTTTAACAACATTGATGTTACTTTTCTTCTTTCTCTACTCATATTTCAGGTTTGTATGATGAGAAAGACCAATAGTAGATATGAATATCTCACTGTTTTTTATATTTTGCAGTAGTATATCGGCTTCATTAAATCAACCGATAGATATGATCACCATCTGTTTCATTACATGGAACGTTGGTGTTGTCGGCATGTTCTGCATTCATTGGAAAGGACCATTACGCGTCCAACAAGCTTATTTGATTCTTATGTCCGCTCTTCTGGCACTTGTCTTCTATAAATTCCTACCAGATTGGACAGGCTGGCTCATTCTTGGTGTTATATCCATCTGGGGTATTTTACAAATTAAGCGAATTCTCGTTTAATAACCAAGTCTTTCTTTAGATCTTATTGCTGTATTGTGTCCAAAAGGGCCACTACGTATCCTAGTTGAAACTGCTCAAGAACGTGGTGAACCGATATTTCCTGCTTTGATCTATTCGTGTAAATTCACGTCAAACATACCCCAATTAGTACTTTGTTTTTCTACTATATTTCAGCAACTGTGGTGTATATGGTAACTGCCATAGATTCACCGAGTGAACCTGAATTTACACCAATAGCTACTGCAACAAATACGGCTGGTAAACCATTACATTAGCTTTTTTTAATTTTATCTATGAAAGCTTTGTACTACTTAGTGAATGTTGATGCGCCATTAACTGAAGAACAAAGAAATGAACGTGCGAGAACACGAAATAATAACGCTCGACGTCAGCTAATTCCACGCTCCGATGTTCCGCAAACTGAAGAACGACGTGAACAACCCCGATACGTCGTCGAACGATCAAATTCGCCTGTTCCCGTCGAAGACGATGACGAAAGTTAGCTAAACCGATTACCTCTCATATCTCCTCTAATCTCTTGATTTTCTTCTTATTTAAAATTGTCCAGAAGGTGTTAAACTTGGTCTGGGTGACTTTATCTTCTATTCAATCCTTCTCGCGAAAGCATCCGCACTCGGTGATTGGAATGTAACTGTTGCCTGTTATCTTTCATTATTAATTGTACGTAGCTTTGAATCTCCCATTATTTTTACTCGTTCTCTTTCTTTGTAGGGCTTATGTTTAACATTGCTTCTGTTGGCGATCTTTCGTAAAGCATTACCAGCTCTACCAATATCAATTACATTCGGATTAATCTTGTATTTTTCCACTGTTTATATCATTGGCCCATTCTGTGCAGAATTAAGTCTCAAACAAGTTTTTATATGATGAAAAATCGTGTTTATATTGTTTTTACTCGATGTTACAACGGTTAAAACCAATATTTCATATACTTCTTCGCGTATCTTTGCTTTTTTTGTAATTCGTGTTTTTCATTGTATCAAAGGACGAAAAAAAAACATAAACTTCTATACATAGACGTGATTTTTGTTTTGTTTTGCTCGATTTTCTCTTCGAATGGAATTAATAAAATATCAGATGATTAAATTAATCTGTCGAAATCTGCACAAGTAAATAGTCTAAGACTTAGTGTATATTTTTTCTTTCGATTTAAATTTTTATCTCATGGTCATCTGCTCGTATTTGTAACAAAAGATTTCCTTGTCCTTGTTGTATCATTTCACTATTGATAATTGTTGGTCAAGAGCAAACAAATACTGACAACGACGAGAAGAGAAATAAAAGCTTATCACCAGTTTTATGCATTTATTTCTAAACGATGAAGAATATCGAAGATCTGATTCACTTTCTCTTTCTCCCCTCTGAATCGATGACAGTCCAAATGCTATTGAACCTTGAGGCTTAGATTGATCATGGATGGATAAATACGTCCATCCAAGCGATGCATAGGAGTAAAAAAACGACAACTAACGGTCATCTTCGTTTTTTTTTCGACTTGATTACATCATATGATTGTTATTACAGTAGGTTAGTATCATCAGAATCGCTCTGGCCAGTTGTATTCTTGGGAAGAACAAAGTTAGACAAACGAGCGAAAAAACCGACGTGCTTGTCGTTTGTCTTCGATGATATTGCTAATAGTCTTCGATAAATAAACATAACATAACACGTAAAGAACAGGTAAGTCGATGAAAACTTCTTTGCACTTCATTTAACAATCTTCATTCATCTTAATGATGACCCATAGAAAGGTTATTTAGTTGATGAGAAAGACAAACGATATAACTGTCCCTCACCTTCAATATTCTGTTGATTTAAATCAATCGTAAATGTACAACATCGATGATATGTATATGTGAGAAGAGATTCGTTCTATTCTCTCTAAATCTTCTCACTTTCTCGTACAGATTATCAAACTAGTCATCTTTGTGAAAGAGAGATTTTCGCATCTTTACCGACATTTGAAGGTGAATGTATAAAACTTAAGTAGATAAAATTTTCTAAGTAAAGAGAATAAATGTCATCTTTGATCATTAAGTTAAGATACTTCTTTTGTTTCATCATATACACAACATCCTACTTTCAATGAAGTTTGATATATGTATATTATATACGTTAATTCTTTTGATTACGTCAAACTTTATCTTGTCTTTGCTTCTATATATATATATGTGTGTGTATACATGAACCTCGAAGGTGACCACATATACATCCAGATGGTTTTCATTCATTTTTGTTTTATTTGTTATGTATATGGAGATATAATGTATACCATAGTTTGAAAATGGACATCAAACGTGTGTTTTGTAAACGAATATTTAAACGATTGAATGTTACTGTCAAAAAGAAAATAGAGGTGACAAATGTTGAAATCAGTTGCTTTCTTTTTCTCTTTCGACTTTCTTGTCCCCATCTCTTCCCATCATAAACGATCGATCATCAACTTATGTAGCTTCTTGCGTGTTCTATTCAATACAAAGAAGAAAAGGAGAGAGAGAGGGAAAGAAAAAAGAAAAACTATGAAGACCGTATGAGGACGGTAGTGGTCATCATAGAGCGCAATACAATTAAACATCGAACAATCAATTGTACATGATCATCGACGATAACGTTCGAATATGTCACAATCGTTACTACAACTGTATAGTTTAAAGGCAAAGAATTGCGTATATTGGCTAGCAAAACGTATATACATTGCGTGAATATGGACATTGGGAGTGTCGAAATCGAGGAGAATGAAAGTAAAAGTGAATGAGAAAGAGACTTGAGATGTAAGCTAAATGAAAGAAAACGAAGAGGAAGAATAAGATGAAAGAAGCTTATTAACATACAGATGTAGCTCTCACACTCCATATATACATATATGAGTATGTCTTAGGGCTTTGTTAGATCATAAGAATTTACTATTCGATTTCACTTGAAATGGCAATTGAGACAGTCCATTTTGTGATAGTGTCCTCAGATAATATACATATGTATGACTATACGTGTGAGTAAATGTCTTTAGATCAAATAAGACAAGGAAAAGATGAGAATGTTATCAATGTTGATTCCTCTTCTCGAATGACGCCTTCTTCTTTCGTTCATTCATGTTTGATATGCTAAACACTTTCAAGTCGAGATCTGATCGACTTGAAGGATGTATTATGTTTGCATTGATTGACTTTATTGAAAAAAAATAGAAATTAACCTTGAACAACAAGAAATAAATTAGTTGTTCTGTTTATTGATTTGTTGTATTCCATGCAAACATCTCCATGTATATTTATCCATGTATACAATAGTGAGAGCGGATCGTGTCTCGACGTGATTTTTTCTCGATGTTATTCGTCTTTATTATTCAGAAGCCATTGTATGCTATTTCGATCATTTCAATGAATTTGCCGTGTGTAAATTGACATAGACAAACTCAGAATCGTGCCTTTTCATACTTCTCTTACTTTTCCTCTTCTCTGCTTAAATACTCATACTGTTCGTATCGATTGGCCTGAGAGCAAATGAACAGAAGCCTTGAGTATTGTGAAGAAGATCAGTAATAACTGATAATTGATCTTCTTTTTCATTTCATATGTTCATTCTATCGATATTCGTTAAGCATACAAGCGCATATGCTTACATGAGAGATAAGTATCCAGAAGGTACAATGTCATCTCTCTCTCTCTCTCCCTTTCTCTCACCGTCCTTTTTTCTTCTTCTTCTCCTTATTAATAGCCACTCAGTATTCTCGCACATCGCGTACGTATTACACAATTTTGAACAACGGTTTTTTCCCTTTTTATATTGAAGACCCATTGCGAGATTTTTTTGTACGCGAAGTTTATCGCGTTTTTTTTGTAAGCATTATTACTATTGAACAATAGAAGAAGAAGGGGAGGAAAGGGAAGAACGACAGATGAAACAATTACATCTAGATGTTTGTTGTTGCATATGTGTAGATTGGTATATCGAGAGATAGATACGAAACGAAAATGGCAGACGTACAACGCATTGCACTCCGCACTCTATTATCAGTTCAATTTGATGTTATGACTGACTGCTTGTCTATCATCTGATGACATTAGATCATCAAACTGTCTGCATGTAACATTTTCGATTAGGGTGCCAGGTAAGAAAGAATAGAAACGGAGAAAGAGAAGGAATCAATGAACATCGAGATGAAAAACAATAAAGTGATAGAGAATAGACATAGAATGAGGTCGAACATACTTGAAAAAAGTATAAGTAAATATAGACACACATAAACGACAAAGTAAGAATAAATTTTTTGATATATGTGATGTGTTTTGAATATAAACACACATATTGATTAACTTGTCGAAAGGTTCTAATCAAAACGTTAATCTTTTCAAGGGATCATCGTTAAATATCTTTCATTCATCTTTTCTTTTCCTCGTCATTGACTGGATGATTTCTATCCAGTACTGTAGATCGTCCATATATGTATCTATCTAACTATTTCGTATCATTTTGTTCGTTGTTGTCTCTGTTAAACGAGAATAGATACATATATAGATGATCTTTGTTTATTTCGAATGATGTCTTCACTCGTTCGTTCCTCGCGAAATATAAATACTCGATGATTCATCGACTATATCTCACTGTACATATCGATTTCATCAGTAGGATGTCGATATATCTATATGTGCATATATAAAATATCCAATTTTCGTTCAATCGAAGCAAATAACGGTTCGATTAAGAAAATGATTTCGGGATTTCGTTTTAGACAATATAAAACACCCTAGTTTGTCTTGAGCGAGAGAGACGGTGAAGTCTGATGTTGACCACTCCGACGACGACTCTTCAATATTCTTCACCTACTGATGATGTTTTTAAAATTGGTTCGTTCATTCGACAGATTTTGTTGTTTTACATAAGTATTGCACATTGTTTTCTCTACTTACAGCAAACATGACATCAAGCCAGTCGCCTTCTGATGGTTTCGTTGGATTACCGCCTCCTCCTCCTCCACCCCCTGCACCACCTGTGTTTAACAACAACACTAATAACTCATGTAAAGTATTACTTCCACATCAAGAAGTTAATCTCGTTGTTAATCGTGCGAATGTTACCGAAATTCAAGCACGTTCTGTTCCAACAATGCTCATGGCTGGCAACAATATTTGGACACGACGTGTTTTACCAAATCTTCGAATACAACAAACTGTTTTTGATCAACATTATGGTGAATCAAACTCGTCAATGACAGGTCATTATCGACGATCAAGTCTTACAACATCATTTATCGGAGGAGGAGGAGGAGGTCTTGGCAATATGACTGATGATGGACCACTATCATTTGTTTTACTTGATGCTACATCTAAAATGCTTTATGATGTACCTATGCGTCATTTACTTCAATTGGTTAAGAAAGATCACGATGACGATGCAAGTATTGATCATGTTATTCGAGCTATTGATGAAACACATATGAATTCGGAATGGTAAGTGTTATTATCAGACGCTAAATTTATTTTCTCGGTAAACACATTTCTAAAGCTTCAAATTAAGCAAACAGAGTCGGTAGATTTCGTGAAACTAAGGAGATTCTTTATTGTTCTAGGCTTGACGCTGTTACTGCTCTGAACAAACAATTTGATAAACGACCTGAAGACAAAGCTCGAGTCTTAGCACACAAAGGTTCGACACATGGCTTAGTACTCATTGAACAATTTTTCGTTAAACTTGTTCGTGTACCAGCCTACGAGTTTAAACTAATTTACTTGAAATTTCTCGAAGAAGCGCCAACTCAACTTGAACGTATGACTAAACACATTCATGATCTTCTTGAAAGTGTCCAAGTTATCTTAAACAACGAACAACTACCAGGTACACTTCATTTACTCTGTTTACTTTATAACAGTATA